ACAAAGAACTAAGTTCTATACTAGAGGCCCTCTGTACTAGACAGAGTCGTTACAAGAGGATTACACTCGCTGAGTGTGTAGAGCGTGAAGGTTACCTGTATTATCAAGACTACCTGTACGCGCCTAATAACTCTAAGCTACATGCTAAGCTACTACAGATGTACTACGAGAGCCCTGTTGCCGGCTATATAGGCTAATCCTAAACCTACGAGGCACTGTCCTAAGAATACTACTAGCCTAGAATGCTAGACTACGTTAAGCAATAGGTTTAGAACTGTTACACTTGTAGACGAATTACGACGTTACGAGAAGTAAAACAAGGAGTCCTAAAACCGTTACTAATACCTAACTGAGCCTAGTAAGATCTGTTAATAGACTTTATTACGCACCTGCCTAAGAGTAGTAGATTTGACGCTATCTTAGTTGTAGTAGACAGACTTACTAAGATAAAGCACTTTGTTGCTTGCTAGGGTACCTGCGACGCCGAGGAGGTATTGCGCCTATTCACGAAGTACGTCTAGAAGCTACACGGCCTCCCTAAGACTATCGTATTAGACTGAGGACTACAGTTCGTATCTGAGTTCTAGAGCTACCTAACCTAACGCCTAGGGATCTAGTCTATCCTATCTACTGCGTACTACCTAGAAACTAACGGGCAAACAGAGAGAGCGAACTCCTTCCTAGAACAGTACTTGCGAAGCTAAGTTTCGTACCTGCAGGATAACTAGGCGAGATAGCTACCGCTAGCTGAATTTGCGGTAAACAACGCTAACAACGAGAGCACCTGTACAACGCTATTCTTCGCGAACTACAGCTTCTACCCTTGCCTAGGATTTAAGCCTATTAATCTAAGCTAACAGCTAGCGGCGCAAGACGCTAAAAATCTAGCCCTAAAGATAAAAACCGTCTACGAGTACTTGCGCTCTGAGATCTGTGTCGCACAAGCCTAGCACGAGAAGTACGCTAACAGGAAACGCAAACCTGCCCGCTAGTTCTTTAAAAACGACCTAGTGTAGCTTAACGCCTAGAATATTAAGACTGCCTGCCTGCAGAAAAAACTAGACTAGAAATTCCTAGGACCTTACAGGGTCACTAAGGTCGTTAGCCCGTATGCTTACCGCCTAGAGCTGCCTGCTTTAATAAAGATCTACCCTGTGTTCTACGTAAGCCTGCTCCGCCTAGCTACGACTAACCCCCTGCCTAGGCAGCGACAAGACCTGCCTCCTCCTGTTAAAGTCGAGGGAGTTAAGGAGTAGGAGGTCGAGGACATCCTAGACTCCCGCTAGGACCGCCGCGGCCGTAGAGGCTAGCCCTAACTAAAGTATATAGTAAAGTAGGTTAGATACGACGAGCCTACTAAAGTACTAGCTAACTACGTTGAGAACGCCTAGGAGATTGTTAAGAACTTCTGCTGCTGTTACCTAGACAAGCCCCGTTGATCGCGTTGTTAGAGCTCTGCCTAAGGAGGGGAGTACTGTTACGGCGCTAACCTAGATAGCCTATTAGAGCGCGCTAAGCTGCTAAGCGAGCAGCTGCGCGATCGCTGAAATTCCTGCGCGAACGCGCCCTATCGTACGCTCCTTAAGCTACGTCCTTGTCTTAGCCTAACCCCGTACTATTAGCGATATCGTAGTAAATATACTAATTACGTGCACCTACCTTCCCTGCCTGCTAACCCTGTAACACAACTATGCAACTTATCATATAGGGCAAAGACCGCGACGCATACAAGAACGCTGATAGCAGCCTTAAAGACAAGGAGGTTTTTATAAAAGAGTAGCGTTAATATAGGCCTATTAGTGTACTATTTAATATTATCGCGTCTATCTGTACGCCCTAGTCGCGCAAGCTGTTACAGAAACTCTAAAGAGTTGAAGCTAAGTCGCTAGGTAAGCCTGTTACCCTCTAAGAGCTAATTAGGCTAGTTAAGACGCGCTAGAACTCCTACTTTGCTGCCTTTGTACGCGCTGTTAAGCTCTAAGGCCCGCTTAATAACTACGTCGAGCATAAGCTTTCTAAGGGCCGCTATAACGAGGTTATTGCTCGCCGCTTACAGCGACCTAGAGGTAGCGATAGCGTGTTCTAGGAACCTAGGCTTTTTCTACGCGAGGGTGGCCTAAACGCTAGCGACTAGGCAACAATTACAGAGTATATAAAGCTTCTAGCGCCCTTCGCAGAGGCCTCTAAGCTGCTAGAGGGACGCGGTAAACACGGCCGCCACGGCGCAATATAGGAAGTTCTAATTACCTTTAAGTAGCTACTTAACGAGCTCAAAGCGCTTAAAGAGCGCTTAAAGGATATTAATTATAATAATCTGTTAGCGCTAGAAGACTACCTTATGCTTAACGTTAACTTAGCTTACAAGAAACTATTGCAGTACTACTTAAAGTTTAACAACGCGCCTGTCTACTACGCTGCTATAGTGCTTTACCTACACTATAAGCACTATCTCGAGGCACTATAGAAAGTACCTAATAATTATAACACGCAACGCGACGGCCCTTACTACCGCGATAGGTAGCTTACAAACAATTATTGCGCTTTTATAGCGATGTGGAAGGGCTTTTAAGAAGCAACAGTAGTTAGCAGCGCGACAAGCGACAGCGATAAGAGGCGCCCGGCAAAGAGAGTGCGTGTTGTTAGTCTAACAGCGTCGCGATCTGCCTTTCTAAAGTTGCAATTAGACGCTGCTGTTAAGCAGGTAGAGGAGCATCTTAGCGATGAGTACGAGCGGTGGAAACGCGTACCAGCGATCGCAGAGGACGATCCGATAGCTCTTAATCCGCTTAAGTACTAGCAATTACAGACGTAGTAGTACCTAACGCTTGCTAAGTTTACTATTAACGTGCTTACAATACCAGCCTTAGCTGCTGATTGTGAGCGTACGTTCAGCGAGCTTAGTGACATGCTAGGCACGCGGCGGCTGCAAATAAAGCCTAAGTTGCTTAACGCGCTGCAGTGCTTAAAGAGCTGGCGGCAGTTAGGTCTTAAAACACCAGCAGGAGGGCATACAATAGCTGAGATCGCCGCAGTACAAGATTATCTTAGTAAATACGACAATTGACTATAGCAATCAGATAGCAATCAATCAGTCAGTGCAACACGAAGATAGCGGTCTTGGTAGTCAGTTCAGTCTCAGTTCACGATTCCAAAAAGGTCTTGGCAGTCAATCAGGTCAGTTCACTACTTGCAGACTGACAGTTTGAGCCGCAAAGATGAACTGACAACTGACTGATTGACTGATAGCAACTCTGGGAGCTGGGTACACGCGCAGGAAACCTGGATGGAAACCCCCACTCTCTACATCGCAGCGCCGCGAGAGATTACAATGGGCACTCCGACACAATCCTGATCGATATGAGGTTGGTGATGGGCTTAGCTACGATTTTAGGAGCGTTGTATTTACTGACGAGACACCAGCAAGAGTAGGAGAAGAGCGTGGTATGATGCGAGTATGGGCGCGCTTGGATGAGAAGTACGATGACGACGTCCGCCACGACCGCAACCGACGAGACTGTTGCTTACAATTCTTTGGAGCTTTTAGATACGACTACAAAGGTCCTTGTCATGTATACTTTCATGAGACTCAGCAGGAGAAACAGGTGGCGGAGGAGCTACTCGAGAAGGAGAATGCATTCACTCGAGCATCCTCTAACCACATGCAAACAAGAGCACGCGCAGCACTACGAGAGCTTGGAGAACTAGATATCAACCTCCGCAACTATACCCAGAAGCTTCAGCACGTCAAGAAACATGACTATCATCGCGGCATCAAGTCAAGAGGTGGGGTAGATGGGTACAGGCATCGTGAAGGAGCTCTCAAGAAGGTCGCCCCATGGATCAATTCACTCAAAACTCGAGGTATCCCTTGTGTATTACTTGAAGATGGAGTTCCACCTCATAAATCTCGAATTGCTAACGACTACCTACGCGTCGAGCGGATTGAAAAGATATCCTGGCCTGGCCACAGTCCTGATGTGAATGCATCTGAGCATGCCTGGCCATGGATAAGGACCCACGTGACGAAGCAATTCACTCCCTCATGTAATCCTACGCAGTGTAAGGAGCAATGGGAGGCAGAATGGGAGGCTCTACCTATCGAGCTCATCAACAGGTGGGTAATGGGCATTCCTAAGGTGGTGCGTAGGATCATCGCAGAAGAGGGCAATAACAACTTCCACGGGTGATCGCAACCCCCCAAAATCTACCTATATACCTATCTACATACAAAAAAAATAGCCTCATCTTTTTAAGCTTGTAAAATGGCTGAGTTGTGTAGATACTTCACTTTTTTGTATGGGCGTACAGCCAAATTTGTGAAGTTGGGGCACGGGCCCCGCACTGATCGCTCACTAAAAACGAGCTCCTTCGTAGTACAGTATGCTCAATTATTTTCGAAGACAACGTACCCGTGGACAAAATGGCGTTTTCCCAGGTTCTCTTTGCGTGATGTTGTTCGCTCTTTCAGCATACGCTTCAGCAATCTGCAGTAGCCGAACTCGCACTCTGCTTGACAAAGTTTGTTTGGTGGCGCATTGCTTGAGGTGTTGCGTTGTGGTTGCGTCGACTGGTCCGGGATTACCGGTAGCAGGGTAAAGTGTCCGCGGAGCCGCAAAGCTCGGCATCTCTGGCAGCGGTGTTCTGAATAGCGTGTGGAGAAAGATATGTTGTATAAGCCGACGTGGATCGATTAGATAAAGTGGTTGCCAGAGTACATATCAAAAAGCAGCTGCCGTTGAAGGCGCTTCGATGTAAGTAGAGGCAGGAATAACATTGACGTCACGGTTATTAGGCCCACAGGTCTAGACCACAACAGCCTGCAATTACGTTATGTAGACCCGTTCAGACTAACATCGCATTCTTGTTGCTCGATCAAACTTTACCCCATTGTAAAGGCATGGCGCATCCGACGACGGCACATTTCGCCGAAGGACCTGCTCATAGACTGGCCGTGCAGCTGGAGAAGGCCATCGCGCATAGCAGGAACAACCTCCTTGGTCATGGATTTCGAACTGCCCTTGCGCCCGCAGTTGCCACATAATTCAAGCTCGAATGATCCACGGTTTCTGCGTGATCTGGGCTTGCTTGATCTGCTGGAGAACGATCCTCGGCCAACATTCGTATTAGATAACACGAGCGCACGGAACTCGGTCCTTGAACTCTATCTTGTCTTCTGCAACACTGCGCTGGTAACCGCGGGGTCAGGAGTATTGCAGAGCGCCATTAGCGGGAGCCATAACAATCATAAGATTCCGGGAGAAGACGCTGCATCTGTCTCGCATTTCCGGAACTGGTCCTACCAGCAACCCTCAATTCCGAACAAATCTTTGCCTTTCTGTGGCTACAGTTGGACAAAATGTCTGATCGCCCAGCGTTTGGTGGTTGTGAGCGGTCAACTCATCAAACCTGATGGAGGTCTGAAGGCAAATGGGGGGTCTCTTTCCAAGAAGATCTCAAGGTCAAACTTCGCGACATTCGATTGGACAGACGATCCTCCTCCTATGAAGTTATCTGCACATGTTACCTGGGCACGAAGTATTAACTGGGCGAATACACCACTAGGCCCAATGAAAGAATGGCCTCCGCAACTTCGCAGCAATGCCAGCCTCATCATGATGGACTCACGGCCGGCCGTTGGATTCTATGGACCTGAACTCATAATGATTTACAACGAGTCTTACATCGAACTTCTTGGTGGCCTGCACCCATGCATGGGTCATAGTGCTCGAAAAGCCTTGGCTCAAGTTTGGAGCGAATATTTCGAGCCGATCATCGAGCGGAACCTGGCTGGCGAGACAGTCGACAATTCCCAGACTGAAATCCCCCTAGTGCGCAACGGCTACCTGGAAGAGACATACTTCTCTACCCGCTTTATACCAATCTTCGATTCTCAAGGGGCTACAATCGGCCATTACGAACCAGTCGTCGAAACGGTAAGTGCTTAACGACCCCGCGATAACCTTTACCTCAGCGTCCATCGCCTTATAGGTGCAGCGAACGATATTTATTGTTTGCAGCAGCTTCAAACCGGCTTTCACTGCTGTACTGTTCACTTGGGATGGTGGCAATGGTATATCTTGCTGACATTTCGTTAGACTAAAGAAGTTCTTCTGGAGAGACGTTCGGGAACACTCATGGAATTGAGCCAGGAACTGCCTCGAGCCCGCAAGTCGAACGCCTATTGGGACCATGCTGTCCAAGTGATCTCTCGTAACAGCAAAGATGTCCCATCTGCTTTATTCTATTCCACAGAGACAGGCGGCAGTAGCCAGGACTCGACTGGTACAGATGGAACGGCTGACAGCCAGTATCAGTGTAAACTTCGACGATTCATTGGATCAGTCGAGAACCCATTCGCCAGCATTGACAGACTTGATCTACGGAAGTCTCATGGCACAATCAAACTTTTCAAAAGGGCTATCATTGCTGACCAACCCGTCACCGTAGATCTTCTTCAAGATCCCGACGCACAAGACTTGGCAAAAGCACTTCAGCCGCAAGGCTCCAGCGATGTATGCAAACTCGCGGTTATATGTCTTTTGCATCCACCGTCTTCCAAAGAAACTATACTTGGTTTCATGGTTCTTGGCTTAAGTTAGTGACCCCGCATGAACTGTGAGTCCTCGATGGCTAATCTATCTGCAGGTCCTCGACGACCGTACGACAAAGCCTACTCACAATTTGTGTATGAAGCAGCTCGTTTAGTGTCCGCTCCGTTAGCATCACTGATATTACATGAAAAGGATATTGGACGGCGAGAAAAGGCCATTACTACTGCCGAGCTCATCAAGACCGAGCTCAAACAACAACTAGCAGAATCTCAGCTGGAGGCGGACCGTGGTCATACGAGGTTTCAGGTAGGCTAGATTTGCAGCGTGCAGCGTGTCTGCTCAATGACAGTAACTGACTTCGTGACAGCGTTTCGCGGAGCGAAGCAATGTTGGTATCTTCACCATCGACATGAAAATGCAAGGCACCTACTCTTACCGTAATGAGGCCTGGTTCGATATTTGTGGAACACAGGACCAGAGTCTTGCCCTCGGCGACGTATGGGCCGCCATTGTTGATGATGAGTTCATCGCTGTCGGCAAGAACAAGTTCGGCGCGCTTGCAACGACAAAAGAACCCCAGTAAGTTATGCAATCCTTCGCGAAAACCTATACTGACTTGATAAAGATCCTTCGAATTGCGTCTCAAAAGTACTTGGCGCATGCCTGCAAACGACGTGAACGACTCAATATCTGAGGAACGACACAAATGGGTCCTCTGTTCGATCTTCCCGGAACAATCGCTCGACGGTGAGATCGTTGAGATTATCGGCTGTATAACAGATATATCCCAACAAAAATGGGGCGAGCAAATGCAAGCAGCTCAAGCAACTCGAGCAAAGGAATCAAAAAGACAGCTGGAGAGCTTCATCGATACTACATCGCACGAGATGCGAAATCCTCTGTCCGCGATCGTCCAGTGCGCGGACAGTATCATATCTGCACACAAGGCTTTCGAACAATCAACATGTTGCGACGAGAACTACCAAAAGACACTGCTTTCGACGGTAGATTCCGCCGAGACAATTGTCCAATGTTCCAAGCACATGAAGACCATAGTAGATGGTAAGTGACTGCAGAATCGAACCACTAAGCCAATGTTAACGCGTGTAGATGTCTTGACTATCTCCAAACTAGACTCGGGTCTCTTTGCGATGACCCCAATCGACGTAGAGCTCGAGTCAACTGCACGGGACGCGGTCAAGATGTTTGAGGGCGAAGCCAAGGCAGCCGGTGTAAACCTGCAGTTCCACATTGATGATTCTTGCAGGCAACACGGCATTGCTAACGTATCGCTTGACCCCACTCGAGTGCTGCAGATTCTCATCAATCTGCTCACCAATGCTATCAAGTTCACACGGCTGGAGGTTAAGAGGGAGATTGTGGTTATCTTGAGTGTATCGCTTGAGCGGCCCACACACAACGCCGACGATCGGGTGGCATACATACCGAGGTCTGAAGGTCATGAGGCTAAGACATTACTGGCGGACTGGGAGCAGGGCGAGAGTGTTTTCGTACGATTTTCTGTTCAAGACACTGGAACTGGCATGACCGATGCGCGTAAGTACAGCAACAACCCATCGCATCTTTAATACTGACCACAGGTATAGAGCATCACCTCCTCTTCACACGCTTCTCGCAAGGATCACCAAGAACACACATCGACTACGGAGGCTCGGGCCTCGGGCTCTTCATCTCACGGCGACTAACCGAAATGCACGGCGGCGCCATCGGCTTCACATCCAAAAAAGGAGTCGGCAGCACTTTTTCCTTCTACGTCCAAAGCCGCAGGAGCGATTCAACAGTGCGCAGGCGAGAGAGCGTTGACTCCAACTCAGCCACAGTCAACACAGGCATCCAAGCCCACAAGACGCTTATGCGCAGCAAATCCTACAATGAGACTACGCCACACCCATCGCGTACGAGCTCGCAAGATAAGGATGTGCCTGATAGCGATCTTCATATTCTTATTGTTGAGGATAATCTGGTCAATCAGCGGGTTCTGGCGAAGCAATTGCGCAACGTCGGCATGAATGTCGCAGTCGCCAATCACGGAGGAGAAGCATTGGAGTACTTGAAAGGAACCAAATACTGCAAAGCCGACGGTTTCGGCAACGAGCTGACGCTGATTTTGATGGATTGGGAGATGCCTGTGATGAACGGGTTGGAATGCGTGGCAAACATCCGGAAGATGCAGGGAGAGGGTGTCTTGAACGGTTATGTCCCTGTCATTGCAGTGACGGCGAATGTCAGGTCTGAGCAGGTGGAGACAGCGTTGCAAGCTGGCATGGACAATGTCATATCGAAGCCGTTTAGGATACCGGAGCTGTGCGCTTGTATACAGAAGACGTTGCGCAATACAGCGCCGGCTGAGGGCACGAAGTTGGGATGATGTTGTTGTCAGGCAACATTTCATCGGCCACCGGATTCGCTTTGATGACATATGAAGTAATGGCTGGAAAGGATTGCCACTCACGTTGACTGCCACAATCACAACCGGAATATATCTGCAAGTACGAAAGATTGGAAGACGAATCATCATGATTTTGATCCACGGATTGACTGTAATAGTTCTGTGACCATATGGATACCGTCTACTTCGATTGCTGTTTCACATCAACCAATCATGCCCCTTTCAGTGATGAACAGTCGAGACTACGATGTTGACAATTCATTTCCATCTACTCCTCCTGTTCTTTGTCACTGTCACCATTTCCGTCACCATATTTCCTCTCGTAGAACCCGTAGCCCAAGTGCTCGACGTGCTCGATGTGCAGCTTCCAGACTTGTCATCAACCAAACGCGTTTGAATAGTTTGTTTACCGTGTCCGGGCACCCAATGCACGGAGTCAACCAATGCACGGGGATCGCGATCACCACCACCTTTTGAACGCGTATTTACTCAACCACCATGACAGGAATATTAGATGCGCTTGCAGAGATTGATAATTTGAAGCCTGGCGAACAACTTGTGTATACAAATATAGCAAAGAAACATAGTGTTAGTCGCTTAACGTTGTCGCGCGCGCATTAACTTAATTAGGTCCCCTAACGCGTCGCTAACGAGAACTAATAAAAGCTTAGCAACTAACAGGAATTAGATCTAGTTAAGTATATAGAGGAGCTTTTAGCGCGTCACTTACCACCTACAAGGCATATAATACAAAATTTCGCATCCTTAGTTGCCTTACAGCCCTGCTCTAATAGCTAGGTTAAGCTCTTCCTGCACTGTTACCGCGATCGGCTTACCCTCTAATAGACTACTAGCATAGACTCTAATTGCTATAACGCTAAGTTACAATGCAAGTACTAGTTGTACTTCGAGGTTCTACAGTAGAAGATTACTTAATACGACATTACGCTAGAGAACACATACAATATAGATAAGAAGGGCTTTGCGATTAGGGTACTAGGTAGAACTAAACGGGTGTTTAGCAGGCGTTAATATAAGAAGAAGGAGGTTAGGCAGGCTTGTTAAGATAGCTTACGTAAGTAGGTAAGCCTGTTAGCCGCGATCTGCGCAGATAGTACTGCTCTTCCCCCTAGCATTATCTTCGCGTTAAAGAACTCTACTATCTAAAGCTGCTAAGTAGCAGATATTAAGGCGGGAAAGCACGCTATCTACGTCGCCTTATTACTATTAGGATAAACAAACAATAATATAGGGTTAGTGTAAGGGGCTACGCTTAGGGAGCTATCGCACAGGTATACTAGAGTTGTATTTAATAGAGAAGAGAACTATAGGTAGCTAGGGTTCTAAAGGTCGTTTAGGGGGCGGCGGCTCGGGATAACCTTCTGCTAGGCTCGCTTGCACAGAATCCGGGTGCTTAGAGGGGCACCCGGAATCTGTAGACAGTGCGCCTCGCGTACGTAACTATGATATTATTAAGGATTCACTAACTAGGCTCCAGCCTATTACATTACCCCCCTCCTCCTCGTCTTTTAGGGGGTATCTCGTCGAAAACCTTCTAGTAGGCGTCCTTCTTCGTCTTAGTATTCTCTCGTATATTCTTCCTATTAATCTAAGGCTTCTGTATTCTCTAGGATTTCTACTAGTTTAAGGGTCGTTTAGTAGTATCCTTTCTACTTAACGTCAAAGTACAGTTTCTATCTACGTCTACGGCGTCGCAGTTGTTCTTCTAAGATCTCCTCTACTACCTACTCGTCTTTACCGTTAATCTGTAGTAGTAGCAGCTAGTAGTTGTCCTAAACCTAGCTAGGTAGTAGGTTAGAATTTGCTAGGCGTAATCTATCGACATGGAAAACAGGGTAATAGCCTTTTAAAGTGTCTAGCTTAACTAAATAGCTATTAACTACTTTAATTACTGTGTATTTAGCGCTTTTCTAGTCTAATTTTCGTAACAGACAGCCCGTTTAGTATTACTTGTTAAGTTTTAGCTAAACCTTATCGCTAACCTTATAATTCCTTGCTTCCTTCTAGTGCCTATTAGTCTGCTTTTCTTATTTAGCTTACGCTGCAGCTATACTCGCTTGTGCTAGGTTAAACACGTCTTGGAATTTAGCTACGATAGCCTCGGCCTTATTACGGTCTAAACGTTCTTTAGTAGTATACCTTTTCTTTTTAGCTCCTAGCGGGGTGTCTAGCTAGAGAGGATCTACGTTATACCTATGTTAGAGGAAGAACAGGGCAACTCCTGTTAATGTTGCATCCCTCCTATTAATGGCGATCTAAGCTATAGGACAGTACTTTACCTAATCCTCTTGTGACTAGCTAATAAACGCTTAGATGTATGCTTCCTACACGCTGTTCATTTGCTCTGTTACTCTATTAGTCTGTAAGTAGAAGGCAGTAGAAAGCTGTTAGTTAATCTTAAGGATCTTGCAAAGACGTTCCTACAGGACGCTAACGAACTAGCTGCCTCTATTAGACGTAATTGCGTTAGGTAACTAGTAGTAAGCTACTACTTGTCTAATAAACGCTTAGACTACTATTTCCGTTCTAATATCTAGTAATAGGATAAAGATAGACCCTTTGCTTAGTCGGTTAGTAACGACTAGAAGGCAGGTTATGCCTTTACTCTCTAGTAGTCCTTTAATAAAGTCTATTAAGATTTCTTTCTATATCCTATTAGGTAGTAGCAATAGTTTTAGGAATCCCTAGGTACCCTCTCTCTATAGCTTCGTCCTTCCGCAAGTATCGCAGTTCCTTACGTAGCGTCTAATACTATCTAACATACTAGGCTAGAAGAAGTCTTAAGCTACTATCCTGTACGTAATTTCCTTGCCTAAGTAGCTAGCTAAAAGGGAATCGTGTGCTTTACTAATAATTCAGGTGCGCAACTTCTTGTTGTTAGGCACCTATTTCCTACTTTAGTATAACAGTTCTCCTTAGTTATTAACTAAGCACTCTAAGATTAAGCATTTTACGCCTAGGCTAGGAGGGAACCTTCGTTCTTAATCTATTACTACTTGCATAGCGTTCCTGTATTGCTAATCGTCCTTTAGGGCTTCTAACTATAGCTCTTCGAGCTTGTTAGGTTGTTCTAGCTTGTTGCCCTAGCTAGTTAGGCCTTTAGGCTTAACTTGTTCTCTAAGCGCCTTACTATAGCGCTCTACCTATTCTACGCTGTTTTCGCTTATAGTAGGAACTAGGTCTTCTAACTGTTCCTTAGTTAGGTTAGGACGTACTCCTGTTTGTCCTACGTGTATCCTTACAGACATTACCTAGCTTCCTAGTAGATTATCTTATTCCTTACTACTCTCCTCGTAGCACTAAGAGGTCGGCTTTAGGACCTAAATAATACGCTTTTAGAGGCGCTTATCGTCTGCATCCTTAGGTAGGTCCTGCTCTCTGCGTGAGAGTGCATTAGCTTGTACGTTCTGCTTCTCTAGTCTGTACAGGATCTCTATGTTAAACTAGCTTAACATCGCTGCCTAGTAGACTTAACGTTTACTTAGTATCTTTAGTTTTATAAAGTACTCTAGGTTCTTGTAATCTATAATTACCTTAAAGCTCTTAACTAAACGCAGTTTAGCGTCCTACTCTTCTAGGCAACAGATAATTACTAGTAGTTCCTTGTTATAAATCTTGTAGTTGCATTTATAGGCGTTGTTCTTTTTTAAGAAGTACGCACAAGGACGCAGTATCCCCTTGTCGTTGTACTAAGACAACACTCCTCCTACAGCGTAACTAGAAGAGTTGCAATCTAGAACTGTATCTTGTTTAGAGTTAAACGTCGCTAGGTTAGGTTCTATAGTAAAGATCTCCTTTAGCTTGTTAAACGCTAGCTGCTCTTTATCTCTCTAGGTAAAGCTTACGTCGCCTGTTAAGCGCGTAAGAGGAGCAGCTATCTTTGCGAAGTCTCTAATAAACCTTTGGTAGAAGTTCGCGAACCTAAGGAACGACCGTACTCCTTTTACGGTCTTAGGTGCCTCCTAGTCCTTAATAGCTTTAACCTTGTCTAGATCTGTTCTAATGCCCTTCCCTGCGTTAATAATAAAACTAAGGTACTTAGTAGACTTTACCTTAAACTCGCATTTCTTAATGTCTACGTAGAGGCCTGCGTCCTGTAGCTTGCTGAGGACTTTTTAGACGTAATCTTAGTGTTATTACAGGTTGCTATCTGTATAGATTAACACGTCGTTAAGGTAAGCTAAGCAGAAATTATTAAGGTGTTCCCTTAATATCTAGTTAATATACTATTAAAAGGTACTTAGGGAATTAGCTATGCTAAATAGAGTTACTAACTACTTAAAGAGACTAAAGCGCGTTTAGAAGGCTGTTTTCTATTTGTCTCCTTCCGCTACACAGATCTTATAGAAGGCTGCAATTACGTCTAGTTTTGTAAACTACTTCGCCTTGCTTAGGTTGTTAAGCGTCTCTTGGATAAGGGCAACGGGTATCTGTCCTTCTTAGTAATCGCGTTTAACGCTTAGTAGTTAATACAAAGGCGCAGCCCTCCTCCTAGCTTTTTCGCGAATAGTACTAGAGCTAAGGCTAGCGAGCTACTTACGCGTATAAACCCCTTCTCTAATAAAGACGTAAGTTCCTTTTAGAGTACTAGGAGCTCGCCTCTTAACATGCCGTACAGTAGGCCCTACAGCGGCTAGGGCTGTTAACTGTTTTTCGTTTTAAGCTCGATTTAGTAGTCTACTCCTAGCCCTCTATAAGGAGGGAGCTTTACAGCTTCTTTTAGGTTAAAGAGCTTGTAATAGCTCTAATAGTGTTTTAGTAACAATGCTCTTACGTTTACTAATTTCTTTAGTGCTAGCGCCTTATTAATGTCTGCGATAGAGGTAGCGAATATTCGCACTTTAGCTTCTAGATCTCTAGATTTCCTTAGGAGGCTCGCGAACGTAGCTGCGTTCACTTGTTAGGATGCGTTCCTATTTACAACGCCTTCGTTACACCTTACCTAAATACCCTTTAAGTAGATAAATAAGCTCCTTTTAGCTAGAGCTATCGTTACGTCTAGGTAGTCTATCTACTCTTTCCCTAGGACGACGTCTTCGTCTATGTAGTTAATTATATATACGTAGGCAACCTCTTAGTAGCTGTGCATATTAAACTTAAATTAAGAGACCTTATTAATCTTTGACAGCTTCCTGTTAATTCCTTCGACTAGCTAGGGGGCGACTAAGAAGCGCTTAAGGCGGCTTCGGCAAGCGAACTTCCTACTAACTAGTGCGTAGTACAGACAACTGCTGTCTATTAACGCAGTTGCGTTGTTTACTGTATCTACAATTAGGTGTACCGTAAGTAGCTTCGTGTTTATGTGCTTTTGTTAAAACTAGTTCTATTCGCTACGTGTTCGCTAATCTATCTTTAGTAGCTCTAAGCTAAGACTCTAGTTTAGAGCTACTTTTTTTCTAAGTCTTCTAAATTGCTACTATCCTCTGTCTCTGCATAACACCTACAGGTAGGCAAAGGCTTGCGCTAAGCTGCTCTGCTCACCTTAGTGTTCCTTAGCTTAACACTCTTCCTACAGTGCCTAGCTATATATCCTTTCTTACTACACAAGTAGCACTCTATCTAATCACTATTTAGTGTCACGGTAACCACCGTGGTTCCCTTGACACTGAACGCGCTACAGAATCCGAGTGCTCCGCCAAGCACCAGGATTCTGCTGATTGGCCGGCCGGGCCTAGCGCCATGCGCACGGCCCCCATCGATAACTTCTCACCGCCTGTACATGCTGATTCTGTTTCCTTACGCAACGTCTTGTATTACACCAGATATCGTACGTAGCCACAACTAACGCTTCTAGTAAGCTCTTAAACACGTGCTCGTAGCATCTCGTGACATTTAGTTTCCTGTCTCTCGTGCTTACCTTACTAACTTTCGTTAGCTCCTAGTCTATGTTCTTAGGCGGAGAAGGAGTTCTCGTACTGTTTTAGTTAACTTATTAGTAGGAGTTATAGTTATAGTAAGCGCTAAACTCCTTTTAACTACAAGTAGCTATATTTACTTAGTACAGGTTGTCTAAGACACAAGTCGCTTTACGTGCGAATTCTTCGAACGATAGGTCCTCCCTTGCGAGGATTAAGGCCTTCTAAACCTCTACGCTTAATCCTTTAGAGGACATACTCTTCTTCTACGCATCGCTAATCTGCACCTCTGCCTAGAGTTCTAATTAATTAAACTCTATGTAGTAATCTCAAATTAAACGTTTTCCTTGTCGCAGGTTTAAGAGTTAGTCTAGTGCTTTAGCTTTTAGGTGCAGGTCGTCGTACTGCTAGTTAAGGAAACTCTACAAGTCCTTAATAGAGCTGTATTCTTAGTGCTGTTCTGCCTAGGGGAGGATAACGTCTAAAGCTTGTTTAGAACAACAGCTAACTACGTACACGATCTTTATCCTATTAGGTGTACCCTAGTAGTCTTTGTACAGCTTTACCTTAGTCTTGTATCTAAAGGCAGAGTACTTAGACCTGTCCCTGTTAAACAGCTCTAGATAAGGGTACTTCGTCCTCGTAGTGTGTTCTGTTAGCAGTGTTCCTAGCCCTAATTAGCTCTTAAACGACTGCAGGGTTAATTAAGAGCCCTGTTGTTCTAAGGCTTCTAACTAAGCAGTTATTAGGGTAAGTAGTTAGACTAGTTAGGCTATTATCTTAGCCGTAGCATTCTAAGGGGTCTTTAGTAAGCTCCTAGGTAACCCTTTCTTTCCCGCTACGCTTTTTACTCTCTGCGCAATCTCGTTAATTATTAGCGTTATCGCAGCTTCTTTCTATCTGTTATTCCTAAGCATCTAAGCGATACTCTACTCTATTTTATCGCCTAGTACTCTAGTAAGGTGCTTAGCTAACGCGTAGGCAGACAGCTCCTCTGCGTTAAGGTTAGGTAAGTTATCCTCTATGTTCTAATTCCTTATTAGAGGGCTCGTTTCTGTATGTGCCTGCTTCTCGTGCAGGGCTTCCTAATTAGTATTCTCTCCTTTAATCGCTCTAGTCTAGTAGCTAAGCTTCTTGTAAGCTTCTACGTTGTAGCCTACTCCTCTACAGTAAGGACTAGTAGGGCTTCCGTAGCCTATTACTGTACAGGGCTTCTATAGCTTACTCTTAATAGCAAGGCTTATCTAAACAGCTTTTAATTGCCGTTGTAGTCGCGACTTTTAGTAGTTCCTTTAACCTTACGCTCGCAATCTTATACTAGTTAGTACTTTAACTTAGTATCGTAGCCTATGCCCTGTTTAATAGAGGACTAATAGGACTTCTAACAACAGCTCGCTTCTTAGCTGCAATTTAGCTGTTGCGCAGGGTCGTTACCTGTTCCTTAATCCTTAGAGGACTAACAGGGCTTTAACTACAATCGCTTACCTTCTTACGAAGGTCTTTTGCAGACAGCAGGACCTACACCTCTGTACTGTCGAGGTATCGCGTAGGGCTTTTACTAAACGGTACTCCGCGCGCAACTAGGATCTACTAGCTGCACTATACACGTTTACCGCTAGACGTTACGCGAGGCCAGTAGCGCGTTAACTAAGCGTCCTACGAAGCTGCAGTCCTAGGCTAGCAATCTTGCAATAGCTTATACCTAGTTATTGTTTAAAGGCCTTTCGTGCCTTCGTACAACACTAATCCCGTGCGGCAGATTAACCTACTCGCACGTAACAGAAGAGGCAGTCAAGAAGCTTAACGCGCGTCGCGTTAACAGAGTCTTAAAGCAAGGCTCTGTTAATTAGGATCGAATACAAAATGTAAGGGGCTACGCTTAGGGAGCTATCGCACAGGTATACTGGAGTTGTATTCGATAGAGAAGAGAACTACAGGTAGCTAGGGTTCTGAAGGTCGTTCAGGGGGCGGCGGCTCGGGATAACCTTCCGCCGGGCTCGCTTGCACAGAATCCGGGTGCTCAGGGGGGGCACCCGGAATCTGTGGACAGTGCGCCTCGCGCACGTGACCGAGATATCATCGAGGACTCACCAACTGGGCTCCAGCCCATCACAGTGCAGGGAGACTGGGCACAACTCACAAACGTGCAAAAAGGATGCTGTAGATACTATTTAATCTGCTATATAAATTTGTATATATTATCTCTTGACGTGGTTGTAGTGTGCGCTTGAACAGGCGCAGAAAGTTGATGGGGTGGACGACTCGCTTATAAAACACGTTAACGTCTATCTACGGTCGAAAGATAGACCCTAAAATCATGACATGTGTGTCCCACGGACCATTTAGATCGTATGATATGACTGTAATGATTAGCCCAAGTAGCTTGATCGTTGGTGAGGTACTCATGTCAGGCCTGGCTGACGATATATACTATCCTGCACCCTGATTAGTAGTTCACTGATCGTACGTACCTTTTTAGTTTTATGGCTTAGTGGTGCAGATCTGCGTTCATGACAACTCACATCCCATCAAGTCAACTTAATCTTGCATGTCAGCGGGCTCGAAGCCTCGAAGGTACTAGTAATCTGGCTCAAGCGCAAGAATGCCTACATATCGACCGCCGAACGCTGCGTACGTCTCCTTCATGAGCAGCACAAGATTGTCTGCATCTTGATCGGGGCGGCCTCCACGCTTCGCTTCATTTGGATACTCCCAATCAATATCGGCGCCTTTAAAGCCATTCGCGTTTATGAAACGCACCGGTGATTGGATGAAAGTTGCTCGATTTGCCGATGTGGACACCATGTCGCTGGGAGCATGTTCTGTAGCGGTTCCACGGTCGTTGAAGGATAACTATTTAGGCATGTTGTCAGCGTTGAACATAGAGTCAAGGTTCTTTACTTACACCTCTAACAGCAACCCATGTTTGCAGTCCATTCTTCTTGAGGCTAGTGAACTCCTTATAGTTTGCAAGATCCGCGTCATTTATTGGCATAAATTCGAACGTGGTAGAGTGGAAGATGACAAACGCTTAGAACAGATGTGTTCGTCCATTAGTGTTGATCTGCTTTGGTAACACTGTGTCGCATTTCCTTTCCCGGGTGTTCCAGCCCTGGTAGTAACCGATCTTTCTGCCATTGGATGTACTAGGGTCCTTACCGCAAGAAGGCCTCCCAGTAATTGCGCAAGATCCAAAACCATTCTGGTAAGGATTATCGCCAACTAACGGCTCCGGGTCTTTGCAGTGAACATCTTTGGTACCGCACCTATCCATTGTTAGCCTATCGTTGCCTCAATACGATTTACAACTCACCAGCCATAGAAAGAGCAGCACAACTTGAAGCCGCACTTTGTAGTCCCCCCAGGTGAGTTAAAACCACATATAGCTTTGGCATCACAGTTGGAGATACAGTTTGCAGGGCTGCAATGTGCTTCCTTGAATCCACAATTCACAAGCTTGCTATAATATGCTCCATCTTTGCAAGGTGAGCCTGCACCGCATTGAAAAGGTCCTCCATCTGTGGCTTGTCGAATCACTAAATTTGGACTCTGGTGGTGTTTATGATGAGCATGGCGGCGTGAATGACGTGCATTCAGGTCAGTGCTATTTTGTAGCGTAGAATTTGCCGCGGAGTCTTTCGTGTAATTCAGCTGTCCCAAGGTGTACCTAAGATTGATATAAGTGTTAGCTAGTATAGAGCAGTATGCAGAGGGGCTGCCTGGAAGAGCATTGTTGGGTGGCTTTCGGGATCTGCTTTGCATGAAAGTGTAATCTTACAAGAGCAGCCGCATGGTGTGTTGTGCTGATTGGGCTTGACATAGGTGCTTACATCTCACTAAGTGCTATGATGTCGATTCCGTCTTTGGTGGGCTGCTGCTGCGTCTCGTCATTATATGTGATCAAAGCTACGTCCACATCGCTTGCGCTAATATTCCAAGGGATCACTTCTACATCTTCTAGATTAGTTAGGTCGTCTGGCTCATCTGGCTCTTCGGATGCTTGTCTACGCGTATATTCCTCTGTAGATCGCTTGAAGGGCTCATGGAGGACCTCATTATCTTCCCAATGGTGTCCAGTTGCAGATGGATCGAAGCGGCGGCGAAGGATCTTCTCCGGATGGGTATCATTACCTACAGTCAACGAATCCGAGATATAGCCCTAATCCTGCAGGCCCTGGGATGTCAGGCTTGGTCCAAACGCAAGCAGCTTCTGATAAGTCATGTTTTCAGGCATCTTACGTGTAGCGGCATTATCTCTCTTCGGAACCCTGACTATGCTAGGTATACCAGCAACGCCATTGTTAGTCTGTTGCCAAAGTACTGAAGAGACAATCTGGTTTCCTGGGTTGTTTACCATTCTGAAGTAAAAATACACGCCATAGTCGTCGACTCGGAGGTCCAATGGCCGACCTATTAGTCCTGAATTCACGGCGTACTGTTCATGAGTGAGTCGCTTCAGTTTGGAACCAAGCGCTGCATGTGTGACGCGTTGACAATCTTGCTCAGATGATCTCTTGGGTCCTGCACAACTGGTTCCGAAAGGAGCACACATGGTCGTACCGGCTCTGCCAACGCCCTCAGGAATGATAGGCGAAGGTATTTGAGCCACCTTGTCACCGCCTTTTACCCAGGATGCAGCTATGTAAACCTATCAGTTCAGCTGCGGATATTGATTCCTGTAATGGTACTTACGGGGAATCTCGTCGCAGGTGTATTGTCGATTAGATCGCTGAGTATTCGGGTCGTTGGGTGTCATCCGGATAGCTTGAAACTCGTAATTCGTTCGAGAATCTAATGTTTCGAGTCCGTAATGGAAATACTATTAAAGCTCCAAGGTCCAGGCAGCACTACAGACTGACCAGCCTCTGTGCAAGGTCTGCGAGTACCTCTTCATGCATTATTGTCTGGACATACTCGATTCCTTCTGTGTTGTCGATTCCTGTAATTGCCCCCAATGCCAGGATGAGTTGGATGCGCGGCTGCCTGCGCATCGTATGTGGATACGTCACGAGGACCTCTTGTGGGCCAGTTTGATATCGCGGCGTCAGACATCCATGAGCGGGCGTTCAAGCAGATGGATGAAGATAGGCGCAGTTTTATTCGAGAATGATGGGATACGATGGTGGCAAGACTTCCAGATTTAGATAACCATTGCCAATACGACGCTAGAATGGATTTCCATTGATCCAATTTCAGTGTTAGACGAATTACGCTTGTATACTGCAAACAAATAGGAGCAAATAAAGGACAAGACAAGGAAGGGACGTCATTGTTGTTTTGCGCACCGCTGTGATGCGGGCGAAGACATCTTTAGCATTTCAGAATGTGATACTCTAGTAGCTTATAAGTACGCAACCCTACAAGTCTGAGTTATTTTTAGGCCTAATCTTTCCGAGGCTCGATACATCTTGCTACGATCAATCCTTATTGAAGGTTCCAACGCATTACAGCTGTCTGACCGCTTGCTGCAGTTAACAATAAGTCTAGAGCGCCACTAACATCTACCCAGATGCTGTAATCTCAGCAGAATGTAAGATTAGTCGAAGGATGCTTAGTGTTGGAAGTACCTGATAGGAAGGAGCAGCCTGTACATGAGTACTGGCCGTGCTGATCTCCACAAAAATGTACCCATCTAGGAGCGCTAGTACTTTAGCCAGCCTGGTCGTGACCCTAGTGAGGCTTAATTACTACAGCATCTGCTCCACTACCACATTACCCTACATTGGTGACTGCTTGCTACTACACGTACGATCGCCAAGACCGGACCCCTATTCTTTGACATTCTAGTCAGGCCACTATGGCTACGTTTAACGAGACCGCCTTTTCCCGCTTGCGATGGGCTATATTTGAAGACCCATCTACCATCCTTGTTGCGGACGACGCCTCAAGTCTAGCGCCGGGGCTCACACCGTTCACCCGTCGCCTCTACTAGTGAGCGATGTCGTCAAACAATTGCACGAGTACTTCCAACAGCAGAAAGCCAAGATTCCGGAGGCTCTCAAACCAATCCATAATGTGCAGCAAGGTTTGGAAGTCGATACGCCCATCCCACAAGGCGCACGGGTGTTCTTTGAAGGCTTCGAATCTACTAAAGTCACGGGTGACGGGACGGTCGACATTGCCATATGGCTGCAGGACCAGGATGAGTTTAGTGTCGAGCAGTTCTGGCAGAATCGCTACCAAGACTGCTTGTCGTGAAGGCTGCGGCAGTGTCCGATGTGCACTGCTTAGACGGCCCCAATTGTGGACAAGTGTTGCTAAGGTGTCTACAAACGAACTATTTAGGTCGGACAAAGTTCTTCAAACTGTCTTGCGCTGGTTTATTTGTAATGCTATAGTCCCTAAGTACTCAGTTTAACCACCTCGTAGTACATTGCACAGACGAAGAAACAAGTGTATCCTTCACGTGGTCGATAACTATAGAATTGACTAACACTGTGAACTGAATCGGTCGACACTATTCTTGAGCTCGCGGTAAGGATTCAGGGACAGCGCACATCCCGGGCGAGATTCGATGGCAGTACAATCTAGGGAACGGCGAGCAATATGAGGAGCAGACACTGATTCGGGTGAGCATGTGCGCGATGGAGGGTAGGAGGAAAAAGCGACAGAGAGCCTTTGATAATGGTGACAGTTGTGGCATCCTAAGAGAGATTGGAATCGGCGCGGATGGACGAACATGATTCAGCTTCAAGCAGTCGGGCTTCTTGTGTAGTTACCGAGGGCAGAGGAACCATTGCAGCATGTTCAGCAGGCTCCATGTCGGAACAGCTGACGATGGAATCTTGGAAAGTGTCATCAGAAAGAAAGACACCATGCAACAAACCGACGTTCCAATTTCTAGCCGAGGCATCAACCTCATGCGCAGGTACGGATATAGGGTTCATCAGCTGCATCCTCACACCCAAACAAGAGTTGAAACTTAGCGCGAGCTTTGATGTAGAGAGTTCCCCGTCATCCAGTCGTTTCTCCTTCTTGGAGATACTACCTCTAAATCACTTCGTCACCCGCGTATTCCAGAAGTCTTTGTCCTCGTGGCTGTCCTGACGTTTGCGCAATATCAGCACCGACAACATACATAGGACATTCGCCCGAACAACCTCAAGTCACTTTCTGGGACTGTGCTAGCGCTTCTACGCGATGTCCGCATGCTGATGTTCTCTACCATCTGTGAGTCCATCCTGCGTGCTACAAACGCGCCGAAACCTCTCATCGTATCTTCAGAATGCCGCTTAGGGGATATAGGTGTGGTGCTATTTTCCAAAATTCGACCTAGTTTGCTACGAGGGCGGCTAAACCAAATCAGATACTGTGGCCGATATAGGTGTGGGACATCCGAGCCGCCAGTTGCAGATTCTCGCTTCCAGCGGAGGGAATAACTCCTAATTGTCGCCGACCCTCTCGCTACCAAAATGTTGGCGATCGAACATGATGAGGCGGATATGCACTACGCAGCTGGTGACTGTCTACTGTCTTGGGCTGCTGGTACTGAGGGTCCGTTGTCGACAAGTCACTTCCAACTCCAGCCACTCAACCCGCACAGACGATGCCATATCCCCGCCGAAGTCATAGTTGCTGGTGCACTTTGTATATATTAACGGTGTCTCCGTGATGACCCTTGAAAGACTAATCACTCATAACTCGCCCACGACCAATGATACCGTAATGTCTTTACTGATGAAGAGATCAAGACACCAAGGCGACGTTGGTATGGTCTAGGAAGCCTCGTCGTAATCAGCACGACTACAGACCTATCGTTGTTCGCTTGTGCGAGAAGGACACGCTATTGGAGTGGAAGGTCTTAGCGACCGCCCACTGGCCGACAGATGGTCGGATTGTTAGCAGATTCACCAATACCGAGATCATCGTTAGAGCATCTGCCCTGCGCATGTCATGTTGTCGCAATATGTCCGACAAACCTGCGTCGCTGCAAGCTGCACGCACCAACAGCCATCTTAGGCCGCAGCACAGAGCCCAAGTTCGGTACCAGATTCAACGTATCAAACAAGGGACCACCAAACCAGATTACGATTGGGGGTCATTATCCATTCTTTTATCTCATCTCCAACATGCTATCCAGTTCCACCAATAAAGCAACAACCAAAGAGAACTCCTGAACGCTCAAACATTTATCCTCATATAATACCGTCCCAGTTATTCCGTAGTTAGGTGCCGTCGGTTCGGGGTGGGGTTCGTAACGGTCATGGGACGAAGGAGGTGTGAATGCGACATCGTATCAAGCACTATTCACTGTTAAGTTCAGTTACTACGTATGCCCGCCAGGACGCTGGCGCAAGAAAAAGATTTAGGGATGGAGTTGAGAGCGAGATGGGAGTTGTAAGGCCTTGACTGTACGGCGAAAGCAAGCGAGCGAAGAGTGTCTATCGAAGAGGAACAGAAGTAACGATAATTGTGTTATTGGCTGCGTGATGCCAATTAGCACTCGTCCATGCTGATCTTACTCGTAGACACCTTCGTCGCTTTCGCTCTCATGTACAATCATTTGGCTCGATGTAAGCGAAAGGGGCGAAGGCAGGGGATGACTTACTACAAACTCAACGTCAAATCACCTCGAATACTCGCTTTAAGTTCAATTTCAATTTCCAAATTCGCCTCCAGCGTCAACTTCAATCCGTCCTGGTCCTTGAGTTCGCTGCCCTTTTGTTGTGGCTCCATTCGGTACGGCTGGTCGGGATCGGTACCGCGCATTGGAATTTCGCCTCGCATCGCTCGCGCATATGTGACGGGTCCGTCCATAGATGTGCTGTCCGGGCCGATACGCTCGAACATTCCCATCTTTTGAAGATCGCCGTTTGCATCGGCTTCTTCGAGGGCTTCGAGAGAGGTTGTGTGCATGTATTTTCCGTTCTTCTTATCTTCTTCGATGCGGTTGCGGCGGGCGCGGCGCGATGATGAGCGCGACCGTGCGGATTGCAGGCCGGCCTCGCGTTTGTCTTTCTTCGCTTTGTTTACAGCCTTCTCCTGCTGCATCGTCGACCGCTCGTGCGGTCGGTTCTCGTAGTCGGAGTCCTTGTCTGCCATGTCGTCGGGTATCCTAGCTATCATGCAAGGCCTCGAGTTGTTGTATGAGGCGGATTGGGATAAAGGATGTTTAGATGATGGAGGGGAGAAATTGGGCTGCTGGAGGTGTACGAAGCAACAGCGAGCAAGATGTGAAGTCAAGCCAAGGTCAAGCAAGAAGCGGAGGTACTACGCCCACGCACGCCACGACTAGCAGCTGCAGACTCCACTCCGAAAACAAGATTACTCGCAACGGCCTGGTTCCTCTGTAGCTTCAAAAGCAAGGACACGGTCAGCCGCCATTGCAAGCTCGTACCCCTGTTCATCCACCCGTCTCACCGTTTCAGGATTGCTGGCCACTGACGTCAGACCCACATCGAGCGAGGGATGTCCATATCGGGTTGACAGCCGCTGTATGACGTATGCGAGAAATATGATTAAGTGCTGGCGCTGCAAGTCGACCGACATTTGAACATAAGCTGACGACGCGCGAGCATGGCTAAGCGTGGCCAGTTTCCTGGCCGCAGGAATGACTAGCCTGTCCGGTGATCGCTTATCGCGGGGCGCCATCATCCGCTGATCTAGCTGGTAACTGTAGCCGTGCAATTCGACCAGCTGTCTCATGAAATCTATCGAGCATAGCAATTGATTTTCCTTCCCCGCATAACTTGGAGTTGGCATTACAATCGCTCCCGGTCATTTGTTATTATCACGGAACACAGTGACAGTACGTCCAAACTCGTAGTCGACGAAAGTCATGCAAAGAGTCAGACATTGGGGTGAGCGTAATGAGCATCGCCTGAGGCTTCAACGATCAAAATGAAGGCATCAAATTCAGTACTGTGTGATGGTGCGGGTCATTTGTTGTACTGTATACACTACAATACATGTCGTAACACTACATGCAAAACTCCAAATCAAACGCCGGCGGTGATATCCCATTATAATAATCGATGCGTTTCGTGCATTCGTCCTCGTGCAACATCTAATTCCTGCTCAAAGTTAGTACCGCGATTCGTTCATGTAAGATCAAAAGGAACAACTTACAGCAATCCGAGAGTAAGGTCACCGTGGATCTTGGCCTTCAACTGAATCTCAATGTCGAGGTTGAGCTCCAGTCGCAGTCTCAGCTGCTCACCTCCGTCCTTTCCGCCCTCGTCTTCACCACCGCCGCCACCAGTGAGACCGCCGAGGGCCTTGCCAGCGGTGTCTCCGACCTGGTTGACAGCGTTACCAGCAGTGTTTTGGACCATCTCGCCGGCTCCACCGATCGCGTCGCCTCCAGGGACGTTCTCGGTGATGTCGTCTAGCGGGCCTCCGCCCTTGCCACCCTTCTTTTGGCGCTGGCGGTTACGACGGCCTCCGGATTGGGAGACATCGGATCGCGCGTCAGACTCAGCTTCGGAATCTCCGCCTCGTCGGCCGCGGCCACGCGACTGGCGGCGTCTCGATTGCGACTTGCTCTTTTGTTGTTGGGGTTCCGCGTCGGATTCGTTGTCAGCGTCGCCGCCGTTGGTTTGCTTCTTGGATTCTGCGTCCTCTTGCTCAGCTTTCCCTTCGCCATCGCTTTCGGGGGCAGGAGTGGCGTCAGGAGTGGGCTGCTGTTGAGGCTTCTTTCCGCCCAGCTTCTTCGGCGTCTTCCTTTCGGTTTTCTTACTCGATGATTCCGCGCTGCCCTTTGCGCCTACAGAGGCGTTGGCATCTGCGTTTCCCTCTCCGGAGACAGATTGCTTGCTCTCCTCGACTGTGTCCGCCATTGTGCTTGCTGTATGGTTCTTTGGGTGGGAGGGAAGGTAAGTTAGATTGCTGATGTGAGTGTGTGCAGAATTGTATGTGCCTCGGAATTTGTTAGAAATTCAAGGCCACGGCGCAATTCGTTAATAAGAGAAAAGCGGCTTGAGAACAGGAACCGGTTTGGAGCTCCCAGGTACTTGCTACCCCTGCTGCACTCGAGCCACCCGTCATGCAGTCTGACGCACCATGTGGTACCCACATCTACCCCACCATAAGCGTCCCAAAACTTGACCCCATCCCTGCGTACTGCCAACCGGATTATGTTAGACCTGGAATCGTGTTTGCGCCAGTCTGGCTGTTGCGCCCAGCCGGATGCGTTCCAAGCTCTTTCGCGTTTGCCTGGATTGCTCGTCATTAGCGCGCAACCCAAGGCCAGTACCGATGGACTGAGCAACGCGTCAGCTGAATGCGCTTGACATCAACGCTTTGGGACGTAGCTCGGAAGCTGGAGCTTGCAAGAACCGAGGCGCCCTCTCGGTGGGCCTGGCGGAACGTTTACCCATAGGGTGCGGGTGTAGTCGCAGGTGGGTTAGTACTGGCGTGAGACTTGCAATCGGTCGTTGTAGCGCGCAGGTAAATCTAAGGTAGTGCAGCTTCGAGAGCACCCCATGATAGCTTCAATATCACGAGCGTTGTACTAACGATCGTTGGGAAGACGCAATCGCGGGGCGCGCCAGTTCTTCCCCGATGGCCGGGCCGAAAAGGGCCGATCTCGCGGTTATCGTGACGATGGCATTTGCATGTACAACACAGCCGAGCGAAGAGAGAATTGAGCATCAAGTACTCTTGACCTGACTATCAAAATCGACAGCATGGCGGCCCCAGAAACTGCAGATACAGCTGCGAAGCAGCGAATCATCAAGCACATGAATGCAGACCACCACGACTCCGTACGCGCCACCCAGACCTAGGTAACACTGATGTCAAGCTCGAGTTCCAATCCTGATATTGACCGCAGATACGCCGATACATCGAGGCGTATGCTTCCAAGTCCATGTTCCAGGGTCGCTCGGCGGAGATGGTCGATATCGATCTGAACCAGATGGTCTTCAGTTGCTGTGGCCAACAAGCCGTCATCGCCTTTGATCCACCCATGAAGGCCATGCGTGAGGCTCGCGAGCGACTTGTACAGTTGGATAAGGATGCTCTTCAGATCCTGGGCCAGAGCGACATTCCCATCACGAAGTTTGTTCCTGCGTACACGAATCCAGCCCACCTGTGGAATTTCACGCAGTGCGTGCTAGCCATGCTCTTGCTACCGCGGCAGGCAAACTGGCAGCCCGGTTCATTTCTCTATGACAATGCGTTGTATTCCGTACCAGGCTTTGCGAGCTTTGTTGCTCGGGTCGGCTGGATCGTCTTCGCGTGTATGCTCCCAATTCATACTGTCGAAGCCATTATCATGGCGAGGAAGCTCGCAAAGCACGGATGCACGTTTATGGATGCGGTGTGGTGGAAGTGGGTGGGTACATGTTTCATTGAAGGGTTCACGTCGTTCTTCAGGCTCAATGCGCTGATTGAAGGGAAAAAGAGGGAGAAGGAGGCAAAGAAGCACTGATAGTGTTACACGACAACATGGTATCTTCTCTCGTTGGCTATATCTTATGGTATTATCTTCAACTTTATACCCTAATTCACCATGGGTTCTCACCATTGTACGCCAAGAATATACATGCCGCAGCGTCTCGTTCCCCGCTCAGCATCCTCACTATAGGCCCTGCACCTTCGCTAGTTGGCTTTGCTCCGTTAGCGGTCTTATTACGAGGGGTGAAGTTGCTCTCCGTCCATCCTGGGCAGTACGCAAACACCTTCCACCCCCCGGGATGATACTCCGTGATTTGATAAGCTGTTACCATGTCCAGGGCAGCTTTGCCGATGCAGTACTGATCCTGCTTCATCTTGTAGAACCCATCCTTTGGATCCAGGCGAAGACTAATAGAACCGGCTCCGGAACTGATGTTCACAATGCGCGGCGTTGATATAGACTTCAATAGCAGTGGTGTGAAAGTCTCCACGATAGCGTACGGTCCAGCGGCGATTGTGCGAAACGTCGTATTGAGTTTCTAGAAAATCGATTTGTCGCCGCTATCGGCAATACCAGCATTATTGACCAGGGCATCAAGCCTAGGAGATCAGTTCTTCAACAAGCAGGGCAATTCAACCAGCTCTCACCTTCCATGTGTTTCTTCAACTTGTTTGACTGCCGCAGTGGTCGAGACCTCGTTCGAGACGTCAATCTGGAGCATCTCCACGGTGTCGGGGAGACTACGGGATTGGAGATCGTTCACGGCGGTCGTGCCCTTTTCGATTAAGCGGCTACCTGGAAGAACATGTTTCGTTGCATCACTGAGCAGCTGAGTCGCCAGCTCCAACCCGATGCCACTGTTCGCTGTGTATGAACTCCGTCAGTATCGTCTTGCTGATTCAAATACTTCTATCAAACGTACCACCAGTTATCAAGATGATGGTTTTGATTAGAGAAGCCATGAGTTATGTTATTAGTCGAGTTAAACCATTAGACTCCGCAACAAGCAATCCAATCAATCTCAGAGTCGTCGATTGACTTGATTGTCAGCAGCCTAGCTGCTGATTGATTGTGGATTGATTGAAGCTATTTTGAAGTAGCTCAGATTGACTTGATTGACTTGATTGGTTAATTTATACATAGGAGTTATCGAATCTCCGAGGCAGATGCCGAATTCGTGATAAGCTGTTTCATCGGCTTATATGCACGTGACTTTCTTCTCATCACGTGATGTCACAGACAATGCAGGCGGACTACTCGATCTTAATCTACATTCCTGGAATAACGATCTGACCAATCTAACCAATCTAATCAATCAATCTGAAGGTCTAAGATTGATTTGCTTGCAGATTGGCGCAAATTCAAGAAGCGACGGATTGGATTGATTAGATTGGTTAAACCAATCAAGTCAATCAATCCGTTCAATCCAGATTGCTTGTTGCGGACTGTGTAAACCATGATATGCCACTGTACCATTTGAGTATATGTCCATTTACATAGCTTAATGCACTACGGAACATGTTTAATTAGCATTATTAAGGTCAGTGTATTCTCCGAACGATGGTAGCATTGACGGAGATAACTGCCTATATCCGCGCGAGCAAGTTATCGTTCGTATCTCCAAGCACATCTACAACACTTAGCAAACAAAGCACATGGTAGAGGTTTTTCGTCTCCTACCGATATATACCTCGATTTCAGATCTGAACTGCGGGGTTCAAGTGGCTGTCCGGCGGAGACATCGGGTGTAGTACTGTCATTAACCCCATGAAGCTTCGTGGTGTAGCTTCTTCAGCAAGATTGAGGGAGTCTGCAAGGTACATCCGAAAAGTTGTGCGACAAAGGGATTTCCTCGGTACTAATTAAGACTCCTCTGGGCAGCATCAGGAACGTGGCTTTTGTAGGGTCTAGGTGAGTGTATGTCATCTTAAATTGAATTACTCGCAACATTCCCCTCAAGAACACATAATCGATGCTAGACACATGAAGTTATTTTTTGAATTCGCTGGACTCCGCGCCGTATGTACGTGGGGCAAGGACATAGAGTACTTCCTACGATACGAGGCGACTCGTACGACGTTGCTGGAGCTATTATCAATCTGTATAGAGGTTACGACTGCAGCTTGAGAATTCTGAGCTTTAGAAGGAGCTAACAAAGTCTCAGCCTAGCATCAGGGTTCTTCGCAGGACTAGATGGTGATGTATCCGCAGTTTCCGGATACCCAGGTAATAGATATAACCGCATGCCTTGCTCTAATGTTTATGCACTATTCGGGCACAACCTATCTTCTATCCTTATCAATACTTCTAGTCATTCTTGAAAATCAATGGGCCCAACAAAACTCACGTCGTTCTCGCTTGACCAGCAGCCGCCCGTGCCTATCGATTGGGAAGACCTCAAAGCGCTAAAACTGTCTAATACAGAGAGCCATAACCGGAGTAGCGTCTACAACTACCCTAGTAACAAATCTATGCATCAAGAGCTGTACCAATCAGAAGTTAAAACCAGTGGTACTCTGCCTATTGATCTCGAAGGTATCTATCTTCGCGATAGCATCAATATTCAATTCTAAACTAGAAACGTTCAACTCTATGCCTTCTCTAGCGTTAGCATAGTTGATTAGGTCTAGATTTAAAAGGGCAAGGCAACCTATTGCAACAACCACATTAGCACACCTCGTTTTCACATCGAACAGAAGATTAACTAAGAAGTAAATATTTTAACCTTTCTACTTATGCGCGCTAAAGCGATGTCTTTGATTGGTGGATATTGTTAAACGCCACCCGCTGTGAGGAGTAGTTGGGCAGGCACTGAGATATCGGTATAGGCTTGTATTGAGACGAATCCTTGAGGGGCTATCAAGCCTCTCAGAGGGATGATATATACCTACGTCACGTGATTGTGGCTGGTGTGATCCGACGGTGCCCCGAAGGGTTCCCGGTGGCTCACCAGTCTGTGGCTGGAATCCTGTGGTGATGGAACATCGTGACACCCGCTGACCTACTAGCGCTCAATAGAACTATTAGGCTTTGTTAGCTGTGCTCACACGTGATGCTAAGTCTCGCTAAGCTACGAGGTACTTTTCAACGATCATCCCCTCCATCACTAGCGGTGAGGAAAGCATGTCCTAGATGAGCATCAGAATGGCAGCACCGAAGTCCCTTAATCTAGTAGGCTCAACTGGACGTTATTATTTCTTCAAGAAGTTGATTCAGGAAAGACCGCACCTTGATCGCGTTTGGTTAGCATCGTTCGGCCAACCTCCTATACCGCATGCCTTTGGACACAACTGATAATCCTACAGATCTGCAAGTGATGATTTTATGTTGAAAGACATACCTCAGAACATATTCTCAGCTTTCAATGAGGATATTCGACCGAGACTTCCTCAAACTCCCCGCATACGACTACCAGTGGACACCATCCCAGATCAGCGCATATTTGTGTATAGATACCTAGATGATGATTTTTTAAGCCTAGTTCGGAATCAGATCCCAGTGCGAGCTCGAAAGGAAATTCTAAAAGCTACTTTGCAGGGAATTGCAGATATGCATGACCGCGACATTGTCCATTTAGGTGAGCCCAATAATTCGGCTCTTCATGCGGTCAACATAAAAGACTAAGCTTCTCTAGATGTCAAACCTGACAACATTCTGATTAATTACCGTCATGTTGACCAAGACGTCGTGGTCGAACAAGTACAAATCTCTGATCTTGAGAATGCAGCCTATCTCCCGAAGCCTAGGTGCATCAAAGGAATGCTAGCTGGAAATGATAACTGGCGCAGTCCTGAAGGCCACTTCAAGGGAGCACTTAACAAACCATCTGATGTATTTTCATTCGGGCTCGTCGTAAGTGCTTAATCTGAGCGAAGTTTTTTCATTACTAACATACTAAGTGCATCTACGCTGTTCTCGGGCGCGTTATACTAGGGCCTGATGATGACTTCGCACTACACAAATCGAAAGGCGCACTACCTGCATTCATCCGCCTGCAGCGCCAGATATCATATTTTGGAGATAAAGAAGGATTGAATGGGCTCATGAAGCATGTTGGTGATGAGGAAGCGAACTGCGAGGTTCTTGGAATGCTTTGGGAGGAGCGAGCAGCAGATTATATCCCATATGTGCCATTCTCAGAGTGGAAAGATGTTGACTCAACGTTCAAGGACTTGATCCGAGGATTGAATAATCTGGACCCCTTACGGCGCCTTACAGCTCGCCAGGCATCAAACCATCCTTGGTTTAAAAGCATCGAAACTGCTTACTAGTAGTGCAACAATATGGATGGGGATGATGGCGCACAATAACTTGCTTGTAGTAGATGCGCTGAGCTCTTCAGTGCATACATTAGAAAAGGCGTCAAAAGGCGTCAAAAGGCGTGTCAGAGATACTCTGCGCTACTTGTGTATTCATCGGCACCAATCCGTGGATATCCATCAGCTCATCTTTTCTCTTCCCTTCGCCCTCTCGTTGCCTCCTCCCGGCCCTCTATTTGGCGTATACTTAGGATAATTTCCTCTACACGCTTATTGCAATTAGTCAACTAAGATGGGTTCGTCTCTTAGCTAGATTGATACTCAGTCATTCTATAGTTTACAGAATTGGATTGTTTCCTATGAACACCACTGTCCCTTCTTAGCGCTAGATAACTCATGCGAGGGTACCTAACGTTAGTGTTACCTGCCTTAATATAAATCAGAACAGAGCAGGATGACCGATTGTAAAACTTCTATCACCTATAAATTCGAGGGAGCTGTTCACCGAACAGGTCGAACGGGAAGATCACGAGCATCTTTACATCAACTGGAAAACAGGCTATCACAAACGAAGAATCTCTATCAAACACCGAACTCCCCCTCCCACGGGACGATCAATATACTGTGCCGGGCCAAGTCCGAGAAATCTGATAGGCTGGATTACCCAGACACGCTCCCTAACTTTAGCCAGCCTAGGCTAGTGCTGGAGAGGCAGAGGCGATGCATCGTCAGGCGCTTAGGCAAGAGTTTCCCAGACAAGCTCACTAGTTTTTACCATCTAGCCTTTCTTTTCCATTTACAGCAGCACCACTTCAATACCGCTCGAATATACTAGCGAGTATACGAAGGGTACGTATGTACCAAATGAGATATCCGCGCTCGTCCAGGTCCGTCGTGCACAATTCTCGCCGTGCTTTGTGGATAGTTGCAACCATATTCTCTATGAGCTGAGAAGAATACTATGAACAACGTGGATACAGTCGTATGCTATCTTCCAAGAGTGGTTCTCGCCTAGGATATTGGACTGTAAGCGTCCCAACTTCAACGCGTGATAACTCTACCACTATGGACCCTATTCAGGAAGCGATTGAAGCAACCGAATCGCGCGAAGCTGGCGAATGTTTCCCGTATCGCAAAGTCGCAAAAAAAAAATCGGAAATGATCGGCTAACGCTGTTGGGGAGGCACCAGCACAATCGAGGCTCGAAGGTCGATGATCTCACTATCAACCATACTCTAGGTCACTAACTCCATTTCGTACGACTAATATGCCACGCGTACGCGTGATTTTGCCAGCAGTTCGTTGGCAAAGACGTAACCAGATTTCCGTCGCCTATTTAGGCAAAGGATGACACGAAGCTCAGACTTAATTAGGTTAAAGAAGCTTTGAAGGTAAGGGTTCGCAGGACTATGCTTACGCTTGATGTGCCATTTTCAAGCAGTGCTCACGCCAACTAGTATGCCAGTTAGGTCCAGGAAAGCAGCCGAGTCCCCTTGTGGCTGAAGCGCACACAATATGCTGAGATTCTGGATAAAGAGCGGAGACTTTGGCCAATGTCTTAACCATCTATCGATTGAGCGGAGGCGAAGGGTACCCTAGCTGGTCTCCGTGAGCTTCACTCGCCTAGCTGATGATGAATAGATTGCGAAGGAATGGATAGCTCAAAGGATAGGCACATTTCCAAATTCTCTAGAAAGGGTTAGTCCGGAAAGTAGCAAATAAACGATGAGGTAACTTAAGCATGGAGTATTTCTAAAGGGTTATTCACATTACTGAACTTCTGCTTGCGCTGTGATTTATCTCGTATGCGCTGCCAGGAACGGCACTAATACAGTCGAAAGGGTCGAGCCCATAATGTGGACCAGCGAATACTGCATCAGCAAGCAAGTATCTCTGCGCATATAACTAACATAGACATCCGCTAGTAACGGATACGTTATAATCGAGAGATAGTCTATAAGGGCTTACTATATTATGAGTTTCTGCGAGGTAGAGACACCTAAGCCATGTGGAGAAGAGACGTAGTGGCGTTGCCGGCCCCTGGCTACAGCGCCTCTATACTCTATTCTAAGAATCCCCCCTACATTATAGAATTAATACATGGCTTAGGACGCATCCCTAGTATGTGGTAAAGTTAATATTATCATGGCGTGCAATATGTGTAGGAGATAGGAGATGCTATAGAGCCTGAACTTCGCTTCTCCCAAGATATAATCAGGATTTCCAACTTACTCAATGGAGTATCGAGACACAGAGATGTTATTCCTTTCTGGTACATCTTTTACATCTTTTACCAGCTAGGCAACGAGCTAGAATGCCACGACCCTCGAGACCGGATCTACAGCCTCCTATCGATCACATGACATGAGTCTTTGGAAGTAAATTACAGTGAAAGTATTGTCGGCATATTCTGGAGGTTGGCAGAGCATTTCTCAGCCCGGCGCTGTCCTCGTCTTGTCGCATTGTTCTGGCAAGGTCTGATAAACGAGGCTGTCATGGAGGGCAACCAACGTCTATGGATTGATATCTCCGTACGGCCTGTAAGACTCAACTCAGCTCTGCAATGTGGGCAATGTCGTCTCGTTGTCGCTCATGCACAGATGAATGGTTCTACTGAAAACGAGGTAACTGGAAACGTGGTAGTGTTGTGCCCAAGCACGAATTTGACGCGAGAACGAAGCCAGAAGGTACAACGAGTGGTTGGAATTTAATGAGCGGCGTGAGAGTAGGCGTAGAAGTGCATGATCGTTATGATGACTTTCATAGTGATACTGGAGAGTGAACTCGAGTTTTTCCTGTTGTTGGGAGTTTGATGATGGCGGTTTTTACGCAGATTGCTAGGCTGAATAATATGCATCGTTTCGCTTACGGATTGCTGGGGCTGACAAGGCTCCGCTCACTGGTCACCATGCATGTGCCCGGGGATCTGTCGCGATGCAAGGACAAGGTGTACGACCGGAAAAAGAGGCAATATGGGATTGTAGTAGTAGGCCCTAGTACACGCTTCTGCTGTGTCTCATATGACACTAAGGACTAGGCTTGCGGGCTCGACTAAGTCTTCAATAATACCGATAGTACCTTTGAGTCCCGTCAATCAGATCCACGGCATTCTGTTGGCCTTGCAACTCTATGTTGATTCGTGCCTGGTTCGCCCTGAGCTTCTCCTGCGCGTTTGCAGCACAACGCCGGGTTGCTTGATCGATGCGCTGCTGTATTTCGATTGGCCGTCTAGAGGGAAATATGTAACGCGGCAAGGGCCCACGCTCCGGCCAGATGTTGTAAACGCGCAAGGCATTGTTAAGTCCAGGTACTACGAATATGTCGTCTGGATCCGCCGCGTACTCGACTGACATGAAGTCGATAAAACCGGCCAAGCTGAGCAGGGGCATGCCACCGTATGGCAGCTGCTTCGCGGACGGGTTGCGCACCACGACTTTGTGATCGAAGAAGAAGCCCTCGATTGCAGCCTTGAGTTCAAAGTCGGCCATGTCTTCTTTCGGGTATATGCCATCATCCTTGAGACTTCTCTTCCCTGTAGGTCAGAACGCGGTACCGTCCGTCAGCAATCTCTTATGTAAGGTATGCCTGGGCTCCCATGCTTCGCTATGAAAGAAGAGTTGACGTACAAACGTTGTCCGAATCCTTAACACGCGAGGCCTCCAAAAAGCTTGAAAAAGCCTCTGGGGTTATATACCCGGTTCCCCTGGGATCAAGCTTGACAAAGAACTCCTTCATCAGTGCTTCAAAGGCCGGCGTGCCCTTCCCATTTGTGTAGAACAGATGCTCAGTCCAGCCTGATGGTGGCGGTGCCGGTTGCTGCGGCGGTGGTGGAAACCCAGGTGGAGCACCGTACATAGCGAGCCGGTGATGATAGCTTGCGAAGTAAGGCTGGTTCTGTGTATATCGCGCGACAGTGACGTGCCTGTGGTGTGATTATTGGTGCTGTTGCTATGAATTGACACCGATCTCGTAGTTCGGCGAGGAAGAGGGGGCAGGCGGGGCAGCGCGACTACCAGTATAGCTAACACACAATGTTTTCAAGAAGCCTTACTAGTAAAGTGCCTGGCAAGCGAGTGGCGCATCTCACCACTATCTGCGCCGCAGTATTTTCTACCTATCATGGTTTATAAGAAGTACTGCGCAGACATCTGAAGTCTCCCGAACAACACACCGACGCCGACTCGGCGCAAAGCCTGCTCAACCCGATCTCAAGACTAATTCAATAGGAGTTATGTTTTCAGAAGAGGAGGGACAGTCACCTTGAGTGAGCGTCATGCGATGTTTCGCTTACGGACAGTCAAGCCTAAGCGAAGCTCCCGATACTGGGTGCCTACCGCCCACGTGCACCGCGATTCCTTGGAAGCAGAAGAAAACACTGAAACTTGACTCCCAGTATCGTGTCAAGGTCTTTTATTCGGATTGTCTCTGTTCCCCTCTCCCTGCAGGGCGCTATACAAGATATACGCGCTCAGATTTCGAAAATGTGCTCAAATCCACGCAGGCGAGGCAATGCTCATGCTCAAAGCCAGCCTTCTTTACATGCACTTTCTTCCGCCTGGTGAGCAAGTTCCTGCAGGCTCATCCTCATTGGCATCGTTTGTGCAAGGCCGCCACCTCGAAATGTCTCTTCGTTCCTTCGTTTCCTCCTCTCCAAGCGCCTTGGTGCAAAGAATGGATACAGCTAGAGCGAAGCCGGAACTGGCGCTCCCACACGCGTACCACAGGGTGTGATAGCTAGCCTATGCACGTTGGATGCAATCATATAAGAAGTCGTTTGTGGTACTACATACTTCACACGTTGAGGAAGCGGAACAACAACCGGCGTATCAGCTGTTCGACATTGCTTGCACGAAAATCGCCATCATGCAGTTCAAGGGCTTGAGACAGGGCATGCCGATTGCCTTCTGTCTGCTGTCCTTGGCGCTCTGTCAAGGAGGAAACAGCTCCATGCCCGTCTTCACACCGGAGCTCAACTCCATGCGCACACTCTCAGTGGGATTCGTAAGCCTGTCTTAGCAGATTATGTACGCTACTTACTTATTTTATAAAGGTTATCTTTCCTGGGTTTGAGCTCCTTGACGTTTTCGGCCCTATGGAAATTCTCACCGTAGTATGAAGCCTACAGTATTCCGAGTCCTTGGAACCGAGCGCTGACAAAGTCTGTATAGCTCTCCGCCTTCAACAAGATGACCCTCTCCGTGATCGCTGAAGAAATCAGCCTGGTTCCTGCTGGTATGCAGCCATACGGCCCTGATGACTTCAGCGCGCCACCGACCGACTTTGGACATGTCATCGCGCCCCGCGTCGAAGCGACCCACAACTTCAAGAACGCGCCGGCACTCGATATTCTCTTCGTACCCGGTGGCCTCGGCGTGGTGACACTGGAGCAGACGAACAACACCAGTGTGGAAGACTTCGTCAAGCTGCGACTTGCGTCGCTCGAGTATCTGGTCGGCGTGAGCTTTGGCGGCGCGACCCTTGCACGTGCGGGTGTGCTAAATGGCAAGCGGGCGACGACCAACAAGTCTGGATGGACATGGATTACGGAGCGCGGACCGAACGTGACGTGGGTGCCACAGGCGCGCTGGGTGGAGGATGGCAATATCTGGACCACATCAGGAACGGCGTCTAGTAAGTTCGGTCATGAGGACTGCATGGCAGCGATGGCGTGATTGCTGACTATGTGTAGGTCTCGATGCTACATACGCTCTATTTAGCAGATTCTACGGCGCGCAGCCGCTGAACTATATGCTGAATGTGATTGAGTATGCGCCGCATCTGGACCCTACGTGGGACCCGTATGCGGCGAACTTCAATGTGAGTACCACGGAGAAGATAAGAGACTGCGCTGACAATAATTCAAGGTGTCCGGATCGGATAATTCGACATGGCAGGGTTGCGTCAGTCCCGTGCCGATGCCTGTGGGATAATCCAGATATCGTGAGTCGGCGTGTAGGGAAGAAGAGCTTGTTGTGATCAGCATTGACCGTGAGTGGGTTGGCAAGCATGGCTCCTGCTGATAATGCCCACGTCGTGATTGCAATAATTCCTTGGACCGCCACGCTCTGGATTTGCGCGACAAGACCATGCGAAGATAGCGAAAGATGCGGTGCGTTCTGTCTACGCAATACCGAGCGGATGCTTGCACTTATGTATTATAAGCAGTTCGTACCTTTTATCAAACACCAAGGGGTTGCACGAGCTCGGCCAGCGTTGCGATGCTCTTGTACGGCTGCTACAATGTCTGTGTTAGTGATGGTGTTGGTCGGTACGCATTTGCGGCGTATACCAGCGCGCGTTTCCGCATTGGATGGCTGCACGCGCATTAGGAATGTCGGAGGTCGCGTGCATTGTGAACTTTAACGCAGAAAGGCGGATGTTGGAGGGCCAAAAGTTTGACTGTGGTGGGCGACATCGGTTGGCGCGCTAGGCCACGGCGACGAGACCCGCGCGGCGGACTTCAGCCTTCTACCAGCAAGACGTTCCACACGACGCCATCTCCCTCACTCACCCACAGTTTTACTTCGCGAAGTACTCGAAGAACATTAAGACCAAAAACCGTACTGCATTGAAACCATTAATCGCTTACTATAGTCACTGCGCTCCCTCGCTAATCCCTTCACTATCCTCTTCTTTGTAACCACAGCCCACATAGTAGTAGGTTATCGACGACTAGAGAGGACCACTACCCCACTCGCTGGAACATCATTCAACTCAATGTATGTGCGCCCCGTGTGGTCTGAATTGACCTGCAATCTGTCATTCACGATATAATTGCCGACAGTGCTTCCAATAACTCGCATCTTAGCTCCGCTTCCCCCGTTGATGGCCTGATCGACAGTCACCAACGCGCTTGATCCCCGCTCACCATGTCCATTAATCACAACAACTGCCTCTTCCTCGTCGAGGATACGGGACCATGCGAAAATGTCACCGCCTTTGGGCCAGGAAAACGTGGACCAGCCAGTCATCTTGATCTCTCGGTGGTATTGGCGGCCAAATCGTAGGACAGGGTTGCTTTGGCGGACTGCAATGAGATGTTTAATCAGAGTGAATGTTTCGAAGTTCGTACGGAAGCAGTGTCGTCCAATAGCACCAAAGGCGGCGAAGCCTGGCGAATCGCCTGTATCCAGCCCACCACTTTCTCTTCCTAATCCCGTCCTGCCGCTTTTCCGGGAGTATGGTGCGCCGAACATAGTCTCACGAAGGTACCGATCCGACCCTCCATAGTCTGGAAGATATTGGCGTTGACTTTTGGGTGGCCCCGCAAATGATTGCTCCGTCCCGTAGTAGATGCACGGTATGCCCAGGCTGAAAAGCTGTATTGCAACCCCACAAACGACCTGTACTCTTGATGACGCTTCTGCAGAGAACCGGATTTTCTGACCAAAAACGTGGTCGTGATCATCGAGTACTACCACGTGGTGTAATCCTGCATCACGGTGTGACCCTAGCTGGTCGTCCCAGGCCGTCACCATGTCGAAGTAGGTAGCGGCAGGTGCAAGACCCTTCGCAACGTTCGTGAGAGCAAGGCGGCTTCCTCCGATATCAAGGGTGGCGTTCATGTTGGACTTCAGGACATTGCGATACTTTTGCGCATTTATGTCCTCCCCACCAACTTCGCCAACGAGAAAGAAGTTTGTTTTGCCTAGATTCGAGGCGAACTCTTTCAGTACCCCGCAGAACAAACGAGCTATTCCTGTATCGACATGCTTCAGGGTGTCAAGCCGGAAACCATCACAGTCTGTAAGTGCAATCCAGTATTTGTAGCAACGAGCTAAATCTGTAAGGGTGGCTCCACGGTCGAAGTTGAAATCTCGCATCTCGCCGTCGAAGTCTGTCCGTCGGAATTCCGCATGAACATCATCAAGCTTTTCTCCGGATAGCTCTCCTTTGCCTGCGCGGGTATAGGCATCGGGGGCTTGCAGTTCCCTAGGCCATACCCCTTGATCTGAATCTGAGGGATTTTGGTAAAGCCTGCTACCATTCTCATCCAACCAGTAGATGTCTGGATAGTACTCTGGCCATGACTTATATCGCGGTCTCGACTTGTCGTCCCCGTGATCTACGTTGTCATAGTTCCAGTTCCAGCCCGAATGGTTGAAGACAACATCAAGAATAACCCTTATGTTGTTTTCGTGCGCCTTTTTTACGAGGTCAATCAGATTCCGTCGTGTACCAAGGTGAGAATCCACTTCGAGAAAGTCCTGGATGCCATATCCGTGGTACGTATTCAGGTGGCCGCGCTGCTTGAAGACAGGTCCAAGCCAGATAGTGGTCACTCCTAGGTCCGAAAGATAATCCAGTTTCAATTCAACCCCTTTGAGCGTGCCCCCTTGCCAGCGTCCGCTACCGGATGCAGCCCAATCGTGCCATGAATTTGGCCATACATATGTGGGTGGGTCGTTTTCATCTCCAAGAGCGGTTCGGTTGTCGCTTTCCACTTTCCCATCATTGAAACGGTCTGGTAGCAAGAAATAGATGACTTCTTGACGCCAGTCCACCGGTGATGGATGGGGGTTTGGGGGTAGTGGAATTGTTAGTTCACTCAGGCTTTTGTACCTTTCGGACATGTTGACCGTTTTGTAGTTTTCTCAAGCTTCTCCATCGGATACAACCGAGTCAGGTTGCAAGCGTTTGAACTCGTTACAAGTGCAGGTGCGTTCGTTCCCGATATATATGCCCAGGCGTCGAAGCAGGCTTTGCGTTTCACCTCGGGTAAACACCAATCGGCTTCCGGCGATTCGCAATGGAACGATGCCAAGTGCCACGATCGTGATGACATGTGAGAGTGGCATGCCAGCTGAACAGTCGAAAGACAAAGGCTTAGCTGTAGCTGAGCTTTGACGGCCAATCGGGTCGCTTGTGTTGGTGACCACCCCTCAACACTTTGCAATCCAGGTGAACAGCTGAAAGATAAAGGCTCAGCTCTAGCTGAGCTGTTTCAGGTTTGCAGATGTGAAATTGTTACCGATATATGCATCCTGACGAAACCCCTCACCAAAGACGGTTCATCAAACGCCACCAACATGTGATTGATGCAAGTATTTGAATGCTCGGGGTCGGCTCAGGCAGATCACAACACCCTCTCATGGTTCTTTTGGAAAGCCATTGGAACCATCTATTTCACCTACTCGCCCGATATCCATTCGTATACACGCTCTAGTAGCACAGTCATCGCCGTAATCTCGTATTTTCGATATCACGGCGGCTGAAAATTCTACGCATTTGCTGCAGATGCGCTTTGGAGTGCGTCCGCGACCCTTTGAAACCTTCTTGGCGACAACCGCTGAACACTCTTCTCAGGAACACGAAAGCCCTTTTCTGGAAGATGTTCCCATCAGCCCCGGAAATGATGGCATTCAAGCCTTAGCAGCATTGGTCAATGCAATGGAAGGACAACCCCAGAACAAAGACAACCCAATAGTATTAGGTGAGGTTTCTTTGCTAGAGCTGATAAATAAGCAAGGTGATTAAATCTTGCTGTAGTATCTGGGTTTAGTGGTTGGGGAAGGCCTCTTTTCGGAACCATCAACTACTGGGGAGGATTTCAGAATCTGCCGGAATTATTAGCTCGAGCTGGGTATAAAATTATAGTCGTCAGAATCGGGCCCGTATCGAGTAATCGGGAGCGCGCGTGCGAAATCTGGACGCAGCTTACAAACATCAACAACGGGACTGACAAGTAAGTCTCTGAGTGTTCAAATTCCCGTATGATATGTGTTAATCCATTTTATAGGGGTTATGGCCTGTCTACTGATATTCCTACACCAATCAGCATCCAGTATGGTAACCGGCATCCCGTTGAGCCTTTTGGATATCTACGAGAGCCGCAGACTTGGCGGCCTGTACTCTTTGGCGATGTCCCAGAGACCTGGGACTGGAGATGGGGCAAAGGGAAGCCAGTCCATTTCATTTGTCATTCACAAGGAGGGAATAGTGTTAGTTATCTTATAGAGATGCTAACATGTACGCATACTGACTTGTTCCCGGGTTCGTATTTTCCAACGTAGAATCATCAAGATTGGATCACATCAGTTGTTACGATCGGTACGCCTCACAAAGGGGCAACTGTGACGGACGTGGTGCAGGTACGTAAAGAACTCACAAGACTATTCTTTCGAATATGACAAGTTGAGAAGATAATTTGCAGGCCCTTTTCCCACCGAATTTCTCGGAACTTCTCACACGATTAGTCTGGCCAACGTCTTTTGATCCTCCCGAGTCAAGGTTTTATGACTTACAGCTCGATCATTGGGGATTTTGCAGGCAACAAAATGAGTCGTTGAACGACATGCACACTCGCCTTGCCCGTATTGTTCCGCTTTGGTGGAACTCTAACGCCCACGGACTTCATGATAATAGCATCCGGGGTGTAGATAGCCCCACAGATCTTGCTCCACACCCTTCACAACAGATCTACTACTTTACGATGTCATTCTGCGCAACGGACCCATTCCCCCGTCGTACACTCTCGCAGCAGGACGTTGATGAATTCCTCGCTCTCTTTCCACTCAATAAGCTCTTCAACCCATTTGGTTTGTGGGGCATAGCCTTGCCACCCATTTTCCAGATTCTCTCACAACTCCCCTTCCTGCCGCAACTCAAGGACTTCGCGCTCTGGTTCACAGACTCGCCAATAGACACCTCGGAAGTATGAACTACTTCTCTCGTATTCCACGTCCTGGAAGCCAAATTCATCGTGCAGACATGTTACCGGTGATCGCTCTTCCGGCTTACGCAATGGGTGGTTACCAGTTGAACGAAGAAAGATCGCGGGCCCTCGGTGGCATTACATCGGAGATTTACCAAAGGAATGATGGGATTGTGAATACCAAGTCGATGAGTGGACCTGTGAACGCCGAATATGGGGAGGGTCAATTCCCGGGTCCGACAATTGGCATGCCGAACATGGCTAGAGCAAAGGGAAAGTACTGGCATCTTGGAGAAACTGCAACGATAGATCACGCGGACCAAATTGGGGTTGTCACGTCTGAGAATACAGTAAGCTTCTATTCTCTGAATCATGCTACAGTTAGCGCTAAACCAAGCTCCGTACTAACGTGATTTAGGCGAATGAAGTCAGTTTAATGTACCTACTCTTCGCAAGTCTTATGACACGACTCAAAGACAATGATGAGTAGACGGCGGAACAAGGCATTGTGTCAATGAGCTTGAATAACACCGGTGTCACGACACTAGACCTCTGCAATTGAGTAGCTCGAACGGCCGTCACGCACAGTGTTGTGGGTGGCTCTACGGCCTTATTGTTGCCAAGTCGCATATGCTAGTAGAGTGGCCCAACAAATGCCGCGATCCAGCATCAGTCCGAACACGGCACGTTATCAAATCCAGACACAATCGTTGATACCTCATTTTCTGCTGGTAACATTAAGTCAAGATATACTGATTTACCGTTAGCGGTCTAGAGTACTACAGCTCAAAGCAAAAGCAGAACTAGGAGCAGGGATATAGTTAAGACAGTAAGCTGGAATATTATCAAGATATCATCGAACGCGCAAAGATACCTTGTGCGTTTTAGGTTTCTCAACTTTATACCAGCGCACAAATGTGGTTGGGTGGAAGGTTTCGTCCGGTTGTTGCGGGATGTTTCATTCGGAGTACAGGACATCGTGTTATTTCATACTTGCTTGAAATAGATCTTCCTCAGTGTACTTACATGGTCCTGAAGTAGCTTTGCCTAGATAAATGCTATGCTTACCCAGATCAATTGACCCGAGAAACCTAGTCATCAATAGAGAGAACGTCGAAGAAACCTACGTCCCTGTTTACTACCCCAGAATAACTTCTTAGCGAATGCCCACAATTCGTCCACTAAGCAATTGAATCCGAGATGTCTATCGATGTCGATCTCCATGACAGAAATGTGAGTATATGCGCCTGATTCCAATGACTAAGTGTTGGTAATGCATATTACCGCACATTTTTCAGCCCATATTACATTTTGATCGTTGCATACCGACTCATGAGCTACTCGTCTCCGAAAACCTCTCCAATACCTCATCTTCAAGTCCCAGCTATTCCGGATGAGAGTACCGTCATTGTTAAGGTTTCAAATGGGTATATTGCATCCCATATCGTCGATAAGTACCTCCAGTTCGGATTTAAGGTTCTAGGTTCTGTTCTGGACTCAGAAATTTATCATGGCTGATCAGCCTATTTGAGAAGAAGTATGACGATAATAGATCTGAGCTTGCACTTGTTCCTAACATTGCTCACGAGGGAGCTTTTGATGGGGCAGTAAAAGGTTGGAAACTTACGCTACTGTGCAGTTCCTTGCTAAAGCTAATTCTAGGCGTTAGCGCGATGGTGCATGTCGCTACAATGATGAATTTTGACCCAAACCCGGACAACTTCGTCCCTAGTGTTGTCGCTGCCGCATTTGGCGTAATGAAAGCTCCTGCTAAGGAACCAAATGCCAAGCGATTTGTCTTCACTTTGTTATCCGCGGTAGGTGTCTCCCCCTTTGCTGGCAATGACGCAGTTCTGGATGAGCACACATGGAATGAAACCGCAGTTGAGAAGGCTTACAAGTCCTCGACAGATGATTCTACAGAGCATAGTGCACCGACGCTGCTAGTAAGACGCGGTCTGAGCAGGCTGTGTGGAAATGATGCAACAAAAATCATCCGAGCTTCATTACCAATACCTTTTTGCCTGCTGACATATTGCCGCATAAAGTAGGTCGAATGCGTGGGGAAGGTAGATGAGAAAGAGCTCAACTGTAGGGCTTAAGCGAGCGAGTTAAATGTACGATATCCACTGCGCAGGCAGATAATACAACCACCTTGTACTGTTTTTGTTACCGTTTTGATAGGCCCAAGACTCATTAGGTGCCAATTTGGCTTTTCCAGGGTGCGTACTGGTAAGAATGTGCTATGAAGCGCTATCAAGGAGTGAAGAGGCTGTAGACGGTGCGATTAATATACTGGGCGCTGATCTCGGCTGTCTGCTTGCTGCATCGTACCATAAGTACATGCGCGTACCGAGTATATTCACGTGCATGATCGAAGGAATAGAAAAGTTGATCCGTAGCTTCGGACTTCATCACATCAGTCACGCAACAACCAAGCCTAAAGGCGACATACTTCTCTTGTTGTTGCAGCCTGTATTGCTGTAATTGGTTGCATCGTGCTTAGCAGCGGCCCTAGCTAACCGCAGTCATAAGAGCGGCATTCGGCACATATACGAAAACAAGCCGATATATCCACATTAGTCTAGCTTCAAATGCTAGCTGTTGCAATAGTGACGCTACGGCTGCCTGCAAGATGCAGGGCGTTTTATCACCAACACCCCAACTCAGGCGTCTAGAATGTCAGACGAGACTGCTGCATAAGTCCTAGCTCCGACAGCCGGGCGTAGCGGCAGATGGTACTACATGTATTACATATCAGGTTCTTGCAGCAGACCTAAAGCTGCCCGTACGGCACAGTCGCAATCATGGTTAAGAACACCCTTACACTTCGCTGCCTTAGATACCTTATTGGCGCCACTGCGATAGCAACTGCTTTAGCATCGTCTCTGCCTCAAGTCAACTTATCTCGCTATCAGTCAGCGACCCGCGCAGTAGCCGCTATGGATCCTCAGATCTACAGCTTCGTCTATTCGCTCGACCTGCCCAACGCGCAGGCTGACGCTGTCGCAAATGTCTTCAGTGACGACCTTAACGTCGCCGCTTTCCTCCATGGAAAATCTTGCAAGTCTTCAATGCTGACCGGTGTAGCTTGCGCAGCACTGAAGCTGGTTCTAGGAGACGTCAAAGTGGAAACGAAGCCTGTTGACACTACCATAGTAGACGATAATTGGTCAGTCCCATTGTTCCTGGTCTTTACCTCCAGTCCTTTCGTGCTTACCTGGAGGTCACAGGTCGCAAACATGCTGGAAGTCGCCCTGCTGCGTAGTTTTGGCCGAGAGCACGACTGATGTTTCCTTGGCCTTGAAGACGATCAAGTTTTTCAAGCTCAAGTTCGCAACCCGCAGCGGAGGTCATTCACCCAACCCTGGATGGTCGTCGATTGGTGATGACGGCATTCTTATCGATCTACAGAAGTTGAATGGGATCAGTGTAAGTGCCGATAAGAAGGTTGCTACTATAGGACCTGGCAAAAGGTGGGGAGAGGTTTACGAGGCATTGGATCCATATGAGTTAAGTGTAATTGGAGGACGCATTCCCCAGGTCGGCGTGGGCGGGCTCATCCTCGGAGGCGGCTTCTTTCATTTCTCTGGCAAGTATGGGCTTGCAGCAGACAATGTGAAGAACTTCGAGGTCGTTCTGGCTGATGGATCCGTCGTAAACGCCAATGCTCAATTCAACAGTGATTTGTTCTGGGCTCTTAAAGGCGGTGGTCCCAATTTCGGTCAGTTCTTGGCTCTTCACGTAAGATTGCTTTGCTAACAACAAATTAGGTATTGTTACAAAATTTGACATGTACACTGTTCCGATACACAAGATATGGTACACGGTTTCTGTTTATAGCGCGAACGACGCTGTAGCCTGCATCGAAGCCTTTGCCGAATGGCAAAAGCTTGGATCATCCGACTCCAAAGCCACGGTAGCGATGATCATTGGTCTCGACTCTATTACACTGGGTTTCCTGTACGCCGAGCCCACAGTCCCTCAAGACGTCTTTGCTGCCTTCGACAAGCTTCCCGCGCCTCTCGCCGCTGCTGTTCCTCCTACGATCGGCACTGTAAACACTCTCTCACAGATTTTAGCATCAACTTCTTCCTCGGAACCTATGCGGTGAGCCTCTTGTCCATCGGAACGTGCATGTTACTCTACTAATTAAAGCTTAGTCACGACTACCGAGGCATCAGCTCCGACGTAGACGCTCAACTATACAAGGACGTCTACGCCATCTGGAAAGAGAAAGCGACCGCCGTACACGCTAATACAGGTGCAAACATGACCTTCGTGTTGCAACCCATAGTCGCGGGCTTGACGGCAGCTAGCAATGCAGCCGGCGGAAACCCGATGGGCATCCCGGAGAAGACGCATCAATGTAAGTTACTTTCAGACAGCGTCTCCTTTACAATCTAACAGACCACCAGGGTGGACCACGCTGGTTGACTGGACCGATGCCGCTGACGATACGACAGTGCGCGCCGTGCCCATTGCAGTCACCGAGGCGTGGAAGCAGCAGAGTGAGCAGCGCAGCCTCGACATACCTTTTATCTTTGCCAACGACGCGTCGCGCGACCAAAACCCGATTGTGTCGTATGGTGCTGCCAATGTGCAGAAGCTGAAGAAAATTGCGGAAAAGTACGATCCTGGGAGGGTGTTTCAGAATCAGCAGAGCGGAGGGTTCTTGCTTAGATACATATAGAGAAGGCTATACTAGGGTGCAATATAAATATAAATACAACCAAACTAATTATTTGGTATTTCCTACTACTAGAGCTTACATAAACAGGGATTACTAAAATATATACAAGAAAATATCACGGCTTAACAACTAAAGCCCTTTAGTAGCTTCATATTAGAGCTACTCTCTAAACCTGAAAGACGCAGACCTTCCAGCAAGCGCAGTAAGCTTACCAATACCAGCCGCGTTGGGAACTCTGGTGGCAATCTCGGCAGTAGTCCTAGCACTGGCAATCGTCAAACCTTTGAAATCGCCGAAGAATGAAGTGTCCTTCTTGCTAGTCAAAGTGCTACCAGTCGTCGTAGTGCCCTGGAAGAGGTTGGTCTGGCAAGACCTGCCGAGCGCAGTGCTACATTGCTTGTTCGTGGTAACGTCAGGTGATCCAAATAGCTTGCCAGCATATTCAGCAACAACGTTCTGGACGTTGTTGAAGATGTTCCCTTCGAAGATACCGCGGGCGCCTGCGTCGCCGCCTTCGAGCAGGTGACCCTTGACGTCATACCAGACGTTGTTCACTGCGTGGAGGAGGGTCTTGCCGCTGAGGGCCGGGCCACGACCAGCGGTCTTGGTGATGTAGTTGTTCTTCATGGTGATGGAGTCGCCAGTGCCGACCATCTCGAACACCCAGTAGTGGTAGCCGTCACAGCCAGTAGAGTAATCAGAAGCGCCGTTGATAAAATTGCTAGAAAGAGTGATGCGGGTGCTGGGGGTGAAACCGAAGACGTAATGTTGGCGGCCAGGACGAGCAGTCTGGATCGTTAGCGGTTGATGTCAGAGCCAAAGGGAAGAGTACTTACGGTGACATGATCAATCCAGATTAGATCAGCACCGGCGAAGGAGAGGGCATCTCCACCCCAGACGTATTTGTGATTCAAGTCGCTGACCTGAATATTCTGCACAATGACGTTCTTACCAGCAAAAGACAAACCCTTGCCCTTGATGATGCCCTTGGATCCAATACCGAGAATTGTCTTGTTGGAGCCAACCTTGATCGGATTCTTTGCGGCCTTGTAGTAGGTGACCGTCTCCTTGACCTGGCCAGCATCGCAAGAATCCAACAAGATGCGCTGGCATGCGCTTCCAGTGCCCCAAGAAGCGCAGGCAGTACCGGTAACTGTTCCCTCGGACGTGGTGTAGTCGAAGGTTTTGTCGAGGACGATGACACGTGCGGTAGAATCCGTCAACCATGATGTCAACTGTGTGATGTCCTTGGGGTATTGGGGAGTGGCACTGCCGCCACCGGTGACGCCTGCTGCGAATCCTTCGGCCTTGCCAACGACGCCAACTGCGCTCGCCACATGCGCCAGGCTGACGAGTGCGACAACAGGGAAAAACTTCATGGTAGCTGTAGAAAAGAATGAGAACGAGTGACTTAAGTAAAGAGATGGTAAAGATCACAATGGGAAGACGCCTCGAGGTTTTGTACTTTCGCGATTACCTTGTTGCCCTAGCCGTTTCACGGTGGTCTTCTAAATTGATTTACATGGGCCTTAATATCAAGACGGGCAGAAAATTAGTCCGCGGGTAACAGATGCAACTAGATAGGCGGAAATTTCCATGATACGCTGCACCACATGTGAACAAGAGCCCATGAAGCTTAAATTTCTATCCGCGCACTAGATCCTTGTGGGTAATACGAGAGGAGACAATTACTATATTAAGCGTTGTAAAACAAGGGGCGTACAGAAACGACTAGACCCCCGAAAAACACCTGCGCTTGTGTGGACATGACAGCCGTTGATTAGTGATTCAGCAGGCACGTTATTGTCTGTGCACGCAGTACTCTACGTCGCGCAACGCGCGACCTTGCAACAATGTTCTACCTACACAAAAAAACGCAACAACCCTACTGATATACGTCAGACTGAGCTGATCATACATATTATCTTGCACCATGATTATAGGTTCAGTGATCATACGTACCTTGTTGGTTGCATAGCGTAGCGGTGCAGGACTGCGTTCTGACATGTAGAGCTAGCTTAGCAATCAATTGCAAGGCTTTCTAAAACTCCTATACACTTGTTATTGTTAATCTTTTAAGACCAATGTTCTTGGTGAATAGCTCTATTGTTACATCATAGAGCGCGACAAAAGTTATGATGATGCCTGACTCAAACATGGCCAGAACGTGCATGGGTGTGGTAGCAGGGATAAGTACAGTATTGTAGAACACACACTCTACGCTCGCTAAGCCCACCAATACCGTGTTTCTCATGTTCCAACATTCGAAATAGCTTACAACCGCCCTTGAACCTCGTTCGAGCCCAATCGCTCAACCGCCTTTGGAATATCCCTGAACCGTAGCCGTTCTATCTGCGGTCTTAGAGCCCGCCTGGCAATCAATTGGAAGACATCTCGAAGCTCCTGTATACTCGCGCTTGTCGATACCTTGAGGGCAACGTTCTTAGTTACCAGCTCCATTGTTGTACATGTAACCTCGTCGGATGCAAGTCCCACCAGAACCACCGTACCTCCAGGTCGCACTGCAGCCATTGCAGCTTCATCTGTTGCCTGTGCGCCTGCGAAATCGATGATAGTATCGAAGGTCTTGCCCGAAAAGTGTGACGGATGAGTTGCACACGAAATTGCCCCAGCAGACTTTGCATGCTCCAATTTAGATTCGTTGATGCCGATTCCATACACACTGGCTCCTGTAGCGGCCGCAATCGCAGCACCATCAAGTCCGAGTCCATCCAGTCCGACAATCCCCACGGTGCTTGAAGGGCTAACGCCACCGAGGAGACGACAGCGTGATATGCTGTAGCGACCGAGTCTGTTGTGACTGCAGCCTGTGCAAAGCTCGCGCCATCGGGAATCATGACCAATTTCTTGAGTGGCGCGACAACGTACTGCGCATACCCACCATTACATCCCACGCCGGGAGCTCCATTGAAATCACGCATCTCGATCGGGTGCTCAACATATGCTACCGCGACACTGTCCCCGATGCTGGAGGTGGAAGAGGGGCTACCAAGTTCAGGGATAGTACCAACAATTTCGTGACCAAGAGTAATGGGAGGCCACAGCATACAGGCTGCACCTCTACGGTGGAGAACATGGGTGTCGGAATGGCAAAGGCCGGCGTCTTCGACGCGGAGAAGGGGCTCTGAGGCTGAAGGCTTCGAGATAGGGATAGCATGCAGGAGGAGGCCGCTAGAATGGTCGGAAAACTGCAAGGCGTCCATTTGTAGTTATATTGGGTGAGATGGGAAGGCGATTGCAGTAACCACCTTGACATTTTTAAGCTTGAGTTTGCGCATTCGAAAGAGGTTTATAAGATATTATAGAATGATAAAATATGAGTCGATCTAGTAGCGGCCGGGGAAGGACCGCTACTACATCGACTCATAGTACAATCTCCATAGGCATGCAGATTTGAAATGGTAAAGGGTTGCGCCGTCGTACTGAAGGTTCCTCTTCCTCCTCCTTCTCCTCCTCCTCTCCTCTCCTCTCTCCACAAAGCTCAGGCTACCCACACGTTGAATCCCCTTGGCCCACATTCTCTCTAGATATCTCTTTAGTTCGGCACACACTGCGCATAAGCTACAAGACATAGTTAGCCACAGTCAATCATACCACGTATTATAAGCACAACTCACTCTTGCCATAAAGCTTGCACACAGTGCCTTCGACACAGGTCTTGGAACCAGAGTAACTCTTGCCACCACACTTGCCATACAAAGGAACAGTCTCAGAGACAGCAGTTCCAGTCGCGATAGCAGCTGAGCGGGTACGAGTAGCCAGCGTAGTTGGCACTACCGTTGAGATCGCAGTAGTGTTGGTAGTAGGAAAGATAGAAGTGAGCGGCATGCTTGTCGGCAAAGCGGAGTCAACAGGAGCCGAAAGAGTGGTGAGTGGGACAGACACGACTGCCGAACTACTCTGAGTAGGCGCAGCACCGGACACACCAGGAACGTACAGTGGTGGGCCTGGTGGCGTGTAGTTGACAAAATCGGCATAAGGATCGAAAAGCAGGCCAGCATCGTCAGGCCTGTACAGCTCTGTACCCAGCACTCCCTCAGGCACGTCCGTCCCCTCACCAATGATCGCAATGTTCATACACTGAGGATATAGCTGAGCGCCGTTTTTCGTCGCGCCGTCGTGTAGGTTGATGATTTCATTGCGGAACACGTAGTTGCCTGGGGCAATGGTACTCGGCACTGTAGTGGTCCAGGTAAAGTCGTTGTCCATGAGCTTCTGTCCCGCCCAACTCCCGTCTTCGAAGCCAGCTTCATCGATCTTGATCCACTTCAGGCTCGCCTTGTCAACGACAGCGCAGTCACCGTTGCAGGAAGCAATGTATGTCAAGACGGGACCGACATTGTGCGGCCAATCCGGCCACACAAAGTCAACGGTGCCTCCGGCTGTTACTTTGGCGGTGAGGAGACCCGGGGCGGCGTCCTTGTGGCAGATGATGTCAGGGGTGTTGACGCTGTTTGGTTCGATGTAGCCGCGGTCGGTGGCAGAGGTAGACCAAGCAGCGAGGTCAGGAACGGGGTTGCCGTTTTGGATGCGGTAGATGTAGTCGGTTGGGAATCCGGTGTTGGAAGTGCCGTCGGTGATGAAGGAGCCGATGATGCCGTGGGCCAGTGCCTGGGAAGCGAAGGTTGTGGCGAACGCGAGGATCGATTTCGGAGACATTGCAGAGGTTGCGAAGGGGAATCAAGATGTCGGAGCTGCAAAGTTGAAGAAGGTTGAGGCTGAATTGAATGTTAACGATAGTGATGCTGCTTCAAGCAGGACGTAAGCAGACGAAAAGAGTGTAAGAAGGGAATGCCACAGGTATCAATGATGATGGTGGTACCGCGTAATTTGAGGATTGATTAGCTGTACTTATAGTCTGCTCTATGGCAGCGAGGACATACAGCCTGTGGAACCAGCTTCATCGCATCGCAAAGGTAACAGCTTGGCCAATGCACAGAATCGCTCCTCTCATTTACTGATAGCTCTCTCGAGCCTAGTTTCTCTTACCACTTGCCAAAGTTGCCAACTATCATATGCTTTGTGGTCGCGTGTGGAGACATGAAACGCAACATTCCTAAGAGTCTCCCTCGACCGCGGAAATTGCCGCCCAAATCTGATTGTGGCGTACAATGCCAACGTAGAAAGACTCTCCGTCTATGCGTGACCTCTTCTTCTCTTGAGGTCTCTTGGATATGTTCACTTCGAGAGTTGCGTGTTGCACTGTTGGGGTCGATGTACAGGCTATTGCACAGAAATTTGTCGCTACGTGGTAACAGTCATGGTGCGAAAGATCCTGTAGAAGCCCGCGTAAAATTACCTCTTTGATCACCCTACAGATTACACTATACGGACGTGTCTAAGAACGCCGCACACAATAATAAATTCTGTGAATTCCGCGTTTCATACGAAATGTGTAAGGTGGAGGACGGGTGGATGGCACGGCACGCGCTTTGCTAAGCTTGGCGTTGGAGTAGAAATTGGAGTAGAAATTGACGTCTGGACCAATGGGCATCTACTTGGCCAAATTGCGCAACTGCTCTAGTGCTCGAAAAAGAGTCATTCCTCTTTCCCAATCCGGTTCCCTAGGCTTTAGCGCTCGGTGTTGAGTTTGTTTGTGCCTCGCATTGTAATAGCTACGGTGCGTTTCGCTGGCTTCAGCACTCGGTCGCTCTTCCTGAATCGATTCGACGCCGTCGGCATGCTCACGATGCGAGCGCTTCAGTCCGCTGGGCGTTTACACAGGATTCGGGGTATATCGGCATACGATAAGGCTAGGCATGTATGCGACACATCATACTTCGTTAGCACGCAAGTTGAACGGATCGGGAGCTCGCGATGTCGTATCAAAGGGCGAGAGGGAAATTCAGGCCATAGTGTTTCATGTGGTGTTGAACTTTTACTTGCTGTTTCATTTCTTACGTTGTTCGCCGCATCAACCGCTCGACTGCAAACCATCTCATTCATCATCGTCCTTCCTAGGCCGTGGCGGCTTCTGCCCGTAAACCAGTGATCTGTTCGCTCATCAGTTCCATCTTCACCCGCTTAAACCAGAACATCAATAACTTACACTTCCTGATAAGCGTGGATTCCCCGATCCCTCAACGCCGTCCTCATCAACGCAAGATAAACCTCCACCTCCTGTTTCGTCCATCCCATAACGGTAGTCAGAAGATATAAACTCCACCCCTCAATTCCCTGTTCCCAATTGATTCGGTTATACTGCCCCAACTCTTTGAATCTCTTGTCGGCCGGCCATCCTCCCACAGGTAATTTCCAGCGGTGCTCAACCACGTTGATGAAGCCCGCTGCTTCCAAGCCAGCTCGTGACTCATCAGCCGTGCGGAGCGATTTTCCAAATCGGTCGCCAAGTTCAAGGGAGATTTTGCCCCAGCGGTCGAAGATTGAGCCCGGAGTAACGGTGCCGTCGTCAGATTTTAGGACGACGGATATTTCGAGTTGTTCTAGGTAGCCGCCGGGTTGGAGATGACTACATTTGACGGGAGTTAGCATTGTACATATGTTCTAACAGTGAATAGTGCATGGTGGGGGTTTACATACTCCAAGGCTTCTTTGTAAAAGGTTGACCAGTCGGCTACACAGCCGTAGAGAGATCGGACGTGGATGAAGTCGAAGTGGTCTTTCTTAAACAGCCATGGCTCGGTGAAATCGTCGATTTCGAAGCGAACGTTGGGCGGGACCATGGAGGGTTGGGTAGGACTGAGGTCGGTTCCGAGGACCTGGACTTTGTTATCAGATGTGCATGTCACTTGAGACTATCTCTTGCATGTTTGCACTAACCTCGGCTGATGGATATCTGTCGGCAAAATCGCTGTTCGCTCTTTGTTAGTATGTACGGCAAGTGTACAACGACGAAAGACTGACATGGCCCAGATTCCTGGCGGGTCAGCTTGTGCGTTTTGTCGGGCGGGTTGCTCATTGCCTACCAGTGCCAGTTCCCAAGTCCAAGACGTGCTAGGAGGAAAGATGATCGTCAGCACAAAGCCAACCAACAGCGACCATGTCCTTTTCTCGACGTACCATGGGCTGTTCCTTTATCGGTGCCAGGAACAACTCGCCATCGAGCAATAGGAGGCAGATATGGTGCCTTTCCTAGTCAACAAAACGACTCTGAGCCGAAGGGCATTGTGAAAGCATACGTTATATCAAGTTGGTCCGATTGTGTCTCGTCATTTGGCCCCCCTGCACTCACTTAGGAACAGCACTGGCGTACAATGAGCGGGTAGCCCACAGTATGATCCTTCTTTATACGCATGATATCGCCGGCCGTTGCGGTACTTGTAGTTGAATACAGCCGACTTGAGGGAAGTAGTCTCGCTTCGATCCGTGTCAGAAGGCGGTTCGTTTCGCGCGTGGGTTCGTTTTCCTGGGAGACTTACGATGCCGAATCGTCGCCAAATGCCGAGTCGGTTTCGTCCGAGTCCTGCAAGTTTGTATTAGCAGATGCGACAATCGTCTTACAGCAGGGAGGATAACACACAAGAGCAATCTGAGCCCCAATATCAGCCATAGCTTACGAAGCACAAGAACAATGTCGTCGTCGTTGTCGTTGGTGGGAGGTTCGTCAAGTATGTCGAACCAGTCGCAAGGTTGGGTCTCGCGGGCGTCATACTTAGCGTGACCTTATGTACTGACTCTCAACCGTTCAGGCCAGCAGCAGCTCGAACTACTGCCCACAGGTCCCCTCAGCGCGCCCGGCTTCCGTGTGACCTCTGGCTCTGCGTCGGCGATATGCACGCATACAGATAGTCGGAGCGAACCACATGGACGCGCTACCTGCCAAGCGCTCCGGTTGGCTGCAAGTCGAACACAATCTGGAGAGCTGTCCTTAGGGAGGTGGGGATGGCAGATGCCGTCGTTGTACTTGTCAGCAGGAAATGCGCGACTATTGAGAGGTCAACTTCACTCTTCCCACTACCCATCACAGCAGCAGTCGGCCAAGCTGTCCCACCAATCAATGCCGCTCGACAACAATCCGCTACCCGCCACGGTGGTACTGCTCTCTGCGGCGCTCACTGTCCTGCTGGCCTACGTGCTCTACGCAGTGACCTACAATGTCTACTTCCACCCGCTGGCCGAGTTTCCGGGACCGCGCCTCGCCGGCGCTACGACATACTGGAAGGCGTACATCGAGTGCATCGCGAACCGGTCCTTTTGTCACTTCCTTGTCGAGCTGCATGCGCAATACGGTATGTGGGATTGATACCTGGTACACGGGTACATGGAAAAAGTGTTGCCGCTGACGTGTGCCGTTGCGATAACGATAGGCGACGTGGTTCGTATCGGGCCCAACGAGGTGTGTGAAGGACTGCAGCAGCGGATGCAGCCATCCCCGACCCCACTACTGTGTTACCACGTGTTACTGACGGCGGTTAGCTCCACTTTGCCAACCCCAAAGCCTATCACGACATCTACAACAACAAGAATCGCTGGGACAAGGAAGCCACACTGTATCAGAGCTTCAACGAAGACAGATCTAGTTTCGGTTTTCTCACTTATCCCGAAGCCAAGAACCGCAAAGATGTGCTCAATCGCTCCTTCTCGCCCGCCGCCATCGAGAGCTCCGAGGGGCTGTTGGTTGCAAAGGTCAAGGAATTGTGTGCAGCTTTCGAGCGGCGAAGCCAGGCTTCGAAAAGCACCGATCTGTTCTATGCATTCCGCTGCATGAGCGTAGATGTCATAACGACCTTCTGCTTCGGCAAACCCATCCACGCTGTTGACGAAGCAGATTTCAAGGCTCCGATTGTCGTGGCCCTGGATGCGGCGACGCCCGTTGCTATGTACTTCAAGTATTCCGATTTGTTCAAGAACTTCATATTGAAATGCCCGCCCAATCTGTCCAAGAAGCTTAGCCCGTTGACAGCGGGCATGATTGATCTAAACCAGGTAACGCCTTGCTCTGCCTCTCGCTCTGAAGCCAGCGCTCTACTAATATGGTATTGTAGTTACTCTCCCAGCAGATCAACGAGCTCACCGATGATCCGGAAAAGCTTAAACTCCTTCCCCACAACATGACCATTTACCACCGACTGATGGACCCGGAAGCCCATCGTGACAAGCGGATTCCCTCGGCTGGCAGCCTGTATGAAGAGGCTCAAGCACTCATGTTTGGTGGCACTGACACGGTCGGCAATACCCTCATGGTGGGAGCTTTCCACTTGCTCAAGAATCACGAGAAGATGCAGAAGCTCAAGTCGGAACTATCAGCAGCCTGGCCTTCGCTCACAGAGAACGAGCCCAAGGTACGCGATCTCGAGAGGTTACCTTATCTGAATGCCGTCATCAAGGAGTCGCTCAGGCTCTCATCGGGCGTCACGTCTGGTCTTTTGCGCATCGTTCCTGCGACTGGTGCCACGATATCGGGAGTCCAAGTGCCACCCAAAGTACGTACAGCTTCTGTTTGAGATGGACAAAAGACTTGTGTGCTAACTGCATCCTAGACCATTGTTTCATGTGGTAGCACTTTCGTCCACTTCAACGCCAAGATTTTCCCTGAACCAGACAATTTTGTTCCGGAGCGCTGGCTCGACGAGTCGGCCGAGCTGGACAAGTGGCTTGTTGCCTTCTCGCGTGGCCCACGTATGTGTTTGGGAATCAAGTGAGTCTGATCCTTGTTTAATTGAAGTGTGGTCGGAAACTAACGTGGTTGATTGCAGTCTCGCTTGGGCAGAGTTGCGTCTCGGTTTTGCTCACGTGTTCCGCAAGTTCGACCTGGAGCCCAAGGGCCAGTTGTAAGTCAAACCCTGCCTTTTCGACTTGACTTGATTCGACTCTCAAAATAGCTATACGGATTGTACTAATAATGGACAGGCCTGATCAGCTAGTGTGGCGAGATGCGTTCTTGCCGTTCTTTCATGAGGATCATTTGCAGGCGAATATGCGGCCTGTCAGTGCGTAATGTGTCGGGTGCACCTGTTCTTGGTGTGTTAGTAGTGTGGGTGTTGTTCATATACATAATGCGTATTGTCTTGCAAAAGGCGACAGATGATCAGCTGACCGTTGATCGTTGTGCTAGTCGTCGACTGTCCGTTGTCCAGACTTTCACACGTGTAATTGAGCGCCGATCAGTCGGAGATATGGCACCTGGGCGCAGATCAATATAGCCTGAGCTAGCGCGCACCGAGGTGCAAAGGGAAGGTGCTAGAGCGTGAGCCTTCCTCCTCGGGTCAATGCTTTCCTGAAAAGAGTTTGCCAGATTCAGAAAGAGTGCGCTGTGATGTCAATCTGTGCGCCCTATCCACAGAAGGTGATATGTGAGGTAGAGAGCATCCTTCTGCATGCCTATCCAAATGTGCGAAGGATTGTGTCAAGGTACGGTGTTGGAGAATGCGACGAGGGGGGGTTTTCTTTGGTGCACGGCATTGCATTAGCTGCGGGCTCTATTGCGGCGTCAGCTATATGCGCGGTGGTATGAGCGCGCAACAATGTAGTTGACTGCTTTGTCCAACCACGGCGCGAACATGGATATGTATGTGACAAACCCGCCGCTTATGGGGAAGCGGACAGTCAGAGAGCAAATGTAGCTGGCGATCATGTCGATCAGCAGCAGCAGTAAATGGTTCGGGCAGGCAGTTGATGTTTCAAGGTTTGAGTCGCGAGACGGAGAAGCTAAGGGCGGCGGAGGTTTTGGAGCCGATGGTGCTGGGGATGTGAAGCTTGTATGTGTCTCCAATCGGAATGGTCGACGAGGGAGCAAAAGGGCCGATGATTGGCGGGAAGGCTGTCCAAGAAGGTGAGGCGGAGCGCGTCGAGATGAAGGATGACAGGCGGGCCGCGTTGGCCGAACAGTTGACATGGTGAGAGACGGATGTGATTGTGCAATGCTCGAAAGGCATGAAGATCAGCCAAGGGGGGGACCGGTTTGGGCGTCTCATGTGGAGAGTTGTGGGATGAGGTACTCGGCGGGGACTAGCTAGTTAACGACGCGCATCGTCTCCGGTGCATGTGAGCTAGACCCTGTTGGACAACATGGACTTGACTTCTCCCCGCTGAAATACACACGACCTCAACGACGTGCATAACACGACGTCCCCAACAGCCAGGTGCCCCTTCGCCTTTCCCCAAGCACATGAAAGCGTCGCGCATTCGATTCGATTCCCCCTCGGCTCTCAACCTTCCAATGTCCGTATCGCGCCTGGGGCTTGTCTTCACGCCCGCCATCCGTCGTACACGCCTTCTTGTGGGCCCGCCCTCGCTGTGAGCGTCCGGAATAGCTTTGTTCAAGTATGCCCGCCACTGGAGGCAGCAGGGCAGTCCACGCGCCGCCTTCGAAGCCTACAGAGAAGGGCAAGATGGTGCAGGCCATGCAGCCACCGCGCAGAGAGAGCAGCGCTGGCGTCCCAGCCCAGCGGCCCGGCATCAAGACGCGCGCATACTCTGCTCCAAACGCCCCAAAGAGCGACGGCGATGTTGGCAGCGAGCTCGACCGCACAGACGAAGACAATGAAGGCGAAGAGATAGCGGATGATGCCTTCTTCCAGCGATACCACTTTCCCCAGCCCATCCTCTCCACCCAGGAAGAAGAGGGCAGCAGTGCCGAATCCTCTTCAGACACCGAGGGACCTCTCTCGCCCACGCACCACAAGGACCGCCAGTCGGCACAGGACGCGACGTCGGAGCCATCTACGAGCGTGAGTACTCCCAAGCGGCAGGAGCAGTGGCAGGAGCAGTGGTAGAGCAGTGGCAAGAGCAATAGCAGGAACAATGGCAGTCGCTAACAACCATCAGTCGGCCAACAGCGATTCGGCATCACCTATCCAAGACCTTAACATTGCCGTCATTGGCGCGCGGGGTTCCGGCAAGTCGACCTTTGTCCGCCGCGCCCTCGGGCTACCAGAAACCTCGACAACGACCAATTGCTCGCGGCGAATGACAATCGACGGCACCCCCTACATTGTGCGCTTCCTCGAAATGGCCTTCAACGACGTGCACGTGGGCGACCGCAGCATCATCAAATGGCCAGAAACCATACACGACTTTGCGACACCGCGCATGGATGCAGCCGTTACCATCTACGACGTCACAAACCAGGAGAGCCTGGGCAAGGTTCCCGAAATGCTGAGTCGGTACCCCGCCATCGCGTACCACGCGCGTCTGCTGACGCGACATGCTGACCGAGTCCAGGCACACTGTCCAAGGCACAATTACCCTTTATCCTCGTAGCCTGCAAGTGCGATCAACACCCCGCCCACCGCGAAGTCGATCCGTCCGTTGTGGAGCAAAAAGCAAAGTCCTTCATTGGAGACGTGAGCGTGTTTCAGACCTCCGAGTCGTCACCGGAGACGCACCGAGGATGCCTGTCCGTCATCACTCGTGCAGCGATAGCGGCCAAGCGACGTAAGTCATTCATTTCCTTTTCCAATATGCTGAATACAATGTCCTTACAAGGGTGCAAGTCATTGACCCCATGCAGCCAGGTCCCAAGCGTCAATGGCGCGGCGGCGGGCCAACTCTTCCGCCGTAAAATCCATCACCCAAAAGGACCTTTGGAGCCGCAAGCACGAGCGTGCTAGCTCGGAGATCTCCATGAGGTTTCAACGGGCTTCTAGCGAGGTCAAGGGTCACCGTTATAAGCCCAGCGATGCCAACAAAACTTTTTTCAACGCCGAAGAGTCTCCCGGCTATGATTCGCAAGAATCCGATGACCAGGACTCGGACGCCGGCCAAAGCATCATGTCGGTGAAGCCGTCGGATGAAAATGGCTACACTTTCGAACAGCTCGTCGACCGACTACTCGCCCAGCCCATGTCCAAAAATGACTCCAAGTTCGTCTCCGTCTTCCTTGCCTTGTACCGGAGGTTTGCAACACCAGGTCAGCTACTCGAAGCAATCATCAAACGTTTTGAAGCCCAGAACAAGGAGAAGGACCTGGCCATGATCCGGATAATCGCTCAACTCCGTTACCTATCCATCTTGCAGCAATGGGTCGCCTACTACCCTGGTGACTTCGCCTATCCAACGACGCGCCGACTAATCCGAAGGTTTGCATCGTCGTTGGCCTTGAACCGCGAATTCTCCGTCGCCGCGACCGAGATCATCCGCGATCTGGAGATGGTCACTGAAGACGACGACACCGACTGGGCATGCAGCGACCGCCAACGCCACCAGAACGAAAACATACCGACATTCCATAACAACGTCCTGGACGAAGACTCCGATGAGGACGAGTTTTCAAGAGCGCTGGGCCACATGTCTATGAGCAGTTCGACGCGGAACTCGGTTGCCCGAAGCAGCGTAACAGGCGGTGCATCATCCATAAGCGGCTCCATGGGCTCATCGCAGATCCTCCTTACCCAAGTCGAGAAGAACGAACGACTGGCTCGACAACTGGAACCTAACCCGATCAAGCCCCTATCCAAGATCCAGTGGCACCAGCTCATGAGTGAATCAGACGAAGCGATCGCGAAGGAACTTACCCGGATAGACTGGATCATGTTCTCCTCAGTACGACCACGCGATCTCGTACGCCATGTCAGTCTGAATGCCGAAGAGAAGAAGCGATGCAAGAACCTGGAGAATGTAACACGCATGACCGAGCACTTTAACCACGTCGCCTACCTCGTCACCAACTACATCCTTCTACGCGATAAGCCCAAGCACAGAGCCCTCATGATGGAGAAGTGGATGAAGATTGCACGACAGCTTCGGAAATTGAACAACTACAACATGCTTGGTGCCGTCATGGCAGGCATCAACGGCACAGCGATTGGCCGACTTGTGGCGACTCGGGAGTTGGTCCCTCAAGCCACAAACCAAGACTTCTGGAAACTCGATATCCTCATGGGCCAAACGAAGTCGCATTCTGCCTACCGACTGGCATGGGAGAATAGTTCCGGCGAGCGCATACCATACATACCACTTCACCGTCGCGACCTCGTATCAGCTTCGGAAGGCAACTCAACGTTCGTTGGCGACAAAAAAAAGACTGATTCAGCGTTCGCCCCACACCCGGGCGTAAGTGTCTTCGAAGGTGTTGCAGGGAAACGTGATAGCCGAGAGCCACCGCCCAGCGGAGTCGTCGGCAAGGAACGCATCAATTGGCGCAAGTTTGAGATCATGGGTGAGGTCATCGTCGGAGTACAACGCGCGCAGGGCACGCCGTATCCCAACTGGCAAAGGTGTGAAGAGATACGGAATTTGATCTTGGATATTAAGATTAATAAGGACGATGAAGTAGGTTTCTCCAATTATTATTAATAGATAGTGTAGTGTACTGACATCACACCAGGAACTATACGAACGCAGCACCCATCTCGAAGCCGGCCGGGCCGACGAGAAGAGCAGAATTGCAAGATGGTTCCGAGAGCGTTAGTTGCTTCTCTCCTTACCCACTCCTAGCTCTCTTATCTTCATCTTTCATGTTGAGATCGGATAAGCTAAGTGTAGGTCTACTACAGCCGGGCGCTTGTCGTTGCCCTCATTGCCTTCACTCCCACCAGCACAAAACTACCAGGCCGCCGCAAGTACCACCAATTTTCTGCGTATCTGAGGAGCTGTGAGTGACGCGGAATATATTGCACATGGTTATCGCATCTACAAATGGCGTCAGGGCGCCATCCCCAATACGTCGCATATATACCTGTCATGCGCGCCATCTACGCCGCACATCGCATCCCATACTATCGACACCATCTACACCATACACACCACATACACCGCGTCTACATCATCTACATCATCTACACCACATATACCCCATCAGTTCCGGAGCGGACTGCATTCCATTACGGCATACCGGTTTGCGTTTTACATCACGATTGTCATCTGCTACCATCACTATCCATTTTGTTTTGGCTTCCATTGCACGATACCTCTTATCCAACCGGCGTTTTTTACATACAGTGGGGCAACTACCACACGGTCATGTTACATCTTTCCTTACTGCGGAAGCGGATGTCGGCTCCTTGCGGTTGGCATCAGGCAGCGGAATGCAGACTTCTCATATGTAAGCGGTGAGCCCTTTCGTATTCTAGCCGTATAGCTATCACTCAATCATACCAATTATCTTTCACCACTATATCCTCCCTTCCCTTTCACCCATCGGACAGTTCCATGCCAAACAATATGTTTCACCAAGGTAATCCCCTGCCATCAGGCCCAAGGAACTTCCCATTCGTATGCTCCAAAGTTGCGCTCTCAATCACACCCTTAATCCCTTTTGTGCTGTGCTCCACAGAGATGATGTGTGCGCTCAAGTCGATCCCTTGCTCTTGCAAAGGATCGAATCCGGCTTTTCCCATTTCTGTTGCGACCATGCTGTGCTAGCGTTAGTTCTGGGGGAGGAGGAGGAGGAGGAGAAGAGGAGAAGAGGCATCATGCAGAGCAGGTCGCCGCTCAACACAAACAGAAGAATGACACAGACGAACATACCCAGGATGTTGGCACCAAACTAGCACTTTATCGTCACCAGTCTCCTCGAGCGCAAGCCACTTGAACAAGAAATTGGCCAGCGCCTTACTCGCTCCATACGCCGAAAGCGGAACAATAGTGCTCATGCTCTGCAGGCTTCCGCCCGCGCTAGACATGTAGATGAATTTGGGTTGGACCTGGCTACTCGTAGATCCAGCATGGCGTTTCAGTAGGGGAAAGACCGCTTTGTAAAGCTCAAGCTGGCCAAACGCATTCACATTGATGTAATTCTGGATATCTAATGTAGTAGCGTCGCGGAGTTTGGGTGTGGTGCCAGCGATACCAGCGTTTGCTATGACGACATCGAGGGAAGTGATGCCGTGGTCGTTGGGCAGGGAAGCGATGCCAGTCTTGATAGATTCGGTGGATGCGATATCGAGTGCTATGACGATGAGCCGCGAGCTAGGTGCTTTAGGAAGCGAATGAAGGTGTGAGGCGGATGAGTGGGAACGGACGGAGGCTATAACGGTGGTGGAGGGTTGGGATAGGTGGAGGGAGACTAGGCCGAGGCCGATACCGCGGTTTGCGCCGGTGATAAGGATCGTGAGGGGAGAAGGGGAAGACATTGTTGATGGAGCAGTATATTGGGATAATGATGGAGGGGGGGAAGGTGGTAGAAGTTGGATGTAGGAGAAGCTGGAATGAGGGGCTTGATGGATGTATAGAGATATTTACAGGACGAGTGATATGCGATGTGAGTGCAGATGAAGAACTGCGCTTTATATGGGTAGATCAGGACGAGCGATACCGTAGGTCTATTCAGAGTTTCATCCACTAATTACTATGATGCCGGTAATCAGCCCTCGCCCGCACAACGCACAAGAGGCATGGGCAAGTCATTGTCACGTCCATGGAAGTCCGCTATGCTTCGTAGTATATGCGGCGCTTCTCGAGACTAGTCTCCGCGTACTAGCGGAGGATGTGATAAGCTAGCGGACTTTCAACCCCACTCCACCGCTGTTCCACCAACCTCATTCATGTCGCAAACCATCGATACCGTCCGTGCAAGGCCGCGGACGAATCCAATGTTGGTCATTATCCTATCGAAACCGATAGTCTTATACCAGAAACGAAGCCTTGCGCGGACGATATGTTGACCAGGGCATCGCGCCACAAGTCATGTTTAGGATGCATCCAGACAAAACGAAAATGCGATCGAACACAGCCCAGATGCCAACGCTGCGTCGCAAGAGGATCCGAATGTCGATACATCCGCCAAGGTCGTTCTCCGCCGCAGCGAAGTACTCATCCCGGCGAATCAGAGCAGTCAGTTCTTGCCATGGAGGAACTTCTACATGACCAACTACCTAGCAACTGGCAGCTGCAAGAATATCATACGGGACCTATAACGTCGTTTACACAATGCCTAGATGACGCCGTGTTCAAATTCCCATGTCATCCTTTCAACCTGGGGGAAATGCCATACGAAAATACGTTCCATTTTGGTAGTAGTAACATCCAAAACAACGTCGCTGTACAGATGCCGAGCAGTACTAGTGCTACTGATTTACTCATCACCCAACCCACCACACCAGATGTCGGATTACTCGCACGAGTAGCCTTTGTAGCGAAACGCCTAGCAACAATACCCCATCGCTTCGCCTCGGAGGGCCAAACAATGTTCATCCATCGAGCACAGTTCCAGCACACATTCCCGTCTTCGCTCTAAGATGCGATGAGCGCGTGCGCCTTGTACAGCATGAAGACTGAAGCGAACCAGGCATTAATTTTTAGTCACACGGAGCACAAATGCCGGCAGCTTATCGCAAGCACCAATACGCAACTCGCGTCGAGAATGGAGCTTCTTGCAGCTTTGCAGGCACTTTTGCTGTATCAGATGATTCGTCTTTTTGATGGCGATATCCGCCTGAGAGTCAATGCCGAAGTCGATGAACCAATCACTCTTCAGTGGACGAGCCAGCTTAAAGCTTCGATGCGTGACAACGCAGTACATCAAGGAACAACACATCTCTCACGATGCAGTACTCGTTCCTCCCGGATTGGAACTTCAATTGACTCCTCGGACGACTGGCACACCTGGTTTACCGCGGAATCCACTCGCCGAACAATAATAACCACCTACCTCCTCTAGGGCATTTACAGCTTCCTCAAACTCGGCTACGACGGACCAACACCAGATCTACGACTCTCCTTCACCGCACAAGCAGCGCTATGTAATGCGCAGTTTGAGGCCAGTTGGCGCTGGGCACGAGAAGATAATAATAAAGAGAGATTTGAGATTCGGGTTGAGCATTGGGAGGAGGCGATTGCGAAAGCGAGGCCAGGGGACTTGGAGGAGATGGGGGTATGCATTATGGTTATGTTGTGGGGGATTGAGAGGACCAGAGAGTGGTTGGGTAGGAAGTTTGTGAGCAGGTTTGGGCTGGAGGGGTTGTAGAGGAGTCATACAATAACGAGTATACAGACGACTAGAGCGCAGCAAGGCAACCACTGCGTTGCGCAGCCTCACCGCTTCTTCGTTGCATCAGTTATCTTTGTCTGGGTTTTTTGGGATGTGTTGCTCTTGAATGAAACGTACATTGATCCCTTTCGTTCCATATCAGTTATAGGTAGAATCGGTAGGCGTATTGCTAGTCGGCGCTGCTGCAAAGCTTACTTCAATCCTCCACTATACCTAAGCTTGGTCGTCACTGTTCTTGTTTACACACAACATAAACTCTCAATACTCCCACGTCATACTTACATTTAAACTCTCAAAAGTCTTGTGGGACCTCGCGGGAGTGCACTATCATTATCCTGGGCTCAAGCACTGCTCAAAAGATGAAGAGCTTCAGTATACCTAGTAAGAACTGAGAACTCGCCCCGTGGGAATTTTTGTGTTACTCTTCTATAGTTTATAGCCTATTTCACCGTACTCGACTCTCTGCTATTGTCGCTGTCGCCTGTGTCCATGATCATCAGCGTCACCACAGCGGTAGCAGCAATGTGTGCGGTACACAGTCAACGGTGCCAAACTAATAACCCCATCGCAGAACGAAGTTACCAGTTTTATGTGAGAAAACTCCTAGTAGCAAGGCAATAGGAAAAGTGTTAAGGTCGTGATCAAAAGATCGCGGCTGATGGCGGGTGACGTCATAAGCCTTGTCGATGCTTTTAACCAATCAATCAGATTCACGCCGGTTAATACTACACACATCATGAAACCCAGCACGAAGCAGAATGCATACTTCTGATAATCACACGGTAGTTCATGTGGAGTTCTTCAGTCGTTCAATTGAGGTTGTACAGCCGTCAACCCCACGTTCCACCGACCAAGTGCGTCTCAAACTACGCATAATTCGCAGGGTTGGGAGAACATATTTGATACTTTAGCGTTACATATCACAGTTAAGGGGGATTCCCTTTGGCAAGCGGCACGTAAAGAGAACCAGCATACGCATCAATCTGTAGTAAGCGCTAAATCCTACGTTTCAGCCTCAGTCACAAACATTGTTTCATCTCTATGTTAGGAATCTTCTGGTAATATCAAACGACATACAATGACCTCGATGCCTAAGTGTAAAGTAGTTGCACGGAATGTCGTGAACGTCTGAACGCGCGGAGCACCCAGAGGTCTATTAGACCACTGCGGGAAACAAGATATAAGATCAATTCTTCCCTACAGACATTCCAGAGTCTGGTCACGCGGGTCCTCCACAATCTTCTTCCTCTCCAACACTACCAATTCTAGTGGAACGCGACCTTGACTGCGAACGTTACTGTACACTAGACTTAGCTCATCTACTGCGACATGGACGAAAAGAAGTTGGAGTACTTCAGCCTGCTTCAACATCAATTGCAACCATACTTTCCAAAATTCACTGCGTCATTAGTCGATCAAACATTCCTGGAGCAGGAGCAAGGAAGATGCGCTGTCTTCGACTTCGGAGAAACCCATAGCCGTCAGACAATATCTTTCACGACCGCCACGGAACTGGACTCCTACCTCGTAAACTCGCCATCGTTACCGGCTGTACTTAAGGGAAAAGTACGCTGCCGAAGACTTTTCATCCTAGAGGACCTACCCCGAAATTACATATTAAATTTAGGTTCCCACCTTCGAATACCGCCGAGCTTCTTCGCAGGTCACTGGGACGACCCGCCATCACCAGCATTCAATCATCGAAATCCATTTCGGCGTTGTACAATACCACACTTCCGACTACGCTATGCAATGTGCAACAGGGTGGAAGTGGAGGTCCCTTCGAGCAACAGCAGCACCATCTTTGCGTTTGACGCGAAGGTCAATCGACACCTATTTACATACGATCGAAATGGACGAGTTTACGATGAGGCAAATAGCCATCACGTACTATCCTTCTGGAGCAGTTCCGTGCGAGAAGATGGATCATGGGATGCGGTGCTCTTGGTCGACCCAGGACCTGGAACCCATGTCAGATGCTTGAAGACTGGAGAACTACATCCGCTGCGAACGAGACTGGCTAACGATGCATCAATGCCGAAACGCTTCCTTTACCCGGAGATCGAATCACTCCTAGAGTTGCCAGAGAACTGTTCGCAATGGGCGACGGCACACGGTTCCATAGGATACCATTGTATGTTTGACGACACGTTGCGAGCATTTCGAAAAGCCAATTTGACAACGATTGCAACCGATGATCCGTTGAGTGTTGTAGAGTTACCACGCAAGATAGTCATATCGGCGTTGATAGCATATCTTCGGCGCCGCTATCTGAACCTCATCAACATTCAGAACGACAATGCTATCCCGCAGATCATGCGTCAAAACTACCTTGCCAGCTTCTCCAAGAACAGCTACTCGAACTGGAGCAGCGAATTCTTTGACTTTATTGTCGGCTCACAGGCGGCTATGAAGGTCTTCGCACGCGAAATAGACGACAACGCTGCAGCTCTTGGGCTTGAGAACACAAAATCTGCAGCGCCACAGTGGGAAAAGGATGGCTGGCAGGCAATCAAAGAGTTGACTGGTGTCGTTGCGGAGACAGTCGATGCATTCGCACATGGCTATCTACAATACGTCACCATCCAAGAAGCGCGAGCGTCGAGTTCGAACGCGCAAAGTCTGTCCCGCATCACAGTACTGACTATGCTTTTTATTCCTTTGTCCACTGTAGCAAGCATATTTTCTATGGGTGGAGAGTTCCTGCCGGGTCAGGCGAAAGCTTGGATGTTTTGGGTAGCTGCACTCCCTTTACTGGCAGTAATTGCCTATCTTTACTGGCGTCAGATGGTTACCGAAGTCCTGCAGAAAAAGAAACAAAATCTCTTGCCTCTTCACAAAGAGCAGGACTGTAAGAAGTTATAATGACAATAACGTGCCTAAAGTTGGTTAACGTCGCTTAAAGTCATTAGAGCCTGGATTTATCAACTCGAAACAATCTCGTTATCAGATTCACATTAACTTTAGGGCAAACGATGGGTATTTTAGTCTGACTGACTTCAACTAACTATTCTACGGACACGGCATTTCCATGTTGCCGTCAATAGTGATCCCGTTCGACAACTTCAATCCAAAAGGCAGACCTCTCACATATGTGTCAGTATATTTCCTCCCCTCCCTCTCTGCAAAAGCCTGATCGATATCCTTGTACATGTCATAGCCATTCATCTCTTCGATCGTCAACTTCTTTGCTTCGTCCTCTACCTTGTAGTTGGACATTGACGTGTTACTAGAAAACCCAATGCGTTCGTTGATGTTGTATGCTGCTTTGGCAGCTGAAGCCTGGACTTTCGTGGCGCGAGGAGGTCTAACCTTTTCATAGATGGCGAGTGACTCTCTAACATCTCCTTTGAAGTAATCCTTGTTGAAAAGAATACCCAGAGCAGCTGCGTCTTCAAGGGCCATGCACGCTCCCTGACTTTGGTGCGGCATCATCTGCAAACGCGAGTTAGTCCAGTATCTAAGCAAGGAAGAAGCATACTTAGGCAAGATCTCTTACCGGATGTGCAGCATCGCCAATCAGTGCAATATCGTTCTTGACAACGTACGGATATGGCTGATGCACCCAAAGCCGCCAAGGTCGTACTTCAATACCAATAGCGAGGTGAGCTTTTACCTGCGCATCGAGCTCAGGATAGGGTGCAAGAAGTTCTTCAACAGGAAGATCGGCGCCGCCCCAGGTGTGATTCGAATAGTCTCCCGCGGCGCGTGGGAAGAAACAGTAGTATGAGAGAAGTTCGCCGCCATTGCAAGGCGATAAGACGATCTTGTCCCACTTGCCTTCTTGGCCGCCCCAGTACTCAAGTGCACTGTTGAGAGAGTAATCGACGAGCCCGAGCTTTCGGACGTCTTTTGTCATGACGTTCGCATGCAGGCAGCTGGATTCTGCTGGGCGCTTTTCTGTGGTTATGCCGATGATCTTTCGTGTTACTGATCCTATGCCGTCTGCTCCGACAATGAGATCGTGTTGTGCCTTGGTGCCGTTGGAGAATCTGATCACACCCGTCTCAACGTCTATGCTTTCGCACTACAAAGTGTTGTCAGTAGAGTGATGCGAGATGGCCAATAGTGTTGTTGCTGGGTAGCGATAAACTTTACCGGATAATTCACCAATAGCTTCACTGGCGTTCCAGTGCCCTCTTCTTGTAACGCACATTCCATAAGCATCTTGTGCATATACTGGCGATGGAACATGTTGTAGGCGTAACCCCACCTCTCTTCATAGTCATCGAGATCGTAAACGCTGACAGGCTCGCCAGTCTTCCAATCTCGATTGATGAGTTTCTTCAAAACAACAGGATCCCCTTTTTGCACATCAACCCCCCATTCGTGTAGCCAGCGAGTACCGTTTGCTGCGCATGAAACTGATGCTCCAGCCTCGCCTGCGAAGTCATTCCGCTCGTATATGGTGACTTCGTGACCGGCTTGACGCAGCGCAATGGCTGTTGATAAACCTCCAATGCCACCTCCGATGACGCCAACTCTTAGAAGCCTCCAGCCGCTGGGGTCCATTGAGCCCATGTTGTAGATGCTGACGTTGGTCAGGGGAAGGGATAAACTGCTGAGTAGCTCGTGTATAAAGAAGTGAAGGCGACCTCAAAGAGATGAACAACGAGTATTTGAATCATAGCATTTGGAAAAAATTCCAATAGATATGGTACCGCTGTTTTCAACTTGATTTTGCCGCATCCCGATGCGGATCGAGCCACTTGGTTGCCCTGAAGTGAGCGGATGAGTAAAGCCCGGAAATAGCTTATCTGTGGAACGTGTTGCATCATGTTTGCGATATTTTCCAATCGACGGTACCTTTTCGTACGGTTATGGCATGGGTTACGGAAATTGTGAGTGGCTCACTGTCGTTGTTCGCTCTGTGGGATTCTTCTTATCTGCGGAATGTCCCTTATCGACGGAACGGATCTTATCATCGGAACGGATGCGTAACAAGACTTCAGGCTACACAGCGCACTAGGAAGACGAACGGAGCACAGTGGCTGCTCTGATTGATGGAGAGAAGAAGTTCATGTGCACCTATTATTCCTGCCCGCCGACCGCGTGACATGTAGCAGATAAGACGTCTTGACTCAGCAAACCTTCTTTAGCTCACCCGTTTCGGTGATAAATACGAACCCAAGAATATCCATTCCATGCAGCATTTTCTCGTCTTTTAGTGCTTGCACGTCCTCGCGAAGCACATCCTCAAGCTGTTCGGGAGTAAAGGTACCAAACTCGATAGCATCAGCCTGTGTAGCTTGGGCAGGCGTTCTCTTCTTAACATCGCCTCTAATCTGTTCATCGCTTAGGTGTGTCATGCCACAGTCTTATAAATGATCAGCATAGTATCTTAAGCTTTGGGTGCGATGGATATAGTTACCAGTGTGCTTAATTACAGCTACCGTTCCGGCATCGCTGACAGTGTTCAAGCTCCGGAGAACTAAGATGCTACGAATAGCGTCCGGAGTGACTCTGCCACCTGCATTCTTGACAGTCGCGAATAGCCCTGCTGCTCCATTGAGGAATTGAGACGGTTCGCAGCGTGGATCCATGCATGTGACTAGTAACGGTGTTAGTTTTGTTTTAGTTACTCCAAAGCACATCTAGTGTAACGTTGCTTATTGCAAGACGGGACGTACCAATCATAAGTGGACGTTCGGGCGGTTGGCCGTACTTCCTCAACTGCTCCATGGTGGCAGGGGTACTCCATGTTGGACGCCATTTCGCATTGCCAGACAGGAACCATTCTTCTGTACGATTCTGGGTCATGACGTTTGATGTACAGTTGTTTTTGTGTTATTGATACTTGGGATCTGGTGCTGCTCCGGTCACTTTAAGTAAGTTAATCTCTATTTGTCATGTCTTAAGAGATTGTCATTCCGCATAGTGAAAATTCCGCAGTTCTACTAAGCTTATCGTCGGCTTTATTGTACGACTGCTTAGTTTTCACTGTGATTACTGACATGTATTACTGTCGCTGATGAAGTGAAGATGACAAATAGCGCTACTAATCAGAGGCTCGTAGCATGTGCTGCATTAGTGTATTATTAAACATATTGCAGATACTTTGAATATAGTCACTATTAGCTGTTGTTAGATTCGAAATAGTTAGTGCGTGAGCGAGAATGCTGTATATGTCTATCCCCGGTTGTCGACAGCGATCCGCGCATCACTGCATGGTGCAGCGTTTCATGCCATCAAGTCATGACAGAACGGAAGCGCCAGCAGTGGGCCAAGGTGGAGAAGATCATAACTATCGCGCATTCAAGAGGTAATATGTGCTAAAAACCATGCACTACGCAATCGAATAGCGGTCATCTTGGTGCTACGTCTGCAAAGCGCCCACAGTCTTGTGAATATCCCTTATAACAATCGAGGAAGACCGCACGGGTGCTATTCGTTGCCTCCGTCAAGAACACGTATAACAACATAGTCGCTCAACGTATTGATTGCGACATGTAGGTGTGAAGCCGACGATGCCATCTGGATGGATCTCAGACAAGGTCCAAGACTTTCCTTTGGATAGTTCAGTGAGAACATCGTATTGCGGGTAGTAGAAGATCTTGTTTGCGTAGGGTTCGGGAATACGTGGCATGTCTTCGCAGAGGGGAGGGTGAACATCGACCTCTTTAGGAAATTCTAGACCGTAACGTTTGAGAGCTGTCAGCGAGAAATCCTCGAATAGAGAGAGACATTGGGAAAGACGGGAGAACTGAAACTAGGTTACCCTTTGCCCCCCAGTTTGTAAAATGACTGATTCGAGCTTGGTCGAAACCTGTTCCGCGGCTTCAACAGCAATCCTCATGATGTTACAGACACAGCTGGAATGGTGCTTGGTTGGTGTGGCCTATTTATTGAGGCCTGAAGCAGAACCCGAATATTTCCTTGTGACAGCAATAAGGCGTATGATTTGAAGAAGAATGGTAGTTTAGCACTGCAGCGAGGAGGCCGGGTGTGTTAAATCATAGCGTGTTCATTGTGCTCTAGTCTGTCCGTCCCATGCATTCTTTAGGCAGCCTATTTGTTCAACTCCTCAGCCCTCTTCTTGAGGTCCTCCTTGCTCTCAGCCTTGGGCATGTTGTCTGGAATGACAGGGCCCTATATATATACATTAGCTTCCTTTCCTTTTCCCACTTGACCGTGCCTAATTTGTGGTGTGTGACATACCTTTGAGTTGTGAGCCTGGATATCGGCATGGTTCGCGTGCGAGGATGCGGTCGAGTCGGATGACTCCTTTGCGATCTTGTCGGTGAGGCCTGGCGGGATGAATTAGCGGGTTTCCAGCGAGTAGATTATAGGGTAGTAGAGGTGAGGGTCGAATGGGAGCGGAGGGGCATGACGTACTGCCAGCGACACCTTGCTCAACTGGGTGGTCTGGCATGGTGTTTAGGTTGATGTGGTGTCTTGTTTGTTGTGTTGTCGATGTCTCGGGGGTGCAGGGCCGCCGATGTATAAGAATTCTTGACAATAAGCGTTGACCTTGTCTTCGAGCGTCGGTTCTTTCACGTCAAGTTTCTTGACGTCTTGTTCGAGTGCTTCGGTTTCGATTTTATCCGGTTGATCCTCAGGAAGGTCCGGTAAGTTATGGTAAAAGGCTTGTAATTTCTCAGAGTAGGCTTGTAGGTCGGCAGAAGAGGGTTGGGCTGAAGACATGGTCGGGTTATGTAGGGGTCTCGGCGTGTGTAGTACGTAGTGCGTGATCGGTGACGTAGGTGAGTATGGATGGCGGGGCGCGCTCTGATGGCTGGAGCTGGCTCAAAGGGGAAGCTAGAGTGGGAGAGGTGTTGTTTGGGTTAGTGCGGGGGAGGGGCTGGGGCTTGGAACATCGATTCTGTGGACGACTGGCATCACTCCAAGCTTCCTTGTGGATACATGTACCACTATATTCATGGATAAACAGGATCGTTTCTTTTCTTTACTCTAGATACTGCGTTGGTAGTTTCTCCGCGATAGACGCCTGGGGCGGCTGCGCTGCCTCGTTGTTCGTTAAGCCAACGGATATTTCGTTCAAAAATGCTACTACCGCGCACGCAGAGACGAAAAGGATTGAATAACTATGTTTTTGCATCAGTTCGTATCCCAGAGTATGCTGCGTAGTGACTTACTGGATCCAGATCCAGACTGGAAGAGAAGAGGTGTGCTCCCGGAAACGCTCAGAAGTCAGCTGCGCTGCAACTATCTTCACATTCAGCTGGATTTCCGCATGGCACCTACCAAGGGACGACAAACGTACTGTAAAAACTGAGCTTGGTCGCCTGGATGGCCATAGCGAGCAAGCTGAAGAGAACAGTTTGTGCAGTGAGCCGACCGCTAATTCTACTGGTTCCCATTGTCCAACTCAGTCCGCCTGCACGAACAAGTTGACACAGATAGATCAGGTGAAGGTTCGCTTCAAAACAGCCGATATTGGCCTTGGCGGCTAGAACAGTGTCGTTATCATTCCAGGCCTGTTCTCCGTATAGGTTGTTGATGGCAGCCCATCGTACCATGGGCTTGAAGACAGGACCATGCCATTTGCCACCAGGCAGGGTGTGAGGGCGAAGGCTGATGTATGCTACGTCATACCATATGGAAAAGTAACTAAAGATACTCCAAACGGCAATCTCGTATCTAGGTGTATGAGTGAAGACCATGGTCACGGTGTGGAACAGATTTGAGGCTATGTGCTTTAAGTAGACGGTACATAAGTCAATGTCGGATATCGGATGTATGTTCGCGCCTCTGCCGTTCTTGCCGGATGATAGCTATTGAGCGTCCAGTCTACTACTACAAGTCTTGAAGAGGAAGACTGTGCCATATATCCGGAATGATATAGGATAACGTCGGATTTATCCATGTTCAGCGTCTTCTTGATGGTGTGCCGCGGAGTGCCTTGACAACACGCGTACTCGTTCTCTGCTACGAACTCCACCCCCTCGCCAAATTACCAACAATAGAAGAACTACTGCACGCCATCCGAGCGCGACATCACTTCTCACTCGGGCCTGCGATACGCTGCAGATACGACACCGTTACGATGGAGGGTGCGGGGAATAAGGGAATAGTGTTGTGAAACGAGGATTAGCGGCTAACTCAGCCACTGCGACCGCGTAGCAAGGGTGCTTGGCCTTCTCCCGCCCCTTCCAAGCTTCACGGACGTTTCGCTTTGGTTACCCGTCGTCATTCAAGGGAGAGCGAGAGATGCACCAACACATCAGAAGGCCACTCGCTCTTCTTCGCCTTTTCCCTTCTTGATGCCGTGGGCTTTTGTAGCGACATGAGGCACATCCTGAACCGTCGATCGTTATATCCCCATCTATAGCCATATACCCTAGCCGGCCTTTGCACTGCGACTCCCCTTAAACCCGCTGGTCGGAACGAACACATTGTCAACGCGTCGCCTTTTGATACCACGGCCATCGCGATGCCGTCGCTATTGGCGCATTCTCTATTTGCGCGCCAGAACCCCCTGGACGAGGCGAGGAACACGCTCAGCTCATGGGACAATTGTATGGCCAAGGCCTACTGCAAGTGCGTTGCAACGACGGGCCTCAGGCTTGAACCCCCCTGCTCACAGAGAATAGATGGCCTGTCATTGTCGCAATCATCATTGGAGGCCTCATCCTCATATCCGTGGTTACCTGCATAGCGCGATGCATATGCTGCGGCGCCGAGTGCGCGTGCTGCTGCTTTAGATGCTGCACATGTTGTTGCAGCGGCAGTGGAAGAGGACACAAGCGCGTCAAAAGCGACCCAGCAGCCCAGTACCCTACGCCATACGGTGCTTCTCCTCCTCCCATGAATCCCTACGCTCAAGCGCATGCCGCTGCGCCGCCTGCTCCACCCATCGATACCCGCCCGGCGAACCAACAATACCGCTCCAATGCGATGCCGACCTTTACGCCAGCTGTGCAGCCCGAAAGACCGCAATTCGCAACTTTTGATTCGACACGAGCCGTGGTCAACGAAGACGCCCTACCCGCTATGCCGACATGGAAAGATGGGCGCGACGTACATGTCGAAGTGGAGGAACAACCCGCGCCTCAAAAGCAAGGAGATATGGAGCTGGATAGGCTGGACCGCAACGGCAGTGTGACAAGCGGATCAATGGGAGGCGTAGCAGCGGCCGCAGTACCGCCAACACGACGATCTCCTGGCCCGGGCAGGTCCCCAGTATCGCCAATGGACAACTACGGCTACCCTCAAGGCGGCTACCAAAACGATTCATTCGTCAGCGAGGGAGCGCCGTTGAATAACCAAGGTGCCTATGGTCGGCCATACGCACAACAAGACGAGTACGGCAGAGGTTCGCCAGCTCAAAACCTATCGCCCGTTTATGGAGCAGGCGATGGTTACAGCCAGCAGCAGCAACAACAACAGTCATACGGCCGCCGCTCGCCAGGCCAACCTCAGGCCTACGACTCGCGAGACCAGCTTGGTCAATACAACCAACAACCACCCTACAACCAACAAGTCCCACAAACCTACGACCAGCGAGACTACTACGACGAACACGTCGACAACCGCTACCAATCCCCCTCTCCACCCGCCGCAAACCCTTACAACAATACCTACAACGCGAATCCCTCCTCATCCTACGACAACTTCGCACCAGCGCCAGCACCAATGCAACAACCGAGTTCACTCACCCCTGGCTACCCAGCCTCCGAGTCAACGAACCATGGGTCCTTTATGAATGCGGCGCCGGCGTACCCTGGGCAGAGGTCTTATACGCCCGTGTCTGGTAGTGTTGGAGGACAGCAGCAGCCGTACCGCGCGTTCTCGCCGCTCGCGCAGGGGGAGCAGGGGCAACAACAGCAACAGCAACAGCAGTATAGTGGGGTCAGCAGGAAGCCCGTTGATGGGAGTTTTAGGGAAATATAGAGACATTTAGTATCAAAGAATTCGATGCCCTAACAGAAGACCTACGACTTACCTTAGTGAGTGTGGCGCTGCAGTAGAGAGTTTTGGTAGTGTGCTTGTGACTAGCAACTCTGGGAACGGCGTGGTGCAAGTGCACGCACTACCGATAAGTAGTACGAACATTGTCGTATCCACCATCCTCGTGATGTCCTGCAATGCAATTCTGTACGCATCCGCGGAGTAGAGATGGGAAACCAGTATTGCAATCTCCTGTGGTTGGGGAGAACAAGGCCTAGCAATACAATATAACAAACACCCACGGGCGATAGTCGTGTAGTTGGCAGTTCGCACAACCAACAAAGCCGACAACATCACCAATGTAAAGACGAACGAGTAAGGTATTATAGTGCGTCCATTGAAAGCTGGGGGTATCTATGCGACAGGTCGTGATCGATCAAGAATGATTTCCTCCACGTCCCTTGCATCCATCTCTCTTGGGCGTACAAAAACAAAAAGGAAATCGGGGTAGTCGCTGTAACTCCATGCTTGCTGTTCATGATTACCACATCCATCTTCATCCTGCTCGGGGTATAGGTATAAACATCCACACAAACTCTTTCAAGAAACGATCTCGCTCCGTTCGTTGACACCGCTCAGGGTTGCTTTTGTCGTGTCGTGTTGGTGGTTGACCGACATAGCAGGGTCCTTGCGGCGAGTAGCGAACGGTCTTGTCCGATCGTTCGTCGTCGTAGTAGTGTCCGTGGGTTTAGTAGTACCCAAATCTCCTCATGCGCCATCCTTCACAAGAGAGAAGTAATGATCAGCAACGACGCAGGTGAGAAACGGGTTCACACTAGACTCTACTAGTGTGTGTAGTCCTTCTCCTTCCACCACCGCCACGACCGCAGGTGAGGCAGCTGATGATGATGCCGAAGAGGGAGACGATGGCGTTGATGATCGCCTTAAGACCAGCAGCGATGGCGTTGACAATGGCCATGATGCAGTTTCCGATGGTGCGGAACTGAAGATATTATGTTAGTTTATATCGTGGTGAAGTGAGAGAGCAGAGGGATACGTACAACCGACTTGATGCAAGATACTACGGCACCCATTGCAGCGGTGTTGTTGTCGTGTAGATTTCGGTGTGGTAGTTTATGTGATGGGGTATAGGATTCGAGGCCGAAGAGTTGATTGTTTGTAGGTTCGTTGTTAGATGGTTGTTGTATGTGAGTGGGAGTGTGTGTATGACAGCAAAGCAAACAGACCCTCTCACTTATAAGCAGTCGCGGCTGCCAAACAACGACTCCCCTTGCACCAAAGCTACGTCACACCGTGTCCGTGCCTGGTCCCCCTAGTTCACACCCAGCTCATCTTCAGCGGAAATTTGTTACGCAGGGCGCGTGCTTTGCTCAAACTCATCCTGCAGGTGACTCTCGCATGGATCCGCAAACAGCCAAGCTCGAACAACGTCAGTGCAAAAAGTCAGGTTTGCTTGCTCACCTCGCCCCCAAAGCGGTAAAGATGGACATTTGATGCGCTCAAAGCAGTCGCGGAAAACAAGGTTAGTCCTGGTAAGCACTGTCTCGTGTGGGTCTCACGCCACAACCTTAAACAACAGCGACGTCACCGGTAGGCCCTGATGCAGTAGCGATCGAAGGTATGCCGTGGCTGGACCATGCAAAACACGCAACTCTCACCATCGCGATGGAGCGTTTTTCATGGTAGCGCGCTCAAAGCAGGTAGACCGGATTCTGATAAACGCAGGTTGACGATGGATGCGGCAAGCTACTCAACGTTGTGCGTTGCGAGACTGGTTATCGTGCCAACCACGAGTGACTGCGCCCCTCCTTCTCCTCACACACACGACCTGTAGCCATCATGTCCCGCATGCGCACCCATATTTGATCAGCCAAATCCGCATCATGTTCTTATCCGGCATTGCTCCACCGTTGCAAGATTCCCGGAACGTTGTCTGTCAGCAACTGTGACGTAGTTTTTGTGGCGGTCGGCGAGCGGCTCCAATCTCCACCCGTTTTCTCTCCAGTCGTTGATGAGCTAACGCCACAGCTCGGGACATGGGTCTTGACTTGACATGAAGCAATCTCTGCAAACAGGGCAACGGCACGAGGCATGCGGTTTTCGATTCAACGTCTCACCACCTGCACTTTTGACCAGGGACATGAGCCGTATGTTGTCATAGCTGCGCTGCGGCAGCCAAGAATTTTGAGCACGTCGCGGTCCAGACTGCCAATGCCAGGTTGCTTGGGAGAGACATCTTGTACAGCATTCTGGAAATAGCACGGTTAACCTGGCATCGGGAACAACGCACAATGCGATCTTGGATCTGAACCTCGATGCCCAGACCGCGTAATCTTGCTTTCATTTCTAGGCCCTCGTGGAGATTAACAGTGGCTATCCAGAATATCCAATCATATTCTCAGCGACCAGATTTATCAGGCTCGAGCGCGAAGAGCACAAGAAGATTAACAGCGGCTGGACGCGACATTGCACATGAGCGTTTCGAGATTTATTGTTTACAATGCGGTGAGAGCGTTTAGCGCTGGCGTTGTTTGTCGTTGATGTCCGACGTGTGGCTGGTGACGCCGTCGCAATGTCCTGTGCTGTCAACGGCGGCCCGCCCCTTCGCAAAGGCTCGCTGCTCGTACCAACTTTTTCTACTCCGAGTTTTGGCACCGTCCGGAGTTCTGCGCATTAGTGGAGCCTGACCTAGCAGAACCACACACACATCACGTATGCATGCACCAACCTCACGCTCACCTACCAAGGAACGCATAGCCTGTCATGAGCGATGTATTCTTTCGTCATCATTCATTCATTCCATTATGCTTGTCGCTTGCCACTTTGGCCTGTTTCTAGCTATAGCTACCATCCGGCTTTGTTTCGTTACCCATACACATCATAATCACAACCAATCCAACCCCCCCTAAATCAAGCACCGACATTGTGCTATCCCGTCGCGAAGCCCAATGCCAGTATGAAAATACAGCCACCACCTCTTCGCTGAAGAAGGAAAAAAAACTGGAAAGAGAAATGCCACACGCTTGTTGCTATTGGGGTATATCATTTGCTGTCGTTCGAAGAATCATGGAATCTCAATGCTGATTGATGCTGTGTTGAAGGACCAATACAGATGTAGCGGGAGCGATGTTTGATCGATGGTATGATTCACCCCAAAATTAGTTGTTGATCTGGAGAGGAGAGAAGCCGTGGAGCTTTCCATTTCCCACCGTATCATACTGAGTTAAGCTTAAAGAACGTTGTTTCGTGACGATGTACTCGGCTTATAGGTCTCGGCTGCTGATATTGGTTGTATGACTACTCCGGACGATTCTCACCATCTCACTTCGCCTTGGTATTCTTTGGAACAGGCAGTATGGTTTCCTCGGTGATGTTAGTCTCCAGTTTTAGCCTGGAGCTCGATCGCGAGATTGATCTCATTCGACTTCTTGTCCTCTTATCTGGGGTGACGAGGCCTCCTTCGTCCGATGGTGCCAAGGAAAAAAGAGTTGGAGTATCCGGTCGCTTCTGGTAGGTGCCGAGAGGACTTGGGTGCCGCTCGATAGTCTCGCGACTCTCCTTGCGAGTCCCGAGATGAGCCTCGCTCAAAGCCCTCTGACGTCTAGGACCCATTGAATCGCCACACTGTTGACGGCTCCAGCTAGGACGATGCTGGCGAGCCGCCTTGGGTAGACTTGAATAAGACGCTTGCGACCGGAGACTTCCGGCTCTATTCCGTTGGATGAGTCGGTCTGCGGTATCGCCACGATTTTCTTCATGCAGCAACCGCTGGGATGTAGCATAATCGTTGTTAATCTCTCGCATAAACTCCTTGTCCTCATCTTCGAGCTTGGCCATCCGCCTCACTTGTTTCAGCTCAAAATACGGCATCTTCGGTAGTTCCGGTATTGTGTGAACTGGAACCGCACGTGGTCGCCGTCGAGGAACATCCGGTACTGCGGAATCCATGTGCGCGAAATACTTCTCACGTATAGGGTTCCAACTCAACGGTGCCATCACTACCCGGTTGCGCGTGAGGGACATGTAGTTGGAGACAGCCCCGATCAGGATCAAAACCATCACAGCAATCGTCAGAAGACCTTGGATGACAATGATGAGGATGCCAATAACGGTTGTAGGGATACGAGCAATGCCGAACCGCGTGTCAAAGGCTGCCGAAAGCGCTGTAGTAGCAACCTTACTGAACCCAAGAAGGTACACTGCTATGATGTTAGCCGCTGTCCCTCGAAAGGTCGAAGAATTATGAAGCCAATGAAGGCGACAACTTCAACTGCGAGGAGACCGACAACCTGGACCAAGGGTTGGGTAGATGCGCCAGCAAGGAAGCCTGCTCGAACGAATTCGTAGAACAGCCAGACTATAAAGAACCACCAGCGAGTCTTCCTATAGCGTGAAGCAAGCCACCCAAACTTTGTAGTGTACCGCTCGTCACCATGGATTGATATAGTGTCAGCCATGGCGTGTATCGTCCACCAAGGAATTGTGCCAATATATACCTGGTCTTCGGAGCGTGGAACCTTGCTGTTTTTGGAAATTCTGATCCACGGAATCACCTTGCAGACTCGTCGCCTTGCTATATTCAGGCGGTCAGGTTCGGAGATATACTTGCCGACGCGAAGTCTGGAAAAACAAGCGTAGGCGGCAATGCTGCCGATGCCGAACACTACAGCGACGAAGACTATGCACGCGACCACAACAGGGCCAGAAAGAGCCAGGTAGGAGAACTGAAACATAGCAAGAAAGGTCAACATGTAGAACCCGATAAAGACAGTTCGCAAAACGGTCAACACGGTGAAAGCCAGGTAATGGTCTCGGAAGAACGCCAGTCGATCTTTCTTGACGACGCGTATATGACTCAGGCCTTCGAGAATGGCTTTTAGAGATATTAGGGATGCAACAATGCACGCAACCAAGATCAAGAACCAGAGCAGTCCGGTCATGAAAGCGTTGCTTGCTGGAATGCGCTCCGTCGCAAGAGTACCAGCAAATTCAGAATAATTGCCTGGAAGTGGCAGACCAGGCTTAACCGGCAGTCCGTAATATCTGAGCCCACTGTGAGCATCAACGAGGTGGCGCTTTGCTAGAGCAGCTTGGAGATGCAGATCTTGAGAAAGAGCACCTCGTTTGTATATCTGGTGGATGTCGACCCCTCCTCCCAGATTAGGATTGTTCTCGCCTGTACCCGCAGCACCGACTTGCGATGTGTTCCCTTTGTTCGAACCGATGAAGTCGTTGATTGTGTTCTGCATCTGCTCAGAGTAGATCATACCGCTAGCCCAGGCGTAGTTGCTCCAGAAACCCACGACGACACTCGGCCAGTTCATCGAGAGCGCACCACTGTAGAAGATGTGATGCCACACGTTGAAGACCACTGAGACCGACAGTGAATGGGTGTAATGTTTGCGCATCTCGACGATGTTGGATCCGTAGGCGGCCGTGGCGAACGAGGAGAGGACGGATAAGAGGGTGAAGGCCCCTAGCGTCGAGCTTACGGCACTCTTCTGCTGAAAAGTGAAGCCGTTGGTGATCTGTGCAGCGAAACAGCCGATCTCGTGTTGGGTAGAGTTGGAGAATAGCCGCAGGATGGCTTGACCCTCGAAGTCGGGAATGCTCAGTGCAATCTCTGGGATCCCAGCGACGTCATCTTGGCTAACCGGTATTATGCCCGCAGCCTCAATCTGGATACCGGCTTTGGCAGGGCAAGCGCTGAGTATGTTGGCGTCGCAAGGATCGAAGGTCAGGTCGAATCGACTCTCTCCGTACGCATAAACGCCAATGTTCATCATAATGTCTTCTTTCCGAAGTCCAGTCTCACCCTCCAAGTGGAAGATGATGGTCAAGTTGTCCTTATAGTAGGCAGCATCGAATCTTGTAACGTTGATGGCGCTCTCGCCTAGACAGTCGCCATAGTCGGCAGTGTAGAGAGATGGCTGTCGGTCATCTCGAACTTGAAACTTCCTACCACCAATGATACCAACCACCCATGTATCATCGTCTGTGGCGACAGAGCTTACTAGGAAGAGCAGCAGAAGGTAGACTGCCAATAGAGGCTGAGTGCATCCTTGTATACGCATGTCGCATCGATTTGTGAGAGCGGATTGCGTGGTCGTGGTGATACACAATCGATGGGTCTACCAATATGCGGCTCAACAGCAGTTGTCTACAGGGGTCGTTACCAGCTCGACCGCGGTTTATGACGAACAGCGGTACTAGAAGAGAGTCGGAAGTTGAGCGAGGATATTCGGAGCGGAAGATACGAATTCAGCGGTGTAACACAGTGAGCAGATGCAGCATCGCGATGTTCCAAGCAACAGCAGCGAGAGAAGAGGTGAAGAGTGCGAAAGGTGAAGTGAGCGTTGGAAGACCGAAGTAAACCGAACCGTTACTATTTGGCCGGGCAAGTGCTGGGAATGTAAAGAAGCAAGAGCCACTCGGCACTTGCTAAGCACATTCTGATGTCGCAAGCACAACTCTACTTAGTCACGAGCCGCCTATTGCAACAACAACTTCCGGGTACGCAACAAATGAATTGAAGACATGGAAACGACCATTACTTATATCAACAATGTAGCGTCATGAGGTGCAGCTACAGCATGCTAAGCTTTTCCACCTGCATTAACGTCGATCTAGCGCGTAACTCTGATGTCTACAGTGGAGGTGTCACACCCACTAGCATCTCAACACTGATACAATCTGACGCTCTTGTCATCAGCGAAAAGCAAGAAGTCTAGCACGCCAATGATATACTCGGATTACTGGTCGCATATAGCCGACCAGACAATACCCTACTAAGCACCACTGCTCTTCTTATGTAAGTCGCGGAACCATTTCCGTCTCTACATATCGAATGATATAGATCTATCGCATTGCATAAATGACTGAACAAACACAACCAAGGTGCCACCACTTCCATCTCCATACCTCACCTCAAGCCTCTGCTTCGCTCTACCAGCCAGATATCAAAACCGTTCCAAAGTTACCCAAACAACTCTCTCAACACCACCAATCCACTCGCGCTCAGGCCAAACGCGAACCACACCATGTCCCTCCTCCCTACGCACCTCCTTTCACCCCCAACCTGGCGCTATCTAGGCCTCGGCCTAACAACCACCTACTTCGCCCTGGGCCTCCTCTCCCTCACTCGTCCCCTCACAGCCGCATCATCTCTCGGCGTGCACCCCAAAACCCCCGAAGGCCACGCCATCAATCAAAAATCCATGGTCTTCCTCGGTATCCGCGATATAGCCGTTGCATCGTCTTTATTCTGGTTTTATAACGAACGGAAAAGCAGGGAGATGGGTGTGCTAATCTCGAGTTGGCTCCTGGTTTGCGGGACGGATACTTGGGCTGCGATGGAGGGGTTGGATGGGTGGAGGGACAAGGGGGTTTGGATCTTGGTCGCTGGGGCGGTGGTTACGGGGGTTGTTGGGGCGGGATTGTTAGGGGTGCAATAGGAGGAAACTACCTTTGTTTGTGCGTATGGGAAGGTAATCCTGAATAGCTGGGGCAGCCAGCACGGAAGTCACGCATGTTAAAGTGAGAAGTCATGTACGAGGCCCCTTATGGTTGCATATATTACACCGTAGCGTCTTCCTACTCGCTTGAGTATGCGTACAAGTAAAACGCAACGTCATTCCATCCTCGATCCTACAACCATCCGCATGCAAAAGTGAAAAAAAGACATGTGAACGTGTATCAATCTGCGTTGTATACAGAAATGATCCGACGCCATCCACCAATCACTGTCATACCACCACTCCTATCATGCATGCATACAAGTAGCGCAAACAAGATGCCCAGGTTCAAAATACAGTACAACCCTAAACCCACTCATTACAATAGGGAAGAAGTAAGCCATCTGGTATCCAAACACCTCTTTCCCCCACCATTACCACCATCATTACCATCATCTTCTTGTACTTCCTTCATCTTGGTATCCTACTCCAAAACCTCCACCATGCTCGCCTTCTTCTCCTCGTCCTCAACCAACATACAGCGCGCGCGACACACATCCTCGACGATATCGACCACTTTGCGGAAGCTGGAGGCAGCGCCGCGGGTTTGCGTGAAGCGCGCGAGGCAGAGGTTAGCGCGGTGTCCGTGTTCGAGTACGACGAAGAGTTCGATGACGAAGGTTACGGGTTTGATTTTTAGGTCTGTTGGGGTGAGAGTTGTTAGCATGGATGCTTTCATGAGTAGTGACGAAATAAAATGCGGCATTACATCGCCATACAAGCTCAGCTTCCAGCACCTCGACTTCGAGTCGCCACCACTCTTGCAAATGCCCTCCGCTGAATAAAAAACACGCCCGGGGTGATGGGTACTTACGGTTGCTCTTGTCAATGCGTGCGCTGATGGAATTTGCTTTGCGGTCCAACGATACGTCCCGGACGCCGAAGCGCTGCCAGTCGCGCAGAAGACGAACCAGGTCCTGGCGAACTTTGCCACGGCCGATCTGGAAACACAGAGTCTTGCTAGCGGGCTTGATGTGAAGGAAGCGTGATAACCAATTCATCTGCATCTCAGGCGGACCGGCACGAACTGTATCATTGTTGTTATCGGATCCGACGTCGAAGTTAGATAGGATAGAAGACGAGCTGAAGTTGAGTGCTGCGAAGAGGTCAGCATGATGTGAAGTGAAGTCCAGGCGATGGAACATATGCTTACCTCCCAGCTCCATAGACTTCTTGCCCTTGTCATCCTTCGATTTCTTGCCAAGGAAGGCGAAAATCCCCTTGCGAACTGAATCGCTCTTCGCAGCAGCAGAAGAGCTGCTGTTGCGCATAGGGAATTTACTCCCACTGCTACCATCAGACCGCTTCTGATCATGCTTCGTATTATCGACGTTCGTGAAGGGGGCGCGGTCAGTCTTGATGCGGTCATCCAGACCTTGCCATGCCTCTGGAATCTGGAGGAGTATGTTCGACTGCTTCTTATTGACTTGGTTCTCCTTGTTCTCTTGGTCGCGCTCCTGCTCGCCGGTGTTGCGACGGAACCACAACGATTTCTTCTTCTTGAGCACCATGTTCTGCTTCTCAAAGACGGGAGCGGCGTCGTTCGTACGTGGAGCCCGAAAATTGGGTTGTCCGTCATGGTACGGTCGAATTGTAGGTACGGCAGACATCTCCTGAGTCGCATTCGTTTTCAAGCTTGAACCACTGCGCTTGCGGATGTTCAGAGGAGCAACGCGAGTGGGAGATCCATCTACGAGACGAATAGTCTGCTGCTGCTCAGTCACCACACGACGGCTTTGAGGCCTGATTGGGTCAGTGACAGCTCGATGCTTGGGAACACGAATGTCAAACCCATCTCTATTATCAGCCTTCACCTCCTCGGGAATCACACGGAGCGGCCTACGCTCAGGAGACTTAACGGGAGCTGAGACCGTACGCTTGCCACCGACTGCAGGCACCATGAGGCGATCGAGGTGTTCAAGCACATTGTTGAAGTGTTCAGTGCTATCGTCATCCTCATTCAGGCGCTGGGCAATCTCTTCACGAGTCTCCGCCAGCTTTCGCTGCAGGAAGGTGTTGGGAGTCTCGGCCGGGATCGGTGGCAGCGGCCGATCTCCAAAAAATAACCTTGTACCCGGGGTAGTGGCCAGTGTACTGCCGCCTGAGTCTCGAGTATTGGAGAAAGAAGTTGGAGGGCTTTCGTACTGCGAGGCATCGTGATAAGCATCTGACCGAATGCTTGAGCCGACCGAAGAGCGGTTGAAAGCTTCTTCCATGACTTTGCCCAGCTCCATGCTGACCTTCCGAGCCTCTCCCTGGATGTACTTGGTAGGGCTCCCTGGCTTGCGAAGTTTCAGGCGTGGCGTCTCTGAGTTCATACGAGCCCTTGGCTTGGGGACTAACCGATTCGTGCCAGTCTTGATAGATGGTCCGTAAGACCCAACAGAAGTGTGAGGCCGATGAGACATGTAATCAGCACAAGAGCCAGCCTCAGTTTGCCAGCTGCTAGCTGTCGCTGCCGAAGACCGACGATCGCGCAGGTGCGAAAAGCTCACACCTCTTTTACCCATACCAGCGGAGCGAGCAACGACAGGTGGGCTACTAGGCCAATGGGAGCTCGCGAAGGACGACCGGGACATTGAACGTTGCTGGACCGAAGGGGCACGATGATATGAAGGAGTGCTATGGTGGGAAGGAGTGCATTGTGAAGAGCCGCGCGAAATTGCAGAACTACGCTTAGAGTTGTTCCGCAGAGCTTGAACGCGTAATGAGTTCCCCGTATGATGTCCGAAAGCCGTGGTGGGACGTTGCTTGTCGCTGCGGCTGCTACGCCCCCGGTGAACGGTAACATTCTGGTTGAGAGGGGCATCTTCTGGAATGGGAACGATGGGCTGCCGTGAAGCTCGGTATGGATCGTAGCTGGCTTCAGAGACAGGCGACTCATAGAGGCTGTGCTTCGAGTATAGATGCTCGTTATTCAAGATCGAATAGGCAGATTGTGAGCGCTTGTGAGCGTGGTCGTTTATGGGAAGTTCTTCCATATCCTTGCGTGTGGGCACATGGCGCGTATTGTGATGATGATCGCTGTTGGAATGAGCTACGGTATAGTGCGCGCTCGGTTGATAGTTCTCCAACTGGTCGGTGTGGTACTTCTTTAGTGCAGAGTAGAAGTACTTCTCTTGGTTTGCTCTGTCCAACTATTAGTAGATGCCTATGTGTACTGTAAAATCAGCCGCTTACTCTTGACTCAGCAGCTTCTGGACCAGAGCCTCCTCCTTCTCGCTGTGCCAGAGCGTACGCAGGTAACGCAAGATTTCGCGATCAACGGATTTGCGCTCCAGAGTTGTCCACTCTGCAATAGCGGGAAGAGGACCAGTCCAGTGGTTGACGTTGGCATTCTCTCCCACGAAGTTTAGCTCTTGCTGATACTTGCTGAGGAAAGGATGGTCCCAGATCTCATCGATAGAGATGCGACGGTTTGGATCAGCGATCAGAATCCTCCCGATCAGGTCCTGGGCTTCTCTAGAGATGTTGTCGGGCATGACATACTTCGCCGCTGCGATATCACGAAACAGGTGCTTCAAATCGCGCTCATCGCCAGAGTAGTTGAAGGGAGGGGTGCCGGTGAGGAGGACGAATAGTATGACTCCACAGCTCCATACATCTGCCTTTCCTCCGTCATAGGATGTAGTCTTGATAACCTCTGGTGCAGCATAATGAGGGCTACCGCAGGGTGTGGTAAGTTTCTTGCCGATAGGCTGTAGCGCAGCCATGCCGAAGTCGACAAGCTTGACCGTCATGGTAACTCTGTCCAGCAGGATGTTCTCGGGCTTGAGGTCGCGATGATGAATATTAATTCGATGGCAGTAGATTAAAGCTGCGATGATCTGACGGAAGATATGGACCGTATGGATCTCGATCAGTCCATGTTGCTCGTGAATGTAACTGAAAAGCTCGCCATCTTCTACAAACTCCATGATGAGGTAACTGCAAAATGTTAGACAGGGCGATTATAGTGTGTGGTGTACTTACAGCTCATCGCGGTTCTCCCAAATATCATATAGGCGGACGATGTTGGGATGGTCCAGCAACTTCATGATGCAGATCTCGCGCTCCAGGCCAAATGGAATGACCTTGCCATCGGGATATAGTGACGAGTCCTGCTCAGCGCTCTGAATGAGATTGGCCAGGCTTAGAGCGCGCACCTTCTCTGCTGTAGCTTTCGAGATGATCTTTGCCGCACCATATTGTCCTGTGCCGCTGTGCCTGACAAGTCGTACACGCGAACAGCCACCTCGTCCAATAGTCCTACCCAGCTGCCAAGGGCCAATGTGTGTCTTGCGGCGGCGGTTCGAGATAGAGGCATTGGTGCTCGCATTCGAAATTTCGGAATCGCGCTTGGAGGTGTGAGGGCGGCCTTCGTGGGCTTGAACTACGGATAGACGCTTGTTTTCTGGCGAGGCTTCTTCGTGCCGAACAGCAAGAGTACCATTTGGAACTATGAACTCGTTGTGGGGGAGCGGCTGAGGTGACGAAGATGCGTAGCTGTTGCTGCGCTTTTCGTTCCCTTGCTGAGTGCGTGGGCCCTCGTTCACGCGATTGGTGCCATCTCCGAGTGCGCGTCGACGCGTTGGTGGGCGGCCATGGAAGCTGGAATCCATATTGTGGGTAGAAGCTTGCAGTGGTCAAGGTGGAAGCCCTCAAGTAGTGCAGCCGCCGTGGTTGTGATGCAAGGGTAGGATGAAAGCCAAGATATACAAGATGGTAAGGTGGGCGTCCAAGTATAAAGCTCGCGGTGTGTTGTTGTGGTAGTCGAAGTCGCTGTAGTGGGTGGAATCAGGCAAAAGTCATGACCAGGATGTTGTGTTGTTGTTTATCGCTGTTGGTACTGGAAGCGCTCGCTCGACAGTTTGACTGCCAGCGAGTCCGTAGACAAAGCCGGTAAAGGAAAGGCGGCTAGATGTGCAATGCCAGGTGAGACTGCTCTCGCTCCAAGAGGCTAACAAGTAGATGGATGCATACAATGGACCAGCTATGCAAGTGTTGATGTTGGGGAAGGAATGGATGTTGCGAGGGGAGATTTGTGCACAGACGAACCCTTGTGGAAGCGCGATCGGATGCAAACGTGGCGACGGTAGGAGCAACTTCGATGCCAGCCACAGCAGTGGTGACTGACCTGATAAGCAGGAAAGCATCTCTCGATCTTGCATGAGATACAAACGAGGCGTTCAGAGATACAGCGTTATTGGAATGTAACAACAATCATAGGCGAGACGTATCGCCATGATCCCAAAGAAGGTGAGACGAGTGGAATATTCAACTGGTAAAGGAGAAGAGATGACGATTGAGATGATAGCTGTTCCTTACCTGTGACAGCACAATGTAAGTCTAGAACTTCTTCGTGAGCTCTGGTCATTTTCCTTGTGGAGGCGGCGGCAGGTCTTGCTCGCGAGTGTGGCGCCCGGGTCGCAATATGCTTCATGCATGGACATACTGAGAGACATCATGAAGTTGAACTAACAACGCAAAGTGCCTCAAGACAGAAATTGATCGCATGCAAAGGGAAGGAAACAACAGCGAAGCCGGGCGATACTGGTACATTTGGGAACTTCGAACACATTACCATCACATTTCAACCCTCCCTAATCAATCAAGTAACAGATCCATGGGGCAACTGAAAAACATGAGACGAAGCACATCGTCGTGAGGTGAATGCGCGTATTTCACAACGCGCATTGTGATGAGGTGAGGTGAGGTCAGGTCAGGTCGAGGTTTGCAACGCGTCGCGCATCTTCCCCTCCCACGTCCGTGCCGCGTCATCCCGTACCAAACTCCCAGCCCCCGGTATCTGCCGAACAATTCAACCCGGCTACATGGTTGGCACTCTCTTTTTATGTACCTAACCGTCGCTGCGTCCCTTGCACGCATCAAAACCTTAATGCCGCGACCACTTGTTCGAGAATATAATGCAGATGTAATATACATTACTACTACGCAATAGGTACCTGCAGGAAGACGACAAACAGGTTAGGCATGACAAGCACCCGAATCACACCGCACTTTTGCCTTTGGGGACGATTTTGATTTTGCAGTGACAGTGTGACAAGTCATAGGAAACATATGTAGTGAAGACATCGATGAATCATAATATGTGTAGTATTGTTTTGCGATATCGCAGCCCCCAAGCCTTTTTGAAAATATATCCAGTTAGTGCCTCTCTCTCTTTCGCTGGATGCGAATGCATTGCATATGCAACCTGCCGTGGAAGCGAAGCAAAAGAAAAAGAAGCCCCCTGCATACAGAAGATGTTCCTTTTCGTCTCTGAAACATTACACCCGCAGCAGTGCTCTCTGCGATCCGCCCACCGACCGAACTTCAGGTCTGAGACCTCTCTGTCCTGTTCGCGGTCCCTGATCAAGCCCCGAGTGGGGAAAGAAAACGCGGCGTGAACTACACAGATACAACAACCGAAAAGCGCACATGAGCCAATGCAATACATCCCCGTGCGCAACAAACCCACCATGAGTACCTTCATACATACACAGAGAAAAAACAACAAGTAAAAGGTATCCGCGATCAAAAACGTTCCCGTAACTCCTCCCTTTCCATTTGTCCATTGCCCAGGGTAGTCCAGTCCAAAAATGAAGTGAGATAGAGCGTGATAAAAATGCATAAGTCGTAGCGTATAAGAGGGTAGAATATGTAATACAGGAGAAGAAGAAGTGAAGTCGAGGCCGAAGTATCTCCAGGTAGGTGACGTCGAAAGGTTGATCAATGCGATTTCGAGTCCTCGATTTTAGGCGACGGGGTTTCGCGTTTCGTGTTGTCGTCTGCGGCGGCTTTTCCGCAGCCCTTGACAAGTATATGGCGCTATCCATCTATTAGTATTCATTCTGTATGCAACTTTGTGAAAGAATTAAAACATACCTTCAAGGCGTCCTTGCGCGAGAAACTCTTGTCACAGTGGTTGCAAGGGAACGGCTTAACGGCAAGATGAATCCTCTTGTGCCTCTTCAAGTCATGATTGCGGTTGAAGCTCTGAGGGCACTGGTCACACTTGAAAGGCCGGTCATTGGCAGCTGGTTGCTGATGTTGCGGATGACCCATAAAATGCGGCATAGCAGCCGCATGTCCACTGTTGAACCCAGGCATCATGGCTGGATGTCCCCCGACCAAGGCAAGTCCGCCATTGGGGTTTTGGACGTTGGAGAAGACGGGGGCTTGGCCGCCAGGGTATTGTAGTGGTGGTCTCTGTTGGTATTGGTAGGGCGATTGTGAGGGGTTGTTCGAAGGGATCGAGGGGATAGAGCCTTGGGATACGGCGGGGGACATGCGGGGCATGGAACCGCCGGCGCTGATGGGGCTTTGTTGTTGGCTTAGTGTAGGGGATGGGCCGGTGGAGTAGGGAAAGTTTGAGTGTTGGGGGGTGCTGGCTGTGTGGTAGCTGTATGTTGGGGTCGGTGGTTGGGGTGGCCTGAAGGAGTCCTGGCTGAGAGCAGGCGATTGTTGTGGTGCTGAGGAAGAGACTGGTGTTTGTGCGCTCATCATCTGTTGGTGGTGGTGGTGGTGTTGTTGCTGGTGGTGGTGCTGTTGATGTTGCTGCTGTTGTTGTTGTGTGGATATCGAGGGCATGCTCGCTCCGTTGGACGAAGGCGTAAAAGGTGGAAGTTGCTGATTCATTTCGTATGGTGGCGGGTTCAGCCCTTTGCCCAGTGAGTCTTGTCGTCCAAGCTGACCGTCACCGCGCGGTGGAGCAAACATACCTCCACGAGCTTGGCCGTATTGGTGCTGCTGTTGATGATGCGCGGGTGGGTAGCCATAATGTCCTGCTGATCCCTGCGCTGGCGGAGAGTAGACGTATTGCCCGTTCGAGTATGCCATTGTCGTGGAGTACGGGGCGCTGCTCGTAGAAACACCGGATGAACCAATCACATCACTATGGTGTGTGTTTGGCGGAGTCAAAAGGTTGCCTATGGTAGACGGAGCCTGTGATGATTGGGACGTGGTGACGGTGTTTGTGAAGGGATATTTGTGCATGGGTGGTGGGGGGAGCTCAAAGCTGCCGAGTTGCTGGGCGTGAGGCCTCCGCGTTGCAAAGCTGGGGGGTACACCCATGGGGTCTGACCCAGGATGCATGGAAGACGGGTGAGCCACGGCAGCAGCCACGTTGGCGGTTGTATCCCGGGTAGGTCCTGATGACCTACCTGCTTCGGATGAAGGAGGACTTGGGAGAGATTGCAGCTGTGACGCTGCAAATGGCGGAGTGTAGTGAGCACCGGACCAATACAACCCACGTGAAGGCTGAGAATCCACGAAGGGCAACGAGCGGCTCGTAGCTCAAAGGCGTAATGTGAGAGGTAGGGGCTCTAGTTGAAGGGGGGACAAAGTGCAGATAATATGCAGGTAGTGGAGGGAAAGGGATCTTGTAGAAGGTCCTCCCAGTGCACAAATACCCGCTCGGTCTATGGGTTCGCAATGGTGCTCTCGGTCTAGTCTGTCGTCGCGTCAGACGGCTGAGGGCTGCTCCGAGTACTTTGAAATGATGCAATCGAACGAACGGCTCCGCTAATGGTACCTGCGCTGGTTCAGGCGGACAGTGATACCAACAGACGCACGTATGGCCGTAAGTACTCTAGAATGTCTCGGTGACTGCGAAGTGTTAGTGGTGCTCATCGTCGCAGGTCGAAAGAGGAGAGCGTACAAGAGATCAAAAGCAGATACTCGTGGAACTGTGGTGTTCTTCAACACAGACTGCTCGGTAGGGCCCGGTTTCCTGGTTGCGCAGACGTGGTGCTACTGAGACTGTTACACGGGATGTGTGTATGATAGCTTAGGGCTAAAGGTAGTGAGTCGTCTACTATGACGGCGTTGATGTTGTCGTCCGACGTTTGATAGCAATGCTCCGGATTGGCTGTGGTAGTCCTGTTGGTACTCGACCCGAGATGATGGATCGCAGTGTTGCAAGACGTGGTGTTGTACGTTGAGGATACGACCCACTGATCCTTTGGCGGCGGGGGAAGTGAGCCTTGTGAGGTGCTGGTGGTGGAGTTTGAGGCGTGTGGAGCGGCGATCACTCCTTGTTAAGCTCGGGACCTGGGCGCCCTAGAGGAGCGATGGCGGAGAAGGCTGGAACCTGGGAGGACTAAAGGCTTTGTTACCGCGAGTGAGTGGAGAGCGGTAGCCCTCACGTATATGTATGGCGGGCTAAGAATGTCAGGGTAGGTGGGCTCGCGTGGCTGACTGGCGCGCTGGGGCTTTGGGAAAATCAAGGGCTCAACCAGGCGATAGGGTCCGTCCAAGCGTTTTGAGGATCTGGATCGGGATGGGAGATGAGAATTAGCACGAAAGGCAAGCCTCAGGTGAGCGGGCGGGAGCGCTATCCACAGACGCACTTTGTCACAACAAGGCAACGCAAACGAGGCACGGCAGAAGCAATGCGACGAATGAATGACAAAACCACACCGTTCAGGTCCAGTTTAGAGAACTAGTCGAGCATGGGGCCAGACACAACAATGCATTACCAGGGGGGTGAAAGCACCCACCGTAGCCAGACCCTGTGCGCAGACCATCTGTCGGAGTCTGCTGGCGTGCGGGACGGCTTGGACCAGCAAAGTGGAGGAGAATCGCTTGCGCCGGCCCGTGGATTCAAGACGTCTGGATATCTCATAGTCACACTCGCTGATGAGCAGCAAGGTGTAACGCCGTAGCCCGGCACATGTTTTGACCGTCGCACGTTATGACGATGAGTGGCGCAAAAGCAGAAGTTGGACGGCCATGCGGCTCCTCCCCTGACCCAGACTCGCGGCACGACAAGAGACAAGGCAAAGGACGAAATGCTTTTGTCTTTCCCAAGTACCAAGGGTCAGGAGCCTACTGACACTCTAATGTGCGTCGGGACTGGCGCCAACAGGACCTGGGAGAGCCTGTTGGCGCACGGACGTGGTCTGGCCCAAACAACGCTGGGGCAGAGGCAAAGCACATTCAAAGACGACCCTTGCCTGGTTTGCCCAAGCTCGCCGTTGATAGAGGCCAATCGCCGTTACTAGCAGCGCTGATCTCAGAAGATGTCTGGTGGGTGTGTCGTAGAAGCGCTATCAGGTAGGACGTGAGCGCTTCATTCAGTCGCAGACCTCATCACGTTGCATTGTCGCGAGCCTCAGCGTCAACCATGGGCTCGCGAGAAACAGAGTCCAGCTGGGAAGTGCTTATCCCTGCAGGGATTTCTGTTCGGCGACCAAGGCTACGACCGTGCTTTCTACAGCTCTACGAGTTAGCTGACGACATGGCGCTTTGAACGAGCGGGCTAGCGCTAGCCGAGATGGAGCATGACTGCGAGCTGCACATGATGAAGTGATGGACTACCGTGCGCTTAAGCGGGCGTGTTTCGATGGCGGGATGAAAGAAAAGTGGGAGGTGTGCTAAAGTATCGGATCGACATGGCACCCGTTCCCTGTCCATGGTCTTGGCCGGGTTCGACCAGTTGCGGAGCAATATCAAGACGGTCGAGGCGTCATTCCGGAAAGCTGCTGCTGGCCCCGAGTGTGTGATGATTGGCCTTTGCGAGGATGAATCGTCGGGCTAAAATTAGACGTTGTATTATATTGCCCACGGCACGTGTGCATCGCAACAGGCATGGTGCAATAAGCAGAGCATTGTATACCCTGCTCAACTCAATCTCTCAGACGCCAGTCCCGGCGCACCGTCGTCGTACATTCTGCCTAGATGGGTGGATCTCCACGTGGAAGCGCATATTCGGCCCATTTTGCGCGCGTCTGGTGCCGTCTTACGAGTCTTGGAATCTCCGTCGTTGCAGAGTCTGTCGCAGCCAAAGGCGCCATCCTCTCAGCTTTCGCGGAAACACAGTGCGCCGGCGGCTTGATATGGCTGAAGGTTGACAGCTGCTGCACGATGGAATTTGATGATGGAAGCGCGTGCAAGACGTTCAAGACGTTCAAAACATTCAAGATGCATTCTGCAGATGCTGTGTCGTCAGAGTCTTTCCCAGCGGCCTGGTTTCGCGAGTTGGCGAAGTGGCGGAATGACATGGTGACAAGGAACTGGGGAGACGACTCCGCGGTCGATCAGACTGTCGGTTCATGTGCAAGCCAGGCCGTGTGGTAGTCGGGCTGATGCCACAGACCATTGTTTTGGGGCAGCCGCTGCGAAGCCATGCCCGTTAAGCTGTGTTGCATGGCCGAGATAGCGCAAAGATCTCATAGCCGCAGCCGATGGCCGGCTCCTTCAGCGCCCTCAGCGCCCACGGCGAACTGTGAGAGGCTGGTGTGGTGGCGTGCTGCTTCTCCCCGTCTCGGGTCGCGGTAGGCGTCACAACGTGGACAGCCCTGGCCATGTGTCTGCTTCCGATGGTGCCAGGATGCCGTATATTGACAGCTGCTGCGCAACAGAAGGTGCAGAAAGAAGCAGAAGGAAAGTCGTCACATTGCATCGGCATGCTCCCTCTCATCTCAGCGTGTTTGATCGCAAGTGATGGAGTGGGCATTTTCGTGTAATCCATGGCGTGCTGGCCCAATCAAGAGCATCCATAAGCGAGGCCTCCGCGAAGGGCAGTCGCGATCTGAAGCTGACCGGTGGTGCCTTCCTATTGCGCTTGCATCACACATGGCAGCGCATCTCGAGTAGAAACATGCGGCATTCACTCCTCTCCCACTGCCAGCCGCCTAAACTCATCACAGAACCCAGACGCCAAACTGGTTTGAGAAAGCCATGCGCCGATGAAAGCCAGGATCACCGCCTGCCATGGCTATCCCGGTCCCAGCTGCAAATTATCCCCTCTGCCGGTTCTCTCACGCTTGGCTGGCTAACGAACTCGCCATACGTGCGTGCGCTACTCTTTGACTCCACCCCATCGTCATTATCTCAGCCTTGCCAGCTCAATTTACGTCTAATTACCTGCTACATGACGCCAGCCATCTTCATCCCACGGTACATGCTATGTCTCCTCGTGACCGTCGCCGCCAAACCTGCCCAGGCTGCCCTGCACATCCCCTACATGCTCAAGTGCTTCATGTGTACCAAACATCAGTCCAGACCAGCAACGTCGACAGCGGCCACTCCGCCCGGCTGGCCACGCTAAGATCTCGACCGTTCCAACCTTACAGATCTCTACACAAGCGTCTCAGGCGTTCGGAGTGTCCGTGGGTCCACATACTTGGCTCTGTCACACGCGGGCTACAAAAGTTTAATCATGACACCAACTCGTACTAGCGAGGTTCAGTCTACCCCTTCCTTCCCCGTCACGGCACAGGCCAGTCAACCGACTCAATCCTGGGACGGAAGTCTTGATCCTCTAACCGACGACGCCCACCCGCATGCCTGGGATTTCCTTTACGCACGACCATCAACGCGATCCAACGACCTTTCGCTCTCGCTCTCTCATCCATCCTGCTGTCAGCACCGGGGGGCGGCGGCGGCGGGCGCATTTTGAGCCGCACTTAGTCATTGTCCATGCTCTGCGGCACAGTTGCGGCATCATGTGTTCTGAGCTTCACTAAACCATCTCATAAACGTTCCATCCTCTTGAACGATACCAGGACCACTATATGCACCGTCGTTTTGTCGTGTACTCGTCGTACTGTCACCATTCGGGCAAGTATGCTTCCACCAGCTTCGGTGGCAATTGACCGGTCACCGACGCGCGACTCGCAACGACTTGATCGTGATCAGAAATGACATGTTATGCACCCCACGTTGCTAGAGTTTATAGCTTTTGAGCCCGGCATCTTCTCCTGCGTGCTGCAGCCATCAGACCAGCCCACCCAAACCTTACCATGCACATCCCAGTGCCGCTAGCCCCTCGACTCGCCAAACCCTGCCTTACACGGTGTGCTCAACGCGACTTTGCGTCAAAGCACGTTTGGGCTACCCCCCATCACAGCGCTCCTTTGTAATTACCAGTTCGTACCATCACGGCATGATTTGTCTTCATCATGTTCCCCGCCTACGCTAGTCAAACTTGTCCATCACCCAACGCCTGGAGCCTCAGCCGAGCAGGCTGCCTCGCTCAACCTGACCTTCGTCTACACGTCTGTCAATATTCTCCGTTAGCGCTCTACGCTGATCTCCCCGAGCATAACACCGCAGAAACTATTTTGTCAAAGGAACGCGTCTGTGCTGCGCGTGTTGAAGCTGCTCGACTGTACCTGCGTCAGTAATATACAGTCAAACACAAGTCTGTGTGGCGCCGCCATCATCTACACTCCACATCGATGATCCCGTTGATCGTCCCCAGGAGCGTTGTGCTTTGCCTGGATGAGCGCGCCAGACGTCGTGTCCGCTAGGTCCGACGCCCAGCGCCCTCGCCCGCAAAAGCCATCCCGTCTATAGGTGCGCCACGCATCCATGATGTACGCAGGGTAGACCGTTGTCAAGGTTTTCTTTCTTCGGACCATGGTCTGCATTCGTTCTAAGCTGCTGCCGTTGAAGGCTCAGGCTCCCAGTCTAGGCAAAGCAGACTATCCATGACTCGTCACCCTTCGTCAAATGCGACGAACACACGATAAGCTACTCACGGAAGGATTTGCTGAAGTTCAGGCTACAAGCGCTGACACACTTTTGACTATCAACCAACACCGACATGTGCGCGTCCAATACTATTCGCTCTCAAGCACAGTAATTGCTTGGTATCGTCACTGAATAGGATCGATTACATCCTTCTCGCTTGTTCGCGCGTAAACATTGGTGGAGAACTTCTGATCTGGAGAAGCGCCAATGGGGTGGGTCGATACTCGCAGTTGCGGAAACCTGCTTCCTACACCCACCTATTTTTCTTTGCATGTTGCAAGCCAATCATGGGTGATCCACCCCCAGGATGTTTCATTCTCTCATACTTTCCTTTAAAGAGGCATAGGTATCTTGACGCTGATATGTGTCAAATAACCACTACCGCGCGTACAACTCGATGGGGGCCATCTCGCTTAGCGAACACGAGAAAACATCAGACCACAGTGGCCTTGTGCTACACAACACCTTTCTGCATGCAAAGTGGTTCTCGTACAGCCCAATCACACTTTTCTTTGCTTTTTCTTTTCGACTGCTTTTATCGTCCTGCAATCTTCTAGCCCTAGGCCCCCCCTCAACAACAAAACGTTCCTTGTTCACTACCAGGTGATTCGTCCGATTCGCATTTCGAGAACACATACCTGGGCATCAAACTGCAAGACATGTGTGTGATAGTCACCAAAAAGCACTAGAGTGATCCACCGGCTATCTCAATGCCGGTCGAATGAGATAACCGAGATCTGTCTCCAACACTTGATGGTCACACAACGACGCATGAATATGACAGAATGACATTCCATCGCACAAGGTCAAGTCTCCCAGCTACCCAGTTTCATCGCTTATGCTTACTGCAGCTTACTCCTTCCACGTGCATAGGACCCTACTAACTGACCATAAGCACTATGGACCGTATCCCGTCTGACACACACAGGAATCTATGGTACGGCATTGTGGGAAGTGCGGCTATCTTTGTTTCCTTGTTTAGCTTGGCCCGTATGCTTGAATTCGTGAGTGTGGCTTGTTCCCTGTTGCGAGTATGGATTCATCGTCAGTCATTGAACGCAGAGATCGCCAAGAGACGGCTCGCAATTGAGGAGTGCCGGTGCGCTGCTGCGGGGCGTAAATGTGGATATGGATGAGAAGAGGAGAAGGCGCTTCGGATGTGCAATCCAATCCAGGGCTTCGCTTGGCTTGGAACCATTGCGCTTAAGCTGTTGGATAGCCACTTCTTAAGCACTATCGAATGGTGGTAGGCGGATTTGTTCTGCACGTAACTAACTATCGTCGGCGGCAAGAAAACATCAAGACATGTTGAAACAACGACAGTGACAGCTGATGAGTCCTCCAGCATTCTCCAGATGCGGCGCCTCGCCCTTTGCCGGGATTTGGGACTATCCACACCGATAAGGCTCTGTTTGCTTTGCTGACGTGACGGCCCATACTAAGACCGTGTCTCTCCTTGCAGACCGGATGCGTAAATTCCCTTGCTGACCGATCACAGGCAACTCCGACGGGCTCCATCAAGCTACTACTACTAGTACTAGCCTTTATCACATCGTATACGAACATGTACTCAGCTTATGCTTGCGCGGTACGGAGTTCGGAAGTGTCGATGCAGAAGATGCGAGAGGGGAGGACAGTTGTGCCAGAAATGGCAAAATGTCTTTAGTTACGAGAGGATCGCAACAGACGGACTTGATTGTCTCATCGATCTCGTGTTGGACCTCTACATTTCTGCCTTGTCCAAGTGAATTTGGGAAGTTCATCGATACTACGGTGTGATACTACTGCGAACATGCGGTCATGCGGCACTCACTCGTTACTGCCATGTCGATACATGAACGCACATGCACTTTCTATTTGGTACGGTACGCCACGGGCCCAACCTCAAGTTTCCGTCGCCTCGGGGTCGGAGCGTCCCTCCCACCGCCGTCACCGTGCTCGTCTTACTAGCACGCGCCACAAGCTTGCGGAGTGGCGCATGACGGCGTCAATGCGTTTATACTCCGATGCAAAGAAAACACTTGGTACTGGCCTAGTTATAAAGTTGTGTAGAGTATGTGCAAAAGTATAGCCAACATGATAAGATATTATCAGCATTTTGCATCGGTCTTGGAATCGTGCAAACTAGGTTTTGGATGATGGGGTAGAAACTTTTATGTGATAGCAGTAGATGTAGAACCCTGAAACCAGACAAGCTCATATCGCCATTGGGATAGATGTTGAAAAATTAGAAGTACTCGACCTCGCAAACACATCACTTCAGCTGATGCGCTTTCAGACATACGGACTGCTTCGTGATGTCGAGCAATGACGGGCTGCTGTGTGCGGTTTATTTGTATACCACGGTCTCACTCATCGAAGCACAGAGGTTAACAAAAACACAATATCTGGTGTCTCTTCATCGTTCAATTGTAAGGAATAGACGAGTTTGGGAAGATATGGAATCTTCTTTTGTGCCTTTTACAAGTGAAGAAGTTGGCGCACATGAGCTCTCACATGCATGATGTGCTGGAAGTTTGGAAACTCGTTCGAGCATACCACTCCACCCGTGGTACGCCAATTCGAATCATTGGAAAAGATCAACTGCAGAACGAGTGATGGAGAAGTATCTATACACCCGAGACCGTCTCAACCATACACTCAATGCGGAATATTGAACTTTTTGAAGCATCCTCGCAAAACCAGGCAAGAGTAGAGAAATCATGTGATGTGTGGATACAACGTTTTGGTGGTTTTCGCATGCCGCAAAGTCATACAAGAGGTACAGTCGGATTCTGGAAATGTGGAGATTTGCAAACTCCCTCAGTGGAGGACATAGCAATGTTTTAAGGTATTTTGAAGTCGACTGGAGCGACTCGGAGACACTTCGAGTATTCAGCGGCTTTTGTAGTTCTCTCGTCCGCCGAGGGAAACATCACAGCCATCGGATTTCGTTTTTGGAAAAGTCCCAGAGGAAAACGACATGCCGCTCTTGCTGACTTGTTTTGGAGGAAGAAAGAAGCGGGTAGATTATGAAGGGAAAGAGAGGAAGCTTGGTGCCGACTTTATATATCCTGTGGACCGCGCTAGTAGTCATAAGACGTGCGATATAATCCTTGAGGTATTCGTAGATAGTAGAGAATATGTCTAGAAGTTCTTTTAATCTTTTATCTTGCCTCCTAAAGATCGTGGCGGCTATGTCGCATGGGTTTGGAAATTCGTATGTCCGCGGCCTCTTCTTTGGCGGAGAACATGTCGTACTACGGTTCTGCTCATACGGGGTAATGCTAACACGATTTGAATCATCTCACTCCAGGAAGTCGCGTTACCCCTGGATATTTATTACCTTCGAAAAGAACAGAAAGATCGTGGTGTTCTTGTGTGGCCTTTTGAAATTCTTGTAGAAGTCGAGTGACGTTGAAGACCTCAGCCATGAACCATGATTGTTTAGTTTTGGATTCTCGAAAGCGAACGAACATGTTGAACCAAGACATGTATCTTGGAAAGATGCGATAGTGCCGAGGTACAAAGAGATGGTCTCGGTTTTCCAAGTCTTCAATGCTGGGAAGATGCCGCGCTGGCTGGATAACCTTGGGGGCATGACGGGCCATTCTACTTAATGAATTCTCTACTACGAGTACCATATTCGCTTTGCACTACTTGCACTGGTATCAGCAGCAAGCAACGTTCATAAACCTCTCTCATACCTCAACTGATGGAGCGTCTTCCCATACTGCTATGCTCCCATCACACAATGACCCAGACGGACATAACACCCCCAAGACCCACCTTCCCTCACTATCACTTCACTACCATCATCACCCATACAAACCTAGCACCAAGTCCACCTTCGCAACCCAGCTCTTCCTGTACAGTCTACCCTACCCACGCCCTCGGATACCACCTTCCGCCCTCATCTCCGACCCATGACACCAATCGGAGTCCACGGCCCACCCTCACACAAGCCCGTTCCCTTCTTCCACCACATTTCTCCACTGTACCATCTTACGTCCAACTAGACACAGTAGCATATATCTAGTACCACGGCACTACCACAAAGCCGTCCTGGTGGACGCTGGCGCATACCACCAGACACGGAGAAGTGACACAAGATCGCTCGTGCAACCGTCAGTCAGGATCGCTGGGAAGGTGGGAGTACTAGTCTGTAGGGCGCTTACGATGGCTGGTGAATCGAAAGCGGTGAAACATGCGTCTTGTTGCATATATGTATGAGTGGTGCAATATGTTCCGTTGTGTTAAGTTTTGCTTTTTGAAGGGTGCGTTATGGGAGGGTGGTGCGAGATATATTGCTTGGTGGGACGAGATTTTGGAGGATGGCCGAGGCGCTCCGAGGAGGTGGTTTGGGGCTTCTTGGATAGTGTTTGTGGTGATGGGGGTTTGACTTGGTTAGTTTAGCGAGTGACGTGTTCTTCTTGTTGTGAGTTCATGACCTGCGCGGTTGGGAGGTCTTTTTCATGGTCCACAATGAGACTGAAGTACTCGTGTATTTATTGCATATGCCCCGTTATAGCAATAACGTGTAAGTTGCATGTAGAATATGTCTCGTCTACTTCTCAAGCTTCACGGATTCTGATCCTCAACATGCACAACATCCAACTCCTCCACCTTGACACCATGGAACATCCTCACCTACCCTCATTAGCTGCGAAACCATATAAAGACCACTCGAAAATTGGTACTTACATTAACTCCCAACAGATCCGGCGGTGCATCCCCAAACTCCCCCATCCTAGGATCGAACCAAACCGCACTTCCACAACTACTACAGAACCTATGCAAATTTCTCTTGACACCAAAGGAATAGTCCTTCAATACGTCTTCACCGCTCTTTACTTGTAGCTGTGACCGCTCGGGGTACACAAGCAAGTAGCCATTACACGTGCAGATGCTGCAGTTGCACGATACAACCTTCCATTGGGTAAGTGGCGGCGAGAGCAGGACGGAGTACTGTACGATACCGCAGTGGCAGCTCGCTTCGTAGGTCTGACAATTCTGCGGGTCGAAGGGCAGAAGAGCGGGTTTGGTAGGTGGGGATTCGGTCATGGTTGACGGTGTGTTGGTGGTGCAAAAGGTGGGGTTGGGGAGGGTAGCTAGGTGGCTATGAGGGAGGTAGGATAAGTTTGTCTCCTAGAGTGAGGCGCGATGCTACATATACGTTGTTTGATATAGGCACAGATAGGTAGCAGAGCGGGTTCTCATCGTTGCTAGACAGGAGCTATGCGTGGGAGGGAAGGTGAGTGGTAGGAGGAAGTCTCCGATTCCGTTTCCCGGCGAGTATATGTCTCCGAGACCGTTGATATTGTTGGAGACACGGAAGGGTGCTGCCGGAGATAGCTATACGCTGTGGTACTAACGATTATCAAGCTCCGGCGTTGTTCAACGACTTCTGCGGGTTAACAACACAGTGCAGGTGGTGTTGTAGAAACTTCGCATAACCTCGAGAACACGACCACTTGCTAGTGGAGGATATCATGGACTAGTTGGCATAGTTGCTTTTAATTACAAAGCATGTCGTCGCCTGAAGAAAGACATGTATGCTTCACACGGTCTTTATCACGCTCGCAGTGAGTGCTGGCAATGTGATCGGGCAGAAAGTAGACAGCGAAGGTACGCGTGAAGGTCGAAGGAGTAATGATACAGGAAGTGTCTTTCGATCGAAGCATGGCCGAGCTTGAGACTGGACCGGGTACTGAAGCACTATCGATGTAGTTGTTAGAAAGCTGCAAAATCCCAAGTCGAGGTGCTCGCCAATGCCAAGCCGCTAACTTTCAGCCTCGGTGAAGTGATCCCTGCCCTCAATTCGCGATATCTCCAGCACCAAGATCACCAATCTCAAGCTTCCCGATCGCTACCAGCGTCTAGTAGCCAGGATGTCCCGAGCACGTCTTCTCTTCAGTCGCACGTTCTTCAACTCGTCATACCGATCCGTCCGCCAAAACTTCTTTTCCTCCAGCTACCATGCACATCACAATCTTCCCCTCCCCCTCCAATCGCGTATCCGCTGGTCTTACCTCTGGTACGCCAGCATCCTCGCTTTAGGAATAACAACCGGCCTCGGTGCCCGCCACTTCGCCGCACCTCTCGGTCTCCCAGAGCCTGGTTCACGCGAAGACGAGATCATCCTGGATTCCCTACGTCGCGACATCGACGCTCTGGAAATCGTACAGTCGCTACGCTCTCAATCGTACAACCTACATACCGACACGGCACTACGGTCAGGGCCGGGATTGATGTCTTCGCCGCCGGGATCGAGTCGGAAGATATCAGCGTATAAAGGGTGGTTAGAGCTAGATCTTGATCTGGGGAGAGAAAATGGAGGGAAGAGAGGTGCACTAGGAGTCATGAGTGGAACACGGGGATTGGGTGTGCAAAGAGCATTTTGGAATGCGGAGACGAGAGAGATGGTGGCTGTGGTTTGGATAGGAGGGGGATTGGCTGGGTGGCCGGGAGTTGCGCATGGAGGGGCTATCGCTACCATCATGGAAGAAGTCATGGCAAGGATGATCAGAGGGCCTGATGGCATTGTTGGTGTGTATTATGGCTTCAAGCAACTAAACAACTATACAGAACAAGATCGAGCTAACACGGAAGATAGAACCAGTCCACCGTCCAGACTCCCTCAGCTTAACCTACGCGAAACCGACATACAGCCTCGACTTCTACGTCCTCCGTGCTTCTTTCTCGAAACCGGACCTCCCGCAATCCGAACCGCCGCCTGAGCCTGAATCGCAACCTACAAAGAGCTGGTTGGGATGGTTGTCGCCACAAAAGGATCTTACGAAGAAGACTGAAGCCAAGGGAAAGAAGGAGGAGATTATTGCGACGCTGGAGAGTGTAGGTGGGGATCTTTGTGTCAAAGCGAAGGGCACGTTTAATGGGAGTAGTCCGGTATTATGAGGGTGTGCGATGGTCATGCATCACGATTGACACCAGAGACAGCCGTGGATAGGTCCACGACATACTCGAGGAGTGGCGTGAATATTGAGATACCCAATAGCGGAATGGTTTTATGACCGAGAAAAGGTTGTTCGAGTTGGTTCTACTATGGTTCGCATGCTGAATATTTCAAGGATGTTGGATTCTTCACCGAACATCTGCCAACACGTCCATTCCACCTCAGCGGAGTCTAGAGTCGACCGTCAGACACTTGATTCATCCTCTTGTCGCGAAAATTGACCTTTCCTCGCACGAATATCTCTCACCTATCACGATTATCGCCAGGCGTGCGACAGTTGTTGATGGATGCTACGAAGTCTTGGGATCGGCGAAATTCATCCTGCAAGCGCAGGAACATACTGCACCATTCTTTCGTACGATCACAAGGCGAAACCAGATCAGCATCATCCTTAATCAACTTGCTCCGCCAATTTTCTCTGACTCCGCTGGACGCCCAGTGACTGCTCAATCAGTAATCCTGTCGTACACCGCTAGCAGAAGGAACCCGCCGGACTAATCGCGGACGAGACGTGGAACTGCATCGGAACAAGTACACAAGCAAGTACGGGGTGATCATCAACGAGTAGTTCAAGTCTATTAGAGCCCTCGATATACAAATCGGGTTGTGAATGTACGACAATTGGTCTTTTCCCAGCTCCTACTTCGCTTCTTTGGCACGGTCTAATTGCGCTTTCAACACAGGAAAATGGTCACCACCGTCGCGATCGCCGGCATCAGCAGCCGACTTGCCCTCTTCGTCACTCAGTCGTTGCTGAAACGACCCGATGTCCAAATTCGCGGCTCCTGTCGCGATATCAACAAGCTCCCCGACGAGCTCAAATCCTCGCCCCGCATTACCCTGATCCAAAGCGGACCATATGACACGGATAATCTTCGTGCCTTGATCCGCGGCAGCAATGTAGTAATTTGTGCCTACTTCGCAAACGACGAGACCATGCTAAACGCGCAAAAACTTCTTATCGACCTGTGTGGGGAGGAAGGTATCACGCGATACATAGCCAGCGACTACACTGTCGATTACCGGAAGCTTGATTGGGGTGACTTGCCGATCAAGGAGCCGATGAAGCATGTCCAAACATACTTGGAAGGGAAGCCAGGTGTGAACGGCGTGCACATTCTCGTTGGTCTCCTCATGGAGACGTTCCTCGACTACTTCGGTATTTGGGATGCGGATAAGAAGAAGATGAGATATTGGGGCAGTGGAGATGAGAAGTGGGATCTTACAAGTTATCAGACTGCTGCGGAGTATATCGCTGCTGTCGCTCTTGATGCCAACGCCACTGGCTTCTTGAAATGTAAGAATGACCACACTGCTGTGTACCGTTGCCGATGCTTACAAACAATACCAGTCCGAGGCGAGCATAAAAGTGCACGGGAATTGGCTGCCGACATCGAATCCGTATATGGGATTAAGCCTGTGATGGAATCACGCGGGGCTTTGACTGATCTGGCCCAAAGGTTAGAGAGCAAGGGGGATATTCAGGATGTTCTCAAGTAAGCCAAATCCGTCCCTCATTCTTGAAGTGTTGTAAGCCAGTATCTCTAACTCTTGTATAGTGCTTCAGCATACTTCACTCTGAGCGGGAAGAATTCCTTGGGTGAAGATGTCGATAATGAGAAGTACCCTGAGGTCAAGCCTGAACGATTCGCTGATTTGCTGCGGCAGAAGCCTGCATAGAGTAGGTTTGGAAATCGAGGGTGCATATTAAAGCTGATTGGAGTTGATAGCTATGTGTTAGTCTGGATGTTCATGACTGGATTGACTTCCGCCAAGAATTCCATTCTATAACATATCCAAGCCTTGTTCGTAGTTATACATAGCAGATATACATATGAATATAGTGGTAAGATACACAAATATTCTTTGCAGCAGTTTCATTGTGGCGTAAAGTGGGTTTATAACAGTGTGACCTGCGCTCTTCAAGATTTGGCGTGATGCTTGTTCGAGCTCATGTGGAAGGGAAGGGAAGTTCGTGAGATGTGGGAACTAACGTACATAGGGTAGAATGGTAAAAAGATGGCATGATGTGAGCACTGACTGTACTCTATACGAAGCTGACACGTTGTAGATGCATAAGTCATTTCAATCACTGCTTGTGTACCTTGGCCCTGCCATGATGATGCTCGGTCATGACCCAGTTATCTGGGTTAAATTCTCGGAGGAGACTGGTTGGTGTGGGGTGCGTCGAGTTGGTACAACCAAACCCTGGTGCTATCCCTATGACGCCTGAGATTCCTTTACCATACTATACATACACGTGGGTATACAAGCTCTTCCGTGGTGTTCGTGAGGACATGGTATTGCATTTGCCCTATGGCGCCAGACGCTAACATGGACAACGTCCGGTACACCGAACCAAAAGTCAGTGAAGAAGCCATGATGCCATTCCATTCATTCCATTTTCCGTAGATGTGTTTATCGGAAGAGAGATTCAGAGAGTAAAGGAACACCGAGTCATCCCGAAAAACCAGCCGTAACCCAGACTATGCACGCCATATCGAACCCAGCTTAACGAGTCCTTGCCTGCACCTTTGGTGCGGCACCCTTGGCACCCTGCTTGCTGACCTTGGCGGCGTTGCCTCGTGCGGACGCGGCAGCGTTCTTGGCCTTCTCAGCCTTCTTCGCTGACTCGGCGGCGGCCTTCTTCTCCTTGCCCTCCTTGACGGCGGCGGCGCGGGCAGCGGAACGAGCCTCGGGACGTTGGCTGCGGCGCTCCTTGATTACGTCGAGCGAAGCACCGACGATGGCACGCTGGTGCTTGACTGTGCGGCGGGTGCGCTTCTTGGCGACTTCCTGTTGGGGTGAAGGTGGTTAGCACAGTCCGCGATAGGGTGGTAGAGTTGTATGTTGCGATGAGGGAATACAGCCGCTGAGAATGCCTATATTCTCCATGTTTGTCCGCAGTGTAGACTGATGTCATAGTTCACTGCCTCTCCCAAACATTCCCAGCGACGTGTATATGAGTTTGCGGCGACTAACCTCAGAGATACCCTTCTTGTGCGCCCTTCGGTAGAGAGTGGTCCAGTGAATCTTGCGAGGGTTCTTGCGCTGGAGGAAAAGGGACTCGGTCTTTCCGTTCTGGAAGCGGAAGATCTTGCTGTCACCACGGATGTAGAGCTTGCCCTGTTCATGCCATCAGCGAATGTCCGACCGATGATATTGTTCCATCATCCTCCCCCAGGTGTTTCGCTTTGTTGCCGTCGCGATAGCGGTGTCTGGACATCTGGGGGGCGAACGTCGTGACGTCGAGGGGCAATGTAACGCACCTTGCCCGGGTAGATCTTTTGACCGCTGAAGGAATCGTCGTAGGTACGCATGTTGGCGGTGTTGGCGTGATACCTGTGTGTTAGTCGTGGGGTTGTCGTCGGTCGCGAATTCAATATTGCAACTCCCAGTTGAGACCTGTGGGCGGACTAAGCCTGGATGAGCTAGCCTCTTGGCGCTTGCGCGCGGTGGCTGGTGCGCGCCTCACCAAACGTCGCTCACGCATGCACACTTCGATGCAGCTTCAATGCGATAGTAATTTTTTATTTCAAAAGCGCCATGCAGTACCCGTGTCCTTCAGGCTGTTGCCATTGTTTTCCACACACCTGTACAAGAGCTCCGCATCCCCCTCTGTTGTCGCGTTTAGCCTCGCGGCCGCGTCCTCAGCTACGCGCCAAGATCGTATTCTGCATTTATCAAAAGCACAAACTCAACCTAGGTCTTCATCGGCGTGGTCGCTGTCCATGAAATCTCAATCGCCTGGCGAGAATTACCCTAGTATCACGACGTACGAGTGGGGCAGCAAGGGTAAAAGGCAAATCCAAAATTCGCACTCACTGCTTGGGAACCCAGTAAGCAGAGTGCAAACGACACGAAGAGCTTCGTCATAGGATCTTTGTTCGTCGAGATCTGGATGTGCTCGCAGTTTAGATAGGCTTCGTCGCTGTCTGGCCCGTGATTCCTATACCATGTTCAGCATGTTAGTACTCTGAGAAGGTACTCGTATATTTCTATACCAATATAGCCTAGAGAACGAAGCTAGTAAATACGCTTTGCTTACGCTTCAGGAACGACTCGAATATTACTTTTCCCATCGTATGCATCCGACAGTAGTGTTGGGCGGTAGGAGGCCCCGGAGACCACTGGAACAAGGCAGCAGCAACTCCGTCATCACACCGCTGGTACCAGAAGAACAAGTGGTTCACCTCATCAAGACCCCCTGACACTAAGTCAATCGATATTTGTCTCCACCTGTCTTGTGAGGCCTGGAGCAATCATGTTTTACAGCTTACCCTTATACCAATCAACAATTCAAGAATTTAATGCACCGTAACCGCCAGTAGCAACCTCTTCCCAAGTTCGCCTTGGCATGGATCCATCAGCGCACAGAGTGTCAGTCACATCCGCATCTTCCCGTATGCAGTTGCGAGAGCACGGTGATGTAGCCTTCAATGCTACAACACATCGTCTCGTCAATATATCGACACCCCAATCTGTATTAGGAACTACAGCCACATCCACCTCTACTTTGCACGCCCAAGATCTAGTTGACGTCATGGCCGAGCTTGAGCGCTACCAAGACGACCATCGAGCGGCTTTTGCTTTTGAGATGGCCCGGGGCGGCCGTGTTCATCCGTTGGACGAGAATGAATTAAAGCACTTCCGCAAAGAAAAAGATGGTGTATTTGGTCTATTCCAATGGGATACGCCGACTCTTTCCGAGGAGTTACCGTTCACCTTCACCTCGCCTCCTGGCCCTGCAGCAGTCGAGAAGGCGCTCAAAAGCGATATTGGAGGTGAGAATTATTTCCGTTTTGCACCCTCGCGTGGCTCACCAGACGACGACGCGGCCGCTATCACTCGCTTGCTTGACAACATTGGCAATGCGAGGTATTCTGAGCCTGGCGCTGTCGTTCATATGCAATCGCCTACGTTCAACCGAGCGCGGCGCTGGATACCGGGTTGGGAAGGTGACGGTATGCTAAGCCAATCGGACTTCCAGATCATTATCGCTCCGGCGGGTGAGGTCTTCGAGCTGGAATATTATGACCACCACTTCTCCACGACACTGCTGACCGGCTCCAAAGTATGGCTTACTTTTCCTCCATTGCAAACCAACCTAGATGTTCTTCGAAAGGCCTATGAAGGTATGCATAGCGCAAATACTTCGCGCGTGTCTCTGGGTATCCTCGCAGAAATGCAACACGGTATCTTCGTCATCCAGAAGCCAGGTCAGACCCTCCTTTTTCCACCATACTGGTCTCTTATGACGTTTTGTACCGAGGCATCAACGTCCTGTGGCTTTTTCCTTGCGACAGCCGCACAGTACATGTCCCGAATCAAGAACATGGATCTCTGGCTCACCGTCAATCTCTTTTGGGACACGGCACAACTGCAACAATCTTACCTTGTGAAATACGCCACAGAACTTGCGTCTCACTTCTCCATCATCATGGGCGGTGATCTTAAGCGCTTCAAGGTCGGTCCTGTGCAGAACCAGATCTGTACTGAATGGGTCAAAATTGCACCAAAGAAAACTGCAGAATTCGAGAATATGAAAGAAAAGATTGGCAGACTCTTATCGTTGATTAAGAATAACGACGAGAGAGAAAAGATTGATGATCTGTTTCGAGATGCATGGATTGAGTTCTTGCAATCAAAGCGTAAGAAGAGACCAGAATGCCGGCTTTGCCATACGCGTATCGAGCACATGCCTGTAGGAGAGACGCCGGATGAGCGGCTTGCACGGCACATTACCGATGTGCATTGCAATTTTTGAGCTTTAATTTGGAGAGGCTAGTCACGATGAGCAATGCACTACTTTTGCGCCTCAGATCTTGACAGTTTCTCCCGAGATCTTTCTCCACCAGACATCAAGGAACTCAAATAACCAACCGTCCCGCCTCACGCCACCGTCGTTGACTGTTGCCACAAAGCCCCACGTCGCACAATCCGAGTCAGTAGTCTTCGTGACCGCACAACCACGGCAGGGAGAAGAACATCGGATCGGTCCCTGCCATCCGACACTAAAACATTCGGCCCGGCCGCCATCTTCACGTACCAAGCCCAAAGAAGCCTAACGAGCGGAAACGATCCACCACTTGAGAGATGTCCCCGCACACTACACCCTGAAATCTTTTGCCTCCGGTGAACTAGACCGCTGCAACTCCTGGGATGCACCATCGTTAGCAATCAATACATAGCTATGCTACGGCGGAAAGAAATTTCCTGAAAGCTGGATGGGAGGCCTAATCCGTGACCGAGGTTCGGGTCGTACCTGCAGATGAAGATGCTAAAGTGGAGAAGAGAAGGCATGGTTCTAGGTCGGAGAAAACGAATCAGATTAGGATGGCAGTGCGTTGTATAAGTAGTGAACGAAAGACACGGGACGGAAGAGCAAGACAATCACGAATTTCAAATCTACGTTGTCCTTCCACGACTCCCTTACCCACCTAGCCCACATCTTTCAAACCCGCCGTCAGGAAAAAGGAGTACCTGGACGTCATCTCCTACTACTACTATAGACAAAGCCTGTCTTAACAACCTCACAACCACAAACTAAATGCGTTTCCTCACCACCATCCTGAGCACAACACTCAGCCTCCTCACCCTCACCTCAGCCGCAACAATGAACACCACAAACGGCCTCGGCACCACACCTGCGCAACGCCATATCATCTCCGCTGCCCAAGCGCAAACCATCATAACGGGCGCCGTTGCCAATGCAACATCCCTCCAGATTCCCGAGAACATCGCCGTAGTAGACCCTTCCGGTCTGCTCGTCGCCTTCCACCGCATGGACAACGCCTTCCTGGGTTCCATTGACATTAGCCAGAAGAAGGCGCGGACGGCCGTGCTGTTCAATGGATTATATGCTAGTGCGGATCTGTATGCGGCGGTGCAGCCTGGTGCGCCGCTTTACGATGTGCAGAATACCAATGGGGGGTTGGTTGTTTTCGGAGGCGGAGTACCGATCTACGTTGATGGGATATTGATTGGAGGCGTAGGTGTTAGTGGAGGCAGTGTGGAGCAGGATTTGAGTGTGGCTAATGCTGGCGTTGAGGCGTTGGGTGCGTGTACGAAGGCGTAGGTATGAAGGGGAGGTGGAAGTAGGCGTGGAAGATGATAGCAGAAATACTATGAACCATGAAGCTATCGCCTATGACTTGTATCGAAGTATGCTGTGATGACAACACCATCGTGGTTAGCTTTCAAACCCGCTGTCCTCTCTCTTCTGCCGCTTTGCCTCTCGTCCAAACGGAAGAAACCCTCCCCCAAGTTGTTCAATATCGCCCTCCTTTAGTACCTCCTCGGCAAACGTGAACCTGTCCGCTGCGCATCAGCACTGCCAGATTCTATAGATAATTACCTTATGTGCTCATACGTCTGGCTCCTCTCCATGCCCTGTATCGCATCCCTGGCGTTGATCTTTGTCTGTTCCTTCACGCCCTCCATGTCCGCAATCGCTGCGAAACGTTCCTTCCAGAACGCCCATCTTTCCTTGCTGAACTCGGCTTTGCCTTTCCATAATTCACCGCCTCGGCCTGGATTGCCTTGTTTGCGGTCAGAAGGCGTGAGATCTTTCTCCATGCGGAAGAGGTCGTGGCCGTAGCCTAGTATCCAGGCTGCAGCTGCAGGAACGTTGGCGTCGTACTTTTGATTGGCTGTGGACATTGGGTCATCGATGGGAGGCGTCTCGAGTGCTTCTCGTAGCGCGAAGAGGGCGTACATGGAAAGGTCTTGGATATGTTTTCCTGCCACAAGGGCGAAGAAGAAGTTCATATTCGCCCAAGCCTCAATTTCCCTCTCAATGAAGCCGTCGTGCGCTACTGGAGAGTCGTTGAGCGCCTCGCGACAGGCCATGCCGAAGTCGGTCATCTCCCGGTAGAGGTAGTTATATTGCTCATTGTCCGGTATGGAATGCTCCTTGAACGCGATGACCAAGTCGACAAGCGTATTGTGGTTAACCAGAGCGCTATCGCGGAACTTTAATCGCTTTGATGAGTGAATGATGCTCTTCCAAAGGTCCATGAAGTCTACATCGTCGAGTTTGGCCTCCTTGATCTTCTCATCAATCGGTCTGAGAATGCGCGATGTCGCTTCTTGCACATCGATCTTCTCATTGAGAAATTCTTGGATCAGCGGGTAGTACGCGCTGTCTTCCTTTGGGCGGAACCATCCTCTTATCTTCGCGATTTGGTCGATTTGTTCTGCCTCTGTAGCAAGGGTTGGAAGGATTTCCTTGATCTTCTGGTTTTGTTGCTGCGGATGATTGTTAGATTCAAACATATGAAGTCATCATGAGCAAATACCGCTATGCGAGCCATGATTCCGATCGGTGTAGCAAAATGCGTTGATCTTAGGCGGGGGGAATGCGCGAAAGGTACACGGTGTTTACTTTCGGTGATGTCATACGCGGTGGTACCGCGGTCAGTCCTACCTATCCCACGTGTATGTCTTGTTAAGGTAATTGGTAACTTGTGCCGAACCAGTGGAAATACGCTACGAGACATCTCTTTCCTAAGATGGCCAGGTACGGTCAGTCTATGCTGGTAGGCTCGGAGCATGTTCCGCGCAACGGGGAAGGCGTTAGCTGGCGAGCGTTGCATAATGCAACGGCGAGCTTAGCACCCGACGCGTCTCTTGTTCCCAGAAAGTGCTCAGACATTGATTTGAAGTGTGAGAACGAGCGTTGAAGTATCTCCATGAGTGTTTGGAGGGAAGCTACTCAACGAACCGTGTGTGAGATCAACCCGCACCGATCGGCAGACAAGGGTCATCGGAACATAAATTTGGGATCAGCCTTTCGCAACGGCGCAGCCTGGTAACGTGTCTTCTCATGCGGGGCACGTTGCACAGCGTGATAAGGCGGGCAATGATCAAGACTTCACCGCAAGCCTTGAATGCATGTTCATGAAGAATCGGACTAGGCCATTTTCTTTGTTAGAAGCCCCCACCACGCATGCCAGTGGTATCACCAGAAAGCGGTTATCGCCTAAATTGCACACTAGAACCAAAATGGATCCAGAACAATTGAGCGCGAACACATAGCTACAGATAAGCTCGTCTTTTCTGAGCTGTACGACCTAACACTAAAATTTACTCTAGAGCCTGAAGATACTGACTGTGTTTTTCTTCGGCAAATGTCAACGTGGAACTTACTGGATACCTTTACGCCATAGTTTAGACCCATAACAAACGAGTTTGATCATACAGAGAAGGAAGCGTATATCGAGCGTAGTAGAGCCCATTTCTAACTCTACAGTTTCGCACCCCTCTCCCTCCCCGCCAGCACTCTCAAATCCTTTCTTAGAATCTTTCCACTCGGACTCTTAGGAATCTCGTCCAAGAACACCACCCCTCCTCTCAACCGTTTATGCCCCGCCACTTTGCTCTTTACAAACTCAGTAATCTGCTCCTTGCTAATCTTCCCATCCCCAACAACAACATAGGCTCTTGGCACCTCGTTAACCCCATCCTCTGTTCCCACTCCAATAACCGCTGCATCCAACACGTCCGGATGACTGAGCAACACGGCTTCCAACTCTGCAGGGGCAACCTGCAGGCCCTTGTACTTGATGAGTTCCTTCTTGCGATCGACAATATAAAATAATCCGTTTCTAAATACCGCGATATCGCCTGTACGGAACCAGCCATCTGGGGTGAAAGCCTCTTTATCCGCATCCTCATTTTGGTAATAGCCTTTGCACACCACAGGGCCTTTGACAAGCACCTCACCGGGTGTTCCTGGTTCAACATCCTTGCCGTCGTCGTCGACGAGTCGAGCACGCATATTCGGAATGAGAGGAGCCACAGAGCCCGTGTCATCATGCATTCCCGTAGGCATGATTGTCGTGGAACCCGTTGTTTCCGACAAACCCCACGTTTGGTCAATAAAACACTCCTTCCCGCCTAGTTTCTGGCTTGCATCATACTGGAGGTCTTTACCTAGAGGTGCTGCTCCAGAAATAGCGATCTCGAGGCTTGAGAATTGCGTGGTTACGGGGGGCGATTTGGCGATGAGGAGGTAAATGGGGGGTACGGTGAAGAAGAAGGTTACGCGGTATTTGGCGTTGTAAGAGAGGAATTGCTGGAAGTCGAAACGGGGCATCCAGTATACGGTGCCGCCGATGTAGAAAGGGTTTATTAGGTAGCCTTGGATGCCGGCGATGTGAGCAGTAGGAAGATCTTCGAGAAAAAAAGAAAAGGGTCAGTGTATGTCTCCTGCGGTTCGTGAGTGATCGTTGCTTACGAGCGATAGTCCTATACTCGAAACCCGGTCGTTTCTCCTTTATCCAGCTCTTCATCATATCCCCCGTAGTAACAGCCTGGCTCATGAGATTTTGATGAGAAAGCTTCACACCCTTCGGAAGCCCCGTCGTCCCCGAACTATAAATCAACACTACGACCCTCTCCTCCAGCACCTTGCTATCCTCCACTCTCTCCCACTCCAACCTATCCCCCTCATCAACTAAATTCCCCTCTACCTTCCCGTCCTTCCCGACAACAACCCTGAGTTCCCATTCCCACCCCTCACCCATGACTACCACCCGTCCCCCACCACCATCCCCCACCCCGCCTCCTCGGCAGCTCTAACCGAAGTGTCCAGGGTAGCCTGGCAAGTAACCAGAATCTTCGAGCCAGCACTTTGTATCTGTTTAGCTAGCTCACTAACAGTGCTAGAAGCTGATGCAGCGGAGAAGATACCGCCTGCACCGATGACTCCATATGCTAAGACGGGGAGCAAGTAATGTCCTGTGGAAACGACGGAGCAAACATCTTTCCCAGGTCCGTGGGCGCCAATACCGAAGTGTTTACGGAGAGCGGCGGATGTCGCTTGTGTTAGAGTGCGAGCTCGGGAGGTAGTTAGTATCAAGTTCGGGTCGGCAGCTGAGACGTGGAGGGGGGTATTTGGCTTGGCTAGGCTGTGTTCGGAGTCTGTGAGAGGAAACAGTGATGTTAGCTGAGCAGCTTTGAGGTTGTGGTATAAGGCCGGCTTACCAAATAGAAGGGTTAGGACATCGAGGTCAGGTATCGGGTAATCCTTTGCAGCGCGGTATACAATGCGGTCATCTATCTTTTCCACGACGGTAGTCATGTTACTTCAGAAGCTCTTTAATACACAACCGCTACCTCAATCAATACTGAAAATAACTAGCAAGGTTAAACAGACTATGTTGGAAACGATCAAGACAGCCAAAGGTACCCTGACAAGTCGTTGTTGGTACATTTAGATATATATACTATTACTAGAGTAGCTGCAAGATCGCCCTCTCGTAGCAAAGCGCCTTCCTCGGCTCACGCATTCCTCTTTCTAGAGCGGTCGACGATCCATTGGTGGCTTCGGCCAAACTTGAGATGTCAGTACTAGCGAGTAAGCGGGGTAAGTTGGGGAAATCAACAATAGTCTTGTTAGAGCGCGCTACTTTGAGGCTGTTCGGCTGGAATATGGCGAGGCGCTGCGTGGGACCCTTGTTCCTCGCTCGCTTGCCATTTGCGAATACTTGCGTTGTGTAGTGTACGAGTTGAACAGCGCTGCTCAACCTCTGCGTTTAGCACTTGGCTCATCGCGTGCATCTTCGGCATCGTCTGCGTCAGCTTCTTTTCCGACAGTAGGCTTGCCGGCCTTCTTTGGTTTTCGTCTCTTCCGCTTGCTCTTGGTCGGTTGCTGTTCTGCAGCCGGCGCAATCTCCGTCGCCATCGGAAGCACAGCTGGTCGCGCGATCGCAGGCAGCTCGCTCTCATTGATTTTGTTCTTGCGCATGCCCCTCGGGTTCTGCGTCTCAAGTAATGCAACGTATTCGGCGGTGCGTTTGGTATGCTCGACCTTGGTCATGATCTTCCAGTTCTCTGGCTTCTCCGCTTCTCTCCATTTTCCCCAGACGTCCTCGTGCATTACACTTCCGCTGAGGACGACGAATGCGCAGCTGTTCCAGAGCGTATGTACTGCTTGGATGGGTAGCCACTTCGGTCGTAACTCTCCATGCTCTGCAAGCCAGTGAGCCACTTTCGCTGGTGTAGGGCAGATGTTGCGTAGATGTGGTTCGACGTATATCGTTCGCTGATCCCAGAATGACAGGCCGTCGTTGTCGGTTACTTGGAACGAGTTGTGAGGTAGGTATTTGGGAGGGTACGTGGAGGGCTTGCGACGGATGTAGTAGCCGTTACTCGAGGTCTCTAGTATTTTAGACGGATGGTCGTGAAGTGCTTGTTGAAGGAGGACTTGAGAGGCTTCGGGCTTGAGGGAGGAAATGTTGGGATGTTCGAGTATGGCAGTAAGGTGAATGTCTGCAGCACATGTCAGTTGTGAATTGTACGGCGTGTTGCGTATAGGTACACTTCTCCTCCCCATCGACCGTCCTATAGCGGTCTTGAAGCCACTTCGCCCGCTCTTCTTCCTGGTGGGCATAATCGGTGAAGATTAACTCGATGCCAGCAGCAAGCTGACCAACGTACTCTGGCGTGACGGGTTTGGTGGTAAATCTGGGGCCCGGCTTTGTAGCTTTACTCTCAATCTGCTCTGGCTGGTAAGTAGGTGAACTGGTACTTGTCTTCTGCATAGCCTCGACCAGCGCATCATCTTGGTCACCCTCAGCTGGCGCTTTGGAGGGGGCTTTGGCAGGCTTAGGCCGCGGCTTCTCGCGAACGCCTTTGAGCCTGAGCGCTCTTGGAACAAACATGGCACCAAATTTCTGCTCTCGTAGTTGAGAGAGCAGCCAGTGGTTGGTATCGTTCAAGTGCTCAAGAGCGCAATTGCGGATAGCATTCGCGACGCGCGCCGCGGCTGGAGCACGGACCTTACGTCAGTCCCCAGATGCTCAATTTCCATACCGCGCTTTCTCACTCCAACAACCTCACGAACCTACTTTACACAAACAAGTCCTACTTTCAATCCGTCAAGATGGCAAAAGAGAAGAACTACAACCCCGTCCAGGAAGCCAAGAAGGCAGAGAAGCAAAAACAGATCCGCAAGCAAAAAGCCAACCTCCAAACCCAGCGCAACGAGAAACTCGCGCGCCGAAACCCAAACCGCCTACAACGCGACATAGACAGCCTCAAAGAACTCGACCAGAGCGGCGCGATACGACCACATGAGCGACAACGGCTACAGGAGTTGGAGAAGGATCTCGCAGCGGTGAACAAAGCGCGCGCAGCACTAGGAGACAAAGCGCCAGTCTTCAAACCAGAACGGCAATACAACAACAACAACAACGACAGCAATAGAGAACGAGGAGCCGACCAAAGAGATAGGCGCGCCGGCATCCTCGGTAAACGAACACGAGACGGCCAGCGTAAAGACTCGGATAGCAGCGACACAGACGACGATGTGAAGCGCATCCCCATGCCACGCGATACACCACCACCCATACCACGACGTTACCTACAGTCCCAAGACTCCCAGCAAGATGACGCTACTGCTGCGCCCGCCGAACCGAAGAAACCAACCATTGTCTACGAAGCCGCACCCCAAGTCCGCGACCTACGCAAGGAAGCCACGAAATTCATGCCAGCCTCGGTGGCGCAGAAGATGAAATTGGCAAAGGGCGAGGGAAGATTGCTAGAACCAGAAGAATTCGACAAATTAAGGGAAGAAGGGTACTTGAAAGAGAAGAAGAAGGAGAATGAAGGGGACAGGGCGGACGGTGCTGCTAAGACTGTTGCGAAAACGGCCGAGGAGGAGGAACTAGATGCCTTTTTGAGGTTACAGAATACAAGTGCTGGGGATATGGCAGAGAAGGCGGCGGAGGCGGCGGTACAGGAAGCGGAGTTTGAGATGATGGCTGCTGAGGTGAAAGGGCAAATGGAGGGGATAGCTGGGGAGGCCAGGACAGCGGAGAATGCGCTCAAGCATGTGCAGATGGAGGAGGTGGAGGATGAGGATTTATAGGTTAGAATGTGAGTGCGTTTCATGTCCACGAAGAAGCGCGTCTACTATCAGTTATAACTGTGAATGCTAAGCTGAAGGTACCTCTACGGCATTTCACGTCATGCTCGCAATCAAGGTGAAATCCAGCGAATGATATGAGGGTGAGCCTTGACATTAAGTGATACAAATCAGGCCCCATCTGATTGTTTGAAGGGGTGTGAGCAATGGTAAACTCGCAGCTTCCTCTCCATCAAATTCATTGAAGTCACAGCAACAGGGACAAAATTGATTAATCAGGTGGTTATTTTATTCATTGGTAGGGTATATAGATACTCGGCTTTCACGCCGAAAGGGTATGTTACGTTCCGTCCATCGCAATATCATGTTTGTCCATTCTCAGGTCTTCATGTCATGAAAGAGATACAGAGGAGTCGTCAACACTACCAGGCAACATGAAGAGTGCTTTACTTCTTCTGGCCACCAGAGAGGGTGTCAGAGATGCTCTGGCCAGCGTTGCTGAGCGTGTCCTGAGCTTGCTTCAGGACACCCTCGCCCTGGTTGGACGCGTTGTCGCCGCCGGAGCGAGTCGCATCGCCGAGCTTCTGTCCGGTGGACTTCTGGCCCTCTGCCGTGGATGTTAGCTAATGATTCGGAAGGAGGAGTGGTGGGGAAGGAGGCAACGTACCAGGCTGGACGGCGCCGGCAATGCGGTCACCAGCTCCGGAAAGACCCTCGCTGGCCTTCTGGGTGGTGGACTTCTGGGAGTCGGGGGTGACTGTGATGCTGTTAGTTGTTTGTACTGAAGTCGGTTCCGAACAGTGAGCTTACTCTTCTCGGAGGCCTGCTCGCCGAGTCCCTTGCGCATGGAGTCAGACATGTTGTTGGTTGATTGGTTGGTAGATGGTTTGGGTTGGAAGTGGTAGTGGTAGTGGTAGTTGGTTGGAGTTTGAGAGTTGATTGTGTGATGAAGGTTCGAGGAAAGAGAAGCAAAGACGCTCTTATATACTACCTTTGAGCATCCTCCAGGCTACAGTGACGTGGTATGACTTGCGTACGTCATACGTCTCCAGACGAGCAACTGCAAAGGGGTGTGGGTGAGAGAGCAGCACAATCTTACCGAGTACACAGTGGGACCCTGTTACTTGCTCCTTCACATGGTAGAGTTACTAGGGTCTACTCCTCTTGCCAGGATGTTTACCAGTTTGCAGGCGCCACAGACCGCCACGATTGGTAGATCACCACTTCCGCTGGGTGTGATTGATGGTAATCTGCGCCTTTGCATGGCATTCGCGTCATTTGGCCACGGCTCAAGGTGGATACATGTTCCAGATCGTTTGCCGCAGGAGGATTGCTGCCCCGCTAAGGTCAAGATATGCTAGACAAGTCGGAATGAGGGGCATGTGCTGCCGCGGTTCCCTCCCTCGCAATTGCTTTTCCAAAGTGAATAGTTGGTAGCGTTGGTTTAGCCTCAACACCTTCTTGATAATGGTAGGCTATCCTCTCGCTCTACTTCTAGCTTGAAGCTATACTCCGGAGTATCAACCGTTGTTTGCCAACATCAGGTACACGAACAGCGGGAAGGTTGAGTGGGGTAGTACTACCCCGCTGACGTAGGTCGGTGGCACGAAGAAGTCGCACGGCACGTGACTAGCGTCATCACCATCTCACACCAACCCAAATCCATCAGAACACACGCGTAGAAACATCTTACCGAGTTCGACGCGTTCTAGTTCTTACTCAATGATCCCACTCGAACGGCAATCGATTCCGCTGTACACTTACACGTACAGCGCGTGCTGTCGTTACTATTCCTGGTCTTTTGCCGCTGAGCGAAAACTTGTTTGGCATCTGTCGCAACCAGCCCACTTTTCATCTCGTCAACATTGTCAATGTGACGATCTATCCTTTGGCGAATGGACTCAAGATGTGCACATCCTGCGCAAATCCTGCGCACAGTTATGATCAACTCTCTCTTCATAGGAGCGGGCCGTTATCCATTGTTAAGTCTGCGCTGTGGACCTTGGCTGATCTCATAGTATCGGCGGCAAGGCTCTTGCCAGCACCACGTTCGATTCGTACCACCACAACAACAGCAGCAACAAGAAGGATCGACCTATTTGTGACCGTAGCCACGGCCTCGAATTAAGATCGGAGACTTTGTCTCGTCCATGTCGCTGTACTGCTAGGTACTGCGGTCTTCCTAGGCCGACCACAGTCATCCTTGGGACCGAATCTGCGCATAACTCAGACAATGCCCACGATGCGGCACAGCTGACATCGATGCCAGCCAAGGTCATCTATGGTATTTGGAACTTTCACGGCCGAGCATGCTGTGCAAGCTGTCAACATACGCCCGATGACCGCGTTTAATGAGCTGCACCAACAATGTTCGACCATTGTCTTACTCCGGTTGCGTGTACTCGAGACTTGGCCTCGCGACTTGGAGTCATCGCCGATATATTGTGCCGTCGCCTAAGTCTCGACCAAGAGATCGCCTGTTGCACGCGATGGTCCTGCATGCACGGCGTCTGTGAGGCTGGGCAACTCTTCACAAGCCACGATAAGGCCCCTGTGCCACAAGCGAACTAACCAAACACGTTATATTTCAGATATACACCCAATCAACCTTCAATTTCTCATTTTTGCCGTACCAAAAGGTTTTCACAACATCTGTTCCCCGTGTTTCAGATCGGATCCGCTCTAGCGCTTCTCTTAAACGGTAGTCGCTTCATGATAGGGTCCACGTCGATCAGGCTCCGACAAACCTAATTTTACTTACCGCTGTACAGTACCAAACCTCACTGTTTGGTGTATGGGCATGCTGTCCATCACGGCCATTGACTCGCCCACGGCCCTCGCCCGCATGAGTCTCCATGCCTGACAATCCTAAGGCCGCCTCGCTGGCTGTGCCACAGACTCTAACAATAGTTCGAGGATGGTAAGAGCAGGGATGACTTCATGCGACAGAGAATGCCATAGGCACGTTTAGTGTGTCGAACAGGTTTGTTTGTATAAAGTACCCTCTTGGAGTTCTGGGCATTGTTGCACTGCCGTTACTAGGATCGATATCACACGCCAACTTACAGTCTGTTTCCTTGATACATCTGCCTAAAGTTTCGAGGCTGAGGTCGTTTCTGTCGCTGTCGCTGCATCTGTTGAGAACATAAAACAGAGACGGGGTCGTCTCCGCTCATAACTACTTCCTTATCAAGGCAAACATCTTTCGTTCAAACTCAAACTACCCCAATAATTCCTATTGTCTTTATTGCTTAATTCACAATGAAGTTCCTCACAGCATTGTTAATACCTCTTCTCTACTCTACTTCTGCGTATGCAGACTTTGCCGACGACGCCTTCACTGCCATCAAGCTTCTACAAGAAAAATGGTACAACTACGATACTGGATTATGGTAAGTCATCTGCCACCTCTTGTGACTGGCATATCTGACTCCAATTAGGAACGACTTATGGTGGCAGTCTGGCAACATCATTGAGACTATCGCTCGTTTTGGTATCCAAGATGCTGCCTTCAAAGAGTACGCCCTCATGATCGTCTCCAACACATTCGCCAAATCCCCCAACCAACATGGCGCGACTCAGTGGAGAAATAAATTCTACGACGACGAAGGCTGGTGGGCCATGGGCTGGATAGCCTCCTACGATCTCACCGGCGACGTCAAGTACCTCAACGCCGCCAAGGACATTTTCGAAGACATGACAACAGGCTGGAATACGCCCTGCGACGGCGGTCTCTGGTGGTCCAAAGATCGCGACTACATCGCGGCCATCTCAAACGAACTCTTCCTCTCCGTAGCCGCCCACCTTGCCAACCGCGTCGATGGCCAGCAAAAAGAAGACTACACCAACTGGGCGCAGATGGAATGGGACTGGTTCAAAAAATCCGGAGTAATCAACTCGGACTCATTGATCAACGATGGCATCGATCCGGCTACATGCAAACCCAAAGGAATAACCTTCACCTACAACCAGGGTATCGTTCTAGCTGGTCTCTCCGAACTCGCCCGCGCGAAAAACAATGGCGATTACATTAAAGAAGCCTACACGCTTGCTGTGGCCTCGACAATCAAACTCAGTGATGGTAGCGGTATTCTCACCGAGCCTGTTGGCGGGTCTCTCGACCCCGTTAGTTCGCAGTTCAAAGGCGCGTACGTGCGCGGTTTGTCAACGCTTTATGAGAATGCGCCGCAGCAGGGCGTCAAGGACTTCTTCTACAGAAACGCGAACGCGGCTAGGAGTCAGCCGAGGGTTGATGGAGGTGTTATTGTGGATTTGTGGCAGGGGCCGAGTAGCAATGGTAATCCGAGTACCCATGCGAGTGGGATCGATATTATGGTTGCTGCGGCTTTGGCCGGTGATCCGTAGGGCTGATGGCGGATTTTGCGGTTCTTGTTAGTGTTTTATACCCCGTTTTCGTTTTGTTTGGCGCTAGAGATCGTGAGGTTTGGGGGATGTCTGGAGTAGGAAGGACATCCATTCTGTTTAATGTAATAACGACCTTAATGATAAATTAGAGATTCAAATTTTGAGCACTAAGTAACATGTTTCTTTCTCTTTACTGTCTTACATAGAGTCAGCAATGCACTACTTTTACACCTGCCAGTATAATGGCACAAGCTACTCCAAGCTGTAATATCAATAACACATGCGTCGTCAAGCTTCCGAGGCGTATCAAAGCCATGACGTGACAATGGTCAGATTGGAGAATATTTACCGCTGCAGACAGTGAAATCAAGGTGTTGGGAATACACTAAGATTGCACATGTGCTATCATTCAACAGAGTTACTTATATCATTGTGCATGCATTTGCACTAGCACGATCACCATAGCAAGACATTTGCATGCTGATGGTAGTCCTGGCGTATGGTACATTTTTGCGCATCTAATGTTCTCGTTGGTGGATTTTCAAGGCAAATACGTGGAGCCTGACCAATCGAAGCGTCATCTGCGCCGCGTGAACGGCACATTCGCTAAACCTCGAGCAAATCCTCGCCCGAACACTTCCGATCACCGCACAAATTCTTACAAGAAACGCCATCGTTATCAGCCAGCTGCCATTGGTAGCCTCGTTGAAGCACCTGCTCCCTCACCGTCGAGCATGTAGTGTTGCGGGGAAGCGTCGCCCGGCGCCGGCACTTCCATCGGCGCCGCGTCCAAGACAGCGGTATTGACGTTGTTTCCAGCTCCACCAACTACACTTATCTCAATTCGTAAATCGAAAACGTCCTCGCCTCACGTAAAACGTTTTACCGAAGAGTCTTAGTCAAAACTGCGCGCGATGCATGTCGATAAGACTACAGCAGCGCACTGTTCTGGCCACAGATACGCCCAACCTTTTTGCACGGCAATTAGACCTAGAGGATGTATGCATGCTGGAGAGTGAGTGGCGGCTGCAGGTCTTACTTCTCACGGTAGGCCTATGGTAGGTTAGATAAGCCCGCGGTTACACCGGTTTTGAGGTCTGTGTATTGTCAGAGCAGTTGTCATGTTCGGTCTATCTGAGGATTTGAGGATTGCGGCCGAAAGCATTATGTAGGGTTTGTTGTTTTCCTGCCTCTTGCATCTTGTGGATATCAGAGCCGGATTGTAGGGACTTCCAAGATACATATCATTCCTCGTTGTCTTTGAGCTTCATTTTCACTTTTCATACCCTCTTCGTTTTCTTGACATTACTCTCGTCATGGGCTACGAAGCGAACAAATATCGGTCGTGGCTGCCAAACATCCTCAAAAAGTCGACACAAGATGATGCCACACCAGACGAACGAACATCCCTTCTTCCAGACTCACAACACGAAGAATGGACTACTGGTGAAACTTACGAGCTCGAGGATGGAGTAGCATCAGAAACCCAACTCATTCTCCAAGAGTTCTGGATACTACTCAAAGGATCGCTCCCCGTGGTCGTAGCATACGCATTGCAAAACTCCCTGCAAACAGTATCCGTCCTTATCGTCGGGCGCCTCTCACCAGAAGCATTGGCTACCGCTGCCTTCTCGTACATGTTCGCAATGGCTACTGGTTGGCTCGTTGCTCTCGGTGGCACAACCGCGATCGACACCCTGGCGTCCGCCAGCTTTACCGGGAGCAAGAATCCACATGACCTAGGAATCATTCTCCAGCGGGCATATGTCATGCTCCTGCTATTCTACATACCGATCGCTATCGTGTGGTTCTGCTCTGAGCCACTCTTCAAAGCCCTCGGTCAAGAAGACTACATAGCCAGGGACTCGGCAAGGTTCCTCTCGGTGCTTGCTCCAGGAGGTATTGGCTACATATACTTCGAGGCGCTGAAGAAGTATATGCAGGCCCAGGGTACATCCATATCTTTTGCACAATCTGTGAACATACACTGACATTTGCAGAAATCATGAGACCCGGAACATATGTCCTCCTTATCACCTCCCCCCTCAGCGCCGGCCTCAACTACCTCTTCGTATACACCTTCAAAATGGGTCTCCTCGGCGCGCCGCTTGCTACTGGTATCGCGTACTGGGCATCCTTCCTCCTACTGCTTGCATATGCTCGCTTCGTGGACGGATGGCAATGCTGGGGAGGTTGGGATCGCAAATGCTTGCAGAACCTATGGGTCTTTTCACGGCTTGCCCTGCTAGGCGTGATACACGTCGGCACGGAATGGTGGGCATTTGAGATCGTTGCGCTTGTAGCAGGGAAGCTCGGCACTATACCACTGGCCGCACAAAGTGTCATCATGACTACTGACCAAGTTATGAACACCATTCCTTTCGGAGTTGGTGTCGCTACCTCCTCGCGTGTCGGAAACCTTCTCGGCGCACGTAATGCCAAAGGTGCAGCGAGAGCTGCCAACACTGCTGCTGTTCTCAGTATGCTACTTGGTGCGCTGGTACTGGCTGTTCTCATGGGAGTCAAAGACTTTTACGCCAAGATTTTCAACGACGACGTGGAGGTCGTCAAGCTCACTGCAAAGGTAATGCCTTACGTCGCACTTTTCCAAATTGCAGATGGACTTAATGGCAGCTGCGGCGGAGCCCTCAGAGGCATGGGTAGACAACACATCGGAGCAACGGTAAACATCGTCAGCTACTACTGTGGAGCTTTGCCATTGGGCATTTGGCTTGCCTTCCACGGCTGGGGTCTCGGTGGCTTATGGGTCGGTCAGTGCATCGCGCTGTACCTTGTCGGATTCGCAGAATGGGCGATCGTTGCTTGGAGTAACTGGGATTACCAAGTCAAGAAGGCTTTCGAAAGAATGGATTCAGATGACAGGGCAGAGTTGGGCGTCTCTCCGGAGGAGCCTGCACCGTTACACAGATAGCCGCATCACATTTCCTGGAGTTGATCGCACGTCGGATGTATTAGCAAAGCTTCTTAGACATGCGTACGAAATAGAGATAGATAGCTGTCCGGAACAACTAATGCAAGAAGTGTAAAAAATTACTCAATACGTTAAGCGAGCGGGTTTAGCACGGCCGGTATCTGCATCCTTGTCTCCGCGACTGAACCTCATTCCTCGTCACCTCATCACCTCCGCACAGCTTCCAGCTTGCTGCGCTCCCCACGCCATGTATGCATCTCAATGTCGTAGCTAGAAACTGTCGTAATTTCGGAGCAAATCGCGTACTCAACCTTGCATGCACTAAAAACATGCTTCATCAATTGAGCGCCCAATCCGCCGCGAACATCGTACTCAGGATGCGTCCAGATCACCCAATTCTTATCGAACCAATCCGAACACTGTGTAACAGCTACGAAAGGCCGTTACGTAGAACATGCAAGGCTGGAGACTACGTAACAAACGCACGGGAAGCTCACTTGCATGCATGAGTAGCGTAGCATCTTACAGATCTTGACTCGCTTCAGATAAGAACTCGATACCAAGAGATCAACGTTGCTGAATATCGCCGTTACATATCATCTATGAGAAAGCTTACTGGTCAAATTCCCCGGCTTTTTCTAATCATGGATCTTCGTCATTATACATGGCGGGGTTGAGTATCCACATTGATTAGCAACAGTCGATGCATGTCGTTCTCGGTAGAGTGAGGTTGCGCGGGAGTACAAGAAAACGGCATGAGAGTTGGTGTGGCCATCACGGTGTTCTGGTGTTTATTCATAAAGATAATAATGGTTTACTGAAGGACATTTGGTTCATCTTCATCAACAGTTCATCGCTTCGCTTCCCCAACTTCTACGTACAGAGAACACAACTCCGGGCTTATACCACACGTAAACGCCATATCGAGGCCTGGAGCTTTTTCCAAGAATCCTACTAACCGATTGGAGGCAGTACGGTGCTATGCCTGCAGACGACATCATCATGGAGCAGGGGTAGCTCCAAAAAATGTTGTTTACCTAACAGCAGTTTACCTAACGTGAGCTGGTCAAACAAGCCACAGATAGAGGTGATGGGCTTATAATCTCTTCAGCTATTTACTAGAAGCATTCCGCAGTCCCCAGATCTGTTTTTGCATCTCCTCTCCTCCATTTTCTCTCCCATCATACCTTGAAATCCCGGCAAGATGAGGTTTACTCCCGCACTCTTGAGCTTCGCAGCTACTGTAGCTGCGCACGGCGACCACGGTCACGACCAAGAGCCATTGGCTGGCCCGCACGAGGGACTGTGGTACAACACGCTTCCCGGCGACGGTGGAACCCAGGTATGAGCTTACGACCCAGAGCATGAGCTCTACCGCGGTAATTAACCCAATTGCAGGCCGACTCCATCTTCTCTGGCATTTCCACATTCGGTCGCCTCCCTTACCACCCATGTCTCTCGAGCAACACAAAGTTCGACATCGCATTCATCGGTGCGCCCTTTGACACTGGCACATCATACCGCCCGGGTGCTCGCTTTGGGCCTAGCGGTATCAGACAAGGTTCTCGCCGCCTCAATCTCTAGTATGTTTCCTTGAAAGCAGCCATATGCTTACTTTTGTTGTTTTTGTGATCCAAAGGCTCACACAGAATTGGATTTAGTGGCGGCTACAACGTCCCACTCGAGGCGAACCCGTTTAATTCCTGGGCCAAGGTCGTTGATTGTGGTGATATCCCTGTGACCTCGTAAGTTGCTTTCTAGCTTCTACTGGCTTGTGTAATTCGAAACCCAAAATGCTGATGTGTACAACTTGGATAGGTATGACAATGCCTATGCACTCCAGCAGATTGAGCAAGGCCACAATTTACTGCTGAGCCGCGAACCCTACACACATGCCGACAAACCCGGCCCATCAAAGAAAGGCACAACGCTTCCTCGTCTGATCACTCTCGGAGGTGACCACACCATCACACTCCCTCTCCTCCGTTCCATCAACCGGGAATACGGACCTATAACCGTTATCCACTTCGACAGCCATCTGTAAGCTCTTACCCTTTTCTCACCTCCCCCTTCCACTCAACACACACATACTAACACCACTACTTCCCAGCGACACATGGCGACCCAAAGTTTTCGGCGGCGCCCCCTCCGAACAAGCCAGCATAAACCACGGCACCTACTTCTTCCACGCTGCGCAAGAAGGCCTCCTAGCCAACGACACCAACATCCACGCCGGCATCCGCACGACACTCTCCGGCCCCTCTGACTATGAGAACGACGGCTACTGCGGTTTCCAAATCGTCGAGGCACGTGAGATCGACAAGATTGGTACTGATGGCATCATCAAGAAGATCAAGGACAGGGTCGGAACGGAGAAGCCTGTGTATCTGAGTATCGATATCGATACTCTTGATCCTGCTTGTAAGTTGAATCTGTTGATGGTGCTGGGGATGCTGGTTGTGGGGGTGATGATGAGGGGGGAGTTGTTGGGTGGTTGGAAGTAGAGGTGGGAGGGACTTATTGAAGATGAAAGAAGTATAGGAGCTAACGTGTTTATTTAGTCGCACCTGCAACCGGTACACCCGAGACTGGTGGCTGGACAACCCGAGAGCTTCGTACCATCATTCGTGGCTTGGAAGGTATCAACCTCATTGCTGCTGATATCGTTGAGGTTGCACCTGCTTACGATACCAATGCTGAGCTTACTACTATGGCTGCTGCTGTAAGTCTTACTCGTGTGCGTTCAATGTGGAGATTTCGCTGATTGATGGTAGGATACTCTTTACGAGGTCATGACCTTGATGGTTAAGAAGGGTCCATTGAGCTACATGGGCGCTCCTAAGAAGGAGATGATTGAGTTGTAGAGTTGTGAATTGCTGATTGAGCGGAAGTGAGCGGTGTACATATTGCGCGTTGAGTGCGGAGTTGGTGACGAAGAGATGTTGGGCGTTGGATTCGAGAGGCATCCAGCGCGGTCGCCTTATGATTGGGGCAGAAAGCGTCCCCGACTTCGATGCGACATGTAGATGACGATTATGATCATGAATCAATGCCTTTCAGGGTATACTACAACAATGTAACAATATCCCGTCCTCATTAGTCCTCGTACCAGGACCACACAATCTCTCTCTTGCCCTCCTCTGCTCTTCAGACCTACCCACCCCACCGCATAAATCCAAAAACGCAATTCAGTACAACCCCCATCACAACAGCAACCTGCCTCCTCCTCGTCCAAACCCCCTCCTCCCTGAACCCCCAAACCAAACTGCCCAACGGAAAGAAGAACCCGGTTAGATATCCATACAACATATCATCCAACCCACCTTCTTCCACCGCAAAGCCCGCGCCCCAGCCTGTTTCCGCTCCACCAGCACCTCCAGCAGCTGTAGTACCCGTGAGTGAGGCAGAAGGGTCATTAGCCGAAGAGTCCAGCCACCGGTCTTCTAGCACGCGGATTTGCGCAGGGGTGGGCATGGTATCGGGGGTATGTGTGAAGGAGAGGTTTTGTGTAAAGGTCGCGCGGAGGGAGGCTATTTCGTCGCGGGTGAAACCTGAACTGAGTAGCCTATCGAAGCCTTGTGCTTGCGGTACGGTATTCGCTGTTGTACTAGTTGTAGAACTACGTCTCCGTGCATTACCATCCGTTATTGTGGTACTTGCGAGCCGTTGGGAGGCAGAGGTAGAGGGGATGGAGGAAGAAGATGTATACTGCGACTTGAATGCCGTCTTAGTGTCTTGCGCAAGTTTAGCTTCGCTGTCGAGTTCAGATGCGGAGAGAGGGTCGCCGAGGGAACAGTGGATGTAGTATTTCTTTGCTTCGGGGGGTATGTCTGTTGTCGTGCCGTATTCGACTGCTGGGGTTTCTCGGAGGGGTTGTTTCCCTTTGCTATTGCTGGCTTCTCCGTTGTCTCCTCCTCCCAATCCCGCCCCATCGCTGTTCTTCTTAACATTACGAGGAGGTGGCGGGGACGGTAATCGTAAGGACTTGGATAATGGGTCTGTGTCTGCGAGGACTTTGCCTGCATAGATGAGGCGGAGGCGCGCGGAGGCGTGCTCGGAGGGGAGATGTTGGCGGATGAGTTGTTTGAGGGAGAGGGTGAAGGTTGTTCGTCGGGTGTTTATTGAGAGTGGGAGGTCGGGTATTGAGGCTGTGAAGCGTATGATCAGGTATACGATTTGTTCGGGGAGAGCTGGCGCGTTCGCCATGGTGTTGGATATTGAAGGCTGCGGCGGCTTTCGGACGTGACAATGGTCGTGAGGAATTAGATGTATATTCTGAGTCTATGTGGGGTCATAACGGTCGTAACATCATTATTCGCGACACTTGTGGTAGTTGAGCATCTCAGGCGGTGATTGTTCGGTTCGCAGTGTTCGCGCCATTGACAGCATGCGACGCGGCAGCTCCCCCGGAGCTTAGCATCGCTGAGGTCATTATATCCGAAGTATAGCCCACTATATCAAATGCCCCTCTTTACCCATCTGTCGCATCAGTACTTCTAGCATTCTATTCTGTTGCTTCAATAAGTGATTATCAAGATGACAATCATTCACATCGTACTGTTCGAGTGGAAGTCCACAGCTTCCCCAGATCAAATCTCAGAAGTACCTCTATATTCATCTAAACATACATCGTACATATACTAAAACATTGAAGGCATGCAAGCGTATGCTCGGTCTCAAAGACCAATGCATTCATCCATCATCTCAAAAGCCATACATCAAGTCCTTCTCTGGTGGCAAGAACAATAGCCCTGAAGGCCACAGCGTATGCAATGCCCTTAGATTGCCTCACAACTACTGATGTGCTTAGGGCAACTCAACCCACGGTTTCGTAGTCGAGTTTGAAAACGAAGAGGACCGGGACTACTACGTATACAAAGACCCCGCCCACCAGGAATTCGTAAAGTTTGCTGGAGAGGTGGCGAACGGCGTCAAGGTCTTTGACTATGAGCCAGGGAAGATGTAAATATAGTACAAGGAACGAGAGCTACACGCCGCTAGCGTTGTTCAATGCAAGAGATCGTTGCCAGTTCGGGAAGATCGATGGTCTCCACGGTCGCGTTGTGATCCGGGTTCGCAGTGATACTGCTACGAGTCTGCACATGGCGCGTAGGTAGAGAAACGAATTAGCAATTGTGCTACACGTGATGCTGATGATATTCCAATTATGTCATATGTATGTGTAATGTCGAAGATGCGACGCCGGTAATGCTTCTATAATGCATAGTGATCGAATCGTAAGGGTATCATGATACGCTGAAGGACTCCCCGCAACCGCATTGCTCAGCTAAAATTGGTCAGTCTCTGTTTCTCATATAATACCGAGGCAAGACTTACTGATGTTAGGGTTCTTGAAGATGAATCGCTCGTTCAACTTGTCCTCCAACCAGTCCATCTCACTCCCAATGATGTTTAACAGTGCCTTGTTGTCAATCAAGACCCTGACGCCATCTTGCTCTACCTGCTCGTCTAACGGACTTGGCTTGTCCACGTACTCCAAGTGATATGCCAGCCCTGAGCAGCCCTTTGCCTTTGTGCCTATCCGGATAAGCTTTGGCTCCGGTAGCTCGAGCAGTTCACGGAGATGCGACACTGCCGAGGGTGATAGCTTGATAGTCGCTTTCCGTGGTCCGAAGTTGTAGCGGCGCGGCCGCAAAGGCTTGCTGGAACTCGGCGCTTGCTGTGACTTCTGTGCCTCGCCCTCTGGTATGCTCACACTCGGTTGCTCGGAAGGTGTCGCTGCGATGTGCTCTTGCGGAGGCAATTGTGGGGTTTTCGCATTGTTTGCCTCGGCTGCTCCACCTGCTATTGATGTGTCGGGTACGCCAGCATTCCTTGGTGGCGGCGGTTGAGGGTACAACGAGTGGGGTTTATACGCAGTCGCTGTCTGCATCTGCCGCTTCGCTGACTGCCGATACGGTGTCGACGAGGCAAACGTCCGCGCGCATTGCGGGCATCTGCGGGGGGTGAAGGATGGGGCGGCGAATCGTAAAAATGTCGAGCTGGAGCGCGCGACGGCGGCTGTGGTTCGAGGTAGTGACATTATCGAGGTGTCGATGATCCAAGAGTTCTGCGAGGAGTGTAGGTAAGGAACGCGTGTTGTGTGAATAGATGGCAAGGGACAGACTGCTGCTTGTCACTAAATTCGCCGAAGCATATGTCATCCGCGGCAGATTCCGGGGCACATGGCACAATTATAAAGCAGATGCGTTTGATTGGCTGTTCATGTCCCGAAGTATCGGAATTTCGGAATTACATGCCCTCTCGGCAAGGGCAAGTCACACCATCATGAGTCCACTTCACTGCTTTACATCCTCTTGGTCTATTCACCTTCGCTTCCATACCTTGCGATTAAAATCAAATAAAACTTGCTTTAATCTGCCGAACATTGTTAGCATCTATTTTGAGCTCTATCATCGATAGCAACACAGCGTCTTCATGTCTACTACATATGTGCCAGTGGCGGCATGCTGTCAAGCTCCATAATCTTGACATCGTTCTCCACAGTCTACGGTAGCAGCTTGAGAACCATGGTATTCCCGTGCACAGAGGTCCGTTAACAATGCATTCTGTAGTTCGTACTCAGCGACCTCACTTCGGACACCCACCAGCATCTCATTACTGATCCAACTCGACGCTCTTGTCATCAGCGAGAAGCAAAAAGCTTAGCATTATAACATATCCTGCTCTCTTCGATGCTCTTGTTATGGCTTCAACAGCTGGGCTATATCTTTATAGCCCTGCGATTTCACCAGCATTAATGCTGTTTTTCCTTTGAAATCCTCCACGTTATGATCAACATCGGAGCTGCGGAGTAGCAACTCCACCACACTTGTTTGTCCACTCCATGCCGCTATCATCAACGGTGTCCGTCCTGCCCCATCCTTCGAATTAGGGTCTGCCTTGTCAGTATTCAGAAGCAATTCCACTACGTCTTTTCGTCCATACAATGCCGCCCTCGTCATCGCCGGTCGTCCGCTCGAGCCCTTCACATTAGGGTCTGCCTTGCCAGTGTCCAGTAGCAATTCAACTATGTCTTTGTATCCGGACTCTGCCGCCACAATCAACGCTGTGTCTCCACTAGCGTTCTTCGCATCAACGTCGATCTGTCCATTTCTTAGCAGCAGCTCAACAATTTCCTTGCTCCCTTCTCCTGCCGCTATTATGATTGCTGATGAATCGAATCGATCTCTCGCATTGACGTCAACCTTGGCAGTTCTAAGCAGCAGCTCCAGAATTTCTTTATATCCTAGTTCTGCTGCCAGCGTTATTGCTGGATTGCCTGCGCTGTCTGTTGCATTAACATCAATCTTGACAGCACTGAGGAGCAGCTGAACAATCTCTATGTTCCCACACGCAACCGCTTGAACCAGTGGCCTTCCAATTGTTCCAGTTGTGGCTCCATAATTAACATCAACATCAGCTTTGAGCAGTACCTCAACAAGGTCCTTGTCTTCAATTTTGATCGCCCATAGCAGTGGTGTCGATCTATCTCTGAACACACCTCCAATCCGACTGTAGGTGTAAGGCTGCTCAGAGACCACAACTTTCCTGGGCCCAAGCTCAGACCGACTTGTGAGCACCCACTGCCCCCTATGCACACGATACCTACGCACAGGAGCAGATCGCCTCCTGAGCACAGGCTGACTCCTGAGCATCTCGCTATTCTGACACAACAGCTCGATGACTCTCACATTCCCGTGCATAGCAGCCCAGCGGAATTGCATCCTAACGTTCCCGTCCAGCTCTTTCAATTCCGAGCGTCGAACTTGAATCAGATTGGCACAGAGTTGGTACACACAATCTTTCTGTCCCGAAACATACCAGATATGGTTTTGCCAATGTAGTTTCGCATAGGCGTAGAACTTGAATCTGTCTTCCGGCTGAGAATGGGAGGTGCCACACGCTTCTGCAACTGTTTTGCTCAAATCTAATGTAGGTTGCTTCTGCTTCCTACTTTCAAGGAACTTCCTTGCAAGTTGACTAGCCATCCTTGGAGTCACGGTTTGCAAGATTGTAGACGGTGCTGATTGTGCCAAGACTGGACGGACGGTGGCTGTTGATACCTGTGTCTCGAAGACGTTGTAACTAAGATAAGTCACCACAATGTCGGCCAAGTTCCTTTGTGCGTCCTCGATAGAGAAAGTGACGTCCGTGGAAGGGTCAAGAGTGCCGAGGAGATATTGCTTGAAGCTATGGTGTACGACTCGGACGGTTGACTCTTCCTCATCAACAATAAGAAGACATCCACAGCAAGCTAGCGCCGAGTGAACATCGTTCAACATTTGAGATGGATCGTAAGTCACCTCTCCAGGAGTGACGCTTAAAGCTTCTTTCAGCTCTTCAGTCGTCAGAGGCCGGCAAGCTGCCAACACGAGTTGCAGTGTCTTCGTTTGAAGTGGTGTATCTGAACTTCCTGACTTATGTAAGATACGGGCAAAGGTCTGTGACAGGTCTTTTGGTAGGTCTAACAATGCGTTTCGAATAGCATGATCAGTCTTCATTCCGCATAAAGCTTGGATCTGGAGAGCTGCCCAAAGGAACATCCCCTTCGCATTTTTCAAGAGCGCATCAAGTATTTCCGATATCAACTTGGGATCACCAATCGTCAAAAGCTCTTGTTCTAGACAACGGTCCAGCTCTGCTACGATGAAGGCCTCGGTGTCTGGATTGTCCTCCGGCAATGAAATGATATCGGTTGCCAAGAGTTGTTTGGTAATGAAAGACAAGCCTTTGCTTGGCTCTAGTCGCAAAGAAACACAAACAAGGACTTTTAGCTTCTTCTGGATCGTCCGGACTGCCTCCACCAGCATTCGTCTCTCCGTGTCGTCGCACTTGTCTAGTCCATCTATGACGAAGTAAGTTCTATGACTAGGAGAATAACCCTATAGGAACAGTTTCAGCATCTTGTCAGCGTCACCGGGAATGTGGGTATCTTCGCAGCTTTCCGAAAGTGTGTCGAGATCAACGAAAGTCCGCAGCAATTGTCGCGCCAGTGAACCGAGGATTGTACGTGCTTGCAGGCTTTCCTGTACATCGTGTCTACAGAAAAAGTACGCAACTAAGGGTCGTTCTTTCCCGGTAGAAAAGTTGAGGTCGCCCACAATGTTGGCTAAGAGCACAGATTTACCTGACCCCAACTTCCCTGTGAAGACTAGTGTGGAAGAATCAGGAGAGTCTTTCCACTTTTGATATTGCACGTAACGTGTATGTAGCAACGTGTTTCCCGCCTTTCGTATCTGCTTCTGCGCTGTCTCATGGTCGTATGTTGAGAAGAAGTCAAGAACTCGGTTCTTTGTAGCCGCCTTTGCCGCAAGTACTTGGCGCTTTTTAGCAAGTTTTTGCTCGTCCGTCGCGAATTTAAAGATCAACCGGGTTTCTTCTCTAAAACCGGAACTCTCTTGAGCTTCCCTTAGATGCATCTCCTCTCCGATTGATGCTGCCCATTTGTGGAGGTCGGTCTGGAAACCCATCAAAGCCGTTTGATTCAAGGAGGATGTGATTTGCCCTAAGGTTGACTTTTGCCCAAGCTTGTACAGGTAATGACATAGTTGTACAACGACTACGAAGTACTCGGAGAGATATTCTTGTAACTTTGTGGACCGAGGATACAGCTCGGCTATTGCTTGATGGCGCGGGGCAGAGCGACCGATGTCCATGAAGATCGACGATAGTTTGTCAACGTGGTTTGAAACGCTCACGAATGACTACTTTGCTTTAGCGACTTATTGCAACAATCATACAAGAACGAGATACTGACTAACAATGCCATGCGCACCAAGGACCACACACCGCATGCTATCAGATTTTGCGAACCACCGATCAAGATGTCTCCAAGGGCGGCGAACTGCTGGACACCTTGGAGGAAGTTGGTGAAGCGTGGCCCAAAACATCGGCCGCCAAACTTCTGTGACATATGAATATCAACCTCTTCCGACAGCTTCATGACATCGCTCGGAGTGGGTGGCGATTTTCCCTTGTTGAACCTTAATCTCTGCTCGCCCGACAGGCTAGCCTCGAACTCAGAGACAGCATGATCAAGGCGGTCATGAGGCGAGAGCCTTGGAGCTCTAGCTAAAGCTTTCGACATGACTATCTTGGGAAGTTACAGGATGGGAAGCATCAATCGAGTGGAGTCCATACAGCGTCTTGTGTGAAAGAGAACGTAAAATGCCAACTATCGAGCTGAAGAACAGCCCAGGTGCTGCGCACAAGGCTGAGCGTGGCTGCGCATCTTAGCTGCAACCCCGCTTTCTTCGCCCATTCGCACCCTTGGAGAGACTGGTTGCCGTCTAAGATGTAACCACTCGTCGCGCTGCGAAATTGCGGAGAAGAACGATTCAACTTAGCCCAGATGAAATGGATGTACTAATCCAGGTGAATGAACGAAGCTGCTTGGCCGCGATGACCCTATTGTGCTAGGCTGATAGAAGGCTAGCTCGATTACATAGGTCAAACTTGTCTCGAGAACCTTACAATTTCAGGTGTTGTGATACACAGCGTCGAAGCAGAGTGGATGTGCTTCTCTGGAGTGAAGGTCAGTCCTGTGTATTTAAGCTCGGTGGTTGCGGCGATATAAAATATTCTAAAACCTGACTAGACTACCTAGATACTCCCACACTAGGCGTTGCCTCCACATTGGGCACTACGTCCACGTTGAGTAATACTCTACATTCGGCCTTACCTAAAGATTTTCACGCCACACAGCGGTTTGCGCCTTTCCGCGATCGAGGAATCCTTGAACAACAACAGTGCGCGTAAGCACCATCCCCGTGACGTCAGCGGCTTTCGGGGGCATGACATTGGTAACGCCGGCAGTCGTCGCACTCAGGAACTCTGCTTACGCCAGGACGATGGAGCTTGGGGTGTTCCAGGGACCTGTAATCCTGGAGACTAGCTGCTATTCCTGTAGCCAATGGCAACTCAGCCTTGCCCAGTAGTGATAGACTGTTGATCTTCCCTACATGTGGTACGATGTTCACCAAAGACTAGGAGATCGATACACCAGCAGTGTAGCGCAAATGGCCGCAAGTTTGATCATCGCAGTTGCGATCGAATTTCTGTTGGGTCCGTTTAGGCGATTTATGCTGTAACCACACGCCAGTGGCCATCATGCTACCCTGTGCTCTCCAGCAAAGGCCCCGGAATCGTTCCATATTCACTGTTGAATGCGGAGTCAGGCAGAACAAGGTTTGATTCACAGCGCAGATCACATGAAAAAACCACGTTTTCTGCAAAGAACTCGATCTCATCTTTCTGGCGCAACTTTTCCAAGTCGCTGTAAGAAGAATCGCGTCGATCGTAGTGACGTTGGCTGATGACTGCCCGAGCGGCACTACCTAAGTAGGAACTTCCTCTTTCCACATTCGTGGTCGGGCCGGATACGTGCGTGAAGATCCCGGGGTATGTACATCCCGAGGCATTGCCCGCAAGGCATTCGCGTTCATCATCCAAACTGTACACGAACGCAAAGCTTAGTGCTGATAAACTGTAGGGAGTGCTCCGTCGGGCCGATCCCCTATGTGATATGCCTTGCCGAGCAGAACCTAATTTATGTCAAGCATCTGTAATGTGGGTATCGTGTTGCCGAGCTGGACCGCGCCACGGGGAATCTCAATCATCGTGTATTCGGTCTTCTTTCATTTACACTCGCATCGAGATGGGTTCTGCGCCACGGCACCATGAAGTCTGATGGAACAATGTCGCGTTTTCAGAGCATATCTGTGCGATTCGACAGCTTATTGCGATACCCCCATGCTACCAAGATGATCTTGAAGTTAAACATGAAAGAACTTCTGCGACAGCCGTGACTCCGACTCCGTTCTGCTTACACAAACCAGTTGACCTCTTCGATCGAGATGTGTAGATCACATCTCCCCTACTGTCAGAAAACTGGAGAAAGATCGAATCATTGACATTTCGTAACCTGGCAGTCATGGTTCGGCACCTGTAGCTTATTAAAATATTATGCCGAGGATTACATGGTCAGATGATCTGCCCAAGAACTCTTGTTCGATTTGAGCGCGCAAGGCGGTCTACGCCAAGGTCAGATCCAAGAGTTTAAGCCTCCATGTCTAGAATTCTGTCTACAGCATGGTGGAGGTATATTCCTATCTACTCAAGTGAGAACTAGAGACTTTCACAATGCTAATACCTCCTTTCCAACCATAAGGCTTTTTTACATCACTCATCTCTCCTATCCTTCCCTCTCTAGTCGTGCAGTAGGTTGGATCACAACGAGTGGGTTCGGGCGCCAGCTTTCTATTGAGGCCGCGTAGTGCTTATGGTGGTTAGCGAGATGGACAATTCTAGCAGCGCAACACTGGTACTCGTAATTAACTTAATCGGGAAGTTAGACTGCTCATCTTCCACACCATAATACGAAGTACGACCGCCAAACGTCACGAAGTTGTAGTCCTGGCTCGTCACAAGCAGTATGCATCGATCGATTGGAACAGTTCAACAATCACTGGCATTGGTTTGGGCCGGGCGAACAGTATTCGATGTCCATTGAACAGAAAAAGAAATTCCCCTGAAGAGATTGAAGAGCTAGGTAAAACTATACAGGTAGGACTTGTTCACCCCGAAGTGCACTTGGAATGGTGATCGTGAGACATTGCGGCGCAATTCCACACGGTCTCTCCGCGTCTTTCGTAAGAGCGGTGTCTACTCTTTCGCACCCCAGGGTATGAGCATGATCTAGGGAAGCTGAAGGCGATGCTTCGGAGATGACCATCCACCACGGTGATTCAGAATCGGTCCTCTATCTTCGTCAACTTTTCCTCAATCGAGAAGTACATGCTGGTTGAATGTCTATATAAGACATTGCAGTTCCCTTCTCTTCAATCCATCACAGCTATCGGCTTCAGTCACTCACTACCATACTCTCTTTACTAAACCCACACTCCTTAGAATCTCTCGATCATCCCAACACACTTCAAAATGCACTTCAACTTCTCCATCATTGCCGTGGCCGTCGCTGCCATGAGGTATGCGAAATCCAAAGTACATCATCTACCTCGCTAACCCTTTGAATAGCGTCGCCGTCGAGGCTGTCCCCGCGGGTGGTCGCAACAGGGCGGGAGCCAAGCAGGGTGCCAAAGACCACGCCGGAGACGTCTTTGGAGGCGCCACCACTGCTGCTGGATTCATCCCATCGACTGCTGGCAAGTAAGTCTAAGACTCAACTATCTCCTCCAGCAACGCGGAAGCTGACATATGAATTAGGCATGTGGCCCACAACTGCTGCGTCAACGACGGCGGCTGGCAATACAACAAGCGCGCTCAAGACCTTACCGTCACTGTGTGCAAGCAATTCTCAAGCGCCCAGATGTACAACAACGCTTGCACTGAGGTTGCTGGATCTGGTCCCATCTCTGGTGATGCATTCTACAACGCTTGCAAGAACCTGGCTCCTGGTGACAACACTGTTGGCGCTGGATACCGCGCTACCTGCTAAGCAGCCAATGAAGTTGCAGATTTGCGACGGGCGGCATTGTTCATCGACGGGGGAACTTGAAGGGACGATTCAAGAGATAATGAGGCTTGCGGGTTAATCTTCATGTCATTCTTTACGCTACTCTGAGGAGTGGATAATATTTTTTTAGTACTTAATATCAACATGGTTCTTTGTTAAACTGAGACCAAAAGTGACAACTTCTATCATCCAAACGAGCCCATACAAACAAACAAACTAAGCAGTAAAAACACCAGAACGAGACAGAAATCTTTGAATCTTATCATCATATTATTATCCCTCATATTAATCTGATCTCTCAAAGATCTCTATCCCCATGACCCATGAACGCCTAGCTACCGAGCCGAATCCCCAGTGGTATATGCGCATCCCAAAAAATTCACTTTTGTGTTCCCGATCCTATAACTTTTTCTGTTGTCCTTCCATTACTTCTCCACGTCTCCTTCCCCCAATGTCTGCTGAGTAGACGACTTTAGCGAACCGTTCATCGGTGCTGGGCACCGTAGGTGTGCTCATAAGCATTGCTAATACTCTTGTGGTGCTCAACAACCTTGTTCTTCAATCCCCTCCACACCTTCTGGTAGTTCCTGGGACCGAGCTCCTCCTCGCTAGAGCTCGCAGTAGAAGTAGCAGCGCCCTTGCGTGGTGCGTCAGCGCTCTGGCGGGGGCTAGAAGCAGTAGATGAGCTGCGTGATGCCGAAGGAGAGAAGCTCGGGCTGTAGTAGACGGCGAATGCGGAGTTCATTTCTTGGTGGTGCTTCTTGAGGGCTTTCCATGCCTTGGAGGCGTTTGTGGGGTTGCGCTGGCTGGAGGAAGTAGAGGGGTTGCGGGAGGTTTGAGTGGAGCTTGATGGGGTGAAGCTTGCGGGAGAGCCGGTGTAGTAGGTGTTGTAGGCGGCGTTGACGCTCTCGTGGTGGGCCTTTGCGTGGGCCGCAACGGAGGAGAGGAAGTTGGTCATTTTGGTAGTGGTTGTTTGAGATTGGTAGTAGCAAGAGTAGTAGTAGTGGTAGTAGTAGTAGTAGTTGCTTTGCTTGCTAGAAGATTGTAGTATGCTTTACTGTGCTGATGCCCTCATCCTCACGTACCCACCCATCCCTTTATACTCCCCCAGGGCATCCCCCAGAATATTCTTCTATGACACCCGCCAAGCATCACCGGTCACACCTTACGACCAAAGTCTTCGCCAGATTTTTACTCACCACACCGTTGCGCACGCCCTGCACATGGCCACGAAACGATCGTGAGATTCTAGGGTGTGCGCCTTGCTGATTGGCCACGAGGCTGACAAACCCACAGAATTCTTGTCAACGAACACCTTCACAGGGCGTGAGAGGGTCCGTGCTACCGTCATTTTGACCATGAGGTGTCCACGCCCTACCTTGGTGCATCTTTTCCGAAGGCGCGCCGGAGCCTTTCCCGTCGGCGGCTAATTTTGTCAGGGCGCATGTTGGGTGTAAAGGCGCGGTGACGAGTTTTCGGTCGTGTCCGTTAGCTGCTAGAAGACTGCCTTTGGAGGTATGGTGGGGGAAAACTCTGTTATTGGCTGTCCGCCTCTGTCGCACCACGGTGTGTACCTGATCCACGCAGGGCCTTTCCCGCCTCCAAGTTGCCCGTCGGATGCCAAGTTTGCTTCTGTGCTTTTAGTCTAGACGCTGCTGTTGCGCTGGGAGTGGATGTTTGTACGTAAAGAAGCTGTTTTACCTTGTGCGCATGTCCGTTAACTGTTAGAGAAATGCCTTTGGAGGTTTGGCGACGAAAATTTGATGTTTGGTGAGGGCTTGGGCGCGTGACGACGATGTGGACAATGTGGATAGGGGGTTGTGGTGTGACAGCAAGTGAGTGATTTTCCGCAAACCCACGATCGCGTCCGCCGATTCTTCTCGATGGTGCGAAGTTGTCATCTGAGGATCGTGACTCTGAGAGTCTTGCGACGTGCGCCAGATGATGAGCTCACGACCACAAGCATCATGCAGCATAGCACCACGCAGTATCAGCAACTCAACGCTCTCTGCATCAACGCAGGATTGTCGCAAACATCAGCACGATACGAGCTCACATTCGTCACCAAGCGGCCAATCGACAACTCGGCGCAAGTTCATGTTTCTGGTCGAACGTCACAAGTCAAACGACGCCGCCGAAGGCATAGAGACACCTATTGCGCGAAAATCTATAGATCCAATGTTGAGTACACGACACCGTTCATAGTCGGATTGCGAGATACCCCACACTCCACCATACCAGCAACAGCAAGCCTGCTGGCCAATTGCCCGCTATCGTACTACGAGTTCGCACCGCACCAGCGATTATCGGGTCTCCTGTGGGGTAAACATAGCCATTGCTAGTCGACTGCCCATAAACGCTTCCTCCACTTTCACCGGAACCAATTCCCAACGGATTTGGCTCCCGCGTTAATGTGACGATTGTGGTGACAGGCTGGAGAGTCTTCGTAGCACCTTGGACGACTACAGCAGTGCCACTGTGCTCCAGGCTCAGAGTTGTGCCATCGACAGTGATGGGCGTGCCTCCCGGAACAAGAGTTGTGCCAGGACCCATGATGATGTAGCCAGCGCGATTCGGCGTGTAGACGTGATCTTTGAAGGTCAAGGCAGCTGCGACTGTGGTGTATACATCGCCAAATATTGGAGTGATACTGGACGTTTCGCCATTGACGATGAGCGCTGTCGCCGAAGGTGCGAGCTTTAGTGTTGTTCCAGATATAGTCAGTGGTTCGCCGCCAGGAGAAAGTGTTTGGCCTACAATTACGTATTGCGCCTGCGCATTGGGCGCGATGGTTCTGGTACCGATGGTGAGTGTCGGTGGAAGTGGAATTGGTGGCAGCGAGACAGGAGGTTCAGTAAGTGCAGGCTGCGCAGGCTGCAGCGAGATGACGGCAGTACCAACGACAACCTTCGTCTTGCCATCTGATGTTTCTATTGCAATAGGTATGTCTCCGACAGTAATTGCCTGACCAGGTGTAAGAGTGAGAGAACCCCCTACTACGAAACCACCGCCACTTGGATCTTGGCCGATGACGACGTCAGATGCACCAATCGATATCGTTGCTTGCGGAGGTTTCTCTGTGCTTGCTTGTGCTGTTGCCTCCTGGATGGTAGAACCATGTTGTTCCCCGACTGGAGTATCTAGCCAACCTGTTGCAGGTATTTCAAACACTGGCGAACATCTTCGACATGGCCGCGTAGAACTGAAGTTAGGTTCAGGGATCTCGTGATGGCCGTTAGGATCTCCAATCTCCGTCACAGCTGGTGGTATTGGTCTCAGGCCTTGAACGGTTGATATCATTGGTGGCGTCCCTGTAGCATTTCCTTGAGACGTGATTGCTATAGTCGTTACATCTGTTGGTGATATGTTTGTTGGAATGTTTGCAATGACTGAGGTCGGTAAAGGCGCTGTTGGAGTGATAGACGATGGAGCTAGCGTTGAAGGTATGGGACCTGGCGTTGACAAAAAAGTGCTACGAGGAGATCCAAGTTGCTGCGAAGGTATCAATTCGAGACGGCGTGATGAGTGAGTTGCAGGCGCAGTATCTATGGGTGCGCCGAAGTTGGAGTCTAATGACAACACACGTCAGGTCAGTTATTCGGTAGCAGGGCTAGTCAGCGTCACTTACTTGGTTCCAATATCACTGAATTCTTGCCTCCCGTTGCCGCTGTCGACCCATAGTTGTGTAATTCTTTCTCAAGTCAGCGTAACAGATTCTCGCGTTCCGTGAACCTCAACGGCCAGCGCGTACCCGCTGATAGTAGTGCAGATGTAACACCTATCCAAGTGACGCCTAAGCACAACAAGTGACACAACGAGAGATTGGTAGCAGAGTGGATTATGCGCATGATAGTTTGTAGGGTCGGTATCATAGAGCCATGATGTGGGAGTAGTGACCGCCGCGAGAAACAGGAAATCCGCAGCCTTACATTTCACCCAGGTGACAACCCTACTCAAAATACTTGATGGGGGATCTGAGCGAGCAATCAAATATGGTGAATGGAAAATCTCCGCCTTCTACATATACCGACGAAGTGGCCGGTGACTGGAATAAAGACTAGGACAGTGGTACACAACATCTACTTAGATTGCAGTTGATTAGACTCTCATAGAACCTGGGGTTACTATTGTGCCGATTGGAAACGCCCGAGTGTGGAGATGGCTTTACCCGGAGCGGGAACGCAACCTTATACGCCAGCTGGGTGTTTACCAGAGACCGGTTCCCTTCCAGGAAGCTTAGCGAGCCGCGACCCTTGTCCAAAACCCAGCTTTGCTGCAAAGCTGACAACACTTCTCATGAGCGAACGAGTCATCATTGCGCGGGTTCTGATAAGTGTCCACGACCAGGTCGAAGGATTTCAAAGACAGGGTTGGAGAAGGAATGCCATGTGCGCGAGCAATGCACTAATGTGCAAGGTACGTTTGTTATCATCGGGGTCTCCGTCAACTCATGGCTATCTCGATATGACGATAGCTGAGCGTGAACGACTTGGTTTTCTGATATAGTAGTAGTGCAGACTTTGGATCCTGGTCATATTTTGTGTACGAGCTTTCTTGACAATGCACTAAATCTCCAGCTCTTGGACACTCAGACGTAGTCCTTGATCCCTCAGAGCAAATGCAAGTTGTCGACACAACATATAGGTCGAGGAGAACCTGTACGAAGCGCCCGGCACGGGTGGCGTTGTTGACATTCAACCGGATCCATTCAGGCGATAATCCTTCAATGCAACGCTGGACATACGTGGTAAAGATATGTAGAATATGTTTTCAGGCGGCAGCTAGAAACATCCTTCTCTGTAGCGCAGGATCATTGAACACGCATTCACCGGCCTGCCGTCGACGCGATACTATCTGGGCACGGAAGAGCTTCTGGAAAGCCGATCTCTTGGTCATGCGGTCACTTTTGCGGGCGATAGCAGGAAATTCATGTGTAGAGCCGGCCGATGGTTCGCTCGGTATCTTTGTACGATGGATCAAGGGACAGACGGCCGATAGACGATGTTGATGATTGGTCTTATGGCCACAAGGTAGCTGACGTGACCCAACTGCCGCTGACTGCAGGACTTCAGCCTTTTTCGGGAGCGAGATATTCTCCTATCACCGTATACAACGAGACGAAATAACGAAATGAGCAGCATCAGTAGATGTTGGATAAAATGCAACGTTAGCGTACCACGTGCGACTAGCAGTTGCGACACCTGGGCATAACCTTGAAAGGTTGCAACGCAGCAGTGCATTGCAGCGCTCAATTGCCGGAGCTCGTCAATGCTCAGGAGGATACTACCTGATCAGAATAGTTGTACTTTTCCAAATGCTAGCCAGGTAATGGACAGACGATCCGGCGTTATCTATAGTTGGTCTCCTCATGCTGTGGTGAATGCCTCCGATTTGAGACAGTAAATACAGAGTCAGAAGTAAGGCGATCAATCTCCCAACCGTGTAAATTGTGTTGATCAAGATTTTACCAGCATGAGATGTGTGCTCGCGTTGTTCCTGTTGATGGTTGGAATGTTGGGGCGAAGGGCAGGCGGAGCGCAACTTCTCGCTTACTGCTAGCGTATCTTGGCACCAACGCAGCTGCGAAAATCAGTTTCGCGAATTTCATCTTCGACTTCTGACAAGCGCCAACTAACCCCACGACAACACAGATTGCACCAGGAGACCCGACATCAGGTACGCTATACAGAACGCCCTCTATTCGAATACTCGGAGCCGTTCAGCATTGCGACACTCGAAACTGCCCCGCGAATGTCCCGCCGCCGTCAGCCTACGCCAAATGGAATGTAGGGTCGCACGCGAGTCGCTCGATATCTATACTTTCTACAGCAGGCTATACATGACGACGGACTTTGCTGGCAGTTGGAGCAATGCTGCGGCTTCGTCGACTTATAATTGAGAATAAAGACTAATTTGATTGTGTGGGACAGCGTCTTCTGAACAACCGCAATCATGGGGTATCTATCTTTCCCTCCCCCTCACACCACTGCAACCGCTAAAACTCGCCAGTATTTCACGAGACTCTCGCCACAAGCGTTCCGCGTCCGGTGCGAAGCGCGCATACTACCGCAAGAAGAGGTATGCATAACCCGATCGCTTCTCTAGTCATGTCTAACATGGCTTCAGGGCTTTCGAGAAGGGCCGCCAGCCTGCCAATACCCGTATTGGCACAAAGCGTGTTCATCTTGTCCGCACCCGTGGCGGCAACCGCAAGTTCCGTGCTCTTCGTCTCGAAGCCGGCAACTTCTCCTGGGGCTCCGAGGGCATCGCCAAGAAGACCCGTGTCATCGGTGTCGTCTACCACCCCTCCAACAACGAGCTTGTCCGTACCAACACCCTGACCCGCTCCGCTATCGTCCAGATCGATGCCGCTCCTTTCCGACAATGGTACGAGGCCCACTACGGCTCTTCGCTCGGCCGCAGGAGGCAGGCCAAGGCCGGTGAGAAGGAGGAGGACAAGAAGAAGTCCAACTCGGTCACCAAGAAGCAGGCCGACCGCTTGAAGAACGGAGGAAAGATTGAGAACGCTGTTGAGAAGCAGTTCGAGGCCGGTCGTCTGTACGCCGCTGTCTCTTCCCGTCCCGGCCAGAGCGGTCGCTGCGACGGCTACGTCCTCGAGGGTGAGGAGCTTGCTTTCTACCAGCGTCTCCTCAGGAAGTAGAGAGTGATATTTGGGGCTTCTTCGGTGCATTGGTCAGGTCAAAATGGGTGTTTAGTCATGTATCTGGTCTGCATAGTCGCGGGACACTGAATGCACTCGGCATGATAACGCCACTTCTCTAGATACCACGAGACTACGAATCATGGGTTTCAAATGTTCATGTGAAAGGTCTTTTTCCTTTGCCGTTCATGCTCGCCGTTTACCTTCTTACCGCTCCTCGTTGTGATTGATTCGATACGGCCCAGCTATACTTGATCATAACATTTTGCTCGTTTCATTACAGTTGTTACATCTTCATCGTGCGAGTACGATTACTGAGAACAAGGTTATACCTGACTGTACAATTAATCATCATCATCGTTGTCCATGACCCAATTCCAAGCTCTTTCACATGCCAACCCCTCTTTCCATCTCTCGCAGCCACACTCTTCCGCATCAAGCCCTATCCCTACCATCCACGGAACTCCTGCACCCGAGACTCTGGATCACGTACCTCGGCACACATCCGCATCCATCCTTGTATCCAGTTACAACTTCGACGCCGCAACCGGAGAGCCGACCTGTAGTAGCCGCTGTCAGCTTACATTCACATGTTACAAAACGCAAGCAGGATAGCAGTAGTAATAGCAAGTAAAGATCATAAAAAAAAGCATTTGCATTGTGGGTTACGTTTTTACAGACTCTATTGGTCTGGACATTGGTACAGAGGTTACATGATCAGGATATCGCAGTAGATGTAAAGAAAAAGGTTTTCATGGCAACGCAAGAGTACAAGGGCAGGTTACAACTTGGAGGCTCCCTTGGGCGGACCTACATTCGTAATCTCGTTGTACAACAACCTGGTAAATATGTTAGCACATGCTCATGTTTTCCAGCAATGTGGGAAGGGGGAGGAAGAAAACTTACGAAGTCAAGAACTCAGCGTAATCCTCACCGGTAACCTGTCCCTCAAAGTACTTGGCGGCAAGATGGAACTTGTTCCCCTTGGGCGCCTTGTCACTCAGCGCCTTAGCCTGCTCGTGCAGGAGCTTGAGCGCGTAGTCCTTGGTAACCTTCTTGCCTTCAGCAGTCTCGACGTTATGCCTAGTCCACTGCCACAGTTGTGATCGTGAGACCTCGGCGGTGGCAGCGTCTTCCATAAGGTAGTTAATGGGTACGCAGCCGACGCCGCGGACCCAGGCTTCCATGTAACTGAGACCAATGTCGAGGTTCTTGCGGATACCGTCTTCGGTTACCTTGCCGGGTACGTTCATGTTGAGAAGATCGTTGGCAGTGATGTGGACATCTTCGCGACGGACGAACATTTGGTTGGGGGTAGGCATATGCTCGTTGAAGACTTCGCTTGCGATAGCAGCGAGAGCTGGGTGGGCTACCCAGGTACCGTCGTGACCGGCGCGTGCCTCGCGAAGCTTGTCGGCACGCACCTTGGCCATGGCGGCATCATTTGCTTGTTGGTCGTTCTTGATGGGGATCTGGGCTGCCATGCCGCCCATGGCGTGGACACCGCGCCTGTGGCATGTCTTGATGAGGAGCTTGACGTAGGCGTCCATGAATGGTGAGGTCATGGTGACGGAGTCGCGATCGGGAAGGACGAAGTTGGGGTTCTGGCGGAAGCGCTTGATGGTGCTGAAGATGTAGTCCCAGCGGCCGCAGTTGAGACCTGAGGAATGATCGCGGAGCTCGTAGATGATCTGTGAAGCTGTTAGTATAACCCTTGTATATCAGTACTGCGCTCAACATACCTCGTCCATCTCGAAGGCGGCAGTAATGGTCTCAATCAAGACGGTACCACGGATGGTTCCACGCTTCATACCAATGTAGTCCTGGGCCAGGTTGAAAACATCGTTCCACAGCCTAGCCTCAAGATGTGACTCCATCTTGGGCAGGTAGAAGTATGGTCCCGTTCCGCGCTTGACAAGCTCGTGTGCGTTGTGGAAGAAGTACAGTCCAAAGTCGAACAGTCCACCAGAGATGGGCTCGCCATCAACGGTGAAGTGCTTCTCCTCAAGATGCCAGCCTCGTGCGCGAGCAATGAGTGTGGGTAGTGTTCGGTCGGTGCGAAGCTTGTACTCCTTCTCACCTTGCTTGAAGTCGACCTGCTTGCGGATGGCATCGTAGAGGTTGAGTTGGCCGTTGATCATGTTGTCCCATGTTGGTGCAGATGAATCTGGAGGACGTCAGCTACCGCGTCATGCACTCGGAGTGGTAAAATACATACCCTCAAAGTCGGCCATGTATGTCCAGACATTTGAGTTCAAGGCATTGACAACCATCTTGCGATCTGTCGGGCCAGTGATCTCGACGCGCCTGTCGACGAGACCTGGCGCTGGCGGTGCGCCCTTCCAAGCATCGTTCTCACGGATGTGCTTGGTCTCTGGGAGGAAGTCGAGAAGGTTTCCCTTGTCAAGCTCAGCTTGTCGGATTACTCGTCGCTGAAGCAGCGCTTTCCGGCGCTCATTGAATGTGCGGTGGAGGAGCGCAAGGAACACGCAAGCGTCCTTGCTGAGGATGTGACGGTTCTGGTCGTTGAGGTCGCCGAGGATGTTGACCTCTCGTAGGATACTATCGGCACTAGCTGCCATTATGAAATATGTATATGTTTTTGTACAATTGATGAATGTATTCAGGGTACAAAAAGAGGAATGCAGTGAGGTATGCAGCGTGCGGAGAGGGCTGGGCGGCCGGTAGATAATATATTCATGATACAAACGTCACCCATCTTGATGTCTGGGCCGAGGATCATGTTTCGTCGGCAGACGTATGCAGGCTAGTCGGCTGGCCGTGAATGGTAAACTCCAGGCCCAGGTTCGGGGGAGGGGAGCTTCAAGCTTGTGACGATGCCAAGTCCGGAGCTCAGATGCGGGGATAACCCAACCCGTTAGCACTAACGCGCCCGATCAGCACAACAAACTCTGACGAACAGTGGGCTCAGACATGATTAAACGCGAAATATGCTTGCACGATATCGCTGTAGTAATGATTCACACAAAGACTCATGGATAGCGGAGGCTGCTGACGGATCGTACCGGCAAGTGACGGAAGTCGTGATGCTGATGCTTGATAGCAAGTGCGTCGCCGATAGCTTCGCCGGCCACTTCCGATGGCGCGTACATCTGAGAGTGCGCATTCTTACCACGGCACTTACGCGACAGTGCTGGAGTCTAGGAAAGCTCTTATGGTTCTCAATCATATCATCAGCGGTGTGAGGGTAGTGTCGATCGCGGAGCGAAAACGTCAATTAATCGTCATCTGCACATGTCGAGCACGGGAATAACACCAGCGTGAAGCATCGGAAACCATGCAGACAGAAAACACGAAATAGGACATAGTGCGTCACATGGCATCATACGATGAATGCTTCGTTCTTTGGTCTGGTTCTATGAGGTAAAGAAACCATACTCTCCTATGTAGCCGAGGTACGCCTAGCATGCGGAGGCCTTGGAGCGCAGGATATGTATGGTTGAAATACCGAAGAAATGAGTGTTTTGAGTGTACGCCTTTTCTAATTCGAAGGGGTTCATAGCACACTAGAGCTGCTTTCTAGCTTCGCTCTAGAAATATGCCGCATCCTTGACTGATAACGATATCTTTAAGAGGCTGTCTAGGAAACCTTGACTGACTTCCGCCTAGACATATCGACAGCAAAACATCCAGTCACCCATACCGTCTCTGTCAAGACCGCGAAACATCACAGTCCTATCAATTAGACCTTCGTCGGTGTGATCTCAAACGGAGTGTTCTCAGCCTTCAAACCCCAACTGCAGACTCCGCTTGAACCACAGCTTCCGGAAAGGTTCTCTCCAACCGCAAAATGACCCTCCGCCTCAAACGTCGCCTTGTACTCCTTACCCTGGTACAACACATCGGCCACGTGCGTGAACTTCAGGTTGAAGTCACCGGTCGCGAAACCGTTGCTACCCTCAAGCACGTTCATGACCCAGTAGCCGTTGGACGTGGCGTCGCATGGCCAGGTACGGTCGAGAGGTGACTCGCCCTTGGTGTACCATTGCGCTTTGCAGTTCTGGGTAGTGTGTTAGTCAGGGTGTTGAGGTAGGAGAGGGAAGAGGATGGACGTACGAGGCCTTGACTTCCTCCTGGCACGATTACGTCGCTGCCATCGGACTCGGCGGTACCGAGGTTGATCTCGTTCGGGTCGGTCACTTCGGCTGTGATTTGGGCCCATGGATAGCTACCGGGCCGTCCCGATGGGCTATAGGAACTCACGCTGGAGACTTGGAAGTTCTGAAGCACAGTTTGACGGGCTGCGAGGGGAGATGCAGCGGCTGAAGATGCGATTGCCAAAACGGCTGTGAAGGCGGTTTGGGTGAACTGCATGGTGAAGGTAGGTTTGAGGCGCTGATTGTTGGTGTCTAGAAACTGGTTGACTTTTCTTCCAACACGTTCGTTCTTATACACTACTTGAGGCCTCCCAATACGAAATTCTCCATCATCGTACATCCGCCTTCCCGAACGAGTACCCACGATATCCTGTCCTTGGAGAGCTTGACAGGATGCACTGCAGTAGTCACTCCACATTCAGGCACCCTGTGTCTAATTTTAGAAAGATCGACGGCAGCGTACTTGTACAAACTCCACTTCAGATACTACTTTGCTGATGCTCGTAACATTCTTGTAAAGAGTCCTGAATGGCATACACATTTCGTAAACACGAGCAGGAGGGGTCCAGTCGACACGACACTTCCAACCCGAAGACGACGGAGGCCCGGTCGTACGACGTCATATCAAAGCAACAGTCAGAGTTATACGAAACTAGTCCACTTACACTGCTTACACATGATCAAGCAAGCCGACTTCCACACCGAAAATATCCGCGACATGGGAATTTATTATCTTGGCTGCACTTTAGCAATGTGGCAGTTTCAGCAGCGGGAATATCCACACGAAGGACATGCGCCAAGAGAAAATTGGAATGCTCATATAAAAGCGTCCCATGAATGCTCGATAATGTCTGATGGTGAGAAGAACTTTTGGTATGGGAACACGTCATAATACTCATACTGTCGTACAATGGGATGGCTTTCTAATATTCGTTGATCCAAAGTAGCTTTCTTTGCTCTTTCTAATTAAGATTTGTGTATCTGGCGTGTTTCGCTGTCACCGCTCGCCGCCCCTCATCTTCAGGAACTCGATAAATTCGAGGTATTCATTGTATACGTCTTGTATCTGTCGTCTGGCGTCGTCTTGCTTTCGAATGCGCCTTCGACGTATTGCGATCGCGCAATCTAAGGATGGGGAGTTAGCCTAGCGCAGCAAAACAAATATTTGGGGGTAGTGGTGACGTAGCAGGCGCGGGCATGCCAGTGGTGTCATAGGCACCGCATCCCATATTGTTAGTGGGGCTCAACTTACTTGCGAAAGGCTTGCAACACCACTCGCGAAACCTAGGTGAAGCAGCCAAGACAGCAGTCAGAATCGCGAATAATGCAACACAGACGCTGATAAAGGCGAAGATGTCTTGTCGCGACCATCCCGGCTGGATCGACTCGGAGGTGTTACTATCGCGAACAGATGGTATTGTAACCGCTTCGATGAAAGCACTCGATATAAGTACGACCAAAATGATTAATCGCTGCATGTTTCATGCTAAATAAAAGGATAGGTGCTAGTAAACTTAGGCAGAATGATGGTGACTGTGTTTATGAACGCGCTTCGGCGGATCGCTGAGGATATTATATTCGCAGCTAGAATAAGGGGGCCTGTTACTGACTTGCTAAAGGTGGCCTTGGCTGTCGGCGAGACAAATGAATTGAGAGACAGTGCTTTTCAGAGCAAAAGCCCTAACAACATTGCGCATCGGGAGCGACGGGTCTTTCGGCCTGTTTCAAGGTAGGCTCCCTTGCCATCATCAGGAGCCAGGGGATCTACGCACTGGTACCACCAAGCCGGTTATCCCTCATGAATAGTGCCTACAGGTACGCCTGCTAGCGTGGCGCTAGAGAGAACCGTTGGCGTGGCTTCTGGGGTTCGAAGACGCCACACAGATATTCCGGGTGCCATGCTGGGCCCAGCCGGTCCACTGCCTATGCTGAATCACCTCTCTTGCAGCCCTGTCTGTCCTTGAATGGTGCCGCGCTAGAAAGCAGCACCTGTAGGTGCTAGATAAAGCCATGCTAACGACTTCACTGGGGCGAGCTGCCTGTGTCAACGCATGCACGACGCCTTGGTGCTGAGAAAGACGGCGTGAGGAGAGGACCGCACCTGCGGGGCACCCAGCTGACGGCTTGTGCAAGCTGCGACCTCGTGGCACTCTAACCTTATGTCAAAATACAGATTCCACGTGTCGGCAGGGTTGTGAGCCAAATCCTGTGCCGTATTAGGAAAACTCCGAGGTCACGTGCAAGTATGGCTGTCTTCGTCCCAAGTTAACATTACGTACGATGATCATTGCTTGAATTCTTATGGCTGGGACTAGCACAAAGATTACAGCAGCGCGCTCAAGGAGGAAGAGCCAAAGGCGCGCTCCGTTTTGCTTACCTTCCACACGCACGGTGTTTGTCTTGTTGGCTGAATACCTATAACTACTTGCACCATCATGACAACGAGAGATCTTGCATTGTCACTCTGAAAGAAGGTGCTGAGAACTGCGGCGTCAAAGACAGATCATTTACATTTCATTCTGGGTGGGGACTTACAACATCTATCAAGGGAGGTGTGCACCAAGAGAATTGGTCAAAATAATACATCTTCACTCCCGTTGGAGTGTACATGGAAACTATGACCGTAATCACTGGACTGCCAATGTCTTCGTGTTGCACCTGAGCTGAGCCACTGGCTGTGCATGGAACGGCTCCAAGGCAACAGATCGCACAAATCGCGCAGATTGTAGCCTCTTGGCAATTTCAGCATTCCGTATCTCTCACAAAAGTATCGGATTGTCTCTCACTACGAAGTCCTTGATGGGCTTTCCAATCATACCTCTCAACTACACGATCTGACCGAACAGCGTTGGCAGTGCCGACGAAACCAACGCTTCTAAGGATTGAAAATGCCCACCGGTCCAATCAGTCGTTTAGACGGATTTTATAAATGCGTTGCTGCATATATCTGCGCTCCGCTTGCTGTTCATCACGCTTTCGCAGCCTCTTTGGCTCTTCTATCCCGCCATACCGCATCTCCACTAGGGCTTGCAAGCAACTACCAGGGTTTTGATATCATCATCGTTTGAAGATACCAATCTGATAATGATTTACATCCACATGTACCCCCAAGACGCCGCAGTAATCGTAGCGCGTTTGAGTAGCAACCAACCCGGGCTCGTTCACGGAGTTGCGTTCATGGAGAGTATTTGGGCGAATAGCAACAAAGAAAGCTTAGAGGCCTGCATAGTGCGGGACGTCACGTGCTGATAGCGGATAGAGGATGTAGGCTGAGATACAGGTGGCACTCATTATGGTGAGCACAGCGGGTGTTCTGCTTTACGGTGTTGCTCCGCGTCGTGGTTCGCAAGCTCAGTAAATAGGCAAACGAGGCGGAAATTAAACTGGGTCTCGGTGTAGGCTATGCAAACCCGCAGGCTGACTTTGAGCACAGCGGACCTATCAGAGACATGTTTAATGTCCATTCGAGCCGAGAAGACCTGCGTGCGAGACTCACCGGAAATTCTATCTGAGCAATAGAAAAACTTGAAGAACGAGCCCATTCCAGAGCATGTAGATGGAGTAGAGCTGTACCCCCATCTGCTTCTTCACAATGTTCTTGAAGCTTCCAAAACGCTTTACATGATCTTCCTAATCTTTCTGCAATCTTGGACACCCAGTTGGTAGCCTTCAGGTCGCTCAGGCAGCTTGCATCCTGTGGAGACATAAGTCGGTGAGCAAAGTCAAGAATCCTCCAGAGACTAACGCTGTATTCGAAACACATCACAGCCGGGCAGCCAATGAGCGTTGCGCAGTTTCACCGGCCAGAGAAGACGAGTAATGCAGGCTACGCGTCCAACGCGTCAATGCCATATACTCGAGGCCTCAGGCACAATCGTCCACCTTGCTTATGAAAGAAGACGAAATGCATGTCCTACTTCTACTAAACAGCAGACGGCGACATTATTCGGTGAAGATCGTTCAATAGTTCGGTATTTAGCCTGGTTCTCTATAAAACTTCGAGGGATTCGAGGATCAGTTCTTGTGTGTTTCAGCGGGTATGATACCGTAGCAAAGGCCAGGTTGACTGCGGAGATATTGGGGCAGACGATGAGTGGCTAAGTTGGGGGTATGTGCGAGCTCGGCTTCTTTCTCGTAGTGATAAGGCGACCTCGCGAGCGACTATTGACGTACGACGTCACCGTCATCTAGAAACATCAGTCTAATAATGAATAGCTTCAACGGCGCGCAGAGGGCTGGGCCGGGGATCTTAATAAAGTAGAATTTGGATGACGCGATGGATAACTATTGTGCTTTTGCGAAAAAGGAAAACCAGTCGTTATTCGACGCAAACATAACTCCGTGAGACTTTCATTTGCCATTTACAAGTTCGCACGGTCGAGGCGCTTGCCGCTCTTGTCGAATCGAATCTGCTTTCCGCTAACGAGTGCCTCTTGCAACCAGGCTCCAATCTGGACGGCCTTGACAGCGTTTTGGAACTCGAGTGGTACGGGTGTGTTGTCCAAGCACGCCGCTGTGAACTCGTTCGCCTCCTTGACGAAACCAGGCTCGAATCGGCCCCAGTAATCGGCGGGTACCTCTCGGGTGATGCCAGCCTTGGAGTAGTAGTTGACGAGGTTCTTCTGGGGGTTGAGGTTGACGGTGAGCTTGCCCTCGGTACCGATGATCTCGGTCACATCTTCTTGACCGTGTGTCATCATACGAGAGGCGTAGTAATGTGCGATTCTTCCGTCCCAGAACTCGACGATACCGACGGCGTTATCGTAGTCCTTGTGTTGCTTGAGGCCTGGGAGGATGGCGACTACACCGTTTGCAGAAATGGACTTGGGTACTACGTTGGAGCCGAAGTACCAAAGAGTCAGGTCAATGTCGTGGACTGACATGTCGACAAACACACCGCCAGACCATGCAGCATATTGAACAAAGAAGTCTAGTAGACAGCAGTTAGTATTGAATCCATTCATGTATCAATTATTACAGTACGCACCCGGATCAGGATGTTGCCTGTCGCAAGTTTGTGATCGGACAACTGTGGGTCTGCCGATAGCGCCTTCCTCAATCTTCCTCGCGACATCTTGGTAGCTGTCGTCGAAGCGCCTTGAGAAACCGCACATGACCTTGAGATGTGGCTTCTTCGCAGCTGCATCAACAACATCCTGGCAAATCTGGACGCTGGTGGAGAGAGGCTTCTCGCATAGGACGTGTAGGTCCTTCTCGATAGCTTGAAGAGTTTCCTCGGCATGTACCGAGGTTGCGGTGCCGATCACTACGGCTTCTAGGCCCTTGTGCTCGAGCATCTTCTTGTAGTCGTCGTAGAGTGTGACACCGTATGGCTCGAGGTGCTCCTTGCCCCATTTGAGCTCATTTTGATCGGGAGAGAAGGCAGCGACAAGCTCAGCGCGAGGAGTCTTGTTCAAGATGTTCAAGGCGTGTCGAGCGCCCATGCGGCCGAGGCCTGCAACGGCAACTTGGAGTCTGTGAGGAGCCATCTTGAAGAGATTTCGGAAAGAGTGAAAATGCTGGTTTTGGAAATGGCAGCAGAGAGAGGGAGTTGATCAAAGAATGAGCAGTCGAAGCGCTGCGGAGAAGACATTTTATACTGATTGTGTGCGGATCACTAATTCTCGTGCACCTTCGGAGGAGGTTTTTGTAAATGTTCTGACCATCTTGATTGAGGCCTCTGATTGGCTAGATAGAGTTCGTGTGAAGTTCGGAGGAGGTTTTCGCAATTGTATGCGCGCCGGTGTGGGGAACATGCTGGCGGCGTGCTTGAGATAGGTGCCAACAGTATCGAGCGGGGCTCGGAGGAGCTTTTGCATCATAAATTACGCTAGCGCCAAAGTCAAGCGTGGAAGACCGGCACCAAGACCGTGCGCAAAGCAGGTCTATCGATGGCAAATGACCCCGCGACGGCAATTTCTTCCGTTTTCACCTTACCAAGACCGCGATTATTTCCCCATGGCACATGCTCTAAACCGGTTCAGCACTAAATAAAAGACGATACTACGTCGGTTGCACTCTATCTCCACGCCGCGACCCCAGAAGTCGCCCAACAGGGAGCGCGGGGTAAGAAGCGCCGAACCTTGCTCGGACAGTGGAGGCCGACGAAACGGAGTACAGATCTAGTTTGGGTGGTTGGCAACCATCTCTAGGACACCTTTACACAGAGCTCACATGCTGACAAGAAAGGATGATGGTCGTTGCGAACGTGTCATTCGGTAGCTTGACGGTCCAGCGTGCAGGGCAAGATGTTCATGGGACATTCGCTAGATGCGCTTTCTTCTGTTTCCCCTTCTCCCTACCCAGTATCGCCGTCGTGTTGTTCGTCGTGCGATCAAGCCAGGCTTCAAGCTGTACAGTTGTAAGCAAATAGTCATTGGACGGCGCCGCATGGGACTGACCGCCGTGAATTTGAACAGCAGCCACCCTGTGAATGTGAGCAGCATGCATCCGCCGCCGACAAGAATGTACCACTTCCAGCTTGGGTTATCCTTTAATATGTCGACGTTCATTCCGAAGAGACTCTTTGACGATATAAGCTCAATTCGGCATGAATGTTAAGGTGCACGTACCGCAGAGAATGTTGCTGGGAGAAATACAAACTAGTAGCGTGTCAGTAAGGTTTTGCCCATATGGTGAGTAGGGTGTGAGGAATTACTGTAATCCAACTAAGGCGCTTCAGACTAGCTGCCATTGTAACTGATTTGCGAGCCTCTTGGATCGTTACGAGATTGAATTCCTGTTTCTCGATTGAGTCATGTTGATCGTGAGATACATAGCGAGTCATACGTACTATGCCAATGAGGTTTTGTGATGTTGTGTCGAGCGAATCTAACCTTTGTTCAACATCAGATTGGAACTTGAGTAAGAAGATGCGGCAGTCTTCGTAAGCATTCTCTTCTTGGTAAAGACGGTGATAGCGAGAAGTGAACTCTCCAGCTCCTTTGATATGCTGTGCTAGAACTTTACGCAGTGCTGTCCACTGTTGCGCGTCTTCTAGAAGCTGATCTGTGAGCTCGGGCTTTCCGCCCTTTGCGCCCAGAACTTCCTCACGCTGCAATTGGGGTGATGCGTTAGTCTTGCTGAATTCACTAACAACAGCTAGAGAGATAACTCACACAGCGCTGTAGATGCAGTTCGCTCAGCTCACATGTTACCTCCCACCATTCCTTCGTCTGTTTCAGAAGCTGGAGATACATGTGAAGCATTTCTTTTGGGATCCACGTGTCCGGTAAGTTGTGAGAATGAACCAGTCGGCGGAAGCCGTTTTCCCCATTCTCATCTTTGATCATGCACCATCTTATCCAAATTGGCGCTTTAGTAGGTAGAGAAAAGATTGCATCCCAACCCGTTGTTGTTGCTGTTGGAAACCTCGAAACCACTAGATACGTAATCAAAGGGCCTTCCCAGACGTACTCGTCCGTAAGAGAAAAGCTTTGTTTTCTTGATCGCAACCATAAAGGGTCTGAAGACGGTGAGAAGATGCTAGGTATGTATCAGAATATAGCTACACTATCATACAACCCCCAAGAACTTACAACAAGTTCGTCGCTTGACTTTGAGCCAATGTTGCGCTTTGGATAGCATCCTGGGTATTGCCCGTCAAAAAGCCTATACAGGTCTTTCCCGCTTCTAAGTTTAGCTGAATTACGCTATGGCCAGGTTTTGCGTACGCCTTCCGCCACTGTTCCACCGTGGTATTTCTTGTAGATGCTCCCATGTCAAGCAGAACGTCAGCTATCTGGCGCTGCTCTTTCTGAAGGGCCAGTGTCAATGGTGTGTCCCCATTGATGTCCGTTTTGTGGACTTTCGCGCCCTTCTCCAGAAGGTTGCGAGCGATGGCTGCTTGGTCGTCCATGATGGCGTTATGTAGCAGAGTTCTTCCCCATGCTCCCGTTCGGTTGAGGTCAAACCCCACACCTAAAAGCATTTGTACAACATCTGAATTCCCCATTCTGACAAGCAAATGAACTGCCTCGTGGTCTTTAGGTATCAGAATCTTAGCAGTCTCCTTCATCCTGTTGTTGGCTGCCCACCACAATGGGCTGTGACCGTTACTATCTCTTACGGCCAGATCATCAGTTCTTGCTTTAATAAGCTTTTTCAGGATACTCTGAAGGCCAAAATAAGCTGCGAGATGCATGCCGGTTATGCCACGTGGTAATATTCGGTCAGAAAAGATCCCTTGTGGTATCCCCCGAGCTACCAGGAAGACCTCAAAAGCTGCAGACACACTCTGATTGTTTTGCAGAAACCGAAATAGTACTTCACAATCTTCATTCTCTGCTTCTGACGCATGCTGGGCCCAGTACTCGCAAGCGTATTCGTAAAATGGGTAGTCAGTAAGCCTCTCCCTCAACATCTTGTCGTCGCGACATGGCCCAGATCGAAATGTGGGCAGCGCCAGACAAGAAAAACAGATGCTTGCTACGTCCTTAGGAACTGAGATCGGCAAACCTCTCTGGTCCTTGTCTTTCGATAACGGATCTCTCAAGGACGCAGATGCAGACTCATGAACCCATGTGAGCAGCTGTGTTTCAGGTTCAATCTGGAGCCAGCCTTGGGAAGAAGAAACAAGAGCACTGGCAAACTCTTTCTCGTTGTAATTCAATGCAGTATTGTGTTTGCCTTGTATGTGGTTGGCAACGGCCAATGCCTGTCGTATTTCCGATAATGTCAACCTTCTTTTTGCGTAGAACATCAGAGAAAAAACGAAGCCTGCGAGCTGAGCAGAATCTTTGGACTGGGTTCGAATTCGATATGCCTCTTCCTGATAGAACTGCTTCAGCACATATGGAGTGGCGGGCGAATGGGCAAATTCCATCTTCTTGTCCAAAGTAAATTTAGACAAGGCGATCGTGATTGCATCTGCTAATGAGAACCTGTATCTTATTTAGCAAGAGCAAATCGAGTTTGATCCCGTCATCTCACATTTCCTTTGAGCGCGACATTAAGCTCTCCTTCAGCTCCTCCCTCAGCGTTTGAGGAGCCCGTGCCCCATTCCGTAGGACACTACGTAGTCTGTGATCTATGAATGCCGAGATATCATCCTCGCTCGCCGTTATATCTAGACGGTCACCTTCCGGAAGTAGTCCCATAATATCAGGCAAATTCCGTAGAGTGAAAAGGATCTTCGCTCTGATGCAATCTTGTAAGCCCCGGAGACCCGTGATTAACTCCTTGAGACCCTTTCGTGCTGATTTGACTTCATCCAGTGCATCTATGACGATGTATACCTGGCGGTATGATTTCCCCACCCTATGAGCTAATTCAGTGACGGCTTCAAGACTTGGTGGATTCTTCTCCATCCAAGATATGCTATCCTGGGGCAATTTGGACCATGGTAAGTCATCCATGAGTTGACTGAGCAGTTGCTTCGTAAGCGCAAGAGCCGGATGAGTGTCCCCGAATTTTGCATCGAAGTACGCGAATGCGACACCAATTGGCACTTGAACGTTGTTATCGTCTGATTCGTTGACCCTAGACCGCATTTGCGATAGTAGATCTACTGCCTCCGACGCGATCATGGTCTTTCCAGAGCCTGGTATGCCTGGGCAGACCAACGTTGTACAGTCGTCGTGAAGCCATTTTTGGAATTGTTCTTTTTTGAAGAACCAACCCCCGGTACCCTTCAAATATACTCTCCTGAGCTTTGCATGCTGCTGGTCTGCTATAGATGGCATTTTTACACAAAATTTACTTTTCTTTCGTTTCGGATTAAACTTCACCGACTTTCCGATAAGCCATGACTCGACCTGGTCTCTGAAATGTTCAGCTCTCGACCCGTCTGTCTCCGGAATTTAATTAGCATAGAATCACGAGTTTTCAGTACAATGCGGAATATGTGATTTGGATTAATACCTTCTGGGTCTCCTCGCTTCATGGCTAGAGCGCTTGGATATGTGACGAGCGCCATGATCTGATCTATCATACGATTCTTGATGGTCTCTAGTACAGAGGGTCTTTAGATGCTTCTCAAGATCTGAATAAGCGCCGGGCCGTAAATATCGGATGGGATGATTCTGCGAATTCGCAAGGATAGGGCCAGCAGAAGAGGTACAGCGATTTGGTGGTAATAGTAGCTTTGCAAGACCCTTTCCTCTATTCCTTGCAGTATCCAGTGCCAAGAAGTTGTCGTTTCCAAGAGCCACAGCAAAGGCGGACTGTATCTGTAATGAGGATCTGGGAGTATCTTTCTCAAGTAGCATGCGATGAGTATTGTGCTCCTGTGACTACAACCCTTCGTTGCGGATGAGAGAATCGGTTACTTAGGATCTTTGTTTATGAGAAGATGAACTTTTTATCGACGGTAGCTCGATGTTCACAATGATGGATGGCAGTTACCAAGGGTTATATATTTTTGCATAAGCGTGCTTACGTCAAGCTAGGCTCCCACGCCTTCGACGAGCTGTCATTGGTGTTCGCACTCAACGGGCACGCAATCTTGGATGGCGAATGTAGACACTCAAAGCTTTGTATAAACTGCTTTGACGGAATTTTAAACGATGTCAATAGACAAGTGGCGTGTGTTTGCGACAGAGAGTAAGTGCAAGTCTACCTAACCACAAATCAGTGCGACAATAACAAGGCTTGGTCCAGTCTATACCAGTGGATGTGGCGCCATGAGCGCGTCTCTCCGTATCCACAGCGTGGGCAGATTTGACCCGCAAATCTTTCCAAAAGACTGCAACATCTTTGTGATTGCGCATCGGACAGGCATTGAAGCGTAGCATCAAGAATCATTGAAATCTGAGCGGGTGTAGGTTGCTAGTCAAAGTAACAGTTGCAAGGGGATTTGTGTATACCAAACGACCGAGCTGCCTTACGAGCCAGTACCGAGGCTTCATTTTGAGCGACCGGGGTGTGGCAACCGAAGCCCAGAAAGATGTACGCCGCCAGCCTGTCAGCCCCAGCTTCCCACAAACCTATGGAATTGGCAACGAAGAGAGTAAAGCCATGTTTTGAACGCGACTAATAGAAATGCGATGGTAATACAGTAGACGATATTCTTGAAAGTACAATGCCGCTCACAATCAGAGACGGGCCACAAAAGTCGCGCAAGCCCGGACTCCCTAACAATTATTGTTGCATCGAGCTTCACACCGTCAACTGTTCATAATGTACATGGTAATACGGTTCGTGCGACGGCATTTGTCGGTCCTTCCCAGCCGTGCGTGTCAATATACTGACTAGGTGGAACCCCAGGCGACATCTAGCGGAGAGTGCGGGGCGAGAAGCGCCGAACCTTGCTCGACCAGCGCCGTAGGGAGGCACCGACTTCCCTCTCTAACCATACTATAGCCTGCCATTTATCCTGCTCAGATTTTTGGTGCGCATCACGACCATGTTTCGGCGCTGCGAACTCAGATAGCATCCAGAAGACGACGTTGGGCCTAGCGGTTGTGAAACTATGGGAAAGACACACAGGACAACTACGAAGGAAACCTACGAGCTGCCAAAACTTCGCACTGATCACACTAGCGTGATGTTTCTGAATATGGGACCAGACAACAGGGCTTCACCTTGCATAAAGCCGTGCACATAGGCACCCCCGACAACCTGGAAAGTGTGAGGATCGATCTCTCGGAGAATCAAAGGCACGCGACACCCAGGAACGATCCATATCGAATCTTGTTCAAGAAGAGACTCAGAGCCCACTCCAAGATAGCGTCTGCCCGTGAGAAACGGTCGAAGATGAAGAGCATGCGAAAACGTTGTCTCACACTCGTCATAGTCAACATAACCGTCTTGTGTCTCTGAGGAAGCACTGCCATATGAACCCGATGACACATCCAAAGACGATGACGAACCGGAGATCTCGGTTGCTACGAATTCCGCCATAGCGTTCATGAGAGCTGGGTCTTCAATGTTTTGAACTGTTTCTTCGACACGAGCCGATAGTTTCGAAGCGATCCACGAGACATATGCAGAATGGTAGCTATCGGGAGCAGGACAGCGAGGAGGAACACCTGCTGTATCCGTAACTAGTGTTCGCCATAGCACTTCCGATCGAGACTGCCCTGTGTGATATATAGGAGGCATTGCATTGAAGATCTGAAGCAACCTGGGAAACGGGCTCCCACCGAGGATGGCCTCTTTGGTCTCGCCACTAGAAACGATATCGTCTAGTCGAAATCCTTTGATGATCAAACGACGATCTTCTTCATTGACATCCAAGGCTCTGGAAAGATCACCTGCGGCTGCAAATCTCTTATAGCCGGTGATACCTAGTCCAAGAGCCCGAGCGCAACTCCAATCTGGGACCCAGGTGGGTAAGGAAGGTATAGTGCGGAACCTATCGCCTTCGGCACAACAAAGTAGGAGCAAATCATCAGAGTCTTCCAAGATCTGGATGGCAGCCAGCGCATACGTATCCGCTACCGATCTCTCGCCGTAGACGGGAATTAGGCGGTTCCTCGTCAAAACAGTTTCTCCTGCAATGCTGAGGAGCGAATAGACCTTGTCTCGGGGATCTGCAGAGGCGAAGCGACGGAACCTGATGAGAGAATAAAGCAGACTATTGGAGGATTTATTGACGTCGAGAAGGTTTGGAACACTGTGCCTTCCTTGCCGTGAGCTGGTGACGTTGGATATCCATCTCGTCCAGGAAGTGACGGAAAGAAACTCTGACACCGTCGTGACAGCCCCCCAATCCACGCTATGGCTCCCGCAAATAGCCATCATTTTCTTAGCGAGTGTAATCTCCTGGATGATCCATGCTCGAGTGAAGTATCTCCGTTGAAAGAGTTTTGCCATTGCCATCCAAGCGGTGACGTCTGCACAAGGTCCAAGTCTCGCGGTCAGACTCGCACTGCCCAAAGATTTTGGAGTAATATCCATCAAGCCCTGGATCCTTTTTCGTCGCTCTGTAGTTCTATAACAGAAGCTCATCAAAGCTCTTATCAACTGAAAGGCGATTCTGGTATCCTTGTCTTCTTCGCCCAACCAGGCATGCACGATACCGGCAGATCGATAGATTCTACCCATCATGTGTACTTGACGACATCGCTCTGCGGAGTTCTCTTGGTCAATGCAGATAGCGTCTATCCAGTATGAGTTTAGGATGTACGAGTCGTTGTTGCGTGCTCTCAGCAGGAAAGCATGGAGATTCTTGGTGATTAATATTTGATGCCAGAGCGGATGAGGTTGATTCGTAGAGCCAGACCTCGCCCTGCAAAGTAATGTAAGGCTTGGCTTGCTTAGCAAAGCTTCAGCTTCTTCATCGGGGAGTGCAGTGGGTGAGCCCCAGGTGTATGAGAGTGCGACATATTCTGGTTTTTCCCGAAGATCGACAACTTGGAGCTCGCAGGCAAGAGCATTTGACTGGTTTGTTGGAAGAATCTTCAAGAGTCTGATTTGATCCTCGGGGGCCAGCTTCAATTCCGCATACAGGCCGACCATATTGCCAACGTGCAAAGCTCGTGCATACCGTGTTCGGTTATCCTTTTGACTGATGAACAGCTACGACTGCTGTGGGATTGATAGCGACGGTGTGCGGAGAGGGGTGCTTTGCAATAAGTACGCTTCATAAGCAAGGAAGAGGTTCCCGGATTGGAGTTGTCGCAAATGTAAGTAGCCTGGCACGTGGGGTAGGACTCGGTATGCGGGGTCAATCTAGGCAGCATCATTTTGACCTGGCTAAAAACAGAAAGCTGGAAGCGGAACTCAAACGATTACTAAGCTTTCTCGCCAATTTCACCCTCGCAGTTGATCTTTGAATGCTATTGCAGAATCTGGTTTGCGCTCTACCTTTTGGCATGATCGCAACCAAATCTAACAAATGTCGTTCTCAGTTCCAGGCTGTGCCTGGCTTCTTCATCGACCTCGTCGAAGAAGCCAAACACGACACTTCCTTTCGCTCCACAACCCTACCCAGACTTGGTCTGATTGAGAGGACCTACGAAACGGACAAAGACACCACTTCTGACAGAGATTCTAGGAGGGACAGAAAGCCCTGGGAACATTTCTGGGATTACATCGACTATTTAAATAGCCACAATGCGGCCTCCAACACATACAAAGTCTTGTACCTTATAAGACATGGGCTAGGGTTTCATAACTCCTTTGAATCGGAGGTGGGGTAAGATGCTTGGAATATAGGTTGTTATCCATGTTTATGTCCTTAGATTTACTGACTATAAGTAGAGTCATTGGTCATATCTAGACGGAGACGGACAAGTCATTTGGGCTGACTCTCAACTTAACACAGAAGGGATCAACCAAGCGGAAAAACTAGGCCGGTTCTGGTCGGATTCTATCTCCAACGAGAGGGTTCCTTTACCTGGCACGTTGTACACCAGCCCTCTGGCTCGCTGTCTGAAAACCACCCGTCTCGCGTTCGAGAAGACATTCAGAGAACATGGAGTGCAGTTTCGGCCGATCGTTAAGGAGTCTCTAAGAGAACTTATTACCGATCATACTTGCGATCGAAGGAGTACCCGAAGTTGGATCGAAGAGAATTATCCCGACTACCTCATCGAGCCCAATTTCTCCGAAAAGGATGGCCTTTGGACAGGTGGACATTGGGAGACCAGAGATGAGCATGCGGCAAGGAAGCAAGCAGTGTTGGAGGACATATTCTCAACAGATGAGAATGCTTTCATAGGACTTACAGTGCACTCCTACGCCATCTCTGCTATTTTGAGAGCAGTAGGGTTGCCCGAATTTCGGGTGCGGGAGGGTAGCAGTATTGCGTTACTTGTCAAAGGAGAGAAGATGAACCTTAATAACTGAATTGAAACAATGTGCGCTTCTAGGAGGAAGAGGTATAAGGATCCAAAGCGACCAACGGCAACGCGATTGTACACAACGATAGAGGTGCAAACTGCGGGAGTCGCTCAGCTCTCGATACGGCCTGACCATAAGCACCCGTTTTTAAACTGCTCCGTGTACCATTATTCGCTCGTACTGCACATAGTAGTACTGTCGGTGCTGTGGTAATTGTTCGTCGCCGCCCGATGTGCGCATCCAGGCTCGAGTCGGTTGCGATGAGGGGAAAGTGTACGGATACGTAGGGAAGTTAGAGAGGGCTAGATCTGGACGCAATAAGTCTTGTCAGCTTCCCATTCAGAGTTTTGACATGAAATGACTTTGGGGTTACGCACCATCTGGTGTGGAGAGGGCTTGTCGGGGTCGACCGCGCGATTTCCTCCGCTTCGACCACGCTAGCGAGGACGCGATTCCTAATATGGCCACCACTACGCCGATGATACTAATGATAGCTTCCGTGGACAGTTGGTGAGTCGTTGTCTTGTCATCTATGGTTGCATCCCTTTGGTAAACATTTGTGTGTGATGATGGTATAGCAGTAGCCTGGATGGCAATGATGAGTGCAAAACAAGTTATGACAGAGTGACGAAACATTTCTGTCAACTTTTGCAACAAATGAAGGGAGGTTTGCACCAATGTACTCAGATAATCGGGCTGCGCCTGCAATTGGGGAAATGTATTATCGAATGTTCCTTGTGAGCAAATGCTCATTTGAACCTGGTTAACCTGGACGATTGAAAAGCCCAAGCGTCCAAAGTGCACATTAGACCCAACTAGTTAGCATCACTGCGTTAGTCGACATGGAGCTGATAGCGAGGCCAATAATGTAACATGGAGAAGCGATATGCGTCCCTAATTCCACGGCTAGTGCGTCGGACGCCGGTCAAACGCCTACCACACGGTCGCAAGCCATGGGGGCTTAGGCAGTCTCGAGCGTAATCCATGTTGCGTGAGGAAGGGCAGTAAGTACATTATGCCTTGTCGGCGGCTGTGATGACGCGCTAGGGGGGTACTTTCGGCTTACACTCGCTGCAATATGCTTGAAGTTCCTCACACACGTCTTGGGCGATGTGCCGCTTCCATGTGCACAGCTCATCAAACACACAATCGGCTCGAAAGAGGCTCCGAGGCGGTTCACATGGCTGCTATGACCATCACGCTTATTATTCGTTTTCCTCTCGCAGCCACAGTCCTTGGATCCGTGCTGTTTTAGATGAGACCCTGTTCCTCAGAAGAAACGAGAATGTCGCTTTCGCTGGAGGCTCTGACCGCCCAGCCCTAACCCAGATATGGTGTAGTCTCGGTCGACGCTAACGTTGTTCATGCGTCAACACCAGAGCTCAACAATCCCTTCTCCCACCACGAACTCTTGTTTACGGATACACAATGAACGAAACCATCAAGGAACTCCATCATGATCTCGCCAGGAAGTACCGGCAGCATGGCCCGCGAATTGAAGAAATGTGGCGTTCGCTCAGTCAAGAACAACGCAAAAAGATCATGCAGGCTGGCTCTCGTGATGGCGCTGTCTTGAAGCATGCTGAAGACACAAGCCTAGAGAATGTCTACAAATTCATTCCCGAATGGAATATACGCGACATCGCTTCACCGTCATCAAACTTCTTTCTCGATATGCTCAAGCACCGAGCAACCTCACCGCTGCAAGCACAATACACGACTGGCTTCAATGGTCGGCCAGGCGATCATGCGCACATAATTGATATGATGCAGAGGAAGAACCTTAAGCTCAACGACGCCTCCCAATACAAGAATTGTTACACCCTCTTCTTGACCGAGGACGGCTACGGCGAATCAGTCAAGATCCTTGCGGAGAAGCGAGAGGAGGTTCTAGCAAACATGAAGCCAGCCATGCAAGCTCAGCTCATTGTACCCCAAGCTACTGGCGAGCTAATCCTCATGCGACAAATGAATCTGTTGCAGCTTCTTAATATCGCCATTGAGGATATTCTTGATACTGCATCCACCACGCGAACCCAGAAGAAGCGCCCAAAGAAGCCAGCTGATGATGCGACGGCAGCGATGGCGCAGTTATCAGTACACTCGACTCCGAAGAGGATCGAACTCTCGCAACTCGTGGAGATGGTGCAGGACCGAGCATCGTCTTGTGGAGACCTTATCAGTCTGATCTCCACCGAGCCCACGGTTTTAGCTCATGAAGTCAACTTTTGCTTCTTCAGTAGACCCGAACTTGTCGCCGATGAGAAGGGACGCATGCTGCCAGTACACACGGACAAGTACATCAGCGGCTCTGTATTCGATGCAGTCCACAGCGCTGTCAAGACGGCTGCCACATGGAGCTACATCGGCCGTCTCTTCGATCTGCTAAAGGAGGAGTCAGACAAACAGTTCCGGGCGACCATCTTCAAAGAGCTGTCAAATACCTGCCACTTGGAGTACCTACGAGCCCAGACTATCTTCAAACGCAGCGTAGCTGTCGGTATGGGTGGCAGTAAGTGGTTCAAGCGCATGTCAACTAATGATGTCGCCCGCCTTTCACTGAAGCGAAGCCCTGAGTCTTTGACGGTAGAGAACCCACAGTTGCATTACATGCTTCGACTCTGCCAGGATGAGACAAACTGGTCGACCGCTGCACAATGGCTTCAAAAGCTGGAGGACCTTCATCGAGCTCACCCACTAGAGCAAGACAACCTTTCGGAACGAGAGTATGACTCTCTAGGGGATCTAGCCATCATAGTTACTTTCATTCAGTCCCTTTCTTCGTTTGCGCAATTGCCTGCACCTAATCACAAGAAGAGCCAGCCGTTCGTTCCTGGTTACGTGGCTTTGGACAAGGAATTGAGACAGCTGAAAGACGGGATCGACCTTGGCGATTATGCCATTCCAATCGCAAACTTGCTAGAGCCAGGCATGGCTAAAGGTGCGCTTGCCACGCTGGATCAGTATATCGTGGAGAAGACGGGTACGAAGCTCGGCTTCCTCTACCAAGATCTGGTAGAGGACTGTGTGTTTGTCATTCGGAAACAGTACGAACAACAAAAGGCGAAATCCAGTAAACCTCAGACTGGATACACCACGTCCACAGCTCCCGAGACCTCGGCGTCGGAAATCCAACAGCGCAAGCAAAAGGAGAAGACACGACCAGCGCAATCTTCGATCTACGAAATTACGCCACAGGCCATCAAGGACGACCAAACCACTCAGTCAAAAGAGACGTTCAAGGTCAAACCTTCCACTGCTGCTGTGTTCTCATCGCTCTTCTCGAGGTCGTCGGCGGCTCGTAGCCCAGTACGATGGGAAGCCTTCGTAACTGCCATGACAGACTTGGGCTTTTCAATCGATCCCAAAGTCGGCTCCATATACACTTTTGTACCTCCGAAGAAGATGGCGATACGCAGGGATTTAACACTCCATCGGCCGCATCAGGCCAGCATCGAAGGGCGACTTCTTTTGATCTACTCTCGGCGCCTAAAGCAGGTCTATGGCTGGGATAACTCGACATTCGTTGCGGCGTAGATATCGATAACATCGAGAATGTAGCTATGTAGGCGCTTAGCTCTGCTCTTGTGGAGGTACGATACCAGATCATCACAAGAGGGAATGCGGCTCTCCAAACAACCTCCAATATGCAATACCTTGATAAGCTTCTTCATTTCCCTAAATTTACAACGCGCTTGCACCAATGATGGGCTACTACGCAATGTACTAACGTGCCTACCGCTGAATGGCGCACACTACTAAAATGGCGCACTGTGCCAAGACTACACCACTTTCTACCATCTCTACAATGCCACAACAACCTAATCTTAAATCACGTCCCTAGACAGATAGAATTATCCTTGCTATCCAGGCTATAAGATCCGACGCGTTATTAAGCCTGCGACGTGCTGCTGCTGTGTACAACGTGCCTGAAACCACCCTTCGAAGGCAACGCGCCAAACCAGCTTCTGATCACAATACTTACTACAATGCATTAAAGCTGCAGAGGCATGAAGAGGAGGCGATTATACAGTCTATCAGGAAGCTTAACGCGCGAGGATTTGCCCCTACGCTCAGCTACGTACGAGAGATAGCCAATCAACTACTAGCTGTACGTGGTGGTGGCCAGGTTGGAGAAAACTGGGTCTACAGGCTTGTACGCCGGAGACCTAAGATCAAATCTCAGGTGACAAGACAGCGGGATCACCAGAGAGTCCTGTGCAGCAACCCAGCTATTATTAGGCCCTAGTTTAATCTTGTACGCAATGTTAAGGCTAAGTATGGGATCTTGGACGAAGACGTCTATAATTTTGATGAGACTGGCTTCTAGATGGGCATTGGAGGGTCTGTTAAAGTAGTAACAGCCTCTGAGAGACGCCTTAAGCCACTTAGAGTTTAACCTGGCGATCGTGAGTAGGTGACGTTGATCGCTAGCATTAACGCGATGGGGTGGTTAATTCTACCATTCCTTATCCTTAAAGCAAAGCACCACGACTAGGCCTAGTATTACAACAACCTAAAAGATTAGAGGATAGGTGTTAGTAACAACGGTTGGACAACGAACGAGCTTAGTCTAGCCTGGTTACAGCACTTTATCTAGCATACAGAAGCTCGAACAGTGGGTAGTTACCGCCTGCTTATCCTTGATGGCCACGAGAGCTACAAGTTACTCGCTTTCTAGGATCTGTGTGAGCAAAGCAATATTATTACTCTCTGCATGCCTCTACACTTATTGCACATCCTACAGCTACTTGATGTGGGTTGTTTTGCCCCGCTGAAGCAGGCGTACAAGAAGGAACTTAGGGGCTTGGCAGACAGCTACATCCACCACATCGACAAGAAAGCCTTCCTGGCTGCCTTCAAGCCAATATTTAACAAGGCGTTCTCAAAGAACAATATCTTATCAAGCTTTCGAGCAACTGGCTTAGTCCCACATAACCTAGATGTAGTGTTATCTAGGCTTGAAGTACAGCCTCGTACGCCAACACCACCTGCACCAGGGCCTACCCCTTAGCAACCTAAAACACTAAGCAACGCCTAGGAGATAGAGGCTTAAACGACGCTGATTGTTAAGAGGATAACAGACTACAAGGAATCATTATCTGATTCTATTATTGAGATGGTGCTGCAGGTTAAAAAGGGATCAACTTTGAAGGTGCACTCACACACGTTGCTTGAGGCTAGAATAGCTAACCTTGAGGAGGCAAACTAGGCAGCATCTAAACGTAAAAAGCGCAAGAAAAAGCGAATCTAGAAGGGAGGGACCCTATCGCAGGCAGAGGCAGAGGATATAGTTGAGCAAAGGGATGTTGAGATCTAGTTAGAGGTGGAGAGGCGTCAGGAGAGGGTGCGCGCAGGTGGTAGTGCAGGAGGTATCCGACGCTGCAAGAACTGCGGCGAGGCAGGACATAACAAGCGCACATGCAAGAAAGATGCAGTAGAAGTAGAGGATTAATTCTAGCTATTGTACGCCTTTATTGCATGTTGTGGTGGAGTGTTATTAATGTGCAAGGGTAGTTTTATGTAGAGGTGCGCCATTTTAGTGGTGTGCGCCATTCAGCGGTGGGCACGTTATACGCTTTACGATAATACTTTGTGTTATCAACGTGCCGTTTTATTTTCGCATCAGGTGGGCGCGCCAAAATTGGGGCAAGAACGCCGCAATCCAAGGATCAGCATGGTTCTTGCCGCCGGCCCGCACCCGCACCTGCTTTTCTCCTCCAACACCACGCAACATAGTTGCGATAGATCAACGCGACGCGACACACCAGCGCAAACATGGCTCAAAGTGCGATGAATGCATAGCTTTAGGTGACAGCCACTCGTAAGTTCTTCGTTCAGGCTGGTTTGTACGACGCATAAATCTCGATCGCTGTTTGGTTTTTTATGCTGGAGAGCCACGTCGGTTGGTCCACAAGGATGGCGTCAACTTAAGTCAATCATTCGTCGAGCATTATATCTGGGTGCGAGGTGAGTGCTCAGCGTTTAAGCGCAAGCCCACCGAGGCGGGATTGAGGCGCAGCTGTTGAGACGCTCTGAGATATAACCAGTCGAACAGGAAGGCTGAAACAGCCACTTAAAAACTGGCAATTTCTCCTAGTCTTCACCTACAACGTTGCGTGTATAGGACGATGGCTAACCCTCCGCTCACCGAGAAGCTCGTGTACCAGACTCTCCGGGGGATCTTCGTCGGAAACGACTCCCAGGTTCGCCAACTAAAACCCATCTGTCAGGTCATCAGCAAGCACCACCAGACAAACGTCAAAATCAGGGAATTCACCCTGAAATACGACATCAATGAAGTTAGCAAGATAGCCAAAGTCTTACTGGAAAACAAGATCTTTGGTTCAGAGGCGAAAGCAAAGCTGCGTTTTCCTGAGCTTTTCGAGATCTCGTCCGGTCAAGCCAATCAGCCAACTACCTCTGAACCCAAGGTCGCAACGAGCTGCACAACGGCTGTACAACGCGTAGGGGTTTACAGCCCTGAAGAACTTCTGAATATTGGGGACACGCTTAAGCAGGAGAAAAAAGAAGAGAAGACTGAAACCGGTATGCTAATCTCGAACTCCCCTGAACTTAGCTGATGAATTTAAGGTCCAGCAGACTCACCGACTGAGCCGTTCGACTCCATATGCCTACCACTCTGGGATCAGCACAGACTTCTCACCAGAATTCAGTATGCTCTTGAAAAGGCCTGTTTTACATTTGCGCAGAGAAGTCTTGGTGGGGTTTTGCAAAGAGAAGGATGGGACTGTGCAGAAGCAGTTGAACTCAATCGATGGCCTAAGGTCCTACTCACCTATCAAGAGGAACTTCATCTAGACAATGTAAGGGATATCGCAAAGCCTTTGCCCACTCTCTTGGACTCAATCACCCAACTCCGGCACGACGCGGTCCATCGAACTCGTCTTTCGTCGAATGTTCTTTTGCAACGTATGACCGACGCAAGACTTCTAGCGCGACTACTGCAAGATGAAGAATGCAGCAAGTTGATGTCGACCATACGACAAAAGACCCAAGAAGCTATCGAAAGACTAGTGCGCAACAAGCAGTTACTGGACTGCAAATTGGCCGAGATCAAGAAAGAGTTTGCGGCAAAGAGGACTGAGTTGGAGCGTCAAGAAATTGTGTTGCTGGAGGCAACGGCTAGAGAGCACGGAGAGCCTGTGGTATCCGTAAGCAGAAGTTTGGATATGCTAGCTGGGGAGCGTGGTGGTTCTGGTGAGATTCATGCGGGGTCAAGATATGTCCACGATGCTGATCTATCTGATGACGACTCTTCTGGGTCTGAAGGCACTGTCGAAGAAGAGGAGAGAAAGGCCGAAGAGGAGAGGAAGAAGATGGTTAAAGAAGAGAAGAAGAAGGCCAAGAAAGAGAAGAAGGCTGCCAAGGAGCAGGCCAAACAACAGGAAGAAGCGAACAAGATGGCAACCGAAGAGAAGGAGAGTACTGCCGAGCCTGGAATGGGGCAAGAAACGGGAGATGGTGTTGCCAAAGCGGTTGATGGAGATACCGAGATGCTCAACCAGCTACTTCCCTTACTCGCACCGCCAGCGGACAGTGTTTCGATCGGATCAGCTCTCACTGACGAGAAGAATGAAGCCGAGAAGGAAAGACATGAAAATCTATTGGAGGTAGAGCAGTTTTTCGAGTGTCCGGAAGTTGTACCTGATGACCATGAGAGCGATCCGAAGCACCCCTCGAAAGACCCGCCACTCAATGACGAGGTTGTGGCGACGGACACGATGACCTTGATCAATGAAGATGAAGAGAAGCCAGAAATAGCAGCCCTAATCAATTTGGGTGATTCTAATGGTCAAGAGCACTACGAAGAACCCCTTCGTGAGCCAAGCACCAATCCTGCTTCTACTAGCGAGGGAAAGACTGGGGAAGACGCCGATCCAGAACATTGTAAATCACCTACAAGAGACGTCGCATTCTTCGGAAGCGGCCACATTGATCTTGAAGCAAGATCAGAACAGTCTACTGCCACCAAGGGTCGGTCGTATCCTCTTACAATCATCCAGTCCTATCAAGAAGAGTCGTGGCCAGGCTCGGGTGGACTTCCGGTCAAGTGGGTGGATTGATGAGTCCCGTAGTCACATGGAATCCTAGCAGCAAAGATAGGACTTCAGAATGCAATTATTCCCAAACATAAGCGTGTGGTGCACTCCTTTGGTCGGCTCCACTCGTATGTTCCCATCTTTTGTTTCTTCCTCTCCAATTGCACCATCAGCACATTCGTTCTACTCTTTACAGTCAAAGCTTACTAACACCTTTGAACACCATCTTCAAATATGAAACCCCCCTTCCTCCTCTCTCTTTTTCAAAAGCGAGAAACTCAAGTCTAGCACGTGGGAACTGTCGATCCGGGTGGGAATGTGTTGGCACAGTGTCCGTTGTAGCATGAGTTCTGGCAACCAGAAGAAACCAGTGTATATCTGACATGCAGTTCGTACGCGAAAACCTTCACCCCTGCATCACTTTGCAGTTTGTGTCTAGCTTGATAGCAGCTTTCTATGTTAAATTGATCAGATTGTGAACAATCTCACCTCTGGAACATTCTCGGATTAATGTCAAGCTTCTCCGGAAATATCCCTAGCAGCCCGTTCAAGGTGAGATCGTCTTGAAAATCGCTCCCTAGAACTCCCTCCGCGTAGTACCGGGGGTTGTAAAGATGAAAAACAACGATCCTGTACGGCTTTTATTATACGAGATAAGTCGCCGCATGCCGTTGTGTGATACGTAGGCTAGAGGCTTCGATAGGTCTTCTCAGCAGTTTAACTGATGGGTATCTCCAAGAAATCGATACTTGGGACCTGCTGTCAGTATGGACAAAGAAGAGAATGTGTTACGCACCTAGGCACGAAAGCGATCTTAGGGGTCTAACCTTGGTAGTACACTGATCATCTGGCAAGGTTCAGTTGAAGGAGCGGTGTCTTGTTGTCATGTGATATAAGCGCCAAAGATAAATCACCGAGCCAAACGGCCTTGCAGTATTGGTTAGGAATACCGAGCCGGACACGACAGGATACTGAGTCGGTCAAGAAACCGAATCGGCCGGCGCAACAGTTTTTGATTGGCATCTCCAACACGATATTCAAAGATGCAATTGTTCGTCAATGTAGATATCTCATGCAGCTTACGTGCATTAGACGAAGGAGCTTTCTTCAACCCCTTTTTCTTGTTATATTGGGTTCCGCCACGACTATAATGTTACTAGTAACGTATGGAGAATGCAAAGATCAAGAGAAGAAAAAGACGCACCCAAATGCATGTACATCTTGTAGGGCAACTTGTACCAGTCTTACAGTCTTCTCGCCTTCTTTGTACGTATTGTTCTTTGCAACTCCATTCTCCCTATCACCTTCTGTCAAGTTTGCGCTGATCCTTGATGGCCTTCTGATTAGCCTTATCAGCCTTTCTAATCTCTTTGTCGGTCTCCCCCTTCGTCTTGTTCTTGTCCACCACCTTCTTCAACTCCTCGGCCTTGGTCCATGCACTCTTCATGGTGTGCCCAACTTTGGACTTTGCCTTGGCCGCAATCTCCTTGGAAGAACGCTTTGGCTTCATCTTTGCGTCTTCTTGTTCCCATGTGGACATCTTGGTAGGTGGGAGAATCGTATCGAAGGTGTTCGTTGGGATACGCTGAGCTGTCGAGAAGGAAGAAGTAAATGGAGAAGTAGCTGTCTTGGTAGAAGCCATTGTGGTAGAGTGATGTTTGTGATGAGACAAGAGTATGCTGGGCATCAGGAGTTGATGTTTTTATACACAAGTGAGTTGGTATTGTTAGTCCACGATGTCGATCTCGCAGTATGGTTATAATGTGTACTGAGCATATATGAGAAAAGACGTTGAGGCATTGTGGATCGATGCGAGCTAAAGTATGCGCTGAGGGTCGACAATGTCTTAGACAGGGTTTTACCAACAGTTGTATTGTCTAGAAAAGTTCAGAGTCTCTGACTGTGTTCAAAAAGACATGCGTCTGCATGTTCGACCGATCAAGAGACATGTAAGAAACGAGTGAAAAGAATCGCACATGTCGCATATTCTCGCAGCCTAACAGCCGACCCTTCAGGAAGATATGGTGGTTGCTTTACAGCAAATACTGGACCCAATCAACAGCTGAAGAAGGGTCAGCCCTTTATGGCGCCGCTTTGTGTATACTCCTCGAATTTGAGCCAAGGCCAGACGACTAGTCTCAGGATGCGCAAAGCCACGACTTCGCTCAAGACTGTGCACGAATGGTGTACCTGCTATGCCGCTTCTTGAAGATTTGGTGCCGTGAGCGCAAACTACCATGACTTGTATGGAGGCAAGTCCTAATTTCTCGCCCATTCATTCTCAACACTAGGCTGTAGATCGCTCCCAACATGTCCTGGCAAGGCGCCATCGAGGCGACGATTGCCCTCCTCGATAGCACGAACTGAGTCCTGGTTATCCTCTTCAGTCTCCTCGATGCGGTCGGAATAGCGGTTGCTGCTGTATCTAGGGATAAAATCGATAGCCCGTCGCGGTTCGGCATCGCCATTTCGCTCGTCAGCGATCATGCGGGAAATACGATCAGGCGCGATGCGATGCAGCCACGACTCCTTCTGTGTAGGAATGACGATGATGGCGAACTAGAAAAATGACATCAGCGTTGACTTCTCGCAGCGCTGCAAACCCCACTACGTACCTGCCAGATGAAGACCATGCCGACAACGGCCATGAGCATGCCAGCAATGACCTGCTCTTCAGCTTTCCAAGGTCTCAGACATCCATTCATCCTGCCGTAATACGTGACTTCGCATGCGTCGGCCTTGTGTGTTTTGTCTGGAAAAGGCCATGCCATGTCGCGCGAGTTGACAAGGCCACAGCATTCGAAAGCATCTTGGATCTGTCGGATGGCACTCGCATCCTTGTGCTTAAACAACGTCTGCCAGCGCTCGCGCAATCCGCAGTCTAGCCCAGAAGGAGGAGCGGCATGAGTGCCGACGAGAGTAATCACGACGGTCGAGTAGATGAAGATGAGCGTGTTCGCGATGATGACGAGCGGCGGGCGCTGGATCTCGCCGCGACCCAAATGCTGGCGACGTTCCTGTCGACGCGTGAAGTCATAGCCGCATTCCAGCAGAAGGCCTGAGACGATGGGTAGAGCCGTAGTGAAGCCGGTCAACGTGTCGGAGATGGGCACAGAACGAGCGTTCGCGCGGGAGGCAGCGTAACTAAAGTTGTTAGCGCGACCCTAGCATCGTAGCCGACGATGAGGATGATTACCCTGCGAGTGCGGTTGCAATGACGAGGTACTGGATATTGTTAGTGTGTGTGTGTGTGTGCACGTGCAGACTGGCATCACGGTGTGGCACCTACTAGCACGCTGAGGCAAGTCACCACCTGCTTCCTGGTGTATGCCATGCTGCTGATGTTTGCCTTGGATTTTGGCCGTTCTGGTTAATCCAAGAGGCGGTTACGAAGAAGAGAAACAAATTGAAGGTTTCAGACACGAATCAGAGTGCGACGGTGATCAGTAAGAGGTAGGAGGAACTCTGGGCTGTACAGCTATAGCTTCTCCGCATTCCAAGTAGGCGGTTGGGTACGACTACGACGACCACCCTGCAAGGGTCTGAGGTACCTTCTGGATGTACACAGCGCAGGGCACGGTAATTGCTCACTTATCGCCAATCTTTGGCTATGCGTCTTCTTCGAAACGCACAAAAGCTGCACATGCTCTCATCGGCAAGAGGCTGGCTAGGGGAAGGGAGTCCGCGGAGTGCGTGTGAGCTGAGAGTGACGCGACATGGCAAGGCTCTTTGTTATCTGGTGACGCATAAAAAGATACGCACGTTCAATCTGCGACGCGATGCATCAGGCGGCTACACAGCACGGCGTATCATCCCGAGCCATGTCGTGGCAGCAGTGAATGGTGGTGTGAAGGAACTGGGATACGAAAGGGCGTCCGACACGTGATTGGACCAAACACTAGCGTCACCGTTGGCGGCCGCTGCTCCGGTTGATGAGAGTTCTCGATCTCTCGATCCAAAACTTTTCCATAGCGACGTCATTCCTCATTTCCAATCGCACAATGCCGCGGCGGGGTAAAATTGAACACCTTCTGAAGCACTCCAAGGCATCAAGCAGCTTCGACTAATCATCTCGCACCGTGTCATCGCCTTGTCAGCTTGTGTGACCACGGTAAGCAGCTTGCCAATGTGTAGTCTTGAAAACAAACGCGTTTGTCCACACGATCACCGTCACCAGTATGCTAACATCATTGGGCCCCATTGCCTAGTGCCCTTCCCGTCCTGCAGAAGCGGGGATTAGCTGTTCATATACGCAACTAATATTTTGGTGAAGCAGCTTTATTACACATTGCCGCCATCTCGCTGCTTTCCTTCGTTTTCCCAGTCTTCGTCCCTCATCTCAGCCTCATCGTGCAAGACCCGTCCGCGCGTCACACGTATTCACTCTTAGACATGCTGCTATTTTCACCCCCACGATTTGATGCTCTTCTCAATCACGGACCAGGAAAACAAACGACTTCCATGTTTAGGCGTTTCTCGGTCCCGCTCTGGCCACCCAGCCCAGCGGCCTCCATTCCTCTCTCACCACGCGCACCCAAGCAGAAGACTGCCAGACCCTCACCACCACGAAGGGCACAACAACTGCCAAAAGAAACCCCGGCCACCGATATGTCCCACCAGCCCGGCACTCCGCGCTCGTCTGCCTTTGCACCCACGCTTGGAAGCATTCCAGAAGTCTTCGAATATGAATCTCTCGACGCAAAATTCGGCCCTGTCTCACTCAACGACGCGCCGGAGACCCCAGAAGCTTTCTTACCCGAGGCTTCCAGCATGTGCCCGCCCACGCTTACCCGAGCGTCCTCATGGCCTGCAATCATCCAGTCACCATCTCGGAGAATCGCATCGCCTTTCGCGGTCTCAAAGACGCTGCGAAATATTCTGGAAGCCGATCGCGCGCGACGAAGGCGCATTATGAAAGTCTACCTGAAAGCCATTGTTTTTCTCAAATACTTGTGGCGCGCTAACGAGCGTTACGGTAACGTCATGGTTACCACTGGCATGTACATGCAACGATGACCGGATTGCGCAAAAGTTGGAGTTGCTAGGCGTTTTGGCATGGAAATGGCGCGAATGACACGACACGAATGTACTATGATTATATGGTTTACGATGAAGCGATTGCATGGGAAGGCGTTCTATATCTGGGTGAGCGTTGTTATTACTCTGAGCTCGACTGGTATTAGCCAGCCTTTGACATTTTGGTCAAGTATTGTTGGTACAGGCTGTTGTACTATATCTAATCGAACATTTCTCAAGAACACTCCAGACATCGTGCCTTTTGTACCCTTCACGCAGGCTGGCACTATTCACTTTCGCTGCAGCAACATGGCCAATTCACAACGGCGGTCCGGATCACAGAAACTCCAAAGCGCCAAAATGTTCCACTGCGATGAATCAGACTCGATCAACTCGATTGACTGCACTCCGGGAGAGTTTCATCGACCGGCCGATCATACGAGTGAAAGCGTAGGCACCTTTCTGAACTACCTTGGGCTTTCATACAGAACAGCAGCGTACGGAATACTTGAGAGCTCTTGAGATCTCAGGCAAATCCCCAGACATCTAGGAGCAAGCAAACAGCTACCAACCACCCACTCTCCTTTGCTGTATTCACCACAACTACACCCAAGATGTCGTTCTCGTGCTTGAACCTCGTTGGCACCTCGCCATCATCATCTTCATCAATGTTCGACGGGGCTTCATCGTACTCCTCTACCTGTTCATCGTCAAGAGCAGACTCTACATATGCAAGCTCTCAATACACCTCCGAATCATCTGTTCCATCATCCATTATAACGCGAGCAGCATCTGTATCCAGCAGTTATACCTCCAGCTTATCGTCATCCAGGAAGCGCACAAAATCTTTTACACAACCCCAGCTAATCCATTTGTTCAACAACGGCACACCAATTGTTTTACCATCTCCCCAGCGCCGGTCATCTAAACTTAGAAGACCCACTCTAGATGCGTCCTGCTCTGCTATGGAACCACATGTACACAAAGTACCAGCTTCGGCAACATCCAAAGCACCCGTGCTAAGACCTTTACACCCTGTTGAGCATTGTGCGGGGAATATAGGAAGATTAGATGGAAGTAGTGTGAGTGTCGAAGTTGAGCTTTCTAGTGAGGCAGCAAGGAGAGCAGAGAAGAGTATTTGGTGGGTGCGTAGACATTAGAGCTAACAAAGTAAAAAGGATAGACAGATCAAGATAGGATAGGGTAATTTAATATCATTATAACCCTCCTCACTAACTAAGATGGCCCAGTTCAACCATCCTCTCTCTCCAAAACACCAATCTCTTCTTATCAACCACATCATTCCCGCCTCTTTCCACCCAAAGATCCCCCGCCTGAATACTCTCCATACCCATCTCGCACATCCTCTCCACATCCTTCTCCGCAAGCGTTAACCACACCGCTGCGGCAGGTACATGCATCGCGTTGTTCTTCCCGTAACGTGTATGAGGCGAGTGCTCTAGTGCCATGAATAACGTTACTCGGGCGAGTCTATTGTAGCCTGCGAGTGACGGTATAGCTTGGGCGTCGGAATTGTGGGCCAGGAGGGCTAAGAAGGTGTTTAGATGTTTCCACTTTGCTGTAGCGACTTCTGCTGTCGTTGGTTTCGCGTGATCGTGAGTCCATAGTTCAGGTCCTGTGTGTTTGTATTCCAGCAGTCAGTGATGAAGAGCGAAACCGTGAATTGGCAGACTGTAAATGGTATATGTACATGTATATGTGAGATGCTGGATTGCTGGACGAACCTTGGAACATCTCCGTAACATTCCAACTAAACATTGGTAATTCCCTCCATAGTCTCTTCGCCTCCCCTATAATCGGAGCACCGGGTGGTATCTCGTAGATTTCTCCTCCGCCTGCGTCCCAGATCTTTGTCTCGGAGCTGGAGTTGATGGCATCGGGTTGTTTCGTTAGCTCCACCAGGTAGGCCACTAGCAGATTGAGTGCGTCGAGGCTGGTGTTTGATTCAGCGGCCGAGAAGAAGAAGCCGATCAGATTAGCTAGGGCGAGGCTGATGTCATGCTGCGCTTCGACAAGCGTTGCTGTTGTGCAAGCGGAGGCCGTTGGTGAAGTTTGAGAAGAGATGAGTTCATCTAGAATGATGATTAGTTGTGTGGCTAAGTTGTCAGGCGGGTAATTGGCAAGCTGGTCTGCATAGCAGGCTTTTGCCCACTCGGTTGTCAAGGAAAGCGTTGCCATGTTTTATGGTATCTGTTGCTGGGCGTTTCGCTGATGCAAAGAAGATTGTGTTTTGGGAGCTGGATCTCAGAACGTTGGCAGCCTTGTACTTCGGTAGTACACTGGAATAGCAGACATCCTCTCAAGGTGTCCGTGATATCCGCTTCAGCCCTTTATACGCCCTTAGCTCTTGGCCGCAAAACATTGGTGGTTATTTACACCCAATACTACTGCATTCATTCCATCCTAAAACGATCTTGTATATCTGAGCATGCAGACATTCTATTCTTTCTTGATTGACTAAAATCAGCTGTTTGCAGTTGTAACATCATCGCGTTGCGGTCCCTTTTCATACGACGTCACCAAAAAGCGTGTATTCGGGCGCTCTGAGTCTAGTCAAAGCCAAGCACAATAAGGTGCACCCTCTGGGGGTATTATATGGCATAGTCAAAGTTATTGATAGGCTTGTATTGGTATGAGATCGTATAGCCGACGCAAGTGGGATCGGTTTCTTGCCTTGCGTAATGTGTTATCGCCGATTGGATGGAGCCGGTATATCCGTGGTAGTAGTGCACGAGCCAGCACTGCTTGGCCGATCGGACATTCGACGCGTCAGGCGTCTCCAGCTTTCACTCTCGTCTACCCCGCAAACCTTTGCGCTTTATCATACGACGCGCCTAGACGCATTATAAACATTATACGCAATGGATTCTATGACTCTTGCTGCTATATCACGATTCTCGGTGCTGTTCGTGCTACCAACCACAGAGGTTCTATCTCCGCATCATTGAATAAACCTCCACCTTCAGTTCTCATACAGCCGAGGATGACCTGCTCAGAGGGGCAAGCCGACTGCGTACATCCTAGCGCCACCGGTGCTAACTCCTGCATCTACGTACTATTCGGAGATGTCTCTTACTGTAGTCAACATTCAATGTATCCTTTGTTAACACGTCGCTCTCTATGATGCGTGCCTTTGCGCGAGCTGTCTCGCGCCGCCAGTACAGTGCTCATCAGCAGTTGACTAAAACAAGACAGCAGCAAAGGAAGTTTGCCTCAGTAAACGGCCCAGATATTAAGGGTCTAACAGTCAGTATTCTCCTATGCACCAACTGCGCGTGAGGCATGTACTAACTTCGCGCACCAAAATTTAGGTTATCGATCACCATTATGATGCCATCGTTGTCGGCGCTGGAGGAGCTGGCCTTCGGGCTGCTGTCGGACTCACAGAAGCTGGACTCAAAACTGCATGCGTATCGAAACTCTTCCCTACTCGTTCGCATACCGTCGCAGCCCAGGGTGGGATCAACGCTGCTCTTGGCAACATGACCGAAGACGATTGGCGCTGGCACATGTACGACACAGTAAAAGGTAGAGTTGAGGCTCTATGAGATATATATGAGATAAACACTGACATTACATTTTCAACCCGTAGGATCGGATTGGCTAGGCGATCAAGACGCAATACACTACATGACTCGCGAAGCCGTCCCAGCAGTCGTCGAACTCGAGAATTACGGCATGCCGTTTAGTCGGACCAACGAAGGGACGATATATCAGCGAGCCTTAGGCGGCCAATCATTGAAGTATGGCAAAGGCGGGCAGGCCTATAGAACAGCATGTGCAGCAGATCGTACTGGACATGCCATGCTTCATACGTTATATGGACAAAGTCTGAAGGAAGGTGTGCAGTTCTTCATTGAATGGTTTGCGCTCGACTTGATGATGAGTGAAGGGAAGTGCGTGGGTATTACAGCCTTGAACATGGAGGATGGTACAACGCATAGGATTTTCGCACGAAATACGGTGCTGGCAACTGGTGGCTATGGAAGGGCATACTTTAGTGCAACAAGCGCACATACGAGTACAGGCGACGGTAGCGCCATGGTTTCAAGGGCTGGATTGCCACTCCAAGATATGGAATTCGTGCAGTTTCATCCTTCTGGCATCTATGGCGCCGGCGTACGTCTATGAAAATGACGAAACTATAGAGTTTTACAACTGACCACAGCTCTAGGTCTTGATCACGGAAGGCGCTCGCGGTGAAGGCGGCTATCTCCTCAATAGCGAAGGCGAACGCTTCATGGAACGATATGCTCCCACTGCAAAAGATCTCGCGTCACGCGACGTCGTTTCCCGGTCTATGAACCTTGAGATTCTCGAAGGCCGCGGTTGTGGACCAAACAAGGATCACATTCATCTCCAACTCTCACATCTGCCTAAAGACGTTGTCATGGAACGATTACCCGGAATTGCGGAAACAGCAGGTATCTTTGCTGGCATCGATATAACGAGGGAACCGATACCGGTGTTACCAACAGTACACTATTGTATGGGTGGCATACCAACAAATTATCATGGACAGGTCCTGGACGTGGATGCAAAGAGCGGAAAAGAAGGTGTTGTAGAGGGGCTGTACGCGGCCGGCGAGGCTGCTTGTGTGAGTGTACATGGCGCGAATCGATTGGGTGCCAACTCCTTGCTTGATATCGTAGTCTTTGTGAGTACTCAGAACATTTCCGAATCGCCGGAGCTGCTAACGTTCAGTTAGGGTCGAGCGACAGCCCTACATATATCCTCAAAGCATGCGCCGTCAGAATCCCATAATCCGGCTCCCGAAAACGTTGGCCTCGATTCCATCAGCGAGATCAACACATTCCTGGAATCCAACGGCAACACGCCAACAGCCGCTCTACGAAACGACATGCAAAGTACCATGCAATCGACAACCGCCGTATTCCGCACCCATGACTCCCTATCCAAAGGCAACACCCAACTCAGCGACATCGAGCACAAATACACCACAGATCTGCGCGTCACAGACCGGTCCTTGATATGGAACTCCGACCTTATTGAGACGCTGGAACTGCGCAATCTTCTTACAAATGCTTCGCAGACGAGCAAGGCAGCGTTGACGCGGACGGAGAGTAGAGGTGCACATGCGAGGGATGACTTCAAAGAACGAGATGATGAGGAGTGGATGAAGCATAGTCTTACATGGCAGAGTAATGTTGGAGAGGAAGTAAGATTTGGTACAAGAGCGGTGCAGATGGCGACGCTGGATGAGAATGAGGCGGCCAGTGTGCCACCTATGAAGCGTTCTTACTAGTGTTTTTGGTAGTGTTTTTCGACTTGCCTTGAGGCTGTTGCTCTTCTTGGTACGCGGCCTAGGTTCTTTGTCGAGAGGAAAATTGTCTCGCTCATCAGGGGCGAGATCATATCCTCCACGCCATAGCTGTCAACGTCTTATTACATTCAAACGCTGCGCTATCTTGTCGCCATGCCGTCTTGGGGTGACACAATCACACCCGACAGCGATGGATAAAGGTGGGCTAAGTCAATCGACAGGAGCATGAAGCTATACTACTGAGGATTCCGTATTGTACACTCACCTTCACCGCTCGTGTCACGCACACACAAACCCTTCGCATACACTTTCAGTCGCGTATCATCCTTTTCTTCGCACTCATCCACCCACTCCACTGCTTCTTCGCCCTCTTACAAATCATCCGATCAGCAGTCATATCTGGAAACGATGAGAGACCCACACTCTCGGTGCCCTTACGGCAAGTTTAATTGACTGCGTACATTTCGCAGAATGTCAAGATCGACCTTGAGGATCGGCGAGTTTGGTGCCACTTCGCCGAGGACCTCGAAAGTGCGTTCAAAGAGCGCGTGAAGGTTCTGCGGGGTGAGGGAGGTATTGAGGGGAAGTAGGTAGTACAGCCTCGACTTGAACACGGCCGCGAGAACAAGCATGTTTCCAAACTGGGCGTGCAGAGTTTCAAAGATATTCGTTAATACAAGCCTGGTGTTGCGTGTGCTCTTGAGACCCACGTAGGGGCTATTTTCAAGGGCGCCGACACGGTCAAAGGCAATGGTACTTTTGATGGCGCTTTCGATGCATTGAGAAGCGATCGAGATGATGTCTTTCCGTGTTTCAAACAGACCAACTCGTTGAACAGGTCTGCTCGTAGAAGTGGGCATTCCTCCGGTGGCGGCCGGTGAGTTGTTGTAGGACCAGTGGCCGCCCTGATATGTGGCTTGAGCGGGTGGTGTATATTCCATAATATGGCTTGCGATCCGTAGGCAGGGCCTGAGCATCATATAAGCCACCCCGTAATATCTGGCACGTAAACGAGCAAGATTGGGATCCGTGGATGGAGGATCACCGTCTTTCCAGGCTAGGTATTCCGGCAGAACACGCCGCCAGCTATTGAGTATAGCAATGTGAGACTGTGCGAGCTTGACCACAGCTTCGATGTCGCTCTGGTGGAAGCCCTTGTTGCCGTCTATATTTGGTTACCGCGATGTATAGCAACCTTTCGGCAATGACTTCCTGGCGTTGGAAAGCGCATTGTGAGCTTCATTTAAGATTACACGCATCCATATTTGACTGGAGTATATCATTAAGTCTTTATCGTCCTCGGGGTTTCTGTTTGCTTGAGTCCCCTCTATCATCTCGTTCCCCTCGCCAGAGACGTAGCCACTCATGCCCGTTGGGTACATGATCTGGTTCTGATGCACTGTGATATCGCTCGTAGGTAGGGTATTTATCTCAGCCACAATATCCCTAATAGCGCAGTCAGTACGCAGAGAAGAATCAGAAGACCAGATGACTCACGATTCAAGCTGTAAACATGTCCAATAGACGAGCAAAATCCGCTCTAGCCTGTAACGCTCCTTGGCTGATAAATTCTTCGATTCTGGAGAGGTGTAGAAATCTCGTGTAAGTTTGTGGTAATCCCTGAACAATGTGAGACCAATTCAGATGTCGCCAGGAATAAGTCTTACTGTTTGACTAAGACCATAGTAATCTTGCATGCACTGTTGATCCAGCTCCAGCTCTCCAGTATTCTTGTGAACTGGCTTGTGTAAATTGCTGCCAGTATCATTGCTTGAGCATGCTCAATGGTATGCCCTCCTTGTAGATGTCCAAGAATATCGGACGCGTGAGAGAAGTACAACATTCCGGGTAGAACGTCGATGTTCTTAGGACAACTGTCGTTTGAAGTATTGCCGTTGAGATTGCCATTGGTGTGCGAGCTAAAAAATCCCCAGGCCCTGTTTGTATAAGAACTTTCGTCGGTTTGTGGATGCGGTAAACTCTTCTTGTATGAACAAATATTACCCAGAGCAAGTACAAGTAGAACGACGGCATTGTGCGACGAACGCTCAATAGTATTCCGGAACAAGTACGGTTCGCCGTAAACGCCATCTGGTCTCTTTCTCTTCAAACTTGGATTGAGCTGGTGGACTACTGGCGATACCGGGTCTGCAACCCTTCCATCAGGGCTGTATAGTTCTTTGAATTCTCTAATCATATTTTGAAGGTTACTGTGATCCAGGAATGGATGAAGGCTGTGTATGTGCTTCATGTACGAATTGTGCAACTTGTCCACAATTGAGGTACGGAAGTCAGCTCTGTCGTCTGAGCCAACTCCACCGAGTCCGTACTTATAGCTGGAATAATTCCGCGGCGTACTATTGTTCTTCAAAGGATGTAGGCTTGATTGGTTCGATGGAGGATAGCCCCACAACCCGGCTCTCTCTGGTATCGGCGATAGCGCGTCCGAATCGTTGCTGCTTTCTGGGCTGCCAGGCTTTTGTAGTCCATCATTCAAATAGAAGCCTTCTCTGATACACCAGACGCGGAGGGGCTCTCTGTCCTGTTCCAGTTGCATTGGGTAATCTGACAGGGCACGGCCGCTCTCTTTTAGTTGATGGAGATACTCTACGCCAACGTGAAAGTCCTTCATGAGATCCCACTCCTCCAACAATTTGTGCGCTGGTATAGTGTGATCAATTTGAAGGCCGACTCTTTCTTTTGATGACATGCTATGTGATGTGCGGATATCGTCTGTTTTCACGCTATCGGTCGGTGTCGCAAGCTGTTGAGATACGGAGAGCAAAGCTTTCTGTTCAATAGGAGGTGATGCTTGCGCGTTTATAGTTGACATGTTCGAGCATGGAAACATGGGCGATTCAATCTTCGTGCCACCGACTGGACGGGACTGCATCTTGCCACACGTTGGAGCTGGCACTCCCGATGTGCTTGGGTCCCTTGGTGGAAGGGCAAAGGCTGCCTCAAGAGAAGCGAATTTTGGCGTGTTTCCAAAGCCTCGACTCGGCGGAAGCCGGTTCTCCACATCCTGCCGCCATGCACGGAGTTCCCCGATGAAGTCCTTGAGTAGAACAGAGATGTCGTCAATGCTTTCCTGGAGTTGTATTATACTTCTATGCTGCCTTTGGAGTGTCAGCTGGTAGTCGTTCCATGCGGAACAACAACATACTTTGGCGTAGGACCACCCTTATATTGGCAGTCAAAGTTGTTTTCATAGCAGAACTGACAGGGTCGTGCTTCGTCGCATCTCTGCTTGCGTGCCCTACAGATATTGCAAGCTTGAATGGCTCGAGCTTGCTTTCTCCGTACCTGTTCTTGTCCAGGACCAGAGGCGAGAGTAAATTCAGAGGTCAACTCAGACCTGTCCATTACACAAGACGCAGGTGTTGGCACCGTGGCTCCTGGAGTGGACTTTGTAGCCGAGAGGTATAAGAATGCGTTGTGTTATATCAGTCTGCAAAGCATGGGTTGCCACGTTTATGTGCTCAGCAGAAATGAGCTGTTGATCTACAGTCACTCTCGGCACGGGTGTCTAGCGCTCTTTTGTTACAGGGTAACTCCACAGCCATTCTGGGAAGAAAAAGCTTGTTTCATCTCATCGCCAGAATCTGGAGGCAGTCAGGCGATACCTCGGTGGTCCAAAGAACAAGCCACTTAGTGTGTTGACTTTACTTGTCACGCCTGATCTGTGATGGCTTCTGAATTATGGCTAACCATCTTCAACGATTGACTCGAATAATGAACAACAGCGACATTGGATGCAGCTCTTTGTGCGAATTTCAACCTCAGTGTGCATACATGGTAGTTCACAAGCAACAACTCCAATTAGCACCTCAAACAACTAGCAGGAACTCCCCTCAGCACACCGTTAGCTGCATCTTATCTCGTTTTGTTCCCGTAATGGTTGGGTGGAATGCGTAAGAGCGTCGGAGAGATTCTAGGCGATACAGAGAAAGAGTGTCAGGTGAGGTGGGCGCACGGTACCAGTTCCTACTGATAGCGCCGTGCGATGATCTTCATATAAGCTGAGCCAGAATGCTAAAAAGAAATACAACATACACTCTCTTCCAACCATTCTGTCTATAAAATCCGCGCACAACCGTGCCACACGTTCCGTCTCTTCCGAGCGATACGCATAGAGGGATGATGCAAGATTCATGCATCCCGCTCAATCTGTAATGCATCCAGCTGTCTATATTCACACCCAATCATGCATTTGCACACAGCATTTCAGCATCTCGCAGCATGGCGTAGATCCCGGTATCGAGTGCTTAGCTTATGCGTCTGGTGCTCGATCGAGTAGGTGATATACTTGCGAAGTATAGCGTTTGTCCGGACTATCGCCGAGGATTGGTTGAGCACTGCTAGTGTGGAATCTGGAGACGTAGTTGGAGCATGCATTTGCAGATCTTAGATCTTGTTGAGTGGGTAATGCAGGGCTTGTTCATGAGAGGAAGCTGAGGTGTGGGACGGACCGGTCAGGGGATGCCACCCAAGCGCTCGGAGCGCTTGTGTGCACCCGTGCCGCATAGATGTGGTACATGGCCATTGCTCCCAGCACAAAATCTCAACGCCGCGATGTCGCTGGAGGAAGCCAAAAGTAGATCTTTACTGTCGGCACTGGTAGCCTGCTCTATGCAGACACTCTTCCCAAACTCCACAGGGTAGCGCAAGCCTTCTTACACCTCTCCAGCATTACCGCTCAGAAGAACACAGCTCAAAATTTCATCGACGCTTATAACACCTGGGGTATGGGTGCCATCCAGGACTACCAAGCCCCAAATTGTCAGCACCAGCCGCTCCCTTTGTATATGGACTGACCGGCCTAGAATAACAAGAGGAGAGGAAGATGCGCGATAGATGCTCTAGTGAGCGCACTTTCGCTGCTTTGGGCGTGCAGGAGAGGCATTTCCTGTCTTCGGGCTGGGAGCAGCAATGATCACATGCAGTACATGTTCTGTGGGCGCATGTTCGATTGTAGACGCTGATTAATATCAACTTAACGGTGATTAAGTTCACTAAGTTACATCTGTTGTTGTTATTGTTGCTCCCGACTCACTCTTGGCCTTCGCCTGTCTTCAGCCCACTGTGAACGTGAACTCTCCTTGACGTCCTGCCACAACTGAACGACAATCTCCATACGCCTCTCTAGCCATAAGAAGCGATAGCGTCTCTTATTAGGCTTACACTATCCGTAGCCGCAGCTCGGCAACATGGAGATGAGCATTCGGCTCTCGCTGTCCACGTTGCCGTTCTGTGGCACAGGTCGCGAGAGGTAGATGTCCTCCACCCCTGCAGACAATCGCAGAGCCTCCCTGATCAGCGACCGGGAAGGTAGCCATCCCCCTGCGATGGCAGCCGAGATCCGGACCTTGCGATCGGAGCTTGATGCCGAGACACGAAATGGCAGGGATGATAAAGAGATGGAACAGCGCGGCGTCTGAGTCCATACATTCAGCGACAGTCAGAGCTAGGCCTCGGGCAACGCACAACCTCTGTCTACAGCAGCATGTTGGCTGATACAGAGTCAGAGCTGTCGAGTCGGCGTGCACCCGCTCCAGGAGGGTAATTCGGAAGTGACAAGAGAGCAGAGGTCGGAAAGGGATGGGCTCATGGGCTAGCTTACGGCCGCATTCGAGGACCAAAGCTCTGCCGACCTCTGACGTAGGGTTCTGTCTAGCTACTGGCCATAGTTTACATGTTTACGACGTATAAGACACAAGGCGGTACGGATGCGGGACAGCCGTAACACCCTCTCGCAGCGGGTGTGTCATGCAGCCATGAGGATCTGCCGAACCAGTTGAGCTTTGTCCACCTCCCTGCAGAGCGTACCGCAGTACCACCAAGACACGATGTCTGACATAAAGCTACGGAACCCTTCTATGTACAACACTGTACTTCAACCGCCACTTGGGACGGCATCAACGCGACATTGTTCTAGATTATCACAACACGACACAGTACACAAAACACTACTTTGGATGACGAGCTTGACGTGAGTGAGAGCTGTAACACATCATAACATTCCCAGCTCATCATTTTGACGGCTACCTGGGACGGTGACATCACACAGCTTAAGCCTTTTAGAGCCTGACCGTGGGTCTGAGGCGAGCTTCCGCATAATCATGCCACAACAAGCTCTTAAGACAGTTTTCCAATGCATGATACTAGGTTGGATGCAGCAAGAGACGATCTGCACGGCATCAGATCCATGTTCCGGCACGTTGCTTGTGCGGTTCGACCGTGGGCTGACAGACCGTTTGTTGACAGGATGGACGCCAGACAAGGAATGGCGAAGCTAGGGGATAGGCACAGAACGAGTTTGATTGCCGTTCTGGGCTCGAGCTTCACATGGAAGTTTTCGTTTACGTCCAACCAACCGTATGAGGTATCACACTAGCGCGCATCATATTAGCGCCTAGTCCAACCTAGTGAGGCCGAATACCACTCGTTACACACATACGGCGCAAATTCGGCGAGCTAACAAATGCTCGACATACGAAAGTAGCATTATGCTTGCGCTAGGTGAGGATTGCGCGTCCATACTGTGAAGTTTGGAGTCTGCAGGTAGCGCGCTCCCTAGGGCTGGTGTTATACATGATGCATGTTATCAATCATGATATAATTTTAGCATACTTTCAACGTTACTTCGAATTCATGTAGATACTCAGAAAGCATTCCAACATAGCTAATATCATGTATTCTGCATGCCGTGAGATCGAAATCTGGAGCTGCATACGAAGTACCCAGGGTGTTTGGGGAAACACCTGCATTGAGATAATCATATCGAGTTACTTAACAGCTTTGTTTTGCCCTGCCTTGGTATCAATATACACACCACCACAATGCAAGCCGTCAGATAAAGATGGCGTGATACGGCAGCTCCGATTGTGGCCCCATCTTAACGATGGACAAATCAAGTCGCAGATCGGAAGCCATGCGCGAACGAGACCCTTCTTGTATCGTCGAGATCTACGCTTGACCATTTCCCTGATTGGGCGTCCTTGAAGTTTAATGATCACCCTTGAGGTCTTCTCGGTTCCGCTTCCCCGGCCGCCTCTCTAGGGCTACTTTAAGTATACCCGATCGATTGATGTCGTGATAAGAGCGTGAACCTTTGTTGTCCGCATCAGCCATCTAAAACGACAAAGTCTACCTCATCCAGCATTACGCGGGCATATGTGCGTGCTTGCCTCTAGCAGTAACACAACCCACCACTTCCAGGCTTTTCGTTCATCAGAGATGAAGACGAATGATTCGGATTCCGTGCGTTGTGCTAGATCCTTTCCTCAGTCTTCAGAAATTTCTGAGCTTTGTATTCGACTCAATGAGGTATGGAACCTTCCATCCTCCTTTACAATATACTGACCTATGCTAGATACTAGACAGTGCCGAGCTCATCAATAAGTTCTCCCAAGTCTATAGACAACGAACACACGGAAACGAATGCATCGGTATTACTTCCCAATCAATGCCTACACTAGAAGAGATAAACGACATGTTGAAGGAGGAGGAAAACATTCAAATCTTACTCCAGCGCGTACGGGATATAGTCCTCAATCATCACTGCAGAGCTCCTGCATTCGCATCCGAAGATTGCAAGCGTCCATGAGGCATTGCGATGGGACGAACAGAGTTGGTATGATCCCTTGGTCTTTAGAAAGTCAAAGCTTAGGGCTGATACTGTGCAACAGGACAATGGAGGTTAGCACTAAGGAAGGGGTAGCGATTCCTTGACGGCCTTAGACGCCAAATCAGCTCTACTCAGGACTCTGATCACTTCATGATCGTCACGCTTGATGCGTAGAATAACCAAGGGTATACTGGTGAACAGGACAAGCTTCGATACTTTGGGGACAATACTCCGAACACAGTCATGGGCCATTTCCATAGGTAGAGCAGGATATAATGCGTTCTACTATGCTGTCTACTCCTTTTGTACGTTGGTCATGTCGAACCTGCGCAGATTCCTGCATGCGGTTACTGTAGGCACATGGAACCTTGCCTAATTCAAGTACATCTCTCTTCTGCCACACTTGCTCTGATCATTGTGCATTCAGTATATGACGGCGCGCCTCTCTAGCGATAAAGTGGCTAGAGATGTAGCACAGGCTGGCACTCTTTTACTTCCGTCGTACTCCGAATATTAATACTGTGTGCACGTTAGCTCCTCACGAGTGGGGGGTTATGCTACTCTGCTTAAGTAGCTCTTCCTGGCGTCGAACCTCCTTACTACAAGCTCCTGTAGCAGTTGTATATTCTCATGACTCTCTGCGGACGCGTTGGGCGCTGGCACTTTCTAAGAGGACGCCTACGCAGCCAGAACAAGTCCTGACTGACTTTCCGCCAATCGATCCCGCTTCGCTTTTGCTATTCTACCGCTGCTAGCGACATACGACAATCGAGGAAATGAGAATATGACTCCAAAATGGCTGTCGTGTGTAGGAGGGCGCCGTAACTCTGCCGCAGCAAGCTTGCCCTTAGGCAGGTGCTGGAGGACCTAGTCATGCTCACTGTCACAAGTCGACAAGACTTGTCAGTAGTTACCCGTGCCCTCGGGAGAAACCGGTCGTTTAGATTGTCGCTATGTCGCTACGACCGCCGACTCATGCCATCTACGCATTGAGAAGTGTGCTTTGACGTTGCGATATCACGGATGCGCGCTGCCCATGACCTTCCCCTATTTTCTCGGTCATCTCGGTGCAACAAGGAGACTGGTATGTTGTTACCCTGCTTGCGGGGCCTCTAAAGTCGTAATGCATAGGACGAAAGCGTCCAAAGTAATTGACCAAACCGGAAATGTCTGTGATTGGTTAAACGTTGGGATTACAGGAATCACGGAGGTTGTCGTTTAGCATATAGTCGGTGCGAGAATGTCATAACTTGGAAGCCCCTGCGTTAGTAGGGCCAATGAGAAGCTAGCCTCTAGCACGGGCTCTAGCGTGCGCGTGCACCCCGAGGTTTCCGAATTCGAGTAACGCCCAGCGAAGCAGTGCGTCTTTGTTCCATCCAGAACAATTTCGGATCTTAATTTAAAACTGTGATAAATAGCTACGCGCAATCTGTTGTTTGCGTCTTATTAAACGTGTTGTTATTTATGATAATTCAGCTACCTGCGCCATTCACCGTGATAGAGTGATACAAACGCCTTTGCAGACTAACCCGAGACGTTCCTCAACTTCCCACACTCATCATACACACATCAACCAAACCTCAGATCCCAAACTCCCTTACCCCATTACCTAATCATCCCAGCATACTTTCAAAGCTACACATCATATTAGCATCTCTCCTTGAACATAGCACGTTGGAGAAGTTGATTTAGGCAAAACTTACCACAGGGGAACGGAAAATACATATCCTGATTCTCCGTCAAATAAGCATGATACGAGTACTTGTCCTCGCCGGGACCCATCTTCTTCTCAACCTTGTGGATCTTCCCTTGCGGACCAAGCGCCGGCCGCAAGTTCTTCAGCCTGGCCACTTCTCGCAGCATCGTCGTGAGCGTGATACGTGTCATGGGCAAACCAAGACACTGGTGCGGGCCGTATCCGAGATGAATGTAGGAATCCAGTGGGCGTGTGATGTCGACTTCGTCCGGGTTAGGGAAGATGGCTGGGTCGTGGGAGGCGGTGCGTAGGTTTACGAAGACGGCGTCGCCTGCTTTGAGGTCTGTCGTCTTTGCTCCCTCGGTGATCGTCGTTGGTTTGGCAACAGCACGAATGACGCCTGTTTCGCCGTTCAATCTTCCACCCTCCATGGTGTAGTGCATCAACTTCTCAAATGCCTCTTCGCTATCATCTTGTGCTAACTTTGAAATTTCAGCCCAATGCTTCTTGCCGTTGCCGAGGAGGTAGTATTCGATCGTCTGAGCAAAGAGCTGGCCTTGGTTCGACACCATTCCTCCCGCTGTACCCAGAATGTGGCCCCAAGTCAGAGTCTCGGGACTCATACCACTCTCCAACAACCGCTTGATCATGTGCACACCATACGACTTCAAAGTAGTTTCCTGAGGCCAGATTGTAGCCATGATGCTGGACAAGACCCCAGAGCTTGCAATAGCTTTGACGTTCTTCTCAACGATGTTACCGAGCAGTTGCGTCGCCTTTCTTGCCTTGACATGCAAGGGGAAAGAAGAAGCAGGATCCGCGTCGAAGAAGATGAGAGCAAAGACTGAAGACATGATAAGGTAGAGTTCAGCTTCCGTGAAGATACCATGAGGTTGCGCTGCTGTCTTCAGTGGCAGCATGAACAGCTCGGAGCAGAAGTGAACGTGTGCGAGGTTACCGATGGAGCGGATGATATCTACTTGGTTGAAGTCGGCGATCTTTGCGCTCTTCTCTCTCAGTAGCTCTCTAGTCTTCCGGGTGTAGTAGTTTCGTACTTCCTTGTCCCAGTCGGAGATGTAGAGTGCTTTGCTGACCATTTGCCTAGAAGCAGTGTTTTTGGGTCCGTCACCAGCGAGCATGAAGTCGGCAGATGCAGGACCCATGATATATTCCATGGCTTTACCCCAGACGACTTTGAACGTGGTTTGGTCCTTCATGATGTCGGTAGCGAGCTTGTATTCTTTGACGAAGTGCGGGTGTGATGTTGCCACTGGCTTGCTGAAGTCGTAGAGGTTGTCTTTCTTCAGATCTTTGAGGGCGGTCTGCATGGCGGAAGGTATGGTAAGCGGATAATGGGCGTAGACGCTGTTGTACTTGAAGTGTTGTGGGAAAGCGCGGAGGAAGAGCTTGTAGAAGACACATCCATTGTCAACGCCGGTATCGCTATCAGCAAGGCGGTATCCCCAGTTGGTCAACGTGCGTGGGTTGTAGTCGTGCGTGTAGAATCTATCGCCGCGGACCAGCGCGACGGCATCAGAAAGAACAGCGCGGGAGACAGTGTATGACGGGCAAAGACCGGAACCGGGAGCCATAGGCTTCTTTGCGTCCTCGACGACGATACCAGGGTAGATTTCAACCTTGTCCGGGTGGTCGTAGAGGTGTCTAAGTTGCTCCTGCACATACTTGTCGGACGTGATGTCTTCGAAGGTGTTGTGTGGCTCAAGCTTAAAGTACTTTCGAAATTCGTTGAGCGAGCCCAAGTTCCAAACACGTGCTTGTTCGATACCGAGGACTTCGATAGCACGGAAGACCGCAGGAACCCTATTCGGTCCGAAAGAGTTGGCACAGTCCTCAATGCTCGATGTCAAGATGTCAACCAGGTCTTGGTCAGGTAGTGTTCCGTTGTCACCTCGCTCCAGACCAGCAAACTTGCGCTTTGACGGATCAGGGTCAGTCTTCTTATAGACCTCGTTCATCTTGCTAAGGAACTCGTATTTGTGGACGGACTTGGGATCGCGACCCTCGCCGAAGAGACCATCCCACATCTCCTGCGTCCACTTCTCGTCACGATCGGACACTGTAGAGTGCCATCGGTACACCAGGTTGAACTCAGCAGAGACTTGGTTGCCAACACCCATCGGTAGATCTGCTACCTCGGCGCGGGGGTTTAGTTGCCAGTTACTATCAGTGCGGTTGAGATCCAGAATCGTGCGGACGTAGTCGATCAAGATGATGTTGACGTAAAGACCACAAGTGATGAGACGACCAGTCTGGAAAAGATCGTTGTCGTACTTCTTCCATGCTGCATCGTACTTTGCCTTTGTCTTCTTGTCAACTTCGACGTCACCAGTCGATTTTGGTACTTCATTCGAAGGCTTTGTGAAGCGCCCTTGTTCGTTGATAGCGGCCAGGTTCTCGACTGTGTAGTTGTGGAAACGGTTGAACATGATCAGCATAGCGCCGACACCGGGAGGGAAGAACAATAGCCTTGCTTCCGAGAAGCAGTCAGGCTTGATCTTTCCATCACGCCCAGTCCTCATCATATCTTGCTCAACCTGGTTGCTGCCATACAAAGGCGATAGATCGAGATACGAAGACGTCATTGAGATTGAGTAATCCTCGTGGCTCGTCCGGAAGCAGTCATGGATAATGATGGATGCCAGATAAAACAACATACTCGAGATTCTGTTGGGATGCAGTTCGGCGTGTTTTCTCGTCATGATGCTGTCGAATACGACACCGGGGTCTGGGCGTGCAGGAGTCTGCATCATAGACGGCTTGACTGTCCTAGCATACGGTGTTCCTGCCGCACCAACTTGCGGGCTGACGAGACTGTTGTTTGATCCATCCGCGGAACGGTACTGGTACTTTGACCCAAGGTATGACTGTGGCGGGTGCTGCAAGTCACCCCACAGCTGCTCCAGGAAACGGCCTGTCACTGCATCTCTTGTCTTAGACCCGTCAGGTAACGCAGCAGCGGTTCGGATAAGGCCCTCCATGAGGTAAGTCTTATCATCAGTATATCCGCCAAGCATCTTTTCCTTCTGAATGTCCATCAGACTCTGGATGTTCTCGATGCCAAGGTGAGACATGTCTCGAAGACCGCCTTCAATCTTCTTGTAAAGGCTAGCCTTCTCTTCTGGTGCAATTTTGGAACCATCACCAGTCTGGTCAGGGACTGAGGCCGTGGCAGCGCCAACTAAAGCTGCTGCTGCTCTGAAAGATCCACCAATGGTGTTTCTAAGTGTACTGAGCTCGGATGGATCAGCTGGTCTGGGAGGCTCAGCTCCTGTGCGGGTGTCGACATGGGCGTCCCATGCCGCTTTCGCCTCTGCAGCTGTGCCAGCCATGATGTTGGTAGTGCTTGACGTTAATGTTAGCAACTTTCTTATGCTCAGTTCTTTCTTGGATCCGGAAGAAGAAGGGAGCCCTATTGTTGGAGCACATCTCAGGATTCGTTTCCTCGAGGATATTTGAATGACTGGCGGACTAAACCGGAAACAATAGAAACACGGGAGTGATGTTGTGGAGTAGGTTTAGAGGAAGAGGAGTGATGCCACCAGACTTACATGCGATTGACTCTTCTCTAGGTGTCAGACTTCCTTCCAATACCGGTCCAGAACAACCGTACGTGGCTGCCGTTTCAGTAGCTCTGTAGTGTAGTCGAAGTGAAGGTATTATCCAGACTCGCCTACTTCAAGAAGCAGCAAGAACGATATACAGCAAACAGGAACGCGATGTCTAGCCTTGCAGGTATAAGTAGTGACGCCAGTAAGCCACACCAAAAAGGAACGAGGGGTATATCTGCTGCGAACGCCGAAAGAATACGGATCGTTCACACAAGGACGAGCGAGGCTTGAGACAATGCTTTGTCCCACAATCGATCAGCCCGAGTTCTCTTATACGTGTGTACGTGTTCTCATAGGACGCACTCGTGATTGCGGCTGAAGGATCGTGGATGCGATTTGCCTACAAGAACGATATTGGCGGTCAGCCCGTTCGTGATCAGCCTAGCCTTAGCACTACTTCGACCTGCCGAACTGGCTAATCGTGTGAAATTCAATTGGCCATTTCCCGTGATTGGTATGCGGGCCGCGGCTTGGATGGCGAGAGACCTTTCAGCTGTGTCGTTCCCGGTGAGAACTAGAGGTGGGCTGCTTGAGCGAGTGGGGCCTGCAAGCATCTCAGCCTCGGTCTTGCCTTTTTGCAGGCATCCTTCTCACAAGGCAGCAACCATCTCGTCCTCTCCGTCTGCAGTTTGCTTCAGCCTCACATCCTCATGCCCGTCGGTGAGACGGTCAGCTTCTTTTTTGCGAAATCAATGGGTGGGGAGACATCAGGACAGGTTGGGTCTGGGTATTGCCTTTCCCGCGCTTATGCAGGGTCGGCGTTCCCCGGGGCCATATGGGAGTGGCCGCCGCGAGCAGATCCATCCAACAAGCCTCCATCGACGAAAAAGCAAGCATTGGGTTAGGCAGGCGAATGGTGGTAGTACAGGGACACCAAAGCCAAGCACATGTTCAATGTTACAAGGCCTGTTAATGTGCTGTTATGGTACGACAAATGGTGTGAACGTCAAAGCCAACTGAGCACGCAGCCACAACCACACCAGTCACAACGGGGACCTTCAGCAAGCAAATGATGAACGTGTTGCTGGGACAAAAATGCCTATAGGCATCTGTGCACTAAAGGCGGGTACCTGCGGAGGTGTCACCGTTTTGAGCCCGGTGTGACAGCCTTCACATCGTAGTCCTCCAAGTGCGCCTCGCCACAGCCTTAGCTTAACCCAATGTTGCTCATCCATCGCTTCTAGTCTTTCATTGGCCCTCTTTGCGCATCGTCCTCTATGTGCAAAGCCTCCATGCCCCACTAACACCTTATAGATGCCTCTCCAGTAACCTCACGCCTTTCGCCTGATAACATCCTTCTACCAGATGCCTGGCAAGATGGCATACCGCTTGCGCTTGTATTTGTCACCAAACTCCTTGCGATACCTCTTCTCCTTCTTCCAGGCCCAAACACCCATCTGCCCAACAGCCACGATGATGAAGATGACGGTGCTCAAGCTCCAGTTGACCAGCGCCACGCCGATCCAGGCCATAGCTTCGAACATGTAGTTGGGACATGTGACTAGATCGAAGCCCAATCCCTTGGGGATACCGCGCTCGGTGCTGCCTGGACGGCGCAAGTTCTTGAGCGTCAGGTGTGTGCTATAATTACAGACCTCGCCAATTGCAAATAGGGCGACGCCGAGATATGTCAGGAGGGGGTTCGAAGGCCTAGCAGCCGGGCTGTTGGGACCGTAGCTCCAGTATGCCAGGTTCAACCCCGAGAGGAGCCAGTAGTAGCCGCTGTTCTTGTAGATGTTCATTATGGGCATGGTGGCTGACGAGAAGCGGTGGACAAAGAGGGTTTCGAACTCGCGCTTTGCGAAGTGGGCGACGCACATTAAGAAGGTGAGCTTCTGGAGCTGCGAGAGAGGGGCTGAGGTGCCGTAGATGAGGGAGCGGCCGAAGTAGATGAGCGGGTGGATGAGGAGGGGTCCGAGATATTCGACGATGAAGACGGTGCGCCATGAGATCTGAGGACCTGATACATTGTTAGCCGTCTGATCATGACACGGTGATATATAGGCTCACCTAGATCCTTGACGTCAAGAGCACTCTTGTTCCTCAAGCCTGTGTCGTGAACCGTCACATCCCGCACATTGTTAATTGGCGATCCATCGCTGCCCTTGGTGATCCTCAATCGGTGGATTGAGAACCTCGAGGCTTTCGCAATTTCTTCGAAGATCTGGGAGGCAGAAGCATCTGAGGGGACGGTGATGGTGTCGGGGAGGTTCTTGATCGGACGGCCTATGGAGGGGTTAACAACAGCAATCACAATGTCTTTGGTCCGACTAGAGGCTAATGAATGTGATAGGGAAGAAGCATACCACGAGGGCGCACGATGAGTGTGAGGGGCGACGCGGACATTGTTACGTGCTGCGACAATGCGTGTTGTGCGTCGACTTTTGGTAAGATGATATTCGGAGCGGCAGCCTCGGCATCCCGTAGAAGCTAGGCTCAAAGGGACCAGGTACCTCGTCGTTAGGGGAAGCCATCAAAGATTGAGCATACGAGCACAAGATCATGCATTTGCGTGTCAATTCTATATAAAAAGCAGACTAGATGCTTTCCAATCTATAGGAGATATCGGCAAACACGTCTCGAAATGGTTTCTCGTAACTTCATACAGTTCATCCTAACTGAACCACAACCTGCCATGCAGCTTCAGGCCCCATGCCTGCGACCATTTCGCCAATGACGCCTTTAATCGACTTCGGGTTTTTCAAATCACTGCTGTCCCAGGAGACCAGGTCCTATGAGTAGTCAGTACCGAGTCAACGCCTGATGTAAGCTGTTCGCTCACCTGAGCTTCTGCCATCCTTCCACCAACCCGAATGGGCATGGTAGCCAAGTCAAGTTGCTCTTCGATCTCTTCAGCGGTCATGAGCCCCGGCACCTTCAGGTCAAACAACGACATGCCCTTTTTTACGGCCTTGCCAGCTTCAGCAGCTGTTGGCCGAGGATAATCGGAGTAGTCGTCTTGTTCTTCTGTAGTGCTCTTCTCTTCGTCGCTCTTGTTGTCCTTCCTACGACGCTCCCTAGACATGGAAACATAAGGTTTTTTGTCCAGTAGAGCGCGCAGCTCACCCTCCAGCGGATGCCATTCGTATGTCTCGGGATCCAGAACATGTTGAGTCTTGTAGTCGCCCTTGTACTTCATCTTGACACACGAGTGGATGTAGTATCCCATATAGTAGTACTGGTAGCCACCCTCGAGCGCCAGCGCTGCTTCTCGTAGCGCACTCAACTTTCCGAACTGCCATTGCTCATAGTCCGAATGATAGAGCATGTAGACACCACTAACGCAGTGAGGTAACAGGTCAAGTATGCCCATCGCAATGAGCCGTCCATCTAGTCGGTAGCATTGGTGATAGGATCCCAAGAGCTGTTCCTTGCCATCAACGGTTCTAGACGTCTGCTTCAGCGGCGAATCACATAGGAAACGCTTGAAACCTGATTGAGATATCTCGTGAGGTTTCTCCTTGTGCACGTTTTGCTGATAGTTCTTGAACAGCTCATACTTCTCAAGCGTGAATGCTGCTGGCTCGAGTGTTACCTCAAAGCGATGTGCGGGTTCAGGTGGCTGCTTGACATTCTGTAACTCAGTCTTGTGAATCTCGCGAGTGAGATCGAAAGTGTTTTTTAATCGAGCTTTCTCTCTGACAGCGGTCAGCCTAGTAACAAGTATGCGGTGTTGTCACGCACTCTTTTGATATTGGATAGAGCCTAGAAGCCTCTTTCATATAAGACTCGCCTAGCACATGGTCATTCCAATGGTTGACCGCCTTCCTCTGATCCTTTGAAGGTTTGAAGGAGGCTACGGGTAGACTAGTCTCGGGTAAGTCTCTAGCAGCATGTTGCTGCAAAGCTACTTACCGAATCGTGTAATGCGGACAACAGTGCCGCAGCACGTCCGGCTTGTAGAAGATGGTACCAGATCTAGAAGCCAGTGTCAGCTGCTGTTATGGGCATAGTGCTGTAATGCAGGATGGTGCCATGCATGAGTGGGTCATCACCTTCTCCAACCGCGGTCCACAAGAATTTGGTAGACTTCAACGGTCAAGCTTTTCGACGAAAAGTAGTAGCTTGCTCCTAATCAGGCAAGGTCAGTCAATGCTCTCGGCTCTCAACCTCACTCCGATTTTCCCCGCTCTAGCTCACAAGACATGGCAGCAATCGAGATGAATATGCGCTGTGATGCAATCATCCCAAGATCCGAGATCTAAATCATACAAAGTCTGCCGACGTGTGGACGATGCTTGGCGGCAAAGCATCGCTTGGGGCATGGGTGATAGCGGGCAAAATTCCATGCGACGCGGGGCGCAGCACGTGAGGGCAGGTAACCTTAACGGAACATCAAGTGCAGGCGGGAAAAGCGCCGGCTGCAACATTGACGCCCATTGTTCGTGTGAGATGGCTTGACCGCTCTGACAGCGGTATGCAGGCATGGCGATCCGACCATAACCGAATAGGGATGACTATGAAAATCCACGTACGAGAATTCGAGGTTCTACTGCCATTCGACGCGTCTTTGCAGTATCCGCACGACTCACTACTGTAGCCTAAAAATGACAGTTAGCAACTCGTTGATGGCCAGGGTCTTGAGATGCCATGCCCGCACTGCTGGGAATGCTGGAAATGTCAAAGACAGGTTGATGTCCAGCCAGACAGGCACGAGCCGGAACCCAGGGAAATGGTTGGAGCAGAACATACCGAAAGGCGTCACACTGGACTGCATGAGGGCAGCATAAGCGTGGGAGCTGGTGGGGGTAGTGGTCCGAGGCGGATTCGAACGTTGTCGCGGCGGCGAGCGATGACAGCCGGTAGGAGAATGAATAATAGCTCCTTGTCCACGCCCACTTGCTCAAGATCAGGGCTCTTCGGACTGACGGGGTCGGTCGAGGCGGTCAGGGTGTGGATGGCGTTGATGTTCTGGCGGAGAAACACGATCGGTCGCGGGGTCAACACACACAATAGCACTGTGACGGTGTTGTATTACAGCGTGCAGGGCGCGCACCAGGAACTCTGATCAGCGTCTACACGGGGGCAATTGCTCGTTTTCTAGTGGGTAATTCGCCGTTTAAATGCCCGTACGTCATCCAGAGGGCAGGCAAGTCAGAGAAGCTGCAGGCGGCGCGCTGGTCTCGCGTGCCCCGCCGGCTCCCTATGCAGCGCACTGTAGCTGCGAGCTGGGACCGTAGACGGCCTGTCTTTGGCGCCGATAGGTAGAATCAATGCCTTGTCTGGCTGCCTGCCGTCGACTTTAATTGCAGTTTTGTGCAGATATGTGCAGATGCTGGCAGGCACCCCGGACAAAGCTCCTCTTGCAGGCGGGCCTTGGCGACAGGCGTGACGCTCCGCGAGCCCTTAGTTTCCACGTAAAAAGTCCCTGACCCGAACCACCTACTAAAACATCCATCCACCATGCCGAACTTCTTTGCTGCTCGCAGGCTCCTTCAACATCCTCAGCCCCGTCATCCGCGGGACTGAGCCTTGCTCAGCCCTTTTGCCTACCACACAACTCCCCTTCACATCTGATCACCACCACTCCCCCGTGAAGCCACACATACACACACACACACACACACACCCACACACACACGTTCGCTGTTTGCTCGGCTTCATTTCGCCGCCTGGCTCGCCCCTGCTCTTCCGACCAAGCCCCTTGCTGAGTCTTGCTGCCGTCGCGTCGAGCGAGTCGCATACAAGCGGTGCCACCCAAATTCTCCTAGAGATACATCAGCGCCGACATGGCCGCTACCCAGCAGTTGTCGATGCAGTCGCGTACTGGTCGCGTGAATCAACGTAAGTGTGCCCACGAGACCCCACACCACCGACCAAAAACATGAATCCGTGCCCCGAATTCCTCCATACTCACCGCTTTTAACTTTCGGCTGATTGGCGGCAGGCTATGGATCCCAAGGCGAGCGGCTAGTCGCCGGTGTTGTCCCGCTTTCTGCCGACAAGTACTACGTGCTCCTCATCCAGTCCACCAAGCGAAACGGATGGGTGCTCCCAAAAGGCGGCTGGGAGACGGACGAAGCGACTGCCCAAGATGCCGCCAAACGCGAAGCCTGGGAAGAGGCTGGCATAATATGCAAGATCAACTACGACCTCGGCCTCATCCCCGAGAAGCGAAGACCCGACCAGCTCACCTCCCAGGCCCCAAAGGCCTCGTACCATTTCTTCGAAGCGACCGTCGAGAAGCAGGAAGCTCAGTGGCCTGAGCAACACAAGCGGAATCGGAATTGGTTCAGCTATACCCAGGCGCGACAAGCCTTGGCGGAACGGCCCGAGTTGCTCGATGCGCTGGACCGGTGTACCATGCATCGATCATAGATGGTATACGGGTGCTTGCAGGTGCGCAAAGTCGCACACTGGCACCAAGAGGAATCAGAGACGCATGTCCTGAACCTCTCGCAGATGTTCGCATCCTTTCTTCTTCTCCTAATACTGCATCAATACGGCATCTCAAAAGCGTCGGGGGAAACTATAGACATCTGGCATTGTATTGTCTATTATACATTTGGCGTTGTGGTCGCTTTTTGAAGGGCAGAATGATGCATTCCGGCTCTTGGACACAAGAGCGCTGAACCAGTTTGGCTTGCAACAATGCAATTTGGCTTCGCCAAGCGACATTCTCCCCTCTATTAGTGCAATCGTCTTTTGCGGTCTCGCTCCAAAAGCAATGTTATATCGACTAACAATCGCCCACGTGTCGAGAATCGATTTGTTTTCTACTATCCACACAGCTTCTTCGCCTATAGGACACATTTTCAGATCGGAAGCAACTATGCAACGCGACATTTGGAGAGTGTTCTTACGCGACTGCAACGCTTGGGCAGACACTAATCTCCGCTGTCGGCATGCTTGCGTTGCGGACAAGGCGTACAGACACTTACACCGTTGCACAGAAAATTGCTCATACAATCATGACCATCTTGGTTGTTCATTAATACTATAGGCGGCATACGTTGCACTATCCAAGACCCCTTTTGACCCAAGGTCTAACATTTTTGATCGAGCATTGCACGTCATGCGATTCGTATCTCATAACCCCCCCACCTCAAAACGCCGTCCTCCCCGTCTTAACAGTCTTCAGCACCCCCTCATCCGCCAGCCTCTCAATCATGTTATAAAGCACAAAATCGCACCCTCTCTTCACCACAAGGTTGATCGTCACAGGCACCATCTCCTCATGAAACGTAACATTACTCTGATACGCTACCTGCCCAATCGGCACCGTAAAATCCGCACACCCAAATATCGGACAGATACCCGCACCAGTTATCTTGGCCGTCGGTGGCGTGACGGCTAGGTACGAAGCATCGGGCGAGTCATTGAGTTCCTTTTCGCGAAAAGAGGGCAAACCGCCTGTGCCAATGTCGTAGAGCATGACGGATTCGGAACAGGATTCTGGAGTAGAGTATTGGAGTTCGCGTTCATACCATTCTACAGCTGTGTTCTTGGTTACGAGGGCTGCATCGTAGGTGGTTTGGTTTGTACGCGATTCGTTGAAGTTGATCCAGCCAGGTCTCCGTGCGGGATCGATTGGAGGGAAGCGGCCGTCGAAGAGGGCGGCCCAGGCGGTTATCAAGGGTTTTCCGACGACTTGCCATGCGGACCATGTGTTTATTACGCCGGTTGCTGCGTTCATGGTGGTGAAGTTGCTGGCGATGGGGTCGGAGAAGTTCTGCACGGTGGCAGTGAAGTTGAACTCTTTGACGGTCATGTTGAAGATTCGGGACATGTTTGCGATGAAGTCTTGAAGAATGGGCTCGGCGGCGGAATTGTTGAGGGGGAGGTAATCGGTAGGGTAGAGGATGGTTTTGGGGAATGCGTTGGTGTCTGGGACCGAGAGTGGGGAGAGACCGGTGATGGATTCGTCTTGGAAGAGGGAGGGTGAGTACCAGGATTTGGCGAATTTGATCCATTTGTAGGGGTCTCGAGAGAAGACTCCTGCGGTGTCGGTGGCTGCTCCTAATGGGATGACCCGTTCGAGGGATATCATGCCCTGGCTGGGACGTTGACCATATACACCAGCGACTGCAGCTGGTCGTCTCATAGAAGAACCAGTGTCACTTCCAATAGCATAATCCAGCCAATCGTACGCAGCAATGGAGCAACCACCGCCGGAAGAAGAAGCTGAGCATGTGAGCCATCCGTCTCCCCTGGGATTGAATGGGTAATGTTCGTCTTGCCACTCCCAAGGGTTAGCACCGGAAGCGAACTGAGCAAGCTTCTGCTTTCCGACTATGACACCTCCAAGGTTGATAATCTGCTGTACAGAAGGCGCTGTACCGTTCGAAACAGGCGTGATGCGAGCCCATGCTTGACTGCCACCGGAGGTTTGTAGGCCTTTGACATCGTACAAGTCTTTGATCCCGACGCGCTCTCCTGCGAGAGGTCTGTCGTCGTCCCAGTAGTAGATGCGAGATGGAACGCTACGAGATTAGTTAGACTAGATCCCCATGCGTGAGGCTGGCTACTTACGGAACCATGGGGTCCCAAAATTTGGGTAGGAAAACACCAAGCGGATTGTGATTGTCCTGTCCGTCGTTCGAATCGTAGGCACCGAAGAGGAACGTTCGGTAGGTATCCGGGTAGAGCCGATATACAGTCGCAAAGCTTACTGAACCTTCTTCAACGGACGCGAGGTATGGGCCGGCTGGAAGCTCGACAGCCGATTCAAGGACCATCTTGTTAATTGAAACGTCCGCAGTCACAGAAGCATCCACAAAAAGCATGCTCGTGTTGAAAGAGGTAAGGTAGTCGACGGCGGAAGCATCCAGAGTTGACTTGACGCTCGATGACAGATATAGCCCGTCCAAGAAGTCATGGTTGAAGACATCGTCGCCCTCGAGGTATGAGGATATGACGTTGGTCAGGAAATCCTTTGTGATAGCGGTTTCGTTGGTCTTGATAACCGTGATGGGGATCGTTGTAGAGGAGTCAACTGGGGTCGTGCAACCAGCACTCGCCTTTGGATGTTTGGTATTTGCTAGGTAAGAAACATTTCCAAGCTCGAAAATAGTATCACTGTAGGGGTTTTCCAGAACGAAGCTATAAGGATTCCTCTTGATAACGGGAGCGGCCGAGACGGAGATAGACGCAAGAGACGCGGTCAGCAGTCCGGAGAGGATGATACGTCCCGCCATGGTGAGCGTATCGTGAACGGCACACCTGCGAACTCTACAATCGCCGTCGTGACTTTTATATACAACTCGGCGGTACTGTGGGTCAGAACCTAAGGATAACCCAGATAACCGGACATATACAGATGCCTCTTTGGTTCATGGTAAGCAGTACCACGCTGTTGCCGAAGCTACTAGTGACTTGGCGAATGCGGGCTGCATCCCCACCATCGATGCCTAACCGGATGTAAATCGCCGACATGTTGCTTATCGCATATCGGATGGTATCCATAGTCATCAGGCTGGCTTTCGTTATCAATCCCTCCGATATGTAGATGGTTGTTGAGTACGATGTCGGCTGGGATGCGCCGATTGCTTGCAAGGTCCCATGGCACCTCGGGAATAATGCAGGTAACCCCACGTGCAGTCCTCAAGAAGTCAATGGAATCGTCGTATGTAACTTTGCATCAGCCACCCGAAGATGAAATGCGCAGCTGGAGGCGATTATCACAAGTGTGGTTGTGTAAGTCCAAAGTTGAGCTTGTGACGTTCCCTGAGAATTGAACGTGACTGCTCCACAATGACTTCATTGAAAAGCTGTGCCTGATCGATCAACAATATTGCCGTACGGACACGAACAACAGCACATGCAAACTTCGACATGACGAGCGAGCATCAACCCCCTAAATCTGTCTGGAAAAAGTGCGAATCGGCTCCAGTTGTTATCATCTCGGACCCGCTCACGGTCCTACCTCCGGAAATCGTGCTCCGCATCCTCGACTTCACACCCGTCTCAGCATTAGCATCGCTTACCGCCGTATCACCGGCCTGGCACCAGTTTATCGACAAGACACATCAAGAAGCTATTTACTCTTCTCCAACTAAGACTTCTCAACCGCATAAGACCTATGAGCCACCTGGCCGCGCGCGCGACTTCTCGTTCGTTGAAGACTACACCAGCTTCTCCAAGTTCTTCGACAACCTCACATCATGGAAAGATCTCTGCAGACGGCAAACGCTGCTTGCGCGCAACTGGGCTTTGTCGCAACCTATCACACGCGAGTCTATTCTGCAGGTTAACAATCATGCGATATGGCGGTTCAAAGCAGATTTCAAGCGCCGCCTTTTTATCTCGACCTCTCATGCCGGCGGACTGAATGTGACTGATATGGATACCGGTCGCATTTTGTGGCAGCTGCCTTCAATTCTAGACTCGGATACTGCAGATTCTGTTAGACCGTATGCACATCTTGAATACCAAGATGGGATGGCGGTGTTTGATCGCGAAGGGGATGCGGTGGAAGTTTGGCAGACAGATCAAGAAGGTACGGCAAGAGGGGAGTTTCGACGCGTCGTTGTTCTAGATCACGATTGCCAAACAAGAGGGTTCCAGCTCTCCTACTGGACATTAGTTGTGGTCTCAGTAGAGGGCCAGGGCTTCGTTTACGACATGAAGCAGAGCCCACCAAAGCTGACTACACACTTGGAAATCGAGCAAGACGCTGTGGGTCATCTGGATCAGAACGAGGATGTGGTGGTGTACTCCATGGGAACATGTGGTTATCATGTGTATGACAAGAAGTCTGGACAGGCTTTGGGTACGCTACAACCATCGCAATGCACGGAAAAATTCCATGTTGAACCCCTACCACCTACCGACGCACCTACTTCCAACGCGGCATTGGCTGCTTTGCGTTATGGCCGACCAACAAAACGCATCTTTCCGCCTTCATCACCGCGTAAAAGCCGCCTGACGCCTATTCGTCTCGGCAAAGGTCCTCTTCCCAAAACCCCCGACGATGCAAACAATGCGGACAACGATGAAGATGAATGGGGCGCCGGTATGCTAGACCGCGACAGCAACCTCTTTGTAGGCTTCTCGCGTCTCGGCCGCGTTTTCGTGTGCTCAAACCTCCGTAAAGCACTGGAAGACGGGTCCAAGAACTTAGCAAGTCTTAGTCAAATCCTGGAGTGCGAGTCTGATGGTTCGAGTTTCGACCTGGGTGGTTGGCTATCTGTTCGAAATCATCGAATCATGTTTGAGATCCAGAACAGGGTGTATGTCGTTGCGCTCGACAGTAAAAACCTTATCAGCATCGAAGAACAAGATGCTGGGTTGGTATCCTCATACGCATTCCTCACGAGTTCGGCGCCGCAGCTCGCGGTACCTGTCAGTTTTATGGCACTTTTCGACGACGCTATTATGACGACTTATGCTGTAAGTTCGCGTTTCCAGAGAGATAAACGAACAACAGCTAAAAAACAACAGACGCTCGGTCAACGGCAAGAAGAAGGAGCGGATGGACGCATCCGTATCTTTCCAACAAAAGCAATTCGCATCATCAGCCTCGCGCCTAGCCTCGAAGTTGGAGATGATGCAACTAGGGAGGTGGAGAACCCAGCACTTGCAGACTTATCACAGCATATGGATAGACCTCAAGATGAGTTACTGCGACTACTGTTGATGTTCGACGATGATCCGAGCGACGAGGACGACATCACCGGTCTAGAGGATGAATGGGTTGATGAGGATTAGTTGCACGCCAGATTTTCGCCCCTCATCAGTTACTAACCCAATTGATACGGAAAGAAGGGGCGACAGATGTACGAAAGAAATCTCATCAAAATGATCCGGTCCCTTTGCGATAGAGTCATGGCCTTCGATGCTATTCTGAACAGAAACGCCGTTTGCTTAAACAGGTATAGCCACGGTGCTATTGATCGATCTTGTCGGACGAGAATTTGGGCGCTCAACTCTTCCACATCCGAGATGACAGGGACGCGCGGGCATGAGGACGACTATTCGTAGTGGTGCTTTGAGTAGAATGACAATGGAATAATGCGGACAGGCGGGTAGAAGTGTTGTTCAGCCCTGTGAACGGACGAGTCAGTCATACTTGGGAACTGCGTCATTTTGCTTCGGTCATAGACTGCCAACTGCAACACACCTACACATAGCCACACGGGCCGCACTGGCTTCAAATGTAATGAATAGAGGTCCCAGCCGTGTTCGACCATGCTTAAATGGGAAGGCGTTCCGCAATTCTTACTGTTCTCAGCAGGCGACAGCAGCGCTCGGCCTCTTCGGCATTTCGGAGTGATTATACCAAAGTTCGAGCTTGGGTGATGGATTTAAGTCGGCCAGTGGAACAACCGGGCAGCGGAAAACAAGGGTCCAAGCGCTCGGAAAGAAACATGGGCAGTCGGAAGGTAAGTGGTAAGGTGGGGGCAGTGCACATCGCGACAATGCTTCGTCACGAACAATGCTGTGCGGAACCATGATCCCTTTGAGACTACATGGCGAGCGTATTGTCGTGTTCATCAAATTAGTGCAAATCGAGGCAGCAATACAGGAGCCTCTCCGGGCCAGCCGGGAGGATCATGGAAACAACAACTGGTGCGACCGTTCAGAGTGCGTCTAATCACCTTTTGGCACCCCAGCAGCCTTGCGCCCGGTTCACTGCACCATCCCCACTTGTCTTTTGTGTGAACGTTCATGTTGTAGCCAAGGCGTCGCGACACTTCTCTCAAACTTGAGCCCAAGCTGACGACGATGTTTCTTGTACATAATCCCTTTCACCCGCCCGATGTTGATTCCTGCTTCAGCTTTGCGCATCCACCATGCCTCGTTCTCTTGCTTTTACGATGACCTATGCGTACCTGCTTGCCGCTCCGTATAGATGCTATGCCGCTGCCATACAGAGGAAATCCCACCCAATACTGAGCATGCAACAACAGAACACTGCCTGGTCAGTTATCCAATCAGAAGGCATGTCGCTGGAAGCAATCGTGGGATTAGTCGCCGTGGCCGTAGCCGTACCGTGCACGGTCACCTTTTGCCTCGGGTCGAGTTTTGACGCACCCCACCACAACCACCACCTAACAAAACGCGTTATAACTCTACGACTAACGTACTCCACAAGCGAGTAACGCACCTAAGCGAGTGACGCACTTTTGCCAAGACCCCACCAAAACCACGACTACATACAATTGTACAGCACTATTAACAACAGTAATTAGAGATTGTAATAGACTGTTCTACTTAGAATCTACTTCTGCATCCAACTTACATGTGCGCGAGTTGTGACCTGCCTCGCTGCAGCGTCTACAGCGTCTTCAAGACGATTCGCCTACTTTAACGCGCGCCTTCTTCTTTGCCTTCTTCTTTGCCTTCTTCCTATTGCTGCGCGCCCTAAACTCCTTTAGAGTTGTTAGTTAAAGACCTTCCTCTACTACCAGGGTCCCCTCATTCTGTACCCGTTTTCTTTTATACAATTTACGTCGCGTAGCAGCCTTATTGGCTGCTTTAAGCTTAGTAATACGCTTTTGTAATAACACTAAAGCTGTAAGGGGCTACGCTCAGGGAGCTATCGCACAGGTATACTGGAGTTGTATTCGATAGAGAAGAGAACTACGGGTAGCTAGGGTTCTGAAGATCGTTCAGGGGGCGGCGGCTCGGGATAACCTTCTGCCGGGCTCGCTTGCACAGAATCCGGGTGCTCAGGGGGGGCACCCGGAATCTGTGGACAGTGCGCCTCGCGCACGTGACCGAGATATCATCGAGGACTCACCAACTGGGCTCCAGCCCATCACAAAAGCATGCGCTATCATCTCTACGCCTTTAGAGAGGCTTTTTACTGCCTTAACTATTAAATTAGGCGAGCTTGTAAGGGGCTACGCCTAAGTACCGCAAGAGGCTACGCTAAGAACTTCCCCTACTTGTCTATCTTAGTAATACCGTACAGAGGATAAATACCGTACGAGGAGGATACTACTCTTCTTTTCTTTATCCTTCTTCTTCTGTACACAGGAGCAAATGCATACTCGTTAGTAGGCCTCTTTCCGCCCATAACACATTGAATTGAGAGCTTTCCTCAGAGGCATGCTTTTTTAGGCATTCCTCTTCGGCCCTTATACTTGACTCGTATTGGTATGCTCGCGTGCGGCGCACTGTTTAGAGCGTATCAGCTAGAGGTTTCTTCCGACATAAGGTTTAATGCATGTAGATAGGTAGGTGCCCCCCTCATGTTGAGGGAAAGCCGTCTGTAAGAGGCTGAAGCCTTGGTTAGTAGTACTTGGCCTGTGGCCTTCGTTATAGCTGGTTAGGATAGGCTGCAACCCTCGGAGCGTTGTCGGGGCTTCATCGGCGCTCCACGGACCCTTAGAAGTTTCTCGAACCTAGCACTACGTGATACATAGACTCAGCGCAAGCGTAGTGTAGCTTCTCTATCGAATTCATTACTGTTATACCTTGCACTTATGGTCAACCCATCGCACCCTTACACCGTCCTTCTTGTAGTCCTAATGGTTGAGCATCGGATAGGAACGCACCAGGGAACCTTGTGCACCGGCACAATAGGTCCTTAAAACCTCTTTTCTAGTCGCTTCTTCTGCTCTCAGCTTATCTATATGCCGAGGCATAATAGCTTAGCTTGGAGCCGTGCAACCTAGCGAGCACATCGATTGTGGCTTATCCCTAATCAAACGCTGCAAAAGCTCAATATGAAGGCCCTTATTGCCTTTTTTTTGCTTTTCTGGCTAAAGTATATACAAACCATCTAGGAGGGTTTCGTGATCCTAGATACGCACAGAGAGCCTACTATCGTCTGAACATTGGTGGCTGATCATTCGGCAATCCCAGAGCTTACCAGACCTCTCTGCATAGGCACCAAAGCGTCTAACCTTCTTCCTCTTATGACCCATTTAATCAACATGTTTCCAAGCGCTTCGCCACTAACTGGCTTCGTCAGGTAATCCTTTTAGCGTCAGTGATGCGGCCATGTCTAGTCAAGAATCACTCACACTCATCCCAACCTGTAGGCATCTCTCTTTGTCGCCCGGAACAGATGAGGCTGTCATCGCAATTATGGGCACGTTTCGAACATCGTGCATATCTTTGAAGGGCGCTTCCGTCCTGATTGCGATAGTTGTACTATAGCCGTCCCGAACTGGCATCTAGAGTTCCGGTATTAGCAAGTTCCTTACATGGAGATGATGCAATTGACTACCTGAACATCCATCAGTATGATCCCCGGTCGAGGGTGGGTGGGCGACCATTCTTTGAGTAGGTAAGCTAAGGCTTCTTGTCCATTCGAGACTGCGGTGCAAGAGAAGCGTAACTTTGTAATCCTGTTCAGCGCAATTCGTTGATTGATGATACTGCATAAGTGTTATTAAAGAGTTCCCAAAGAGTTTCAATGAGCAAAATAGAGCCTGCCGTATAAGGGGAGCTTACTTGTCTTCGACAACCAGGATATGAATTCCCCCCCTCTTTTCCTTGGATAGATTTGGCAAATGAGCAGACAAATCATCGTGACCAGAAGAAGTTATTGACAGATCCTCCCAGCCATGGAGTTTCTGGACAGTATGATTGAACAAGTCGGAAGCCAGAGTGGGGTTGTTGTAATATTCAAGGCTTCTGCGTGCTACCGACACATCTGATCGCAGAGGATATGACGCTGAAGCAAGCTTTGCCAATGGCGATTCATCTTTACCATTTGAGCACTTGCCGAAGGGAATCCAGAAATCGACAAGGGTCCCGTAGCCAAGCTCTGATCTCAAAGTGATCTGCCCGCGCATAAGCTCAACAAGCTACACATAAATGTTAGCGAACATCGATCGTGTCATCCGAAGTGGTTGCATAGCGATGGAAGCAATAGAAATAGAAACATTAAGCATCAAACATGCTGGAGCGCACTTTCCGTCGCACAGCCGTCCTTGTTCATCACACCTGTGCGAAGGCAGTGGAATAAGCTCGAACATATTGGTGTGGTGAACGGTGGCTGAGCCAGAATGATTGATGGCAAAGAGAATCATCTAGTAGATAGGATTCACTTACAGTCTTAGTGATCGGCAATCCAAGGCCTATCCCCCCAAACGGACGAGTTGTAGATGAGTCAACCTGACAAAACGGCTGAAAAATTCGCTCTTGTATCTCCGTTCCGATCCCGATCCCAGTATCTTCCACAACGAATCGAACAGAGATCCTCTCCTCGTTCTCATTCGCCACCGACGCATAAAGCCTAATAGTGCCTTCGGAGGTAAACTTGACACTGTTATCGATAACATTGATCAGAACTTGCCGAAGTCTGTCAGGGGTTCCGATAACACTGAAGTCCCGTTCCAGTTCTGGCTGAATGAGGCTTTCGTATGCGACATTCTTCTTTTGTGCTGCACGGGACATTCTCTGGTTGACATCCTCCAGCAGGCCAAGAAGACTGAAACTCACTGAATCCACCCCAAATCTCCCAGAACCCAGTGTTGTGAAATCCAGAATGTCGTTGATCACCGTCAACAGCTCGCTCGCTGATTGCTGGATGTTCTCTACACACTCTTTTTGTTCAGCGTCTAGGTTCGTTTCCATTAGAAGCTCAACCATACCAATCATTCCAGCGACAGGCGTCCGAAGTTCGTGCGACATGTTGGCGAAGAATTTGGAGTTCATCCTGGATGCTTCATTCCCAGCAGCGCTTTTCGGAAGTCGCACACTCCCCTGCTTTTCTCTATCTTGCTCCCTCAGACTATTCTTATTGTTGACAAGTTCGCTCTCATTCTCATCAACTAACATTCTAAGAATGCCATCCGTATATGAATGAGCCTCAAGTCCTCTTACTCGAGACGCGGACCACAGAGGAGCAGGTTGGGTTCGATAACATCGATCTTCCTGCACGTGATATTCAGCCATTCTCTCTTGCGCATCGTCCTCGATAGGATCTTGTATCGATCGCCTCGGTCGTTTTGTCTCTGGATATTTGTTGCCATCACTCTCAGCAGTGAAAGTCTTGTCCAAGGCAGTACTTGATCCGACACGGTAGGGTTGGTACATGGAGAAAGCAGGGCTCATTTTCGTACTTTACCTAGATTGAAAGGCGGCAATTCGGAAAGACAATTTCGAAGAAGTAACCCTTGAGAAGGTTAGCCCCAATGAACTTGGAGGTGTTCTCCAAATAAGATGAGCCGAAAAATAGTCTCGAGGTCTCTGTAGGCACAAAACGAAGTTCAACAGCGCTCATGGGACAGATAGATGCATGCGAGCTCGTGCATGAGGGAACAATCTAGAACCTGTCGCGCGAAAACTTGGCATAAGCGGCTAGGCGCTAGTTGAGTTACACTCCGCTTGGCCGCAAATTCCTCCACCGTCCGGCTATTACAGAGACGGAGAGATCGAGACTCGGTCCGTGCGTCAAATCATTGCATACGCCTTGTACTCGTCTTTGAAGCGGAGGCAGGAAGAACAAAAGCGCCCATCCACAATCGAACTTGGAAATTCAAGCCATGCTGCACGCCATGAATCTTGAGCGCATCATACGCTTTTCGTTATACGTTATAGATATGACTGGGAGCGAAACAACAAGCTTTTATTACATCGTTGGTCTGTTGTGGACACGCACTCATATTTTAGTAATCTTCTAACGCTAGCCCAAGTGTCAGTGACAACGATGAAAATCAGTGACCGATTATTTTCATCCCTGAAACGACTCAAACTCGTGTACTATCGATGATAGCCTATATTTGTGGGCAGGCTTTACCTTTACGTAATTATCCTACAAGGACCATGTCTACATGGGAAGTAGCTCGTGGCACGATGTGCAATAGTGGCTTGAAGCATTTGACTCAGAGCAAGACCATGTTACGTAATACAGTGTGTTAAATTGGATTAACAGTTCAGAAATAAGTGACATCCGTTCGACTTCAATCTACAGACAAAGCCCAACAGTCAATGCGCCTGCCATCGATTACCAGCATGTCGACTTTACACGCTCAATTTGTTTCCTTTCTGCCACCAAAAGCAAGGGCCTCGGTCTCCGATCATTCCCACCCTTACACTAAGCTCCAACCGTATCGACCAAACCGTTGTTCTACCATACCGTCATCAGGTCACTATCGATCTCGGTTTCCCAGAAACAGACTCAGGCAGGAAATGAGAAGATTGTTCAAGGACGGAGTCAAGAGGCATTTTGGAGCTATAGTTGCAGTATATGGGGCTTTGTAACCCTGTCTAGCTTTGAGCAGATATTCGGCACTTGGAGACTTCTATTAGCCGCAATAGCAATGCCTGTATTCTATGTTGTTACATCAGATCTAGAAAATGTATCAAAACATGTAGTCGAATGCAAAATTCCTCCACTTATGCTCTCTAGAATAGGTAACGCAGCTTAAGAGAAAATCCCAAGGTAAATAGTAACAGGAACGTAGAACGCATCAAGGAAACTCATTGGCCGTCAGCACGTCCATAGCAGTGTATCGACACCAGTCTATAGTAGAGAACTGCTAAGCACTACGCAACATAGTTTTATACAGCAGACACAAAGCCCAAACACAATGGACAGTACTCCTTACAGAACTCTACAAACCATCGATCGAAGCACCGCTTGTGGTAGATATGAAGGCAACTCAGCACCCGTACTAGATGGCTTGCCTTAATGACATCTAAGCAGATTACGCTTTGATCATAGTCAGCAAGCGCCCTTGAGGAAAATAGAGCTGTACAACTCACCAAACTTGATGCTCCCTGCTAATTCGCCTTCCCTGTGGGTGGTTGCTCTTGTCCGACTTATACCACTTAATAAATACTGTTGATGGATGTAACTTTTCGAGCCGCTGCAATCGAGTCGAGCAAGTATCAACACCTTCTGACTCCCTCTGAAGCGTGAAATGACTCAAGGCCCTGTTGATCAATCAGCACACTTAAGGTCTTATACGTCACTCGTGAACTGAACTGACCCGCATAGAACAATTAATGCACAGAACCCAACCATTGACATGATCTGTGCGAAATCATTGTTGATATCGTATAAATCTGACGGGTTGTCGTGTGGATTCGAGACGTTTTGAAACATTGTAGCCGTAACCAAGTACATTGTTTTTGTGGGATGGTTAGCAAGGTCGCATGATGAAAAACAGGATTGGCTTAGCACATCTAAAACCATACCATATCGTGTTAGAGGGCATTGGCTGATGGATGTGGCGGGCTATATGGATTATCGTGGAGTCTTGCCGTATTGATCTGGCCCCTGTCGCTGAGCCGCCAAGGCAGTGATCCACGGTAAGCTGTTTCGCTCCTTAGCTAATATATAACCACGTGCGCAACACAAGCACCAATAAGTTTTTTGTTACACTATCAGCGTGCCACATTTTAGGCGTCCTAGATCGCTATTCTTTTGCGTTTTTATCAACTGGTGTCACTGGCACATGTCCAGTAGTGTTTGTGGAAGTTAATGTTATTCTAACGTTCTGTAGGCTTGGCAGGGCGTCCCATCACAGCGCCAAGTCCAGTTCAAAAGCATTGCCGTGCCAAGTCCAGTTCAAAAGCATTGCCGTGCCAAGTCCAGTTCAAAAGCATTGTCACGCCCAGTCCAGTTCAGAGGCATTATGCGCAAGCCTGTGCGTGCTTGACTATGAGGAAAAGATCCCGGTTGGTAGGGTTGTGCATTGCTACTAAGGCGACCAACTCCGTCACATCAACTTTGCTATATTGTGATCATGACATACATAACTTGCCTAGCAGCCGTGTTGTATGCGCTAGTCGTTGTAACGATTGTTCGATCATAAGAAACCACTTGTCGCACGGCACCATTAGTAATAAGGTTCCCGACAACGCTTGGCCTGCGACACCACTCAGTAACCTTAAACCTCTTTCCTTCGTCTTGTGTTGTGGACCCACTCTCCAGGGTTGCGTGCACGGCAAGTAGATGCGTGTGTTCCCCAAGTACTGCCAAACATGGATCCATTTGGCTTGGCTGTCCGCCGTAGTTCCGAGGGCTCAGTTAGAGAGACCAAGGATCTCAACATCGTCGTTGTTGGCCGTTGCACTCACCGATCTACTCCGTATATCATGGATTTGGCGGTCACTCTCCTGCTTACCGCATAGTCGTGCAATCAAGGGTGCAGTACTGGAAGCATGACTGATCACTTCGCAATCACCTTCAAACCACACGACCACGATCTCATTTCCGCGAGCACCAGATCATTGCGCAGGATGCGGTGGGACTTCGAACACCTCGACGACATATTACAGTGGCTGACAGCTACAGGCACGGACGTGGCAAGAAGCATGTAGGACAACAGGGGCAGGCATCGTGGATATCTAGCGTTATCAACCTCGCCAACACCAGTACGGACTTACAACGGCAGCAACAAGAATTGCGACACTGACAATGGACAGTCCTCGGTGCGGGCCTCCTCGCTATGCCCTCTGCACTCTCAAAAATGGGCATATTCCTTGGCATCTTCGTTATCGCATGGGCAGGCTGCACAGCAGGCTTCGGCTTGTATCTTCAGGCGCGATGCGCACAATATATCGATCGCGGCCATGTCTCCTTCGCGGCGCTCTCACAGCTCACATACCCAAATGCCTCGATTCTATTCGACGCAGCGATTGCTATCAAATGCTTTGGTGTGGCAGTTAGCTACCTTATCATTATCGGCGACTTGATGCCAGGCGTAGTCGTTGGCTCCGTGCCCAGCGTATCAGACATCACTTTCCTAGTCAACAGGGAGTTCTGGATTACAGCGTTCATGTACACCACACCTCCCTCGCATTCATCTGTATACTGATTCATCTAGGTTCATCGTCATGCCGCTCTCCTTTCTCCGACGTCTCGACTCCCTAAAATACACATCCGTGATCGCCCTCTTCTCCATTGCCTACCTCGTCATCCTAGTGGTCGCGCACTATATCAAAGGCGATACGCTCGACGCCCGTGGCACAGTGCGAGTCTTAGAATGGGCTGGGCCTGTCAGCGCGCTCACCGCCCTCCCTGTGATAGTTTTCGCATACACGTGCCACCAGAATATGTTCAGTGTCCTGAACGAGGTTGTAAACAACAGCCACTTCCACATCACCACTATCATCTTCGCATCAATTGGAGGCGCATGTGCACTCTACGTTCTCACAGGAGCTACCGGCTATCTGAGCTACGGCGATAACATCAAGGGAAACATCGTCAGCATGTACCCCACCGCGGCCGCCACGACAGTTGGCCGCTTCGCTATGGTAGTTCTGGCCATGTTCAGCTACCCGTTGCAGATCCACCCGTGCCGGGATAGCATCGATGCGTGTATGAAGTGGCGCCCAAGTTGGCGCTCGCGCCCACAGAAAACCAGTCTGACGCGATACTCTCCTGTGGGTAATGGAGCAGCGAAGCTGAGGAGGGATATGAGCGATATGCGCTTCGTTATCTTGACTACGGTGCTCATTGTGCTTAGTTTCATCACAGCTATGATTGTCCGCAGTTTGAATCTTGTGCTCGCGTTCGTCGGTAGCACAGGTTCAACGACCATCTCCTTCATCCTGCCTGGACTTTTCTACTACAAGATTTCTGACCCGAAAAGCGCGCATTATCAGAGATTGGTCGAGCATGAACATGATGAAAGTGGATTTGTGGTGGGTGTCGAGGGCGGCACGAGTGGAGACGGCGGTAACAGGTGTGATTGGAGACGTGGACTGTTGCGCAATGCGGCGCTTTTTCTTGCAACCTATGGATTACTGGTTATGGTGACATGTCTGGGTATTAGTGTTTTTTACGGCGCGAGCGGACATTGAGATTATAGACCCTACCTACCTACCTACCTCTAAGCCACTGCTTGCAGTTCTACTAGAACTCTGCTCTAGCGCGAGTTCCACTCCTTGTTCTTTGCATTAGCGCGTGTTCTACCCTCTATTCTTATCTCTCCTACTACTCCTATCTTCTCTGTTTCTCTTCTACTAGTCTTCTCTACTAAATCTCCTCTCATGTTGTATTACCTATATAATGCGCTTATGATAATATATACGCGCTCTACGCTACAACACTCTTTATACCTTCTACGTGCTCTACGCTACTACGCTCTCTGTATAATCTATACCCTCTACTATAATATCTACGCCTATTATTTACCTTCAAATAAACTACATTTTTTTATAATGTGCTTCACAAGTAAGCCGTCCATCCCACCAACTTTGATCACCTTTAAAGCTACGTACCTCAATCAACTTATGAGTTAATACATGAATATTAATACAGTAGATTAAATAGTATCTTGAATATCCTTTTTACACGTACGTAAGTTGTGTCCTGTCTATTTGCACCTGCTACAGCGCGTTTGAGTCCGGCGGCTAAGGCCTGATCGCTCTCCTCCTTGACGCTCTTCACGCTCTATCTGCTGGTCAGCCTCCTTTGAGCTAACATATTCTCTCCCTCTCTTTTTTTTTCAAGACTCCACGCTTCTGTAGTCGCTTTTTCTTGCGCTGCTTCCGCTTTGATGCTGCCTCGTTGGCTCTCTCAAGACTAGTGACCTAATCGCGCATTAGCTCAGCTAAGAGCATCATTACCTCAGCCCCCTTCTTGAGTTGGTTGACCGCCTCAATGATCGAAGCTGGTGATGAGCTCTTGTGCCGCCGAACGCGATTACGCATTGATGTTGATTGAGCCTCAAACTCACCTACGTTGCTTGGCGTACGAGCCTCCCAGAGAGCCTATGGTAGAGCAGATAGAGTAGGCGTGCGGAGCTGCACGTCTAGCTAGAGAGGAACAAGGCCTGCGCCTCGAAAGGCTGGGCGGATATTGGCTGACGTGAAAGATCGACCAAAGGCTGCCTTGAACGCTGGCAGAAACTCGAGCTTGGTGATGTGGTTGATGTGGTTACAGATTAGAGCCTTAACCTCACGGCTGTATGTGCGCTTCAACGGCGAGAAACAGTCAACGTCAAGCGGCTAGAGAAGGTGAGATGAGTGAGGTGGAATGCAAAGAGTGTAGATGTTGCTCTCCTTGCAGAGCTCTTGGAACTCAAAGGATTAGTGGCTCTTATAGACGACTGCTACCTCTTTAGATCCTTAAAGAGCTATTAAGTTAGCCGCGCGATCGCGTTGTTGAGGCGTCCTAGGGAGTCACCTTTGTGATGTTGCTTTAGAGACGCTATAGATAGTTCTAGCGCTTCGTGTCGTTAGTATCGCATCTTTTTAGATAGTCTCTATTGCAAGCTGTATATCTGCTTCGTTTAAGATCTTTTTTACGCTGTTGCGTTGAGGCATTACGACTTGATTGAAGTTTGGTAAGGTCTTGGCAAAAGTGCATCACTCGCTTGTGGAGTACGTTAGGGTGCGTTAAAAGTCGACCTGAGGCAAAAGATGACCGTGCACGGTATTGGGAATCGTACTTCCCCTCATCTAGCCTAGCTTGAAAGCGAGGCTAGATTCCCGGCGCCGTCGCTTACGCTTCCGCATTAATTCCGTCACTTGCAGTATGTTGTTTCCCACGATCCTATGAGGTGACGTGCGATACTACTGAAGCCCGGTGAATCAAAGCATTTCACTTCTCGACCATTCTCGACAACGGGCGACTCCTTTACCTTTGATCGCCAGTCAGATAGGCGATGATGTAAACGCGGCTGAGACACGCCGACTACAACGCGCGCGATCCGACTACTGCGAGCAACAGCGCGGGTTGATGCGACGCTCTTTTACGTTCTGACGGCATGGACATAACGAGGCCATACGCAGGTGGTATGAGTACGACACAGAAGACGAAGACTTGAGACTGTTCACATCCAGACAGACTCTCAAAGAATACAGGACACAAGCTGGCAGTATGGCCAATCCACATATAATACTGCGGAAGGCTTGTCTTGTGGTACAGCTTTGATGGCCCGACATATGAGCGGAAACAGGAAGCCTAAGCCTACGAGCAGCCTGAATCAGGAGCACGCTTAGCTGTCACTCAATACATGATGCCTTTCATCATTCTGCAAGAACTTATAGCACGCTGGCAGAAGCAGACTGTAACCGTGTCAACTCCTCGTTAGGTCCAACGTACTTAGAAAATGCAACACAGTCTGAGCATTTTGTACTCACACGAATGTCTGCATAGCAAGGCGATCGATCCGCTTGGGTACTTCTCAAAGTTCTCATGTTATCCATGTCTGAAAATCTCCTCGAACATAACGAACCTACAGATGTCATCTCATCAGCTACAGGCATAAGCATGATGTTAAACCTCCCTCCCGCATTGCGCGACCCTGCAAAAGGCTAGCGGTCCTTAGAGATTGACGTTACTCCTGTTGGGGTTTCTTACTGGTTCTCGACAGACGCATGCGTCATATGCCTTGCAGAGGTGGTGGCTGTGTACTTGCCAAGCATCCCACAGGTTCCGTCCTCATCGGCCAGCACACAGCAGATTTTCAGGCACTCGGTACTGTAACGGACTGCTTGTCATTGCTTCCGAAGTAAGAACATAAGAGACTCTCAAAGGATTAGAACTGCACCCTTCGATTGGCCAGATGAAACCGCTTGTGGATCGATTGGTCGAGATGTACTCAGCATACGTGTACGCGTCCAAACCCGGGCCTCCTGTCGTCACGATCTAGCCTACCAGCCTTCAGCATGTAATATTGTTAGAGCATTCGCATGGCGGCTCGTACTCTACCCAAAAGTTACTGAAAAGTTCGGTCCATTACATAGCTTTTGCACCAAGATTGACCAATTTAACACCAAAGACCCGCATGACCTGAACTCTGACGTCCACTGGAAGGCGTAATAATACTTTACCATTTCATTACTGAGCTTTCGCAACGAAGAGCGCGAGGTCAATGCTGAACGTCCGCTTTGGCCCATCCTCCGACGTGAAAAGATATAATGTTTTGCTACCCGCAGAAGGTTACCTAGGTATATTATGACTCTGTCCTGACTTGCACATCCAGTACCCGCTCCCAACTTTTCGTGATATCTACAATCTACGCAAACTCCCAGGTCCATAGTAGAAAGACAGATTGCGACACCTGAATCTCCAACATCGACCTACACCTCCAACATTGTCCAACTACCTCCCCTTTTCACATTGCAGGGTCGCGTACAAACTCTAGCATGTCCACTCCTTTTACTATAATGCTATCGTACACATCCTTTGTCTTCTACGCTAGCGCTGCTCCAACACTCAACCAGAATTCGACCGTCAGAACTTTTAACGAATCACAAGGTCTATCTACAAAAGCCCTGCTAACGCTTATCGGCGTTTGCGTAGCTGTGCTTGGTATTGGCCTTACACTAGTCCTGACGTGGGATAGCATGAAGAGGATATGTATCCGCCGCGGCCGCCATCGCTCCCACTCCCATCGCAATGTTGCTGGTAAGTCACCATACTGTGCATACATAGCGGGTTCAAAGTTACTTACTGCATACCACAGAATCTGGGATCCCCTTCGTCAGCCGCCCAGGACACTTCCCAATGTGCTCCTCGATCGACCCCTGGGCTTCGGCGGGCGAAGCCGAAACTGAAATAAGCCGACCGCAGCGCGCACGATCCGGTTACTACCAACAACAACGTGGGTTGATGCGACGCACCCTTGCATGCTGAAGCATGGGTACAACAGATCTATACTCCGGCAGCTCGAATACAATATGGCGAGCAACTACTGACGCAGGCAGATAGCGGACACTAGTAGTAGAGGAGGATCGGCATATATTACAAACTACGCGGTGGGTATTCGCGAGTCGCGACTCTTGGTTGTTATTCCGGTGCGAATATTTCTCCAACCTCCAGCATATCTCTTTGGTTCTGGTGCACGGAGTTCTTCGACTTTACTTCTTTTAGAATTTATCGATACATCGCATCAGCGCGAGTAATCAATCTAGGGCCTTTTTCAAGTTCGACTACGACAACTCCCAATAGACGAGGCCCACAATTGCAATAGCTGGGAGAACCTTACGAAATTGGTCCTCACGGAGCCTTCTCTCGTCTTTCAGCAATAGTGTAAAATATACTCCCGTCGTAGATGCGACGAATATCTTCCTTCATCATTCGGCCGTCCTCAGGCCAGAGCATGATGTACGTAGCAATCCCTATTTTCGTCAGCAACATAATTCGCGAATGCCGATACTGGTTCGGCTTACATTCAAAGAATGCACCACCCCAACCGATTGGATCAGCAATACACCGTTGTCCCTTGAGCACGTTGCTCACATCCCAGATCGTCAAGTAGTCTCTCCCCTCTGCATATTTCGCAAAGATGTCTTCAAACTTCTGTGGCAGAAAGCGTCCTTCGGTATCGTAAGTCCCAGTATCACTCCCATGCTTGTCCTTATGTACATTCTTAAGGAAGACACCTGAAATGATGGTATATGAAGTTAGCATAAATCTCACATGCAGTTTGTACATCAGATTTCTTACGAAAGAATGGGTCAGGTAGCCATCCGGAGCACGTCGGGTATGAGAAGTTGGCGTGGATAACGAACACCGCGACGATGGATAGGATGACACCAAAACCAAGCCGGTAGAAGCCAACAAATGTATCTTGTGGCCAAAGGATGCCATCGTGGTCGCGGTCAAAGAAGTCGCAATGTTGTTGTAGAACGGTCTGATGGGAGTGCTGCTCTTTCCAATCCTTGGTGCCTTGGGGCGATTCTGCTGATGGTGCGAGATTCGCTCGGGCAGTACCTACTCATGTTAGCGATCCATCTGCGAATTGTTCCATCCGCGAACACGTACCCGTATGTTGTAACTTTGAGCCTTTTGAGTTTATGAAAGGTTTTCGTTGCTCGGTGATAGGTACGTCGCGAATTGAGCGCACCACCCCATCATCTCCATCTGTGAGACGCTCCGAATGCCTCATGATTTCAGACATGTTTCTAGTGTCGGACATGTTTCAACTAGGTAAAAGATTGCAAACGTCGAAGCTGAGAAAATAAGAGCAAATGAGGGAAGTCGCGAATATAATCATGTCACCCCCGGTGCTATATACATTTGCATGTGAAAGGTACCGTCATCTTCTTTTGCCATGACGTCACGCTATTTGAAACAGCCTCACCTCAGCCTTGCAAGTATGAAATCACGCATAACCATATTGTCACGGAGTCGTCATCCAAAATCTCACTTGAAGCTCGTACCTATACCGGGAAAAGGTTCCGCTAGCCAATAGTCAAGCGCGTCGTCAATCTGGGATCATCACAATCGACACCTGCAGCAACGGCTCGCGCCGGCACGTGAAAGCGAGCGAACCCGCCACCACTAACAATGCGTATCTTTTTAAGTTGACAACTAATGGCCACACCGAGCTACTGTACCGTACAAGGCATCAAATTATCATACAACATCACGATTTCCTTCCTGTACGTACGTGCCTCGCGCCCTACCTTCTCATAGCTGTTGTAGGATCTTTTGCCGGCTCTGTCTGCACCTCCCCGTGACCCAAGTGCGTCTCCTCCAGTTGTTCCTCGAAGTCGATTACAGCAGCTATGTTATCTGCGCCTCTTTAGCTTCTTCTATATGCTTCTCTTTAGCTAACAAAGGGTTCATATGAGAGAAACAGGCGAACAGCGCTTCTGCCGTTGAACTTGACCGCAAATCAGCGCACCGTCGCGCTGCTGGCACGCAGCATGGTAAATTCATCATAACATTCATGATTCAGACTGCCTCACATGTGTCGACTCCTCTCATCACATGTCTTTTGTTATGATATCTTGATTTTTCATTTTCTTGTAGCTGGCTAATCAGTAGGTCCGTTTTGTAAGGCGTTGGATGACGTTTTGCCAACTGTTAAGGTGAAGCATTGGCTTGCTGATGGTCAGCACGAAAGCTGTTCGTATCCAATCAATTTCTCGGAGAAGAAACGTGAATAGTAAGCCACCAATCAAATGGCCAAGCGACCGACATAGTTGCGAAAAGTAAAGTTCGTGAAACGATCTTGCTGGCGCAATCATACTGTGTTATCAGGCATAAGTTTTGTATGTGGGCGGCTAGCAGGGGGCTGCAAAAGTGTGGTGTGGGTCACATGACCTTTTCGCAAATAGGATTATATCAGTAACCTGTTTCACCAGCGAGCGGCCCACCCCACCGAGCGGCCCAGTTCCCCCACCAACACGCGTACCTAGCAACAATACGTAATGTCTCAACAACCACAACCTCTCAAGGCTTATACTGAAGCTGATGTGCAGCTTGCCCTCTTAGACGTTAAACGTAACCAAATTCCAAGCCTGCGGCGTGCGGAGGCAGTCTACAAAGTCCCAAAGACGACAATACGACGGCGACGCGACGGGAAGCCCTCTAGACGCGACTGCGAGCCAAACTCAAAGAGCCTGACGAAGCTAGAAGAGGAGGTGATTGTACAACGTATACTTGATGAGAATCTGCGTGGAGTACCGCCCTCGAAGCTACACGTACGAGATATGGCTGATAGATTGCTGCGCGATCGCGGCGTCAAGTCTGTTGGCAAGAACTAGGTTGACAGGTTTATCCAGCGTACACCTGAGCTGCGCACGCGCTGGAGCCGTCCATACGATCGCCAGCGAGCTCTCTGCGAGGATCCAGCAATCATTGAGCCCTAGTTCATGCTGGTTCAGAACATAAAGGCGAAGTACGGCATTATAGACGACGACATGTACAACTTTGACGAGTCTAGCTTCCTGATGGGCAAGATATCGTCGCAACTCGTAGTGACAGGCATAGACAAGCCTGGGAAAGCAAAGAAGCTTCAGCCTAGTGATCGCGAGTGGACTACGTTAATACAGGGCGTCAGCGCAATAGGGCGCGTTATCCCACCCTTCCTCATCTTTGCCAGCAAGGTTCTTATCTCTAACTAGTTCACTAAGGACCTCCCACGCAACTAGGTTATTTAAGTAAGCCCAACAGGCTGGACAAACAACGATCTAGCGCTTGCTTAGCTTAAACACTTTAATACGCATGCGAGGCCTGTAGGAGCGTACAGGCTGCTTATTATTGACGGCCACGAGAGCCATTGCTCAATAGATTTTCAGGATCGCTGCAAGGAGAAGAAGATTATCGCCCTCTGTATGCCTCCACATTCGTCGCACCTCCTGCAGCCGCTTGACGTTGCCTGCTTCTCGCCGTTGAAGCGCGCGTACGGCGATGAGATCTCAGCCTTGGCACGCGATCGCATCCACCACATCAACAAACAGACCTTCTTACCAGCCTTTAAAGTAGCTTTTAAGAAGGCATTTACAAGAGAGAATGCTTGCGCAGGGTTTCGAGGCGCTGGATTGTGTCCACATGATCCACAAGCCGTGTTATCAAAGCTGGATGTGCAGCTGCGTACGCAAACTCCACCACAGCAAGATGACGCCGCTTAGGAGGCGCAAACACCGCGCAACGCCAAAGAAATGGAGGCGCAATCAACGCTAATTCGAAACAAAATGCAAATCTATCGAGGGTCTCCAGCAAGTTCACTTGACGAGCAGGTGCGACAGCTAACAAAAGGCGCACAGCAGATAGCTCATGAGATAGTGTTAATGCGCGCAGAGATGGGGCGCCTTCGAGACGCAACAGAGACGCTTACTAAGCGTAAGAGTCGCAAGAGACGCTACGTACGGGCAGAGGAGACACTGACAGTTGGCGAGGTATTAGACTTAATTGCTGAAAAGGAGGGTGGCAGTCGTGAGGAGGGTGAGGAGCCGGCGAAGAGGGTGCGCGCAGGGCGACGCTGCGGCCGTTGTGGCAAGATTGGGCATAACTCTCGTACGTGCAAGGTAGAAATTGAGGATGCGAATGATAGCGACGCTTCTAAATAATATTATACTGTTGCAAGAGTATAAAAATTGTGTTGTGGTGCTAAGCTACGTCGCTGCGCGTACGCTTCGCTGGTGTTCATGGGCCGCTCGGTGGGGTGGGCCGCTCGCTGGTGAAACAGGTTACCTCTGATTGATACAACGCTGTCTGAGGTCCGTGCGAGGTAGCGTTCCCACATACAAAACTTATGCCTGATACCGCAGTAGAGTCGCGGGAATCGGAAGTCGCAGGTTGTGAGCACAGTTGGGATCCTTTCCGGTGCTTTGTGAGAACAAGATGCCTTTCGGAGATGTTTTGCGCCCTGAGGTCATACCTAGGTACGATACGCTCAACACGGAAACTGATGGTAAACATTACTGGACGTTCTGATGAGCGGTCTCGACTTGTAGTACATCCATCCCATGTGCTTTGGTCCGCGTGGTCGCCTGGCTAGTAAGGCTCTCGCTTCTTCAGGAATTCGACCTCATCAAACGTGATCGTGTGCAGACTGCTCAGGCACAGTTGCCAGGAGTCAAGCTCATGGAGTCGAGTCTAACCCAATATAACAGCCTACTAGCTGGCGAAGGTTAGGGCGGAACCGAACTGGTCGGAAGCTTGCTTCAATCCGTTAGGTCGGCTTGATGAGCTTGATTGTTAGCAACAGCTGTAGACCTGCCGCCAGGGGAGGGCCAAGGGTGGCTGTTAGACGGATGATGAATCACACCGAGTCGGCTAATATCGCGCACCAAGCGCCCTGGCAGTCTTGGATGCATACACAGCCCGACTCATGAGTATATGGCGGCTTGAGATGCGTCCTCCAACTAATTAGAACTCATCTTTGATCCGACTATCAATTAAATTCGAAATTTCCTCATTCACGATTGCCAGAATTTGTCAATGAGTTTAACCTCCTTGTGCATGTTACGAATTGTTTTTTTATTTCACCCTGATGTTGTTCAGTGCGCACTTTATATCCTCCACCCATGCAGCTGTATTACCACACGCCGCACGGCGAGACCCCACTGCGGGGCTATCTAGCCAATCACACGGCCTCTCCACCGAGGCCCTCCTAACGCTTGTCGGCGTTTGCGTAGCTGTCTTAGGGATAGCGCTCACTCTGATGCAATCACGGCCTAGCTTGAAGATCAGATGGGGGCTTTGTACATCGCGACGTCTCCGTCTTCGATCCCGCTTCCGTCCCATCTCTGCATGTATTTCTCCACATTTCGCTTTGCGACAAGCCTGATATGCTGATTCTATATAGTAGTAGCAAGCACCACGAATGCCCTTGTCGACGATCCCGAGAACTCTGCAGTCCTTGCCCACTTTCTCGAACCCTGGACTCACAGCTCGGCTCACGATAGGATTCCACGACCGCAACCCGTTCAGTCGTGCTACGCTGAGCAACAGCGTACATTGATGCGGCGCACACATACTCTATGAAGATCATGAGATGTCAGAAAGGTTCATGGGCAGTCACAATACGATGCCGGACAGGTACTAGTGACACTAGTGCCATCGATTCATCGTTGGGAGTTCGCGGACAGAGGAGCGTGAGATCCGTCGCGTTCACCCCCTGATAGCTCCATGATTAAGACATATCGGCTAACATAATTCAACATGTTTTGGAGTTTCTATTTCCTACATCCTATGCGCATTTATAATCCTGCCTTTAAGCAATTTCTCTCTGCGTCTGTACACACGAACCAAAGAGAATGTTACATCTCTTCGTATCATCTCGAGGAGGAGAGATTTTGGTGGACCCCTCGCTTTTCTCTATAGCGTTTACCTGTTCAGTATTTCCATAACGAGCTCGTTATCTATATACCCATATACATCACTAGATTAACTCAAAAGAACTGACGCGATCTTCCAGGGGCGCGGCTTGGATAGCATCCCAGTGCTTGGCAATACAACTACCTTCATACCTGAAGATATTCACCATGGCTTTGTGCCTTTCTGTACCAAAGCCTCCCAACCTTCAATGGAGCCAACCAACATCCTGATCAAATCTCTGGCTCCTGATAGTAACGTTTCAGTTCGGAAAAATCACCGACAAGAAATCGATCGTTGCTTGCCTGCCCGAGGCTACGAGGGATCTGTGTTGAATGCACGACTCGAGTGCATGTCCGTTGAATGCGGTCGGGAAATCTTTATTAATGTATAGTGTTTGGACAAATCTGGTGAAGTTCAGCGACTGCTCTTTCGTGGTAATGCTCTTCCCTGGAATGGAGAAAAAGGATGCCGTGGCATAGGCTGATATTGCTGGTAACGAGAGGAGCATAGCAACACCATAAAACATGTTGAAGGGAAGCATGATCGATAAGAGTCGGACGAGAGAGATAGTCGTCGAGATTGGAGCTTATGATTGGAAGAATGCCTCGCTGGTACTAGAGAATGTTATATACCCTGCGTACGCTTGATTCAGGTACATCGCCAACGGTCCTCTAAACACTGCCGATCGCTGATCTATGTCCGGTACTTGTTCAGTAGGTGACTGAATTTCTTAACTCTCGAAATAGTCGGCGGCTGGGCTGACTTCCCCCGCATAGCGTGCACCTTAGCAATACCGAATGCGTGCTCGGGTGCGGATCAACTCACCCCAACGGTGGACTTACGAAGGAGCCCGACGGCGAAAAACACATCTCTGGTACTGGCTTTGCAAACGACTACATTACCGCCGGACGTCCTTTCACGGAGACCCTAGCTTAGTCAGAACAGGCTAAACGATGAGGTATATTACTTCAAAGCGGAATGGATTCCGCACCGCAAGACAAGATGCAACGGGTGGATGGTTATGCAAGCCAATTTCGCTAGCACGGTCTGAAACTCCAGACCTACTACCAGCCATTGAGATGTTCATGACATAACTAACTCCACTCTTGGAAACTACATGTAGTATCTACATACCATCTAGCAAAGACTCTTTGCCAAAGAGGAACATAGGTCAAGTGCATTTTCGGGGCTAACCATGGATCCAGGGTCTCTGATCGGGCAGGATGAACCTTCTTGGCAACTTTGCTTACCTGGTTCGGCCCGATCAAACCTACAAAGATCCACGGGGCGGCCTTTCTCTCCTGGTTTTCGCGCCCGAGCCCAGATAAATTTCACCGATGCAAATTGGTGAGAATAAATTGTATCAATTCGCTCACTACCATGTCGCCGCTACAGTACAATGTGAAACGGAATGTTTGTGATAAGAGTCACAATGATACCTAGTAGAGTATTGGCGGGCTCCTGATCACTTCAAAGTCAGCGAAACGGCAAACGGCTATAGGAAAACTTCCCCTTACTAGGATACAATGCAAGAGTACCGGCGTTAAGATCCATCAATCCGAGGGCTCGAGCGCGAAGATCTAAAGGGTCTTGATTCTTGCCATCTTTAGTACGATATCTCCGTTTCTACTCTTAAGCCCGGTTCGGATCTGGCCGTTTCTCATGAACATCAAGGCTGTGAATCAGGCCAATAATGGGCCTTGGTCAACTCGGCGAGCTGACATAGGCTTGAAAACGTATCTAAGACTTAAGTATGTCGTTGACCGCCCTTATTCTCGAACCATCCTCTTCCTCAATATTCACCCATCCATCTACTTATCTGTTACATCCTCCAAGATGCTTCTCAAATCAAACCCTCTGATTGCGATGGGCATGGCGATCACGCTACAGGCCTTATCAGCATCATCCTACAGCATCCCATCTCGCCAGCAACAAGACCTGTATAACTCCAACATTGTTTTCGAAGCTCCCAATCCTACTTGGCTTGAGGGGATAGCAGTGCGACACAATGGTCAGATTCTTACCACTACCATCAGCGCGCCGATACTGCTACAAATCGACCCAAGCCAGAAGCGCGACTCGATCGCGGTCGCACGAATTCCTGACGCCACAAGCACTCTTGGAATTACTGAGCTTGAGAAAGACGTATTCTACGTCAGCGCGGGGGATATGAGCAATGTGACTGCGACGAGCTTAGTGTTCCCTAGCAAGATCTGGCAAGTGGATATGCGGCATTTCCGCGCAAACGAGCAAGGAAACGTTACTCGACCGGCAAAGATATCCTTGGTCGCAGATCTCTCTAACACTACTTTTGTCAACACTTTGTCTCGACTTGGACCGAAGGACAACTCAGCAATACTTATCTCCGATTCTGGCGCCGGCCACGTCCTCAGGCTAGATGTTCGCACTGGTGTTGCCTCAGTAGTCATCAACGATCCTACTATGCTACCAAACGTCCCTGGATCAGCGGGTGTCAGCGGAATTCACATCCATGGCTCTGAGCTTTTCTACGCCAACTTTGCTGCAGCGACCTTTCTGAAGATGCCCATCTCACTTATCACTGGCAAGCCAGTCGGACCAGCTACTCTCATCACGAACGGCACTCTTATCGATGACTTCACACTCTCTAGGGATGGAAAGAAGGCTTGGGCTTGCACAAACCCTCGCAATCAGTTGATCGAGATCGATATACCCGGCCAGAGTTTCCGAACTGTTGCTGAAGGTTTGAACGCAACGTCTGCTGCATTGGGTCGTGGTCGTTTTGATCGTGATAGTGTGTACTTCGTCAGTGGTGGTGGACTAGACTTTCCTCTTACGAATCCTGGTGTATCTGGCGGTAGAGTTGTGAAGGTTGATGTTTAGACGGAAGGTCATGTCTTTACGTCGAACAAATGGATTGTGTAGTTGCTGAAGCTCGAAAAAAGATACACGTCCGGAATAGAACATATGATCCAGCATATCAGATATTGCGACCTGTATCCCATGGCAACTATAGTTTTGAAAGTGGTTTGTTCAAAGCCTCCAACTCTCGCCTTGTGTCACTTGACTCTAATACTGTGTGCCACTGACTCTCAGGATTGCTGATAGCGGATATGTTGAGGATGTAACCCAATGGAGGCAATTCAAACAGTCTGAGCTTCCTGGTCTCAATGGAAAAAAATCTACGACGGCAGTCGGCTATCCATACTGCATTACGTTGACATTATCTGGCATAGTCAGCTTTCATGTAAACTAGGGTGAACTATCCTCAAAGCGGCGAGAGGTGAGCATGGAGCCATAACTACGAAGGGTCATATATTACTACCGCGGACCGTTACGTGAACGAACCCCAGCCTCGCTAGCCTGCTTAGACGTCCGTACGACGGGTAAAGTATCTCCCGTCAAACGATCGACATCTTGGAACATCTAGACCATGTTTCGCACAAGATAGTTTATTATCTATAAAGGCACCAATGGTTAATATTCGGCTGTAAATTTTGTGTCAGTTCGAAACTTCTAGTCTAGAACCAGACCGATTTCATTACGCCTACGAGAGCTGCTCTTTCGAGAAAGGATGGAAAGGATGTCGTGTACATCATCACGGACGGTGGTTATAGCTTTGAGACTGAGGCGTCAGTATCCGGGGGAAAGTTGATCCGAGTCGATGTTGAGTAAGCTTCGTTGACCATAATGTATCATTCTGACAGCAACTGTTGTAGATCAAAATGGCAAAAATACCACAAGTTTTGGCCCGCGAGGACTGTAGATGTGGGAACTCGACGCATACTTCTACATGATGGCTGCGCACTTGGGTCTAGCCATTATCGCCACTTGTACCGCTACGGCATGTTCCCATCTCCGAGGCCCGTGTAGTTCGTTCCTTACCAAGTACCTCACCAACCCATTGTGCAATTCTCCCCGGGCAATGTGCGGCTCAACCTCGGATAGCAAGATAGATTAGCGTAATTACTCTGTTGCAATCTGTTTTGATTGCCAATTACCTACCCGTTTCTTTTCGAACTTAATATTTGCGAGGGGACCGGGGTCTTCAGCTGTAGTGTAGCCCTAAGTTAGTACAGAAAGCGAAGTGCTACCTAGTGTTGAATACGTATCTCGCCGTTGACGGCGATTACGACTAAAAGTGTCGGGTTCAGAGTGCCCGCAATTGGTAACCTTGTTGATGGCGACGATGATGACTATGTAGAGAACGTAGGCTATCGCGAAGACGACCAAGCTGATAGCGTAGGAAGTGAGAAGATCCATTGGCAGCGGAGCTGAAGTATCTCCATGAAACCGAAGTTATCGAAGGGCTTAGATGTAAAGGATCTGGAGCTGGAGGAGTGGTGTCGTGTAGAAGAGAGTGCTGGAAGCTAAATGTGTGGTGTCAATATAGTGCAGGCAAAGAGGGGGCTCGACCGCTTGATTGTTTGTCCGTCGGTGGTCATTTCAGAATACGCCGGATACCGCTTGATCTTGGTCAATGACTTGGCTGTTTCCGACTAGATTCCAAGGTGTTCCGTCCGTTTTCTCTACACCCGGGTCAATAACGTCCACTCACGGTTAATCAATAAGCCCTTTCTTGTAGACTGCTTTTCATGCGTACTTGAGTACACTTAAAGTGACATTGTATCTAAATATTCCGACTTCCTACTCCTCGAAGCACTCGATAACACTTCGAGGCTACACTCATTTGCCGTCTAGCTATTCCAACTTCAATGCGACGATCCTCCCACCTGCCTTGGGCAGTCCATTCGCTCCAAATCCACCCATAGTAGTCAGATAAAGGGTACCGTTATCTTTCTTTGTTCTTCCAAATGCTGACGCCGTCGAGCCTGCTACCAGTCCACCTTCGGCAATAGTGGTAACCTTGCCATCGACTGTAATGTGCTGAATTTTGTCGCCCTGCGGTGCCGCCAAAGGTTCAGAGACGTATATACTGCCATCCTTTGCTATTGAGATATCATCTGGGCCAGTGAGAGTCGAATCGCGCGCAGTTTCGAAAAAGCCGTTGGGCTTGCCAGTAGATGGATGAACACGAACACGGCCAGCGAGATTCTGCGCAGTGTTGGTGTAGTATACATATCCATCGTGAACCTTGATCCCGTTGGCACCTAGCTGTATTCCAGGCGCAGAAAGATTGGCTGCTAAGCTTGGGTCTTCGAGAACGACTTCTGTTCTCCCAGTCGTGGTATTAACTGCAGCAATGTTTCCATAGTACGAGTCTGCCAATAGCAACGTGCCATGATCAAGAGTCGTCATGCCATTAGGCATAGCCACATCATGTAGCTCCGCCACCATGCTGACTCTTGCTCCCTCGTTCTTATGGCTCATATCAAGTTTCCATAACCAAGAGCTCTGTAAGGTCGGCGGGTTTTCGGGTGCGGATTTCGCAACTACCACGGCAAAGACGTCCTTCTGATACTCGGTGATACCAAACGCGCCTGTTGCATTCGGGAAAGTGGCGATGGTGGAGAATGTTACGGGTGAGGTCTGGGGGTGAACGATGTGAACCTGGCCAGTACCGAGAGTAGTTACGAGGAGGGAGCCGTTGCGCATCGCAGCAATGTTTTCAAGCCATGTCCCATTGGGAAACTGGTACACTGTCGAAACATCCACCGCAAGCGCCGAGGCTATGAGGGTTGAGAAGTTGAAAAGATACTTCATTCTGGCGGTGAAGTTGATTGCAGGTAGGTGATAGAGGTCTTGGTGTAGTCGAACTGGAGTAGTGCTTTGATAAAGGACCCTTCCCCTTACTTATACTCATCTCACCCGCCGAAAAAGAAGAGGCCTTTCCTTTTCCATTCCGGTCGATCGTGCATTGATTTTGGGCCTTGGCGACGCTTGAGCGTTTCCTTGCTGCTTGCTTCATCATCTCACCAATCTTGCTGAGCACTCATACCTGATAGTCTCAACTCATGCCATGATTCTAACCTTCGTCCGCTTAGCAATCCAGGTTGCGTGATGTATGAAGACGTCTTGGTACGCCTTGTATCAGGCATTCATCAACACTTCAACGCTGCTAACCACAACTAGAAACTATCGCTAGCGCTTCTGCCGACGGTATAGTACGTGGGGCGGTTGCTGAATAACATCGCGGACTTAAGTGAGCAGGCGTGGTTGAAATAACGAGGCGCTGGCTCGCTGGTCGCCTGATCTGGCATGTTCCATGGCATCCCGCCCGCTCGGCGCTTATCTAAGGTCTGCACGAAGAGATCGTAGTAACAAATGGAAGAAACATCATACCAGTTGGCTAGATGTATGATGAACTTGGTCGTAGACTAGGCTGTGAAGTGTTGGGGCGTACAAGACTAGGAGCGCGGACCGACAGCTTCAGCGGTGGCTTCGCTCGACTCCACCGCTCATCTGCCGCCCGCTCCCCACTCGGCTCTGCACCTGCAGAACCTGACCACTCGGGACATGACTTCTCCCAACATAATCCTCGAACACCCAAACATACATTGAGCTTTTCCGCAAATGATATTCCCTTAGCGAAAAGACTCTGAACAACATTGTGCGCACCACGCTCGGTGGCTACACCGCTGCGCAAGCGCTGAAGTCGGACACGTGCCAGCGCAACTCTGCAATTTCAGAACCGTGTTTTGCAAATCTTGCGCGCCAATGCGCAAACCACATGACACTTCCTGGAAAGAAAAAGCTATTTTGAGTTATATATACCATCAACTCGAGCATGATGACTATGACAGAAAGTTTGCGAAAGACATAATGTTCTTGCACATGCAAAGGCTTAGGCGAGACCCTGTGAAGTGATATCAAGTTTGCAATTTGCTAAAAGGAGTGTAGTATCTGGAATCTAGTAAAGACAAACATTCTAATGCACGCGGAAGCAAAGACTGGAACCCTAAGCCATGAAAGGCTTCACCAGTTCCAGAGACTTCTCCCACAAAGCCTTCTCCTTCTCCTCATCATACGCATGGGGAGTGTAGCCGGGCTCATTCGACGCGGGATCGTTGTTGACTACGCTCGAAATCTGGCATTCCTCAAGGTATTTTCCACCTTGACCCTCCAAAGCCTTCGCAGTAGCTGCCCAGACGGTAGTCGCAGCACCTTGCTGCGGGCTCTTGAGCGCCTTGCCGATGTTGGGGTCTTTGTCCCACGCCTCCATCATGTCCTTGTCGATATGTGTCATGAGACCAGTGAAGATTAGTCCGGGATGAACCGACCATGCGTTTACACCTTGGCTTCCGTACCGACGGTTAAGTTCGGTTGCGCAATAAATGTTGGATGTCTTGCTCTGTCCATAGGCCGTCCAAGGGTGGTACTCTCCCACGAGGTTAAGGTTATCCAGGTGGATGCCGCCCATGCGATGGCCGGTGGACGCAAGCACAACAACCCGCGATTTGAAGTCTGGAGTGCTCGACTTGACCAGAGTGGGAAGAAGAAGTTGGATCAACAGGAAGTGAGCGAGGTGGTTTGTGCCGAATTGCGTTTCGAAGCCATCTGCTGTGCGTCCTTCCGGACATGCCATTATACCTGCGTTGGCAATGAGGATGTTGAGACGATCATGCTGGGCTAGGAATGTGTCGGCACACTTGCGTACGCTAGCCAAAGAGTTGAGGTCGAGCTCTAAGAGGTGGACACGCTCGCTTTCCGCCAGGCTACCGAGTGCGGTCTTTGCCTTGTTGAGGTCGCGGGCAGTGAGGTAGAGGGTGGCACCAGTCTCAAACAATGATTTGGCGGTCTCGATACCAAGGCCAGAAGAACAGCCGGTGATAAGGACTGTCTTATCGGACCATTTGCCTTGGAGCTGTTCATCCTTGACGATCTGATCGGCGGTGGGACGTTGATCACCTGGACCATTTTGCGACTGATGAGCGGATGCGTATCGGGTAGTCATGTTGGCGGTGGTGGTTGATGAGGCTGATAATTGCTTGGATGCTTGAGATCTGGGTGTAAAAATTGTAGTGTGTGATATGAAATACAACGACTAGGAGCTGCTGCACTTATATGTCCTCTGGCCATTGCTACTCGGTGCGCTTGTTGTCCACCGACCGTAAGTCCTCCTGCTAAATTTCGCCCTACATCTAACTAAACTCCGGTATTCGTAAGGAGCTTGGAAATCCTGCCTCTCGAGCCTCACGTCGTTTGTAGTTTCAAAGGACGCTTACCTTGCCAGTATCACCGCTGTTCCTCATGCATTGATGCTCGGTCCCCAAACTAGTCTCATTGAGGAAACTACTTTCGTCGGAAACGCCGCGCTATGCTAGTTGTAGCATCTAGATTCGCGGAGTAGGAAGCAAACAGTCGGCCCTATTACTCATAAGCAACGCATCTTAGAGCCTTGGCGAAACAACATTCCTTATTTGGTTACTACGATACCCAACCTCAAATTTCAACCTCTCACGCCATCCCAACTCATCTCTCTCCCGGTGGAGAGCTCCTAGCGTACCTAGCGTAGCCCAATCACAACATCACTGTATGCCAGAGTAGACTGACTATGAGGGCTAAAAGAAAGGATGTATGTCAGAACTGCAGATCTCGGAAGCTTGCTGTAAGTTCCCACAGCCAACAACCCATGAGGTACCTTACATGCCGGCATACTGATCCTCGAGATTTATAAGTGTGATGGGAAACAGCCAGAATGCCTCCAATGTATTCGTCGGCGAATCCCATGTAGTGGCTACCGACAGGAGATTGTTTTTATCAATGCAATGACACGTTCAGCCAAGCCCCAGACGGAGTGTAAGACCCAAGATCAAGAAACAAAAGTTGACGATAGAGGAATCTTTGGTGCTTATATGATTGGGAGTAGTCAGCCGGCTTTGTGTTTTCTCTCGGATTTGTTCGACGAAACAACAACTTCCCCAGAAGCAAGTCTATCCGAGCTCGAGGATGACGTTGATTTCATCGTCCAACATTTTGCGCCGATATGCAGCGAGGCGCCGGCAGAGTTTAACTTATACCACAACCAGATTTGTGGTGCCTGGGTCGAGGTTCTGCCACTTGTGGTTGAGTCCGCAAAGGATAGCCCATTCCTCTGTTCCGCAATTAGAACGATGGGAACAGCCTTAAGGTATCACACATCAGCGGTTCGAGGTCTTCAATCCCGTATACTCCTTATGTACGGTGACTCTCTTCGTCTAGTGGGTAAAGCTCTCGAAGAAGCCCAGGGTATCTTTCAGTGTGAACATTGTATCGCAATTTTATGTTTGTCAGCAACTAATGTAAGCTCCAAATTCATGCTAACCTGGGCTCTTTCTAACACTAACTGCGTCAGATTGTAATCCCACAATCAAGGTCTGATTGGGCGACGCATGCGAAGGGTGTCGGGGCTATGATCGAACGGCTCGGACCGAAGCCGTTTAGTACTGGTATCCTGCATACGCTATTCATTGGCTTCCGGCCTCTACTAGTAAGTCATGGCGAGTTTGTTTCGGAGCAACATCCTACTAACCGGCACTGTAACACGCGTAGTTGATCAGTTCGATTCACAACCGCCGTAAAACATTCCTTACACTCAAGGGATGGACTACCACACCCTTCCAAGAAGTACCCGTCTCGATTATGCAACTGCTTTTCAACAAAGCTACTCAACTTCCGGCTCTTCTGGAAAGATATGACACTCTAGGAGACCTTTCCAGCCCATCCAAACTGGTCGCGATGCAACAACTCCGGAATGGCTTCTTATACATGATCAAAAGTCTTGGGGAGTGGGAACTTTCCGCAAAAGCACAAGCAAACTTTCCCTTGGTTTGGCCAAAACCCGATTCTCCGTGCAAAGAATCCTGTGACAGGAAGCCGCTGTGGTTCGCCAATGTTCTGGTTGCTAGCAGCCTCACCCATTGTTGGGCTTTCGAGATCGTCGCAAGGACACACCTTGACGATGTCGACGAAGCGATGGCTACGATCGATGGTTGCAAGCGTAAAGCAATTCCTCGGTGCTCTGGTTCCGCCAATGGCGTGGGTGAAGATCCGATCTCAATTCTGGCTGAAAGGATCTGCGATAGCATGCCGTACTTCCTGCAACCAGAACTGAAGATATACGGGCCAGCTTCTACCTTTTTCACCTTCTTGACGGCTATGAAGGTCTTCAAGAGCAAGAAAACTTACTGCGCGTCTCGACTGTCTCGCTGCCAGGAGACACTCGGTCGGCTGGCTAATATCGGCATCCACTTTCCACCTCCATGAGTCATTTTCGGTCGCGATGGGCATGGGAATTGGTCCTTTCTAAGTCCAAGTTCGTTAAAAGCGGCAGCATCGAGGTTTCAAGTTCGCGGTGGATTGATTACCCGGCAAAGGAAAGAACATCATGACGTCACAGTCAACATGCTTACCCGATGGTACCTGCCTCACCACAATAGCCCTCCTTTTATACCCCACCAACGACCATCCGGGTCCTCCTCATTCATCGAGTCTTTGCCGCTTCTGCAACGGGTCGCTATATAGGTCAAGATTGGTGCCAAAAACAACATCAACAACAACTACCAAACCATCCTATGACCCACCAAGATGTCCACACAACTCAAGCTCCTAGCCAACTACGGTGTAACCGGCTTCCTCCTAAGCACCGGTCTATTCGCCCTCCTCGTACCCACCACCTTCGCCGCCGGCTTCGGTATGCCCGTCGCAGCTGACACATTCGCATCCGGTTTCGTCCAATGTGTGGGTGGTCGCAACTTAACCTTTGGTATCATCGCTGGGATCTTTTTGCAGCGAGGAGATATAAGGGCTGTTGCACTGATGGCGACGATGTTGGCGGTTGATGGGTTTGTAGATGGCATGGTGACGATGAAATATGCTGGGGTTGGGTATGCGTTACCTCATTTTGGGGCAGCGGCGATTATTCCGTTTGTGAGTTCGTGGATGGCTAGTTAGACGTTTGTGGTGGAGTAAGAGTAGGAGGGGGAGGGGGGGATGATGGTTGATGATGGTGGGCTTGCGTAGGGGTCATGGTGTCGTGGTCGACGCGTCTTGACAGTGACTGCTGCGATGAATGTCCGTATCACTGGCGATCGATGTGATTCGACTTGGCTATTCAAGATCACCGCGCATGCTTGAAGCCTTTCTTAAACTCTTCGCAATCAATTAGAGCTAGTCGTTAGCCTGAGCTATCGACCTTCAATACTGACTTTTATCACAAAGTCACGATCAGCAAAAAATATTTATATCGTTAGTCCAGACATTGGAAAGGGGATGCAGATCGATGTTAGTGGTGAAGACATGTCCTGTTATTTCGATCGATTCATATGCACTGTTGATGTGAACAAACCGACAGCTACGCCGTGCGACTATTGCGTTAAATAACATCTGCAACTCTCCAAAGAATAACATCAAAGGTATCGCCATGTTGTTCATCGAATACACAATAGTGAATCACACGCGAGTTCGAAATCCTCAACAACGTTACGCAGCTGCTTCCTGTCAGGAAGTTCGTATGTTTCTCGCATCACCTGGAGTTAGATGCCTAGGACGTCGACATCGATGTTAACGACGACAGCGAGTATTGGCACGATATACTGATTGAAGGGAGAAAGATGCGCAACGAAGATGTTTGCAAGGATGTATGCTTCTCTCAAGTTATCGTCTGCTCAATGGTGAAGAATCCATTGGCACTCTGACAGGAATGCGATACAATGCTCCGGAATACATAACCTTATGTTGTAATACAGCTCTAGAATCTCATAATGCCGATCTTGAGCTTGAGAGGGCAAGCAAGTGTATGACTGCCACACTTCAAGAATGCATGATCTGAATCCATCCGTTTGTACAGCCAAAACGTCGATACTAACTCCAGCATACGTATGGCGATACTCTCCTGATGCTCATTAGCAATGATTGTAGTCACAAGTGCTGTCACAATCACAAGATACGAGCTTCGATTTGAATCCGATGGAATCCTTACTTTCGCTACTACTATTGCTCGTCGTGTATTTCGAACTTGCTCCCAAAACGCTCTTGTGAAAAGCATTCACTAATTTCTCCGACTTACTCGATATCGTCGGCAATTTTGCGCCTTGATTCATTCACAACTCCGATTTTGGCGAGAACTTAACAACATATTAACCAATTTACCGTATCATTCATGTACGACTGGAGATGCGACCATCCAAAGTTTGATGACCTTTTCGAAGACATTGACCAAAATAACGAAAAGTGCTGTGCATGCGCAGTCCACTGAAAACGATATGCGGCAAGCGCAATGGCGAGGGATGTCATTGGTCTATCGAGAGAGCTCGTCCCTATTCTCTATTTCCCGATACGCTTGTCATTGTTTGGTGCGAGAGGATAGAGAAGGCGGATGCTTCGTATGATCGCTGCAGGATGTTCATGGGTGTGGATATGTTTTCAAAGTATTTCAATGAGGACTGCACGGTTAAAAAGGCTGGCCTCGGCGGAGGGTGAGGCTGTTGGAAATCGGCCGGTGGATATTTGACATCAGAGGGGTCAGGTGTAGCTACTCTTTCATCTTGTCACCCACAATTGATTGTATCTTGTTTGAGCTGTCACAAACTCAGCAAATTGGAGTTTGATAATTTGATGTTCCAAAGAGTATCGCAATGACGTCTACGAGAAGAAATTAAGGTGGAGTTTGGTAAGGCTCGCTTCTAGAAGAAGTGATGTTCGCCCGCCTTCCCCGAATCGGCCACTAACGCCGGAGGAGGGGCATTACGCCGCCTTCGGCCTTCAATAAATTGCGGACACAAGACTCATACAAGACCCCGATTTCTCCGCGAACCCCTACGACTGTACATACTGTGACTCACAGTTGTTCTCATCTATAAGGAAGTCGGTTCCTGACTTTGTCCTATTGTCACCCACTTCAACCTTTCGATTCGGTATTAAGCAACATGGACGGCATTAAGAAGACGTTTGCGCAATGCAAGAAAGAGGGCAGGGTAAGATACTCAACAATCGGGAGAGACATTTGGTGCTGACATTGGCGTAGTCTGCCCTCGTCACCTATGTGACTGCAGGTTTCCCTACGGCAGAGGAGACGCCAGACATCATGATGGCAATGGAGGCAGGAGGTGCTGGTATGTGCAACTAGCAATTGCTACTCCAAATGTTACGACAGCAGTCAATTCACACACTTAGACATCATTGAACTCGGCATGCCCTTCACCGACCCCATTGCCGACGGTCCAGCAATCCAAACCGCGAACACTGTACGTTGACTCATTCGCCACATTCCGTTCGAAACTCTTCCTGACACCATGTGTTTATAGCAAGCCCTCAAGAACGGCGTCACGATTGGCCACGTTCTACAGATGATCCGCGATGCGAGGAAGCGGGGTCTGAAGGCACCTGTCCTTCTCATGGGATACTACAACCCTCTGCTCAGCTACGGCGAAGAGAAGATGCTGCAGGATGCGAAGGAGGCCGGTGCCAATGGCTTCATTATGGTTGACCTGCCACCTGAGGAGGCCCTACGCTTCAGGAACTTCTGCCGCAGCTACGGGTAAGTGTACTATCAAGACAAGTTTGAGACGAATACTAACCAGACAGTCTCTCTTACGTTCCGCTCATCGCACCCGCTACGTCCGAGCACCGCATGCGCGTCCTCTGCAAAATCGCCGATTCCTTCATCTACGTCGTATCTCGCATGGGCGTCACTGGCGCCTCTGGAACCATGAACGCCGCCCTCCCTCAGCTGCTCGAGCGCGTCCATAAATACTCTGGCAATGTTCCGGCAGCTGTCGGTTTCGGTGTCAGCACACGCGACCACTACTTGAGCGTAGGCAAGATCGCGGAGGGTGTCGTTATTGGCAGCCAGATCATCAACACGCTGATCAAGGCTCCTGCAGGCGAGGGGGCAAAAGCAGTTGAGAAGTACTGTGATGAGATCTGTGGCAAGAGTACGCGCGAGACGACTCGTGAGGTTGGCATAGTCGAGGCATTGAACGAGGCCAAGGAGCCCACTGGCGTGCACGTCGACAAGGTCATCACGGACAAAGACACACCAGACGGTCCTGGACTCGCCGATCAACTGGAGATGCTTAACACAGATGACATCAACGGCACACATGAGCAGAACGGTTTTGACGAAAAGCACAAGTACCCCGCGCGATTCGGTGAATTTGGTGGCCAATATGTCCCTGAATCACTCATGGACTGCCTCTCTGAACTTGAGGCAGGTTTTGACGCAGCCATCGAAGACCCCAAGTTCTGGGAAGAGTACCGTTCTTACTATGACTGGATGGGTAGACCAGGCCATTTGCATCTTGCCGAGCGCCTCACTGAGCACGCTGGAGGTGCTAACATCTGGTTGAAGCGAGAGGATTTGAACCACACTGGAAGTCACAAGATCAACAATGCTCTTGGACAAGTACTTATTGCTAGGAGACTGGGAAAGACTGAGATTATTGCCGAAACCGGAGCTGGTCAGCACGGTGTCGCGACGGCCACCGTGTGCGCCAAGTTCAACATGAAGTGTACCATCTACATGGGTGCCGAGGACGTCAGGCGTCAAGCTTTGAACGTCTTCCGCATCAAGTTGCTTGGTGCGCAGGTCGTTGCTGTTGAGGCTGGTGCCCAAACTCTGCGTGATGCAGTCAACGAGGCAATGCGCGCATGGGTTGTTCACCTCGACACGACTCACTACATTATCGGATCTGCTATCGGACCTCATCCCTTCCCTACGATTGTCCGTACCTTCCAGTCGATTATTGGAAACGAGACCAAGGAACAGATGCAGGCGAAGCGCGGCAAGCTTCCTGATGCAGTAGTCGCTTGTGTCGGTGGTGGCAGCAACGCCGCGGGAATGTTCTACCCCTTCTCCAAGGACCTTTCCGTCAAGCTTCTCGGTATCGAGGCCGGTGGTGACGGTGTCGACACAGACCGCCACAGCGCGACTCTTTCGGCTGGAACCAAGGGTGTGCTTCACGGTGTCCGTACCTACGTGATCCAGAACCAGCACGGACAGATTAGCGAGACTCATTCGGTCTCTGCTGGTCTCGACTACCCTGGTGTAGGACCAGAGCTTTCCAGCTGGAAGGACAGTGACCGCGCCAAGTTCATTGCATGCACTGACGCTGAAGCGTTTATTGGCTTCCGTCTCATGTCTCAGCTTGAGGGTATCATCCCCGCGCTGGAGACATCGCACGCCGTTTTCGGTGCCATTGAGTTGGCGAAGACGATGAACAAGGACCAGGACATTGTCATCTGTGTGTCTGGACGTGGTGACAAGGACGTGCAGAGCGTAGCTGAGGAGCTGCCCAAGCTGGGACCCAAGATTGGCTGGGACCTGAGGTGTAAGTCTGACAATACCCATACTGTTATGAATTGTGCTAACGAGTCACAGTCTAAACGATGACGTTGCCTGAATGATGTCACGCAGATGCTTGTATATAGGTCAATTCTGAATGGAAATGTTCAAGCGGTGTTCAACAAAGAAGTTGTATACATGATCTTGATGAAGAAGTGAGGCTTGACAAAAGATGTCCATGATATCACACGTTTCGAAATGTGATTGGTGCAGGCAGAGAGCGGGCCAGATGTCCGCGACGATGATGCAGGTTGGGTGGTTTTGGCAAGGATTCGAATGCAGGCAATGACTAGCCGCGGCCAGGAGCGGGCCATCGCGACGACATGAAAATGTCGGATTAGAGACGAGATGAAAGCTAAATCTGAAGAAACGTGGGGTTTAGTCGCGTGATGATCGACCAAGACACTACCCGTCCCATATCCCGAGAGTGTGGTGAAGTGTGGGTGAGGTGTGGCTGCGGAGGAGTGCTGGAACGCCAATCATCGGCCCATGTGTCCCCGTCGAGGCTCTGGTGTGCGGTGACGAAAGCGCATCCACATCGTCAGCTACCAAACCGAGAAAGGTTCCGCGCCAATCCCACACTTGAAGAATCACTCTATGCCGCATTTTTCACGTGCTGCAAGCCACCTGACCGCCCTACGAGACTACGCTCTCTAGTCTGCCTGAAGTAGCGTCTTCCCGCTGAAGACTGCCTAACACCGACCCTCTGTAACCCGCAATCCACCACCCTGGACGTCCTGACGCCTTACCGTGACGCTGCGCCCACCCAAGCTATCGAGCTCCACGAACTTAGCACACGCCCAAAAGAGTCGTCGCGGGAAAGCAAGAGGGAACAAAAGCGACGGGAGAAGCTCGAGCAGCTTCGCGAGGCCGAAGAGATGAAGTTCTCCCATAGCCTGCAGTTCAATGCAGTGCCAGACTGGAGCAACCATTACATTGCATACAGCAACCTCAAGAAGCAGTACGTAGGACATGTACAAGCAAGTCTTGGGAGATTGAGAACTGACGGGTGCTACACAGAATATACAGCCTTGAGACACAGCTCAACCAGAAGCAAGCGCACACCGACGCCGAATCCTCACCACTGCTCAACGGAGATGCCGACGATCCAGACAAGGTCTTTACAAACACGCTCGACACCGAACTAGAGCGCGTCACGTCTTTCTACAAGCTCAAGGAGAATGAAATCTTCGAGGAGATGGAAGCCCTGCTCAAGGACGAGGAGTCGTTTGAGTACCACCAGGAAGAATACAATGAGGAGAATGAGAACGCGCCGCCAGGCAAGAAGATGCGCAGTGGAAGTGTTTTCAAGGCGATTGGCTTCAATCGGCCGCGGGCCATGAGCGGTGCAAGTGGACGGTCAACAGATCATGGCGCAGATGGTGAAGACGACGATTCCGAGGACGAGGAAGTCGACGAAACTGCACGTCTGCGTAAGAAGAGTCCAGACGGTCAACGGCGACGAAGACGGACGATTGACGAAGATACGGCTGCCTCGCATACCTCCCCAAGACGGAAGCCGAGCGTCGCGTTCGAAGACTACAACGACATGGCTTTTTCCGCGCTATACGAAGAAGGCGTGTCATTGAAGAAGCGCCTTGTCAGCGTATACGTTCTGCTGTGCGAGCTGCGCTCCTTCATTCAGTTGAACAAAACGGGGTTTGAAAAAGTGCTGAAAAAGTACGACAAGATCATGGACCGCAAACTGAAGAAGACCTACCTGAACAAATACGTATACCCGGCATATCCCTTTCAACAAAGCACCATGGACGAGCTGACGCGAAGCCTCGAGCGCATGGAAGCTGCGTATGCGCAAATCAGCACCAAGGGCAACATTGTCGAGGCGAAGCGCGAGCTGAGACTACATCTACGAGAGCACGTCGTGTGGGAAAGAAATACTGTCTGGCGAGAGATGATTGGAATCGAACGGAAAGCGCAAGCGGCCAATATCGGTATCAGCCATACATTGCTCGGTCGCGATACAACGGATGGCAAGATCCGGCGGCAGGGAGACGAGGTGGAATCAGACATGAAAGAGGTGGATACACCGATTGGAAGATATCGGTGCCCGCAATGGCTCGTCAGCAGGACCTTTTGGATTCTGCTCGCTTGCATAGCAGTCTTCGTTGTGCTACTCGTGGTGCCCATCATGGAAGCGCCCGAGCAGCAGAACTGTCTGGCCATGGTAATATTTGTCAGTTTACTTTGGGCTACTGAGGTATGTATGGTTTTCGTCAACTTCGGTCCTATGCTAATTACCACAGGCCATACCTCTCTTCGTCACATCGCTCTTGGTACCTTTTCTCGCAGTAACATTGAATGTCGTCCGAAGCGATGTAGAGCCTCACAAACGACTGGAGTCCAAGGCAGCAGCTTCTTACGTCTTTTCCGCCATGTGGACGCCAGTCATCATGCTGCTACTGGGTGGTTTCACGATTGCGGCTGCGCTATCAAAGTACAACATCGCAAAGATGATGGCTACTCTCGTCCTCAGCAAGGCTGGAACGAAACCAAGAACCGTTCTTTTGGTCAACATGTTCGTCGCCATGTTTGCTAGTATGTGGATTAGCAACGTCGCCGCACCTGTGCTATGCTTCTCCATCATCCAGGTACGTCAAGTCTAACCAATATCCTCGAATACAAGCTAAACTTTCCCAAGCCCATCCTCCGCAACCTCCCTGCCGATTCCGACATGACCAAAGCCCTCCTCATGGGCATCGCCCTCTCATCCAACATAGGCGGCGCCGCCTCCCCCATCGCCTCCCCCCAAAACCTCATCGCGCTGCAAAACATGCATCCTGAACCCTCCTGGGGCGTATGGTTCTTCGTCGCCCTCCCCGTATGCATCATCTCGATTCTGCTCATCTGGGTCTTCCTGCTCGCCACCTTCCAGCCCGGTCGCGGACCCAGCATCGTTCCCATTCGGCCCTTGAAAGACAAGTTCACGGGCGTGCAATGGTTCATCAGCGCCGTCACTGTCGCTACGATTGTGCTTTGGTGTGTCAGTCATCAGTTGGAGGCGACGTTTGGCGACATGGGCGTTGTGGCTATTATCCCTATTGTCCTATTCTTCGGCACGGGTATCCTGACAAAGGAAGATTTCAATAACTTCCTTTGGACGATTATTATACTAGCTGCTGGCGGGTTGTCACTCGGTAAGGCTGTTAATTCCTCGGGACTGTTGCATACGATTGCGATTTCTATTACCGCTGGGGTGGAGGGCATGAGTTTGTATGGCGTGTTGGTTGTGTTTTGTGCACTGATTCTGGTCGTCGCGACGTTTATTAGTCATACTGTTGCTGCGCTTATTGTGCTTCCGCTTGTTCAGCAGGTTGGGCAGCAGATGCCGGAACCGCATCCGAATTTACTTGTTATGGGCGCGGTGCTTATGGCCAGTGGGGCCATGGGATTGCCAACGTCTGGTTTCCCTAACATGACGGCTATCATGATGGAAGATCAGCGGACTGGACAGAGGTATCTTGCTGTTAAACACTTTTTGACAAGAGGTGTGCCGGCTAGTATCATGACGTTTGGGGTTATTATCACGGTTGGGTATGGGTTGATGCTTGCGGTCGGGTTCTAGTCGAGCGTCGAGTTTGCATCGCGTTGCGTTTGTCATAGACTGTTTCGTTCTTGGTTTTGCATCTTCAGCGTGGGTGCTTCATACGAATCGGAGTTGTGGTGTTTCTTGATCCATTTGTGAGTTGTGAGTATTGCCCAGGCTGATCATTGTGAAAATGGTGGTGTAAGCATTGTAGTCATACGTTGGCGTGACTGTCTATTGAGTCAAGTAATTGTGGGTGTTGGTGTTGGTGTTGGTAACGTGCCCTGCACGGGTCTCTCTCTATATATATACTAATATGTTATTATAGGAAAAGACCGCATTCCGCTCTACCTATTGTATGACTGTCTATAAAAGCATCTTTACATAAACTCAGACCTCGGCAGTCTCGGTATTGTTGAGCACAATCTTCAAAGCTGCATCGACAGCTAGCATGGGCACATGCTTTGCGAAACACCTTTGGTATATCTTCCGGGGAACGGCAATGTCACTTTCGACAATTGAAATGCTCTTCTTGATTCGCACAGATCTAATTGCATTTCTCAATCCACACAGAATATGGAGAGCGCCTTTGCTGTTTCTCATGGCACTTCTGACCTGGTGTGTAGGGTCCGCAACGATTTATCCACCAAGTACGCTCACTGTAGACCTCAGAGCTCAAGAGTACACAGAGTATCACAGTATGTCCGTAATGAATCCACCCATTCCGCCACGCCTAGATCTGGCTGGATAGGAGAGCTTCCCTACGTTGAGCAGATGAGACCCACTATATGGGCCCGACAAGGGCTTGCTACACACCCCCTCGGACCCAGGAGTCCGCCGAGTTTTGTACATTAACAAATCCTTGCCCCAGATTCCCTTCGGCCCAGGAGTTCGACAATTCATATATAGGTGAGTCCAACACCCCAGTGTTCTAACTAAGACTAAATTTGCAGTGGACCTTCGAACCCACTGCTGTACCTAGCACAGACGATCAAGTCCAACAACCAGATTCATATCCTCCCAAATCATCCGGGAGAGAATTCTACGTATAAGTTGCAATTAAGAGGACCTCAATTTAAATGCACCACTTCAGAGTACAACAGCACTCTCTCGGTGGAGTACGATCCGATACATCTCGGGGCACCCGCGATCGTATCATCATGGGACGATGAAAACTAATCCATACCTGGAAGCGATATGATATTAAGAGTTTTAACGCCCACTATCAGTCTAAAAGATACTCTAATCTGGAACCTACATGTTGTAGTCAATGAACAGGTCTGCGAATGTCTGTCCGCCCTCTACAACGTTGGTGTTACATTTCCTCGAGGCGTCCAGACAGTGAATTATTCTTTAAGCGACGCAAGAAAACTTCCGAGAAAAGTTGATATATACAATACGATAGACATTTCGGCGGCCTATGGCGACCCGAACCGTAATCCGAGCAAATTTTATGGGTTGCAACTTAAACTCCCACCAAAACCAGAAGCACTTCAAGACTGGCACCAGAAGGTATCAACAGCTATTCCTGTCTCTAACTAATGGGCTATACTAGACGCACTGATGTCGTTTCTTGATAAAGAGTACTTCCAAACGGGATACCTACCCTTAGATGTGTCATCGCCGCCGAACTTTTCGCCTTTGCAACAGCCCATGGTTTCGGATGGCAGGTGTCAGCAGATGGAGATATCACCAGGCTCTACAGGCGATGATGTACGTGAGCACTGGTCGGGCTATCTGTGGTACAAAGAGGATTGTAAGTTTGGCTACTGAATTTAAGGGAATACCGAGAGTAACCGATCAGAAGCCAACTTGAGAGGTACCGTCTTCCACTCGTTTCGATACGACGTCAACGATAATCACGGATGTTTCGACCCGAGGCACTCGTTGAATCTCACTGAGACCATACTGAATGAGGTTCTGACAAATATCACCATTTCTGCTATTTCACTAGGCACCTGGTGGGATATGGTACCCGTAACGAGCACAAGATACCGCAATACGTACACGCTCGGCACCCCCCTAAATCTCATCCTTCCGTATAGTACATGCCTAGCCGCAGCTGCAGTCTTCGTCGGTATTGCGATTTGGTCTTTATGACACAACCGCGTGCCTGCGGCCGACAGGAGCTTCCTCCAGATTATGATGGTGACTGTGGGAGATACGGATATGAGTCGAATCATACTGGAAGAAGGGGTAGCCGCAGTACACGATATGTCTGATGAGCTAGAGAGCTTAAGTATCAGATATGGTGAGCTGGCGGACCAAGGACACCTTCGGTGTAGGAGGCAAACGATGGGGTTTTGGAATAGCGGATGAAACCACTTCGGTGAGGAAGATAATATGAATGCAGCCAAGCATTGGGAATTACACGATTTGGTGGTTAAGTTTCGTCCTTGTACAGTCGACCTGCTTGAAGACCCCGCCAAGCTTCGTTGTGGCAAACTCAGTTACTATGCGAAGGCGACGGTGTATGCTCGCCAGTACTGTTCTCTTCTCAAGTTACCTGCGTAATAGTTCAAGCTCAACATGAAGTGTCAGGAGATATTCTGCTAACGAACCTTCGCTTAACCTCCTCCCAATCGTACCAAACATTTTCAGTCCATGCGAGCCTCTCTCTACGTGGGATCGGAGGCTTGAAAACAAACAAGGCCACCCTTATCACCTTGTCCCAATACATGATCCCGATCTCATCAATGCTGACTGGAAGCCTGGCTAATTCGCTCGCAATCAGATCGAATTCTTTGTTACCGAGACTTGTGACTAGAAATATGTCGGGGAGAATGCAGACACAAGCATGCTCATCGGCTGTCAACGTCAAGGTTGTTGTAGACATATCTTGTAGTATGAAGAAGGTAGGGAAGCAAAGTGAGTGTGTGTGACAGAAGCCGGGGTTGTGGGGAGACTACCTATGTATTATACGTGCACAGGTGCTAGCTTCTGGGGTCGTTGACGTCTACCACGGTTCGCTATGACAATACGATAAACTGTTCAGCAATCCAAATGACACCTGTACACAAGCCGCTATTGAATAAGAGATATGGGAAATATGACGTATTGCGCACTCTCGTGTCACGGCTGTTCTCATGGTATTGACAACAGTCATTCCTGCAGACGTTGTGCAAGACCACCACCACCATTGCACGTGCAGCCGACCACTACCCCACACACCTTCCATCCCATCTCTCCAAAGGACCTATCCCATACTCACTGGCTAATTTGCTAGCCGCAAAGCTGGAGTGCGACGCTGTGCAGACTGAGCGGCACATCTCCATTGTCCAGTACGCTCTAATCTGAGTGGCGTGAGCGCTTTCGAGCGCATCCCATTCTCTTTCTCCCATTCCTTCTCGATCTCCTTCCAAAAAAAAAGAAAAAAATTATCCACCCTTCCTTAGCGCCCATTCCGCTTTGTCATCCGTGGCCAGGTCTTTCAATGTCGCGGTTGTAGCTTCATTCCGCGTTCTTTCAATGACAACCGCTTTTGCCTGTACTCTAAGAACTTATCATTCACTTTTTATTGGTGAAGGTTGCTACTTCGAGGTTTGAACCATACAGTTTGTCAAACTTTGTCCGCAAGGAGTGGAAAGCGCCGATTGCTCTATAGTATCCCCTACGTACCCGGCATTCTTGTCGGCATCAGAAGAAGAACAGGAGGGTGATATTGAAGGGGATGTTCTTCTGCGCCGAGGCTTGCTGTCAGGCCCGCTCTGGAAAGTGTGGAAGCCATGAGTGTATGTGTAGTTGCCCAGGCTCCTCGTTCGGCGCTGATCATACGCATAAGGTAGGCTTCTCCCGCCATAGGCAAGTCTTTCTCTTCCCAGCTTCGTCTGGATGCCTTATGCGGTCGTCGCGCTGGAGCTTTCGAGCACCGTCTCGTCCCGCTGTCCCCTGCCTGCAGTTGATGTCGCCTGTCGGGAGACATTGTGGTCCCCATGTCCGATGAGCGCATGCGCTAGGTCCGGGGACGAAATCGAACTCTCGCTATTGGTATACAGAGAACGTAGGAGCGCCCGATGGAGTGATCCACTCAAATCGGGTCGTCGATAGCGGTGTCTCAATCACACACCATAGTTCCGACGGAGTATGCCCCACTCCGTATCGAAGTATCGGCCGAACCCGCGAATCTCGCACATGCGGTTGAAGCACCTCTGACAGAGCTGGTTTCGAAACCTCGTTCTCTCGCACCGTCCATCTCTCCTCGGATCCTTTTCCCAGCTAGGATCTGGCTCGCCATGTTGATTCTTGGGACCGATCTTCCAGTTGCTATCGACGGGCCTTCTCAGCCGTGGGTCTTCAAAGACGCATGGAAATCCAAACCGGTCGCCATCGAATTCGACAAGCCATGGGCAGGCTTGCTCTTGTGCCTTGCGGTAGCATCGCGCGCATAGCTGACCACGATGGCGCACCGTGCCACAGAGACGGGAGTCTTGGGGATTGAAGTCGCAGCGCCATGCTGAGAAACGGTACTCTGGGTCTTTGCAGGCGCAAAGACATGTCCAGCCTTTTCTGATGCGTTCTGAGCTGTCGCGCTCGAGTTGATGCATGTACGTATCAATGCGGTGCTTCAGCAATCGTGTTTCTGGATGTGCTTCGGCTTGCTTGTACAATGCATCGAAGCTCATGTTTTTACACCATGAACATATGTCCGGTCCCTGGTCTTGTCCTCCTGGACGTGAGCCGCAAGCAGTACCGAAGGCGCAGTGTGGCTTCGGAGGTGGTGCTAGCATGACAAGCAAGTCGTACAGTAGTACACCTTATTGGTTAGCGACGCCGATACTCTACGATACCAACCTACCAGTTCGTTCACTGATATTGTTTCAACTGGTTGTTATGTTGTAGCCCTCCACGTCATCGTCCGACCCCTCACTGCCCTCCTCCGAACCTGCCGACCTTGTCACCAACTTGTCCGCTTCTTCATGACATAGCCCGGTCGGCGTGAAGTACTGTGCGATTCTGATCTTCCGCAAACGCCTTCTCCAACACCTGGAACACGCAAAACCCTTTTTGCGGACAGAAGGACAGTCTAGCCGAGTGCCACGAAGGTTCAAGTCGTATAGTCGCCACCTGCAGTGCTGGAAATCCGGATCCTCAAAAGCGCAAAGGTAGCGGCCGCGAGCTTCGATGTTGCGTTTCAAGATGTGCTTGTGTGCAGTTTCTTCGTTGATAAGTAGCAAGGCAGCGGTGTTAGGGTTGACCCATACGCGTAGTTGCTGTGGATCGTGTCGTTGAAGACAATCAGCGCAAACCCGGTCAGGGTTATGGATTTTCTTGCCGATGCCGAGACAATGAGATCTAGAGACACATTCGACAATCGGTGGGGGTTTGAATGGGGACTCAAAAGCTGAAGCCATAGACTGGTACCGAACGTCTAGTAGTCAGGGCTCCCACGCTCACTGCTTTACGGTTAGCTCAACGTCCTTGCATACCGGCTCATGTGACAGGGTATTGCCGGTATGACCTCCTATGACGTTGGTATTGACATTGTCGCTGGTATTTGAACATGACGGGAAGATGTTGGTCAGTGTCCAAGGCATTCGAGTTTTGTGAATCGCATGGGCAGGCAACGAAAAAGGACAGTGGATGAAAGCGGGTTCTCGCCATCTCCGGCGGCATGAGTTACGGCCAATGCGATGGAATGCATGGCCTATGACAAAGACGCTATGGTCGCACTCGTGGAAGCTTTTTGTGGCGTAGAATGTGTCCGATAAGTCGGTTCAACTGTTACAGAGCGGTGTGATACGCCGATCAAGCTCGCTAGGCTACCGGCATGGACATCATACCATGTGCCTATGCCGATTGGGTACCACTAGTGGCGATGTCAGGTCCATCGTATCGAGAGTTTTGGTGCGCGCTAGACCACAGCTATGGTCACCTTAAGGTAGGAGACCCGAGAGACTGGTCAGACAATAGCGGAAGCTAAGCCACCGGCTGGCTCTCGTAGAATTATGTAGCTGACCAGAACTTGGATACCACTCGTCAGGAGAAAATGCTGCGGATCTCATTCGTTACCTGCAATGAAATTGTTGCAGCATTAACGACAGCTTACGTATCTGTTGGACCTCGGACCCTCGAAACTCGTCATGATTCGACAACACGATGATAAAGTTTCGCTTGGAACATTCTAAACATGAGGAGATCATCGTGCACGGTCACGAGGTCCTTGCTAATGAAGCCCAAGACTCTGACTCGGTCCGGACCATCCGCCTCTCGATGCAACACGGTTTGCACCGTTTTCGAGACGCAGTCACATCACCAATATTCTTTCATCTTCGTAAGTATTGTGTGATCGCGTACATATAACTATTTGGAGAAACAGTGGGACTTGATCGGCAATGCATTCGTGACGCCATGTGCCGATCAACGATCCAGAAGACGACCTGTGTATGCAGCGAACTTTTTCTCACAAATGGAAACGATTCTTTCGCCGATACGAGTTGTCCTGGTACAACGGATAAATGCAGTTATCAGAGCATCGTGAGCATGAGACGTAGGCGTCGGATGACAGGTGGTCCTCCTCATCTAGGTTTTGCCAACGCGATGACGAATCTGTTTCGGACTGAACCCGCGTTTCCGTTTCCGACTTGCCATGTGCTGCCCAAGGTGTTGCGCCCGTCCAATCTGCCTCTGGGTGCTATGAAAATCCACACGGGATATGTATGTAGCACCGAATCGAACCTTCAATGCACGGAGGGCAGTGCGTACGTGGTGGTCTCTTGGCTAAGTCATCTGGTGTCGGCGTCTTGAGCAAAGGGTGATGCATATTAGATTCATACAACCGAGAATGCCAATACATGTCGCACCTCCAGCTTCAAATGGAGCCAGTGGCTTGACCACACACCGTTCGCTTTGCCTGAGCAATCTGGTGCACGGATAAGACAGGGTGGTGACCAAGACCCTAGCGCGAGTGCGTTACTTGACCATTCGTTATCAAGAATGCGGTGAGTCGTTCAATGATAATCACCTCGCATCTTGCCAAAAGCTGTCGTCGTGCTACATGTAGCGGCGAGAGGTCGGAAGCGAATCTGCAGAAATACTGAAATGAAGACTTGGCTTGATCATGCTCAAAGTCCTAAAGTCGGCCATGCAAGCGGTGAGGCGCTGTGCTGAAGGGCTACCGTCACATATAGACAAGGCTGGGTTGCACGAGTACACAGGTCGTACATTTCGAGCCGCCTATGCTGTTATCCGGGGTACGAGTATGGTTTGAACCCTGTTGTGCGAGCATGAGGCTTCGGCTACGATTCGGCGAAGCTGACTCCTTCAAGGTTGGCATTGGCCTTGACGCCTTCATCAAGGTGGCATCGCGCGAAAGTAGATTCGGGGCCTGGTTGGGCATGACTGCGATTTATGTTGTCTGTTCTTTTTTTGTTTGTGCTCGCAAAACAAACATCTGAAACTTCTGCACACTAGCGCCCTTCTAGCCTCGCGAGCTCCGACGCGTCCCCGGGTGCACCGACGCGTGTACATCATTGCACGCGTAGCCAGCTTGCCACACTCACACTTCAACCGGAACCACACAGGTGCAGACGTCACCTTGGCCACCACGGAAACAAACAATTCGGCTGTGCAAGCGTGAGGCTGGATAATGTGGTCGAGCTTCCTTTCTCGGGCGCGTCCTACCCCTGAGAGGACACCGGCACCTGCAGTACAGTGCACGGTCTACGCGTCGGAAGATGTAGCTGTATCTGTGGAAGGCAGACATATCGATATTTCGGAGTTGCAGCCGACTATTGTTCTCGACGATAGCGGCGATGCCACCCTATTGGTGGGCACGGGTTCAGCTGGCCTTCAGCCGGTCCAGGTATCTTCGACAGCCATGACTTTGGCCAGCCCGGTATGGAAAGAAATGTTCGAGCGACATCGAAAGGAAAATGGCGCTATCGAGGTACCATTACGAGATGACGAAGTGGATGCATTGTACATTGCACTTCGAATAGCTCATCTACGCTTCCACGAAATACCCCGGAAGGACGGTCTTACTATTGATGCCTTACTTGAGCTCGCTGTCGTATGCGCCAGGTACGACATTGTCAAGCTAGTTCGACCATTCTTGGATCTCTACGGCTGGGCTCAATGCCACTATCCTGACACAGACGCTGGAGAAAGATGCGAACCGGCTTGGTTCTATGTTGCTTGGACCTTTGGGTATAAAGACAGCTTCCAACGTCTTACTCGGTTCATAGTGAAGAAGATTGGGCTGGATGAGGATGGAAATGCCATCATGGACGATGGCCAGAAACTTCCCAAGTATATGCCACCCGCGCTTCTCGGTATGTCACTACACCCTTTCAGTTGAGACCACTGCGGACATATGCTAACCGGCCTCCAAGAACGTATGATGGAAATACGGGAAATAACACTTTCGGCTATGTTGGACGTTCTCTACGACATCCTGGACGATATCATACACGTCTTCGTTTGTCAAGTCGATGAATCATGGGAGCCCAAGTGTCGGGCTATGGTCCTGGGTTCCTTCATCTCTTTTCTCTTGGAAAACGATCTCTATCCAGCACGACGTACAGCTTCCGAAACTCCTTTCAGTATTCAGAAGCTTTACGATTTGGCCCATTCTGCTCAGATCTTGACCCTCGAATCGCATGATTATAGGGAGATGGCATCGTGTGTCCGAAGATCTAGTTGGGATCCAGCAAGCGTCACAGCAGATACCTTCAAAAATCATGGCGGATTGACTTTGCACAAGAAGTGCTTTGGGGCCTTCCACCTCCGGTCCAAACTGAAGAACATCTATTCCGACATAGGCTCAGCCGTGCTACAATCCCATATTGAGCACATGGACAAGCAGGCTCTGAAATGAATTCTCTAGCTACGATGACTGGTCGAAGAGAGTTTTACGAGACGCAATACCTTGAGTGAGCCGATTTCGACAACATTTGAGCCTCGATCGCCGGATGGCAATACTGTGGTTTTCTAGATTGTCTTGGAGATCTATTGTTCAACGTACTGTTGAGTTGCGGCGGATGGTTGTTGTGGGATCACGTCGCTACAGCACAATGACGAGGCTCGGCTCGCGCTATTGCGCGCAACAACAATACCCCGCTCACAACGAGACTTGGTACTTGGCAACCGCTTCTTCGACCTTCCCGATTCAGTTGATCGAAGTTCAACGCGTCCACTTTGCAGGTACTCCAAGCCATCGCCAAGAATGCGTCGTAGTGTAACGATGCTCGGTTGTACTCGGAGTAATGCTGATAACAAGGCTGATGAGCATGTACACAAGCTTGGACGCCATTGGCGTCAATAGTGCCGTTGGGCTGCGTACATAAACCTCGATGGTCTACGATGTTCTCGTGCTTCAAGGTTGACAAGCTCGCGATGCTTCCTACCGTTCGTTCCATAGCCATTGCGCTGCTGGTATCCGCCGTGCCTACGTTGGCTCAATTTCCAGCGGAACCTGTCGGCTTGAAGGTTTTGGAATCGCGCTTTGGAGATGGCGTGAAGATCACCTACAAAGAGGTTTGTAGAACCTGAGAATCAACAATTTGCCCTGTCTAACGACACACCCCAGAACTCGCTCTGCGAAACCACACCTGGTGTCAAGTCATACTCTGGTCATGTCTATCTTCCTCCAGGAACCGCAGACTTAGGCCAAGGACAGGACTACCCAATCAACAGCTTCTTTTGGTTCTTTGAAGCTCGCGAAGATCCTACAAATGCGCCACTTACGATTTGGTTGAACGGAGGCCCTGGGTCGTCTTCTATGTACGGTATTCTGGAAGAGAATGGACCATGCTATGCGAACCCAGACTCGAACTCCACACGGCCGGCAGAATGGAGCTGGAACAGAGCTTCGAACATGCTCTATTTCGATCAGCCGGTGCAGGTTGGCTTCTCTTACGATACTTTGCAAAACATCACTCGGGATCTCGTTACCGGAGAGGTCACGCTTCTCAACGAGACTACACCCGTGCCTGAACAAAACACCACTCTTCTCACTGGAACATTTCCTAGTCGTGAGGCAAACAACACCGCTTTCGGTAGTGTCAACGGCGCCGTAGCAGCATGGGAGTTTGCGCAAGCTTGGTTCCAAGAGTTCCCTCACTACCTGCCGAATGACACCCGCATCAGTCTCGCAGCTCAGTCATATGGCGGACGGTACGGCCCCGCCATGATGTCTTTCTGGGAAGAGCAGAACCAGCGCATCGAGAATGGTACGCTGGGCGAGGAAGGCTACATCATGCATCTTGATACCCTGCTTCTCATCTCAGGATGTGTCGACCGCTATGTTCAGTATCCTTACTATCCGCAGCAAGCCTTCCGTGGGAACGGATACGGACTCGAAACTGTCAACGAGACAACATACAATGCTATGGTCGAATCGGTACCCGAGTGCCTCGAGCGCATCCAAAACTGTCGTGGTGCCGCTGCGCAAGACGACCCCGAGAATCTTGGTATCGATGCAGTCGTAAATGAGATCTGCGAAGACGCTGAAACCTATTGCCGCGCCAATATTGTCTCACCGTACAACCAATACGCAGGCCGCGACTACTATGACATCTCCACTCCATCACCACCACCTTTCCCACCCCCATTCCACGAAGGTTACCTGAACCGCGAATGGGTACAAGCCGAGCTCGGCGTCCCACTAAACTGGACTGGCAACTCACCCCAAGCCTCCGCCGCATACCGCGACATCGGCGACTACCCGCGTGACAACTGGCTCGATGATCTCGGTTTCTTGCTCGACAACGGCATCAAAGTCTCGCTCGTCTATGGAGACTTGGACTTTGCCTGTCCCTGGGGTGGCGGCGACGCTGTGGCTAAGGCTATCAACTGGACTGGATCCGCTGGCTACGCATCGGCGCAATACGCTGAGATCCAGACCAACGACTCCTACGTCGGTGGTCTCGTGCGTCAATACGGCAATCTGAGTTATATCCGTACGTACCAAGCTGGTCACGCGATTCCAGCGTATCAGCCTGAAACTGCGTTCAAGATCTTTTCGCGTGCGCTGTTCAACCTCGATATCGCTACTGGTACCGAGTCGACTGCTGGAACGGAAGAAAGCAGCACATACATGAGTACCGGTCGCCCGGATCCTGATGTGCAGTTCGATGCTTTCACCAGCGAGAGGCTCACGTACTGTTACACATGGGATTTGAGTTCCTGTACCGAGGATTACGTTGATGCTGTTCTGGATGGCTCGGCGGAGATCTGTCAGTACCTCGTTGTTGATGCGAACACTACGCAGCTTTTCCCGGAGGTTATCGCGCAGTGTCGTGCGGGTAGTGGTGGGAATGCTACAGTACCAGGTGGTAACAGTAGTAGTACACTCCCGGAATTTGAGGGTACTGCTGCGAAGATAGGAGCAGGCTCATGGACTTTGTGGTCAGGCCTCGTGATGCTGGTTGTGGCGAGCTTGGTGTTCTAGCCTGGTGAGCTGGACCGCGAATATGGATGCTGGGAGTACACAGATCAATCTCACAGCCGTGACAAAATACTACAACCACATCCTGAAGCATATTTATATGTCGTTTATGACTTGTTCTTCGTTATCTACCACTCATGTCTACTTCTCGTTTCCACTGAAACTCAAACATCAATGTTCGCACCAAACTTCTTAGCCTGCTCCCTTGCTACCTTATCTCCAAGACTGATGTCCTCACCACCCTCGCTTCCTTTACCCCCCTTCCCACTTCCACTCTTCTCGTTTTGCGCGCCCTTCTTCGCACTCCCGCTGTCTTTGCTCTTGTCACCGTGCTCCAAACTAGTTGCACCATGCAGTTCCTCCACATCAGCATGCCCTCCATGTTTCTTCACAATTTCATCCCCAGCTCCTTTGCTCTTGTTCGTCGCATCAGCCACACGCTGCGCCCTGGCATCCATCTCCTGTCCCTTGGTCGAACTCGTAGCGATGTTTACTTCATCCCTATCCAGCTTCGTGAATTTCTGGTCTAACTGGGAGCGCTCGGGCGAGGTGGCTGAGTGGTGGGGTTCTGTTCGCTTCTTGTTGTTGGAAGAAGAGGTGTTGGTTTTCAAGTGGTCCGGGGTTGGTTCTTCGTCCTCCTCTTCGAGGGGGTCTTTCTTGGGTTCGTTGACGCCGAATTGCTCCGCGTCGTCCGCGATGGGGGCTGCGGCGCCGCCGGCGCCCATGCCGGGAAGAGCTTGAGGGTGGGTTAGTACTTGAATTGGAGCATAGTCAATTCGTGTTCGTAGATCTTCTTACCGTCTCCTGCTTCCTGCTCAGGCATGGGTGCTACGTGCTTGGTGTGTTGGAGTGTTTTCTGTTGGTCATGTGTAAGTAAGCTTCATCTTCTCAATATACTAGAAGACATACGTCGCCCGACGCGCCATGAAGTAGCTCGTGACCCTCAATTGGGCCATTGTCGCCTGATCCATCTCCGTTGCGAGGCATAATTTTCGATTTGTGAGTTTTGGAAAGGTTAAGTGGCTTGTGATTATGAGTAAAGAGAAGCGTTTGTAGCAAGAATGATTGACCACAACTGTGAATAAACGACCTTGATATACCAGCTATAGCTACGGCTACTAGGTACCTTGGAAGTTGGCACGATTCCCCCAGTTCTAGGTTTCTGGTTCAAAGACGTCATAGCTTTTGTTTATTGTACGTGCGGTGACACTAATCGGCCACTAGACAGCGACGGAGGACATCCGGCACTTGCTTCTTTCGACGTGTCCACCTAGCTTCCCAGGCACCGCACCATTTTGGGGATAGTCACCTTTTCCCCATGTTTGGCGTAAATCGAGGCTTAACTGTGTGTTCTAGTTGCGGTATGTGAAGTGGAGCATTGGTGTTGAAATGTATATCGGATATCAGCTAAGGGTATAATACATATTATCAGTATCGCATATTCGTCATCATCATCATCATCATCATCATCGTCCTGCTCCACCATAAATCAAACAAAGAACCTCAATACACGACCTTGTGATCCCAAAGAGGCGCCTGCCTCACACTATTATCGTCCCATTCAACCTTTCCCTTTTCGTTCATTACCGCGCCCTCATCTGTGACCTCGACGCCATACGTTCCCAGGCTCTCAGTCAGCTCAGAAACCTCGCTCTTGCTAACGCCAGCCTGATCTCTGGCTAGCCAAATGACTTCCTCGCGTTGAGCTAGGGCAGGGTGGAGATAGGCCTCGAGGACGTCTTGTTTTGTGTATGCTGGGACCGGGTGACGGAAGTGTGTAGTCAGGGAAGAGGAGATTTCGCTCGCAGAAGCAGTATGTGGAGAGAAGATCTTCTTGAGCATGGATCGTTGTGGTTGTGCGCCCGATGGAGGTGCCATGCCAACGGCTTCAGCACCGCGGTGTTGGCGGTCTCCATCACTGAAGGTAGAAACAAGGGCCGAGTCAGATTGTCTGCTGTTATTACGTGGCGCATTGCTGACGTTGCTGTATCCAGGGTGCATGCTGTTACCCTCCGAAGCTCTTCCGGCTTCGGTGTCGTTTTGCTGTCGAGGGTGGTGAGAGTCGTCGAGCAGATTCATCTTCTTAATTTTGCGCTTCATGATGATGTGGAAGATGATAGTCGCTACGATCAACACGACCTGAAGCACAGTAGGTCCAGCAGACACGACGCTGTTCCCTATACCGATACCGAAAAGACCCAAAAGGCAAAGCTCTCCAAGGTAAACACCCACCATAAGCTGCTCAAGTGCGCGTGCGTAGAAACCACCTTTGGTGTCGATGTGGGTGTCGTGAACGTAGATCATGTTGTAGCGGTATGCAAGGTAGATGCAACCAATACCGGCTGTGGCGAAGCCCAAAACGAGCGGCGCGATGCATGCGTAAGACAGGGCGATAACGCCCAAGTTAGTCCATTTGGGATATTCCGCTCCCCACGATGGCTCAGTGAAGGACACGTAGCGCATGTACTTCTTTCTCGGAGTCTTTGCGAACTTGCTCAGGATGAACACACCTACTAGGCCCATCAAGTTAAAGAGATAGCGCGAAGCGTTGGCGAGCCCATAGAGGATAAAATATGAGATGTAGAAGTTGGAAGCCTTGGGAAGATTCTTGGATAGCAGAGTGATAGCGGATGATGGGTTGCTGACAATTTGGCTAGCCACTGCTGAGGCGCTGGAAGTAAAGGTCGTGATGAGGAAGACTTGGATAACCTGGAAAGCAAAGTACCATGTCTGGCACTGCTGCTCGACTTCGGAGATCGTAGCGGCTCCGGCGAGCTTTGCAAAAACTGTGAGGATTAGTAAAACATTTGGATAGGGTCATGACTGGTAGCTTACATCGACAGATGATAGGTACCAATGCCATGAGGACCGCAAGTAGGATGGTTGGCAAAAGTCCAGTAACTACACCAAGGATTACGGGAGGAATAGAGTCAATCCATGCTAGGAATGGCACATTCTCTGTAAGGTAGTTGATATTGCTGATGATACCAACAATTGCCACGGGTATAGCCCAGAATATGATGAGAGCCGAAATAGCGATAGTCGCAAGGAGATGCCGAATCATTCTGTTCTTTGAACCCATGTTAAGGTTCTTCCAGATGACCTCGTCAGGCAAGACACCCATCTGTCGGGAGGAGAAACTGGTCGGCCTGCGATGCTGGTTGTCATTGAAGGCGGCTTCAGCAGCTGCCATGGTATTGAATTCGATGAAGACAGCGCTGGCCAACTTCTCCTTGCCAGCGAGGTGAGACTGCTGCGCTGAGTGAATCTTGGGCAGCAATTCCTTGATCTGGTTGCGGTAGTAACCGATAGAGTCGACCTTGTGCCCAATCAAAGGCTTTAATCGATGCGTGGGTCGCAATGCTTTGTCGATGCTGTTCTTCTCGCTACTCTTTTTCTGCTGTTGCTTGGTAACTGCTGCCAAGTACTTGATCTCACTGGTCTCTAGTTTGGGTACTGTCTTCTCAAGTTCCTCAACATCGTCTTCTAGATCCTCCACATCTGGCACCAACCAGATCTGTGCCACCTCCGGGAACATGGTGTGAAGACGCTCGAGCGATAGATCCTTCTCTGGTACATCGGTGAACAAGACTGTTCGTTGCGAGATTCGACTCGCATTCCACGTGGATAAAAGGTAGGCCTGTCGAACCTTGACAAGGTACAACATCTCTCTGCCGATAAGAAACAAGACCCAGCCGAAGAAAACCCAAGCCATCAGCGCATGAGCAAAGTATCGCACCTCATTGTTGATGTTGGAGAAGCTGAGGATGTCCAGGCCTGACTGAGCACCGCCACCTGTCGCGTTTACAGGGAAGAGTACCGGCCACGTGATGATGGCACCGACGAATGCCATCAACGTGAGCACCTTAAGGAAGCGCATGTAGAGGTAAGCATCGAGGGAATGGTGGTTGAGGACGTATTCGTCGCTGAGGTGCATAAACTTCTTAGTCCAACCCAAGAAACTCTGGCCTGCTGATGGTGTCTTTTCCCTGCGGTAGATGTCAGCGTTGATTGGGTAATGGTAATACTGAAGCACATACTCGTCCAGCAGCGCATCGTGATATGTTCGCGGTGCATATAACCGCTTCTGCTTAGCACGCAGCAAAAAGAAAGCTCCTACGAGAACTGCAGCGACTACGATACATGGTACAAGTGTTGATACCATAGCAGACAGCGACGAGCTGCTGCTACGGTGGCTTCCCTGCTGCTGAGACATGACGGGCGATGTCGAGGGTGTGGGAAAGGTCACGCTGCGAGAAAGCCGTTTGCAAAGTATCTGTGGAGCAGGTCAAGCTACCTTCATGTATTGAAAGTATCTGAATCGTTCCATAATGGCGCTTGCATCATAGCACCCAACCTTTGGCGTTTCCCCATAAACATTCAATGTCATAGTACATGATCGGCACATACGTTCCGACTAGTCGCATGGTCGACCAAATGAGATGAACCAGGGGCAAGTCGCGCGAACTCGGAGGCTGGAACGCTTGAAGGTTAGAGGTTGGAAGGTGACTTCGCCCATCAATTACGTCGATCCCAAGACCGTAGCGCATATGTTGTAAAGCTTGCGGGGATCAACCGTCGAACACAGCGGGGACCAACGCTGGTGTCGTCATTTGCCCACCACGAAACTCGAACAATCTCCGCAAAACAAGGCAGTGTATTCAACAGGAGCTTCTGGGCATTGAGTCCGCTACATTTAGTCTGCCGTTTTTGCCGTATGACATTATCCTAGAGCGTGGTCAAGAGCATCATCGTTGAAATCTACTAAGGGACGTTTGTTGAGTGGATGTGTTGGGGCGGGAACTCACAGCGAAAATTTGCCCAAAGGGTTATGGCGCAGTCACTTAGCCACAAGTAAGCTTCAAGGGGACGTGTGTCAGGCTTTCTCCATGCGCCACTGTAGAGTAGGTGGGTCTGAATCTCCTTGTGATCCATGCACATCCTCAACACTTGCTCCTTACTGCATCCTGACGTGCCAAATCGAAGCATCAGCCTTAGACTCTGTAACTCGAGCGTTTTTGAAGGGGACAGCATACTAGTACTGTACTAATTCGCATCTTTAGACAATCACAAGCTGTCCTAGCCGCCCATGACTTGTTCGTAACAACACCATGGTAATCGATCAGGCCCTGTCACTGTTCTTCAGCTTGTAATCTCAAAAGCATTTGGCAAGCTTGAATGCCAAGCGGCAAGCTGGGCAACGCCTTCTGGCCTATCCTGAACCAGCGCAGCCCACCTATAAGCACGGATGACGCTGCGGTGTCGTGGGGCATGTGAACAGTTGTTCTGCATCTCCATCTACTAGTATTCGCCTCAATGTCGCAAACCGTACACTCGTCTTCTATCTGAGATAAATTACATGATGACAATGACCGAGGCCTGGAAAGAAAGTTTATTACAGTCGCTTGCAATCGGCCACGAAGTACGCCAACGACAATGGACTCCTCCGTAGAATTCGAGGAGTTTCCACAGCCTGCACCCTCTCAACTGGCCCTATTACAGATCTACACAGATGTGTTAGAGGGCAACGATATTCCAGGAACAGCAGCAAAACGGATTCATAACTGGGTGCTATCGGTGCCAGAGAGTGATAACTCCTACAACACATACTCCGCCTATTACGAAGTGCTCCGCGTGTTGTTCTCAGGAGCAAGAGCACTCTCATCTCGGAAACAACTCCAGATCCTGGCGGATCTCACTGTGGAACTCACAAAACTACCCAATGTTTACAACAATACAGACGACCCGATAGAGATTACACAAAACAATACACCCAAATCGATAGAATGGGGAGAAGGTCTCCTCGTCGTAGTTCAACCAGGGGAGAGGATTAAGCTACCTTGCACAACGGGAGGAGAATTGTAGTCCGGACTGCCGGATTTTGTTGCGTGGATCGAGGACGATCTCAATGGCGGGCCACTTCAGTTTCGTCCTCAAGACACTGAGGTTGTCGGCCTTGGTGGTCAGCAGCAAATATCTCGCATAGCCGAAGGCCGATACACCAACATCAACACGTTCGCTGCTCTGATTGCACGACAACACCCCCCGCAAGGATCTCCTTTGTGTAGTTGTGTCGAGTTCGCCTTTGCCACGTTCGCTTTTCTAGAACACGGCCCTAATACGAACTATGATAAAGAGGCACACCTCACCGTTCGAGCAGCAGCTACCTGGTTGATTATTGCAGGTGAAGAATTGGTGGCTTCAGGATCGCCTTCCACCAAGTATGACTATACTTCCAGGACTGGCAGTTTATGGGAGGCCGAGGGCGGTACCAACGCAGTGGATGACAAGCGACTGCGGTTCTGGAAAGACAGGTTTCAGCAGATCCGAGAATCTGGGAGACTTGTGAGCCAAGAGGCTGTGGATGCCACGATTGAGGCTGCGGCAGTCCTCGATAGGTTGATTGCTGCGCAAGGTTGAGATCGTCAGCGGTACCAATAGTACGTACCCAGACACACTCTACATTGTCTAGATCACCACTGGATCGATGCAACTGCCAATCCGTTTGAAGACAAACTATACCCAGATTGTTTCCACAACTGCGAGGGTGTTCCTATGCCGGCTGACTGCAACGCTGTCACGGCAGCCAGTATCCACGGCTGCATATACGTCCGTCCCCCACTGACGCGCTGCACTTCATTCTTTAGTGTGGAAGAGGACATGGAAGCCAGCTGCGGGATTAGACAAGAACGTAAGAACCAACACTTTGATAGCTCTTCATCCTACAAGTGTATACGAGCACGGTGCACTGCAATCTCTAGCACGAACGAGCAGACATGTACAGGCAGTAACCAATCAACTCCCCCGTAACTGGTTCTCATACAATGCCATGTTCAAGAGTCCAAAATTAATAGCATCGTCAAAACTATAATACATCTCTCCATCGATCCTCCAGAATAACCTTAGCTCATAAGCAACCTCGTAACAGCCCCCACATTCAGCGTCCTCAGATCACTATAATGCTGCCCGGTACCCAAAAACACCACCGGGATACCAGTGGCATGCACCATGCTCACCAGCGTCCCCACCATATCCCCCACAGTATCACACTTGGAAATGACAAAGCCATCCAGGCTCCTCCCCGCACCAAAAGAAGCGTTAAAGTTGCGCGCCTGAGCCACGGAATCCGTGCCAACTAGCGCTTCACCCACCATGAGAATCTTGTCTGGGTTAGCCAGTTTACCGAACTTCTCGAGCGAAGACATGAGACGTTGGTCGTTGTGGCGGCGACCAGCGGTGTCGATGAGGACGACGTTGAAGCTGTTCTTTGAAGCGAAGGTTACGGCATCCGCAGCGATGTTTGCTGCGTCTTTTCCGTATCCCTTTTCGAAGAGATCGACTTGGCCTCCTTCTCTTTGTGAGAGCTCCTTTAATCTATCTACGTGGACGCGTAGTTGCTCGACGGCACCGGAACGGAAGGTATCTGCTGCTGCGATAAGGACGCGGTGGTGGTTTTGTAACAGGAAGAAGGCGATCTTGGAAAGGTTTGTCGACTTTCCGACGCCGTTTACCCCGACGATTGAGAGTACGTAGGGGCGGGATGTGGTGGCGTTGGTGTGTTGGATCTCGCGAAGGAGGTCGAGGGAGGAGGTGGGGGTAAGCATCTTTGTAAGGGCTTTCTCCATGGAAGACTTGAGCGTCGTCTCGATTGCTATCACGATAGTTAGTATACATGTTTGGTAAGAATCAGATATATGGACTGACTGGTGAAGCTTGGAGTCTTCATGCCCACGAGATCCCGCTCGACGCTTTCGCACAAGCGCACTGCTGCTTCGAGGGCTACGTTTTTGCGAAGGAGATGCTGTTCCATTTCTTTCAGTGGCTTTGCCAGGGCCTCCTTGGTGAGTGTCTTGCCGCCTACTACGTTTCTGAACAAGCCGCCAATTGCACCCAAACTGGACCCTACAAGTCCACCAGATGCAGCGGGTGCCTCTTTCTCCTTCTTCGCATTTTGTGCTGCAATGATTTCGTCCATTTCTTCGTCGAGGTCCTTGAGCACAAACTCGCCCCTGTTCGTCTTGTGGCCCCATGTCTCTGGTCTAATCTCCTCGAGCGCTTCGTTTCCTGATGCATCGCCCCGAATGTCCGATTGTGAATAGTCGAGAACAGAATCGTCCTGCTCTTCTGCGCCGAATTCACCCCATACTCTGCCCTTCTTTGCTGAGCCCTTGCCCTTCTTCTTTGCTGACGCTTCGTCGCCTGACGATACTGGCGCCGAACTAAAAGCTGAGGCCTTCTTTTTATCTCTCCGCGACATCTTCCCTCCAAACGGTCTTGCCTTTCCTGTCAAAAGCTGGCTTTGCGCAGGTGTAGAAGGTCTCGAGGTATCTGGCGTGGGTACTGGTGTTGAATCGGCGCTCGTATCGTACAAGGATTGCTGTGGTTTCTGCAGAGCCACTGGCTTGAGCGCTGTCTCGTCGGCGCTGTCATTGTCTGTACTCGATTCGGGGGTGGTGAGCTTGATGCTTGGTGCGCCAGAGTCGCTCGCGCCTTCCAAGTCATGCATCTGACGGTCAAAGTAGGCACCGAATTTATCGCAGTTGACCACACTGCTGTGTTCCGCCTTCAGCTGCTCGCCGTAGAGGCCGACGAAGAGTGCGCGCACATTGTCGAGCAACTTGTCGACCCATGTGAGGTGGACCAGACTTTGATATACAGCCTGTCGCAAAGTCAGCCACCGCGCATAGATATGTTCCAACACGCCGTGCTCCCACTGCAATCCATTGCCGGGTGTGGCACAGTAACACATACCACGAAGATGAGACCAAGGTCCTTTGCCGCCGTCCACTTCAAGGTATATCCCTCCTTCCTGTATGTAGGTTTTGAGCCAGCATCTTCAGATTGAGGTTGTATGCGCTCCTCGATGAAGACATCTCGTATTAAACTGTTGATGACGTTTGCGCCGACTGGGACGTAGGTGCGCGACCACAAGACGACACCAGAAGTGGTCAATATCTCAAAGGTATCCAACATGGTGAGGGTGAAGGACGGCGAGGGGGTTGCGAAAGGGAGACGTGGTGGTGCGGCGGGCACATGCGGGCGATGGGCTTATGACGAACGGCCGTGCGCGCTCTTGCCAGATGGTCGGAATTCGGAGGTGCCAACGACACCGCAGCTCAAGGCAGAAATTCAACAACAACCACGGCGACGTGTTCAATTGCGCATCTCAAAACTGTATCGCCTTTGTCTTATAAGCCTTTTCTGAACACCGCACTCGCTACACGGACCACCAATCACCAACCCATCGCGCAACCATGCAGCGCCCCAATTACGGCAACCCACCACCGGCGCATTCACCACCCTGTACGTGCCGAGATGTCTTGATCCATTCTTTCGAAGCATGTCTCATACTAATTTCCTTTAGTACACCATCCAGTTCCGCAACACGTTTCCACAGTTCCCCAGCTACGATCACCACCTCCCCCGCAACCCCCTTCACAACCTCAAAGCGGATATGGCTACGGACAGCAAGCTGGCGGGATGCCGCCTCAGCAGGGCGGATACGGCGTGCACCCATCATTCGGTGGCTTCATCAACGATCCTACTGCCCAATTAGGCTTCCAGATGGGAAAGAGCGCAGTCGACGCAGGGCAACACTACATGGAACAGAATGTATGTACCAGCATCCATTTACAGGTACATTACTAACAACACTCCAGCTAGGCCGTTTCGTCTCCGTACCCGCCCTAAAACACTACTTCAACGTCACAAACTCCTACGTCCTCACCAAACTACGCATCGTCCTCATCCCGTGGTGGCACCGCCCATGGTCGCGCCAACAACGACACGCGCCCGATGCAGCCGCCTCCGCCGCGTTATTATACCAACCTCCCCGCGAAGATGTTAATTCCCCAGACATGTATATCCCGACCATGGCCTTGGTGACATACATTCTACTTTCAACCTTTATTGCAGGTTTGCGCGGCGCCTTCAACCCAGAACTACTAGGTTCAACTGCTACCGTTGCTATCGCGGTCATCCTGCTCGAGATCTCCATCATCTGGATTGGCACCTACATCCTCGCTATCAAAAGCTCCTCGCAGCTCCTCGACCTCGTCGCATACAGCGGCTACAAGTTCGTGCACGTCATCGTCTCGCTCCTCCTTACCAACTTGGCTACATGGATTGGTTTCGGCAGCTCGTGGGTCGGCTGGGTTATATTCCTGTACTGCTTCAGCGCCAACTCTTTCTTCTTGCTGAGGAGCCTGAGATATGTGTTGTTGCCCGATTCTAGCTCGCAAGACAGCTATGGGGCTCCTGCCGCGGCGGGGTACACGGACACGAAGACCAAGAAGAGCAGGAGGACGCAGTTTTTGTTTGTTTACAGCTATGTGGTGCAGTTTGGGTTTATGATTTGGCTGAGCAAGGTATGAGCGGGGCGCCACAAATGGAGTATATTTTACCCGGAGATGGGGATGACAAGGCATGTCCCACTTAGCCCACTGCTTCGACTCGAGAGCATATACGAAGCTATGTTGCGATAGCCATGCCAACAATCTGTGCATGCGAGCATTTAGCGCGAGGAAAGAGAAGCGTATGAGGAATATGATGTATTATGTATTTACCAGCGCTCAGCGTCAGCATTTGAGAACTTGGTTTCAAAGCATCCTACGGGGAATTCGAGGCATGATAGAATGTAAGAAATTCTCATACTGAAAAATCTATATGCATCTAAATCATGTTGCATGCCATGCACATACAACGCCTGAAAACATCGAAATATGTCTCCCGAGATCTAGAATGTGACCACGAACACCAGACCTCCACCGTAGCGCCATACCCATACGTAATCCCCTAACCCCTTCCCTCGAACCACACCATCTAGCCCACAACAGGAATAATCCTGCCCATAGCCCTCATCTGCCCCGCACTTTCCTCAATCTCCCTCTGATAATCCAACACTACCTCTCCAAACTGCTCAATCTGATCCTGAGCCCTCGGCGCCCCAATCAACACAATCCCCCTTGGCACAACCACATCAGCAACCTGGAAGCAACCAAAGGTAACTACCTTCTTGACCGCAGGACACGACCGGAAAATACCTGCTACAATCTGCGTGTCGACAATGGGGCAGAAAGATAGGTTGATCTCGCGGAGATGAGGATATTGTTTTGAACCGTCAAAGACTTCTGTAAAGGTAGCGTGGGAAATGTGGCGGCAAGAGGAGATGTCTAGGAATTCGAGGCGCGAGCCGGAATGTGCCATTAGGGCGCGGAAACCGTCGGAGGCGAGGCCGATAGGCTCATCTTCTGGACCGTTGGGGTTGGTGTTGTCCATGTCGCGGGTTGAGTTTATGTCGATATAGTGGAGTGGTGGGTTGTCCCAGTTGGAGAAGAGATTAACGTAGCCGGCGTCGGTGCATTCGTTGTTTTCTGTGAAGCGGAACTTGCTGAGATGGTGGCAGTTGTTGTGGATGGCTTCTAGGACGTCGTCGGTGGGGTCTGTGGTGTTGTCGAGGAAATGCTCTAGGCATAAAGTGCATAGGTTGGCGCCGACGGAGTTGACGAGGTGAACAAGCTTCTCGCGGGTGATGGGATCGTAAAAGCGGAGTGTGAGGTGCTTCAAGTGCTTCAGGTGAGCAATGGCATCGATGCTGTCGGGGCCAATCTTCTTGCAACGCTCAATCTTCAACCGCTCAAGATTTGGGCAGAAAGTTGTAAGTGCTTCTACCACCTGATCGTCGAATGCGGCGTCTAGCCACTCGACTTTCAGCGTCTTTAGGTCTTGGCCTCGGGCAATAAATAGTTCGGCCCACTTGTCGTTGGATACGAGGTTGGCTCCTAACAACTGGATCTCTTCAAGTGCCTTGGCCTTCTCGTTCATGTAGTCAATGTTGCTGTCCTTGAACTGACAGCAGTTGCGAAGAGACAGCCGCTTGACGTATGGGCACACGGCGAAAATCTGATCGTAGTCTTCCGTCTCAAGATAGGCCGCCTCATGGATTGCGACCGATTGCATATCAGGCTGGAGGAACAGCTTCATCGTGTTGGAGTTCATGGCTCGCTTCTTCGAGAAGATCTCGCTGATTCGGTTCATGATGCCCTCTGGCATCTCGCCCAGTTCGTCAATGTCCTCGGAGTGTTTGGCGAGCTTTTCGATGCACAGCTGCTGTAGCGTCTTGGGTCCGCGCACAGTCATACCATCAAGACGGTTGCTCTCAATCTTCCTTCGCCCCTTGCGCACGACGGGCTTAGCCGCCTTCTTCTCTGCCTTTGCATCCTTTGCCATCTCTTTCCCGCATGGTGTACAAAGCAGCCCGCCTTCTGGACCAGCTTTGCTATATGGTGTGACGGTGAACCGTTTGTTGCAAATCTCGCAGTTCTCCAATTGGCCTGGAAGTGGCTTGGCCTTCTTGTACATGTCCATGACGTCTTCAAAGTCTGAATCATCGTCTGGGCCCTTCTTCTTCTTCTTTGACGCCTTCTTCGCCGCCTTGCCTTTCTTGATCTTCGCTATGGCCTCGTCTTGGTTACGTTTACGTTTGCGTGTGCGCTCGGCTGCCATTGCGGAAGACTCCGCTTGGAGGTCTTCTTCCACATCTTCGCCATCTTCACCAGCATTCGATGGTCCTTCGCCATTGTCTCCTGATTGTGCTGTGTCTTGCTCGGCTTGTCGGACCCGCTGTTGGTACGAATCGCGAATCTCTGCCGCGGAAATGTTGTTCGCCTGCAATCGTGTGATTAGCGAATATCTTTCTCAAATATCGCTTGCAATGCCGTTTGCGCCGCCGCAGTAGCCTTGAAGCACGATCCGCCGTTCGTCTTCATGTCGCATGGCTCGATAGCCGCGCAACTTCATTTCTACGGAATATATTACTCACGGCCAAAAAATCGGTCAGCGCAGAGTGTGGCCCCCGAATGCCGGCACCTCTAGGTCGTCGTCCGCTCCTGTCGCCACTCGTCAGTAATGCGCTCTTTCACTCAGTCGAAGTCCCAAACTTGACTTACATATTGCTTAACTCTTTTTTGTGTTAAAGTTGCAATCCTAAAGAAAATAAATGAAAGAAAGTGTTGTGAGACAATCGTGCTGAATGAGTGCGCCTTGAGTGAGTGGGGTGAGACATCGATAAGAAGGCGCGTTGGGGTCCGGGCAGCGGCAGTCGCGCAATCACGTGGTGGCAATTAGTTGCTTGTTCCGGATTAGTCTACCCCTGACAGCCGCAAGTCTCTGTCACTTCCACCATCATTGCGCTATATGGCTATCCTTAACGCCTTGAATTGAGAATTTCAACTCATGAAGCTGTGAGGATCTCGTCCATTCTCTTGTGGAAAACTGATTAACCACATGGCCGCGAGCCAGCCTAGTAAAGCAAAGTAATTCAAAAAAGCCAATTCAAACCCATAGTCCCAGATACCTTGCTCAATTCCAAACCTTACTCAATTTTGTATCTTCATCCTTAGCTGTCCTCTCCACATATGAGAGTCAGGTGACTAGATGATCGTATCGTCATCACCATCATCATCATCATCATCATCATCATCATCATCCTCCTTATCCTCTTCATCGTTGTCAGAGTCCCAGGCACCGACGTCGGAGTCAGTCTGCCGGGCAATGTCACCCATAGGCATCTATAACACAGTTAGCATGAGTTCTGGCTACAAGCCAAGGTTCAAAGTGTTTTAGAGAACAGGATCTTTATACGCTGTGCTATGAGGACAAAACATACCATAGGAGGACCGCGAGGAGCAGCACGGATCTTAGCCCATCCATTGGGACGGATCTCAGAAGTATCAGATCGCTCGGCCACACTGGAGGCGAAGGAGTGAGATGTTCCGGCGACTGAAGTAGTGGAGCGATGGTAAGCGTTAGGGTTGAAGCCTGAGTTTGCACTAGAAGCTGCGTTGGACTTCGTGTGCCATGACTTGGTGCGTTGTTCGCTCCAACCGTCACTGTTGCCCTTTCCAAGAGCAGCAGCGTAGGAGTATTCGGTGTCGATCAGGCTCTCATCCGCTGAGCCGGTCATGGACATAGCTTTCTGGAAGTCAGCCGACAATGCAATGCCTCCGTCTTCCATATCTTTATGTTTGGGGCGTCGGTGGCCGTTGTTGATAGACCCCCAGTCATCATCGCTCTACGTCAGTCAGCATATTATACAGTTTCCTGGTGCTATGCACTGATTGCCGCGAACATCTGTTGCGAATACTTACATAGGTAGAAGATGTATCGGTTGTGGCTGAGGAGAAGTACTTAGGATATTGGCCGTTGGAGTGGTCGGGCGTAATGAATGCCTTTTCCAGATCCTCATAGCGATCCTCGTTGAACGGCTCGTCTGCAAGCTGAGCCTCAACGCACTTGAAACATTTGGCAGTATCGGGCTTGGAGCGCTGCGATTTGGCGAATTCTTCTAGACCCTTCGTCTTGCCGCACATGGTGCACTCGATCTCGACCTTCTGCTGCCCAGTGCATCCTTGACAGTTGATGGCCTTGTAGATCTTGGTTGAGTTTTTGATTTGCCAACGTGCATCGGTCAGCTGCTTGACTGAGTACTTGGCTTGTGGGAGGTTCTTGTGGCACCGGCCGCATTTAATCTTGGTAGGAAGCGGGATGCCTCTGAACCTGTTAAGGTTAGTTAGCAGCGGGTCGGTCAAGACACAATTCTTTCAAGGTCATTTGATCGTTCGTCATGCTATTGCTCCCCTCGTCAGTTCACGTCAGTGTACGTACCTATCGATCTCGTCCTGGTTGTAGGCGTGTACATTGCGGCGGCCTCCCATTATGAACGACTGGTGTTGTAGGAGAGAGTGGGAAATATCGTAATGAGACCGAAGCTGAAATATGTCTAATGAGAGTCTCTATATAGAGGTGGAGACTTGAGTGAGGTGTTTTGGTGGGAACTGCTAACGTAACCGTTTGTTTGGGCTGAATTAAGGTGAAGGCAGCAACGAGTGAGAGGAGTTGCAGCTGCCCGAAGCAAACATGGCATGTGATACTGCGATCTCGCCAGTTGGCAGCAATTCTCGTCTGCAAACATCTCTTCGTTCTATCCTGATGTTTAACTCCTTTGGTGCTAAAGTTGTCACAGTGCATGAGTTTGCTCGAACTTTATGTTGTAATATACCTGGCCCATAAGAGCCCGGATCGTCTTCATGCTGTTCAATCTGAGAATCAATCCGGTATTCGCAATACACTTATGTAAACACAATTGAGACCTATAATGCAATCATTAAGACTCTTAGTAATAAATGCTCAATCTTCGGGAGGGAAGTGTTCTGCTCGAGTCTACCAGGAGTGGATCAAATCAATCTCAGTACGTATTTGTTCCAGTTTCACGTGAATATTCAGGCAGGTCTGATGTCTGGATGGCAGATGTGATTATTTTATTTTCGTAGTGACTGCTCCTGGCTTTGTAACAGGGATCTCGCAGACCATGCCTCCATAACTACATCTAATCATCACCACCACCAATTGGACCGCTCACTTGCTTTGCCGATTTCGCAGCGACAATATCGTCGACCCTGAGCAGTAGGCAAGCGCTCTCAATAGCAGTCTTGACGCTCTGCTCCTTGACCGCCAGAGGCTCCCATACGTTGTACGTTCGCATATCGACGACCTTGCCTGCATCGCCGTCGATACCCCAGGTACTGCCAGTGTGCTTGCCGTCTTCGTAACCCTCTGCATGCTTTGCGCGCAGTTGGGTGAGCACCTTGATAGGACTGTTTCCTGAGTTCTGGATGAGTGTGCGTGGGATGACCTCCATGGCTTCAGCGACGGCCTTGTACGGCCACTGTGCAACGCCCTCGATCAGCTTTCCTCGCCTGTCCAGACCGACCGCGACAGCCATCTCGGTTGCACCACCACCGGGGCAGAGCTTAGGGTTCCAGATTACGTTCCTGGCGACACCCATGGCATCGTGCAAATTCCGCTCGATCTCGTTCAAGATGTCTTTTGAGGGCCCGCGGAGCAGGATGGTGCATGCCTTCGGGTTCTTGCACTTTGTGAGGAAGGTGAAGTATTCGTCACCAATCTTGGAGATCTCGAAAAGACCACACTCAGTACCGATGTCTGAAGCGGCGGCGGAGAATACGGAGTTTACGATTGTCGCACCTGTTGCACGAGCGATACGGTTGTTGTCTGTCTTGCGAACTCGGCGGATGGCGGTGATGTTGGCCTTGACGAGGTAGTGCTGTGCGAGATCTAATCCGTATTAGCAAGTCTACAGAAAAACATGACCAATGCGACCTACCACTAACACCCTTCTCGGTGATGACAAGATCGGGCTTGAGAGCAATAATGGCATCACACATCTGCTTGACTTGCTCCTCCTCAATTTGGAGTATCCTGTTCCAGTCCTCCTCTTTGCTGACCTCGATGTTTGTCTGACTCTCACCCTTCTTGTATTCTAGTGTGCAGTCCAACAACAGAACCTTGGGGTTTTCAATTCTCCGCCTCATCTTGGGGTGTGTGATGTCCTTGTTGACCATGACTCCGTCCAGAACCTCGCTGTCCTCAATCTCACCGCCAGGGATCTTCTCGATACGTGCGTAGCGCTTGATGTCGACCTCCTTCTTGCCAGAGCCGATGTCGAGGGAAACGGTCCGCACGGCCTTCAGAGCTAGACTGCACATCAATTCTGACCACCGAGTTACGAACTTTGTGCCGATGGAAGAGCTGATGATCTTGTACATCTGCTCGTCGTCGTTGACGTCGACTTCGACCGCGACCTCGTTGATGATTTCGAGGGCATCGGCGAGAGCCTTCTTGAACGCTTGGATAATGACGACGGGGTGGATGTTGCGCTCAAGCTGGGGCAGAGCTTGTGCGAGGATTTCTCCCGCTGTTGATTGTTAATCCATGCTTCTTCAATCTCCCCGCAATATCCACAAACCTAATATGATGACGGTGGTTGTGCCGTCGCCGACTTCCTCGTCTTGTGTCCTACTCAGCTCGATCATGCTCTTGGCGGCTGGGTGTGCGACTTCGATCTCTCGGAGAATAGCATGGCCGTCGTTGGTGAGGACGATACCGCCCATGGGGTCGAGCAGCATCTTCAACATAGCCTTGGGACCGAGACATGATCTGATGATGTCGGCGACAGTCTTGGCTGCTGTGATGTTGGATAGTTGAGCTTTGCGGCCAAACTGGCGCTCCCCGCCCGGGGTCTGCGTGTCTGTTGATGTGTTAGTGGGCTGTCGCAGCTTCAGATCAATGACTGAACATACTCATAACAACCACTGGCGCCTGCATCTTGAAGGAAGGCGTCTAAAAGCAAGGTATACAAGGAAGAGGGGGTCGAAAACAGAGTTGCGTGGGGTATCTTGCGTTTGGTGCCTTGCAGCTCCTCCACTAACTTTTGCTACCAAAAACCGCGTCGCAGCGCCGCCACTATGCCGGCGCGGATTATCTGCGACCGGCCACCAGCCACAGTTGAGCCACAGCCCAAGCGCTCTGTTGAGTCACGCTTTTCAGCTCGCGATCTACGGCAACTTCCACCTACACCCTGGTCGACCCTGCCTTACACAGCGCCTTGGCGCCTGCCGGATACGGCAGCCTGACCTCGCGTGACGGCCAATGCGCGCTAGACTTGCCCTGGAGATCTCTCGCCGGGCTATTTTACCCTACATTCTGCCGCCCCTCACCGCGTCGCAGCCAGCCTCTCACGGGACTCGCGCGCAGCTTACAAGATGGCTCTGGTGCCCTCAAACCTTCCTTCCCTCCTCTCACTTCTTTTGCGCCAAACTTCCGCACCCAGCCTTTCTTCTGTTCTTAACTCGAGCGGTCCCACACCTCGATCGGTTTTCCTTCATCTTACCACTCCCATCAACATCTCCCTTCACCCATCATCTCCATCGCGCCTTACCATCTCGCCATCATCTACCCTATCGCTGTCGCTTAGTGACTTCATTAGAACGTCGCATGCTCACTGTCTTGTCTTAGCTAAAGACAGATCTTTGTATCCTTCAAACACTCCATCATTACTAAACTACTAAACATACAGTATGGGTCTTAATTACTACGCTTCGGCGCCAACCGTAGTCCTGGCGCCCCAGCAACCGCAGGGTTACTTCTCCCATCACCAGAGCGCCGCATCACCAATGGGTAATTTCCGCCCCAAATACCCTACTCCGCCTTCGCTCAACTATCTAGCCGCCGTTTCCAATGCCACCGCTGGTCGCAAACGATCCATCGCCGACGTCGATGAACCAGAGGAGAACCTACCGGCCGGATCAATCGTCACTCAATCGCCTTCAAAGCCCAAGCCCGAGCCTGTATACGGCCCAGGGATGACGCTCATCTACCCTGGAGAGCCTGGCTATACCATGGCAGCCGAGTCGCAATCCGGCACCTGGTACGAAGAGAAGATCGAGAAAGAAGAGAAGGCTGACGCCGCCCGCCCTATCGCTGTGTCGCGCAAGTCAGTACGCATGAGCCCAACCGCCAATATCGAAGTCCCCTCCCTCAACGACATGGATGCTCAGAAGACTGAAGAGCTCATCGACGACAAGGGCAACACTGTCAACACACTCATCACATCCCTCGGAGTCGGCTGGAAGAACGTCATGACCAACCCAAACCTACGTGATGCAGCACGCGCATACTCCCGTGTAATCGAACGTCATTTCGATTTTACCGACGTCCTAGTCATGCTGGAGAAGGAATCACTCAACGCTTATCTGGTACGCGCGAAACAACACGGTGTCCAAGGCTACTGGTTATTCTCGGACAACCTCCAATGGTGTCAGCTCGTTGGTTGGTCATTAGAACGAACAGTCAACAACCTCATGTTCGGCTCTACTCCTCGCGTCGAGGGTGAGCGCATCAACGCTCGCCAACTGACACCATCGTCGGAAGCTGCCACCACACCTATCCCTCAACCAGTGGCGACTGCGGAGGTCGACGTTATGGAGATGTGACGCGTCTCAACTCATCTCTTCTCTTCCTTCTTGTTTTCCTTACCCTATGAACGGCAACAAAGCACGTATCGGTTATCATTTCGACTGCATTGATTTACGGTTTTCGACGTGGTTTTCTTCTTCGGCGAATCGGCGTTGGTGGTGGAATCGGATGGCTCACCGGAAGTGACTCTATCTGACATGTACTATATTATTATGATGCCTACGCTGTGATGCTTGATCAGACATACTCGATCGCGTCTGACAGCACGTGCCGCTAAACTCAACAGGCAACAAATCAAACGAAACTATGAATATCTTTTACAACAACATCTTTTACATGCTAGTGCTGACATGAATCCACTAAATTCTAACTGCCTATGTGCTTCTCTAACTCAATTCCAGAGCTACAGACACGTCCGCTAGTAACTGCGGTACTACGATGAAAAATGGCATGAGCTGCTCCTCGGCCTCTCCTTGAGAAGCAAACACACCACTGGAAGCCCTGCCAGGCACGCAATCTTCCAGACTCTATTTTCAGCAGATCTACACTCGTTAAATATGATCAAACGCGCTTCCGCTGTGATACAACCAGAGCACTGAGAAGCGGGTGCCCCGAGCGAATGCCCCAAGCTCTGCCGGAACTACCGCTCCTCAGCAACGCGAACATATCGCGCGGAGGACGCGGCATCGCGTTTCCCGGACAGCAACCTCTTCCCAACACGTTTCTGACTCATGTGAACAACGCGAATGATTCAGGAATACCTGGCTTCCATCAGTGCGCATTGTTGACAGGATGTCAGCTTTGTTACATTGTCCGACGCCCGACGGTGTTTCACAAAGCGCTCAATTTTGCCACGTGATTGCTTTTTCGGGAAGGTTCTTTCCCATCGTACCGAGGTTCGCAACACCAGACGAAAACGAATCTGAGAGCCAGCTCATCACGATATGTTGAAGCTACTAAATATTTTCTACGAATGCGCACTCCTGAAAGTCTATGCGAATCGCTCAGGCCGTATCACGTGCATTTACTAGGACTCGCGATGACTAAACGTTGGTGTACGGCTTCAGTAACGTCTAATGCATTTCGTACGCGGACTTCTCTCAATATAGTCTGTAGATAATGGCCCCCAAGGTGGCGCAAGGGTGCCTGCAAGAGAGAGGATCAGACGATAGCGTAAGCAACAAACAGGATCTTTCACATAGTACTATGAGTATCGTCGAATTTTGTGCGTCTCATTTTGAGCCTGATTATTATCGTCGCTCTAGTAAGCGCAATGTTTGGTTCTATTTGGTCCTTGCTGCCTACCACGAAACGATCAGCCATACATCCTCAATGGAAATCCGATGGTAACCTCGAGATGCAGGTGCCTCTCACAGCCCAGAGTATCAAGAATAAAACTTCTCTCGACAGCTTGCGTCAATCACCGAATAGCCGCCCGAAGACAATGTCGATATTTGGGCTACCCAAACGTGCAGCCGAGAAGTATCTAGGACCTCGTCTCACTGGATGGCGATTTGGCGTGCTGAACTTTGCGGTCTGGGCTTCAGTCGTCTTCTTCATCAACTTCGTGGCCATGGTATCGGGTTTGGCTGCTACCTCTGGCGCCAAAGGCGTTCTCTTCGATGGAGATTGCGATCGTGTCAAGAGACTTAATACCGGGCTTCATCTGGGCATTAATATCTTGAGTACGATCCTGCTAGCTGGGAGCAACTATACAATGCAATGCTTATCTGCTCCCACGCGAAGCGAGATTGACTCCGCCCACAATCGCAAGCCTGGCGTATACCTCGATATTGGTGTACCTGGCATACGCAATCTCGGATATATCAGTCGGCGCAGGGTTATTCTTTGGGTCGCGCTTGGACTCTCGTCTCTACCACTGCATCTCTTGTAAGGTCAGAACTCATTCTGCAACCTTCACAGCTCACATGTGTCAGTTACAACTCTGCAGTGTTTGGTTCGGTATCTTCGAACGGTTACTGGGTGTTCTCTGTCGGCGAAGCATTTCTCCACGATGAGCAGTGCACTAATTGCTCAAACGAAGTCATGCACCAGAATGATACCAAACCTCGCTTCACAGATGGAGTTCCGAGGAAAACCGTGCTGGAAGCCATCCCTGGGGAAATTCCAATGGCACTCGAAAGCCTCTGGAGCAATGCGCGCGCAGGTACCCTAGAAAGGCTTGAGCCTGCTCAATGCATTGACGAATACGCCACTAGCATACAGTCCAATCGAAAAAATCTACTTCTTGTCTCTAGCGACGACAACTTCCCTTTGCCGATGGAAAACTACTTTATCCATGGCTCTCATGTATATTGGGCTGCCAAATTTGAAGTAGGTGCTGCGGCGGAGTCTGCAGCAGCTAGTAAGGCATTTCAGTGGGTATGCTCCATGTTGGACAAGAAGCACGAGTACTTGGCCACGCCATGTTCAGTTGAGGTAGAGGATGTCCGAAAGCAAAACTCGTGGCGAGTTGGATGGCTTTGTGACAAACAAGGCCTTTGTGCCATGTCACGTTCGCCAGTGGAATACTGTCTAAGTGAGCTAGCTCAGCCCCACTGCAAACTCCATTTTGAGCCTACTATTGCAACCATCATCACGATTCTCAATCTCTGTAAGTTCAATTCTCAATTCCCGTGCCTACGCAGACGCAATAGTACGAAGCATACGAGTGTCGACTACCAATACGAGATCGAACCAGTTCTGATCTTCCCCACAGTCAAAGCAGGCATTATGTTCTACGTCGCCTTCTGTGTTCACGATGAGCCGCTCATAACAATGGGTGACGCCGTTGCCTCTTTTCTCGATAAGAAAGACATGGCCACTAAGAACATGTGTTTGTCTACTCTAGCAGACTTTCAGGACCGCAAAGGATACCAGATGGGACCGCGGCAGTGGAGTGATAAGAGGTATCGCTGGAAGGACGTGACCAGTAAGTCGCGTAGAATCACTACTGTAGTCATGTGAGTTCCACCACCCGTGACGAAACATCTCTTCAGTTTGCTTACTTCTCCGCTTAGATTTCTACTCGCACTCATTGTCGTCAGCTCGCTGCTCAAGATGGGAATAGACAATCTACCCTCCGGGACGACATTCAGCCAGTTTGGATTCGGTACGTAAACTGTTGATTGTAATGTGATATTGAATATATCGCTAATTGCGTGTCCCCTTCAGGCGCCGTAGATCCTGAGACATCCATCCAATACATGCCACCGGATTTGATTTCCAACGCCGTTATCGCCAACACGCCCCAGCTGGTTCTCTCATTTCTGTACTTCAATTACAATGCACTCTTCACCGCCATGTTGATGGGCTACGAATGGGTCTCTTATTCACGGAAGCGCAAAGGCCTTCGCGTAACTCGTCAGCCTTCCGGTGCTCAACGATCCACATACTTCCTCCAACTACCCTATCGCTTCGGTATACCTCTCATGGTGCTCAGTGGCACGCTACATTGGCTAGTATCGCAAAGCATCTTTCTGATCGCCATTGACTTCTACGATGCCTTCGGAAATCCAGGAACTGGTTCAACCTATTTCGACTTTTCACTTGACTACAAGACTTTGGGTTATTCGCCAACGGCCATTATCTCCGTGATAGTGCTGGCTGGGCTTATGGTCATTAGCATAGTTGCTTTCGGGTATACACCATACAAGCGCGGTATGCCACTTGCAGGGAGCTGCAGTATGGCCATCAGTGCAGCTTGTCATCCGATGGAGCAAGTTGACGACATTGAAATTATTGCCGAGAAGAAACTGCAGTGGGGTGTAGTCGGTACTGGGGTTGATGGGCTGGGTCATTGTGCTTTTTCGGCAGAAGACGTGGGACCAATAGTGAAGGGGAGACTGTATGGCGGGGATTCGCTGTAGCCGACAAGTCATGCGCGCCCCCGAAATGCACGAACGAGCTCATGTTCACGAGACCCTACTCCGAGGAGTGATGAGTTTGCGCACACATAATAGCAGTAGTGTCTCATTCTGTATCACACAACGCATATATATCTTCGCCGCAGCAAGATGTTGGTTGAGCAGTTAGCGAAAGTGACTATATCCCTGTGCAGAACTGCAGCATTGTACTACGCTCTAGTGGAGCAAGTGTGCATGGCTTACTTAGCCTAGTGAAGCGTACTAGCTAGGAGAGGCTGCTGCCTAAACGTTGACAGTTCTCCAGACCCAGCCCTTAGCACTTGCAACCTCTTCTTGTACCTTTTCATCATTGCTATGCTCTTCTATCGATATAAACCACTGCAACATGCCAACTCTATCCGGCTTCTTATTCTACATCCAAGTCTGAACAGTTCAGACCCAATCAGATGCACGATTCAACACGCGCAACTCTTCGATGAGTCTCTCAAATACGAAGCAGTGTCCTATACTTGGGGCGACGCTACCCAAACGCAAGCGATATACTTCCATCGGGGCACGAGGGAGCTGCATGTCGGGCAAAATTGTTACAATGCTCTTCGGCGCTTACGACGTACTCATGGAGATCGCTTGCTGTGGATCGACGCTATCTGCATCAATCAATACAATCTTCAAGAACGAGCCCGTCAGGTTCGCATAATGGACAAGATCTACAATTACGCATCCAACGTCTTGGTGATCTTAAGCGAACCAAATGCGAATAGCAGTGCCCTGTTCGAGGAACTAGCAGCAGCGGACGAAGAATTGGCGCTTACAGGAGATTGCAAGCGAACTCCGCCGAGCGATGCCATAATCACATTACTAGAAGACTTGTTCCAAGATCCGTGGTTTACAAGAGTTTGGGTTTTACAAGAAGTCTGTGGCAAAGACTCTGTTGAATATATTTGCGGCTCCGCTATATTCTCATTTCACTGCATCCGCAAATTGTATTTCGGTTATCGTGGGACTATGGTGACTAAAGCATTGTGGCCCCGATCTTTGGAATGGATCATGGGCCCACCGGACAGTTTCACAACACCACAGTCCAACTTATGGAACCGACTAGGCGAGACAAGAGATTACCTGGCAACCGATCCCAAAGATAGAGTTTTCGCTCTCAAGTCCTTGATAGGCTCTAGACAATCAGAAATGGATCGCTTGATCGACTACACTCAGAGTGTGGAGGAGTGTTATACCCATATCGCCGCCTTTCTGTTACCCGTGGTGGGGCTTCGATTGCTCACCGCTGTTCGGCACCCACACAGCAAAGAGATGCCTTCATGGACTCCGGATTGGTCCCAGAATCTCCCACTGCACACTTTCTATCTTATTGATGAATTCGACCATGTAGCGAACGCTCAACCTGTGCCGCTTTTCCGCACTTCTGATAGTAAAAAGCACACGATATGGCCCTTCCTAGACAACACCCACAGTGGCTGCCTCGAGCTACATGTCACGGGTTGTCGTTATGCACAGATAGCCGAACAAAGTCAGGCGTTCAAGTTTAGCGATATAGATGATGCTGAGGGACAGATAAAGAAACTATACTACAGCTTCATCAATCTTGGGTGCTACTTCCACCCGGAAGGTGTGCGGGACGATCCTATGGTGCTTGCCCATTTAGGTACAACTATTTCAGACGGTAAGATCCGACTCTGTACATGGCACAAATGGTACTGATCTTGTTCTAGCTATGTCCTCTCTAGATGGCTTCCAACTCCATAGTCACCTCAGTCGCCGTTATACAAGTCTAGGTGTAAGTCATCTTTTCTCGCGTACGCAATACACCTTTGCTCTAACATTATAAGGCCGGTCCTCTCGATAACGAACGTATTCGTGCAATTTCGAGTTCTCTCCAGCAGTGCAGGATAAGCCTAACACGGAACGGTGAGTTAGTTTTTGTGCCAGAAGCTGTACAATGTGGGGATGTAATCGTCGTTCTTTCAGGGGCCATTTCAGCCTGTGTTGTGCGGCCTTCTCTAGATGGAAGCTGGACACTTATAAGTGGTGATTGTCACATATTCGCGGATGACTCCATGTTTTCGAAGGTTACCTGTTTCTTTATGTGCGACGAGTATGTTGCAAGTAACCAAGATAGAGTAGAAGAGTTTAGACTGAGGTGATATAACCATGGCTGCTCACAACCATCGCACTTTAAGGAAGCTCTCTCGTGCCTAGGGCTGTAAGTCGCTCATGTTTTGTGACGTTGCTCGAAATGTAGAACGATGGGGGGAGAATGTAGACAAAGTTGCTGTACCGCAGTGATTGATTTTATATTGGCTGCGCAGAACCTATTACTGCATCCAGCAGGTCAGCTCTCTAGATTAGGCATTGATTAGCTAGAATGCTTTCGTAAAACGAATAGATAACATCTGTGTCGTGATATCTGCGGCCTAAGATGATGTTGTCAGCTGTAAAGAGAAATAAGTTGACTTTGCTAACTATTGCACAGATCAAGGAAGCAAGTATTCGTAGGAGGGTTCGTGTAGCCAGGATTAGTTCCATCGGCTGATCTTTCCCCACAACAATCGGTCCGCCACAGTCACGCTCCGAACTGCACCTATCATGTCTTGACCATGGCACACATCGGTGTGTTCGCTTCCAATAGAATTGCTGAGAGAGGTTATTCCAACAGACATGCAGGGGCCTCCTACTATGCGTCCGCCACCACGGCTGCCTAGCGATGACGCGTGCAGAGGGAACAAGATCATAAGTTAGGATGATACACAACTCGCCTTAGCATCACATACACACCTAAGAGCTTTGCAGCAGAGCAAAACGAAGAAACCAAAATGTCACTATGCGGTCTCTGCCAATCCTTCGACGTTCTCGACGTCCCGAAGTTATCACCCGAGTACAATATCCATTCCGTCACTTCACATCTATATCCATCATTGGTCACGATGATGAAAAAGCGCCGCAAAGAAGACCAGTCGCAGAACCCTGAGCCTCTGGGACTGCCCTATCACAAGTCTATCGAGGAACTGGAAGCTGCTTCCGCCGCCAACTGCGCGATCTGCACAGTCGTACAACGCGATGTCGCGCAATTCCATTCCGAGTACAGTGAGGCGAAGAAAGATACTAGCGACCATAGAGCTAGAAGCGCAGGACCAGATTGGAAGATGTTTGTTGTCCAGGGAAGGAGTGATACCGGGGGGTTTATGGTGGTGTCGGCCGATGCGGAGGATTGGTCTCGAGTCTGGGTGGTTGCTGCTGTGGGGTTGTGTGTTGACTGTAAGATTTAACGACACTTGGAGATGGTTTTTGATCGGGCTGACAGTTCCGTAGATGACGACCCGCTCATCTCGATCATCAGAGGACGAAAGATACTCCCCTCGTCTGAGCACACACTCAGGCATGCCCTGAGTTGGGTGCGTGATTGCGACAAACAGCGTACGAATAAACGCTGTCATGTTGACACGGCACCACTTCCAGCTCGTGTCCTGGATATTCGAAGCTCAAAGTCTCAGTCCATAACGTTGTATGAGCCTGCGGGGGAAGAATTGGGACGCTACGCAGCACTGAGTTATGTTTGGGGCGAGTCGAGCCCATATGCAACTACAAGGGCGAACATTGAAGCGAACAAGAAGGGGATCGATGCTGAAAAGCTACCGAAGACGTTCCAAGATGCGATCTTCGTGGCTCGAGAGATGGGTATCGGCTACCTATGGATCGATGCACTCTGGTAAGCCTACCCTCTCCCTCCTGATCCCCAAGAATAACGACTAAACCAACTAATAAATCACAGCATCTGCCAAGACGACTCGTCAGACTGGTCTCGCGAAGCTTCCCGCATGTCCTCCGTCTACTCAAACGCCTACATAATGCTCTCAGCAACTGGCTCGCCATCCTCGACGTCCGGTCTTTCTATCTTCGCTTCCAATCGCCCAGCACCTACCTACTCGCCTTTCGCCTACACCGCCACAACAAGCGGTATGAAAGGAATCCTCCACGCATTCTCTGCTTCCCGCGAAACCAATGCATTTGGTCCCTGGTCAGCGAACAGTGAATTGTTGAAGAACGAGCCACTAAGCCAACGAGGCTGGGCGCTGCAGGAACGCTGGCTCGCACCCCGTGTTCTACATTTCGGGAGCAAACAGATGTTCTTTGAATGCTACTGTGGGTTTAGGAGTGAGGAGGGATTTTATATGGAGGGGCGGATGGATACCTTATTCCCAACCACCTCCCAACCCTCTCCTCCACCTTCTTCTTCCACAGACCAGATCAAACCCGTAACCGATCCGACAATACCAATAACAGAAACAGAACCCATACACCAACAATGGTCCTATATCATCCACACTTACTCCCGCCGCCTCCTAACCCACCCCTCGGACAAACTCCCCGCCCTCTCCGGTCTCGCACGCACTTACCAGACGTTAACTTCTGATACATATCTGGCAGGTTTCTGGCAGAAGACGCTGCTTCAAAACCTGATCTGGCAAGCCGTCGGCAAAGGCCCTACGGCTTCAACCAGTTACCGCGCACCGTCTTGGTCCTGGGCCGCCATCGATGGTGGCATTGGTATGTTTAATCCTGGCGTGGGATTCGACAAGGGCGAATGGTTTAGTCTTGCTACATTACATTCCGCTCACATCACTTTGAAGAACGAGGAGAATCCGTACGGCGAGGTGAGCGCGGGGGAATTGGTATTGAGTGCACCGCTGGAACGTATTTATCCTTTTGAGGGGGACCTGGAGGAGGGAGAAGAGTGGCCGAAGAATCATAGGGCGGCTAAAGTAAAAGGGCAGGGAGGAGGGAGTGAAGAGTACAGTTTTGCGATTTTCGATAGCTCGAAGCATGCGGAAGGAGCGAGGGACAGGAAACTTTGGGTGGCGGTTTTGTGGCGGCATAGAATTCATGAGGAGAACAAGGATCTTTGGAAGTCGAAGGAGGTCTACCACGGGATTGTTGTTGCGAGGGTAGAGGGTAAGCAGGATGTGTATGAGAGGCTTGGTAAGATTCCTTTTGCCGATAAGGATTTGGGGGAGTGTGAGTGGATGAGTGATGGGAGTGTGGTGGATAGGTTTACTTTGGTGTAGACTGGTTGTGACTTCCTCCCCTTCCATCGCGCAAATATAATGAGATCCGGCCATGGTCGTCTTATGCTCTCATGACACCATTTCCCCGGACAAAAACATTCCAGCATTTCCAAATCCCCTTCTTCGTACGGTGTGATGTATCCTTCCCAATCTTCTTCAATTTCTTCACACGACCTGACTAGGTTGTACAATATGAACATAGCAGGAAGTCTGCGATTACGGTCACGCAAGAGTTCTGGAGTCTTGGACTGCGAACTGTACGGAAACTGTGCTGATAATGCTCACTACCAAGTTTAGCGAATTGCTACTTAGAGAATTGTGTGATTGTTCGGGCCGAGGGCTGAATTTACAGGATTCCCTGAACTGGATGGAATGAAGTCCGAGAGATATGCTCTCAAGCCAGGATCGCACGCATATACATATGTACCCCGAATCCCTTGTGTTAAGAGCACTGCATAGATCTGGGTTATGAACCGTAGCAAATCGTCATCCGAGTAGGTCCTACCGAGCGCCCGGTTGTTTTCCTTTCCCTTCTTATCAAAGTATGAGTCGCGATCGATATGAAGCCGCCTTCGCAGCGGATCGAATCGCAAATGCAGACCAATTATGACACCAACATAGTTCAAATCGTAGCCTTGAACCGTGTGGACCGACCCAACTTCCTGCAGCGCGTTATCAGAAGAAACCCAATCTGTTGGCGTACTATTCCAGCGAAGTCTCGTATCGCCAATCTCGATATCAAAAGCGGTTTTGTCCTTTTGAGTCTTCCACTCCCAAGCGTATCCCGCAACCATGCGTGAAAGGCCCGCTTCGGCGTTGCGTTTGAAAATCTCATCTCGCATTCCTTCAACGGTGTCAAAGGCGCGGAAATCATAATCTTCAAAACTCAGGCGAGCTCGCGGAACAGAGAGAGGGCTAGGATCGAGGATCCAACGAATATAAGACACAAAATCCGAACCCGCTTGTACGCGCATTTGAGTGCGGAGCTGGTAATGCCGGCCCGTTGCACGGGTATCGGCAACGAGACCGGAAAGCAGCTCTTGTGGAAGATCAGCCGGTCGAACGCTCTGCATTGCGTCCAAGAGGAAGATGTGCTGCCGACTCTTCGCTAGAATCCAATCAAGCTGCGTCTTACTGAAGTCGTTGCTGCCGAAAAGTTCCGTCGTGATAGTTGTAAACTTCCCATTGAGCACTCCAGACGGTTGGTTGGCGCGCTGACTGAGCCGATGAGTCTCGTCAACTATCAGCATATCAAAAACCCCTTCTGCTTCTCCTACTTGGAAGGGCGTCATAACCATGTCCGGGTGCAGCCCGCGCGTCTTTCGAAAAACATCTTTGATAGTGCCCCGCAACGACTGTTGCGGTACAATCAACCCGATTCTGCAATTTTCAAGGAGATTCTGGTTGGTTGCAGTGAGGAATTCGGAAAATCGCGAGTCGCTGTTGAGATCTTCGAGCGAGTTAAGTGCTGCAATGTCGACAATGAGCTTAATCAAGTATATAGCAACGACGGTCTTGCCGGTGCCTGGGTCGCCTTGAATCACAATTGCGCTTCTCCTGCCCGTCGAAAGATCGGTGAAGAATCCCGTGAGGATCTCTCCGACGGAATTTGCTTGATCTTCCGTCAGTGCTTTGAAAGGAGATAGCTTGAAGAGACTGCCGTTCTCGATTTCTGGAATACTTCGCGTGAAGACGCCATCGGACCTGAGTTGGTCGAACACTGCTCGGAACCCTGCTCGATATGCTTCCCTCTGGTAGTACTGTGCGTCGGTGATGCCGTTATTTCGATTAAGCACTTGGTTGGCGTCATCACCAGCCATCATTCTGATAAGATAAGACTCCAAGTCTAGACAAACCGACTTGTTGTATTTCTCGTGCAAGATGACACGGACGTTGGTCAGATGTTGCTTAGCTGGTGAATCGAGGTGTTGACGTAATCGGCCCACAGCGTTGAGTGATTCTCCAACGTATATGTCTCTCAGTACATTGCTTGAGTTCCTTCTGCCTTGACGACTGTTGTCATCCAAAACATACACAACAGGCCAATTCCCGTGTTTCTCATCTTGGGATCTCCATGTCGCAACGGCAAGTCTAGAGAACTCAACCTGAGCTATCTGGAAGCTTGTCATATTTTGTGCTGACGCCTCGGGCCTTCTCCACGGGATATTTCTTGCGCGTGACTTTGAGCTTTTCTAGCACGAGCTGATCCGGATCGGCTCCAATGCGAATTGCGAGAAGTTGACAATAGGTCAGGACGTCTGCAAGTTCCTCGCGCACACGCTTCGGCTCGGCGTCTGCGTTCCACTGAAAGCACTCTAGCAACTCGCCTGCTTCGATTGCTATGCTTTTGGCGAGATTCTCTGGAGTGTGGAACTTCTCCCAATCGCGCTCAGCAGCAAATGCCACGAGTGCGTCGCGGACTGAGGCCTCAATCATGTGATGTAGCAGTCGCTGTGATAGCGGCGTCTAGTTCTATACCACCAAATAAATGTGAGCGCTAGAGGATTTCCCTCACAAGGTCCGACTTACAATATGACAGCTAGGCGGCTGTTTGATGATAGTGCTATGGCGATGCGAGAGTGGAGAAAACCTGGGTTGACAACAGGACAACAGTCCTTGAATGTTAGGGGGACTTTCTGAATTACAAGCAAGAGAAGCGCAGCAAGCTCAAAGATAAAACAACAGAAGACTAATATACATGGATATATACCCCCATGTATCAGTTCGCCAAAAGAGAAGGGCCGTTGCGGCGCCGAAATGCCCAATTAGATCAAGACAAGTTGGCAACACTGCAGCCACATCACATACTCGTATGCGACACTAAGTAAAAATGGAGTTGGCTGCTTGATAAGGTTTTGCTGTCACCAGACTCGCTTTGTGTTGGGGAGATGATTTGTGCGCCCTGAGCTGAGTGACTTATCTAAGACAGTGTTGGAGAGCGTAACGCACTGCTGGAGGGGCTGTCCTGATCGTATGCAAGCATCGCGGAGAAAGGGGCTGTGGCGTCGATGTAAGCTGCCATTTCTTCGGGGGTAGAGAGAGCGTGGTAGCATGGGATTCTGTGTCCTGGCGGTAGACGGTTCCTCATGTTGAGTGGACTGGAGACAGGAATGGAAATCAATGCACGATGATATATTTTTTTGACGGTCGAAAAGAAGGTGGGCGAGTGTTGAACGAGAGAAGGATTGTATTGTAGAAAGGCAAAATGACAACGGACACGGAGTACGAACCTAATGTTGTGCCGATGCCGTGTTTTATATCCAATTTCGCTATGATTGCCGTGGTATACCCTTGACTAAATCTTACTTGACACAGGTCCATCACCCTTAGCCAGAATATCACATAACCACTCTGCTGCTTTGTCTGCCATGGGTTTCGGAAAGGCATGTCCTACGCCCTCGAATAGCACATCTTCAAACACAATGTCAAGGCTTGGGTTTTCCGCTAGTATCTGTTTGAAGACCTTGTAAAAAGGCTCACCAGCAGCGTACGGAACGAGCTTATCTGCCTGCCCGCTGAGGTTTAGGATGCGTTTGCCCTGAAGCCTTTCCTTCATCAGCGCTTTCATCCTGGATAACTGAGCTTGGTCGGGTAGTGTGTCATTCCCTAGAGGGTTGAACATGCCGGGGAGCAATAAACCTGCAGGATCATACTGCGCAATCGTGTCCTGTAGCGCCTGTGGGAAGTCTGGAGAACCAAGGAATGCGCTACCGGGTGGCGTAGTTTCCGTGTATGTCTTGCGCTTTGATAAACGCGCGCGATCAGTCAACAAACGCGTATAGTCTGGACAACCGATACCGACAACGCCCGCAGTGATTCGGGGATCACCAAGCAAGCAATGCCAGGTTGCGTGGCCACCTAGCGAGATACCGAGGGCAAAGTGTTGTTGGATCTTGGGACTATCCTTGGCCGTGAAGATGTAGGATTCGAGATGGTTGATGAGTTGTGAGGTGTCGGTCGCAGTGCCGTGGAAGCATCCAAACATGTCTTGTGCATGCGTTTCATTTCCTTCTCTCCAAGCTTGGTTATGCAAATCGTCCACTTTCCGTGATCCGTGATTGCGTTGGTCGAATGCAGCAGCGATTAAACCTTTCGGGTTCTTGCCGGCCCGACCGTCTTGTACGCGCTTGTTCCATGTAGAGATGACTCGCCTGGCTATCGGAGCCATGGTCTCTTTCGTCTGCAATCGGGGGTTGAGAAGCCATAGGCAGGCGACCGATGACGGCGACGCAGGTAGTTCATCTAGGCCATGGACGTCGACGAGGATGCCGGCAATTGTGATGGTTCGAGAGGAGACGGGGAGGTCGGACGAGTTTTGTGTCCCGTGAAGGGGATTCGTCGTCGCAGCCATGGTGACTTATCGGGCCTATGGATAGTGGAGATAGTGATAGGGTTGAGTGGTTAGCACGACTAGAGAAGAAGATATGAAGCTATTCGTCTGGAGTAACTTGGAACATGCGGAGGGGCACGACCTCCGGGACCGAGGCTGAAGTCGACGGCGGCAGAACTACCTCATCGCGTCGCGTACTCCATGAGCACGCGATACGCTGATTAGAACGCGTAGACACATGGCTTGAGTTTACAACAGTGGAAGACATTTTCTGATCATGTGGGTGTATTGGAATTGGGTACTCTCGTATCCAGAAGGCTTGGAAGTACAGTGCGGGGTGCAGCCATGGCGTAGAGAGAAGCCGATGATATCATCGAGTGTGTTTTTACAGAGAGCATGGCGTTGTCGCTAATGCGACATGCCCAACATAACAAGATAGAAGGCTTTCACGCACAGGCTGCAGGGCGCTGCAGAGTGCAGCGTTGTGGAGCATCGACGTTGTGCAGGCGGTCAGCAAGGCGGAAGAGGGCCCCTGACGCCAAAAGTATTAGCGCAACCAGACAGTTCACCGGGGAAAGCACCTGGGAGATTACTCGAACCGCGCAAGGACCCGGCGAGACGTATACGGATCAGCTTTGCCGCGTGTACTCTTTCTCTCGACTACTGATGATATAGAATCATTACTACGAACACGCTTTCACCTCTTCGGGGGCCAACAATTCGCATCAATCCCATCGTGACGAGTGACGGCAGCAGGTTTCCTGTCGACTATGGCTGTATAACGCCCAAGAAGCGAGCAACCATAGCCTTCCCCAACGCGGCATTACCGGAAGAACACACGCTCCAAATCCCTTAGCTTCTCCCGTATCGTCATCATGGTTGGCTCCAACAACTCTTCGCCTATGGCGCGCAGTCCTCGGTCCAGATCACCGGCAGTATCAGGAAGGACAGACGATTCAGGTCGACTGCTCCCTCCGCTGGCATTAGGACAAACCAGAAATGAGACACAAGACATACACAACCCTTCGCCCTCAGACGGTGCCCCCAAGATCATGCGATCTGCCCCAACAGGTTCGCCCTTGTCCACCAAAGAAGCCGGCGAATTCCCTTTCAATGCGCCCACGAATACCAACGCGGGTAGCATCCCCCTCGAAGCCGCTGAAGTCCCTATCCGCGCCCCCAAACCCTCCTCGCACATGTCAAATGGCTCGACGAGCTCATACTACCCTCCCTTTGCGCCCATGTCCCGACACCCCACCGAGGGCGAGCTCTCCGACGCACCACGAGAACGCAAGAGCGTGCAATTCGCTCGCTCGGCCACTTTCACATCCGATCCCCCCGCAGCAAACTCGCGGCAGCAGTCATGGGAGGTTGAAGACGGCGAAGGAAAGGGCAAGGAGCGGAGCACACAGAGCTCGTCACTCATGGGCAAGCTGAGGGCACTGGCAGCACCAATACAAGGACACGGCCGAAATCTGAGCGCGTTGGCAGGAAGCTCAGGTCAAGAAGGCGGCTCACCTCACGGCCAACTGTCACCCACATCCGAACACGACGAACTGCGGTTTGAGGGCCACGATAGCGAGGCAGATGCTGATGGCGAGTCAAGCGCTGGCGAGGGCGCTTCAAGGAGACCGAGACAGAAAAGGCGGAAGAGCAGCCGGCGCTGGTTTGATGGCGAGGGCGAAGGCACACAGACGGCCCCTACCACTCCCAAGCAGACCACTGGGGGCTTCTTCGCACGTGACTCACCCAACATGACGCCCACCTCGACACGCCCCGGCTTCCTCCGCCGATCGACCATGGATGACATACCTGAGAACGAGCGCCAGGGCTACTCAGAGGACGAAGGCCGTTCGCGCATCGCAAAGGAGAGCGCCTGGACACGCGGACTGCACAGTGCTAGAGGGCTTTCATACGGAGGTCTACGGAGACACGACCCAAACGCTGAAGAATCGGAAGGACAACAGAGCCGACCTACAGGCAACTTGCGAAGTTTGACAACCTTCAGGGGTGCTGCTGGCGAGACACAACCCTCACCATGGCGCATGCGTAGTGAGCGAACGTCAAGTTTGAGTGCGCAGAAGTGGAAATCCATCAAGAACAGCCTCAAGCTTTTGGGCAACCGTCAAAAGGCAGAACGCCAAATCGACCACGCAAAGTCAGCCGAACTCATGGCTGAGTTGCTTGCAGGCGCACCTGCAGCCTTGTTTTTTGCCAGTATGTTCCAGCGCGACGAGCATGGCCATAGAAGGATACCAGTTCTTCTTGAGCAGCTCAAGGTCACCATCACAGACACGGACCGCCCCGCCAAGAAGGAGGGCGATCGTCACACTGCCTTGCGCATAGAGCTGGAGTACGGTAGTGGTCTGACTAGGATGAAGTGGGTTGTTTACCGAAGTGTCGCGGATTTTGCGAACCTGCATCTGAAGTTTAAAGTCCAGGAAAAGCAAGACGCTTTCCGTAGTCGTCCGGCTAACCGTATGCGAGAAATCAAGGACAAGGCCACCAAAGACGGCGAGAACGAAAAGGAGGAAGAAAAGGAAGATCCGCGGACGAGGCTTCCGCGCTTCCCCAGGAGTGTATTGCCCTACCTTCGAGGACTTCGCGGCTATGGCATCTTGGACGATGAAGGCGAGGAAGAGGAGGAAGAGGTTGCAGTTGGCGGAGGAGCCAGCGGACCGGAAGGCGATGCAAGCGCTACCGAACGGCCGACTAGACCCAAGCGAGGAAAATCATCATTCCTAGGACGAAGGCAGTCCAGTGTAAGTGGTAGTCAGGCCCAGGGCGCTGTTGGTGCACTCGTAGCGAGACAGGGCAGTTTTGCAGGGGCCGCCGGTCAGCCTCTACAAGCGAAACAGACTCATCATGACCGACAAAGGAAGAAGTTGGAACAATACCTGCGAGGTCTCATGACTTATCTCATCTTCCGCCCTGACAGCAACCGCCTGTGCAAGTTCCTCGAGCTATCTGCTCTTGGTGTCCGCTTAGCGGCCGAGGGTGGCTATCATGGCAAGGAAGGTTATATGATGATCAAGTCTTCGAAAGGTGTCGACAACAGGAAGGGCTGGACCAAACTAGCCATGATGAACCGTCACTGGCCAAAGTGGTTCCTAGTAAGGCATAGCTACGTCGTCTGCGTTGATTCCCCCGAAGAAATGAACGTCTATGATGTCTTCCTGGTCGATGCCGACTTCCATCTCGACACCAAATCTGCCAGGATACGAGACAAGAAAGCCAGAGATCTTGCAAGCGAAGCGAAGGCGTCGGCAACAGGTCACCACCAGCTCAAGCTCGTCAACGCTGAACGCAAGATGAAGCTGCTTGCTAGGAACGAGAGGATGTTGCATCAGTTCGAAGAGTCGATCAATTTCATGTCACAAAATACATTGTGGTCTCAACGCCAGCGGTTCGACAGTTTCGCTCCCGTGCGCAAGAAGATCTACGCACAGTGGCTTGTGGATGGTCGTGACTACATGTGGAATGTATCTCGAGCTATTAGTATGGCACGAGATGTCATCTACATTCACGATTGGTGGCTCAGCCCTGAGCTGTATCTGCGTCGTCCAGCTGCTATCAGTCAGAAGTGGAGACTTGACAGATTACTCCAACGCAAAGCACAAGAAGGTGTCAAAATCTTTGTGATTATGTATCGCAACATCGGCGCTGCTATTCCTATTGACTCCGAGTACTCCAAGTTTTCTCTGCTTGATCTCCACCCGAACATCTTTGTTCAGCGATCGCCAAACCAAATTCGCCAAAATACCTTTTTCTGGTCTCACCACGAGAAGATTTGCGTCATTGATCATACTGTAGCTTTCTGCGGAGGTGTCGACTTGTGTTTCGGTCGCTGGGATACACCGCAACACGTTGTGGTTGACGACAAGCCTACAGGCTTTGAACTCGATGACACACCCAAGGACGCCGACCACTGTCAGCTATGGCCAGGTAAAGACTACTCCAATCCTCGTGTGCAAGACTTCTTCGCTCTCGACAAACCCTACGAGGAGATGTACGACCGCTCGAAAGTTCCTAGGATGCCATGGCACGATGTCGGTATGCAGATTGTGGGTCAACCTGCTCGCGACCTGACCCGTCATTTTGTACAGCGATGGAACTACCTGTTGCGTCAGCGCAAGCCTTCGCGACCTACACCCTTCCTTCTTCCCCCACCCGACTTCAACCCAGCCGACATCGAAGCTCTTGGGCTCGACGGAACTTGTGAAGTGCAAATCCTACGTTCTGCTTGCGCATGGTCACTGGGCACGCCCAACAAGGTTGAACACAGTATCATGAATGCGTACGTGCAAATGATTGCCACCTCTGAACATTTTGTCTACATCGAGAACCAGTTCTACATCAGCAGCGGCGAAGTGCTGGGAACCAAAATCGAGAACAAGATCAACGATGCCATTGTCGACCGCATCAAGCGCGCCCATGCCAATGACGAAGACTGGAGAGCATGCATCATGCTCCCGCTCATGCCTGGATATCAGAACACTGTCGATGAACAAGACGGTAGCAGTGTCCGCCTCATCATGACATGTCAATATCACAGTATCTGCCGTGGCGAAGGCTCTATCTTTGGACGCTTGCGAGCTGCCGGCATTGAACCCGAAGACTACATCAACTTCTACGCACTTCGATCATGGGGCGAAATTGGTCCGAACAAGATGTTGGTCACCGAGCAATTGTACATCCACGCGAAGATCATGGTAGTCGATGACCGAGTTGCGATTATCGGTTCCGCAAACATCAATGAGCGTTCTATGCTCGGATCTCGAGACTCTGAGATTGCCGCTGTGATTCGCGATACTGAACTACTTGATTCGTACATGGGGGGTCAGCCATACAAGGTCGGCAAGTTCCCACATACATTGCGTATGCGCCTCATGCGAGAGCACCTTGGTGTTGACGTTGACTGCATCTCCGAGGAGGAGATGCTCAGCCAGATGTCCGATACTGATAGTGTCGGTTTCCAGACTGAGTCTTCTGGACCTGGATCACCAACAGCTCACCGCGCGACTGAACAGAAGCTGGAAGAGAATAGGGTTAAGATGCAGGATGAGCTTATTATGAAGGCGGAGAAGTTGCACAGCTTCAACCATGATTTCGACTGGGCGCAGGACCACAACCCTCATTTACAGAGCAACAAGAAGCCATCAGCGGATTCTCGCGTCCAACACAACTCTGCACATACCAAGGATGTTCGTGGCGAGGGCGCTGATCACATGCTCGAAGCTGTGGAGACACGGCCAGTGTCAACTCTCGCCAGGGACTCTTACATAGACGAACATGGTCATGAAAAGCTCGTCACAGACATTGCTGCAGAAGGCGCTGCGGCTACACCAAGGAAGAGTGCAACGATCAAGACGCGAAAGCGTAGTGGCACTACTGGTACCCGGGCAAGCGCTGTGAGCGCACAAACCGACGGAACTGGTTATGCTGGCCTCCCACCTCCCAAGCTACCCCGTATGGACACCTTGAAGCTAGGATTGACACAGCTCAGCCAACTACCTGCCTTGCCGCTTCTCGACGATACAGATATTGGCGGTCCACCTGCACTACAACGAACCGTCAGCCAGGGCTCTTCGTCGGTCATCAACCCTCTTCTTTCCGAGATGCGACGACCTATCGTCACCGAAGACTGTATGCGCGATCCCATCAACGACACTTTCTTCCTCGATACTTGGCACCAAATTGCAGAGAACAACACGAAGCTTTTCCGCCAAGTCTTCCGCTGTATGCCTGATAACGAAGTCCGAACATGGAAAGAGTACCAGGAGTACGCTGCCTTCTCAGAACGTTTCACCAAATCTCAAGGTGGAGACAAGAGTCAGATGCACAAGCAACAGGAGGCGCCAGGTACGACTGGACCGCCCGGTACCGGTCTTACGAGCAAGTTCACCTCGGGTGCTGGTGCTGTTGGAAAGCAAGTCGGAGCCCTAGGCGAAAAGCTCACCGAAAAGATGACAAACAACTCCGACCGAACCAACGGCGAGAATATCCGCGGAACAACCCACCACTCCAGCATGGGCGGCGTAGAACAATGGGCCGACGATCAAGAACAACGCGTACAATCCCAAAGCCCACCTCCTTCCGCCACCCGTGGTCTCCACGTTGACACAGCATCTGGCTCAACCCTAAACGAGAAACTAGCTCCCGAACCCGCCGACGACGCCGTAGTCTCCCCCATGAACCCCGCTCCACCAGAGAAGACGTTCACCTTCCCTGCTGCACCCCCGATCCCCAACGATCACACCTCGCACACAGACTTTGCCCAAAACCAAAACGGACCGCCGCCAACATCCCACTCCAACCGCGACCGCTCCCAACGCGTCACCATCTCTGAACCCCCGATCCACCCTAACATGCTCCCTTCGTACCAAAACCAACAGAATAGCAACAATACGCCCAACCGCTCAAACACCAAACGCTCCCGTCGTCGTGCGACGACGAAATCATCAAATAGACAGTTTCACGCGACGGATGCGGATATCATGCTGGATAAGGAGGACGCGAAACACTTGCTCGAGTTGGTCCAGGGGCACATTGTGCTTTGGCCTTACGATTGGTTGGAGAGTGAGGAGAGGGGTGGGGGTTGGCTGTATAATGTTGATCAGATTGCGCCGCTGGAGATTTATAATTAAACTTTTGTTTACTGAAATGGGGGAGTGGTACTAGAGGGAGTATTGTGTGGAGGGTGGTGGTTTGTAGGAGACACGGAATGTAGAATGCATGGCGAGTTGTAGAGCTTGGGCGTCGGAGTTTAGCGCTGCAGGTCTGCTTCTGTTTCCTCTTTCTTTCATTTTTGGCTTACTGCCTGTCTGTCCGTCTTGATTTTTATTTTTGATAAATGGCTGTTGCATTTCTGGAAGTCTGGGTGGGAAGCATTACTCTGCCGTTGCATACATAATCCTCTATCTCGTTACTCAAGAAATTCTTCCTTGCATCTTTTCTAGCTTTTATTTCCCTTGTTATACTCGTGTAGAAGCAGGCCATTTGTTTTCTTTTTTAGATGTCTCCTATGTAGTTAGGTTTAGTTGAACAAATAATCCATAGATCTCGATTCAAAGATCAAATTTGACTGAATCACCCCTCATGTCACTTCTAGAAACGTTGTTTTTGTTTTTGAACCCAATCCAGGCAAAGTAAAAGTGAGAAGGAGTTGATGTATATCAAAAGGGGAGGAGATTACAAGAACCACTGTCAACCATCCCATCCCTTTGCTCATACTCATACCAAATCCTCGACTTATCATCCAACTACCCTTGGCAAGCCTCTCTCTTATCTGCCCCAAATCTTCGACCACCAAATCAACCCTCCGCATCCTCACGCCTATCTCCGTCAAACCTTCTTCCTAAGCTTTGCCTTGGCCTCAGCCTTGACCCTTTCCTTTGCCTCCCTCTCTTTTTCTTCCCGCGCATGTTTGATCTCATGTGCCATCGCGGACGCACGACGAGTTTGGCGTACAGAGGGAAATTCAGCAGATTCTAGAATCGCCGTAGTAACGGAAGTGGATGCGGTCGACGTTTTGCCTTTGGCTTTGCCTTTTGTTGGAACTGATGCCTCTTCTCCATTTTCTTCCGTATCTGCCACTACGCTGCTACGCGCAGTCTTTGCCCTACGCTTCGCAGGTACCTTGGTCTTGGCCTTCAATGCGAGTGCAGATTTAGATGCTGCAGCTGCCTTTGGTGCCTGTCGTGTCCGCGGACCGCTTGGAGAAGGCTTGAAACCGTATTTGTTCGTAGTTGGTGTGCCTTTGGAAGAGGGGATGCTAAGTGGTGCTGTGCTGGTACGAGAGTTGGACTGGTTGGTATTCTGGTTACCGAACACCAGCGATTTGTTCTTGAGCCTGGGCTTCTTGCTGGGAGGTGGGGTGATGCCGGAGACGTTATCGTCTGATGAGTCCTGTTCGTCTGGGGTTTTGGTGGTTTCTTGGTCGTCCTTGAAGTCGTCGTCATCCTCCTCGGATTCATTGTTCACGTCTTCAGGCTTGCCAGTGTCAGAGAACAGATCCTCATGGTCTGGCTTGGTATTACCAACCACAGAGCTGTCGTCGACCGGGAAATTGGACTCTGGGTGCTTGTCGACTTTCCTTCTAGTCCTAGTTGTTCTGCACCTGTTAGTCGATAACCTCAGGGGTGAAGGGAGGTCTGGTAATGTAAGAGGCTTTGTAGTGTCTATCTTGGGTGCGGGGGACAAATCATACTCCTCTTCTTCCACAGGCTCCACCATTTGCTTCCTTATGGGACGAGCAGCAGAGGTCATTTTGGCAGCTTGTGGTGCTGTAGGACTGCTCTTCATCTCCTTCGTCTTTGGTGAGGTCTCTTTGGACTTTGCCAATGGAAGTTTGGCTACCTTTATAGTACCACTAGCGACTTCAGCAAAGATCGGCAAGTCAAATGTGCTCACAGGAGCGGCGGGTGACAGTTCAAGGGTCGGTGTGCTCGACATATGTCCATACAGAGTATCCGATTTGAACAACTGGCGTGCTATAGGCAGCGTGTCCCGCTTTGCCATTGATGGGCGTTCTCGATACCTAGGCGAATTGAGACCTTGAAGCTCACGCTTTGATACCCTCGGTCTAGACCTTGGTGTGCTCGGGACATTTTCAACGGAAGGGACATGCTTGCTAGTTGTCACTGGAACCTTGATGTCACTATAATACTCTTTCACATCCGCATTGTTGTCTTCGTGATCGGATTGTTTAGTCTCGGAATGGCTGGCGAAAGTCATGTTGTCCAATTCATCTGTGATAGGTACTTGTCGAGACGGTCCAGTAGATCCATCTTGTGCAGAGTGACCGAGCTTTGAAGTGCTTCCTTGTTGGATCGATGCAGATAAGTCCTCATCCGCTCCAATTACATAAGCGGCTTCCTTCTTTGACTTGACTGCACCACGTCTGGTCTTCGCTGGCGATAGCGTGGGTTGAATATCCTGATCTTCTAGAGCTTCGCTCGGCTTCCTGGCTCTGCTAGCGCGTGGCTTGGGAGAAACATTTTTTCTCGCCTTCTTCTTCGGTGGGGCATCAGATTCGGTTTCGGATGCGTTGTTTGTCTTCTTAGTCGGTCTCGAGCGCTTGCAAGGGTAGTGATTTTGAACCGTAGGTGCTAGCACTGGTGTTGAAAGACCCGGAGATCTCGGTGAACTTTGAGGTGTTGTGAAGGTTGAGGATGTTCCTAGTGGTGTTGTAGAATCTAGGTCTTTGATCGTGACTTGGTAATCGATCGACGATGTCCTTTCTGCCAGATCGTGCTTGGGTACCGCCACTACAGTTTTGCTATTTTCCAAGTCGGGCATAGTCACATGGTCTTCAGCTCTAGCATTCGCTGGCTCGACATTGGATGGAGATAGAGGCTTCGATAACATATAGGCCAGTTTTGTCACAGTCGCATTCTCTTTGGCCGCAGATGTTTCGGCAGGTTGAACCTCGGATTTCTCACTACCTCTTGCATGATTCTCAGGCGCGGAAGGCAAAGGCAGCAAAGCCGCACTGTTCTCGAGTTGCTGTTTTGAGGATGGAATCGCCAGGGGTGGGGTAGCTTGCACCAACACTTCGTCGTTTGTGATCTCCGGAGGTGGCTTGACGAAGTCAACGTTGCGATCACGGTAACCTGGTGGCAGAAGCTCCAAGAAACCATCAGAAAATACCTCGTTAACCGCATTGTGTAATTGCGCTTGCCACGGTCCATCACCGTCCTCTTCTACACGCGACAGTGCGCCAGGAGACTTTGGACTAGTCGAATTGTCCCCATCAGGCGCCAAGCAAATCGTGGGATCAGGTGTGGTTTCCGGTATATCGTCAGTCGACTTAGCTCCTGAGTATGACAGATACCGCACTTTGGAAAGCCCTTCTGATGGCGACTGCAAGGTACCAATCACAGGCTGAACTGTAACCGTGGAGTTATCATGCAGCTGATCTTGAGCCCTTGGTCCGTCTTCCTGCATCTGCAGCTGATCTGATGCTTCTGCAACACTGTAAATAGCTTCATCATAACCACGGCTGTTATAAGAATATGCTGCTGCGAGCGGTTCGGACTCTATGGTTGTGTATTTCGCCGGTATTTCAGGGGCTGTGAAAATTTGTGGAGGGACCTTCAAGTTTGGTTCGTATACCAAGAGACTGTCGTGATCTGGGGGTGTCGACACGGAGGCTATAGTTGACGCCTTTGACATAACGGTATCCTCTAAGCTTTTACGGATTTCGTTCCCGGTGATGATGTTGTCTGCGACAGCTCCTTGTTGGAAGGCCAGCGTATCAGTACTCGTATCGGGTCCTTGTTTTACAGCCACACCAGCTTCCATCTCAGGAGCGACATCCGGGTGTCCGGTATCAGCGAATATTGGGATGTTGTCGACGCTCATAGCATCCTGAACTTCGATGTTCTGGCCATCGATAACAAGTGCATCCGATCCAACGTATTTGATGGGTTGGCGCAACGCATTGGTCTCAGACGCTTCTGGGTTAGACGCGGTTCCACCAGATGGTAAGGGTTCCTTCGAGTTCCAAATCTGGTCTGCCGGTCGAGTGATTGGTGAGTCCACCTTTCCATGCAGATGCGCGTCGTCGCGAAGAACGAGGTTATGGTCGCTATCTTGGTCGCCTGAACCCAGAGCGTCAGCGCCACTAACAGTCTGAATGTCTTCCTCGACCTGAGCCTCGCTAATCCCTTCGCCAATATACCGTTCGTTATCTTTATCTGCCGACCAATCGAAGTCCTCAATCTCCTGCAGGCCGTCCTCCCAACTATCTGTATGCAGGCTGTGCGCGTAGCTGTCCGGTGGATGCAATTGGTTGTCAACCCGGCTGTCGGTGTAGACATGTGGTGCGTCATCCGTGTAACCTAACCCGTCCATTGACCAGGTAGAGGGAGCCGGGTCAGCCCGAAACATCTCGTATCTAAGCAGCTCTCCGAACAATTCCACACCATGAGCGGAAGTAGAGGGTCTGTTTGGGTCGTCAGAAGCTGCGGGAGGTTCGTCCAGATCATATTCGAGATCCATTCCGCGGGCGGGGGAGTGGATGCGCATGGCTGTTGTCTAAACAAATCACTCCAAAAGAGACAATCTTGCAAACTGTGTTTTGTTAACCCGGAGGTTTTGCGTCTTTGACGCGTCCAAAAGCGGAAATTGTTGCAAGTGAAAACGAGCGCGTGTTTCTGCTACCCTTTCACTGTGAATTTGATTCTAGCAAGCGCTCGTGGCTTCGAAGTGGCGTTGAGATATATTGAGAGACCGTGGCTGCACGTTAGTAAAGTAATCAATGGTTGAGAGCGACAAAGAATTTAGCAATCCCGCCGTGCGTAATCGACCTAGCCTGATAATCTGAGAATTTTGCTCGCTTGGCAATTTCAGATTCGAAAGTGAATGGTACTTGGTGAGTGTAAACGCGCTCTCACGTGTTGACGAGGTGCGGTGTGCGTAACCGAATAAACCCACCCATGGGAGGAGCTTCACATCTCACCATAAACGTCATCGTAGAGAAGTTGAAATCGTGTACAAATATATTAGGTTAAGAAGGAATCCAGTTGCTGGTGGGTATCATGTTCAAACTGCCAGCTGTCCACCAGCCCCCCAACTCTTGCTAAGTCAAAAATGGCAGTATGTGTAGAAGAAAGTACCAGGAAAAAACGACAAGTTGTTTAGGGAAGTTGCAAGAGCTCCGTTAACTCTCTTGGAGTTCGTCATATGGGAATGGCATTGCTGATAGAATTGCCCGTGTCAACAGGTAAAGCCAACACGCTGTTGTGGTCAGTGCTTAGTTCCCAAACGTGTACGTGTAACTCACCTCTTTCCCGTATCAGTTGCGCAACAGCAACAGAGAAGCGATGCTGGCCAACAGACGATCTAAGGAAACATGAGCGGACGATCGCGCGCAGTTGAGGAAAGACATACAGCCATGCCGACGGTGACTACGAAGCCAATAGTAGGCCCAATGACCTTACAATGACATGGGTTTTGATCGCTATTTGCAGATATCTCGTTAGTACAACGCGTAGATTTCGAAATGGCGGGTTACATACGTTCCGCATTGGAAGCACACGATTGGGAGAGGAACGAAATCGCACATGTTGACGAGAGAAGAACGGCAAAAGCAATGTGGCCTCGTTTGATGAACAATAGAAGTCGCGAGATGGGGTCTTGAACGTTGCCAAGTGAGGTGTTGAGTAGAGATTAAAGATGTCAGATGTGGGAAGGCTGAAGTTGTGATGCTTGTTGTCGCGCTAGCCTACGTCATCTCCGGAGATCGCGAATCGGAGACACGCGTCAGCCACATCGTGCTTCATCAATTTGATCCTCTGCACTCAACAACACTTGGATCTGTCTAGCCGTTGCAACTATCTACAATATACGTTTCCAAGAACTTGCTTTCGGAGACTTTTCCTGGCCAGTAGCTGGCATATGCCCGTTCTGTCTGGAGAACAGGAATAAGAATGCAACCAGCTAGCGAGTAACGCATGCCCAGGTGCGTGCTCGGGCTTGTTTCTTGTCTCCAAGACTTCTGCTGCAAACGCGCCGATATGTAGGACCTGATCCTGAAGACTGTTTGCAGCCCAACGTAAGCCTCGCGCGAGGCTGTCAAGAATTGCTGTCCTTCATCAGGCCTTCATTTCCTCACGTACCAACTCCACCTCAACAGTCCTTTGGCACTCTTTAATATTGCCCTTCAATCCGTCGTTGTACTTATCGAAACACAGCCTCCATAATCCTGGCTCACCTTCACACTCAACAGCAATAAATCCCTCCCAACCCTCAAATGTATATCGCTTCTCCCCATTCTCACAAACGCGAGCATCCCAAGGGCCAGCCTGCCCCTCTTCTGCATCCACACGAAGTCCATGGCTGAGCTGAAAAATGTCGGAATCTGTGTCTAGATACACCCAATTAAGCTGCGGCGGATTATCCGAGATGGTAGATACAATGCCTTCGTAATCCTTTTTGGGGAATGGCAAGTAGTATCCGGTGAAGGGGTGATGAACCGGACCTTCGTATGTCGATAGCTGAACGTACAATCGGCCTCCGCATAGTACGATTTGACTATCCTTGAACAATTCCTTGCGGTCTTCTGGCGTCCTCGCAGTCGCTCGACAGCGCATGTGGCATTTCTCGCCTTTCCAGTCGTCATCATCGTCCGCAGCTTCGTTTTTCGCGTTCTCGGCTTGATTTTGTATGGTTATAACGGACGTCACGGTTAAAGGAACCGTCCCCACGAGAGCCAGGAGACCGAATACCATCTCTATGGCTTACAAATACAGCGGACAGTACGTGCAATGATCTTGAGAGTTGTGTTTCTGTATACAATGTAGCATATGCTAGCTGGTGAAATGGCCTCGCTATCTAGCGGTAAACCCCACATCACGACGCCGGAAAAAGAAAAGGTTCATACGCACCTCGAGCGTCTTGCGTACAAGCCCATGACGAAAATCAGAGACAATCGTAATGCGGCTGCATGTGCTAAGACAAGAGACCAATCAAAGAGTTAGTGGGCGGATGGCTTCCGGTTCCCGCTCCACTTAGTCCCAAGGTGATCGACAAGATCAATAGTGAATGCCGGGACCAATGACGAACAACAAACCTCATACGGCTGATCCTTGAGAACTCATAAGTTGTGAACCCGCTTTAGGCGAGACGCTATCGCCTTATTGAGAAATTATACTCGAGTCTATAGCATTAGCCGGCCATTCTACGCATCTCCTGCATTAGAGTTACGGGCCAGCTCGAAGCGCTAACGATACCACCGCCAAGTCAGCACTCATATTCGCGAGAGTCACCTCGCCGACCCCGTGGATCGATGATGCAGCTACGGCTGATGAAATGCGGGAGCTTCGGACATGCCCGTCTAGTACCTTGTATGGAGAACTTTATCAATCAACGTATGCTCGCAGAACGCTTTCCAAATCTCCCACTTCGAAAACCTCTATGCCAAAGCTGTGAGAACTGGCGTGGTCGGCACAACTCCCGCATCGCAGGAAAGCGACAATACCACAATTAACTATCCCCCCACCGCAACCCCAACTCACACCGCCACAAACACCGGATTCCGAAGTCGCTCCAGAATCCGAGTTCAAAATGGTGGACGACACAACGAAAAAGTAGGTGCCTACTCTTCTTGCCCCTATTGTATTACCACGTACGATCTTGGATAATATTTTCGTTGCTGTATTGATGAAACCACCCATCTTGCATTCAAAATGCTTGACATAATCGTCAAGGATAACGAAGTATATTTATTCCACACACGCCTAATCCGCATACAGCTTGACCGATACCGCCGGCAACGTAACTGGCGGTCGTGAGGGAGGACCCGGCGATACAATCGGCAAACTGGGCAACACAGCCACCAACACCGTCACGTCAAAGAAGAAGAAATCAAAAAAGGGAGGCAGCAACAACAACGACGAGGAAGACGAGGAGAGCAACGAGGGCTTTGGTCTGGATAACGGGTCGGACGTGAAGGGTAGCTTAAAGGTACATATCAAGTTGGATTTGGAAGCCGATATCAAGATCTATGCGAGGATCAAGGGAGATATTGCTATTGGGATTTTGTAAGAAAGATGGTTACTATTAAGAACGAACGTCTAACTATCAGCTACACTTCACTTTCTGCTCTTGCATTGACCACCTTCATCAATCGCTCCAGTGCCTCCGCATCTTCATCGTCACACTCAGGGAACTTTACACTCAGATCTTCGGAATCTGGATGAGGATTCTGCCGATAAAACTCATAGCTTTCAGCATTCCGCCCAAAGGGGTGAAATTCACGCCACGGATGCACAGATTCAACATCGAAGACATGATATCTGTCGTGGGTCAATATGTTGGAGATTTTGTAGCGGTTGTCAAAGGCATCGTTAGCCCAGTGCATAAATGAGTTGTGTATTGCGAAATGCTGAAGATGAGGTAATCCGAACTGAAAGCGATCGAATATATCGTGCCAGTGTAAAGAAGTTTGCGTAAAGTAATCGACACTATCATCCATGTGGCTTGAGCCAGGCCACGTGGGCAGGCCAGGAAAAGCGACTTTGGCCATGTCTTCCCTCATTCTCAGTGCCGTGACGATGGGGCAATCGTCGAGTAACAGTTGGTTGAGAGTTGGTCCATGTGACAATATCCAGTCTATCTGCCAGTCGTGCGCGAAGGTGTAATTGCCCAAGCTTAAGGACTCAAGGCATGGGAAAATCCCAACGTCGCGAAGCTCGACGAAAGGGAAGAGGCCCCACATACAAGTGTAGCTGTAGAGAGTGAGATGTGTCAATTGCGATGACAGAGGTTTCAGCCAAAGTCCCGGGAGATCGACAGTGAAGCCTTGGTGGACAGCTTCCAGCTCAAGCGCATGTCGTCTCTTGCGTTCCGTAGTGATCTGAAGATGAAGCCTGGTAATTCTATCTCTCACAGCCCCAAAGACTTCCGATTCTAGGAGCTGCCTATCCATATGATCTTGCAGGTTCTTGATAGATAGACTCTTTAGCGTAGGGACTTCGCACAATGCATTGATGACTGTCCCCAGGACCTCGCTTCGAAATTGCGGCGTCTCTTCCACATCTCTATCGAAGCTTCCGTCGTCTATCCATGTGTCAAGAGACGCCGCACATTCCACGGCAAAGATCAGTTGCAATCCATCCAGTCTCGGAAAGCTATGCAGGAAGCCAATTGCGTCTGTGAAGCTTTCGAGGATTTCCGATTCTTCCGCCCGCGACCAGTAAAATTCGTATTCAGTGTCGGGACAGAGGGAGGTATTAATGACCACACATTGAACATTTTCGCTGTACTTGGACTGCACGAGCTTCTTGAATATCGCTGCACTCTCATCTGTAGGGTTGAGAACTGCTTTAGAAAATAGGGCTTTGGTTGCTAACGTTCCTAGCTCTTTATTAACCAATCGAAGTGCCTTGAGCGCATCGGCATCATCGTCTAGCCCCTCTATGCAGAGCTGTTTGAGTTCGACAGGAAGTCGTTGCATGTCGTAGGTCCGAAGGCGAAGAGGAAGAAGAACTTAGATAAGTGAACAGGAATACTTTGGGCCTTTTTTTAGAATAAGGTGTTGATCTACTGCCTCGAGGTTGTGGAATCGCCTCAGTCTCTTTCAACTCATTTAGAAAGTGGGTGTGACAAGTTGCAGAAGCCGGATTCTTGCAGGTACTGACTTCTGGTCTTGCCCAGGTGGGCTAGTTCTTGGGCGCCTAAAACCAGGAGGCAACCATCCCCACATTTGCCATGTTCGTGTACGCGATGCGCGAAATTCCATGCACGCAAATCCTAGATGCAGTCAAACTTCTCAACGCCACTCACTGGGTGGACCAAGCGATAAAAACCACCTCGGTAAGATGATCACTGAACAGACCCCTAGAGGGGGCGAACTTCATTAATTAGCATCCGAGCTCGCGGTTGCTTTGTTGCCTGTGCATTGCGCGCATGAGCGCACCATAGGTTACCATATCCGCTTCTCTCACAAAATTGTAACGCGGACCTTAGGATCCTCAGCAGTAATTGTACCCCAAGATTTCACCCCTTCTACTATATTGATGTCTCCCAGCTTCAGTTTATCCAAAACCGGCTTTCCATTATCGTGTCTCTCTTTCGTCGTATTTTTGATCTCCGTTCCGAAGGTTGCGAGCCCAATCCTCTCAGCGTTGGCCAATGCCTGAAATATCCACGTTTTCGTCTCTGGCCTCTTCTTGACCTGCTCGAAGACCTCATTCGTGGTAAGAATCACTTCAGGCCTGCTATTGCGCTCACGTTCCGGAATTCTATTCCATAGTTCGCATGGTTGTAGCACTGGTGGACCCGGCCGTGTTCGCAACACGAGAGCGTTCCCGGGATCAAGAAACAGGGCATAACAGTGCGGAGGTAGAGGCTCATCACGGAAGTCGAGATACATATCCCCCATAGAAATGCGACGGTTGTCGTCTGGCAAGAAGCGGATCTCAACTGGCTCGCCGTGTGTATCCCACTCGTTCTTCTGGCGAGCGCGAGGGAAGATTTCGTAGATAGGACCCTGGTTGTATCAGCAAGGATCTTTTTCTTTCATGCCATGTTCCGAATGGAAGGTGAGTTATACTTCTATTACAAGTCTACCTGCCTTCAGCCTCCCATACTCATCAATGCCGCTCTTTGTGGTAGAACAACTGATGATTTCAGACATGAGATTGTTGTAATTGAGAGGAAGAAATCGGATAGGGGCGTCCAGCGACGCCCAGGACCATGAGGGCGCTCGATACTTTTCCGGTTTCGTCACGTCACCTAACAGTCTCCCTTTGATCGGAGTTCCGCTTTCGAAAGACTCTTCTCGCGGATAAACGCGCCAAAATAAGTCTTCTGGAATATGTCGCGCCCATAGCCCAGCAAGGTACCGATCTCCTGTCGCCTTAGCCAAAATTCGCGCCAAACCAGACAACGCGGAAAGCTTGTCTTCATCTTTACTCAGCTCCCGCTGAGAATAGTCTTGCACTAAGCTGAGCCATCCACCTTTCCACCGTCCGTGGTTTGGTGTCGGCTGATGACCTGGAACGAAGCATATGCTAGACTTTGTTACGCCGTGGTCTTCAAAAGGGATTGATTCTTTTCCGATCAGTAATTCCAGGCTGAAGGACGTGTTTGGAAAAGTGAACCCGTCTTCAGATTGCACCGTCCAGCTACACTGAAAGTACATTTGATCCTTGGCGTAATGAACAACTCTTGAAGGAAGGATTCGTTCTTGTAGCGTCCAACCACGATTGCTGAGCGGCTCATCTTCGAGCGGATCTAAGGCCTGACCGAAAGAACCAATCATGGCCATCTGTGGGGAATCCACGCAGGAGCCTGGGAGCCATTCTTTGGAGAAGTAGGACTTGGAATCGTTGTTTCCATATCCATTTAGAAGCCTCATCTTTGTTACAAGGGTATTCGGACCTCGAGTGTGAACTGTGGTATTGTAACCCAGTGATTGCGACGGTGATGAAAGATAGGGTGTGTCCGTGCGCTGTGGAAAGCAGCCCGTCATGCTATCAGTAGAGTTCGTCGCGGAGATAGTGATATACGAATTGTAATAATACTGCCCCATCTGGGGCGCCTCCTTGTTCCAGTCAACTGAGTTAAGTGAGTCCTGGATAATGCAAAGACAGTCTATCCATAAGAAACGAATACCAAGACGACGGGTGATCTGAATGGCATCTCGGATTGTTTTAGGAAGTAAAGCAATCATAATTTCCCGCTTGTAATCTTCGTAGTTTGACCTCTGAGTTTTGATCTGATCCAATGGCGCTTTATCCGTGCCCCATGAGTGACTTAATGCAACGTATCTGCCGCGCTTGCCAGAGCTCTCGTGAAGCAGTACCGATCTGTCGAAAACAAAGACATCAAGTACTCTAGTGGGTAGCACTGGATTTTCTGTTGGGCCTCTGCATTTGTGGTGTGAACTGCAGCTCTCGACCCAGCGACGGATTCGTTCGTACGCTATATCCGAGCTGGAATCTACCTGGCGAAACCGACGAGGGATGCAAGGTAACGGAAATGCTACTCATATTAGTGATGTGAGGCTTATATCATAGTCTTCACGCAGGAAACTCACCGTCATCCACGGATAGTGATAAAGCGCTTCCGCGAATATGTACACTCCTCTTAGAGTTATTGATACTATCGAATACATGGCCAGACGTTCCAAATCGGGCACCGATGCCCATGAGGTACCACCCATCGAAGGGCTTTTCATTCGCCTCCGGTTGGTGCCAATAGTTACCGTAGAGCCAAATTCCCATATTAGTAGGTATCTGCGCGCTCAGATCGTCTACGTCAATAACCGCAGCTTCGACTGGCTCGATGTTATGAGCTTCCGTGAAACCTAGGGCTCTCGCAAATACTGAGTTTGGATATATCATCTCAGTATCCCAATCGAACTGCACGTGGGTGAAAAAACCGCCACGGTCTCCAGTGATGACATCCGATTCCATGTCCGGCATGGCAGGTCCAAGTTCCTTGATATAAGCAGCTCTACGAACAAGGGTTCCACGTCTATCTTGGGGTACACAGACGGTTTCGTAGCGTGTCCAACAAGGTCGATCATCCGGCCGACGTTCCTGAGAGCGACGAAAATTAGAGACAGCAGCATGGAGAACGAATGCGCAGAGATTGCATGTTTCCATGGAGGCAATCAGGGATCGAAGCGACCTATGGTGGGGTTCTCCCTCCTCGTCTTCAAACGGCAGGCAGTACCACTTGACATGCTTGCAGGTTTCGCACAGGGTAATATCTTCATCCTTCCTCGTCTGGTTTTCGATTTGGCGTGGTTGGCACCGTCTATCCGATTGCGCTAGCCTCAAGGGGTCTGATGAATCCGTAGAGCTTGAGAAAGGAGATTCGTTCGCGTCCGGTTGTTGCAAATTTGAACTGGCCGAAGAGCGTCTCCAATGCGGTCGTATCTGTCAGACCCTATCATCAGCCAATACACAGTGTCTGTGCACACGCACCTTACCTTGTCTTTTACATATTTCAGGGACATGGTCCGCCTCTGCTACACTGACGCTAGCGTAACCTCGTTGCGTAATCCGGAATAGGCACTAATGACACGTCTGAGGAGCTAGAGGGAAGCACGACTGTTTTGTCTAGAATGTGGCTCAATGTAGAAATATGTTGTGAAGCTACCTAGATACTTCTCGTTGGTAGTTATCACGAAGGCCCTTGGACTACAAGGGGGAATCGCGGTGCTTTTCAAGATGATGAGGAGCTTGTTGTAGAGTCAGGGCCTCGCATTTGGATCGTATCGAATTACCAAAACAAGATAGATGGATGAAATAACATCAGCCTCATCCATAACCCGAATAGTCACATGTAGTGCTGCAGCTTCAGCTGGACCCTGCCAATGGAAAAAGCAATGGGACCGGGAATTTATTGTAACACTAACAGCGAACTCCGCACCTACCTAGGTAGCAGCTACTACGATAGTCGCAAGAGGATCCACTCAGCTGAACATAAGCGAACCTTACCACCCATTGCGTGACTAAGACGGACAGACTGCAGCTTATAGCATAGCTCTATTCGCCTGCTCTTTGTAAGCGTGACGCTGAATTGATGCTCCAGCTGCTCGACTGAGTCACTGGGCAGACTTGTAGAGCTGATAAATGTAGTGACGACGATAAGGCATGAGTATCGTGGACTTGCACCTTGGCAATACAAAGCCTTGCAAGGGCCGTGATAGAGGTCTCGTCGAATTGCTGAACATGGAACTAGTCGCAACATTTTGCGACCATTGCAAGATAGTAGTAGTACGTGTGGGTAGTATGTGAGGGCTTGATTGTAGGCGTGACTTCAGTAGGTGGGCAGGACGGTCAAGCAGGTACTCAGCGAGAGTGGCACAGGCAATTGCAACGCCGGTTAGTCAGGCCGAGATGAATTCTGTGGCAAGATGTAGACTGTAAAACGGAAGACACAGTTGATTGATGCATGTGAGATTTATGCAACGATCTACTCGACCTTTCCTGCCTCGGCTAGACGCGCTGGACCCTGAACGTCAGGCCGCATACCAAAAATAATGCTGAGAGTCATCCACGATGTTGTCAAACAATGCGCGGGCCGCTATCCCACGCCTTTCCAGAGTTCCAACAGTCGCTACACCGATTATTTTGTTCACGGCGCAGCTTCCACAAGCTCTCGAGAGTTCCACGACGCGTGCAGTTTCGCGAAGCGCATGGGAGGAGAGGGAACATGGCGGGGTATGAAGAATGGTCACAACAGCAATTGATTGCAAGGATACAAGAGTTGGAGAAGCAGATAGGAGGAAATGCGCAGGGAAATGCTGAACTGATTTCCTCGTCTTCTACAAAAGAACCGACACTCTTGCCTACAGATTCACCAAAGTCATGGGAACTTCGCAGGGCCAGCAAGCCACCGCCAAAAGCTTTCGACGCTTCGAAATATAGCACACGGTTAATCGCGCTAAAGTTTGCGTACCTAGGACAGAAATACAATGGCTTTGAGCATCACAAGAACAATACTACGCCGCTGCCTACGATTGAAGAAGAAGTCTGGAAGGCACTGGTCAAGACACGGTTAATTAATCCGATACCAACGGAAGGTGATGGAAGAAGATATGAGAGAATCGATAGAAAGACGTTTGCAAGATGGGATAGAGAAGGTGCCGATGTAAACTGGGACGGTTGTGAATACTCGAAATGCGGAAGGACGGATCGGGGGGTTAGCGCTTTTGGGCAGGTCATTGGAGTGAGGGTTAGGAGTAACAAGCCGCTGCCAAAAGCCTCTGAGCCTGAACAAGACGCGGAGAAAGAAGACCAAGCGGACAACGAAGACCCATCGCCATCCTCAGGCAACGTTCAAGACACCACACCGAAGCCATTCAACGACCTTACGGACGAACTTCCATACATTCAGCTTCTAAACCGCGTCTTGCCTCCCGATATTCGCGTTTATGCGTGGTGTCCCAAGCCGCCAGCAGACTTCAGTGCACGCTTCTCTTGTAAAGAAAGGCGGTATAAGTACTTCTTCACCAACCCTTGCTTCGCACCTGTGCCCGGCTCTCCTGGACTATACAAAACCAACACCAACTACACTAACAACAAAAGCATTACTCCAGATAACCAAGAGACAATGCGCGAAGGCTGGCTCGACATCGAAGCTATGCGAAAAGGTTGCAAATCGCTAATCGGCCTCCACGATTTCCGCAACTTTTGCAAAATCGACGCAAGCAAACAGCTCACAAACTTCCAACGACGCATTTTCCACGCCGACATCGAGGAAGTATCTCCACTATCCGTTCCAGGCTTCCTCTCACACCCCGCTCTCTCCGCCCCTTACTTGTCGACAGAGAACGGAGAGCCACCAAAACTATACTCCTTCACTCTTCACGGCTCCGCCTTCCTCTGGCACCAAGTCCGCTCGCTAGTCGCTATCCTGTTTCTCATAGGCCAGGGCCTCGAATCCCCATCTCTAGTCCCCCATCTCCTCGACATAAACGCCAACCCGCAACGACCAAAATACGAAATGGCATCGGACGCGCCCCTCGTCCTTTGGGACTGCATCTTCCCGCACGCCTCCGAAGTGCGCAGCACTGAAGAACGGGAACACGGGTACGAAGACCGACTAGAATGGATCTACATTGGCGACGAAGGAGGTAGCGAACCAAAAGCGAGAGGAACAGCCAAAGGCGGAGGCCCTAGTACTATCGGTCGCGGGAAATGGGGCCGGGGTGGCGTTATCGACGATGTCTGGGAGGTCTGGCGGGGAAACAAAATCGACGAGACGCTTTCTGCGCTGTTGCTTGACAAGATTGCGGGCTTGGGCCAGTCGACATTGGATGCCGAGGTGTCGGCCGAGAAACAGAGTATCGGCATAGCGAGGGGTGGACCAAGGGTTTTTGATGGAGGGGATTTGGGGAGGGCGAAGGGGAATTACATGCCGATTCTACAGAGGGAAAGGCAGGAAAGTGTCGAGGTGGTCAATGAACGGTATAGGATTAGGAGGGGCATCGATTCGGATCGTGTCAAAGCGAAAGACGACGATGGAGATGAGTAGATGGTAGAAAGGCGAGATAGATGTACATAGGATTAGTCGGTTCATAGACCTGCCACTGGAATGTTCTATATGCCTGGTCAAGCAAGAAGCACTTTATTGGGTATCATAATCTGTCGCGATTTCTTCCATATAGCTTGCCCTCATACATCCACCCTTACATCCTTCTTTCCGGATCTCTCCCAACCCCTGACATGCCCGAACGGTCACTTTCTCCTTCAAATTCTAATCCCCAGTATTCAACTCCAGATCAATCTGCACCCCGTTGCTAATCGCATAATCCGCACACGTCAGATTATCATGGAATGGCCTCTCCCCCTGCCTCTTGAGCATAATCTCGTGCACCGGTCTACCAATCTTCGCTGCAACCATGGCTTTCAGTAGCTTGATGGGGTCGCTGGGTAGGCAAGGGACCTGTGTCTTGGTGCCTAGACGATCGTTGATGGTGACGAGGATCATGGGTTCAGATGGTGCGGCAGGCGCAGCGGCTTTCTTCTCCTTGGGTTTGCTGTCGCGGTCGCGGGTCGAGTCTCGTGGTTTGCGGTCGCGGGAGCGGGATCGACGACGGCGGTCACCGCGGTCGCGGCTTGAGTCTCGTCGTCGGTCGCGCGAGGTGTCTCGTGGGCGGCGGTCGCGTTCTCTGTCTTGGTCTCGGCGGGAGTCGCGGTCAGAATCTCGCGGTCGCCTCTCTCTGTCTCGGTCGTCGCGTCGTCTGTCTGGATCGCGACGCTCGCGGTCGCCTTTGTATTTGAGGCCGCTGAAGTTTTTGGGTTTGCGGGGCCCGGGGGATCTTCTGGGAGAGCGAGAGCGGTCGCGATCTGTTTTTGCAGCGTCCATTGTGACTGGTGTGTATGCAAGAGGTTTGTAGTGGAGGTGAAGAGGTACTGTCGAGGCAAGTAAGTCGTACATGGCAAGGCAGCTTGGTAGAAAACGTGATGACCTTATCGATAAGAAACGTGCTGAGCGCGTCATCCCGTTCTGCTGTGCTTCCTTTCACCCCCACATTCCGCCGTCCATACTATTACTCTTCTATCGATGCTTTCTTCAACTCGAATACCATGTTATCACTTATTGATCGTCTGAACTCTCCACCTGCGCAAACATTACAAGTGCTACAACCCACGTCGTCAACCATCACATACACGGTCTCGACGCGTCCTGTACCCAAGACACTTCCCGCGCTCGTAGGATACTATGCAGGAATATCATTGAGAGTTGTACTGGGTTTCTCCAGTCTATTGATATTATGGTTGAAATTGCGCGTCACACAAGAAGCTCAACTCGGAAGTCTCATACTATGGACAATGGAGGATAATGTGGACGCTCAATTTGTGAGGCTTGCAGAAGCTTGTCCCTGGCGATACCTGGGGCCTAGTGCATGCATCATCCTCTTCCTGGTCTTGCACCGGAACTACACCGGTGGGTTTTGTACCCCGTTTTCATTCTGTCTCCTGCGCTCAGGCTAATACAACGCGTAGAAGAATCCCTCACCATTCTTCGGGGCCTCGGTGTCCAGACCTCGACCACATCTTCCACTTACCTCCAGACGCCCACTACGCGCTTCATACCCACTACAAGCATACAGGACGTCTTCATACACGAGGCGTTCAAAGGATTCGAGGTGAGGTTCTACCTCATGATAGTAGTGGAGGGGGAAGAAGAGGTTGTCGTTGTGTTCCCGAGATTGCTACCGAGAAGAGGGACGCTGGAGATTGTTTGGAGGGGCGTGAGAGGAGGGCTATGGGAAGACAGCTTTAAGAGTACAGAGGGGGAGAAAATGGTTGATAGCAAAGCAGCGTAAATCGTAGAATCATGGCATGGGATAAAGCACTTCTAAGGTGTGCCTAACGACCACATGACTAGATTCTCATCTACATCCCAAGCATTTTCTAGAAGTCCATGTAAGCTTCTTCCAAGAGGTGCTGTAATGATGTAGCCGTACCTTCAGCTTTGCCATGCTTCCACTTGCAGTACAGCTTCCGTCTTTCCAGTCTCCCCAGTTTCTCTAGACGCAAATAGCAGGAACCGTGTCTACTGCCATCTTCTTGGTATCAATTTCCTACATATTCAAAAGCCAAATACGCCATGTATCCAAACCCAAGCCCAAGTCCATTCATCTCTCCCTCAGTACCGGTACCTAGTACTATAATCCTTGGGACTAACCACCAAACCTCTCCCCTTCTTTGCCCCTCGATAAACCGTCTCAATAATATCAATAAACTCCTGTTTATCTTCCAACACCCAATTTAACTTATTATTGTTTCCTGTTCCAAAATCACACATCATGTGCTTGTTGCGGAAGAAGAACATGACGGTGCAGGGATCGTAGAGCTCGTACATGGCCTTGAAATCGGGAACCTCGTCGAGGTCGCAAAGGTAGATGGCGCAGAAGTTTTTCACGCGGTCGGCGATCTTGTAGAGCACTTCGTCTTGCGACATGCAGTCCGGGTCGGAGTCGCGGCCGAAGCGGATTAGGACTAGGCGGTCTTCTTCGCTGAGAATGGCTTGGTCGACGTGCCAGCCTGTGCGTAGGTGGGGAAGGACTACGGAACCCATGGTGTGTGTGTGTGTGTGTGTGTGTGTGTGTGTGTGTGTGTGTGTGGAGTTGGAGTTCGAGATGAGTGGCGGTGGAGGACGAGAGGTAGAAGTATGCTGGGTGCTGCACCCAATATGGATGTGCTTCTTGCGATCGAGCGATAGAGATGTTTTGCGCGCGAAATGCGTTCGGTTTATTATGTTTGCGCAAGTGTTGAAGAAATGAGCGAGTTGAAAGAAAGTTCCAAGGTTGCGCCAGGCAGCTAGAGCCCGTGATCTAGAAAGTTCGGGAGGTCCCGAGATCGCCCCCACTACACGTCTCCAATCGACTTCAACCTAGCTACCTTGTATACACCTCTCAGCCACTCCACTACTACTAAAAGCTCTTGTAACCTTCCCTCGAATATGATTAATTTGAGTAACTCGCCCTGCCACTGCTTCGCCACGCTGGATCTCACCAGCTCAATTCGAACAGGTCTGCATAAGAGCGTGCATCTCGCATGTCTGCTGTGACTAAGACTGGGAAGTACACCTGTATGGTGTCTGAATCCTTGCCCTTGGCGGTAGTTGTTTTTGTTACGCCCTGCTGTATCTTTGTAACGTTCATCTGGGCAGGTCTGCAATTAGCTAGCAGGTTCACCCAAACGATGACTACCATGTCGTCACTACCAGACATGACAGCAGCTTGTCTACATCAAAACTGCATAGTTTTATCGCTACCATTGATCTCCCAGAATCTCGAATAGATAGTGGACGACTGTCATGCGGGCCCATCGATTGAAGTGCCCAGTCGCCTAAGCATGCTGCGAGATGTCCGTCTCCTGGTCGAACCGCCCGGAAGCGTCTAGCTTGTCCGCACGAGGAAAACACTCCATCACGGGAACTGACTAGACAAGGGCCGCAACCCTATCATAGCCTACACGTCCAGATTCTCCCTACGACGGAGGTGTGGTGTGGTGCGGGACGCCCCGCACGGGACTAGGAGTGCCGGTGGGCCTTGGCGGGGTAGGACCTGTCGACGTGTATGCAGATGCAGGACGTACACCACTACGCACATGTTGCAGCATTGACGAAGCGCCGCAGATTGCAGATCGTTGTACACCACACCTCCGATGTTCGCAATGCGAGCCTGCTGACGTATGTGCTCTGGATCCACGCCAATCTTTATCTAGGCTCGGCTTGTGGAAGTGTAAAGATGCTCCACCCAACCATCTCAGTCAAGTCGAAAAGGTCTTGGTACAACGAAAACAGCATCGAGGAGAAAATCTGGCGCCATTGGTCGAGGTATTGTGTATGTGTGCTAATATACGTGCAGACATTTCCGAGTCGGTATTGCAGCACACGCACAATGTTGATGAGCAGCTGGAGCGAAGCATCATTGTGTATTCACTTTACATTCACGTAAATAGAGGAAAAAATTCTATCCGGACTGCCTGTCTAACCAACTCTATCTATTGTGCGTTTTCTTCAACCTGATTGCGGCGGCATAAAACCGTCTGACGTGGTTTGTCAGCAATGCCATTCCATGCTGAGCCGTCTTGTTCACCCCCTATGAAGAGAGCACCAGAACGGTACACGTACAACTAAACCAGGCTAAACAAGCCTTCGTGTTGCAAACATTAAGCCGTTAAAGACGGCACCTGCTGCGTCTGCGCAGAGGTTTGCTGCTTCGGTAAGTCGGGTAACACAGAGCTCACCGATCGACGCCACCAATTATACGCTCACTTGGTACTGCGACTCGGTCCGATATCGAGTTCAGCCCTCTCATACATGCATACTGCATAAATAGTCAACCTTCAGTCGATGAATCAGCGTATCGCCCGTGGCAGCGATCTAGATCTAGAGGCACTACCTCGCACATGGAGACTTAACTCTCAATATAGAAAATGCTACACCGCCCTTCTACTGTGTGCGTACTTGTTGCTTCTTTCACCTGGTTGGTATCATGCATTCACTTTACTGCTTCACTTCCAAATGATCACACTGCGGAGATCTACAGTCGTATTCAACAGTCTAACAGTGCGCCTATCTCTTCCTAGATCTTTGATTCGAGACGACTGAGCTAAGCTGACAGTTGACAAAGAAAAGCTTCGTTGAGAGGTTGTCGCAGAGAGCTAGGCAATGAGAGTAATACGAATCTGCATGCAGACCACGACAATAGTTGAAAGAGGTGTCGAAATCAAACCAAGTGGAGCTTAAAGAACGACAACTGATCTCATTGAGCATATACGTAGTCTTGGAAACTTCTTCTATAGGCTCAGACTTCCATGGTTTTTCAGACGTGCGATTGTAAGCGGCAACTCTGGCAGCCAAAACCTGGGAACTGCACTGCAGCGCAGGTGATCATCTATCAGTTGTATCGAAGATTCGGGGGCTAATAGTTTGCTTTTTTGAACTTCCAGCTCTATATAAGACCTCCGATCGTCTATCAAACTTCCGTTCTCATTAGCATCCCTTCTTTCATATTACTATCAATCCCTCACACTTTAGCCAAGAACGCCTTCCCCAGCATATCAAGATGTCTAACTACCTTGTCCCTGGAACGTACGAGATTCTACCTAAGCATAATCCGGAAATGAGCCTAAATGCCTGGGAGGGCGCAACAACCCCTGGCACTCCCATCAAGCTATAGTACGTTACTTCCAACACTAAACATCGCCGTCTTCGATTAACTGCTACTAGCATGAGAATGCCAACCTCCAACAACACTCATTTTAACATTGTACCAGCGGGAAGCGGCTACGAAAGCCACATCATTTGCGCAAAATCCGGTCTCTACTTATGCATGAATGGTAGATAGCGCCACGTTCTCCCAGAAACCTTCCGTCTTCTGACGTCTTAATACTTATTAGGCATCGACCGCCAGATCACAACCGAAATGCGCCCTCCTACCGACAATAATATCCGCTGGGTGCTTGAGTCCGTCGGAGATGATGCTTACGCGTGAGTCTACCTGAGCAACTCTTGATGAATGAGAGTTCAACCTAACGTCACACTCCAGAATCAACAGTTGTAGTGATGGCGGGAATGCGCAACTCAACGTTCGTGGAGCTAATAGAGACATCGGAGCGGAGGTGATTACGTGGGTTGTGTCTCCTGATGCTGCGCACGCTCAGTTTATTCTCAAGGCTATTTGATTGGCAATACAGTTGAACTTACGGATCGAGGCCGAAATCACGCTAATGGCAGTTTTGTCTTCCTCGGTAGGGTGCAGCATGTGTCACATGGCGCTCTTTAATCAGTTCGGTTTACTGAACGTGTTTTAATTACTTCAAAACAATTGTGACGAGTCGCGTAACCCATCTTTGTACTGAACTGATATGAAAGGCTTGCTACTAGATAGGATTGTACGCTCTGGACCTCGTTGAGCAAGATCGTCTTTTCTTCGCCTGAACGTACTATAATTCAAAGTAGGTGGGCGTCCGAGTCACTAGGTGATTGTTATTAGCGCAATGTTACAAGACCTACCATCGCGATTTCCAAACATTTCACGCTAAATGTCTATAGTGCGCCCAGATCTTTTGAGCACGAATTGCGCATGCACTACACGACAATTCTCACATTGATAAAGAAGACAATAACACTCATGCTTACATTTAGGAAGCTATCAAAAGGGTGAAACATCTTCCTCTTCGGGTAAACTACAGAGTATACCTGAAGAAAGGGCTCTTGTCACCCATAAGCAACAACTCCTGCTCGCTATATCTCGCACGAATAGCCTCTTCACCATGCTCAGCAATCAACTCATCCCTCTTCCGGTTCTCCTTCGCATACGCCCATCTCAACACAAGAGTCATGAGAATGGCGGTACAGCACATTGCCAGACTAGCTGAGAAGCCTGTCGTGTACTTTGGTGCCTCGCGTGCAAGATAGATGTTGCTTCCCATAATACCACCCATGTTTCCAACAGAAATCAAGAGAGCCATTCCGACAGCGCGCTTGGAAGATGGAGCGAGAGAGTTGCCGATCCAGGAGACGAGGCAGGTGAAGGGGCAGTATAGACCTCCGGCCACAGGGAAGAGGAAACCGTATGTGATACCTGGGTAAGCGGGCTTTGGGATAGCTAGTTGAGCAATGAAGCCGCATATAGCGATGGAGTAGCCTGCAATGATGTATGGGGAGCGCATGCGTGTCAGGTCAGAGGCCCACGCGAAGATGAGAGTAAGGATAGCGGCGAAGACGTAGATCGGGATGGTCATAAGTTGGGCATTGGCACTCGTGTAGCCTAGACCTTTGATAACAGATGGCACAGTTGCAGTGAATCTGTATGCAAATGTTAGAGATGAATCAGTGGTACATATCGGTGTCGCTAGCATACCCGTAAACACCCACAGTGTTACCCCAGAAAACAACCGTAGCAGCCCAAATCTTCCAGTCGGAAAGACCAGAGAGAATCTGCTCTTTTCCAATCTTATCGCTGTTGGTGGCTTGTCCCTGCCCAGATCCGGAGTCGTTCGCCAACCGGGAAACTAGAAGGTCGCGCTCTGGTTGGGTAAGAAATTTTGCCGTTTCTGGACTGTCAGGAAGAATTTTCCAGATGATGAGTGCGAGGGCCACTGGAATTAATCCCTCGATAAGGAAGATCCACTGCCATCCTGCAAGGCCAGAGCGACCGTCAAGTTGCTCGATACCATAGGCGAGTAGACCACTGAAAGCACCTGCGAGAGAGGCGGCTACGTAGAAGACAGCCATGCGACGCTGAAGTTCGAAACGACGATACCACAGAGTGAGTAAGAACGTTGCTGCTGGAAAGAACCCAGACTGTGGGTGTTAGCCTAGATCGTTCAACCTTGATCGAGATCCTATCTTCGTACCTCTGTCACACCCAAAAAGAACCTTCCGGCGAGTAGACCACCATAGCTGGACGTTAGACCCATGAGTGTCATGACGAGACCCCAGCTGAACATCAAAATCGCCATCCAATGACTTGGGCGCATCATCTTGAGCACAATGTTGCTGGGTACTTCGAGGAGCGTATATGGGACGAAGAACAAGGTAACCGCAGTGTTGTACTGGATACCGTTCATGCGAAGGTCATCCGTCATACCGGCAATTTTCGCATTACCGACTAGAATATGTTATCGATTCGTTCCGATCTAACTTTAGAACCTGGGTCTCGGTACGTACTATTACTTCGATCGATAAAGGCAACAAGATAGAGGAGGGAAAGCATTGGAACGAGTCTCATGTCCACCTTCCTCAACACACGCGCCGCCTCTTTCTCCTGAAGTTCTACACTCTGCGCTTCAAGCTCACCACTTCCTGATGAAGTTGAGATCTTCTCCGCGATATTCTCAGTCTTCTGATGCTCAGCGGAGAGCTTGTCGTGATCCATTGCTGTCGCCATGGTGTATCTTTCGTACTGTGTATTCCCACTAATCGAAGGCGATGCAAGATGGGGGAGGAGGGTGGTAGGGCGATGCACAACCTCGACCCCATGGGGAACTTCTATCCTTTAATGCATCTCGGTAGAATGCAAAACCCGAATCGTACCACCATAACGGCATACCTTCTTCGGCAACGTTACCCACTTATCACGTATGTCTTGCGTCCCCAGGCTCCCCTCAACAAGACGGACCCTCTTTGTGCGGAGGCGGATCAAACGTATCTTAGCTTCTGGGGTAACAAGCGGCGCTTTTGCGGGGTAGTTTTGGCGGGATCAACATGCGCGGCGTCGGCACGTGGTGCATGATCGGCATGACGTTGTAGCGTATGGTTCGACCATCTGTCAAGCGGCACAGTGTTAACTGGAGATGTGCAGGGGCGCATTTGCCGATCTCAGAAGCCGCGGTGTCGGTGTGGCTCTTTGTTGAAGGACCGGTGGTGGATTCGGCCTAGAGTTGCTGGGTGGTTGGTCGGAAGAGTGCCCTCGGCGATAGACCGAGGAAAAAGAAAGTCCAATCGGTAGCAGCGCCGCTTAATTGAGTTTTGGATTTGTAGATGATGGACATAGAATGTCCGCCGGCTACAGCTGAACTTGTCTAATTATAGTCTGCATTATACATGAGGCATGTCTTACGACTCGAGCGGTGATTCAGTATAAAGCGCTGTTCATAACGGAGGGTGGTAGATTCCATATGTGCAAGGAGGTTGGCCTCGAGACGAGGTCTACGCTCAGCAGCAACCATGACCAAATCAGTGGTACCTAGGCACTCCGGTCCGTCCATATGTTCGATATATTCAAAACATTCACTCAGCTCACGTTCGAGCCCATGGAAGCTGAGTGTCTATACATCCTCGAATTACATGAGGTTGCACATATCAGGCCCTTGGCTCTTGCCACCTGCCTTAGTCGTCGTCTTTGCACTCGTCTTTGCAACGTCCTCAAGCACCTGTCTGCATAGCTCTCCTGTCAGCGCACTACATTCGGCATAATGATCGCACAACATTCTCTGCGCAGTTTGCAGTCCCTCATGTGGCATGACGCTCGCGCCCTTGCCTTTCTTATCTGGGCCATGTTCCGCTAGCGTCCATTGCCTTCTCAAATCTCTCTTCAAACCTAGTACCATTACAGGCAGATTTTCATCGTAGTTGAAGTGTTTGTTCACTATCGGTAGCCATGTCGAGGAAAGAGAGTCGAGCGACGCGCGTGAGGATATGTCGTAACAGAGAATCACGAACTGGGGATGTAGGAGCGTGTAGTTCTGAGGTGAGGCCGTGTCAAAGAACTGTAGCCTGTACGGACGGCCATAGAGCGTGATATCGAAGGCATATGGTTGGTCGATGTCGCGCAGCTTGGGAAGCTCATACGGTGGGAGGTCGTCATTCTGGGGTTGGACGCCGAGAGACAGGCGACTTTGGATTGTCAGCAATTGTAACAAAACGTCAATCGACATGAACCGTTGCGCCCCTGTTGCGCGCAGCAACAGTCGGAGGAACTCACGATAAGAACGTCGACTTCCCGATTTCAGAATCGCCCAATAGCAGAACAGTGATCTCCGGAGGCAATGAAGTATAGTCCATCGCCAGTTCTGACTGCCTCGCTGGCACAGTCTGCAATCAAGGTGGCTTCATGTTTGCTCTTGAGAGAGTTGTGGACGGTGACGAACATATCTGGGCACGGAGATAGGCGTTATCTGCGCAGCGTCTTGGCAATCAGAACGATTGTGTCCCTCCAACATCCGCTGCCTCTACACTCTTCTATACAAGCTCCCCAAGGTGTCGCTAATCATGCAATACGATAATTAACAGGCTTCGGATCCGTCCGCGCTACTATGACAGTAGCTTGCTAACGAAGAACGTTCACTGCTGCTTCTTTGCACAAGTAGATCTAGGTAGTGCGCATTAATTGTAGGCCGGGGCACCCTGTTCTTGCTGCATGTCATACCACAGCCCTGCTATACCGTCGTTCGATTATGGGGAAGCTTCTGTACCTTTCGAACTCGACAGCCTCGGTATGATGCTTATCTGTATGGCCGCTCACACGACCATGAAGCTACAGTCGCCGGTGTCTTGCTAACCCACGTTCAGCGGTCTTGGCAACGCCTTCAACACCATGAACCAGGAGTCTGGATCCTCTAGGGCATTTCGCCTTCTGCTTGCCTACAACCAACATGATCCTTTGCGTTAGACACGAATCTGTGTGGCCATAGCAGAAGATAACAGTTCGGACCTGCTTAGAATCGTAGAGCATCCATGCCAGCCAAGTACGCTTGCTGTCTTGGAGGCTTGGAAACGCCGTCCCCCATTACCGGATGAGGAAGCTGGAAGCAATGCTCTTGTCTAAGAGGCTGGCAACAGAAAGTACCAAGCAATCGACTTTGAATAAATACTAACATGATGGCGACGGTTTGTGTCTGCACGACTTGCAACTTTTACTCGTCGCAGCATTGTTATCGCTGCCCGCCATGAAGGTCTCCACTCTCCTCGGTCTGCTTCCCGGTGCTGTTCTTGCATCCGATGTCCTTAGCGTTGCATTCTACGCGAAGGAGAAGAACCAGCTGTACGACTTCATCTCGGCCAACAGCGAGATCGACTATGGCTGCCGTCCTGTTGTGATGGCTGCTGGCGGCGAGCACAAGCTGCACGCTGTCATCTCGGAGGACCATCTGGACCACTTCAAGCGAAGCCTGGATCCCGAGCTCGTTCGCGTTGAGCTTCTGCACAACATGAACAAGCGACAGACTGCCACTGCGCCCATTGGAAAGGGCGATCGTTTCAACGGTGGAAAGGTCGCACCTCGCGGTCTCGGTACCAGGAAGCCCAGCGAGTACGCGCAGCTCCAGAGTGCTGGCGTCTTCAACGTAGATGAAGTCTACACCGCCATGAAAGGTCTAGAGAAGGAATACGGCATGTCGCTCTTCACAACACCGGAAAAGACCTTTGAGGGACGATCAATTATTGGTGGTGTCGCCAACAAGGCAGAGAAGATCCAGAAAGACAAGCAATACATTTACTTCACCTCCGGTATGCGTTCCGCTCATCATATATCTCATTCAAGTATAAACTAACCTGTCAAATAGGAATCCACGCGCGTGAGCGTGGTGGACCCGACAATCTGATCTACTTCATCTCCGATCTGCTCTATGCGAACGAGCATCGCATTGGTCTGACCTACGGCAACAAGAAGTACACCAACAGCCAAGTCAAGAAAGCTCTTGGTGCGGGAATCGTCTTCATCCCCATGCTGAACCCAGACGGTGTGAACCACGACCAGACGAACAGCAACCTCTGGCGAAAGAACCGCAACCCAGCCTCTGCTAAGCCCGGCGTTCCCTTCAGTGTCGGCGTGGATCTTAACAGGAACTTCGACTTCCTCTGGAACTTTACTCAAAAGTTTGACCCCTCCGTTGCCCCAGCTTCAAAGGACCCTGCTTCCCAGGCATTCTACGGTACCGCACCATTCTCCGAGCCTGAGTCGAGGGACATGGCCTGGGTTTACGACGAGTACCCCAACATCCACTGGTACATTGACGTTCACTCCGCTGCTGGAACCCTGCTCTATTCATGGGGCGACGACGTTGATCAGTCCCACGACCCGAAGCAGAACTTGTTCAACCCTGCTTACGACGGCAAGCGCGGCATTGTCGAAGACACGCTGTACAGGGAGTACATTGACCAAGAAGACTGGGACAACATCCGCCTCGCCGCCAACCGTACCACCGATGCCATGATTTCCGTCGGCGGCCGCGACTACGTCCCTCAACAAGCCGTAGGCCTGTACCCTACTTCCGGTGCAACTGACGACTGGTCTTTCAGCCGCTGGCACAAGAACAAGAAGCTTACCAAGGTTTACGGTTACACCCTGGAGTTTGGTTACCCGACAAACTTCTACCCTACGGGCGAGGAATATATCCAAAACATCATTGATACCAATGCCGGTTTCATGGAGTTTATCCTTACTGCTGACGAGATTGGCCTCAAGGCTTAGATCTTGTCGCGTAGTTTGTTATGAAGTGGAAGGTGGCTCCCGGGGTGGAGCATGCGGAGGTGATGATTTCATGAGAAACGAGAGACGACGTGTTATAGTTGTAGTAGTTTTGATGTAGTAGTAGGAGAAGGTGTTAATTACTAGTCATTAGATATTAATTAAACCACTTGCAAAGCACGCCTTGAGGGGTATCATCGTACACAAGCGCTATAAGCCAAAAGGTCCGAACTAACGCCTGCGCAACGTCCTCATCTCGGTGTAACACCCCTCAAACGTATCCACCCTCTAGCAACAGCTGCTCTTTCGACTTCAGCGTCGTTGACGAAGGAGGCTGTGTCCGTGGAGTGTTGATAATTCGGTCGCTCAGCATGGATGCGTTAGAAGACGATCGCGAGTGATTTGATCTGGAGCTCTTCTGCGGTACAACAGCCTGATAAGATGATGGGTCGTGGTATACAAGGGGCATGTGTCGGCCTGTCGTTCCTGGACTCTCGGCTTTGCGCTGATAGGCATACTCGGTGTCTTGTTCTTCTTCTTCACCTCGTTCGTCCTCTTCTTCCTCAACATCGCTATAGCCGTCGCTCTCGGCATCGGTAGCCGCAACATCCCGCATAATCTCCCGTCTCTCCTTCAACCTAACCTGCTCATCCCTCTTCCTCATCCCGTCAATCATCAACTCCGTCCCCCACGTCCTCCAGGTAACCCCCAACCTAAACGGTCTCCTCCCTGCCTCTCTCAAACTTTCAAACCAATCTTTATGCTCCGTGTAAGCCACCGTCCTAGACCACTTCTTCTCTGGCGGCGGCGGCCTAGGCAGATCTCCAACACGTTCAAACAGCATCTGCTGCGTGGACGTATTGATATCGAGCTGGTCGAGAATAGTGCTCTTGATATCCGTGTTGAAGCACAGCCACTCTATAGTGGAGGAAAAGAAGGGATGCGGAAACCGAGCGCTGAACCGCCTATATGGAAAACGGAAGGAAGGTAGCCGATTTCTAGGCAACCAGGTGGTGGTTCGTCGCCTGGTGGGGTGGGGGTGGAGGACAGTGGGTCAGGGCCTAGGAGGTAATTGACGTAACCGTGTTGTTGCCGGTTGAGCAATGAGCGAAAGTCAGTGACGGTGATGAAAGAGGCGCAGTAGTGATAGATGACGACGTCTTTTTCGAATTTGTGGTATTGTAGTTGTTTCAACTTCATGCCTTTGGGTCCACCGAGGCCTCTCGGCCATTTGGAAAGTTTTTGAGTTTCGGCTTCGGGAGGGTTGTTGGACTTGCGGGCTTTGGTTTGAGGATTGTTATCATTTGAAGGTGAACGGCCCCGTTTTTTCTTCTTCTTGGACTCCATTGCGGCTTTTGACGGCATTGCTGATGCCTGATGGCGGTTTAATGGAAAGATAGAGGGGAGTTGGCTGCTGTACGATATGCGAAGTGAGGAATCATGGTCCGTGAGATCGATATACATATAGCGTGGAGAGTTAGGCTACTGTTACTGCAAGGGTCTGGACTTCAGGGTTTCGTTCACTGTGATGGTGAATATGCCGAAAGGGAACGTGGACTTAGAGTGCAAAGGCTGAGGGGAAGTAACCGTTTCCATTGCTAGTAGCCGTCGTATTGCAGGCCTTTGATATATCAATTTGAGTATGTCGGGGCCTGTTACAGGTGGCGTGTATTGCAGTAGCATAGAACTATGTTGTACACTTAAGAGGAACTTTTGCAACGCTCACTGCATACCGAGGTCTGTACCTGGTTCATCCAAGGAAGCGGGCCAAGGTGGATTAGTGAGAAATGAATCTGTAGACGATTTGTAATTGCCAGGCCAGCTCCTCGGTCGTCGATTGTGGTATTACCCATGGCCGAGCCGGTGTATCGCGCGCGCAACTCTTTCGCCGCGTTTTCTAGGATTTACATTTCTTGTACAAAACCTGTTGTCGTGAGTGAAAGCGGCATTCGCGGGTTTGCGTGCACTGTTGTCGTTCGGGAACCATGTATCAAATTCTAATAGCAGTGATCCGTCGTGTTGAGAGAAAGGATGTAATGCTATGTTGGAGGCTTTTTCAAAGCTCCTGTGGAAGACAGTGTAGCTTGTCGGTATGACTCTTTACATATTCCGCCCGAGAAGAGCGCACTTTGTGGTGCCAAAATTTTTGGTTATCGCGCGATTCACTCTATATCCAGTGAAGGTGAAGGTAGAGGTGCAGGCTGCACGAAGAGGGCCCGAATCCTAGCTTAAGCAAGTATTTCTACCATCACTTAGTTGGTGTTTCCATCCTCAGTTTCACCTATCAGCAAGGAAAATTTGAAAATATGCGGATCGCAGGATTCCTTGGACTGGCTACCTTCCTTTCTATTGTCGCTGGCGAGATCTGTCAAAAGTAGGCATTGTCCCACAACCCGAAATGGGACTATGGACACGTTATTGTACCACAGTAACTGTTTGACCGTAGAACAAAGCAACTGACTCTGGCCTGTAGTTGTTTGAACAATGGTCCAGTCTTTGCCAATCTCACGATTCTGGAGGAGCCAGATAATCTCATGATCGCCGTTGGACCACCACCACGGCCACCGCCCCCTCCGGCCCCACCAAGAACGCTGCCAGCGACTGACGAAGTTTGGGAAAAGTGCAGGCAGAAAGGCTGTATGCTTGCATGGGCAATGCACCATGCCGACGGCGAAGCCGGACCCCAATATGTTCCGCCCCGCATTACTGCAGCATCGCCATACCAAAGCTTGAGTGACCTTATGAAGTGGTACTGGTTCAGATGGCCTCAAGATAAGATACGGGAAATCTTTTTCGACTTCTACCGGGCTTGGGGCGTCGGTAATGCGCTCGAGGCACTTGGTGTTAATTCGAACGCGGATGAATACGAGGGAGGCCAGAATCGAGTCTTCAGTATTGACCACAAATTGCCGCCCAATGACCCCAATTACAACGTCCCTGTTGAGTATCAAGAGTACAAAGTCAACAACAAGTTATACAGGGCTACAGGTGCGAGCTTTTCGTTCTCGGTCAACCCAAAGGACGGTGTCATCATTGGTTTGAACCGCGAAAGCCCCAAAGAGACGGGAAAGCTTTTAAAACCGCCAGTTCCCGAGGACCAAATGCCAGGACTCATCCAGTTCTCTGACGTGGCGTGGCTGATGTGGAAAGATATGATCGAGGAACACAATGGTGATATCAAAAATCTTCGATATCTCATCTCAGTCTTGGTCGTCAACAGAGAGACTGCGTCAGTGGTGCTAAGAGCATCGGAGAACAGAGGATGGGGAGTAGACGATTGGCCAGGGCACACGTTCGAAGACGGGTCGCCAGAGATGCACGCAATCATGGGTAAGTCTCGCTCGGTCCAGTAGTGTTTTGAAGGCCTTATGGCACTATTATGTCGCTGCTACGCTTCATGTAGCATGGTGGCACCCTCTTGGCGAACTTGACGCCGTCTCGGGCTTTTAATCTTGCATTGCTGGAGGTACCTTTCGGCTGACTCGCGATCAGGTACTCCGAACATGCAAGGCTTCGCGTACATGTTAATTCAGCATAAGGCGCAGCTGGGTAACATGTACGTTAGCAAAATCCAAGTCTTCAGGTGTGAAACAGTGCACCGAAATCCGTGTATTATTGCGCATGTGTCCCAATCAGAGGCCGCTCCAGAGGCGCATTCGATTGGAGTCGGAAGACGCGACGAAAGCCATAACATGGTGCGTACACATAGGATCTTCCCGAAGCTATGAGGGGTGTGTGTGTGCGAGTAAGATGGATTATATGGTAGAATGGAAGACAGCTAGACTTGTGATTTTCTAGGAGGTGTGACTGCCGGTCTTGGGGTTGGATGTTGGGGTGCGACTGCCTCAATGAGACGTGAGGAGCTGGACGCGTTTGCGTTGTTTCCGGGCTGTGAATTTGTTCTCTCGTATTCTAAGTCAACACTATTGTCGATCGCCAATCCAACTCGATTCCGCCTCTTTTTCGCTGTGGGAATGCTTTGATCCAGTCAGGCAGCTTCAACAACGCCACGTCTTGTAGGCAAAAGTAAATCCACGTTGCCAGCCAATGACACAGTTTCTATGCGCATCACAATGAAGCGGATCCGGCAGCCGCCTGCCCGCATGCTCTTCTGAGGGGATCCGAATGCAGGGCATATACTTACATATACTACAGCAAGGTCCGCTGTGCGTCAGACCCTAAGCTTGCACCGCTCAACCACAAATACTCGCCGTCAATTGAGGATCAGCAGTCATGTCGTGCAGCCGTACCTACCTTGGGTACGCCAATACGTCAGGCTCGGCCAAACGTCATATGCCACGGTTGCCCCGCGTTGTAGGATGAAGGCTGGCGCATGACAACTAACGGAGGAACATCTGCCGCCGTTTGGAGCAATCAATTCGTGTCTACACGATGCGACCGTGGGGTATTAGCCGTTCCCCCGAGCGAGGTGCTGGTTACAGGTCTGCGCCATGTTCATGTCACAGACTCTGCGACAGCTTGAAGGCTTTTCCTTTCCTCCTCGGCTTTCGTTACCCCGCTAGCGACTCAAACGACTAAGCCTGTCGTCCTATCAGCCGAGTATCTTCGCCGTGTTGCGCAATCGGAACCGCGGCCGGTAGCGAACGAAACGACCTCTGGACTCCCTTGGATCTGTCTTTCCGAGGTTATACCACACCATCTAGTAGCCATGAGGTCTGCGACTACAGCGCCCGCCGCTTTCCGCGCTGCAACCTCCATTACACGACTCCCCCGACGACAAACGTGCAGCTTTGCGACGCGCTGCCTAGCTTCCCAGACAACTGCGAGATCGGCCCAGTTTTCGAGCCCACGACGAACAACCGCAAACAGCGCCCCAACAGCAGTACCTAGTCTGTATACACAAATTGGACAGTACAGGATGGCGTCTCAAGCAACAATCAAGAAGATCAAGGTCAAGAACCCCGTGGTAGAGCTGGACGGTGATGAGATGACCAGGATTATCTGGCAGGTCATCAAAGACAAGTTCATTCACCCATACCTTGACATCGACCTCAAGTACTACGATCTTGGCTTGCCATACCGTGACGAGACCAACGACCAGGTCACGCTCGATGCTGCTGAAGCTATCAAGAAATACTCTGTTGGTGTCAAATGCGCGACCATCACCCCAGATGAGCAGCGCGTGGAGGAGTTCAAGCTCAAGAAGATGTGGTTGTCGCCAAACGGCACCATCCGCAACCACCTGTATGACGCACATTGGAGCAAGGAAAGAAGCATTGCTGACAGCATATTTTAGAGGAGGAACCGTTTTCCGCGCGCCCATTGTCATCCCCAGCATCCCTCGTCTCGTACCCGGTTGGAAGCAACCCATCATCATCGGCCGTCACGCTTTCGGCGACCAATACCGTGCGAAGGACCGCGTCATCCCCGGCGAAGGTACACTTGAGATGGTCTACACACCCAAGGGCGGCAAGCCTGAAGTTATCAAGGTCTACGACTTCCCAGCAGAGGGTGGTGTCGCGCAGACCCAATACAACACCACCGAGTCTATCTCCGGTTTTGCACACGCCTCCTTCAAGATGGCGCTTGACAGGAAGTTGCCTCTGTACATGAGCACCAAGAACACCATTCTCAAGGCATACGACGGAAAGTTCAAGGATGTCTTCCAGGCCATCTACGACAGCCAGTACAAGAAGGACTTCGAGGCCGCCAAGATCTGGTACGAGCACCGCTTGATTGACGACATGGTCGCCCAGATGATCAAGAGCGAGGGTGGCTACATCATTGCCATGAAGAGTGCGTATCCGTCTCACAGCTCACTAGACTCCACTAACATTTCTAGACTACGATGGAGATGTTCAATCCGACATCGTCGCCCAAGGTTTCGGCTCCCTCGGCCTTATGACCTCCACCCTCATCACCCCTGACGGCAAAACGTTCGAAGCCGAAGCCGCGCACGGTACTGTCACCCGCCATTTCCGCGAACACCAAAAGGGCAACGAGACCTCCACCAACCCCATCGCCTCCATCTACGCCTGGACACAAGGTCTGGCCAAGCGTGGTGAGCTAGACAACACACCTGAGCTTGTCGTCTTCGCCGAGCAGCTCGAGAAGGCTTGCGTGGACACCGTGGATGTTGACAAGATCATGACTAAAGACTTGGCCCTTGCATGCGGAAAGAAGGACCGGGAGTCTTGGGTTACTACCAACGAGTACCTTGATGCGGTTGAGAGGAGATTGAAGTCGAGCTTGAAGGAGAAGCTATAAGTGCAGGTGAAAATTGGATAGCTGCTACAAAGCTTAGATCATAACAGATCAGTGGGTAACACCATGATACCTAAATTTTCGTCTTTGTAGACAAAGTTCTGCTTACTCTTGGGCAGGAATCCATTATTTCCAAAGTAAATTAGGCCTGTGCATCTTTTCGTCTGCCAGTGAGGCGCGACGCATCTTTTTTTGGTAGGAAGCTCGTGCCATGCTGTCTCCACCCGTTCCCGAAGCACGTTTCTTTTGATGAACTGGGTTTGCGCTAATTTCCGATGATACCTAACTCCTCAAAAAGAAACGAGCCTCTTGCATGTCTCACGGCAGGCAGTATGCATATGCGGGACGATCTGATGTTTGTTTGTTACACAGCTGATTGCGAAACATTTGTCGCGATTGTCTTCTTGAGCTCTCTGTAGTTTGTTCGGTTGATACTCTGTTCAGCAATCCTGTCTTGGGCCCTCTTGACCTCTCTCACAGTCGCTGGCCGTCTCATCGTTCACGGGATCACATGATGAAGGCGTTCACTGATATCGATACCGGGATCATCCCGACTGCAGCAGCTATAACCACTAGTGCGAACCCGACCACGACGCCAGCCTCTGTACCAAACGAGAATGTTGGGGTTACAGCCACCGATGCCACTCCATTGTCATCGCCTAAAAAGCACTGCATCCCCTCGACTCCTGATCAAACTCCATTGCGTCAACGCTTTCTGCGGGCAGTCTCTATGTCGCCTGCGATACCGTCTCGCCCATCCATGGAGGGTCGAAAACTTTCCGAAAAGGCGCGCAATAGCCCAGTTGTAGTCCGTCATACACCCAAGAAGACAAACCAGCCGCCGATGAAACTCGAAGTTGGTCAGGGTGCATTCTACTTCTCCATTGAACTACCACCCAGTAAGATCACAACCAAGAAGAGCGGGACGACAAGCAAGAGCGGAACGCCCAAAGGAGGAGAGACACCCACGAGGTCGCGGACACCTAGCCCGTTGAAGAATGCGAGTCCGACGAAAGAGAATGCAGCAGGTACGCCCACGAAGACGACGCGCAGCCCGCTCAAGCGAAGAGAGACGATCCACCACGACCCCGCAAGACCTTTATTTGGTACGCCCACGAGGATGATGACGCCCAAGCAAAACACGGATCCGCAGACTCCTACTCGGAGAACGCCCAGTCCGCGCAAGACCTGCAGCTCGATGAAGCAGAGCCCTGCCACACCAGCTGTAGGGACGCCGAAGAGGAAGATTTTGGGCGAGACGCCTGGTAGTAATCGACCTGGAAGTCCAGTTAAGCGATCAATCGAGCAAGACGACTCGCCTACAGATTTGACCAAGACATCTTCACTATCGGCGAAGAAGCTTCGAGCAGAGCCAAAAGAGACACGCAGGAAACCAATCAACAGCCTAGTCAACATAGGGCATGAACACGCTCCAAAGGCGGATGCGGGGGCGACTGCCATCACCAACGTGTTCCCACACCCTGGATCCATAGGGCAGGTGCCAACGGTAAAGGTCTGCCCAGAGAACATCGGACACCTAATGGCAAGCCTTATCAGCAATACCAGCAGTACTCATGACCGGGCATCTTCCCACAGGACGGACATAATCTCGCCTGCACCGACACCCTTGCGCAAGGCCGGGGAGAAGCTCAAACTGGGAGAGTCGCCTTCTTTTCTACGTATGTCGACCAATGAAGCCACAGCTATCACAAACGAGGACCCTGCCGCTAATGTTATCAAAATGGGATCTTTGACTCCGCACCAACCTGCATCAACTGAACCACGACAGCATGAGAGTAAGCCGATTGCACGCTTATCGTCTGGACTTTTCGAGGACGCTCTGTCATCTTCGGTTATCGAAGATCGGACAACCGACCTTGACCACGCTGCAGAAGTGTCGAACGAACCGCGACCTGCACATCCATTGCGTGCAGCTAGATCTCTCGGTACCCTGGAAATGACGCGCAAGGTACCAGACCCACCACATCGCCCACTTAGGTCGGAGACTCAGCGGAAAGATTCGTGTCAACAAGAAAACCAAACCACAGGGCAAGGAATGGACAAAGGTCAACCAAAGCCTTCGCTGCCTGTGCTGGCTCGCAAGCACAGGCGGGTGGGTACCGATCCAAGCGTACTTTTGGAGATGCAGAAGGATATGGTTAACTTAGGAGCGATGATGCGCCGTTCGGCAGGATTCGTCGACCCAGCATTTTGCGGACCTCTTAACCTGAACGAGCTACCTGCTATGCCCAATGATTTGTTTGTCAGAGACCAGCAGGATATCAGAAGCCTGGGTGCTGTAGGCACACCACAGATGCTTAGTAGAGCCAACTCTGACAACTTGTCGCTTGGAGCAGTGCAAGCAATTGGAGCGAAAGACATTTCAAATCCTGTAACCTCGTCAAGAGTTTCCAGCGTTCCACGTATACCCCGATGGAAGCCCGGTGGTTTAATGCCATCGCAAGCGAAGGGAGATCACCTCACTACAGCCAAGCAAACTAGCTCTCAGCTTACAGGCACAGACATTAAGGTTGCTCTAGGAAGACCTCGCCCTCGTGCAGGAAGCGCGGTGTCAGGAAGTACAGTATCAGGACCAAGGAAGTCGAATGTGGTGACTAGCACGCCTCGTCGTAAGACGCTAGGGACGCCTGTCAAACAGACGGTACCTCTTGGAGCAAGGACTCGTGGTTCACCACACAGCCGGATCCCATCTCTCACTTCTATCAAGGCGGAGAGCACCATGCCACCTGTGCCAAAAATTCCGCGAAAGCATCTTCCCAGCACCTCAAGTAACGATAAGGCCGTCAAAGCATTGAGAGAGCGTCTACCGAACGTACCATCTGCTCCCGTCAATACTCGTCCTGTTCCAACCCGAAAGCCTCTCGGCCCATCTGCTACAGAACCGTACAACCCATCAACGGACCCGCGACCGTACGAACAGAAGTTTGCTAGCGCGGGAGACATTGCCGATCGGCTCGCTGGATGGCATAATGAAGACCGAAAGAAGATGCAAGCAGATCGCCCTACAGTCCCTACCAGGCCACTCAACAAGACTCCCGCAAAAACTCCACTGAGCACCCAGCCAAACGAGTCTACAACCCCAGATGGGTCTCCGAACAAGACTTTCACTCCTACAGCAGTATCCGCAGCAACTAAGCCCCCCAAACCACTCTCCACCAAGCCTCCTGCTCCCTCCACACCTAAACGCAAGCCCACCACGCCAGCACCAAAGACTCCAGCTCCCAAAACACCAGCGCTCGGCGCCCGCAAGGCTGCCGTCAACGACCACAGACAGCCCATCGCCGCCGGTGCCAAAACCCCGGTGAACCGCCGCATACCCGTGCTCGACCCCAATGCGACGCGTACACCAAGTAAGGCTATTGTGAGTAGTCTGGATGCGGCAATCGATAGGAAGATCGCGGAGGATGCGAGGAGGGGATTGGAGTTACGCCTAGAGGAAATCGGTTGAGGGATTTGTTGGATGCGAAGGGCGGAGAGTTAGGTAAGCGGTTTGCAAGACTGTGAAAACGAAAGCGTGTGGGTGGTTTCTTTGAAGACGTGTTTATGTATGGAGCGGTTGATGGTACTGGGGCGTTTGTGGTATCTGTTTCTTCTTCACTTCCTCCTTCTTGGAAGGTGTATGAAAGGCATGTAGGTTGTCTTCTACTAGGGTGCATGAAGGGAGTTTTTCAATGGATAGTGTTGCGAAGAGCGATACACATATGCCGTAATAGACCTGTAATATAGTACACATGGTTAAAGTCTATGTTAAATTTCAGAAACCCTTCCTGCAACTCTGCGCAAACGCATCGCCACAATGTTGTTTGATTTCAAGAAACCCATGAGAAGTGAAGAGTTGGATTGTAGAATCCTAGAATGAAATTGGTCCATCTGTCGCCTTGGTGAGGCTTGGACTGGCTAATAGTTTCGCTCTTATCCGGGCCTGCTAGCTTCCTATTCATCAAACAGAGCTCAACGTTATACGGCATCAAAGACCTCCGCGCTCACGACCTTCATGGCTTAACGTGTCTCCTTCACAGCAACTTCAATACCGCGAAGGTTCCTCACAAATCGAGTTTTCTCAAGCCTTTGCAACGACCCCCAAATGCTTAACGACGGTTACCTTGTTCTCTTCAGCGACCATACTCAGCGTTCCACTGATACACCTAGTGTCAAAACCTTGACCTAAACGGATGCTCGTACAATTAACAAAGTGTTGGAACATGTCAAGCTTTTCGTCGTCGCTAGCTCCGACGTTCACTTCAGCGCTCAGGCATAACGTGACATATTCCTCCATTCCCTCGGGGTGGACACTGCTAGGACATCTGTTGAAGTACAACGCAGTGATGGCATTCTCCCACAATTCGTCGTAGAAAACAAGCTCATCATAAGACTCCTCTAGAAGCAAAAGAAGGAATTCGATCTCTGTCTCATCTGCACCAAACGAGCCCCATGGGTGATAGAATGTAGGGAGGAAGGGAGAGCTTTTCCAATCCGCACGTAGAAGAGGAAGAAGATCGATACCGGGAGCCTTTGTGTATTTCATGCAGCGCAGTTCTCTCAGTACAGTAGTTATAGAGATAGTGAGAGCCGAATCAGGCAGGGGAAAGACCTCGAGATATTTAGGTAGGTCGGCCAGTTGAATGACAGGCCGGCGAGCTATCATGTAGAGTGGCAAGAACTCGACACGAAGCGTGCGGTTTGCCTGCGTAAGGCCGAGGTACTGGCGACCAGGATAGCGGTCCGTCAGAGAGTCCTTGGAGTCTTTTGACTGGCGGTGGGGAAGATAGCGTAGGTTGACTTTTCCAAGCTCTTTGTCGGCAATAATGGCGTCGTAGATGCGATTGCGAAGCTCTGCATAAGAGATTAGTTTATGATGGAGTCAAAGCAAAGAAGACACCCTACTCACCACCAGGCAGCGCCAGAAGGTGAGACGATACATGTCTATTGGATGAATCGACCATGTTCATGTAGCTGTCCACGTTTATTTGAATTGGCTGAGGATAGAGCGCAAGTATCCGGCTGGGAGGATGTGAGAGGCAGGCTAGCTGAGGGACAGATCGCAGGTCTCGGCAGTGATTACAGGTTACACCAGAGCGTTCACGGCCTTAGTGGAAAGCATGATCAAATAGCGCTCAAAGACCTTGAATTCTGACTGGGTGGTGTAGATCCATTTCCATTTTCAGCTTGGTTTAGCCGTACATTTCTAGGCAACAGCCAAGCTTACTCATAACCCGTACAACCCCTCGGAGGAGCTGGCTTGCAGGTCGCGGCTTCATCTTGACCTGGCAACTTTGTACGTGCACACGACACATAAAGGGAAAGCAAACTCTGACTAAGCAATAGTGGCGTAGCTTTGGTGCTCACCGTTGAGGCGGGTAACGAACCAAGCCTGATTAGCCACTCACAATTACCGCAAGGTAGACCTCACCCACGGAGATGGAATAATCGTCGATGCCTTTCAATTTCTAGCTGGTAATATTGTCCCCTCGATGCCTTGCATACACACTGGTCTTTCGTTGACGCGCGATTTAAACGTCAAAAGTTAGCCAGCCAATCGACCTACGTCTACTTTGCATCCACATCCTCAGCACTGATCAGTTCCCCTCTCTCATCTCTCTCCCACTCACAAGCTCCCCAATTAGCCCCCTTGCAAGGCATACATGCAGTTCCGTCACCCAGACTGCGACACGCATCCACACCCAGTCCCCTACTCCGACACCTCTTGCAAACAGCCAGCTTCTTCCCCTTCTTGAGCTCATCTCTCCAATTTTCGTCATCCATGATACGGTAGTTGATGCCGTTGAAGCGCCAGAAATCATCACTGGTGTACATGAGCTCTTCGACAGGAAGGTCTTCGCCGTGCATGTAAGGCGGGATGAAAGATTTCCCCGATGGGAAGGTTTCTCGCGAAACGAGGAAGTGAGCGTTGGTGCTGTAGGACTTGAGGATCGAAGCAATCTTGTAGGTGGCAGCGCGGTCGAAGAAGAGGGCACTTAGGAGGTGGGCTTGTTCTGTTGCGTCGACAATCTCGAAGAGCCGGAAGAACGAGTGATCCGAGAACTTGAGGTGTAGTGTGAAGTCATCTGCCAGTGTTCGTGGGAGACAGACATCTACGAGCGAGGTGAGAGAGCGGAAGGCGATGTCGGATAGCGAGCGTAGGTCGTGACCTGAGTTTATTGATATGGCAGAGTCGAGCATCTTGAGAGACTTTAGGGCCGGCGGAAAGCCGCTTTGTCTTAGGTAGTAGTAAAGGTGCGATTCAAAGCCTAGCTCGAGGTGCTCTAGGTCGACGAGGGAACGGAGCTTTTCGGCACCTTCGGGGTCGGTGTCACGCGGAGTTAGATAGCCAACATGACCACCACAGTGTGTCAGGCGCTGCAGCGAATGTGCTTGTTTCTTCAGTGCAACAAGAAATTGACGTGAAGAGGTGCGGTATTGAGGATCCATGGATGGCTTGCATTCCGGAAACACGTGCAGTCGCTCTCCAATTGACAACTCCTTCAGAGCTTTTGGTAGGCTCAAGACGTTTTCTAGGAATTGTACGCTGACATTGCATTCGATAAGCGTTAGAGACTGGAGAGGCGTCGTCTTCAATTCAGAATCGGATGACTCAAGTTCTCCATCGAAGTCCAAACACGACAGTGTGATATTTCGTAAAGTCGGGTGTTTGAACATAGCAACAGCGCGGCCTAGTTTATACTTGTTGTCTCCCGAACCATGAGCGTGTAGCGTTACTGCGTCTCGTTAGCTAGGCTCCTTCGCATCGAAACTTTAACTTACGCGACTGCAGCATCGGCAATGTCATCGGCATGCCTGAACGCGGATACACTGATCCTGCTAGTAAGTTGGTGTAATCAATCCGTGAGTAGCCATCAAAGTAGATGCCGCTATGTTGCCATTCCACATTGTTTGGACAAGGGCTTTCAACATGCAGGTGGCGCAGTTTACCCATCAAGCTCAGGAAGTGGTTCAGTTCCTCTATGCCATCGCGGTATTGATCGCTATATCGAATAGCCAGATCTTGGATATAGTCTGTCCGGTCATCCCGGCTGTTAAGTGCTGCAGCAATACTGCGTGCATGATCCCCCGTCAAAACCTCTAATTTTCGCCAGATGTAAGGTTCGACGAGACCTTGAAACCGTGTGCATGTCGCGGCAAGGCTGCACAGGGCATCCTGGCTGTTGATGTGATCGATGATGTTAAGGAGGAGTTCATCGACAAGGCGCAAAAGTCCGCTCTCGGCTGGGCCAAGCATAGTGATTCCAGGCTCTTGACGTGCTTTGGTAAAGGTAAAACCGGAATGACGCGTCTTGCGTTTCTTGGCCCCTGCGAATGATACGCTTGGCATTCAAATATTTGAGAACTGGTTCGAAAGTTGAGTAAGGGAAAAGCGTGGAGCGTATACGGGTTTGGTGATGTTCGCAAAGGCGGAGACAGAGACGCAGGCGCCGTTCAGCCAACGGGACCCCAGGATGATGTCAGACGCTAGTACAATCAAAGGTTAGACCGCCACGTGAAGATATCCGTGCGCTAACACAACATCGCCCTCTTCTGTTCGTCTTATAGCACATCGGATGAAATGGTGTTGACGTTTTATTCTTTCCGTCGCTCGGTAGTGATTCGAATTGAGGGAAGAACCTGTTTATATCGGACTTCCACAAATGATGAGCCTGGATCATAATCCTGATTTCAAGTGCGAAAGATCATGTCGCCAATCGTGCTGCATAGAGTGGCAGACTTCATTTTACATGGATCTGCCAATGAGTGAAGCTACCACGTCTTTCATGCAGTGTAGCTCGAATTCTACATGTCAACCGCTAAGGGCTGGATTACGAACACGTTCCACAGACAACACTCGGGCAGACGAGTAAAGAAACGTGGGCAGACATATTGGTAATGGAAGATGATCTTGTATTCCATTTCATGCTAAGCTATTTTAACAACCCTGATCCCACCATATCGACCTGGTCGTATCCACTTGTTAACCAGTTAGTCCGTCTGGTTAATCACAGCATCCTACTCATCATTAGCTTCCTCTCACGTCATCAATCACACAGTAAAACTCACCCTAGCAACACTATACAGCGGCTTAATACCAGTCCAATACTCAAACTGATGCACACCCTGTCCAACCAACACTTCGAGACCATTCACCGTCTTCCACCCATTGTCCATCGCAAGCTGAATCAATGCCGTAACAGGAGGCTTGTACGCCATTTCAAGCAATATCCTCTCCAGACCGGGCTCAACATCCTTGACGCTCGCTTTGCCTTTCTCAAATAACGTGCAAAGTGTTTCACGGATAGCAACGTCGATAGGTTGGTCGGCAGGGATGGTTCCGATGGCTACTTGTGGCGTGCTCTCCATAGACTGGACTTCTTCCGGAGAGCTGATGACCTGCAAGTTGTACTCAGCTGGGAAAGCGTTCTTCAGGGTCTCCATCTTCGAGGGGTTGCGACCGAGGAGGTAGATAGGCCCATAGCCCATCTCTTTGAGTGCGTAAATGGCCGCGCGACTTGTGCCGCCGCCTCCAATGACGAGCGCAGAACCGCTACCTTGGGCGCCGGCGTTACGCAGGATGAGTACCATGCCTAAGTAGTCGGTGTTGCGACCGATCAGGCGAATAACTTCCTCACTGGTGGTTTCGTCGACTGAGGTCTCGGGAACGATGGTGTTAAGGGCACCGATCGCTTCGACTTCTGGGCCTAAACCATCGAGATGGGGTACGATGTCCTGCTTCAACGGAATCGTGACGCTTCCACCGCCGAAATCTGACGAGCGGATGATGTTTCGGATGGAGCTTGCATCAGTCGTCTCGTGACGACTGTAAACATGCGGAAGCCCGGCCTCGCGGAACAGTCTGTTGTGTAGACGTGGACTGGGACTTTGCGCAATCGGTGAGCCGAAAATGAAAAACTTTTTCGTCGGGATCTCGCCCATCAACGATAGGCCGCGGCGAATGTCCGCTGCCGATAGTTGACCCGGTGCGGTAGCGGAGGGTAGTAGGGGATGTGAGACAGGCGTCATAAAGCCATTGAGTATTCTGCTCAGCTTGCCATGCTCACCCATGTTAATAGCGATAAGAGGAACGGGATGCGCAGTGTTTGCCCAACTCTTGAACTCTGCAAGCGCAAAGTTGTCCTCAAGCGAACTGGCGACACCAACGAGTTTGATGACAGTACCATACTGCAACGCGCGGTTGTAGTACTGCATCCATGAGCCGTTTCTCCAGTTGAGCTCGCCTTTGGGATCGTGGTGGCTGGCAATGATCTCTGAGAACCCGCGGGTCTCCGAGACCTCGCGCAGAATATCTTCAGGCATAGTCATCTCCAAATCCACGAACTCACAACCAAGCCGTAATGCTGTCCGATACAGGACAAGAGCTTCATCGTATGCCTGATCTGGGAACCTGCCGCCTTGGGCTTTTGTTCGCAAGGTGAATATGACCGGTATTGATGTGACAGTCCGTAGTATCGTCAGTTGTTCAATGACAAACTCCGGGGTTGGTAGGCCTTCTTGACCGTTAGGGTCTTCTAACAAGTCGATTCTAAGCTCAACAGCATCCGATCCGACAACCATTTCTGGTAGCGTCTTGATGCAAGGCTCAAGTCGAGGCGCAGATAAGCAGACGAAGAAAGAATGCTTCCTCTTCTTGAGCGCCTTCAAGGTAGTGGCCTTGCCAGTAATGGTATTCAGGAAACGAGCAATCTCCCCTTGCGTCTGAGCAAGCCCACGCGATCCCGTGACCTGACTGTGGAAGCGGTAATTGCTACACTCTGTGTACCAGTCTTTCCTTCGCAGCCAGACGCCCATGATGTCGTCTACATATGCTGGCCGTGTCTTGTCAATCTGCAAGAAGGCAACTACTTCGTTGATGTCCCGTGTGACGAGCAGCACTATGCCACCACTCTTTTGGTAGTCGACAAGGATCTTGCGAGCTTCTGGTGTTTCAACTATCCCACCACCACAGGCGAAGACGTGGCCATTGGGCTTCTCTTTGACAGTTTGCGCTAGAAGCTTCAGCTCTTCGCTTCTGAAGCCTTCCCAACCCTGCGTCTTGATGAGTTCAGGTATCGTCATGCCAACATGTTCCTCGAGTGCGGTGTCCAGATCGATGAATGGGCGTCCGAGCGCGCGCGCTGCCCAGCCACCAGCGGTTGTCTTGCCGGCACCGCGCATGCCGATGATGAAGATGGACTTTTGCTCAGTTCTTGATGCAGCCTTGTGTGCGTTTGGTCGAGGTGGCAGCTCTACACCTGAGAGGTCGGTTTTGAAGATCTGACTCAGAGAGTCCCAGTAGCCGGGCCACGTCTTGCCAGTACATTCCTTTTCAAGAATGAGTACAGGCGCGGGAGCCACCAGAGATAGCACGGCGAAACTCATGGCGACACGATGATCATCGTAGCAGTGAATGCCAACTTTGGGAGCTTCGAGTTCATAACCCCTTCCGTCAACTTCAATACCATCATCAAATTGCCTGCAGGTAACACCAAACTTGGCGAGCTCATCTTCCATAGCCTGAATGCGGTTGCACTCTTTGACACGTTGATTCGCGATACCATAGATGCGGGTGGTGGTTGTGCTACCATTTGATGATGCGACTGCGGCTAATACTGATGCTGTGAGGAAAGCATCGGTCATCGGCTCCATGTCAATTTCCTTTACAGCTTTCAATCCACCACGAGGAGGGCCTGTGACGGTTGTGGAAGTCTTTGACTGTTCCACCTTGCAGCCCATAGGCTTAAGAACCTCGACAGCGAATCGTGCATCACCTTGCAGGGAGCTAGAACCGATGTTGGGCACCGTGCACGTCGTACCAGTGATGGCCGCGATAGCAAGAGGGTAGGTAGCGGAGCTAGCATCGCTTTCCACCTCGTATTCTGAGGGGTTAGTGTATGGCTTGTTAGGGATGTGGTAGGTGTTAGGGTCATCTGCAGATCGTTCAACCTGTACGCCAAAGGAAGCCATCATGGCGATGGTCATGTCGATGTAAGGTTGAGAGATGACCTTGCCGCCAACCAAGCGCAGTGTCACAGGCTTCTTGGAGTAGGGTGCGCTCAGGAGAATTGAGGATACGTATTGCGACGACACGTTGGCAGTGAGCTCGATCTCGCCGGTGAAAGAATCAGAACCAAAGCCACTGCACGCTGAGATTCGTAGCGGCAGACTACCTTCGTTCTCTTGATAGTCAATCTCCACGCCCATTGTGCGAAGAGATTTGACGAGCGGACCAATGGGCCGCTCTTTCATACGCGCGTTACCAGTGACTACTGTGGATGTGACGCCTTCGACAGGTTGGCAGAGCGCGGTCACGGAAGTCAGGAAACGTGCCGCAGTACCAGCGTTTCCGAGGTAGAGTTCGTTGCTCGAAGCCTTCAGGTTGCCGCCATTGCCAGTGACTACTAGCTCCTTGCCGTCGTTCTCCCATGCGAAGCTAGCACCTTGCATCTTTGCCAGCGCGTCCAGCATGACTTGTGTGTCGTCAGAGTGCAGCAAATTGGTGATGCGACACGAGCCAGTTCCTAGCGCAGCAAGCACCAGCACACGGTTCGAGATACTCTTAGATCCAGGAGGTTTACATGTCACATTGAGGTCGGAGGGAATGCCGGGGTGAACGGATATGCTCGGTGATAGAGCAATTTTGATGTCGCGGTCCTCGACCGAGCTAGCCTTCTTTTCGTGTGTCCTGCCAATGCCTGACAAAAGCACAATCTTCTTAGTTTTGCCAGCGTTCTTTTTGTCCACAGCCATGATCTTGATGAGCTCGTCAACGGGGCAATGCTTGTTGGCCGACCGTTTCCGCACCGTCTTGTCTGAGAGTGATGTAGGCAATCCGTAGCTCGCAATGCACTTTGTCAACCGTGCCACTGCGGAGGGGTCTAGTACGCCCAGGTATCTGGCCAACTCAGCCTCCTTTACCATTCCTATCGCGACACACTCTCCGTGGAGGATCTGGGGCGTGAGTATGGCTTCGTAAGCGTGACCGATCGAGTGTCCAAAGTTTAGCAGATTGCGCAGTCCGCCTTCGCGTTCGTCTGCTGAGACGACTTCAGCCTTGACGCGTACCGAGCCCAATACTATGCGCTTCAGTATGCTGGCAATGTTGTCGAAGTTTTTACGGCCATTGACAGGCTTCTGGTCAATAGCAGCCAAGATGGCATCCGCATTGCCCTCGAGTGTTGTGAATTCCTCCTCATTCCAGATTGCAGCCGTCTTGACCACCTCTGCCATGCCATTAATGACCTCTCTCTTGGGGAGCGTCTCGAGAAAATGCAGATCGATGTATATTCTCTCCGGCTGCCAGAAGGCGCCAACCAGGTTCTTGCCCGCAGGCACGTCAATGGCCGTCTTGCCGCCTATGCTCGAGTCGACCATGGCCAGCAACGTCGTAGGCACGTTGACGAACTTGATGCCGCGCATGTACGTCGCCGCGACATAGCCTATCATGTCCCCAATGACACCTCCGCCCAGGGCTATTATGACGGTGTCGCGCACACATCCTTGCGACAACAGCCAGTCTTCTACTGCTGCTTTTGTATTCCGCGACTTGGATGTCTCGCCGGGCGATATTTGGTACGTGAGAAGACGCGGAGAGGAGGAGAGCGAAGATGCGGCGGATGCGAAGGCGCGCTCGAAGGTGGGTGTGTAGAGGGGGCCGATGTTGGTGTCGGTGATGAGGACGTATGTCGACGATGGAATGTTGGTAAGCAGATCCTGGGCGATGTAATTCTGCCAGATGCCGTAATCGACGACTATCGAGTCTTTGCCCAGGATCGTGACCTTGGTAGGCTCGCCTTGCGCTCCATTGACGCTGTTGCTCGCCATGGTGGGCTGTCGCAGTGCGAGTCAGACTTGCACAAAGAGCAGATGCGGCCGCCAACTGCAGGATGCGAGCAATGGGTGTAAAAGATTCTACACTTGATCGGAGAGAGTGTCAAACTCAGCGCATCATGCTAGAAAAGTTGTGGGTGTGAGTCAGGCCTAGGATTTACACTTTTTGCGAGGGCTGCGTTCTTCGAAATCCGAGTGCACCGCTACCGGACCTTGCATGACTGACGTGGGGAACCCATGTCATCCCCGACCTAGCCATTGATTCACTCCGACCAACACCAACTCTACGCCACAACAACAACCGAGCTCTATGTTCATACTATCTGGCGCCATGCGAGAACGGTATATGAGCATGATAATGAGTGCGGTGGAAATGATTCTCATCATCTAATGTCAGCCCTGTGCATTCAGCGCATCTTCGTAATCTGGGCAAAGCTCGGTTGCCTGTTCGCCCGTCTTACAATCAAACTTGCAATGAGTCAGATCGAGAAACGACAATGTCGTAGACATGTTTGCTAGTTACTACTTGAGATAGATACTCTTCATACCTTTTTTTCAGACCTCTAACAATCCCGTAATGTCGACTTCAGTCAAGGTGTTGGTGACTGGCTTTGGTGTTTGTCAACGTCTATTGGTTCGCTGCGTCCTCCAGCTAACAAGCTCTCAGCCATTCCTCGATATTACGAAAAACCCGTCTTGGGAGATTGCACGGCACCTGCCATCATCCATTGCTGTCCCAGATGGTGGAATCGTCAATATTATGGTGCCAGCTGAGCCGATTCCAGCAGCATACCACAAGATCCTAACTCAAGTCCCGGCGTTGATTCAAGAGCATGCGCCCGATCTGATCGTTCACATGGGTCTTGACGTCGACAGCGGACCAGGAGTTTTCAAAATCGAACGGAGTGCACTGCGAGACGGATATCACGACATCCCAGACGTCGAGAGGCGCGTGTTCATGAGAACTGAAAACAAGAAGATCTTCGCGAAGTCATCACCGTCTCTGGCAACGACTCTCGACATTGACAGGGCAGCTGAAGTATGGCGGGAAGCTTGCTCTTCTCTGAGCCTTCCGAATGCCTCAGCTGCGCCAGGAGGTGTGAAAGCGAAAGGCAAAGGTAAATCAAGACAACCTATCGAGGTAACGCTAAGCGATGACGTGGGCTCGTATGTATGTGGTTTCAACTATTACATCAGCCTGCTCGAGATGCAGAAGCACACTACCAAGCGGGAGGTTGTCTTCTTCCATGTACCAAAGCTTGAAACTGAGGAGGAGATTCAGACTGGTGTGAAGGTAGCGGAGGGACTCATCAGAGCACTAGTGGTTGTAGGGAAGCAATAGAAAGCAGCACGTGCACTTTCCCCTCTTCCTTTACCTCTTCGCCATTCGAACGGTTTCTTTCGCAACGGACACATGGCAAACTGGGATCTCCACGTGGAGCTGTACCGGTCTAATGGTGACTTGCGTCTACGTTGGCAGCCTTGATAGCTTAGCACTGCATGTCCAGATCATGGTGTGCCTTCGGGCAGTGAGTTTTAGTGTGCAATGACTAAGCGACGAGTCTTCCAAGACGCGCTGCCCCTGCTCCTCCACCTCATCTACCACCAGCACCGGCCTCAACACACTCCATTGTCCGCCATCATCGTCGTCAGTGGCGCCATACATCTACTTATCTTCAAGACGCTGGGCAATGGTTCGGCGCTTGGCCATCTCTTGCATCCTTTTGCCCGCTCATTACACCAGGTATGCTTCGTTCTGAGAGTGCGAAAGCGCGCTGTACCATGCATCAATCATCCCGCAAGAGGCGCAGCAACGCTGCAGCTGCAATGTTTCAACCTCCCTCCTCGAATCAATGCGCAGATGTATAAGTGGGATATATATTATTACCGATAGACCCGGCTGGGCACGACAACGATGAACCGTCGGCGCGCCTCACGTTGCACAACATATTATCACAAAGTCTTTGCAGACACGGCGATATATCGCTCTGCTTCAGATTGCCGAAACCCAATTTCTGCCATTTCATTCTTGTTCCATCTCATAAGCACAACCAACGCGTAAAGGATGTCGGACTTCGGTGCATGGCATATCAATCTGCCAAGGGCATGAATGTAGGCTAAGCACTTGGCGACTTGGCGACTTGGATTTCGACATGACAACAACGACATCTGCGGAGGAAAGGAACACAGCATTCGTATGCGATCTCTTGGACTGGGTGCTCTTCACCAGATTGATAGCGTTTTCCGGTCGAATCAAGGCTTGTTCATTCCTTAGAGCTCCAAGAGGTGTGGATTCTCAGCATGTGTACACATGACAACGATTGCTACCGAAGCGGCTTCTATAGTTATTCACACCTTAATACTGTAGGAACAGGTCTAGTTTCTTATTATGTTTGAGTGGGCAAGATTCGCTGGGCGTAAGTGCTTTGAAGCCACAGTGAAGCTGTAGGGCGTGAGCGCTGTTTGAGTACGTACATGCTACTTACAACAGCTGTATAGCATTTATCATTATAGCGCCAAGGATTGCGAATACCTCTGGAACATATCAACTATGTGAGGGCGCAACGCAGAAGACGCGAGTCCGTTCTTACCAGGGACCTGGTCGTGTTGAAGCGATCCACGCTCAGCCTTGCCCAAACTAGTTTAAGTTCCAAGAAGTCGAAGATCTTGGTCAACCACCATGATCAAAGGAAGCTTGGGAGCACCGTGGTACAAAGTTTCCAAGCATGCCAGGGCGGAATAACGGTTATCGGCACGTCAACGATGAGATTATGAAATGCGCTTCGGTCTTTCTGCCTGATCGATTCTGAACGGCGCGTCTCCGGATACCAAGAGCATGGCACGTCTCATTTCCCCATAGTCCCCATGGGGCCGGCGCGCTTTCCCCAGGTGTTTGGATTATAAAGTTCAAGACAGGTTCCAGTTCTTTTTGGTCCATCAACGACGATCGACGCAACTCTACCTCTCTGTCGGAAGCCACTCCACTTCGACTCGCACGCAATCAAGTTGCCGTTGTTGCTTTTGCAGCATGAATAACGACGCCCAAAGTCCTGTGCTTAACGCACCGGAGTACAAGGACGAGAAAGGTTCCGATGTATCGCCAACCCCGCCTCTGAAGGTTGAGGACGTCGAGCAGAATGGGTCGATGATTGAGGTTGATGAACTCACCGAGAAGAAGTTGCTGAGGAAGCTGGACATTCGCATCGTGCCAATGATTTGCTGGATCTACTTGATGAATTTCATGGATCGAGGTGTGTATGGTATGCTGGTCTTTATATTTTGGCTAACGAGTTGGTAGTCAACATTGGCAATGCTCGTCTCTATCAGATGGAGGAAGATCTTGGTATGGATCCCAACAGCAACCAGTTCCAGATTGCGGTGTCTATCTTGTTCGTCACCTACGTACTATTCGAAACACCTTCGAACCTCATCTTGAAGCGGATGAAGCCGGCGCGGTACCTAGCCGGTCTGATGTTTTTGTGGGGCTTAGTGGCCACGTTTTCAGCCTTCGTCACCAACTTCGCCGGACTAGTAGCTTGTCGCCTCCTCTTGGGCATGTTCGAAGCTGGCCTGTTCCCAGGAGTGATTCTCTATTTGAGCATGTTCTACAACCGGCGCAACGTCAGTTTGAGACAGGCGTGCTTTTACGGCACATCCGCGCTAGCAGGTGGATTAGGTGTAAGTGCAGCCTGTTCAAGTCGGATGAGTGAGACTAACGAGCGTAGGGAGTGGTAGCATATGCCATTGGTGAGATGGACGGTGTAGCTGGCTGGAACGGATGGCGCTGGATCATTGTGATTAACGGCATCCCGACCGTACTGACTGCCGTTGCCGTGCCTTTTATCCTCCCGAATAGCCCAGAGACAGCGAGCTTTCTGACCGAGGAGGACCGACGAAACTTGGTCTTGCTTCGAATGAGGGAGGTCGGTCAAACAACAGCCGGTCAAGAACTACTGAAAGAGGATGTCATGAAGGGCGTGAAGGACTGGAAAGTATACGCCTACGCCATCGCTCAATTTGTTGGACTCGGTATGCTCTACAGTTTCTCTGTGTTCCTGCCCACCATCATCAACGGTCTTGGAGGTGGGTGGAACCGTCAGGTGGTTCAGGCATTAACCATTCCTGTATACATCGTCGGTTTCATTACCTACGTGATTGGGGCATACTACAGCGATAGGACTCAGAACCGAGGTCTCTTCTGCGTCGCAGGACTAGCTGTCAGTATGGTTGGATACATCTTCCTCATCGCAGATGCAGTAAGTACCCATCGTTTTGTTACCCCGTACGCAGTATATTGACCGATACGCAGGGGCTTGGCCTCAGTTTCGCCGGCTGTTTCGTCGTCGCGCTCGGCTTGTGGGTAGCCACCGGAATCGCCTTCTCATGGATCGGCGTCAACAACCCCCGATACGGAAAGCGAGCTTTTGCCAGCGGTATGCAAATCACCATTGGTAACTGCTCAGGTGTTGTGGCTCCTTTCTTATACTCTGCGGATATGGCGCCCAGGTTTACTGCTGGCTACGGTGCGACCATCGGACTGCTAGCGCTGGGTATCGCCATCTACGTTGCGCTGCACTTGTACTTCCGGATGAAGAACCAGCGGAAACTTTCTGGCAAGGAGGACTGGAGAATGGAGGGCAAGACTGAGGAAGAGATTGCTGAGATGGGTGAGGATAACCCAAGGTATTTGTACACGATCTAGACTTTTTTTCCAATCCTTGTCATAGTAGTTGAGCATTACATTCTCTCACATAGTCTGCTACGATGCAATAGCTAGTATCGTTGCTCGAAGTGTTCAGAACTTCTCTCTGACATGTCTTGTCGAATTTCAGAATCTATGTCAGATGGAACAACGCTATGAGACAGTTCGGCAATCTTGTCCCACCTTTTTGCTCGAGTCTCTGGACTTTGTCTCAGTTCATATTACTCTCAGCATATATACTGTGTCTCCATCTGTGTTCTCGGCCCGCATCGAATCCCAGAGCAAATTCTCAATACTACCCGCTATGTCAAACATGCCCAACATACCAAAACAGAACGCAAGTCACGATCCACCCGAAGATCCCTTTGGTTCCGTCGTTGATACCGGCACATGCGGCCCTGTCGAGCTGGAAAACCACACACTCTATTTCAGTACCGAAAACAACCAGAATGAATTTCTCTTAGATGCCGTGGAATCTGCAGCGTCGCACGACAGTGATACAAAGCATATCTTTGGAGCTGAGGCAGCTATTTTCATGCCAACGGAAAAAGAGAAAGAAATCCTAATGGCACCTTACACCCTTGTCACCTACCCTCCAAAACGCGGACATGGACAAGGAGAAAGGAAACAAGATCAAGTCGCCCATAGTAATACCCAGTATCTTCCAGACTCTCACCGCGACATGTGGCTGGCGTGCAGCTGCGACGATGTAGAACCTCCGGCTAGCTCTAGCGGTGAGGGCAATGAGGATAGTAACATGAGCTCAACGTCCAGCCACACGCTAGGCCGGTCAGATAGGTCGAGCTCTACACTAGCAGCTGAGGAAGAGGATCCTCCGTATGAGGAAATGGTTGGTTGTGATGAGGACAAGATAAACCTGGATAGCGCTGAACGTGACAGCGATAGCGGGTATGAAGGTAATGATGAGAGTGAAGAAAGTGGAAGTGAGATGTCTAGTCATACGTTGGGACAGTCGGAGGGCTCTAGTCGTACGTTAGGACGAAGCGAGGATGGGGATAGCGAGACAGATAAGGATGATGATGAAGACGAAGAGATGCAGGATGAGGAAGAAGGCGATCTGTTTGCGCAGAGCTACAGGGAAGGTAGCAGGAAGTGAGGCTTCCAGCATGTCTGGATAGTCTGTGTAATACGAAGTGGGTAGTACTTTTTACAGATGAATCTTTTCCAGAGGTATTGGCTTCGAACGCTGCCCATAAGCAAAAGGAGCGCCCTCCCTAACCAGATTGCTCTTTATGATCGCGTCTCGCGATACTTGCACAGCTCGAACACCACGCTCAAGCATAGTGTCCCTGTACTTAGCCATAACAGCTTCTAGATCCACACCTGTGAGATTATCCTCGGCAACGCGTGACAGGGTTCGAGCCAGGTCAAGTGCATCTCGAATAGCAGTGACACCTCCTTGGCCCGAGAAAGGCGTCATACAGTGTGCTGCATCACCTAACAACGCAACTCTGCCAGCGCTGATATCCTCGGCGGACAGCTCGACATCGTACATAACGAGAGGTGGCGCTCTCATTCCTTCAACAGATGTCTTCTCTACAATGGCTTTGAAATCCGGCGCAAAATTCTTGGTCATGGCTTTTGCTGCGGATAAAAGCTCTTGTTGGCTTGCAGTAGCAGTCCAGTGTGGTCCTTGGGTCGCAGCCTCGTCCGGCCAGATCAAAAACCAGTAATATAGCCCTGACTTAGCATCAGGAAGGACATCGTTGACACCCACAAACATCACCAAATCCCCGGAGCCAGTTATGTTGTTGTCTGCGCGAACAATGTAGCAAGAATGGCCAAGTTCGAGCTGTCGCTCCATATCCTCGTTTTCTAGTGTGACTTCGCCAATAATAGTAGCTATAGGCAGTCGTTTAAGCTTGTCTTTATTAGGAGAGAGTAGGTAGCGGCGGACTGTAACATGTCTTCTGTTAGCGTTCAGAACTTGTATCTTCAGTATTTGGACGAGGCTTACCAATACTATGCACGCCATCTGCACCAACCAGAAAATCACCACTAGCAGAAGTCCCATCTTTGAACTGTACTGTTACACTGTGACCATTCTCCTCAATTCTGGCCGCTTGCTTTCCGAATTGGACCGGAATCTCAGTACTCAGAAATTCCCTCAGTCGCTTACGATTTGCCCTGAGCAGCTTGCCAGAACCATCATCGGTCACACCATGTCGTTGACCCGGGTTCTGTGCCTTATATACAGCAAGCTGCGAAGGAAATTTAAGCGGATGGAGATGGAATACTGTCTCGAGGGGCGGCATGTCGTCCGAAATGCTGGCTTTAAGGTCGTCTAGCGTGGTGTGTAATCCTATAGACCATCCTTGGCTGCGAGAATTCTGCTCTGAATCTCGTTCGAAGATCGAGAACGAGATCCCTTTCTTTCTTAGGGCCTGGGCGAGTGTCAGGCCGCCAATGCCGCCTCCAAGAATGAGCACGTGAGGAAAGTGGTTTTTGGAAGTCATGATAGAAATTCAGCAGTAGAGTAGGATCAAACTGGGAGTAGAAGGAATTCGTGAATGAAAACAGTAAAAATCAATGATGGAACGAAGTATCTTGCTTATAAGCTTGTTTAGAGTTACATACAGCAGTAGACCTCATAAGGTTAGCTCGCAAGAATGTCTGTCCAAGAGATGCCTACCTAATCTTCTCCCTGCATTTTTAGAAATTATGCATAAGGTAGCAACCTTGGCTTCGTGCAGCAGACTGCCGACACCGAGTAGAAATCTTGGCTTCGCGCAGCGAGACTGCCGACACCGAAGAATCCTTAACTCCGCGCAAAAGCACCGCTGACACCGAGTACTCCACTTAGGTACGTAGTCTTTTCCATACACACCATCATCCTTGCGATAACCGGGGTAGAAGATTTACGGCTTGAAATTGTTCTGACCGTAAACAACAAGGTCGCCCATAGCTTTACCGCCTGCCGAAACCGTGTGTCGAGGCTGCTGGAAATCTGTCTCTTGACCACTCAGAACACCAATCACTCTCCCTTGACCATCGATATAGCCCCAAAGTGGTCCACCAGACCAATCACCAAGGCTAAAAACATTCGACTCAAGCTCTTTTCCATCCGCACCTTCGTCGTCAACGTCGACAATCCCGACATTGTCCTCAACGAGCATATAGTTTCCTCCTGGATTCGCAGGCTCAGCGGGAGACCCCACGCTGGTCCATGTTCGGCTAGTATAATTGTTGTCTTGACCGCTCCACCACTGGTAGCCTAGCCAACCGCATTGGTCGCCTATGCTTCTGTTGAGCTTGCAGATTACGTAGTCTTTCCCATAGACATCACCATCCTTGCGGTAACCGTACCAATTGAGGACATATGCGGCTCCGTAAGGCTCGGTGCCGTTCTCGAACGCAGGAATGAATTTCATCCACGGTCGATTCAGACCCCATGGTGCGACGTGGCCGGCTGTTAGGAGGAGGTTGCGGCCAACCAGAGCGCCACTGCCCATCCAGAGAGGGTTGTTGAAGTTGGCGTCTTTTCCAGCGTAGACCTTGCCGATAGTGCACCATGGGTACGTTGTTTCGTTAGTGATGGTGTGTCTCTCGAGTTTGTCTGCTTCATCCTTGAGATTATCTGGGAGCTTGTCTTTTGCGAGTTGCAACTTCTTCTTGCTTGGCTCTTCAAAGGAAAGAGTGGATGGACAATAACCATCCGTAAAGGAAGGGGAATTGATAGTGTCATGTACATCCAGAGCCTTGATAGCTTGAGTGACCTGGTCCCGAGAGACACGGTCGCCGCCTTTGCTGACACAAGGTTCAGCTACGGTTGGTTTGGACATGGGCACTTAGTTCTTGACCTCAGACATGTTGGAGTAGGGAGGTATTTTCTGTATTGTGCAGAGAGATCAGATCCGTGTCAACCTTGTCAGAAAGAAATGGAGCTATGGCAAATCTTCGAGGATGGCGAGTATCACTTCAGCTTAAGTAGGCGGAGATATCACTCTGCCACCACATCCAGCGATGGGTGATCTGATCTAACCAACAGGGTAAATTCAATCAACTCTCTATCGGTGCATGAGTAGACAGGGTAAACACTCGTAGATTCTTATTTGTTGGTCGAGTTCTTCGCAGAGCGCGAGTAGCCGAGGAAAGTTACCAAGGCAGATTTGGCCAACGGATGACTGAGTGTCCGGACAAGCTGATGTGTGAGATCTATCACATGGAAGACACGATGACTTTGAATAAGGCCAATCAATCAGAGCTCATAATATACCCCTCACCAGCTGAGGAATTTTAATTGTGAATACACCGGTATCATGATTTTGAGCTGACAAGAGCGCAAAGAACTTGATACTGTGCTTTAGGAAAGTGTAATTCTGCACGAACACCATGCACTAACTTCAAAGATTTGGCGGCTGATCCATGTCAAAACGGTAAGGCAATTTTCGCAACATCTAGACTCTGCAGTCTCTCAGCTTCATCAAAGGTTGGTATAACTGTGTGTATTTAGTAAGGTTACGATAGGCTAGAAGATTGTCTGGTACGTAAGCATTCTTTTGAACATTCACAAAGAGCCAATTCTGCTGTACTAGTAGTGTGATCGGTAATTTGAGATATTGTTAGAGAATGGCTTGCGTTTGATGATAGAATTGCCGAGCCTGTCTGTTTTGAGCTGGCGGGGCGGGAACCTTGGAAGGGTCGGACCATGGCGTATGCGTGCCGCTGCCAAGTCCTGTTGGAATGGCCGCGCTAGTCTCAAAATCTCAGTAGTACCTCTACATAATGTGGATCTCCTGACGTTCAAATTGTTCCTAAGCTATCGCAATAACATACGATGTTTTACGATGGCAGCATGCCCGTGTGCATGTTGTTACAAATTTAGCATAAGCGAGCTGGGGTGGTGCATGACGGTAGAAAGAGAGGCAAAAGCTAATATGCTTTGTTGATGTTTGCAAGATATCAACGTCCAACCATACACATCGCATGTGAGAGAATGGCAAATGTGCTCAATGCTGATACATCAGTTCAGGCGTTTATTAGTGGCGTATATCAATTCCAATCACGAAAGGATCCGCTCAGCTGAATATAAGCGAGTCTTGTCGTCCATTGCGCGACACAGAGGGGCAGGCTGCAGCTCGTGGCTTAGCGCCATTCGTCAGCTCTCTCCAAGCAATACATCGGGACCATGCTCTAACTGCTCAGTTGCTTAGCTGAGCAAAGCTGGAAACGAAGGCATACCTATGAGGGTGGTGGAGTAAGAGATGCCAGAGATTCAAATCCCGTAGTTCATATGTTTCTATGAGAAGTTCCTTAGCGCCCAGGTGAGCTTTCAACGAGTCGTTGTGAGGTTGTATCTTGTTGTGTAGGGTTAAAGAGGTATGTGATGATGTTGAGATGTGAGTATCGTGAACTATACTTAGGTACATTGTACATTGATTAATACAGAATTTCATATGCTTGCGCTTTAACACTGCTACATAAACACCCCGATCGAAGTTTAAAAACAAGAGAAGACCATACAAAACACCATCAGAAATGTGCTGGGCAAAAGAATCATCAGTATGCAGGAATACGAGTGATTGTGCAAGCTAGTGTATAGAGTTTCCAGCTCAAATCGACCAACAGTCCAGGCTTTTTGTTCCCTTCAGCTCAGGCTCTCCCCCAACAACACATTTTGGAGAACTGAGCCGCATGACTGGAAATCTTGAATGCTGGTTCGTACACTGTAAGAGATCTATGACTAACTTATATCTGAACACTAGTTACAAAAGCAATTCGAGTCCACAAGGGTAAGCCATTGTTGCCTGTTGAGCAAGGGCTGAGTGAGTGTGAATGCTGCCAAGCTTTGGGACATATCGTTCAGTGATCAGGAGGACTACACGAGACCGAAGCGGCTTGCCTGATGGCTTTTTGTTACCCACAAAGAGTTACTGTTTGGTCTGATAGCTGAACATTGGCCGCGTAAGCCTTGGACATTTATAGCCCCGTCTCCTTCTTCCCTCGACCAAGATCAGTCACACATCCTCTTCATCCAAAACATCTTTCAATCACCGCTCTCTGTATTTCTTGGACAACCTGGATACCGATAACCCTCGAGATCGGTGTGGTACTATCCTGAAAATCAGAACAAGACCAAACCCAGGCTCATTTGTCTCTCCGGCCACCAAGTGTCTCAAGACTTTAATCGACATGTTCAGTTCTTCAACCATGACACCTCAGACCGTATTGACGGCCCTGCCCACCACGACGCAGAAAATTGAGGCCATCGAACTCGCTGGAGGCAATGCTCCAACCACCTTGACCGAAACAGAACTCACAGAGAAGCTTCAGGAGAGTGCACCAGATGCAAAGTTCAGTGATGAAGCCTCCTATACATGCGTGACTCAGCTCAATCCCCCACGGGCTTCTCCGGCCGCCATCATGACTGGCTTGTGGGAACAAATTCCACGCTGGAAGTATGGCTCTGTCATCAACTTCGCCACCTACGCTGATGGCTATCCCGCACGTGGCGATGCGGTCTACGCAGCAAACTGCCTCATCAAGGCTGCCGAAGAATGGAACTCCAAAAATGTCGGGGTCACGTTCAAGTGGGTGCCCAAACTCGACGATGCAACATTCGTTCTTGCCTACGGTGGTCAGAAATCCACTGTTCTAGCCAGTGCCTTCTTCCCAGGCGATACCACCCAACTAGAGACTCTGTACGTGTACCAGTACGGCTTCGACAAGGCCAAGAAGACGTCCAAGAGGGGCACATTTACCAACTACGAGATTTTGAAAAACGTTTTCCTGCACGAGTTGGGCCATGTTTTGGGCTTGAGACACGAGTTTGCCATGACACCGGATCCAGAGACGGGGAAGATGGAAGGAGGCGCCATCGTCATCGGATCCGCGAATAGCGAGTCTGTCATGAGCTACATATTTCCGCCCGAGATACAGGAATCCGACATTCGGGACACCCAATACTTCTACAAGCATCCTCTGATCGTTGATTACGTTCCTGACAATTGATGCCAGATGACCAGCCGGGAGTATTCAGGATAAAAAACGCTTGGTTTGCTATGGTGTCTGCGCCAAAAGGCATAAGTGGAGTTCTATGAAGTGGCCGGGTGTGGGGACAATTCGCATGTGCACATGAGATCGGAAAGTCGGGAAAGTCAATCATTCTTGCTTCTGGATTGTTTTTGAAGAAATTGGAGGCGCCTTTCCTGTCACATGGTGGACTTGGTGTACCTGGTGGTGATAGGAGTTTCTTAGGTAATACAAAGCGTTTTCATTGGCGGATCCACATTGCCATTGAGCTCGATTGTTATTTTCTGTAGTGATTTGGTGCCGCAAGACATTTCGTATTCGGTAAGTATGGTGGAGACTGCTGGTATTGGGAAAGAGAGCAGAGGATACAAGTTGTAATGCCACTCGCGGATTTATAGCGGTCTTACAGTTCAAGCTCTGACGTCATAGTAGCTTCTTTTGTGCCCTTCGTACGTCGCGAGAGCGATTCGTGATACCAAAACCTTGATTTGCGACTCGCATCGAACTTTGGAAGATATCCATTGTCCTCCAATCACACGAAGCCTTCATCAACCACGAGATACGCTGCTCCTCTAGGGCGCCTGACTGCACTGCCCGGACACAGCCTTAGCATGTGCATCCTTAAGCGAGCTGAACCTCCCTCACGTATACCATTTCAAGCATAAAGAACCTCGCTCATAGCACTGACGTGGATATTGACTACTTATCACGGCAATCTGGCCTCACTGTATCAGTTGTGACGCCTAGGGATCTACATTGACCGAGAGAGTTGCGACGATCAAGTTAAAGATGAAAGATCAGGGCTCTAGATCCGTCACCAGGGAAGAAGCAAGTGGTGATGATGGAGACAATGAATGGTATAAGCTTTTCTCGAGACCCTGTCGCTCATCATACTTACTATGACGATAGCAGTGGGCATTCACCACCGCCTCCTGCATACACATCCCTCCCAGAAGCGATCGCAGCGGGCATGCAATCTCTCATGGTCGGCGACCCAAATGAAGAGATATCCGTGCCAATGATCCACTCCATAGAGCAGAAGCGGAAGCGGGATTTGTTCCTTCCGGGCGGGAGGAATGGTATCGTCACCCGGACAGTGCTTGTTAGGAAGATGGCGCGCGAGCACTACCTCAAGCACTACGCAAAAGATGCGCAAGGCAATTACATCGGTACTGCACAGCCAGCTCCCGATGCGGGTCTTGTTTTCGTGCCTGGAAAGAGTACGGACCAGGACATCTTGGAACAAGTGAGGAAGGTTGCATTCGGTAAGGAACACAGCAACCAGTACTTTGTGGTAAGTGTTCGGGACTGTCTCCTTCTAGAACATGTGCTAAGTTCTTCTAGAGTGGCTGGGCGACTACAGGAGCCGGTGGAGGAGCGATGTGAGTGCATAATGCCCTAGGCTGAGGCAGACTTCGCTCCATGTAAGAGCTTTGAGGAAGAAGAATAGATGTCGTCGAATATGCTCGTCATGCGTCTCTGTAGTATCTTCAACGTGTGCCACATCGCAATTTCTCGACCACAAGAGTCTGTGCGACCTCCAAATCGTCTCTTGTCTTTTTCGCTCATTGTCAAGTAGTGCTATGGCTCGTTGTTAAATCGAACTGCATTATCAGTTCAACGAACCTCTAGAGCACACTCCTGAGAAATCCATGAGCGGAGGCATTTCCTTCAAGAGTTTATGTCGAATTCTGATTTGATGCGGGGCACATTCCCGTGGACCCCTGTGGCTTTTCTTCTTCAAGGGACCAGAATGGGTGGTGTGTAGAAGCTTGGGAGACAGGAGCTGAACGGTGCGCACTTAGTTGCGTTACGCTAGTGGCGACTTCCCGAGTTCCCGCCTGCAGTTCACTCCTCTTTCCCCGTACACCCACTCGCCCAGGGCAAGCGGCAAATGCAAACATCGACTCAACATCCGCATTCCATGAATGCGCATTAACGTTCATTTACCTTCCTTGACAGCTGTACACGTCTCATCTCACACCAGGCTAGGTTCGGACCGCTGAAAACAGTTGCTGTTGTCAGCGTTGGACATGATGACGCGCCTCGCAGGCATAGCCTCAACTCGCTCGCTTCAGGCTGCTTTCACTGCCTGCATCATCTACAACTGTAACCACAACATATACATGGGCATACTATCTCTGCGCACTTTGGAGGGTGCACCATGAACTTTGTAGAGCTCCCGATACACTGGTACTCAATATGTACATGACAGGCGCGCGGGACCCCGCAAAAGCAATGCCTAGCCGCACTTGAGGCTATCATTCACATCCGCTTCGCACAATTGGTCCGATATGTTACCAGGTCCAAGCATCGGCGACCCCACGCGGGACCTCCAGCAGGCTCATGAGGCGCGGCAGATGCTCAAGATAAGCCCAGGATTAAGCTGAGGGGGCAGTGGGCTGCAAATGGAAGACTGCCGTGTGCATCAGCTGCAAGCTATACAGGTTAGTCTCTAACCTTGTGTTTCCATCTAGACACCGTCAGCTTTCTTTTCTTACTTCCTTCTTGTTTTTTTGTCGGTGTGTATCTACACTTCCTCTCAGTCTACTTTTGCTCCTGGATAACTAATACCTTCTTCTTGCTCTGGATGCGCTGCAATAATCGTGTTGCTCTACAACATGACCCTTCGTCGATCTCGTCCTCTAAACCTCAAGCGGCCTAACGGATAGCGACTCTGGCGTCAGCGGCTTGACCGCCTTGCAACTCGACAATGCTATTACCATTCAATCAGGAATCATGGATCTGGTATACATGCGCTGTATGCATGATCGGAGCAAGACTGTGAGTGAACTATCTACACGACATGTCTGCCCATCGTTTCACACGCGCGAGGTGTTGTTGTATTTCAAGAACAAGGCTTAGCACGCGATGCGCTGGCGGACGCGGCTGTGGCATCCTAGGCGCATTGCTCTTACCGCTCCAATCTCTGCTCGCTCGCATCATATGTTAGCAATGTTGAGATTATACATGCACATTCACCGTATAGATCCCTTGCTGACTGGATCTATCATGTAGGATTGCACGGAAGATGCTGTTTCGATCGATCAAAGGTTTCCAGTACGATGACTGGACCATGGGTCTCTTCGTCACCGGCGCTTATACCGTTATGATTGTACTCGCGAATCGGTGGCTAAAACTCCAATCAAACCTCGAACCGGAGAATTTCGACTTCAGCGCACTTAGCGTGGACGAACTTTCGAGACGGAGATTCGGAAGCAAGCTCGTGGTTGTTGTAGAGCAAATGCATATCGCTGTGATCTGGGCGTGTAAAGCATGTCTTCTGATCATGTATCATCGCATAACACGAACAGCTCTTCGCAACGAGAACATTGCCATCAAAATTCTCGCCGCCTACACAGCACTGGGGTTCGTCATCATAGAGGTCCTTTACTTTTCAGCTTGGTGCAAACCTTTCTCCGAGTATTATGCGGTGCCGACCAGCTCCTCTCAATGCAACGCCTTGGTACATCACCGCATCACGAAGGCAGTCTTCAACATATCCTCCGATGTGATCATGTTGTGTATTGCACTGCAAATGCTCATACGATCGCTACTCCCTATGAAGAGGAAGATGATCCTGTGCGGCATCTTCTCTCTGGGTATCTTTGTGGTGGCCGCGAGCGTCATGAATAGCTACTACTCCTTCAGCAACCCGTATAAGTCAACCTGGATACATTGGTACGTTCGAGAATCGTCAACAGCCATTCTCGTCGCCAATTTACCATTCACTTGGACAATACTAAGGGAACTTTTCGAACTGGGGAACTTTGACGATACGAATCCACCTCCATGGACCTATCATTCTTCCCGTACGGCAGGAGGTCGGAAGACGGCACAGTTACTTCATCACCAGTCTATGGCAACGGCCGCACGAACGGGGACAAGGCGTTCGCCGAACAACAGCAATGAAAGTAAGAACACGACTATGGTTGCTTCAAACATTACGAAAGACCATAACAAATCGCCAGCCATCAGCAATCTATCTGGGTTCGGCGAAAAAGACCTACTTGAGCAAGCGATTCAGCCCCACGACTTTGCTCCTGCTCTATTGCGTACTGGCAAAGATGGCATGATGAATTTAGACCTCGAATCCGGACAGGTGGAAGAAATAGACGCACGACCAGTGTCTCCCGACCACACTCAACAACGCAACAAGTTGGCCTCAGCTCCGCCCACAATCACCGCAGATGGCACGGGAGGCTTCTACGTCAACCATCATCCCATCTCGCCACCATCACGAGTACACGTCGTACTTTCCATGAACGGAACGCGAGAAAGCAGTATGGCGAGCACGCATCGAAGACCCAGCATACCAATGTCGACAAAATCGACAAAATCAAGTGTTTTTAGCGGTTACACAGGCAGTCGACGTGGAAGTGCATCAACCCAGGGTGGAACAGCCGGGCACACAGCAGGCGGAGGGAGAAGCGCGCGAGATCGGCGCGCGAGAACAAAGATGAATGAATAAGGCGCGACTTGGAACGAAATGACGAGTGTGATATACCCTCTTGCAGGCTAAACTGCCATGCCCTGTACATAGACTAGAACCTCTAATATAATGTAATATGACTTATTCCATCTACACGCTTGACGTGTAACTGCAGCAAGGCAAGAGTAACCACAGCGTGAGAACGTTTTCACCAGCAAAACTCTCTCCCCATAGGTGGTTTAAAACACCAACAGGCACTTCTATTCTGGATCTGGACCGGAAAAGCATACACAGTCCATAAAACTATTCAAGTTTTTTTTTTAAAGAATAAAAAGGAACAATCTTTCCCCAACGCCAGCCAATGCACGTATGCTCATAATGCAACGTTCAGGTATTTGATATACCGCTCCTCAGCAGTCTATAGACATGACACAAAGAACGCAAGACAAGATCACTTTCACAGACGACAGAGAGCCTAGTAGCTCTCTAGCAACAAACAAGACCCTACTCGAATCCATGTTTGTCCTATCTCTCGCACAGGTTTGAGCAAGGGGGAAGCGAGCGTAGCATAGCGGGATAAATGGCACGGCGTCCCAAGAAACGGATACTCGATGAATACAGGTACTAACTGTAATCGAAAAGGACGCTGATGCTCTCGCCGTGGTGGACGCGTCGAATGGCCTAGAGACTTGTCAGTATATGTTTCGTCATCTATCGGTTGGATCTAATCATACCTCAGCAAACACATTGCCAACCTCGAGGACCTCCAACTTGGGGCACCTGCTCTTGTGGTCCTCCTGAGGCACCGTGTTGGTCACAATGACCTTGTCCAATGCACTAGCGTTGATGCGCTCGATAGCATCTCCACTCAGGATACCGTGGGTAATGAGCGCAATCACCTGCGTAGCACCCTCCTTCTTCAACAGCTTTGCTGCACGGGTAATGGTGTTGGACGTATCCGCCAAGTCGTCGACCAGGATAGTTGTGCGTTCACGGACGTCTCCAACCAACATCATGGTGGCATTTTGCCGGTCGTTGATTTGTGTGGGGCGGCGCTCCTTGTGAATGAGGGCAAAGGGCATGCCGAGGGCATCGGCAATGGCGGTCGCGCGCTTCGCGCCTCCAGCATCGGGTGAGACTACAACGGCTTGTTGGTAGTTGGGAATGTTGAACTGGATGTATTTGCGGAGGAGGTGACGACCGTAGAGATTGTCTACAGGAATATCGAAGAAGCCCTGGTACTGGGGGTCTAGCAGTCCGTCAGCGGATTGTCTTGTATACCTGTAAGGATGTACACATACCGTGAAGATCCATAGTAATAACGTGGTCGGCGCCAGCGCAAGTCAAAAGGTCCGCAATCAGGGTACCAGCCTGAGCGACCCATTGGCGGTATCCGACCTGGGGCTCGAAGGCGGGAGGCTTGGTGGTTGTGGGTGCGCGTGTGATACCTGGTGTTGGGGCAGCCGTGCCATTGGCTCCATGCTCGCCGGTGAAGTAAGTAGACTTGTCGGATTTGTCCGACTTGCTCGAGTCAACCGTCTCGGTGCGCTTGATGCCATTTTGCTTGACCGGGCTCGTAGCGTCCCCATTCGTACGGCCGCCGTTGCGCTCATCCAGCTTCATTCTACTGAGCTGGTGGTGCAGCGCTCCTGCGCCGTTTGTCAGGCCTGCGCTTTCAGCCTGTCCTGGAAAGGGCGTCTGGGGTCGCGAATCAAACGTGTATGTGCCGGTCCTGGAGCGCGAGCCCGGTATCTTGGAGAGGGGTGCGCCAGTCTTGTTGTATGGAATGTCCGACTGTCGCGAGTAAGGGAAGAGCGGGAGGACGGCGGTGATGCGCTTCGCAGAGGCGGTTCGGCAGGCGGAGATGGTAATGAGAAGTCTGTCGGACGGTCAGGCACTTCACTCAACTACACCATGAGGATGGGCCTACTCCATCAAATGGTCGTTGACTGCGCGCAACACGAGACATTAGCTCAGTACCACTATGGCTAGGACAATGCGCCAGGGGGGCTTCGTACCTTTACCGCCGCCAGACTGGATGATGAAGACATCCTTTCCTCGGACACTCTCCTCAATCTCAACACGCGTCTCGCCGCCCTTGAACTTGTCAAGAAGCACCTTGGCCTTGGGTATGCCGAGGTGGTTGCAGATAGTCCTATGACCCCAATTAGTCAAGGCCATAGCCCGGCTCTGATGGGTGCGACATACTCGGTGAGCTGCGGGTGAGAGCTTCCGCCCAGTACCACAATGTTCCTCATGTTGGCGGGTGGTGGACGTGGTGGAGTGGGGTGGTCCGTTGCTTCGCCGCGGGCAGTATAGCAAGAAGAGATTAGTGAAGGAGGGAGTCGTTCGCGGAGAAATTCCTCTTATCGATAAAGGGAAAAGATTTAGTCGAATTTAAGGTTTCCGCCCTGGTAGTGCTGGGTGGAGCAATCACAGCTCAGGAATTGGGCAGCATGATGGAAGATGAATGGTTCTGTCGTCACGGGCCAGAGAGGTTTTCACTTGTTTCGGCTGTTGCAACTTTTTCTGCCGAACCCCATGTCGCTTTTCACGCCTCGCAAAGCCCGGGAATGCTTCTAGAGCATGCAATGGCTGCAGTCTGCATGGCATACCACAGTAAGCACACCAGATGCAATGACTCGGGTTCCACGCGACCTGTACTCGCCATCGTCGCGCAGCTACGGCGTTTCACATGCAGCGGTTGGCGGTCAGTAATTGCGCCATTCTCAGGAAGGGTCCGTTAGCGCTTGCCGAAGTCGGTCCCTCACGTGCCCACTTCAACTGTTCAAGATGCATTCAGTGATGCACGAAACGTGCTCTATTGAAGGAATAGCTCACCGGCTCGTGTCACGTCGTACGCACCCTGCGACTGTTGCCAGATACGGCGCCTTGCGTCCTTCCTTTGTCTTCAGCCGCCATCAACCGTCCCCCCTTACTCGTAGCCTAGCGAACGCGCAGGAGATACGTCATCTTGGTCGAATCAGACGTTCAGATATGTCGCTAGACCAACACCTACGTCGACTGTTTGATTCCCTTGTCATAACATCTGGATGTCATCTAAATACTGCTGAGCGATACAGCCAATGTTCAATGGTTCGTTATTGCTACCTACAACTATCTAGAAACAATCTCCCACAGTTACAACAGCTCTCTTCCTCTCCCCTCTCTCGCTGTAATGCGAAAGTGTACCAGCTTCTTCCGTCTTTGGACACCGTGTTGGCGTCATCGGGTCACTACGCTTGGCCGCGACCTCAACCTCCTCGATTGACATCATGCCGCTAATACCCCGAGTATCTTAGCATTTCTCAAGTGAGCAGACATCGAAATGGCTGGCATCTTCATGCTAGAATCGTTCCAAAGACCCCCCTGGTAGTAATCGTCTGGTCTCCACGCTCTACAACGTACCGACCGACACTGATCCACACATCAAACTTCAATCCCATGCTATGGAATCCATTGAATTCATTCACCTAATCCCATCCTCCCACCTCCCGACCCCACTATCCTTCCTCCCGTTCCTTCCCTCCTGCGCCCGTTCCTCCCCAGGCGTGAACAACTCAGCACTCAGTACCAAAACAGCAGGAACAACAGCAAGGGCTTCGATCGTCCCACTCCTGCCCCTCTTATTCTGATGTCGCAGGTTCATCATCGCATTAACCTCCCGCGACTTCACGACATCCTTCCTTATCCGCGGCCATTCTTCGCTGGAATTGTCGCGGGGTGAGGTGGGTGAAGATGTGGAGACGGAGGAGGAGCGGCGGTGCCGGAAGGGCGAGAGTGATGACAAGGTTCGAGAGCGTCCTCGTTGTTTTTCGACTGTTGAGCAAGACAAAAGGGGTTTGCAGGATGTTTGTACTGGTGATGCAGATGTGGTGTTTTGTGCTGCTGCTGGGATGTGGGGCAGGGGGATATTTATTTCCGTGTAGAGAGGGCCTTCGTATTGGAGAGAGAAGGGCTCTGTTGACGATGGTGTTACTGCGATATCCGAGGTCGTGGGTATAGGCGCGTCGTGGTCGTGTTGTGGGGTTGTGGGGGCGGAATATGAATCCATGGTTGGAAATGGCTCGTAGGAGGTGATGTTGTGGTCCGTGGCTTCCATTTTTGTCCTTCTCTTCTCTCTCAAGTTTTGGGCTGCGGGTCTTACTTGCAATATCTGGATCGCAAAGGTTGGAGGGATTGATGGCCAGAAGTATGCGTGCTTGATGTATTTGACGTGTCCTAAAGGCGCGGGTGATTGAAAGCGTTGCTGCTCGCACAGCCTCGTTCAGGCAACCCTTTGTTTTTGTCACGTCGACACCCGAAACAACTCGCAGGACAACTGATGATCTCAGGCTGTCGAGCAAGTCGGAATCCCAGAATTAAAGTGAAAAGATCTTTCTTCTTTGAATTCGGTCGCAAGCTGGATACACTTGGTGCAGATGCGATACAAAGTATGGTATCAACTGTTGATGTTCAGAATTCAAGGTTTGCGGAGATCCCAACCACGACGCGAACGCGTCCCCTTCTGGTACATATAGCTGACTAGGCCCTCCATTATCTGCACTTCAGCTGATCATAATAAGCCTCATTTCCACACGCGTGCGCTCAGCGGCAGTGTCGCGGTGAGTAGCTTTCGCGAGCCGCTTAGCCGATTGATATGGGGCTGTGCAGGATCCGCGTATGGAATACGCCGTATTGGCGGCTGAGACGTGGAAAAGCTCAGCGTGACACCAGGATAGCGCTTAGAAAGCTAGTGAAGCTAACACGACTACATTACACATCATCGGGAGAAGTAGAATGTGTCTGATGGAGATTTATTATTCATCTTGTTATCATCATCATCATCATCATCATCATCATGCACTATATACAAGACTCAATCATCCCAGGCTTACAGAAGCTTAAGAGTGACCCTTCCGCCCTTGACGCCCCTTTGGACGACGGGCTCGCGAACACTCCTCTTCGCGGTACCGTTGACGGGTACACGAGCGGGGAAGCCCTCCCAAGAGGTAGCGTAATGAGCAACAGCGGCAGCAATACCGCGGGAGTGCAGAAGCCACGCCTCCTCGTTGAGGTTGGTAACGTTGTCAGCAGCCTGATGGTAGTTCTGGTCAAGGATTTCTCCTGCAACACCACCCCAGATTGCCTGCTCTTCGACAGTCTTGACCTCGTCAGCACCGGTGGTGGTACCACCTGCGGGAATGTTGGCGTCAAGGAAAGGACCGTAGTCGGAACGACCGTTGAACTCAGTTTCGTTGCTAGGAATGTTGAGGTCTTTGAAGTAGCCCGCGAAGAAGTCCTCGATTTGGTCACTTCCAGCGGGGCCGCTCAGACCGTAAGCACTGCCGTCACCATCGTAGATCTGGTGAACGTAGTTGGGCGACGCGATCATATCGAAGTTGAGGTAAGCGCGGACATCAAGAGCTGCCTCGGGGGACAGGCTTTCAACGAAGAAGGTAGAGCCGAGAAGACCAGACTCCTCACCAGACCAGAAGCCAAAGCTAACAGCGTTGTTAACATTGTACTTGGCAAGAGACTTGGCGACATTCAAGATAGCAACGGTTCCGGAGCCGTCATCGTTGATACCGGGACCAGCGCCAACAGAGTCAGTGTGAGCACCGAGCCAGAGCTGGTTGTTCTTGTCACCACACTTGCTGGTAGCCAGAACGTTGTTGGTAGTGATGATTTGGACGTCGGTCAAAACATCCAACGTGCCGGTGACGGTAGCGCCGCCAGCGACCTGGGCAACAATAGCCTGACCCTCTGCTTGAGACATGGTCACACTCGCGACGTAGTCACCTTCCGGACGGGGAGGAGGACCAAGAGTGGCGCTGATTGTGCCTGGGGCATTGTTGTAGATGATAGCACCTACGGCGCCAGCACTGCCAGCAAGAGCGGACTTGAGTCCAAATTCGCAAGAACCGCGAGAGATAAGCGCAATGGCACCAGACACGGCCGCAGGAAAGTCGGATGCCTCGCAACCGAGGTTGTTCACCGGGACGATGGGTGCGGTAACGAGACCTGGAGTAGAGGCGGAGTACTCAAGAATGGTCGAGTTAATCGTACGTCCGTCGATGGTAAATGTGTTGAGGGTACCGTTCAACATGACGTAGTTGGAGAAGGGCTGAAGTGTGACATCGTAGTACGAAGTAGATTCGAGCTCCTTCTTCAGCCATTTGACGGTGTCGTTGTGAGCCCGTCCTCCCATGATCCTGTTACGGTCTGGGTAGCTGTAGGCAAAGTCCTCGAGCTGCTGAGCACCCCTCATCAATTTCTTGATGGTGATGTCCTTCTCCAGAGCAGCCTATAAGATCATCAGTATGTTTTCAAAGCGATCGTGGAGAATCAAGGACGCTTACCTTCGTAACCAACGGCTTCTTGGGGCATGGCTTGGAGTTGTGACCATCCTGGCGTTCCCTGAGTTCTGTAGGGATGGCCGAAGCGCCAACGGCGAGAGCAGCGAGACCGAGAGTGACCCTCATATTGACAAAGCTGTTCTATCTCAGGTGGTTGAGATGGTAGAAGCAAGCTGCGGCTGTATCTTTCATCTGGTGTGCGGGGTGCAAACTTTATACATGTCTGCTGCACCGATCGCCCGGTCGTGCGTGTGTAACCACGTACAAATTCTGTAGACCTGTTCCCTAACCCAATCTTGAGAGTCTGCAGCAATCGCGTGCAAGTGTGCAGCAATCGCGTGCACTCGCCATCGTTCCCCCGTCCGCCAAGCATCCCAATATCAGCCATCTCTTATCATTCGCCAGCGGTGTCTCCACTGTTCATGCTTGATTCAGCAGCTGGTAAAGACAAGCCGCGCCAATGCCTGCTTCAATCTGGTAGACACTCTGGGCAGCGTCTGGGCGTACCTGATAGTGGCGCTGGATTCCGAGATTACTGGGGCTCGATTGGAGAGTTTGCTCATGTGGATAGATGTCGGCGGAGGCAGGCTCCCTCTCGCCAAGAAGGCCGGATGGATGCTCTTTAGGAAGGTGGCCATCGGAGGCGCAGAAACGCCGCTGGTGGCCTTCGGGAAGCGACTGTGTATCGCGGAACATCGAAAGACACTCATCGGCTCCGTTTTGTCGCCTCTTCCTTCAGGAGTTTCGCACTTTGCGATTCGGGCAGGTCGTCCGGTGTAAACACATATCGAAGTAGAGAGTCCAAAGCACGGCATGCGGCCGCCGAGGTCCCTGGAGAACGGGGCCTTTAGCTTGTGCCTGGTGGCGCACGGAGCAGCTGATTACTGATGACATAAGAGCATCTCATGGCTCTACACCACGAAGAATTTCCAAGGAAAAAAGAAAGAAAGCAAGAAGACTCGCCGAAGACAATCGGTGTGCATGAAGAAGATATCATTCAATGGGGAGTGCTCGACATATATATCTCAGAGCACCATGTTGTCCTCTTGGCGGCACCAATCGCTCTTGCTTTCTTGGTCTTCTTCGCCATTCGGCGCAAAGTGGCTATAGGTCAGTGGGTATTCACCATACCAATGTTTGACAGCCTGTTGACACTTTCATAGCTAGTCAAAACTATACAAGTATTCTCCTAGCACTACGTAAACAATCTGTTGGCTGCGATAGAGCAGCTTCTACTGTGTAAGTACTGCCCCGGCGCGTTGCGGTGTGAAGGCGATTCTATGGGCGTCCTGGAGCCATCAAGCAAAGCAACGCTCGAGTGGTAGTACAATTCCAGTATTCACAGCGCATGCGAACTCGGCCCCCAAATTAGGATCTGGAAGCTTATACTGCAGGCACGTCCTCACCACGCCAGCGTATACGCTTCCAATCACAGCGTCCAGACTCTGCCCCGCCGTTTCAGCGGAGATCTTATGAATAGACCCCAGCGATGTCGTATCTTTAGGTATATTCGATGTTAAAGGCCGCCAGATTGCAATCTCTAGCAGGACCACTCCTAGGGTGTACAGATCGAGCGTCTTGGAGAAGCCATTGATAACATTCGGGTGATAGGTACAGCCATGCCAAGATTCTGTGGTACGCGGAGAACCAGGCCTGCATGGTAGGGGTTGCTGAGACCGTTGAGATAGCTGATGCATTTCGCTATGCGGAACGACTCAGGCGCGCTGTATAGCATGACGCTCAGAGTCTTGATCCGCTCCCGAGTTTGGCTCAACTCCCGAGGCGTGAGTGTACGCTCGATATCCAGCTACTCGATCCATTTCCGAGCGATGTTGTCATACATACAAAGGGGCCGTGACGATTGAACAGCAGGTATACTTTGCGTAGGCTGCAATAATTGCGATTCGATCGAAACAGCGCCACGGCTGCTCGCAGTAGTTGACTGTAACAGTTTCAAGCGCGCAGCTTGACGAATCAGATCATCCTCTGGACCAGTAACGGCTTGGGTCAGTTCCAAATCGAGGACAGTGTTGGTATTCGCGAGGACGTACGTGAGTAAAGCTCGTGCGAAAGCAAGCTTAGAAGGCTCAGTAAGAAGACTACAGTGATCTTCATTATATTGCCTCAATTTGTTCACCGACGGCCTTGTAACACTTACTACGTTCCGCCTGATCATCAAAAGACGTCAATCTTGTTTCGCCTTCACTTTCCCTGCCCAGCCACATTGCATCCATATCCTCTAACATTCTTCCAACCGACGGACTCTATTCCTCAAACCAGTAGATCTTCCCCTCCTTATGCCACGGATGGCTCAGAATATCGGCGCAGATGATAGCAGCAGGTCCTATTGTAAAAGTGATGTCGGCTGTAATCTTGTAGATTGGTAGCTCGTTCGGTGTGTAGAGCCTTATCACGAGGGTGGAGGATGTGATAGCGAGGTATTGATATGGCTCTGCTAATGGAGGATTTGAATTAGGACAGGATCACTGCATCTTGGAAGAATTATGAAGGATCCCAGGCTACGATCGGGATAGGAGAGGACGTGGCACCTGTGGGGGAAGTGGTGGCATATTGCTGAGATGGATAACTCGAGACAGCGCATGCGAACTCGTGCTGCTTAGTTGTACGATTCCAATCTCCCCGTGTGATACTACCAAACCCTAAGCAAACAATGGTGTCAACCCTCACCGTTATAGCGTTGAGCTGCTGTCGTACACTGGCCCAGAAACGACTTCTCAGTATATCGGGCGTAAGGACTTTCTGGAACATTTCTTTATATCCTTCATGAGTAGAATACTCTGCGACCATCTGCTGAAACTGATGAATATCAGGCTTCAATAGCATACTATCGTTAAAGCTTGTTTTCAATAACTTTGTATCGCTGCTCAGGAATGATATCATACGGTATGCATTTGCCTTCCGTCTTGGCAAAATTGAATGGCGGATTGTAATGGAGACAAATTGCGCTTGGCACATATGTCGGGAGATGACGCTCCTTCCATTCGCTGTCCAATAGATGTGGCAAGCGAATGGTTTGTTTCTTCTAGTCGTTCCCACAGTTACGAAACCGCTCGACCTGCTCGGCCGCTTGCTCGAGCAATGTGCGTGTAAAAATGGGTTTCTTATCCACAAAGGCATCGAAAGCGCTGGCGTCTGCAAAGTGGTCTGAACTCTTGGAGGGGTAAGTTTTCTCCTTCCAGTCCTTAGAGTACTGGAGGAAGTCGCTGTGCTCTTTTCGAGGAGGGGAAGGTGCGTTCTCTCAAAGAGCTTCTGCTAATTTCTTGATGCTCAGATATGAGGGAGTCCGTCAGTTTGTGGGTCAAGATAGCAGAATGGCATTGCGGTATTTGTACCAAGAGGTGTACACTAGTGACAGGACGGTTACACGATATATGTTCGGAAACCAGTAGCTGATCTCGTAAGATTTTCACTCACAAGTCGAGAGCAAACGAACACTTGGTGGTTGTAATAAATGTGTTACTTGGACTATGAACACGTGAAACTTTTCTCATTAACGGCCTGCGATATCTGTTCACTTAAACTGGTCCTCCGTAACACCCTTGCCCATAGCCGCCGTCGAACTCACACCTCCCGATACCATCTTCAAAAGGTTGTCCACATAGTTAGCTCCACTCCACTTCTGATGCGTGAGCACATCGACCTTGTTCTCCGCTTCCGGCTCCTGGATGATCTCTCCGTACGCCCGCATACCCTGCTTGGCATACGCCTTTGAGAATGTGTCGGCCATAAGAGCGCTCTGGTGCAGACCAGCGAGTGTGATGAACTGCCAGCAGTACCCAAGCTTAGCCAGGCGCTGGATGTAGGTTTCTTGCTCATCACGTGGCATGGCGGCTTTCCAGTTGAAGGAGGGCGAGAGGTTGTACGCCAGTCTGTCACGATGATTAGCATGTATGAGAAAGATTGAATGAACAAGACGTACTTCTGCTCGGGCCACACGGCGTGAACGCCGTCAGCGAACTCTTTCGCTTGCGCAAAGTCGGGCAACTTCGACTCCATCCAGATCATGTCGCAGTAAGGCGCGTATGCAATAGCACGGTTGATAGCGGTTTCACAGCCACCTTGGTACCTGTAGTAGCCCTCTCGGGTCCTCGCAGCCTCCCAGTTGAAGTACACATCAACGCCAGTCAGGCCCGCAGCGATGGCGCGTGCCTCTGAATTACTCTTGCCCTTGCTCTTCTCCATGAATTCATTGATCATACTTTGCTTGTCCACGTGCACACCAGCGTTTATCGTGTCAATCACTGCCTCGTGGTATAGCTTCAGATTGGCTTCCTTGGTCCAGGCATCTTCAATTGCCTGAAGCTCGGCGCCGTTCTTACCAGCTTGTTCTGCGGCATACATGAGCTCGCCCAGAGGTTGAAGGGCGGGGTTCGTGCAGCCTAGGATATAGTGATGATCGCGTGGGTCGATGGTAGAGGTGATCAGAGTAGCGGCTTCTGAGTCGGTTCTGGCGACGGCAAGTAGGTCGGTTCCTATTGTTCTGATGTGAGCTGATATCGGAATGAAATATCGATATGATTCGTCTTACCCATGATGTCTGCCTGTGCCCTGATAGCGACCAAACGGTTGATGTGCTCGCTGATAGGTACCAGGACCTTGCCAGCCATGTGTCCGCACTTCTTCGTTCCTGGTGCTTGATCCTCAATATGTATACCAGCCGCACCCTTCTCTATGAAAAGCTTGGTGAGCTTCATGATAGCTGTAAGTCCTCCGTGTCCCGTGTCTGCGTCTGCAATAATTGGTCGTAGGTAGTCAACGCTTGCCACTTTCGCACGATCAGCTTTGGCGGTAGTCAGGCGTTCTTCGCGTTGCTTTCGGTCGTGAAACAGCTGCGCCATGAAAAGATGGCCAACTTTGTTGGGTACGGTTGTCTAAACCTGTCAGCTTTCCTTCTCATATCCATATCTGAGAACCTGACTTACGTAGGGATAATCTGCTAGATCTGGACCCGGTTCGTCGGTTGATGAGGCCGTTGACGATGCTTGCCATCCGGAAACGTAGACGGTGTCCAGATACTTCGCCATCTGCGTGACCATGACAGGATCGAGACATCCATATGTGAAGCTGACATCGTTGTTCTAAACATCGTTAGGTCGCACGTTTGGCGTTTGGAAGAATCATCATACCTTGAAGCGGCCTTCAACAATTTCCCAAAGCTTCTTCGACTGGTGATTGCTCGGGTAGGTGATCTTGAGATTGCCTCTCTTCGTAACAATATCCTCTGCTGTGAATGGTCGCCTAGTATACCTCCATCTTGAATCCGACCACCATTGCTTGACTTCCTGTACTTCCTTCTGGAACTGCGCATCCTCGGCGTCAATGTTCGACATCGCGTTTAGGCTCTGAGCTATAATAGATGGCGTGTGAGGCTAGTTTTGGCAATAAGAAGATTATATTCTTTTGATCCGTCTGTGAGGTATGAAGAGAGGAAGGAAACAAGAGGGAAGTCTATCCTTTGAAAGATGACGAGCAATGACACAACAAATTCTAGCCTCGGTCTACCGTGCCAGAAACTTGGGGAGCCAAGCTCCTTATAATTGTATCATCAGCATCTCATACCATCAAGGTTAGCACAACCCCAGCTCTGCCTCTTAGCCCAAGAGCTCGGGGACGATCGGCTGAGCGCACCATTGGCCCGACTGTAGCATCCGAGGAAGCTGGCAAGAAGATCTAGCGTGCCAGTCATGCTGGAGCATTGTTTGAGTTGCCCTCGGCCCAAGGGGAATTGACGTTTTGAAAGCATGACTGGTGTAGATCGGGTGGGGATGGGGACCAGCGGAACCGTGACGGGGATGACGTTGGCCAATTGCTTGGTGAGGATGGCTTCTCGTTTCAGTCACAGCTGCATTCCCGTTATCATCCCATCTCACAACTCCATCTCGATGAGCTAGAGACTTGTTCCATCGTGACACGCGACCGCTTGCAGCTTCACATGCCGATGTTTGTACTCTGCATTGGTTCTTTGTGCATGTGAAGGCGCATGCTAAAACCTGGGGTCGCGTGTCGCTAGCGTCGCGCGGGTTTTACCTCGGTTGATCCTATCCGGAAAAGGCCTGAGCCGCTATTGATCTGCAGCTGTCACGGGCTGGCGTGTTCGCTGGCAGAGGGCTTTCGTTCGGAAACACGTGAGAGTTGTCAGTGTTGCGTCTGAGATAATTCGGATAAGCCTCGCTCGTCAGCAGCGACGATCCCGGCAAATGGTCGTGGCGGTGTTGCACACCAATGATCATTACCGTCATTACGAGAAATATATCAGTACCCTAACGAAAACAATAATGATTGAGTAAAGATGAGGATCTACATGCCTATCTATAACCCTTCAACGACTCATACGCATGGCAGGAGTATACTGATAGGGCGCTCTTTACCAATAACGACCAATTCCACTGGTCTGTCAAAAGTGCATCAGAGCATGCAGACCAATCCCTTCCTATCACCAGGTTCTCTAGGCATTCGGTTGACAACAATCCCGCCGTCGACCCGCTCCAGCTCATCAGCTGTCGTGCAGCGACATAGCACAACGAAACCCTTATCACCAAATCTACCAGGCCAACAATCTCCGGAATTCCGAAACAGAAACGTTGTGCCAGAAATAGCTTCGTAACGGTTCTTCGATACTCACAAGCATATTGTTGCCCGAAGAAGTCCCTGACGTATCTATCCAACTCGGAGTATGGTCTAGCGCGAATGTCATCTACATTAACTGCGGAGCTTTGCGGCGACACTGAGTATGCTGGATCGGCTGGTGGACACCTCAACTTCTTCAGTAACCACCACCTGAGCTCGTCAAGATGGCCCCTTCTCACTGGTGGCGTTTCCTTGTCTTCGAGGCGTATCGATGAGCGCTCTGAAAGCAAAAGAGGTAGTAGCTGCGGACGACACATCCATAGAGTCCTGTTCCGTTCGTCGGTGAAGACGCATTCACGATCGATGGCCTCGGAGGTGTACGTGTAATGGATAAGCCGCGAGTAAAATGCTGGTGTAAGCACACGGATTTCCATGTTCTTCTTGGGCCGATTTCGACCGGGTACGTGTGTCGGGCAAACCATATTGGTGGGAACGTTGGGGATCGAAGCTTTGAACGTGATGTTAAAGTCTACTTCGGCTTCCTCGACAAGTTTACGTAAGTAGTTCCTGAACACTTCATAAAGTGTGCTTAGACTGTCAACCGTGTTCACTCAGGGATGTGCTTGTACTTACATCTCAGCGGATGTGGGTAGCCGGCCAACGCTCGACGTCAGTACCTCTGGTCGGAACCATACGTGCAACTTTCTCTTGAAAAAAATCCTGAACGCTTCTCTAATGATGCGCGGAAATGTAACTAAGCCAACCCACCACCAGCTCAAAATGAATCGCGCGGTTCCGAAAAAGCCCAAGTGGTCAGGATCAACGGCCTTTCCGGTGGAGTAAAGGCGCGCTACAAGTTTCCCGTGATCCTTTGAAGACTTGAGCGTGATCGTATTATCGATCGCAGGGTTCTCGCAATCCACAGACGGAAAAGGGTTTTGTGCCTTCAGTGCATACGAACCCTTCCTGGAGTTGAACGGCGAAACATGGAAATCTTTCATCCATACGTCCGTAAACTTTGACTTTGATCCGTTAGGTACTTGCGATTCCTGTCCTTCTGGTCCGGAAGTATGCTCAGAATCAGATGTGCAAGGCGGGCTAGGAGGACTCGATCCGTCAAGCAGGTACATGCGCCTTTCCCCGAAAGTGTTGTTGACTTCGAGTATCATCTTCTTAAGCTGATGTTCATGATCGTAGATGTACCAGAACGAAACCGGGTTGAATGCGTAGCCGAAGAAGCGCGGTGCCGTCACCAAGTAGGCGTACTCCCATTCGGAATCTTCGACATGTTGAGCCCTCAAATATGTCCTCAACTTCCAGTAAAAACCAAAAGCTCCACTACCTCGCTCCAGATAATCCTCTGCTCTTACACGTAACCACCAGCTACCCAACGTTTGATCGTCTCCACTTGGGAATTCTATCCCGCTGTGTTTGATTCCGCTCGAAACAATGGGGAATCCACACTGTAGGTATGAGTATGCAAAGGCATGACGCTTCGGAAAGATACGTGCATGCGTTGTCTGGCATGGGAAGATTTTCGGCTTTGGTGTTTCCACTTCAGACCTCCACCGGCTGATATCAGGGCTTGTCGCAGCTGTGTTCTTGCTGCTTGCAAAGGTGCGCCACAAGAAGAATGCGAATAAAGCAAGCGGTAATGCGACACTGGAGACCGCATATGTGACGAGCCAGCCCCTCCATTCGTTCCAACTCTTCAATGCAGTCGCAACCAACTTCTCTCCTGCCAGCCAAGTATATAAAACCCCAAGCACAGCGCAATCCGTTGTGAGTTGGCGATCTCCGTGACGCTGTCTAACGGCATATCCACCGATCCAGATCGCGAGCAGAGGCCACATCCGCCACCCATCCGCAACGGCACATGGCAGCAGGAAAGCCAAAGGCACGCATCCCGCAAGGGAAGCACCCAGACCGCGACGGTCAGCTGCAATCCACATTAATGTATGTTCCCGTTAGTATTATCGTGACATTGAGGAAGTTACGAAGGAATTCTGTGGTGGGATAAATGTCAGATCGAAGGTGGTTTGACGCTAGACCATTCTCATGAAATGTATATGCAGGGTCAGGAACGATATCCGCCGCGAGTATTTCCCCATCCGGCATTAGCCAACGCGAGAGCCGCATCATTGAAGACGACAAAGCGGCTAGATGCGACGACGGTTGACATTGTTTATTTGGGCGCCGAGTCGCAAAGCCCTGCAAAGGAAAGGAGCACGCCGAAACACTGAAAGTCGTGGATCTTTCGCTGCGGGTCGGCGATAATACGTCATCGGCGTTGAGTTGGCCAGGTAAAGAACACCAACCCGTGTTGAGCACCAATATACTCCCATGTTCAGGTGTCATACCTATAGTTCATGTTTAGGATATTCTGAGCGACCCCTACTATCCTGCCAAAACACTTTTTCCCGAGGTTATCCGTGAAAATAAGAGAGGAACCGTCATCGTCGCGAGCGCGACGCGACGCCGACTGTACACTACGCTATGACCGGACCTAGAACCGGCGCCACGATTTGGAATTATACCTGACACACGAAAGTAACGAACAAGTGGAGAGATAGGCACGGCGTTCCTCGGGGATACATAGCGTCGTGAAGAACTCGATACTAGAAGTTATTGAAATCCACAGCACGCCCACTAAAGGTACTGCTTCAGCGACCAGCGCACACAAGAGGCAACACTAGCCGAACTAGGGGCACAGATAACGTTCCAACCCATCACCACCATACTATGCGTTCGTCTCCTGCCCTTGATACTTCTTACTTGCGTCCAGCATTGTCCAAGGCGCAAAGGCTATTTCTCATGTTAGCATCATCTCCACATTTCCCTAAGATATGGTCAAAACTTACGATTTCCACTCTTCGCCAACACCCCTTCCAACCCCGGAAAATGTCTACCCAACACATCCTTCATGCCCCCATTCTGCACCCATCGCATCCCCACCTTACTATAGGTCTCTTCATTCCAATCCCCGGCGATGAACCTAGATTTTGGTGTACAAAGTCAATATACATCTCATATGCAGTTCATACGCGGAGGTCACTAACCGATCACTTTTCAACCTCCTACTAGCCATCAAGATAAACACCCGAAACGCCGTATCGCTAAACCCAAAGCCTGCCGGTAGTGGCTCCGCAAGACAACCAACCAGTAAGTCCACCTTTTCAACATCGTCCTCGTAGATGGCTGCCAGTTTCTTTGCAACAGCCCCGTTCCCGCCCGTGAGCTCGAGGAACGAGGAAGCGGGCCGTAGGTGGAAAAGCCGACGAAAAGCATTGTAACGCGGTACACCTCTCTCCCTATCTCGGAGCACATCGATAGTGCCGAGATCGATATGCCGACCATCCGGTGTATGTAAATCACGCAAGAAATCCGGTGTATTGTTCAGCGTAATAGCACCTGGGTAATTGACTCCGAAGCTGTAAAACACGTCTGCGAAATCCATGTCGTCTATTTCCAGAGGAGCCCTCGCTTTTTCGAAGGCAATGTCGCGGATGGGATGTGTCGTCTTATGTTCACCACTCTGTGCAGAGAAGAAGGCGATGCTATCAGGAATGAGTGCGTGCATACGATACACACTTACAAACTCCTCAGTAAGTGCATAAGGCGCGGCTTGGTGCTCTACGCCCGACCCTGGGATTCCAGAGATGGCTTCTGAAGTGGCGGATACGCGGCCGAGTAGTTTGTATAACCGCTCGCCTAGGATACCCCACCAGTTTGCGCTCATGCTTATCTCGAGAACAGGATGCGCGAGGATGGCTGGCGTCCATTCTACTGTGTGTATCTTGGCCATTAATGCGCAGTTGACTAGGCGGGCTGTGTCGAAGAGTTTCTCGCTGCTCCAGTCTGGGTAGGCAGCTACGAGGGCGTCGCAGATGGCGTTGTGTTCGAGGACGAAGAGCGTGTGCAGCATTTCTAGGCCTAGCCACCAGTTTGTCATGAAGCCGGTTTGGGGAATCCCGTTCTCATCGCGAGGAAGGAAGGTGGCTAGTTGTTGGGCATCGACAGTGAGTTTTCCGTTTTTGGATTGACCACGCAGTTCGGCTGTGCGGATTTCGGAGCTGCCGTAGATTTGACTGCCGTCCCACCAGTGAGTGTTGATGTTTTTATAGGCTGGAGCTGTTTTGTCAGTTCCATCTAATGCGATGTCAGGCTGTGTTTTTTCGACCCTCATCTTGCCGTCTGGAGAGTTCCACTTGTCGCCTTCAGGAAGCGGAACAATACATTTTCCTGAAGCGGAATTCTCGTGCTGGAACCAGTCGTGGACCTGGAATTGGATCCACGCCGCGGCCAGTAGGTTCAGAGTCGTCGCAGGTTTGAACGTATCTCTTTTCAATAGCTGCTCACTGATGAGTCGAGGGTTTGGGGTCATGAGCTCCTCCTCGCTTGGCTTTGCGGTGTGTTCGCGAGGTACGTTGCGGCCGAATCGCATTCCTGTGCATCCCATCTTTGGTGCTGAGAGATCGTTGAACAGACCGTCGGAGTGGCGGGTGTGCAAGTACTGCTCATCAGATAGATGCGGGCATCCTAGGGTACCTTGGTCGTCGGGAGATGGGTAGACATCGTGTAAGTTCTTTTGGCGTAGCTCGTAGCGGAAGGCGGCAACATTGAGTACGCCGATCCAAGTGGGCAGCTTGTGCCATGGTATTGTGTTATTCACGCTATGGAAGATGGCTATGAGGGCGCGTTGGGGAAGACCTGGCGTGTAAGTGTAAGCTTTGTGCTCAGTTTCTTTGGAGAGACCCATGACTGGAACACTGGTGGAGTCAAGTCCCTGGTAGCTCGGTGTCGCTTGGAGATGCACGAAACAAGAGAGAAAAAGAGACGAGATATATGGGAAGGGCTCAGGCCAAGACATAATAGATGCCTACAACAGCTGCACAACTTGCGTCGCGTCCGGGACGGCGATGCTGAGATCACTGCTCAGCCCCAGAGCAACACATCCCAATCACAACCAGGTGTTCGAGCCGGTCAGCACCTCATACATGGAGTAGGGCCGAACATGAATCAGCTCACCGAACGACTGATCGCCTTCCTTGCACCAAACCGGCAAGACATGCAAGGCCTGTAAACCCATCTTACTCCACTACTCAGCTCGCCGCCACTCTCTCGCAGTCCTTCCATTCTATATGCCTCAGCTTGTGACAGTTTCGAACAATGATACATTGGCCGGACCGTCCAGACCAATCACATGTTCGAAGATTACACGATACTGCGTTCTCGGAGGCGGCTTACCTCAGCCGAGAACCAGGTTCCTCTAGGAATGCGCGGTACTGGTGGCTGACGGATAAGTAGGGACCCATGTAACAAAAACTCAGGTCAGCTCTTGTGTCACACTGGTGGCTGAGTCGGATGCATGCACTCTAATGTTCTTGGTGCTTTTTTTTTAATAAGCGCACAGAGCCCTGCATTGGCCATACTAGATCTCGCATATACTTGAGGGGAGAGGCACTCCTATGGCGAAAGCGCATAGTATGGTGCGAAGTATCAACCACGTTGTAGCAGGCTGTTTGATTGCAAAGGGAGTGAGTATACGGGTGACGGTGACGCCGGTCGCAAGTACGTGGCTGTTGGACTTGAAAGCGCGCGGATCCGTGCCCTGATTTCCTCCTCTTCCGCAATATGGGTAATAGTCACTCGATCCTGGAGTTCGTTGTTTGCATGGTCTCTGGGTGGGCAGTAGATCCGAGTCGGTGACTCCAAGATACTGATGCTGTCTCTTCGCAAGTTTCTTTCAATCTCCCCAGCGGGAAGTCCGTGCAGCGAAGTACGTCCTCCGTAGTAGTAAGATGGGCTGCGAGATGGCTTGTAACAAGATATTCTGCTGAAAAGGCGTTTGAAAAGTGGTTGGATGGATGGAGCAGATGCGCAAATGATTGCTGTGTTGATCTCAACCTGGGACCTATGTGGATAAATACAGCGTCAGTATCGGTCTCACATCTACGTGTTCGACAAGCTTCACTTACCAGAAGATGATGTATCCACCGTAGTACCGAGCATGTAAACCGCTGTTTGCCCAGAGACTCAGGCCCCAAAGTCGAACTCCAGACGCTATCGGAATGAGTAGACTCACCGCAAAGACTGCAACAACGGATAACCGCTTGGCTCTTCCCATGCGCAGCGAATATAGAACCGGCATAGGAAGAAGCAATATAACGATATCAGATCCCATACTCCAGCCTGCTTGCCAGTAGAAGACAATCCGCAGGTCAAAACAGTGGCCGGCGCCTCTGTCTGTAAGTATCGCAGTGGAGAAGGCGTAGGAGGGTGTCTCGGGGCATTGAAAGGCGATTATGAAGATGCAGTAGATGCTGATAACAGCGATAATAACGATCAATGTTTTAACAAGTCTTCGAAAGGTTCGTTGGGTGGCAAAACCAAGGTAAACTAAGGGTGGAATGACTGTGTCAGCACATACTCTTAATGACATGTTCTTGCAATGTTACTTACAAAAGAGTATCGAGAGCTTTATGAGGCCCATTATGAACAAGTAGCCAATGTGATATGCGTACCCTTTCCGATGGTCAGTGTGGTCTACTGCAGGTCGAAACAGTTGCTCACAAGATACTACAGAGCCAAACATCCAATACTTCCAGTATGCAGCATCCTCTTCTTGAGTGGGCTTCAGAGTTTCATTAGCATGTCGCTACCTTATGTCGTAGTGGGAAAGGCACTTATTCCCACCTTTGGCGTAATCTCTGGCACACTCTGGGCACCAGAACCGAAGAACAACTGGTAATGGTTACAAGCGCAAAGACCCCAGGTGAATAGCTTCAGTGCATTAGTCTTCTGCAGGCATGTGTCCCTGAGCGGATTCCTTACTCACCAATGCAACCGCCATGATGAAGTCGCTCCAACCGAGTTTTCCTACAATACATCTGCGAGTATAGAAGCTGATGCCAAATAAATACGAAGCATTAACAGGCGAAATGTGGAGTAAAGGAGACGGACCGGGTGGCAATCACCACTGTCGATAGAGTCGCGAGAGTGAACTCAGTGGTCAAGATTGTGGGCCGTAGATCGTACGGGCTGAACATCTCGACGGCACCCATCACTGCCCGACATCGAGATGAGAATGGAGCGTCAGGATAGTAACTGCAATGAAATGAACGCCTGGAGGTTGAAAAGAATGGAAATCTGCCTGTGGGTGTATAATACCAGGCGACACAAGCCATCCGAGGCCCAGGCTTGCTAGCTGATCTCGAATCGAAGGATTGCATTAGCGAGCCACGAGGACGCCACGGGCTGGGGATTTGAACTCCAGTAGCGCAACGACCGCATGGCAAACCTGGTTGAGCAGGGCGTTTCTCGGCGTTCGCAAATCCTACAATCCACATCCACCGTCAGTCTACATGTCATACCAGTGTCTGTCAGACGGTACAGTCGCCGCTATGATGGCAAAACCTGTGTTTTTAGACATTGTATCATGTGTCCAAGATATGTTGGCAGTGGCCGAATTGGCGTAAAGTCCACCATGTTCACATTTCCAACATCCAGGTATATTTGCGTGGCCACGTTAAGAGAACTCATCATAGCCTCACGCCCCGGTGTTCGGTTATGCTGCTGAGCTGACTCCGACGTATACTGACTCCTGTGTGTCAGGTCATGTAGGCGATAACCGTCTGCTCGTGAGTTATGGGCCAACCAAAATCGCCAAAGCTGATGCGGCGTAGTCGATGGCGGCTTCCCATCTCAACAAGGTTTTGAACGTGAAGTACGGTCGGATGTCGTTGACATGATTTCTAGAGGCATGTGGGTCCCTCATCGACTGGATGAAACCGCCGGCAAGATCTGACTCTACGCACAAGGCCATTGTAAACTCGAGAAAGTTTGGTAGCGATGCTCCAAGCATGTAGCAAGCGAGGACGGCCTGTGATGTTCTATATGCAAGGGATGATGCCATGCCATCAAATGTAATTATCCGCGGCTAGTCCGATGTTGGTGTTTCGCGGTTCAGCCACTACGAAGCGAGATGCCCAACGCCAGCATCCTAGAGCTGACTGGATGAAGAAGCCAAGGCGATAGCGCCAAAATGGAACATGAATCGAGAGAAATTTGGATGTCCACGAGACACGTCCGACTGTTGGGTGTGCTGCCTCAGACCTGTTGACGTAACGCTGAGCTTTCGATCGAGAGCAAGGGTCTTAGTATGGTAATCGAGGGGCTGCTGAGCGATCACAAGAACTTGGTTCAATTATGCGGAGGTGACCAAGGAACGAGAAAGGGTGAAGTTTGTGACTGGCGCGCAGAGCCCGTTCGCCGTGTAATGTTCTGCATGCGTTCGCATGAAGGGAGCTAGCACGTGAGTACCCCACACTAGGAAGAAACTGAACGGGTACAGAGATGATGAACAGCGAAAGGAAATGAGCTTGAACAGTCAAGCTGAAACGTCGGCAAGACTCGTCGCACATTGAAAGCAGCTGTTGTTGGCGATATAGAGATAGGCATTGGATAGCGTGAACTGCGAGATTAAGCTAGGGGAACTGTGCCTGGAAAGCTAAAACTTTTGGTGCTTTCAGGGTCTGCCCACCTGTGCAGGCGCATACGTCAGCACCACGTGACGATCAACAACCCAAAGCCAGAGGGATAGTAGCATGTCAACACGGGCTAGCTCTGTCTATACAACACATGAAGCTTTACTTATACATGGTCGCTGAGCATACCGTCGGCATAGTGCACTGAAACCTTCTAGATCATTCTCTGTCGCGCGAGAGAGGCCCAACTGCTGTTCTTGATTAAAGGTCAAGGGTGTATCCCACTCGGCAACTTCCTTGAAAGCGACGATAGCCACCGCGTGACGACACAAGGACAGGTTTGTTACCTGTCATAGGCCCGAATCGCAGCTTCTTGTACAGAGCACACATCTCGCATCTTCTACTGTCTCCAATATCGCGACATCGTCAGACGTATCATCATGAGTACTTCCAGCAACGCAGCCGCAGCCCCTCAGCTGCCCAACCCGCCCGCGTCCGTCGCAACCACATCGAGCGAGACCAAGTCAACCGACGATGGCAGTATCCTGAGCAAGGGAAAAAAGCTCCTCGGTTTGGGCAAGAAGAAGGATACCGTGGCCGGTAAACAGCCGACAGCGACTACATCAACAACAGCGACGCCGACATTGCTGCCCTCACCCCCAATGTCACCGCCCGAACCACGAGCATCGCCGCGAGGAAGCCCGCGCATGCTGCCAATTGGCGCATCTCCCAGTCGCCGCATCCGCTCTACCTCTCCCGGTCTTCACAGCCCAGCATCGTCGCTCATTTTCGAGCGCAACGTACAAGAGCCTGAACCCTCAGCCGACGTGCCCGCACACATCAAGACGGAAGACCACATACCACCCGCGCTGGATGCGACTTCCCTGGCCATTACAGACAACCACCTCAACCCTGATGAGGTCGAGATCATAACACACACAGCGCATCAGCCAGCCGCTGTGGCAGTCGCGGGCAGCATAACCGACTCGCTGCATTCGCCTCACCTCCCTCACACAGAGTCTGTAGCTTCTAGCCATGCTGAGGTGACAGAGTCAGCACCTGGCTACGGCTCACTGGACACGGCGGATCCACGTCGCTTGAGCTTCATTTCTTTCGCAGACGTGGTGCAAGCTGAACACGTCGAGCATGACAGGCAGGAAGTGTTGGGTGTCACGTCGAACGAGGCTCTGCAGTTTATGAGTCTGTCGTCGACAGCGAACCGATCGGCCTCGCCAGTAAGGTCTGCGGCATCTTCGCCCCCAACCACAAGTGGAGCTGCTTCCCCAAAGCACGCGGATCTGGCGCGCACGCGATCCCCTGCGAGTCCTACCTCCCCTATAGTCCTTGGTAGCCCAAACCCAGCATCTGGTGAAGAGCTACCAGTCCAGATTGAAACAATGCGACAAGCACTGCGCAAGACACACTCGGGCGATCTTAGCGGCGCACGCTCACAGCCATTGAGCGCTGCGAGTCTGGAGGAGAGTGCAGCTGACAAGTCGCCATTCAAGTGAGGGTGTGGTGTGGACAGATTGCGCATGAATGCACTGAAACGATGCTCTTGATTTCATTTTCGGGTTGAGCAATGTTGGGAGCTTATAGGCAGGCTGCGGGGGTTATTGGTTGGTTCAGATATCCATGTGGCGATGTTTCTAGTATTTATTCGATACCAATCCATGCTATTATCTTGTACCGATGTGCATTGACGTCTGCTACGCAATAGAGGCAGAAGTCGTGGGCGTGGCTGTCGCTGCAGATAGATGAGGGCAATCAGGCACAGGCTCGCCGAGCATCCAAGCGCATCAGCCAATGTGCTTTGTCACGTTGGAGCCGTCAGCAGCAACGGCTACATAGTGCAAAAGCAGATGGCTGAGGGCCGGGGCGCGGTGATTAGGCGATTGATAGCAGCGCCAAGGCCGTGTCCTAGTCGTGCCCATGGGTGCCATCTTCGCTCGCTAGGGCTGGCGGTGGGCCTCTTACTACCTAACGACAGACCATTTTGCCTGCGCAACGAGGCATGCAATGCGCCATACGGAACCGATACCCAGTCTCGCAGTGCCCTTGACCGTTGAGCCCCAAGTACTGCAAGCGCAACGGCTACCTGCTGCAATAGCTGGGCCGCCTGCCGTGTGTCAATGAACAGCACAAGACACAGCAGCGGTCCGCATCCATGGACCAGCAGAGACGAAACAGGAGGGAGGTGAGTGCGGCCGAGGCTGCAAACGGACAGTACAACAATGTGAATGCCCACGAGAGAGGCCACGACGACTACCGCAAGCAGCCCCAGACCATACGCACCGTCACCCCCGACGACACGCCCATGCAGCCCTCGACTTCGACGGCCACGACGACGATACCCGAAGATGGCTACCCCAGCCAGACGTTCCAGTCCCCGCCCAACAGCCCCCGCTCCCACAACAGCCAGCTCTCCCAGCGCACCGGCAACCCGCGAGCCTATGTCGCCCGCGCATCGAGCGACTCCGAGTACCGCAATGCGCGCGAGCAGACACGGCCCCGGACTCGCACGCTGGAAGAACGAAGCACCCGGGAGCGCTCGCCCTCGAGCGTCTTCGGCGCAGGCCGACATCGTATAGGCTCCGTGGCCAGCTCCCAGAGCAACTACCAGAGCCTCGAGGAGTCGGTCGTCACTTCCATCGGCCACATCTCCACCATATCCCCACCACAGCAGCCGCCCCCACCCCGAACCTCGAGCACCAACAGCCGCAGCCGCCTCACCAAGCAGCAACAGCAAGAACAACAACAACAACTACTACTACTACAACAACAACAACGATATCAACAAGCCCACCGCTCCACATCGCCCGTCTTGTCACCCTCCAATGTGCCGCCCGAGTCGTGGGTGTCGCCTGTACCGGCCTCAGACGCCAAGAAGCTCAAGGCCCTCATGCGCTCTACCTGTGGCAAGATGCAGGGTCTTTTGGCCTTCCGGAGGGGTGAGCCGAACCCCTGGGGTCTATCATACTGTTATATCAATGACGAGGCTGGCAGCCTGGTCTACGAGCCCAAGAATGACACGTCCTATACCCGTACCCTGATACCCGACTTGCGAGGCTGCCATGTCAAGAGCGCATACGACGGCGAGGCCTACACAGCATACATTCATGTCGTTGTCCATAACTCGAAACTGGAAGTCCATCTGCGGCCGCCGACACAAGAAGAGTTCGACTCGTGGTTCGCCGCCTTACTATGCTGGTCGCCCATGCGTCCAAAGGGCATCCAGAACAGAATGGCGAAACCCCAGGCTCCCGTTATGATTGAGCGTCGCCTTCCAGACAGCAGACGCCACTCCGAAGTATCGTTACTCAAGGATTCGCCCAAAAAGGAAGCGCCTATCATCAAGGTCGGCAAGATGATATATTGGGACACCAGTGTGACATACAGCAACACAGGCACCCCCAAGGGCGCCGGTACTGGAGGACGACCGCAAGCCTATAGAGTCCAGAGCCATGGGTCCCGTCGTTGGCGAAGAGTGTCCTGCACGCTTCGTGAAAACGGAGAGCTCAAGCTCTACTCCGACACTGATGTCACCCTTGTCTCTACTGTCCAGCTTTCCCAGCTTTCCCGATGTGCCGTTCAACGATTGGATCCCTCCGTTTTAGAAAACGAGTTTTGCATCGCCATATATCCCCAGTATACCGCTTCTTCTTCCTCTGCATTAACAATCCTACGACCTATATTCCTATCGCTAGAGTCAAGAGTCCTATACGAAGTTTGGATAGTCCTCCTGCGCGCTTTTACCGTTCCCCAGCTATACGGCCCAAAGTCGTCGGACGCCATGACCGATGAGGGCACTTTATCGCCGTCTTTTGGCACCCAAGACATGTTCCGCATGGAGAAGTCATTGTTCGTAAGAGTCATTGAAGCAAAACTGATTCCGCCTGTAAGCCCCAAGGTCGCTGATAGCAACGGGCAAACCCCGATAAGACCGTCCTCGTCTGCCACGACCAATCCAGGTGGATATCTCGTCGAAGTACTGCTAGATGGAGAGACGCGTTCGCGGACCATGGTCAAGAACGAGGGCAACAACCCATTCTGGAGAGAAGAGTTTGAGTTTCTGGATTTGCCCGCTTTGCACACCGCCTCATTGCTACTGAAAAAGCGACCACCAAGCTACAATCGCACCGAGAAGAGCGGTTTCGAGGCTACCAACTCCGACCCATACGTCTCTGAGGGTGGGTACGCCGGTATCTCTTTCGACCAGACCGTAGGAAAAACTGACATTTATCTGGACGATCTCGGCCCGAACCAGGAGATGGAGAAGTGGTGGCCGCTTGTCAACATGTATGGAAATAGTGTTGGGGAGGTGCTAGTCAAAGTTAGCAGCGAGGAATGTGCCATCCTTATGGCTCGCGATTATTACCCTCTTTCCGAGCTCCTTCACAGGTTCTCTAATGGAATAACACTTCAGGTCGCCCAGATGATACCGAACGAGCTCAGAAGATTGTCGGAATATCTACTGAACATCTTCCAGGTGTCCGGTGCAGCTGGCGAGTGGATATGCGCGCTTGTTGAGGAAGAGATTGACGGCACATTGAAAGAGTCACCTGCTAGCCGGCTACGGTTCAGTAAGAGATTGGGCTCGAGTGAATCGAACGAATCTTCTTTGCCCGGCTTTGGTTCGGCAAGCGATCGCGAGCTCTTTGTTCGAGATATGGGCAACAATGCTAAACTGGAGGCCAATCTACTTTTCCGCGGTAACACTTTGCTTACCAAGTCTTTGGACCTGCACATGAAGCGACTCGGCAAAGAGTACTTGGAGGAGACGTTGAGCGAGAAGCTACGAGAGATCAACACCAAGGATCCTGATTGTGAGGTTGATCCGAACAAGGTCGCCTCGCAACACGAACTGGACCGAAACTGGAGAAGGTTGATCAACTGTACTGAAGAAGTATGGCGAGCCATCTACAACTCCGTGTCCCGATGCCCGCAGGAGCTGAGGTTGATCTTTAGGCACATCAGGGCATGTGCTGACGATCGCTACGGAGACTACCTGCGAACGGTGCAGTACAGCAGTGTCTCTGGCTTCCTGTTCTTGCGCTTCTTTGTTCCGGCGGTGCTGAATCCGAAACTCTTCGGCCTACTGAAAGGTGCGCAGTTTTCATCTTCATCACATTCCAGTTGCTAACAGTCCAATTAGATCACCCCAAGGTCAAAGCTCGAAGAACGTTCACTCTTATTGCAAAATCTCTACAAGGTCTGGCAAACATGTCTTCATTCGGCACCAAAGAAGCATGGATGGAGCCCATGAACGCCTTCCTCACTACACATCGGCAAGAGTTCAAGAAGTATCTTGATGATATTTGCTCGATATCGACCACGTCGCAACCCGCACCGCCGATACCACCCTCGTACAGTACCCCAATCGCTATTCTCCACCGTCTACCTCCAACGTTCAAGGAAGGCTTCCCATCGTTACCATACCTCATCGACCATTCACGCAACTTTGCCATGTTAGTGAACCTCTGGTTGGACAACACTCAAAAGAGTGCGCCTGACATACAGGCCACTGATGGTGACCTCCTTCGTTTCCACAACATTTGCCTATCTCTTAACGAGCGCACCAAGGACTGCCTGAATCGTGCCGAACCCGCTGAACGACCGTCATCGTCACTCAGTATCAAGTGGGAAGAGCTAGTTGAGCAGCTACAAGGTGCGCAGATTGACACATCTCGAGGTGCAGCTACAAGGAATCGTGGACCAATACAGGAAGAAGAGATAGAGGACACCCCGCTATCTCCAAACAATGGTGACGACTATTTGTCCTCATCTACCAGCACACCTATTACAATGCAGCAGCCGCCACCACGGACACGGCATCAGCAAAACTCGAGTATCTCAGCATCTCAAAGTTCTTTGAAGAGCAACAGTTCGGCCACAATATCTTACACGAATCCATTTGCTAAGAAGCAATGGTCAGGCCAATATACAACATCAGGAAACGACTCGATAAATGTCTCACAGTCCGCATCTGCTTCCGCCAGCGCGTCTGCGTCCGCAAACGAGGATACGCCCCCAGGATCCAGTGACGGCCTTCACATGGCCCCTGCGCCTTCCTATCCACAAGCCCTGACTACGACGACAACGACCACGATTTCTACATCTACATCTACACAGTCTTTCAATTACACCAATCCCAATTCTCACATCAACCAACAGAGACCTGCCACCGTATCCACAAACTCCCTCGTCGGAAGACCACCTCGTTCAGCGGGTGGTCAAAGCATGGAGGGCAGCGAGAGTGGCAGTATTGCAGAAGAGGAATACACAACCGCGCTCCCAGCCTTCTCCGAAAAGGCAACCAAGGAGAAGAAGGAACGCGGCTTCCGAGGCGTCCTCCCCTTCCAACGAAAAGGCAAGCGCAGAGACAAGGAGAAAGACAAGGAGAAAGACAAGGATAAGGATAAGGAAAAGGACAAGGAGAACCGCAAAGACAAGGGCAAAGACAAGGACCGCGACCGGGACCGCAGCAATGAACGTGGGACTAGCGCTCTTGGCCGAGAGGGATATGTTGACTTTGGCAGCGTACGAGGAAAAGGCCGTGATGCTCATGGAAGAGGAGAGGAACGTGAGCATCGCGACGAGGAATTCTGACTACATGGCTGGTTTACCGGGGGCGACAGTCCAAGGACGTTGGCCAAGAGGGAGATCAAGAGGAGGAAGAGTGCAGGCGAACTCTTGGATAAGGCGAGTCCGACGTAAAAACGTGTATTTCTCTCTCTTTCTCTCTCTCTCTCTCTCTCTTGGGATGGCAAAAGGGCTTGAGTTATCACATGTTGCTCGTTTCTGTTTGGTGTGGCTGCATGTCAACAGCGCTGCAATACAACTGCATTATATGGGGGCTGGTTTTGTTGCACGATTTTGATGCTTCTCCTTTTTGACAATGGCGCGTTAGAGCGATGACCTGTTTGTTCTTGTCTGCTGTTCTGGGGGTGGGGGAAAACGGGCGAGGCATATTTGCATATTGAATCTTGTCTCTGTATACAGCGTTTTGAGTTTTTTTTTTCTTGTTATGCGTAGATATCAATGTTATTCGCTTGACGTAAAAAAGATATTGTTGTTATTCACTATGAAGTGATTGGCGATGGTTATGTTGTTTGAAGTGTTTTTTTTTTCTTTTACATTACATTCATGGGTAAAATCTGGTATCTGTCGTATCTTTTCTTCTACCGAATCCGCTTCCATACTCTCTCACTTCCACATCCCGATTCACCACCACACAAAGCCTCCAGACTTGTCAAAACGAACCCTTCCTTTTACTAGTTACGCTACCCACACCCGACTACAACACCACCTTAGTCAAAGTTGAAAGCATTCTTGTAGACCTTCTTCTCCTTCTCCTTCCTCGCCTGCACCCTCTTCTTGACTACATCCAACTCCTTTACAATCGCCGCATCTCCCGGTGCAAACTTGGCTGCCTCGTGCAAATCCGCCAGCGCCTCATCCTCATTCTTCTTCCCGGCTTTAGCTTGTGCTCGTCTGAAATAGCACTTGGCCTTGTCCTTGTCCGTGATACCCTCGATATCCAGCGCCTTTGTCGCATTCTCCGCTGCTTCACCGAACTGGCTCAGTTTGTTCTGGAGAAGCGCCGAGTTGCTGTAGAGAGAAACCTTCAGGGCGTTGAGTTTAGGCCAGAGGTCTGCGGGGTCGTCGTCAAGAGGGGCGGGGTACTCGTGCAGATATCGGATACCCTTCTGGTACTTTGTGATACCGAGTTTGAGATCGCCCTTTTTGAAGGCGTCGTTGCCCATGTCCTTTAACTTTGTAGCGATTTCGAGAATCTCTTCGCCTTTCCACTCGTCGTCTGCGTTGGCTTTTTGGTCTTCGGGGAAGTCTTCGTAAGGGTCGCCGGTTGCGTCGGAGATCTTTTCGGTGGCTTTGTCGTAGTCGTCGCCGGAGAGCTCGCCGCAGTCGATTATGGTGGCGTCTCGCTCGGGCTTGTCACCGCTCTGTGTCTTGAGGTTCTCGATTGTACGGATGATGCTCTTGCCGTTGATGACCTCACCAAAAACGACGTGCTTCTTGTCGAGATGCGGTGTGGGCACCGTAGTTACGAAGAACTGTGAGCCATTTGTTCCTGGTCCGGCGTTTGCCATGCTCAGCAGGAACGGCTTGTCGTGCACCTTTTCAAAGTTCTCGTCCTCGAACTTCTCGCCATAGATGCTTTCACCGCCTGTCCCGTTACCCTGTGTGAAATCACCGCCTTGGATCATGAAGCCCTTGATGACGCGGTGGAAGCTCGAATTCTTGTAGTGGAGCGGTTTGCCAGATGTGCCTTCGCCTTTCTCGCCGGTACATAGTGCGCGGAAGTTCTCGGCGGTCTTGGGGACAATGTCGCTGTACTAGGTAGGTTGTTAGTAGCGTGCTCAAACGAATTGGAATGCGCGGGTGTTGGAGTTTGGGAAGTTGTGGAACATACGAGCTCAAAGGCAACGCGGCCAGCTTTCACACCGCCAATGGCAATGTCGAAGAAGACGCGAGGGCGCTCTGAAGTTTGTTAGTACTCTTTCTATATTCTCTTGATTATCAAGGCTCGTAGGCGAGCTTCATGTGAAAGTGACTTACTAGTGTCAGCCATGATCGCTGAATCGCGGTAGATGAATGAGGGGTTCGTAATAGTATGAACGAAAGACGCAGCACTGAGTGTGTATCAACAGAGTTGTAGGAATCGAAGTTTATGTGCAAGGCTGAAGAAAAGCACGGTGGTAAGCTGTCCAGAACTTTCCACGAAGCTACAGCCTACAGCTTCAGGCCGCGCCAAGCCCGCCTTTACACACCAATACGACCTTTCGGAGGGCCAATCGGGCTGACCGCAGTTTCTAAATACTCGACTGTAGCTAACGTTTACACAATTCTGTTTCTAGAGCGCAAAAACTCATCGTAGTTTTTCTTGAAGCTTGTTGAATCTCGTAAATATTGACGCGATGCTCGCGATGAGGGGCAACGCGGGGCAATGGCCGGGCTGCATTTTGGCCGTATCCTCCGAGAGCTATACGGCGGCAAGCCTAAACACCAAACCTCGCAAGCATTGCCTACACGATCATATAGTGTCATCAATATAGAATGCATTTTCATATACTCGAGTGTTCAAGCTCAAGTCTACCTCTTTCCCTTACCGCTCTCTCACAGTGGTACAAAATAAGAATAGACTCAACAACGCCATCCATCTGCTTACCATGTATCTACGCATATAATGATAGACGCCACTTTTAGATTGAGACGCCAGCACCGAGAAACCATTATCTTTAACTGCCCACCATTACCGCCTCGCAGACATGGAAAAAGGAAGAGCCGTCGAGACCATTTCGTTCTGGTCGTAGTGGTAAGTAAACCCACCCTGCAGCGTCCGTCGCAGGGCATTCAACCTCTGCAATTTCCACCACTTGTCGATGCGAACTTCCACGTTCTTGTTGATCTTGACTTTCATCCTACCCGCTCCGTAGGCCTTGCCAGTTTCTTCGTGCAGGGCAGTGGAGTAGGCAGGGCCGCGCGCGGGCTTCTCAACCGTGTTGCGGATATCTGCGAACGAGGAGTGTAGTGCCTTGCGGTCCTTTTTGGAGATGCGGCGTGTGGAGACGTTGGCGAGTTCGTCGAGCGTGTGCAAGAGCTGGTCTTGTCTTCGGTAGACGGTGTAGCGCTTGACTAGTCGTTCACCGTCTCGAACGTGTTCTGGATCATCCGAGTCTTGGTCTTCCTGAACGTCCTCGTCTTCTTCTTGGGGAGTGAGGGATTTTTCGTAGAGGAGCGCAATGTTCTCGCCTGCTGCGATCTGAACACCAGAGTCGGCGCTCTCGAGCTGCTCGACAAAGGCGTCCATTGCGGCTTCTGTTTCTTCCTCAAGATCTTCAATCTCGGTCGCGAGGAGACCCCATTCTTCCAAGGCAGCAATCACAACGTTGCCTTCGTCTTGCGCGTCGATGGATGCACCGTCCGACTCAATAATCTCTATAAGAAGACTCATAATGTCCAAGATCTCATCGTCGCCAGCCCCAGCGAAGAAGGCAGTTGTGCCGAGTGTGTGAATCGCATTGACTTTGACCGCAATGGAGGAAGAGGACTGTATCGTCCGCTTGAGTTGGTCGGCAATATCTTCGTAGATGCTATCGGAGTCGATAGTCACGGCCGTGACGGCGAGCGCTGAAGAGTGTCAGTGGAAGTCTACTCGCTTCATTGCAGATACCGTACCTTTCAGGGCCTTGACAGTCTCCGCCTCTGTCGTCTCCTGCCTGATGCTCTTAATCATCGACGAGACCAGCTCCCCTACGTGGCTTTCGACCTCCTCTCTTGCGTACCGGGCCATGAGTATGTGCGCGTATGCATTCAGGCTCTCGGTGCGGCCCTCGGTGCTGCTGCGCTTGAGGTTGGTAATCTGCTCGATGCGCGTATTGAGCTCAGCCTTCCACGCATCTTCGGGGATGTTGACATCTTCGCCGTTGAGTACATCGTCGATAGATGCTGTGCTGTAAGGGATGTTAGCATGTGTTTGTGCACGAAAGTCCAGAAGCGATGATGTCACCGGTGCGATCGCGATGTGGGGGGAAAACAAAAAGTTATGTGCAGTGTGAAACTCACCTCCAGGCAGTTCCGTCGCTGAGGTGGCCATCGTCTTCTTCTTCCGAGTCGAGCTGTCGGTTGCGACTGGCGGCGCGCGACTGTGCTGGTGATCCGGCTGCCGAAGTTGTCTTTGAGGCTGTTGTAGATGCGACGCGCGAGCGGGCCTTGCGCGACATGGTCTTGTGGCTCTCGAGAGCCTGTTTTCGGAGGTCGCGCATCGTGGATTACAAGCTGTGAGAGGTTGTGGTTTGTTGAGAGGCAGACTTTTCGGTAGAATTATTGTTTGGGCCTATACAGGCTACAGTTGCGTGTTGGCGGTCGTGCGGGGAACCAAGGTGAATATGCAGTTATTGCAGAGCTAAAGAGTCTGTAAACTCGGTTGTGGAGGGATACAAGTGACGTTTGAAAGACATGAGTATGAGTCAGAACAACAGGTAGCCAAGTTGTAGGTTGCAAAGGTGAAAAGGACGTCGGTGGTGCAGGAGGCAACGTTCAAATGTCAGATGTTCATCACCCATACGACTTCTCCCGACTCCACGGCTGCCCAAAGTGCGCTAAATGACGTACGTCATTGCATTCTGGCTTTGCCTCAAGCTTGCGCACAATCATCCATCCTTTCTCTAATGTCGCAATACAAAGCTCCATCGTTGTCCAGCGAACACACCAGGTGATTAGTGTCTATCAACGGTCATGTGTAAGCTCGTTGGTCGTGTCGCTGATTGGCCTCCTGCATGTCTACACTCTCTTTGCCCTGATAGGTACAACAGCTCGCAAAGTACAGTAGTCTTCATGTTGGCAAGGCTAATTATACATGCGGAAGCCGCCCACAGTCATCGATGAACCGATCGTAAGAAGGCGATGCAGATGGAAGTTCAGCTGCTATGAGCGCTCTCCAGGGCTATTCACCAGCCCTACCTTGGCGTCATATTCCTCCGATGGCCATTCAGGCCTTCCGAGACATCTTTGAGGCTCAACTATGGCGGCCCGATAATCGAGTGCCCGCCCAGCGTTCGAAATAGCTACGGTGCAGAAAAAGGTTCTTGCGTCGTGGCCGTTCGCCGCACCGCAGAATCTAGATGAATATGAATAGATGAAAGGATTACGGGGCCAAGTGCCCCACGCATGTTGGAAGCGGCAAAACCACGTGGAGTCGAACTGTGCCAGCGGATCGCTTCCCGTGAATTGGGCGCCTGTTGTTGAACCTCAACCTCGGCCTCGGGTCTATTCTCCATATGGCAGGCCATGCGTCTGGGACTTAAGACACAGGGTCACATACATGGGGAGGGGTACGGCACAGAACCTTATCACAGGCTCGGTGCCTGGTGCATAAGTGCATTCACCTATGTGCTTTCGGAGAACGGGCATGTCGCTCCAACTGGCCGGCTTACCCATGACAGCGGCAATGTTGGTCCCAGTACCATACCCATGTCCCAACTCCGGAGAGCTACACCAACAACGCAACGCTTCTTGCGACCCAGCTGCTCGTTCACAGTATATTCTGACCCAAACACACCCGGCACCGACATAATGGTAAACGGCGACCAAAGGCAGACGCCGCAACGTGGACATGTGGTGAAGCCTGTAAGACTCACGCAGCACACACCAGCAATGCGGTCCCTACTTCGGATAAACTGCACATCATTCATGCAATCCCTCTGTTGGATTATATACCCCTTACCAAATCCGCTCCGCACCGACGTCAGCTTCGTAAAGCCCACAACAAGATATTACGACCTTGCGAAGAGTGGCCAGGACCGTGAAGCGAGGCTTATGCGGCGCAGCCGCCAACACATCTAGTCGGTATATAATACCATGGCGAGTGGTGTCAGCCGGATCTGGTTCCTCCGAATTACGCGAATGCCATCACAGTAGCCAGCAAGGATACTGATCCTACGAACGTTGCTGTAGACCTCACGATGTTGACTGGCAAGTGCCGCCAACTAGTGTGTTCAGGCAATTGATGCGCAACAAAGTAAAAAAGTGGAGTGCCTGCCTAGACTGACGATCATCGGAATCTGTTTAATGCGCCATCGCAATTGGTCTGCTCGTATAGATGTTACACTGCCCCTCCGGTCCGATTGAACAACCACGTCGCATACACGAATCAACGTTGATAAGTATTGTGCTACTGTAAAGTGAACCGGCTGTAAAGCGAATGGAGAAGGTGGAAAGAAAAAAGAAAAAAAAACTCCCAAAGCGCCCTCAAGGCCAGCCATCCTAGCTCGATCGCTATGTGTATCCCCTTGACCACGCGATGCTATGCAAAAGAACAAATAAAACAAGACTACAAATAACGCTCTCCTTCCAAAACAGCTAACAAGAACAAGGCAAGTTATGCGAACGCACAACCGCTCTAAGCGGAACCCCAGCCCTTCGTTTAGTGTTGCCTTACCGCTCTGGATAAGTCTCCGGATCAGGGGCCGGTGCGCCAAATATGTCTCCGCTTGCTGTTCCAACTGCCAGCAACATATCCTGTGCGGCAAGTTCCGCGTTGGTGAGGTCGAGTGGGTGTCGTTGTTGTGGTGGTAGGTTATGTTGTAGTTGCATCGACAATGATGAATGCAATCCTTGCTCTTGATGAACGTTGAACCATGATAACGATGTGGATGTTGATGTAGAAAACAATGTCGATGATGATGATGATGATGCGCTTAAACGACTGATGCCTGCACTTGAGCTGCCGCCCCTGCTACGCCCACCCGCTCTGCCTCCTCTTCTTGACGGTGGTTTGGCGACCATGCCTCGTATCATGCTGGTGTGACGGTTTCTTGTTGATGTTGATGATGTCGCTGATCGTTGTGGCGATGCTCGTGCAATCCCACTTCCACTTCCACTTTCACCATGCATTCGTACATGCTGACCACTACGCCTAGCATAACCCATCATCTCTCCGCCCCCTCCCACAATCTCAGCACTAATCTCGTCATCCCTACACACACACACCCAATCAGCCCCTTCTCTTTCCTTCTTCTTCCCTTGTCTCCCTCTGTTGTGAATGATGAACTCACTGGTGAGAACCCCCCACGCCACCACCGCCTTCTGGCCACCCAAACGGAAACGCGCTTCTCTCTCCCGGTCTCCGTTTGGGGATATCAATGTGATGGAAGTTACGTAGATGCTCGACTAGGTGGTCTCTTCGCGTGAAACCTTTGTCGCCGATGCGGTTACAGCGGGGCACGTTGCAAGGGTATTCCGGGGTGCCGACGCCGTGAACGGTGGATTGGTGGCGTTGGAGGTCTGCGAGGCGGGTGAAGTTTGCTGAGGAGGTGCAGGAAGCGATGTCACATGTCCATGTTCTGTGAGGAGCGATGGTTAGTCATTAGGGGGAATAGAGGCGGGATGGGCATGGGAGTATTTACTTTGTGCGACTTGTACTTCTAGTTAACATTAGTTATAGGTATGAAAGTTTTGATAGGGTGATGCTTACCTAGTCGGCCCTTGCGATGTGTTCATCCCTAGATCTTCGCTGTGGCTTTGCCAATCTCCAACATCATACCCACTAGCTACTGGCTGTTGATACCCAGCAGTCTGTGCAACATTTACAGGTTGCGTATAGTAGTCTGGGATGATATGGTAAGGTTGGGATGGGTACTGCTGATACTGTGCGTAGTAGGCGTTAATTTGAGATTGTGTGTATTGAGGCACTCCTGAGGCTGGATACGGAGCTTGGTAGCTGTAGCTGCCTTGGTCGGACGATGAGTACTGATGTTGTAAGTCAACACAGAAAATCGATATGGAAGATGAAGTGACACTTACGCTGTATCCGGACATAGCGGGCGAAGGCGGTTGTTCCTGCTTCGGGCGTATTGACTTTGTTTTTTTGGTACGGGTGGTGGTACTGGAAGGGCGATAGGCGGGCGCCACGGGCGAAGTGATGATGCGTAGCTTTTGTGGTCTTGATGATTTCCCTGTGTTCGTAACTGAAACGTGCCTTCGGGGACGTAGTTGAACTTGCTCGAGAGACCTATGAAGCTAGGGTCAGATGCCGTTGTTGATACTATTGATGCTTCCACTATCATGGAGTGCTCTTGAGTCTTATATCAAGATAGCTTGATAACCCATCTCCTCCTCTTTAACGGAGACCGATCACAGCCACCCCACGGCTTATGCTATAGACAGAACCACATAGACTTACAGATACTTCGGAGGGAATGAGCCATCAGGGCGCCCGAAGGCATCTCCGTGCGAACCATAATGTGCCAACATGGTGATGACGAACAAAGTTAGAAGTGTGGTAAGGCGAGAAGTCAAATCAGCTTGCGGATTAGGTTGCTCTTTCGTAAGCTTTGGTTTCCCCTTTGTGTAAGTAAACGCGACACCAGAGGCCAAATGTTCGGATATAGCAGTCCAAGATTGCTGAGGTGGATTCGTAGGATGGCGAGGCGAAGTCAATCCCAGTGCGGTGGCACCCCACACGACTTATCGGTATAGGGCTGACCACGAATAGTGTCCGTGTGGGCACCGGAAAATGAAGTAATTAGGTTGCGGCACGGGTGAATCAAGAGGCCTAATCTTGCTGTATGTTGTGAGAAAATCGAGGCGGTGAAATGATAGTCTAAGGGAAGAAGCAGGAAGCACGACGGGAGAGAATGTTAGATCCGTGTCATTCCTCCCGTCTTATGGCGATGCAGGGCGACTGCCCTAGACCCCGATCCAACTTTGATTGAACTGTAGCATCTCTTTCATTTGTCGTTGTCATGGCTTGGCAAGGCAGAAAGCTAGAATAGTCCAGTGCGTACATACAGGTTGGTATTCTGATTTTTGTGTACCGGGATATATGATGGACATGGTTCACCGATTAACACACATGCGGGTAGGTCGATGGGCCGCTGTGTGACTGGATGTGCATGCGTGTCTTGCTCGCGTACTTTCGTTCCGCGGTGTAAGGAATTAACCCCTGTTTAGCTGCATGACATGGGCTGGAGCCTGGGGATCGACCTGGACTATTGTACTCGGCTTTGTTGTTTCGAAATGCTTTACGCTTTTCCGGTCGGCTCTCGATCACGGCCCACCAGTTGCACGCTCAACGCACTTGAGATGATAGCGTGACTGGGCGACAAGCGCCATCCAAATCGAGCTTCCAAAGAGATCGCATTTGAACATCGCTTGACCGCCCGTCTCGAGGTAGGTTAGCTGTCATCAAACGCCCAATTTGCGTCCTTTCGTCCATCTCTGCTGCTTGCTGTAAGTGGGTCAATTAACCCCCAACCCGGTGGATTTTGACCGGCTCGCAAATGCCGTGAGATGATTGATGCTGTAACCGCTCAACTCAAAGTCATGCACAACTTAGTGCTGCCGGGCGTAACGGGGCGTAACTGAAGCTTGAACGTTACGGAAGGATTCTCGCTAAGGCGGCCAGTGGAAAGCGACCAGCCTCCTCCTGCAGCCCTGTAGTCTCCACGCGGTTGGGGGCGGACCCCAGTGTAACCCAATGCCGACCAATTGAGCGCATTCCAAAGCCGTTAGCCACATCATGTCAGATTACGCCCGGCGCTCAGACCGCTAGAACATCCCTAGCGAGCCAAAATGTAGCTTGGCAGGTGAGCCTCAATAAGTGCCATTCAATCCATGCATGCTTGTCTCACCATAAATGATGCTACCCATAGTCGGTCTGCTGCCTGCAGGCGTAGTTTAACACCTAGTAGAGTCGTCCGGACAAGAACGGTTTTCGGATCCGAAGAGCAAAATATATCGCCCGTAATGGGACCCATTCCAAGACTACCTAATACTCATTACAGAATGCGACTACCAAGCCGAGCATGCGGGTCGGTAAGAAGAAAGTAATCTACGACTCATAGCTCATCTTCCAAGAACTTGTAAGCAAATCGGAAGTCTGCTTTCCTTCGGTTCATCCTAGGATACGGTTAGCCCTGTATGACGTGCAGAAATAGCACGGCGTGGCGTGACTTATAATACGACAGCCCTACGTGAGGCTGGTGGTCAGAATTGGGTGCTTACCATGTGGACTCGTAATCGAAGAATCTGTAGGTCCCCTGTTCGTAGTCTTCTGTTATCGCTTTTGGTTCCTCGTGTCGTTGGAACCATGTTTGATACTGCTTGTGGAATCTCCAACTCTGCGACTTGAGTGCTTTCGCTGCCAGGTACTGCTGGTATGTGCCTTGACGATAGTAGAAGGCATAGAAGAGGGCATCAGTCTCGATCCGGGAGTATAAGCGAGGGTCATCGAAAATTGGCAACGGCTCTTGCGGGTAGTGCGCGGGCGTAAACGGATAGGGATTCTGGGGACGGTAGTGGCGGGGCGCCTCAGTGTCGGCAGAGTCAGGCGCAGTAGCCATGGATGCTGCTAGCAGACGCTCATCTGGAGGTTTTGTTGCAGAGACGGATATATCATTCTTGGTCGCCTCGAATGAATCCAGGAGATCCTGTAGGCTCGAGGGTAGGTGATATACTGACTCCTCTTCCTCATCTTCAGCATGAGAGTCACCATTCGTTAGCGGCGGCGTGGCAGCCGAGGACTCCTCTTCATCTACAGGTTCGGGGGCTGGTGTTCTTCTGCTAGACTTTGAAGCATCTTCAGACGATGTAGCCCGCGAAAGCGTCTCCTTCTCCACAGCAGGCGCAGCGGGTATAGTTGCGGCAGGAGCCGGCGATGCTTGTGCGGATTCGGCTGGCTGTGTGCGTGAGGCTGGTTGGGAGTGTGTTACTGCTGGAGAACTCGTAGCACTTGCCCGTGCGCCACCTGGAGTCAGGCCTGACTGTGCCGCGGCAGCTCCCGGTGGTGGTGGCAAAGGGGCAATGCCCACTCCATTCTTATCACTCGCAGCTGCAGCGGCGGCGGCCGAGGCGTACTTCAAGGGTTCACCCGGCGTCCGTGTCGGTATCGGCGCAGGCTTCATCGCGTTGGCCGTGGTATTTGAGACACCAGGTAAGGGTGTGTGTAGCGTTGCTAGTGCTGGCAATGGCGACTTCATTTGTGTCGATGGCCGTCTTGCTCCTTGTTGTACTGCTTCTGTCGCCTTCGGCTTTGGTGCTGGCGGTCGTATTTCTGACTCGTGTGTATCGTCTGCCACCGACTGCGATTCGTGTGATGACACCTGGTCGAGGTTCTCGCCCAAGCCGAAGATGGCTTCCTCCTCCTGCAGGTTGAAGTCGTCGTACATTGTATCGTCGTCGGCGAAATCGGGATCCTGATTACTTTCCACGTAGTATTTAATCCCGTCCTCGATGCCTTTGACCTGGTCCGTTTCTACGTTGCCGTTCTCGAGCGCTCGGTGCAGCAGATCCAGCTTGGACTGATGCCATTTATTTCTCTCGACCGACTCTTCCAGCTCTGCTATTCGCTCTGCCTTGGAGTTGTCCCCCTTCTTCACCTTCTTTACGTTGGCATGCAGTGTCTCGATCTCGGCCTCGATGGTCTCTATTTGTCGCTCCAGCTCCTCGTTCATGTTTTGCAGGAACTCGACCATCTCCATCTTCTCCTTGTCCTTGGGGTCGATCTTTGATGCTAATTGCAACCCTTCCTTGGAGTATGCTTTCGTCTTCATCTCCTTTTCGACGGCCTTGAAGCGCTCCATTTGCTGTCACATGTCAGTATCCCATCATGCCAGGACGCGGCGGGCATCCTACTGTCTCGATAAGCTTCCGGTGGTCCAACAAAGGCTTCTTGTCCTTGATCTCGGACATGGCGGCCCATGTCTTGATCTGGTCCCGCGACCGCTGCAGCTTCTTAATCTCCTTCTTCAGCTGGTCTTCGAGCTTCTCCTTCTGTGAAGGGTTGCCCGTTTGCATTATCTTCTCATATATATTCTCGAACGTCGCGACGCCTTCGGCGACTTTCTTGAAGCATTTGTCGATCTCTTGCTGGAGTTTCCGTGCGGCCATGGTGTGGGTAGAGCCTCGTCGTGAGGGCTTTCGCGATGGTTACGGCAATGTTTGCGTCGGTACTAATGCCAGCCGCCGTCTGACAGTCGAATCGCGCGAGTGAGGGCGTTCGACGGCAATAATGTGGGATTGTTTGTCGTGGGCTAAATGCGGAGGTTGAGGTATCGCATAGGTAACGCGAAGCCACAGGGCTGGCCTAGCGTAATTGCCAAGAGTGCGGCCACTAGCCACCAATCGCCCCACGCGTCCATGTTTCACCTACGCGTGCCACCGTCTCTCAGCCTCGTCTCACAATTCTCGGATGTTTGGAATCCCATGCGTGACGTCGTTGCGCGTGTTGACATATCACAGTGAGGCTATCACGCATTGAGTGGCTCCAGGTTCCTCACCACAGCATTGTTGCTACCCCGCCATCATGAGGAGTACTGACCCCGCCACTATGCACTCGTAACCACGACCACACTAATCATATCTAGCGGTGCTGCAGAGGGTCAAGTCGGCATCAGTCACGGTCGATGGCCAATTGATATCTTCAATTGGCAAGGGATTGCTGGTCCTTGCTGCCATCTCCAAAGATGACACTGAGAAGGATGTCGAGGCCATGGCTAGTAAGATACTAAAGGCCAAGCTCTGGGATGATGAGTCCAAAGACCCGCCAAGCAGTGTATGCTGCCAAACTTCTCTCTTTTGGTTGGAGACTGATTTATAAAGTGGAAATGCGGCGTGACTGATATCCATGGCGAAGTTTTGTGTGGTATGTTTGAAACACTGAGAGTCTCCTAGCTGCCTGTGACGGTGCTTATGGCAGTGCTTTTGCTGTAGAAAAGGTTATGCTAATAACCTCAAGTCTCCCAATTCACGCTACTAGCTTCTATGAAAAAAGGAAGGCCTAGTTTCCACCAATCCGCAAACGGCGACAAAGCCAAGACACTATACCAAGCCTTCTACAACAAGGTCGGAGCTCTGTACGAGCCCGACAAGGTCAAAGACGGCTTGTTCGCAGCCATGATGGATGTTGCTTTGGTTAATGACGGGCCGGTAGGTTTAGATTACACCTGCCTAGACGGCGAGGTACAACTTCAGCATCACGTTTTCTGAGTATGTGCCGCAATTGCCTATGAATGCTAATGGATGAGATCAGGTCACTATTCAAATCGACACCAACCCCCCGAAGACGGATGATTCAACTCCAGCTAGCTCGGATTCGAACGCAAGCAAACAGCATACAGTCGACGTCAATGACCGCAAGTACCATGTGTAGTCTACATTTGGACATCATACTGACTCACATCCAACTCTTAGTCGTCAACAACATGACAAAGATCACGCAAGAATTTCAGATACCTGTGGAACGCCTTGAGTAGATTTCAATTTGACCAGCACGCGCTACATTCACGATCACTTACTCTCATCAACAAAATGATCTGTCACACCACACCACAAGCACACATGCATCATCTCATATCGTCACCGACATAGAAGACACGAAGATTGAAATGGATGCTTCCCGCCCTAGTTGGGAGCTAATCATTTGCTGCAGATTACCTTCTTCGAAATTGATTGGCAATCCTACCATTGTGTTTTCTGTCTGGACACACATGCTCCGGAGCAGCCGCAATACACACCGCTAGGCAGATACAAAAATCGGCCACGCATGTTGCCCCGCATACATATTCGATTCTGCCATGCATAGAAAGATCCTGCTTACGTCAGAAATGCGGACTGGACGGCTAGGATGTGATTCCACCCCGGAGATAAGGCCTAGCACTCTCCCGATGCACTACGCTGCGTTAACCGACATGCAGTTGGCTTGCACCTTGCATACGCCCGACAGTGCGGTAATTAAATGATTCCGCGAATGATGACACGACCCGCCGTTCGATTAAGCACCTGCGCCAGCTCTGGTGGGTATTGCGAGTGTTGTCAACTCACGCATAGATTGGAGAATTGCGTCCCAATGACAGTTCCAAGGGAGGACATACGACGATCCGTTACCATTTCCGTCTGAAGTCGTTGTACAGCCTTCCAGACCAAAGGGTTTAGCGGTGCCAATAATACGATGACTGTCACTATTCTCTTGATTCGGGCATGGACACAGTTTCCGTAAAGTTAGACCCCTCCGACCGAACGCCACGCGTCTGAACTACGATGCTTCTAAATTGAAACCGGGTCTCAATAGTGTTGTTGGGCGGTTATCATCCATGAGAGTGCATGCAACACTCAGGATCGCCGGAAACATATCCTTCCTCAACCCGCTCGCATCGTCGCTGACGGTTGTGGCAACGTATGACTAGATCGTGAGCAGTACGGTCGTCGTTTTCACTCATGAGATTAGTCGTGGCGACGATGCAACAAACTCTTGTCTTACGCCTCGGCGGCTACAAGCTTATTCTGCACATGAAGCTCTATCGTGTGCAGCAAGAGTGTTGGTTCTAGGAATAATCCTGGCTTAGTACGCGTCCATAACAGCGGGTTGCCTGACCTTGTACTTCCGGTAAAGAGATGGCAACATCTATTCTTGCACCGACGTTGTAATGATCTCAATCCACCATACTCATACCGCTCTTTGATAGACTGGATTATAGTATTCCCAGTGTCCTACGCTTTCCCCTCTCTTCCGCTGTCTTCAGGGCTTGGTCCGCAGACCTCTCCATGTTTCTATCATGTTCAGTCGGCAGCCGGCCCTTTCCCGCGCACTTCTCGTTGAACAACACTGCGATCGATCTTCAGGGTTGACAAAGATATGGGATGCTATGACATACGCGACCAATTTGTGTTTGTACCGGCGTTATTCCTTCCCCTTAGGCGGCTCCTAGGCGGAAATGGAGGCTGGCGTACTCAGGCCGACTAAAGGTGTCCCATAGACCACGGCAGTATTGCTTGGTTATGGTGGAGTGAAGAGTTTCGCAGTATCTGTTCGCAAATGTTCGACATGTCCAAACTGTATTTCCGGTCCTCAAAGATGGCCTCAGATAACTCCTGCTTTCTAGACACTCCTGGCGCGTCCGCAAACTGTTCACTCCCAGTCAAGCCCCATGTGGATTGGCACACCCTGACCACAAATCTATCCGAAGGTCCTCCATTCTCCTGGGAGCTGCGCATTCGCTCGAACTTCGTCTCAGATCCAGAGCCTTAGGTAGACTGCCAATTAATGCAAGGCAATGGCATCTCTTCCACTAGTACGGAAACTTTAGTAGGTATTCAGTAACATTGATTCGCGGCAAACTTCAGAGTTCTTGTGGGTGTGCGCGAAGACTCTTATATACAACCGCTCAGAGTTGTATGCTTGATGCGGCAGCATGCTGCTGGATTACCTTTTTCCAGATTCGGGTCGTAGGTGCGGGGCTTAGTCTATCACACTGCATATCGCGGCAGATGCGAACCGATTTCACGTGCTGACTAAACACCAACATCAGAAGTCATCCCGAGAATCAACAAAAAGGACAACAGTGAATCTGGTCTCTTTCTATTCGAGTCCCTGAGCGCGCATTGTGGAATACCACTACTTTCCAGCAGATTTTCCGGTATCTTCTTCATTGGCTTAGCCCTCTTCCGGTGGACTACAGTGAATGCACACTCACCATCGTCGACTTCGACTTCCTCGATCTTCTCATCCTCTGTCCCTCCATAAACCAATACTTTCTCCTGCCCCTGTTCCTGCACCACCTCCTTCTCCGCCAACCCCTTAACCCCGACCTCCTCCTCAAACCAACTCTCGATAAACATAACTTCCTCCTCTTCCAGATCCTCACAAACCGTACATGACATTACTCGATCCTTGCTATGCTCTTCATCCTCGTCTTCAGGCCACGACCAGAAATACTTGCAATACCAGCAAGCGAAGCCTGAGCAGTGGGGATTGTCGCGTGGAATAACGTTCGCATCAGCGCATTCTGCATCGCACGCGGGTAGGTTGCATGTTTGACATGAGCCGTCGGTGGAGATTATGGTGCCGGGGATGTTGAGGTGGGTACAGGAGCGGACCCAGCCGCGTAAGGGGGTGATAGACTTTGAGGTGTTAGTGTCGTGTCTTTGCGAACAAGTTGAGAAGTCATAACAGCAGAGGTAGATATGGGAGACACGCGCGTCTTTTATGGTCGCCACAGCTTGCCTGATGATGAAGAGTTGCGTTCGTTGTTCGGATAGGCTCTCGAACTCTAGTATCTCTTTCCCTTTCGTATGGTTCGTATGAGAAAAGTCGGTATAATCAGGCTAGATACATACTGCTGATTATGTCCATATTTTCAACTGATACTTTCGTGTTGTCAGTTCCAGTTTTAGTCCGGATTAGGAGCGGAGGGCACTGCCAGTACTTTAATGTGTTTGCGAGATACGCGGTTGTCAGCATGAAATGACTACAAGCATGTTGAAGGACAGTGACTGCACTAGGTGAGTCTTGCACGTATATTTGCTCTCCTCGTCAAGAGAACTAGAGTACGATCATGAAGTGTCGGGCTCTTATTGCGCAGTATACATTTCCCGTCCGTTATCTGTTTCACATTCTATCATACTCATTCCATCGTTGCACCGACCCACAACCATCAATATAAACACACCTACTAGTAAGCTCCTCTGGCCCTTCTCCTACTCCAGCGAGAACCCAAACCAACCCGTATTCAGAGAAAGAAATCTTCGTCTGCCCCGGTATCGCCCAAAACGCCGCCTTGTACGCCGTATGACACACTGTCAAAGCAGCACGTATGGAGAGATCAAAGAAACAAGGTTGGATCTGTCGTCGAAGCTCCCAATACAACGCTCCTGGCTCTACCGCCTCTCCAGCTTCGTTGTGCAGATGTGGACATCCGGCGTGTTATCATTCTACAACTCGTATGAAGTATATTGAGCTGACCTTTGGCGACTTCCGTTTCCCTGTCCTGCGAAAAGGCAGCATTTGTGAAATCGATCCTTCTGACGCATGTTTCAATGTCCAGGTTACGACAAAGGGAGACGCGAATTGCAACGGTTGGGTGTGTTTCTGCTGTGAAACATACACTTCCTGGCCTCTTGAAGGCGATGATGGTTTTGCCTCTTTGGTCTGTGGAAATTGCGGGAGTTTGGAGGAGAAGGAAGTTGTATTCATAAAGAAAGTGCCGGATTTGTCAAACTTGATATCATGACCGGAAAATATGAACACTGGGCATGACGGTAGAAACAAGGACGCAGATGATGCCAAGGGCTGGACGACAGTGAGACGTAGAGATGTCAAGCAAGGGGCTAAAGGATAATTGGTCTTGTTCAGCATGGGTACACATCGGTATGGATATGCGTTCTTGGTATTGTTCTCGTTTAGCGTGGAGTCGCAAGAATTGTGCCTACTCTTGGTCAGGTTAGTCTCGTGTCTGTATAGATACTCAACAGAATGTGCATATGACAAGAAAGTTCTAGCCTGATAGTGATTTATTCATAGTTCAATCAATCGTTAAATTGTCAGATGATGGTTTGTGCTGAGGAATTCTTGCTGCCTGGAAGCCACAAAGTCAGGGGTACTCTTAACGGCTACGGGGCTTAGTCCTTGCTAAAATCTCGATCGCGTCTTTGCATAGTGATGAGAGTAATGATACATAGCAGCGCGGGTCCGTCTACAAAGACATCCTATAGTTCCTAAGTGTTGCCGATGACGCAAAGATGTTCAGCCACCCGGCCATCAGTGGTAGTCGCGCCGAAAACCGCGACAGCATTTGCCCACGTATGATTGGGCAAAAGAACAATACGAAGTACGCGAGGTCCAGGGCATTTTGTAAACTGCGACTTTGCGCGGGGTCAAGGGCAGTCAGTCCACGCAGGCTGCTGACATCGGCGGCTCATGAAACCCGAGGACCGGCCGTTAGTCCCACCCGAGACGCAGCTTGCACTCGGTCTCGTCGTATCGGCAAGTACTTTTGCAGTCATGCAGGCACACCGCAATGGAAAGTTATGCGTCAAACCCGACCGTCGCCGTTGTCAGCTCTAGGCAGACATGTTTACTCCGAAGTCTATTCGTATATGTAGTGCGTTTCTTGCTCTCAGCGCCGCCTTCTTCGGATAAACTCAACGCGAAGAACGGTGACTGCTACCATCTGCTTCCCATTCATCTCATCCCCACAATATCCTACCGTTGCAACTGACGAACGGATTGTTTGTGCTTTCGGTGCGTTTCCAGTCTGTCTTTCACGTGTCGGTGTTGCGCAATCATCCCGTCGTATTGCCCGTACTTAAAACCCCCCCGGACGAAACGAGCCGCACGCGTCATTCCAATTTTGGGGCAATATCCACCCAGCCGAGAAGCTTAGATCGCGCATTTCACCCCATCAAGCCTAGTGGCATCTAGCTCGGACGACGGCTTGGCCTTGCACTAGGTGTACAAGGATCTCTAATCTTCTAGGCCCGTGAGTGGCGCGGTGGAGGATCCTCAAAGGAATTGCAGGGCAAATTGTCCCTTTCCTTTGCGACATCTCCCTAGGACTTCTTGGAGGCACTTCGACTGCTGCGCGCCAAGTATCAGCAACGACAAGACACGCTCATCGCCTTGAGCAATGGACAACGAGGACTCAGCGACGTCGACGGGAACGGCCATCTCCGCGGCTATTGACGAGAAGCATGAGTTGCATACGGAAAAGGAGGCCAGGCCTCCCACGGCTGGTCTCAGTGATCAAGAGAAGGACATTATCGACAGGCAATTGACAGCGCCTAACCTTACAGTTGGGTACTTCTCACTGTTTCGATATGCTACAGCAAAAGACAAGCTCATCATGGTCGTGGCGCTGATCGCCAGTATTGCGGCTGGAGCTGTTATGCCCCTCATGACTGTAAGTTGCGATCTGAACACATCGATCTACCGTGATTAATTCTGGAATCTAGCTTGTATACGGCAACTTTGCTGGAAGCTTTACCAGCTTCTCAGTCAGCGCAGTCGCTGCTGCCAAGTTCCAGGATCAGATCAACCAGTATACCTTGTACTTTGTATACCTTGGAGTTGGATCGTTTGTCACTTCGTATATTAGTATTCTGGGATTCTCATACACTGGAGAGCGCATTACACGGAGCATCCGGGAGCTGTACCTACGTGCCATTTTCAGACAGAATATCGCCTTCTTCGACTTCCTCGGATCCGGTGAAATTACCACTCGCATCAGCTCCGACATGAACTTGGTGCAAGATGGTATTGGTCAGAAGATTGGTCTCTTCGTGACCGGTGTCTCCATGTTCGTAACTGCCATCATTATCGGTTTTATACGATCGTGGAAGCTTTCCCTGATCATGCTGGCGGCGACATTGGCACTCATTATGATGATGGGTATCAACGGTACCTTGATGAAGAAAGCTCAGACACTATCTATCGACGAGTACGCCACAGCTGCTTCCCTTGCTGAGGAAGTTTTATCTTCAGCTCGCAACGTTGCTGCATTCGGCACCCAGAAGCGACTCGAGGCGAAATACAAAGCTTTTGTGGACCGCGCAACGACATTTGACTTCAAGGCAAAGTTTTGGCTATCCATGATGATTGCCGGCATGATGGGTGTGCTGAACCTTCAGTACGGTCTTGCATTCTGGCAAGGAAAAAGATTTCTTGACAATGGGGAACTTGGCGTTTCCAACATTCTCACAGTAGTCATGGCACTCATGATCGCTGGTTTTTCCATTGGACAGAACCTACCGCACATTCAGGCTTTCGGCGGGGCCACTGCAGCTGCTACGAAAGTTTTTAACACGATCGAACGAAACTCTCCTATCGACCCGGAAACAGATGAAGGTATTGTACCAGACGACTTTGTTGGCAACATTGAGTTCAGGAACTTGAAACATGTATACCCATCTCGACCAGACACTACAGTGCTATCAGACTTCAACTTGGATGTTCCATCGGGCAAGATGATCGCGCTTGTCGGTGCATCTGGATCTGGAAAGTCGACGATCGTTGGACTGCTGGAGCGCTTCTACCTCCCGATGGAGGGCCAAATTTTCCTAGACGGCAGAGATATTGCAACATTGAACCTGCGCTGGTTGAGGCAACATATGGCTATCGTGAGCCAAGAACCCGTTTTGTTCAGTACGACAATATACGAGAGCATTTTGCATGGTTTGGTCAATACGGAGTACGCAGACGTATCGGATGACAAGAAGATGGAGCTCATCGAGAAGGCTGCCAAGATTGCTAATGCTCACGACTTCATTATGGATCTCCCGGAAAAGTATCAGACCAAGGTGGGAGAGCGAGGAGGCTTGTTGTCAGGTGGACAAAAGCAACGTGTTGCAATCGCTCGTGCTATCGTATCGGATCCCAAGATCCTTCTACTAGATGAAGCTACTGCAGCCCTCGATACCCGATCCGAAAGCGCAGTCCAGGAGGCTCTTGACCGCGCATCGCAAGGACGTACTACAATCGTTATCGCCCACCGACTCTCCACTATCAAGAAAGCTGACAACATCGTGGTCATGGCGTTGGGCCGAATTGTCGAGCAGGGTACCCACCAGGAACTTATCGATCGCAAAGCTGTATACGCAAGTTTAGTACAAGCTCAAGAACTCACCTCTAAGATCAGCCCTGCCAACAGGATGACACTTCTAGACGACCCTGATCGTAAAACGGAAGGCATTGCCGACGAAGAGAAGCTTGCTTTGATGCGAACTACCACATCCGCCCCTTCAGAGTTCTTTGCAAAGAAGAACGAGAAAGACAAAGAATACGGTACTTGGGAGTTGATCAAATTTGCATGGGAAATGAACAGGGGCGAGCACAGTACCATGACTTTGGGACTAGTGTTCAGTTTTCTCGCTGGCTGCAACCCTGCAATCCAAGCCATCTTCCTGGGTAACTCCATCAACTCGCTCCTATCTCCTGGAACATCTCTCGGTGGACTAAAGATAAGCTTCTGGTGTGGTATGTTCCTCATGCTTGGAATTGTCATTGGATTCTTCTACTACGTCCAGGGCATGACGCTATCGAAAGGATCCGCCAGGCTCGTTGGCAGCGTACGAACGCGTGCTTTTGGGGCTATGCTTCGTCAAGACATGGAGTTTTTTGACGGAGACACCGTAACTTCTGGCGCGCTCAGCAACTTCCTTTCGTCGGAGGCGAATCGTCTTGCTGGTCTCAGTGGCTCTACTCTCGGAACGATTGTCAGCGCTGCCTCTTCCATCCTTGTCGCCTTCATCGTTGGATGCTCTTTCGGTTGGAAGCTGGCGCTTGTGTGCTCAGCAACCATCCCACTTGTTATTGGTTGCGGTTACTTCCGCTTCTACGCCCTTACTCGCATGGAGAAACGAACCAAAGAGACGTCTGATGCCGCCAGTTTTGCCTGTGAGGCAGCCTCATCTATCCGTACCGTGGCTTCGCTTTCGCTAGAGAAGCATCTTTTGTCCACCTACCATGTGAAACTTGTGGACCAGGGCAAGGGCTACTTCAAGTTCACAAACGTGTCAGCGGTGCTCTTTGCGACATCTCAGGGCCTCAGCATGTTCATTTTCGCTCTTGTCTTCTGGTACGGAGGACGTCTATTGTTCAACCAGGAGTATACTGTCTTGCAGTTCTTTGTGGTCTACTCTTCCATCATCAACGGTGCTCAGTCGGCTGGTGCAATCTTCTCTTTTGCTCCCGATATGGGCGAAGCGAGGGACGCGGCCAAGCTTCTCAAGTCTTTCCTGAACCGCATTCCCAAGATCGATCACTGGTCGCCTGAGGGTATCAAGATTGACAGGTTAAGTGGCAAAGTCGAGCTACAAGATGTGCGTTTCACGTACCCCGGAAGACCCGATCACCGTGTCTTGCGCGGTGTCAGTCTTTCTGCCGAACCTGGTCAATTCATCGCCCTTGTTGGCGCCTCCGGCAGTGGCAAGTCAACGGTTATGCAACTGCTCGAAAGATTCTACGACCCAACAAGTGGTGGCGTGCTCGTCGACGACGTGGACTTGAAAGACTACAACCTCCAAGACTACCGATCGCAACTAGCAATCGTCAGTCAAGAAACAACTCTCTATACCGGCACAATCCGCGAAAACATCCTCGCCGACAAGGAAGACTTGGGTGATGAGGCGGTGATACAAGCGTGCAAAGATGCCAACATCTACGACTTTATAACATCATTACCTGATGGTTTCAACACGCTAGTGGGTGCAAAGGGTGCTCTCCTATCTGGTGGCCAGGTATGTTCCCCCACTCTTACTCTTTCTTCATGTTTACTAACATCACTTTCAGCGTCAACGCATAGCAATTGCACGTGCCCTCCTCCGCGACCCCAAGGTCTTACTTCTCGACGAAGCCACATCAGCCCTCGACTCCACATCCGAACGCGTTGTACAAGACGCCCTTGACTCCGCAGCACAAGGACGCACCACGATTGCCATCGCGCATCGTCTGAGTACCATTCAACACGCTGACGTGATCTACGTCTTTGACCAAGGCAAGATCGTGGAGAAGGGCAGACATGAAGATTTGGTGAGCAAGAAGGGGGTTTACTTTGAGCTGGCGAAGTTGCAGGCTATCGGAGCTCCGCAATAATATTCACATAAGCGGGAGCTCTTTGCATAGATGGAGTTTGGATATATACTTGTAATCATTTTCTTAGATCATTAGGCTGGGAACTATATAGATCTCTTGGCATATAAAATGCCTATTCCTCTGCCTATGGTAGAGAATGCTCAACAGCTAATGTTTTTGTATCTTCGCTCTCATGCCTAGTTGGAATTTGTGGGGTGTCCCATCTAACACGTGAACGCGCGTCGCGGTCTTCAAATCGGAACGCGCGACTTCCAGCAGCAGTTCACTATCGCATCTGCAACTTATACTGTGTGCCACTATGACCATACCGAACATGCAGTACCAGTTATGTTTAGATGCACAGGCATGCCAAGCATGGCTCGAACCTAGTGACGCTTTCAGGCGTCCACGCCTGGTTTCCACAACCACCACCAGCGAGTCACGATGACTCCTCTTCTCTCTCGCAGCAGTGTATCTTTAGCTGCGAGGTAGCCATATTTTACACTCTTGAGAACCCCCTATCGACATATTGTGACTTCGTAAACGCCATTCTATAGCGCCAGACCGCCAGAATGCGCAACCCCAATGGCTGCCGCGTACTGCTCCTCCTCCTACCAGCCCTTCTCCTCCTCGCAATCGCCGCCTTGACCAATATCCTCGAAAGCATATCGAAGGATTCATTTGAAGACAGTCTCGATCGCAACATGCGCAGCGGCGCTCGTCAAGTCGTCTTATCGCGCCCCGGCGGCACTGCCTCGAACGACACTACCGTAATCATAGACATGAACAATGGGCCCATATACGCCATACTGGGGTTGTGCATACTAGGATATGGAATCGGCTTGCTCAGCGCGGCTGGGATATGGCAGTTGAGGCGAACAGAGGGTACGGCAGCACATGAGAGGAAATGGACTTGGGTTGTCCTCATCGCCAATATCTTAATGGTGGGCGCGAGTCTGGGTGTCTTTGGATATGCAAGCTCAGTTCAAAGTAGTGATAAGAGCTGGCAGAACTACGAAGACGTTGGACAGGAGGACCAGGAGCATACAAGAGAAACGTGGGCATGTCAGATCAGCCAATTCTACCCTGATCGAGATTGGGCTGGTACTGCTTGTGGGACTACAAAAGCGATGAGGTTCTTGTTGATACCCATGGCTGTGGCGGCTCTGTCTGTATTCATCAGTCTGTGGGTCCTCATACGGGCGAGAGGAGGTGTGAAATGGATGTTTGGTGGGAAGGGGAGGTATGCTGGGTTTGCAAATGCTTATGAGATGCGACCACCTGGCCCACCGTCGCCTTATAATGGTCCACCCGGGCAACAATGGGTTCAACAGCCTTGGCCGGCACAGCCTGGACAGCAATGGGCAGGACAGCCTGTGCAACAGCAGTGGGCACCGCAACCTTATCAACAATGGGCACCGCAACCTTATCAGCAATGGGGTCCGCAGCCTGTACAGCAATGGGGTCCTCAACCTGTCGTTCAGCAGCCATATACTCAGGTGCAGAAATCAGATGCTACTGTGGAGCGGCGTCCGGTCTTTGGATGAGACCGCAGCCAAAATACAGGATGTCTTTTCAAGCTTTACCGAAATATTCAGCAGCCTTTCCGTCCTTTTCTCTGTAAATGTGCGCATGGATCTTATTCAACGGTCTAGATTCGACTCCCCTTCACCATGAATTCCCCCAGAAGCGCAGAAGTGCATTCATCCGTCGCTGTCTTTGGAAAATACAACCTCTGAGACACCTCTGATCGCACAAAATCGCACAAAATCTCAGGTCAAGTTCCTGACCAACACCCGTCATGTCGACTGGCTCCTCTCACCGTACGGCGCCCTCAACAGGGACTCCTGACTCCACCGACAACACTTTCGACCGCTTTGATAACAGCGCCTCCAGCAGGCCTGCTCTCCCATACAACGTAGGCGCCACGTTTGTTGCTCATCGCCACGAATCACCCGTGCCTTTCGGTCATGGCTACAACGTTCCTTGGCCACCTTTCAAGACGGGCTATTTCAGACTACCGCAAATCAACTACTGCCTAGTTCGACAGCCAACTGAAGGACGTACACTAGATGATTCCTGCACGCTGACCATCACCGACATGATACGCACTGGATATTCACATGCCGCTCAAGTTGTTGAAGTCAACGGGAGTATGGTGGCGAAGATATACGACCCGCTATACGACGCTGGAGGTGACTGTTACAACAACAAGCGCGACGTTGTTGTACTAGCCGATGGAGACTACTCAAGGGAAGCTGCGGCGTACGAGGAGCTAGAGAAATGTTCTATAGCGCGTACATATACGCCCAAGTACTATGGCAGCTGGACGGTCGAAGTACCCACAACACTCAGCAACCAGACCTACATACGACATGTTCGTCTCATACTGATGGAACACATCACTGGTACCGTTATGAGCAACATTCAAACTCAGCTACTCTCCCGACGAACGCGCTCAGCGATCATGGAGAAAGTTTTAGTGGCCGAGTCTCACATCTACAACGCCGGTATATTGCACCGCGACATGTCACCCCGCAACGTCATGCTCGTGTCCCCGTCATCATATCCCTCCTTGGACGACCCAGATCTCCGCATTGTCATCATTGATTTCAACGTTTCTAATGTTGTCCGTCTTAGCGCCACCTCTTGCCACGGTGATCCAAATCCCGTAACTATTCAAAAGCAGTGGCCTAGTAAGGTTCTCAGCCCTGTGATAAGGTTCTGGAACGCGATGCAAGAGTTTGAGGCTAGGGATTGGGTAAACGATGAGTATGGGAAGATGAATGAGTGGCTGTGGGAGTGTTTTGGGGTTAGCGAAGACTATGTACCGCTTGTTAGGGACTGGGATGATAAGGAGGTGTGCCCGAGGATTGCTTTGCGTAGCGGGCTTGAAGATGATGATGAGGCGGAGGAGGAGGAGGAGGAGGAGGAGGAGGAGGAGGAAAATGGAGATGGGGTTCTCAGAAATATGGTGGAGAGTCCAGGTGCAGGTGGTAGGGATGATGATGAGGTCGTCTTCCAGGGCCGGGGCTGCAAGATTTCGGTAAGCTACTGATCTTCGCCTTCGTGCTCCGCTTCCGCGCACCATACTTCGTTCGGGATCACATTGTCATTTTTCGTAAGGCACAAGCTGTATCAGGAGTAATGAACGTTACAGATGAGTTATGGTCATGTCTCAATGTATTTGAGGTATCGTTACTTCTGGCTTACCGGCCGTCAGTTTGTCGGTGCTAGCGCACTCGCACTACAAATCACTTCCACTTTCTTCTTCCTCCTCTCCAACTTCACAGTCAAATTCGACACTACCGCAACATGTCAATCGTCAAACCTCAAATTGAGCAAGTCAACAATGACATGACAGCCATCAATGTCATGATCATCGGCCTTCGAACCATCCCAACGGACGATGTACCAGATAGCATGACTATCAAAATGATCGATACCAATGCCATTACTGTCCGTCGTCATCCACGATGTCATGGCGCTGAAATCGCACGCGAAGTTGATCAGGTATTTCAAGCGTGGTTTTCCAAGCGTCCATCACCGATACTGCGTTGGTACGGCCAGATGGTAGAGATTGCATGGGGCGAATAACGCCCTAGTAGACAAGGAGAGCCCGAGCCGTGGTTATGGGAGAACTATCACGACGATGATCACTATAGTCCTGTCATCTGGGGCCTATCCAGTCCTGATACCTGGCCAGAGTGCGCTGAGATTGAGAACCGTTCTGAGAGAAGTGTGAATTCGGGTCTGTGCCTAGACATGGTAGTTAAGATGGGCGAGGAAGGCGGTAGCAAGAGCGGGCTGGGATTTCTGATCAGGGCGCGCCTGCTGTGCAGTCGTTTTGAGTCTCACAGGGCGTTCATAAAGTTTTCGGTTCTTTGGGTTGCAATTAGATACCCAACGGTTGGTGTGACGCTTGGACAGTATAGAATCTTGTTATATACGTATCCCTGAAGGACGCTTAGGTAGTGTTCATACAATTGGATCACGATTCCATCGAACAGTGTCGTGATGAAACCCACGCAGTTTTGCCTGAATCGAATGTCCATATGGCCATCGCTACAAAAGGCATCCACGCCATCTCTTTCTTCCCCACTTATGCCTACTCACAACCCGTTTGGTTGAACTTGGCAATGGACGCCCCATCGGATCCAAAGGCCACAGCGCGGTCAATCCAGGCATCGATACTAGCAGGGGCTGGCTGTCGTACCCTGCTCAAGATGTACAGTGTACTCCAATTTTGCGTCTGCACAATCGCCCAATCGACGGCGTAATCTGGGCATTAATGTTAACAATGATACACTTCACCCAGGGGTCTCATTGCAACTTACCTTGCACAATGTAGTTGGGTCCAGGGCATTCCGCTGTCGAAGGCGTGCCAGGGAAGCTGACGACGAAAGCTCCGCCGGCGCCATAAGCAGAATCTACGGGCGTGGCGGTGCCGATAATGTCGATAGTTTGTGGGCCAACAGTCGCAGTGTTGACAACACGCACCGTGCCATTGTCCTGGATTTACTGTTAGAGATGCTGGCGAGGAAGTCGGAACGTCTCATAAACATACATTGAGTGAGTAGTTTGCGGTTACGCAGCGTGCGCCAGCGGTAGGACCGAATGGTGTACCGGCGACTTGATACCAGGTTCCAAGGTACGCTTCTAGGTTGAACTTGGAGTCTGGGACGGGGTAGAAGCAAGATCCGTCATACTGAGCGGCCGCGACGTTAGGCGTGGAAGTTGTCTCATTGGAGGCTTGACGGGGGTGGATGAAGCCTGAGGCGGCGGAGGATAGGGCGAGGACGGTACTTGCGACGCGCATCTTGAACAAGCTTACACAGTACGGAGATTAGAGATTAGGGTACAGGTAGGTAAAGGCGATAATAGTTCCTGCAATGAGGACGTCCTCTATCCTCTACTTGAACCAAAAATCCTGTGGCTGGTGTCGACAAAGCTGGTTGGTAGACGTCATTCTCAAGCCACTCTACAGTACTACGCACTCCCCCACAGTCCAGACTTGTATACATGCGTGCAATCAATCGCTGGTACCTTTCCCGGGCCGACAGAAAAAGTTCTGTACGCCCATCGGTAAACATGTGCTGCCAAGCACGCGGACTTTATCCCTCGGCTGAACTGTGGTTGCGGATGAGCCGGCTCTAATTGTTATTACGAGATGTCGCGGCTGTCTGCAACCGCAACTACTATTGAGTAATGAGGTTGGCGATGTGGATGCGAGAACTGGGGTAAGCGATGAGATGGCTGGTCGATGACGTGCGTGTTGGCTTGGCAGTAGAGCGACATCCGTCGCCGTCACTCTGTACCAAAGCGTCTCATCGCTGCCTCAGATCATATTGATGTAATTGAGAGAAGTATGTTGTTCTTTTTTTATCGCAAGGAACTGTCAGTAACTCCATATTCGTACCGTTCAACGGAACGTTGAAGATATCGCTGTCGGAAGGTTAGAGGTGCGACAGGTTTGATATTGCTGATGAGAGCCCTCCTACTTCGCATGTCATCTTGAAGGTAAAATAGTGTCCCAAAAAATGGGTATGTCTTTAACCGAGTAGCTATTCCATGATCCACTCATCGCGTCTACCTGTTTTGCAGATCATCCCTGGTTTTTGTAAGGCTAGAGAGACACTTAGATCATAATGGGCTGCTAGTTGGCTCACCCAATACCGCATTGCACGCTTCAAGCAGAAAGCCCAAGAACGTCACACGCATCGAATCCCTTGGAACAGCTGTGACCAGTATTCCTCCAGGCCCAGCTACCAGCCCAAACTTCAAAAGGACAAGATGATCGTAATCGCAAAGAGCAATGTACTAGGAGTTTAGAGCTTTTGCCTCGTCCACGTAACGTCGATCGATCACATCATCTTGAACGATACCACCCAGTGTGTTCGGGCTCAACCATTTCACGAGCATGACCATTCTCGGTGCGTGTGTCCTCGTGGAACTCTCGTAGTATAGCGTTACCCGAACATCGCCCAGGCAGCCGTTGCGTTGCGCAAGTTCGATAGGGTATCTCATTACGATGGCGTGGTCTAAGGGGCACTTGAGCCATATACGTGCGGCATTAAAAACCTCAACCGCGGTTTTGAGAGGCTTGGGAAGTATATCATCAGGCTCTGGCGGGGTTAGCAGTTTAGGATCCTGGTGAATGGGCGAATCGGGGTTTGTGTATTCGGCTTCGAGGAACTGGGTGGCGACCTCAACGTAGTCTACAGGCGCATCGGTTGGTGGGATAGATAACGTGCTTTGGGCTTTTCTGGAATCAAAGTACGGGTTATCGAACCTTATCAGCTTCTTGTCCTCGTGGTCAAGTGGGAAGCGATAGTCGTGCGCCATCGGGTGTGAAGTTATTTTCTTGACAAGAAGATATCGTACTCAGATCGTGGGTAAGCTTCGCATTACGTGGAGGAATGAAGTTCCTGATCAAGTCAGGTTGAATTAGGGGGCTGAATCGAAAGGGCGGGTAAGTTTACATGCAGTGACTAGCAGTCTAGGTGAGAGCATATCGAACACTACGCGCTAGCTATTGATTGTATCACTTCAGAGCATCTAGCGGAGAGACTGTGGCCATTCTGATATGCTCAGACCAGCACAGTTTGCAAAGAATAATATTCATTGCGGGCTGCTGGAAGTAGAGAGACAAGTGTGGAAAGACGGCGCAAGGAGTGTACGTCCGGATAGCTTGTGAGGTGAAGCGCAATAATGATGTTATGAGGAGTGATGAAACTGCTGTCAGACAACACCGATGCGCACAGCGCTTGACCCATGTGCGCCTGATGTGGCTCTGAAGCTCACATATACCCTAAGAATAACACAAGAAGATAAAACCAAGCAACCACTCTAAGCCTCCCTAGGAACGATGGTGACCTTGAAGTCCGTACCAGCCAGTGAGCTATCACCGCCAACCTTCACACTGCCGATACCAGAACCCACACCGTTGTGGCAGCCCTCCGAGCCTGACTTCTGGAGCATGTGAGCGAAGTAGCCGTAACAGTCTTCAACCTTCCAGAAAACACCCGCAGAGCTATCAGGCTGGGTAGCTGGGGTAACATCGACTAAAGACATAGTTAGTACTTTAAACGATGTGAAACAAAGAACAGGGCCTTACACTTGATATCCCAACCGCTAATACTGTTGCCATCGCTATCAACAACGTTGGCGTGCTGTGTGCTGCTCTTGGGGCCGTCGAGTGGGTAATCAAGAGTTGCCGTGCAGACAGTACCCTTGGCGATGCGGTCTTGATAGGCGCAAGGAGGCATCATAGCAGCGCAGGCGTTATCGAGGACGGTCTCAAGCTGGGGGCCACGCATGAAGCTGATCGACTTGTCGGAGGCGGCGTCGCATGTTGTTGTTGTGTCGGGCGCGGATTGCCAGCTATCATTTTCGCCGGTCTGGGGCGACTGTCGTTGGACGAGTGGTGCCGCGAGCGCCGTTGCTAAGAAAGTACTGACGAGGATGCCAGTGTACATGTTGGTTGATAGATCGGAGTTCAGAGTAAAAGTGTTGACGAGAGTTGCCGTAGCTGGATCTACACCGGCAATTGTATGGTTCGTAAATTGAGCGTCGGTGGGGTTATAGTAGAACTTGGGCAGATCAGTGAAGATGGATCTACACAACAAGTCTTCACAGATCAATGCGCTAAGCCGATGATTTGTTGTATCTTGTGAATAACCGCTTCTTGGAGAATGTGTCCATGAGGGCGGTCGATCTTCTATATTACCTTGTTCGATGTCATACGCTAAGAAATAGAGTTGCTAGTGATTACCGTCGGGTCGGGAGCATGACGGTGCAAAGTGTGGAGATACGAAATGAGGCATCCCTTTGTGGATGACGGATTGTTACAGATATCTCTTTGTTTCTGATCGGACCTCACTGGGTATCTTTCTTTTGAGAGCTTGACAGGGGAGTGGCCCTGAACAACGTATGCTTGAGAACAAGAAACAAGGACGCACAAATAGACCTGGGGTCTGTTGAAACAGCGGTAGAGTTGCTTGCATAGTTGTGTTCCCTTCCAATCAGTCATGGGGAAGTTTGTGAATCGAATCGGCCGGAGCGTGGGGTAATAATGTCTCTTCATCAAACGATCGGCAGATCTACCGTCCGTGCCATGAAGCATGTGCAATGTTACTAAGGATTTATCATTCTCGATAGTTCTCAACTGGACTCTTCGTTGAGAAGCAACAGCTTTTGCGCACACCGCGACTGACCCCTCGTCTCCCGTTCTCGTTGGAATGGGATATCCAGCGAGAAACGATCACCATCAACGTCATAGTGCTCGGGTGTCGGTAAGTAGTTGGGGAGATGCTTGTTCGGTGGTATTGATGAAACAACGAGGTGCTAGGCTGTCGTAGAGTCCCTCGAGAGTTCCGACCGAGGAACAATGAAGCTATGTCATCTGCCAAGGCTCTAGTCAACCCTTCATTTCCCCTGTCATGAGAGTAGGGGTTTCCAATACCATGACATTCTGCGCAAAAGGTGTTACTGCCTCTCAGTTCATCTTAAATGCGTCAGGCTTTAGACAACGGATGTGCGCTGCGACTTCTGCCAGAGCTGCACGATCAAAAATGTGCCATAGAGAAGTAGGCCTGCAGCATCCGACGAATAGGAAGCGCCTATGCAATAGCACCAACAACTGAACGACAGCTCACGAAGCCGTAGGGGTGCACAAAACTCCGTTGATCAACAAATACTTTTTCTGCATAGGCCCCTGCATCCGAAGCGTTGGAAAAAAAACGAATACGCACTATACGTTGGATGCTGTACAAGTCCACCTTGACCCACAAACATATCGGCATCGCTGTATCTTCCTCTAGCGCGGATGTATTATGCTCTTATTGACATACATGACCTGCAGTATCAAGCATGGAAGGCGTAAGCTTATGATACGTTGGCGTACTCTAGCCGTAAGCAGCATACTGCTTACAAGAATTATCTGCTGATTGGTGCGAGATGCGCTTGTGCGTGTACCGTTCAGCTTTATTCGTTCATGTGTAGACGCCGTAAGCAACGCTTATCGTATATCAGCCTGGAAAGCTACACTATACGTAGGCTTCAGTGAGTGTGAACCATTCGTCTTCAACCCAACACTCAGAGGCTCATTTGTCGTGTTGAATTTCGAACATGGTTAACACAGCAGAGACCAACCCATGGGCAGATACGCCCTTCACCCTCCTCAAGATTCCCGGTCAGTCGGGTGGTCCAGTATGCGCAAATTCTGGTGTCCTCAGCGTCGCCATAGAAATGGCCAATGTCCATAACGTCCTACTTCGCCCTCTGAATGCTATCTATCATCAAGCACCGTTTGTTCAACTCTCTAGCGATATTGCCGATTTTATGCTGTACGTCACCGCATGGGCAGATACGTTACATCACCATCATTCCCTCGAAGAGAGCTTGTTATTTCCGAGGGTAGAGAAGATCGCAAAGGAAGCGGGTATAGATGGTTGGGACGGTTTGATGGGAGGGAATGTGGAACAGCATCACGACTTTGAGCCCAAGGTAGCAGGGCTAGTGAAGTGGGCTGAAGAGGTCGTAGCCGGAGAGAGGACGTATGACGCCGCGGAACTGAAAAGACGAATCGATGATTTCGCACCTGTCCTCATACAGCATCTACATGATGAGATCGACACTTTGATCAAACTCGAAAAGTGCAATGGAGAGAAGGTCAAGCAGGCGATGAAAGAAACGGCTGATGAAGGAGCAAAGACGGCTGATCCGGTGCGTACCCCGATATCTTTGCTGACTACTCGCTATTGCATAGCAGCGCTAACACTTTACGAATTCAGAATCTTGTCATCCCATTGGTACTCGGAAGTATCGACAGAGGCTATCCAGGTAGCGAGAGCTTCCCGCCCCTCCCCTTCTTCATCCCGTACCTAAATGCGTATTGGTTTACGCGAAAGCACAAAGGGACCTGGCGGTTCAACCCAAGTGATCATTGGGGTAATCCGAGGCCGCTGCAGTTCTTACCATAGATTGCAGTACTGAACATATTCTCATCTAGACACATATGTGAAGTGCGTTCCCGTAGCCTTACTGCAAGCAAACAAAAAATCTTTCACATTCATTCCACAGCCTCGCTCTCCGCACAAGTGAAGAGCGACTTTACTCATTGATTCAGCTTGTGCATATGATTGACAGACTTCTCAAAACTGCCATTAAACACTACAAGGACGCATAGTGGGAGCTGACAATACAGTGAGCTGGTTGGCGAGTGGGTACTGAGGGTTATGTATGTCTTTCACCTTCTTGAGATACCCGCGGGTTCAAATCTCCGACAGGTCGTTGTCGTTGCTCCCTCTTAGGAGGGCGGCCTGGTAGAGAAGCGAGTAAGTGAGTGTTTAGGATGGATAGTGGGAGTCGTGCATTTCTGAGTAGTGTTTTTTATGTCCATATCCTTTCCTTCGTTTCCTTTTGCTCTATTCCTATTCACGTTGTGTGTAGTGAATATGGTAGACACGCAGCGTTATAATTCTGTAATTAATAAATCCTTGTTCAAGCTACAGTTCTTGCTCACTTGCGCCTCCTTCTTTAGCACTTCCCACAGATTGAAAACGAGATGCCCGTTCTATCTTAGCAACCTAAGCATCGTTCTTTGTCATCTTTCTAGCTGCGATTCACTGTGACCTTTAGAAGTGAAAGTGAAAGTGAGTGCAATGTTTCCACTACCTGTGTATCAACAACTTCTTCCAGTCGCATTTGACACACCCCAAACCCCTCCAACATGCCTTTAGCACTTCCCGATCTCAAGTCACGCTCGGTGCTCGTCATCGCCATGTCACCCAAAAGCCTTGCTGAGCTCACAGCATCTTATGAGAAGCCACTAACTGTCGCCAACACCACGACGATAGAAGAGGGCATTACAATGTTTGATACAGATGCGCGGAAGAAACTTGATACCACTTTCAGCCTTGTTCCATCCGTGATTGTGCGCAAGCCTGACATTAACTACAACTACTTCAGTCAGCACCAAACGAAGATATCGTCTGTTCCGGTGGACCTGCAGCTATCGTGGCATCCCGAGAGCTAGGGTGAGGTATCTGTTTGCGACCTGTTCATTATGGATGATTAGAAGCTGATTATTGAGTGATAGATGGCGAGGGAAGGGTTTATCGCAAAACAGGAAGATCAAGATATGGACAACCCCGTGCGGAATGTGGTACTACGGTCTCGACGACCAACACTCCTTCTCCCGCCATCACAGGGTCACACGCCACAACCTCGTTCCTATGGCCTACGCGATGGCTAACAATTTCCTAACGAACATTTGTCCTCCTGAGATCCGCCAGTTCGTTCTCGCCTTTGTCGACGCATTGATGAGCGATCTGGCCGATACAGGTAATCTCAAGACGCCAAGCTTCAAGGCCCAAGAAAAGTTTCTCAAAATCTGGAAAGACGAAGGATCCTTTGACCTTCTATGGTTCAGCCGCGCAAAAGTTATGGCAGGCAAGTTGATGCGGAAAGTAGCGACGCAGTTACTGCCTCCAGAGCTGTAGCGAACAGTTGATCTCTCACCGGAGCAGATCGTCACCATGCGCCGCGAAGACATTATCTCCGATACCGACTTCGAGAAGTTCGGTCCATCGCTCATCCTCAAGCATATTCTTGCTATGGGCAGCTTGTCCGTGGAGAATCGCAAAGAGCGTACTTCCGCAAAGGACCTTGAGGACGAACGGATTGTTATTCGCCTCGCCGCGCGACAAGCACATAACGGGAAGGATCCGCATTGGTCTGTCTCATGGAACTCGCCTCTTCTCCAGTCTCTTGGAAGCGCAATGGACTGTGATTTGGAACATCCATAGGACATTAGGAAACTGAATATGGATCTCAGTGAGATTGATTATCTGCCTTGGATAGATATGGGCACTTGGATCGGTATTATGAAATCAGGGCTAGTCACAGCCTAATGATATCTCAGTCTTCTTCAATGTATACGTGGCTGCCTCCCCCATTACTCTTCTGCCCCATTACTCTTCTGCCCCATTACTCTTCTGCCCCATTACTCTTCTGTAACTGCAATCTTTGACTTCAGTAAACACATAGGTATTCTCGTCGCTCTATTCTTCTTCTTCTCTTTTATTCAACTAGCTGCCCATCAGAGAAAATAACAAAGTCGCACATCACACCGTAATGATCTGAAACCCAATCCAGCTCTCCCGCGTCCTTCATCATCTGCCTATGCTCTTCTGCTACTTTGACGCCCATGCCAATCCGCTGAAACTTGATTGGTTTTATGAACCCTCCATATAAGATTTTATCCATCCTACTGCATCCGAATCTGTCTTTCAAGACCTGTGGAGACTGGTAACCCCAAGTGTACCCGTCATCACTATCTTCTTCACCCGGAGTGTCTTCTTGACCACCAATCTGGAGGTAGGCATCTCTGAGTACGTTTTCGGCGTGGAGTGTGCGATCAAACGGTTGAATAGCATTGAGATCGCCAGCTAGAACGGCGCATGAAATGTTGCGTTGATTGAAGTACTGCTTCGCGGCTGCCATTTGAATAGGGCGAACAGGTGGGTCGGCGACCAGGGATTCCAGATGCGTATTACATAGCCGCATGACTTTGGATGGAGCGTTTGAGTCCTTTTGATTGTAAAGACTAATGTCAACAAACAGGCCGTCTCGATCGAACTTGCTATACCACGGAACACGGAAAACAGAGTCTATGTGCAGTCGCCGATCTACAAGCGTTGTGGTACCATAATGAGGACCTAACCAGTTTCGCGAGTCGATCTCTGTGAGGTTAAAGCGTTGCTTGACCCAGGCTGAGTCTCGTATTTGTTCCATGTCCGACACTCCCATTTCTTGGAAGAATATGATGATTGCAGATTCCGGCCTTGTCCATGATACCAGATCATGCAAATGGTCTAGCGCTGCACTCATTCGTTCTTCTGCGAATGGGACGAGGACATCGATGTTCCAGGAGATCAGGCGGATCTCTCTAGAGTGTAGAGATGGTTGCAATTCATCTTTTGCAAGTGCGTCACCGGATGATGCTGGTACCCAATTACCGTCAGACGAGACGCGATAGTAGTCCTGTTTCCTCGGTTCGTAAAAGGCATCTTCGCGTTTCTTTATAGTTGTGGAGAAGGCGGCTGCGGCAGCTTGCATGGCGGGGCTGGGCTTCACTGGAGGCATGTTTCTATGAACTGTAACAGGCAGTCAAAAAGCAAGAGATGATGTGAGGAGTCTGGAGATTGTAGGCTGTAGGTATATGAAAGTAACAGACGGTCGACGGCATGCACGAGCAAACATGATGCTCATCACTGTGGTGATTAGTGCTGGTGCGGGGTGCGTGAAGCGCTCGGTTGGAGGCAAGCCGAAACTCGATGCTCTAATCAGAATAGAGACTTTTGTACAATGGGATGACAAGCAGTCTAGAATAGAACTTTATCCACGCAACGGATGAGCAGAAACGAATGCGAGTTCTTGGAGGTGCAAGCGCCGGCACGTGATGCGGTGAGGGTACCCCTGTCGTCGATGCCGAAGCGCGTCGTGAACTTCGCGATTGAGAAGGAGCTCCAAATTGGGGAAGCAGCCACGACAACAGCTCTTCGTCCCGTCAAAACAACGCTCACTATACCACCACGGCCTCGGAGTCCTCTCTCTCGAACCACTCACTCTCAAACTCATCGCTACCACGGCCCCCGCCATGGGCTCCCGATTACACAATGCTCCCATTGTGATAGACAATGGAAGTGGTACCATCAGAGCTGGATTTGCAGGAGAGGATGTGCCGAAATGCTTTTTTCCGTCATATGTAGGACGGCCGAAGCATGTGCGGACAATGGCAGGCGCATTGGAGGGCGATGTATTCATAGGACCACAAGCACAACAATATAGGGGGCTTTTCAAGATCAACTACCCATTGGAGCACGGCATAGTCACAGACTGGGATGATATGGAGAGGATATGGCAGTATGTCTACACAGAAGGCCTGAGGACTGTCAGCGAAGATGTGAGTTGGGCCGTGGCAGACGGTGTCTTTTTACTGCCATTGAGGGGCATCAGGCTAACTATCCGTCTTCATAGCACCCCGTCCTCCTTACAGAGCCTCCACTAAACCCCCGAGAAAACCGCGATACGGCTGCTCAGATCCTATTTGAGACGTTTAATGTGCCCGCCTTATACTCATCGGTCCAAGCCGTCCTTTCTCTATACGCATCCGGCAAGACGACGGGTCTAGTTCTAGACTCGGGAGATGGTGTTTCGCATGCAGTACCAGTCTTCCAAGGTTTCGCCATTCCCAACAGCATCAGGAGGATAGACGTGGCAGGCCGAGACGTTACAGAACATTTCCAGCAGCTACTGAGGAAAAGCGGTCGCATCTTCCATACAAGTGCTGAGAAGGAGACGGTCAAGAACATCAAGGAGGCAACAGGATACGTGGCGCTCGATCCGGCCAAGGAAGAAAAGGACTGGTCAGGCTCGTCCCGATCAGAGGGCAAGAGCGTTGACTACACACTACCTGATGGCCAGAAGATAAAAGTGAGTGCAAATCGATAGGGCGCACTCGACATGAGCTGACAATCTAGATTGGAGCGGAACGCTTCCGAGCGCCAGAGATACTCTTCAACCCCGAGATCATCGGTCTGGAGTACCCTGGCGTGCACCAGATTGTCGTGGAGGCGATACACAGAACCGACATGGATCTTCGAAAAGCGCTTTACGGAAACATTGTACTCTCCGGTGGTTCCACACTGACAAAAGGATTCGGAAACAGACTGCTCCACGAGGTGCAAAGACTGGCGGTGAAGGACATGAGGATCAAGATCTTAGCACCACCGGAGCGCATATACACCACGTGGACCGGCGGCAGCATTCTTGCAGGCCTCAGTACTTTCAAGAAGGTGAGTTCCTTATTCCCTGACTGAGGCCACGAACAATGGACTGACACGTGCATACAGATGTGGGTAGAAAAGGACGAATGGCAGGAAAACCCAGACATCATCCATACCAAATTCGCATAAGTAGCAACACGTTGCGGTCTGGCAGGAGCAAACAGTCCGCACCCGTTTCTCCCGCCTCCGCATCATCTTTCGAGAAGGAGCTACAAGGGCGCCTCGGTAGCGCAGTTGCAGTTAGTCATGGAAATGGGGACCCAAGACCTGGGGTCAAGCCAACCAAGATGGAAGAAATCTGGGGGCTGCACGCTTGGTTGGGCGAAAGCAGATCTACGTGTCAGCCGGTAGCCGTAGCTTCTAGACGGCAGAGCTACCGCAGCATGTTCCTTTCCCCGCATTTGAGTGCGTTTCTGTTACTTAAGCGCGAGCATGGTTCGAGAGTGTCGGTTAGGTAAGGTGCACGAGGGGACGAGAATACGTGCATGACAGGCGTTTGTGAGCGCTTCGGAATACCCCTATGATTATGAAGCGTACAGAATACCACAATTAATCCACTTGCGACTGTGCACACGGAGTGCGAAACTTGGCTGTCTGTGTCAGAAGGTTTGGGCGAATGAGTGTGCCAAGCATCGTGAGGTCTCGTCAGTTATGGTGTGACCACGGTCAAATCACCGACGCTTCACTCTACGCAATTCCACGCAATGTGCAACACATATTACACACAATGGCGACATGACATGCACAAATGGCATTACGCCGGCCGCAGTCATCGCGTAAGCACTGCAGGTACCTGATCACAGGGCCGGCCACGACAAGGGGCCACGTACATATTCATCACCGCAAGCAAAGAGCCGCCGCCGCCTAGACTTCACGATGCTCAACGTCATGCACAACGGGGCGTCCGGAGGCTCGGACGATCGAGCTGATCGTGCGCGGTCACCAGGCAGAGCAAAAAAGGGGGAGGCAGAAGAGGCAATTGCTTTTTTTGGAGGACGCCACCAACTTGGAGCTCAAGGTACCTTGCAGAAGAGTGAATATTGATGTATGCAGTGAGGCATCAAAACAGCAAACACCACCACCAAACAGGCAGTATCAGAATCTGCACCCTCTCCATGTCGGTTCTCCTCTATTCCAGGCACCCGATGGCAAGCGCAGAGCGTATGCGGCGTATGCATGACGCCAACCAGAGTTGAGACGTGAGCCGGCGCAAAAAATCTCTTCCCGCCTCCACACTCTCCGCCGGGAAGCGTGTGTTGGCCATCGCGGAAGCTGGCACATGGGGCCCAGTTTGCGCATGGCGTCTTTTGCGTCAAATTTTCAGTCGGTCACCTCAGACGCTTCGGCAAGCTGCGATGCGCTGCTGCGGTTGCTGCGGAGCCAAGCTCCGGCCTTTCGATAGCGTCATGGGCTCGATCGCTTCGCTCCTTGTTCTCCGCTGCACCTGACCATTTCCCCTGGCAATCTCTTACCCCCGAGAAACTGGTTGCACCCAATCAGCGCATTTTGAGGGGGTAATGGTAAACTATTCATGGCGCTGAGAAATTTCCTACACTTGCGTTGTTAGGGGACGCATGATCCATCGACTGCCGTTAACTGCAAAGTGTCGCTCAGACTTCCAAGGCTTCTGAGCTGGCCTCGTGCGCGTTTGGTTCGTTTCGTGGCGCCGAAAAAAGCTTGCGCGTGAGAGATTTTACTTGCCTTGCATTTGAGTAGTAAGAGGGGATCGTGATCAGTGCGAGGCTGAATGTTATATAAACCCTTTACCCCAGTAGGTCTTGTTGAGTACCATCGATCAGCAAGCACTACAGATCTTCCCGGAGCTACCTTTACCATCAACACTACTACCCCAGATTCAATCAACGATAGTCGCCTCTTGACTTCGCTGCCATCACATTGCAATATACACACAATCTCATACCAACAACCTCGTACCAAATAACCAAAATGGTCAACTTCCACATCAGCGAGCCCCACCCATCCGCCGGTGCCTACATGTACTCTGGCCGCGGCGGCGCTGGCAACGCTATGCGCATCAAGTCTACTGAGGTCACCCCCGGTCCCACTGCCTCAGGCCCAGCTTCCCGCACCAAGCTGCCTCCCCCACCAAGCAACGCCTTCTACGCTACCGGTCGTGGCGGTGCTGGCAACATGAAGAAGTCTGAACGCGCCATCTTCAGCTTCGACGAGGAACTTCAACAACAAGAACGCCTCCGCACTCAACAAGCACCCGTCTACCACATCGGTCGTGGCGGTGCTGGAAACCTTGTCGACGAGATGAAGCCCCGATCCCAACGCCAGAACTCCGCCTCCTCAACTGCCAGCTCATCGAGCGTAGAGAGCGAGAAGGACGGTGTACGAAGGAGCGTGGAGCACGCATGGCAGCGTCTGAGCAGGCAATTCTCTCACCAATAGAGAGTGCCGTTCAGCCTTGCTTCCAACCTTCATTTCTTCATTCCTATTCGGGCATTATGAGAGCTGGTCCTGATTCTCTCACATCTCCCATCCAAGCATTTCCATCAGCACGGCGTTCACGGAGGTACCACACATCTCCAACTGTATCATACCAACAAAAGTTCCTTTTACAACATCTTCTTTTAACGACATATCACACACACAACCATCGAGGAGCCAGGCGCCAACCTCCGGTCATCACCATATAAAAAGTTTCAACCTTGATACCCGGAAACCACCGTCCTGCTCTTGCGAGAGAGGGCTTACTATTCTCTGTTATTTTCAATCTGCGAGAGAAAGGGGAGGAGAATTATACCCCCAGGCCGATGAGCGGCCACAGTTCATAGCTATAATCGAATGACTTGAATGTTCATATTTCTGTGCCAATTTCTGAAATCGTGATTTTTTTCATATTGCGCTGCGAAAGGTATACAAACTTATACAGCCTTGATGCTTACATGGTTTTACGACTAGCATGCATAGACAACAACAGATCACCCTGCAGCAGCATTTCTCCTTCGCTGTAACCCCCTTGCTGCCATCGCTCTCTTTGCAAGTCCTCATACTTGGCAACAACAATTTTTCTTCCCCCTTCCTTCCTCCTTCCTCCAATGGTCCTATACTGTTATTTCCAATCTAGTCACAACAACGTCCACGCGTCTAGCCTCCCAACTAGCGACTCAGAACGGGCAGACTAAAATGCCAAGCCGCTGCATATTGATCTACTCGCGGAGTTGTCCCTGAATGGTACATGGCCCCATTCCAGCATCTCCATTGTGGCTTGCAGATCTAGATCGCCCGCGACCACCGACCAGCGAACCTGCATGCGGGAGTGAAGATCAAAATCTGCAAGTAAAGGTAAGCGTAGGTCTTGTTCACCGGAATTCTCTGGGGCGGGAAGGTTCATGTGGAGAATTATGCAAACAGGATCTGCAGGAAGTATGTACGGGTCACCGGACGGGTTTGATAAAACTTGTCTTGGTATAATCACAGTAGAAGTAGTGCACAACTTGACAGTGAGGATAGAGACCGGCTAAGATTATGCGATATAGGTACAAATATGGCTGCACAGGGGAGAGAAAATGCCAATTTCTGATAATCTTTGTAGACCGGAAACCCAAGCGCCGTAGTATGAGTAATGTTTTGGTTGGCCTCAACGTAGGCTATGATGCATCCCAGGATGACTTTGCACAAAAAAAGGATTAAAACGGAATAAGCAACGGAAAAAGACTACCAATACACAATTCGAAGCCTTCCAGAATCCCAATGTCAGCTCAGGTTATACTTCGTTCAACGCCTGGGAGGCCCGCCCTTGCTAGCCGCAGTCGTGATCAACATCTTGAAGCCGTTCTTGAGCGCTATCATGTCAGGGTAGACATTCTTGTGTAGCTCAAACGCGTTCGGCACGACCTTGATACCCCATGCACCCTTGGGTCCTTTGGCACTCATCTGGAAGCAGATCCAGAAGTGACCAGGGTACTTGGGCATGCTGCAGAAGGCGTACATGGAACGTGAAGGGTTGGCTTCGCAGTAGTTCTCTAGCCATTTTTCTGCATCGAGTGTTAGCTTGTCTTTGCAAGATTTGTATTATAGAAGGTGCAAGGAACTTACCAGTATCTTCTCGTGTACCTGGTTGGAATCGCTCATCTCGTGTGATTTCTGTGACCTTGCGTGCCATTGCCTCGACATGGTTGACGATCAACTCGTCAAGATCGGAGTATGTATGCTTTCCGATCTTGAGCTGCTTTCCGAGCGAGAACTGGTTGGGCTTATTCATCTCGAGAACGTCGAGATGTTGATATGCGTTGTTGGACACTTTCCATGTCACAACCAGATGATCGAAACCCTTAGATGATGGACGAATGACCAGGTCACCAGTCTCTTTACCACCAAGGTACTCTTCAGCCTGCACGGTGTTGAAGGCAAAGAAGAGAGGGTGGTTGACGACACGGTTGGGCCGACCGGACGCAACTTCCTTCTCCTTCTCGGCAGCCTTCTTATCGAGGGCTTCTTGTGCGTCGTCCCACTCACCAGCCGCGCGGTTGTAGGGCTTCTTCTCTGGTTGACGGATGAGGTCGTCCCGAAGCGATAGTTGTGCGGTGAGAGCTTTGCGGTTGAGGTAGACGATACGTGCGCGAACGATCTGATGGTTCTGGTAGACATGGCGAGGCTCTTGTCCTCCACTGCCCACGCCCTCTGGAAACTCCGATTCGGAGACACCACCTTCTATGCCACACTCCAGCTTGACTTCGATGTGGTCCGGGAATGTACGCCTGATGGTCACAGGTACAACCATACCCTCATAGAGTGTCTCCTCCGTCTCACCAGTCAGCATTGTGAACATCTCAGTACCAGACAGGAGCGCAAAGATTTGTCGAATTTCCTCGTAAGGGTTGTCAAGTTCAGCGCGAATGGTCTCGAGCGTTGCGCGCTTGCGTTGACCAAAGTTCCTTTCAATCTCCGCTGCGTAGTCTTCAAGAGCTAGGTCGTTGACCAGATCGGTGGTCTCTTCCCGCACCATCTTCCTGACGACAGCGCTGGGTCCGCCTTCGTCAGTCTCAGCCTTGACATCTTCCTCGTCCATGTTAAGGGCGTCAGCGACCATCTTCCTGGCAAGATCGTAATCTTCTGGGTGTACACGGGTGTAGTCCAAGTAGTCGGATGACTCCTCTGTTGAATCGTAGGGGATGTACAGGAAACTGGCGCAGTTCTGGAAGACCTTGGGTCCCATGGCCGCCTTTAGATCGCGAGACTCAGAAACACCGAGGAGGTCGAATCGCGACAGAATTTCGTCGCTGTTGGCCTGAATGGCCTTGATCAATCGATCGGCTTTACGAGGTCCCAGGCCGCACACATAAGGTATTAACTTTGATAGGTACTTGTCGTCGTAAGTCTCCGGTAGGTCAATACCTACGAGGTTGACCATGTCTACCATGGCGGTTTCCAGTCGGTCCAGAAGCTTCTCTTGTGGTATCAAGGTTTGGTTCGGGATGAAGGGTATCGAAACAATGTCTTTCCCGAGTGATGCGTATTCTGCCAGTGGGTTTTGTAGGTATCGTCCAAGAGCAACGCAGTACCTTGTCAGCACGGGATACTTGGGGAATTCGGCGACAGCCCGAGCACTAGTATGATAAAGACGAGCGACCTCATCGTTGACCATGATCACTTCCAACGACTCGTACTTCTCTTCACCAGTGTCTTCGTCCTCGTAGGCCGGACCTGTTAGACCACGCTGACCGATAATTTCCTGGATGTCTTTGTACAGCTTACGCGTTTCCACGGAGAAGCCACTGACGCCGATCACGTCCGGGCGGCGACGCTGTATTACATCAACCAGCTTGTCGATGTCTTGACCTTCAGGAATACCGCGCTCTGCGTTTCCAAGTCGCATCTCAACCAACCGGCCGTGCTCAAGTACCCGCCCATCGTTCTCAACGTAGGCCCACATGATTGCGTCTCCACGTTGGCCCTTGCCGTTGGTCAGGCAGAGGACATTAGGTACTGATCCAAGTGGTGCGCTCTTCAGCTTATAAGGCGCCTGGTCAAGCTTGTTGTAGTAATTCTCTCTGGCTGATGCAGCAAGCTCATCCTCGCATCGAGCGCGTAGAGTTTCCTTGACACCGTTGGCAATGAGAACCTGTAGCTTATCAAGAGCAACATTGAGCAGTTCTTTCCGGAGGTTGTTCCAAGTGTCGGAGACTTCACTGACACCTTCAGAAATGATCTTCTCTTCAAGTCGAGTCTTGAACGTTTTGTAGTTGCCCATGGAGATCTTGACTTGAACGAGACCTTCCGCCTCAGCTTTCAACATCTTCAAGAAAAGATCCGGTCGACCCTGGAGATCCGAAAATGTCACGCCGCGGAGGTATTTGAACTCATAATAGGGGTGGTCTTCTGTGATCTTGCGCATACCCTTGTCAGTACGGAGGCAGTCGATCTGAGCATTCTGATAGAAGCTACCGCGCAAGTATCGGCGCAAACGCGAGCACATCTGCAAGTCTTGAACGAACAGGAGCTTGGTGGACCTGAGAAGAGTGGCGCCAGTCTCTGGAGCTTCGGCTAGCTGATCAGCGAGCTCCTCAACCCTGTATGGCGGATCCTCGATAGTATACGCCCCTCTGCTCGACCCGTCGACCCGCTTCGCAAAGTCCTCTGGTGTGATGCCGATCGCCTTGACGAGTTGATTTGCCTTGCTGCCCCGCAACTTGTCGAAGAAGCTTCGCGCGTTGTTGGCACGCTTCTGTGTTCCGTTCACTTCTTGCCGGACTTCGTTGATCTCCTGCGAATACTTGTAGTGCAGATAATCCTGAAGTTCTTGAATCTCTTCGATAGTGATGGCCCTAGACGTTAACTCCTCGATCTCGGTGTCGGTGATGTCAGAGTATACGCTCTTGAGATTCTCGTAGTTCTGTTTGAGGGCATCGCGCTTCTCTGCAAAGGCCCTGAACTTGAGATCGAACTCGAAGACTTCCCACAAATCGGCCTGGTTGAGCAGGCGCTCCGGTCGCGCATCCATAGGTGGCGGGTTGTCGATATCGTCGTAATCGTCGTTATCGCTTGGTGCATGGATGAGGTAGTCTTTTCGATGGTTGAAGATAAAAGGAACTTCGTAGTCCTCAAGATTGATGAACTCAAGAACCTTGCGCACAGCCTTCTCGAAAGGTTGCAAGAAGTAGCGCGGGAGACCCTTCTTCGGCCACAGCATATTGCTGATCCAGGTGGCTTCTTCAGTCAAGCGTGCTTGCATGTCCTCTGGTGTGAGCTCGATCTCCTTGAAAGACCTCCGGGCTAACTGCAGTCGCTCGGGAATGTCGGTTTCGCGGATAACGTTGTCCTCATCCGTAAGCATGCGCTCCTGCAACTGCGATGGCTCGAAGACGTCTTTGAGTTGGAGTTCACGGCCTTCGCCAGCTTGCTCATCTTCTTCCGCCTCTTGCATCTCCAACGCCCAGTCGTAATCTGTGCCATCACCGAAGGCAGCCCTGTAGTCTTCCTCGGCACCCTCGTCCAGACCGGCAGCTTGCAGTCCTTTCGTGATCAAGTTTATGCCTGGTTGTGTGACGTCGCGGTCGTCTTCAATTTCGTCTTCAAACTTGTCGTCCTCGATGAAGTCGTCAAACTCGTCGCCTAGGCGCCCGCGCGGCTCGTCGTAGTCTTCGTTTACTTCGTCATCGGAGAAGATGTCGTCAACGCCCCGAGACTTTACGCGCTCTTTGTGGCCACGCTTGAGACGCTTGAATCTCGACTTCCTCAATGTTAGCGATGTCGACACTTCAACACGGTATGCCTTACCTGTTCTTCCGCCGGGCGCTCAACCTCAACACCGATCAGGTCCAGATCCTCGTCGTCTAGAGCCTCCTCTTCATCACGGTTCTTCTTCCTCTTTCTGCGCCGGCGTTTGCGCTCCGCGATCTCGTCTTCTTCGTCCTCGTCGGCGATGAAGCCTTCACCTTCCTGTATACCTGTTAGCAATTCCAGGCACCCATCTGGGTATGGGCATGCTTGCCTGTCGCAGTCGGTCTTCATCATCATCGTCTTCCTCCTCGCTGGAGTCGTCGATGCCATTGGCGCCATTTGTCTTCTTCGGTCTGGATTCGCCGGCCTCGCCAGCCTCGCCATCGAAGTCCTCATCCTCCTCCTCATCGCTGCCTACGTCGGCGATTGTGTCGAAGAACTCCGCCATGGTGTTTTAAACAAGGAGAACGCGTGAGTTGGTCGCACTCTCGAGAAGGCGCGCCGGACGATTTCGGCGAGCTCTTGGCGGTAGAGTGGGTATCGTGCTGCGGCGATTCAGCGGGAGGCAGATTCGGGCGCAATGGAGGTAAAGGAGAGAAGAAAGGCAGATGTCGACTCTCAAAGGTTCGCGCACCCATCGGCCGCGTTAACTTTCAGCCGCACTGACGCTGATCACGTGAAATTGAGATTCGCGCTAGGCAGGATACCATCAACAAAAGTTGACCATACCCAACTTGGTACAGCATGCTACAGCTACGGTTATCAAACACGTGGGCTTCCCTAGCCTCGTCACCTACGTCTATCTAGTCATGTACTCGGGTAGTGTTTGAGAAGGATGCGAGCTTATATGTCCTAGGGGGTTCAGCAAAGACTCGAGTTCTCAATACAACACATCGACTGCTATCGCTTTTGTACTTCCAAACCGTACTGGTGGGTGAACGAATGCGCATTGCGTATCTTGAAATCAGGCGTCGTGGATATATTCGCACGTTGTATATGCGATTCAACTGCTGTGCCAGGCACATGGTCGTATTCACGATACGCGCTTTGAAGTTCTGCGCTAGAAGCAGGTGAAGCATGGCGATGAGGAACCATGCGAGTCTGAAACCTCCTGAACAAGGCATCGTGTACTGTATACATACTCATCACAGACTCATTGCCTGTAAGAACTGCACGTTCGACAGCCTTCTTTTCCTCGAATGCAGATTTACATCCTTACCCATTTGCACCACCTGCAGCCTTGCAGACCGAGTTTATAGACGATAGACGCTGCATGCTTGGAACCCCACCAGCGCGCCCCACCACCTAGCCACCTAGCCCTGGATACTGACACGACCACGACCTCTCCTGATTTGGTTTGCTGTCAACCACGCCCGAGACATTGTCCTTTATACCTGACGGCCGACTTTCCAATCGGTCCCTGCATTCTCTTGCCTACGCACATTCGCTCGCCAGGCGCCCGCAAAAGAAAACCAATAGACGCTGTCCTCCTTTGGGCTATTTCCGTGATTGGCGTACCATCGTCGACGCAGCGTTGGGCGGCAAACTCGAAACTGAAGCCAGCATACACCCTCTTGTACACCTGGATTCTTTGTCTTTGAAGGCATAGTCCATCCCTTGCAGCTGCTGCACCCGTCCACCTTCACCTGCACCACCACAGCGCCCGGCGCAAACCTTCAAGATGGCCGAGTCGTCCTTCAAGCAGAAGACGATGAAGAGGAAGAACGTCAAGGGCCTCGCACTCAGCGCTCCCCCACCCAAGCCCGCCCCTCCGCCGGAGACGCCCAAATACCCGGCGCCCGAGCCAACGACGAGAAACAGGATACACTTGAGATTGGCGTTGAGTTCCAGCTGGACCTGAAGGCCGAAGATCTGATAGTGCTGCGGGAACTGGGCCATGGAAATGGAGGAACAGTCAGCAAAGTGCAGCACGCTGCTACCAAGGTTATAATGGCGAGGAAGGTCAGTACAAGGCGATTGGGGCATCTCTGGGGAAGAAAACTGATAAGGGCAGGTCATACATGTCGAAGCGAAGAACGAAGTACGGAAACGAATCGTGCGAGAACTTCGAATCATGCACGACTGCAACTCAGACTACATTGTCGACTTTTACGGCGCCTTCCAAAATTCTTCTGGAGATGTGATAATGTGCATGGAGTACATGGACGTGGGGTAGGTGCAAGCTGGTTCGTGGCATGGGCTGGGAGTTACTAACTAGGACATCAGGTCACTCGACTGGGTCTCACGAACATTTGGACCCGTCCGCGTCGACGTACTCGGAAAGATCTCAGAGGCAGTGCTTGGCGGCCTTGCCTACCTTTACAGCGCCCACCGTATCATGCATCGCGATCTCAAGCCCTCAAACATCCTCGTAAACTCAAAGGGAAATATCAAGCTGTGCGACTTTGGTGTCTCAAGTGAGTTGGAGGGATCTATTGCCGAAACTTTTGTAGGAACAGGCACGTACATGGCGCCAGAGCGGATACAAGGATCTCCCTACACCGTCAAGTCGGATGTGTGGAGTGTTGGTCTTACGTTGATGGAACTGGCTATTGGAAAGTTTCCCTTCGCTGGGAGCGGTGATGACGACGAAGCTGGAGGTCCTCAGGGTATCCTGGATCTTTTGCAGCAAATCGTTCTGGAACCCTCACCAAAGCTACCAAAGAGCGACGCTTTCCCATCGATTCTGGAGGATATGATTGCGAAGTGCTTGATGAAGGATCCAGCCGAGCGACCAACACCCAAGGAACTATACGTAAGTTTGCTTGGACAAGACCTTTACGGAAGTTATACTAAACATAGCAGGACCATGATGCTTTCCTTCAAGCCGCGAAGCGGACACCCGTCGACCTAGAAGCATGGGCCGTGTCCATGATCGAACACAACAAACGCAAATCCCATCTCGCTCCCGCCGCACCTGCAGCGACTATCAAAGAGAAGCTCCGCGAGCGATCTCCCCCTCATAAGCGTGACTCCAGCAATCCCAGACAAAGAGTAGCCAACGGCGATCAGGAACCAGCACCTCGACGACCCTCATACCCTACACGGACATCCAGCAGTGGCAATGTCATGAATCTACCCATGCGACCTGCACCGCCTGTAGACGGTCCGGGAAGTAGACCAGGAAGCAGAGGACCATCTGCCAACGGTTTACCACCTCAGCCCAGGAGGTGGAACAGTGAAGTACAATAGTTGGGCAAGCCATGTTTGGTATTAGATGGCGGATTTAAACAAGTAGATAGAGGGCTTTATGGCAGTTTGGATGGTCCCCTGCTGGACGTTGGGGCTATGTTTACCAAGTACAATGGTCGGGAAATGTTGCCTTGATGGCATGTTGGAAAGAAGCAGGCTTTGTTGTTGTTGCCTTTCGACTAGCATCAAATATCAGTTGTTTAAACTCCCGTTACGAGTGGCATCGGGGGGTTGAAACTAGCAGTTCAAACTAACAAGTCAATTTGTAGTCATGTTCAGTGAACAAAAGAAGTCTGCACGCTTTAATACGTTACCAACACAAGGCTTATAGTACAATGTATGTGCTGTTAGCGTTCAAGAGGTGTGAATCAAACAACATAGCATCAGCGTATTTGATAGTGTGACTTGTGAGCCTCGCACATTCATTATTAAGAGGTGGTCGTAATAATCGCTAGCTATCTGCAATCGCCGTGGCATAGTGTCGTGCCGAACGCAAAGACCATGTTCTCTATCATAAAGATTTCCCGTTGCTCATCACAAACCCCTTACCACCATCGTGTAGCCTACCATGATCCTCGCAATCTTCACCATGATCCTTAGCCTCACTCCCGTCGATGTCAACCTACTCATCCAGTTCCGCTTCGCCCTCTTGGTCGACATCGTCAAGACTGTCAACTGTCTGAACTTCATTGGCCGAGCCCACCATAACCGCCACGTCACTGTTGCTTGTATTGGTCTTTTCGAGGTCTAGCAGTAGTTCGGTGATTTTGTGTCTGCAGCAGTAGTCTTCGAATAGCCTGTAGTTTCTCACCCATCTCATTTGGGCGTATGTAGATCTCCCGTAAGTCCGAACCTGAGCTTCGTCAAAACCATTGTAAAGGTTGTTGGGGTCAAATTCCAATCCTGCTTGGTCGTAAACGGATCGTAGGCGACTAAACCAGGCTTCTGTATAACTATCGTCGTCTTCTTCACCAAACTTGCTCGTCCACTTTCCCCTACACTCTTGATAGGAACCCTCGTACGTGTTGCTGTGTTTGTATCCTGGGAGGCGCAAGTTTCTGAGGGACTGCTTGTCAAGGTCGCCTATGATTTCTTTGGATGGTGTTTGTGCTTGGACATAAGAGATGGTCTGATAGAAGTGGTTCAGAAACGCCTTCCAGTCAAAAGAACAGGTCTGTCTGCCTATATCTACTGCTAACCTCGTAAATTGCGTTTCGTCGAAACGATAGCCAAGCGTTGCGTAACGTGATGTATCATTTGGATGCCGGTATTTCTTTTCGAAGTGCGGGTCTCGGATGGTTATCATCTCGATCAGCATATCCTTGAAGTGTTGGCCTTGGCTCCCACAAAGGTTGTCTACGGCCATCGAGATTTCGGCGTCTTCTATTGTGTATTCGAAGCTGAAGCTGAATTGAGCTCGCAAACCGTCCTCGAGAAGACTCTGGAACTTTATGTCGAGTGCTCTAAATGTGACGTCGTAAATGCGACCTTCAAACTCCTGTGCGTCACGAGAGGACCAGTGCATTGTCAAGAGTGGCAAGCGTGTCCAAGCGAACTCGCGTTCGGCTTCCGCTCGGAAGGTCCGTGAAACCCGCCGACAGATAACCCAAAGCGTATAATCATCGTCGACTTGATGAAGAACCTGGGCCCATAGCTCCAACGGTAAATAAAGTTTCGGTCTCTGTATGGCTGCGGATGCTGAACTGATTCTTGTCAGAAGTTGAAGCTGTAGCGAAAGTTGAATCCCACTTATGGTGCATTGGCAGAGCTTGTATTGTCCGTTGAGACGGTCATCGTGGCCCGCTGTTGATGCGACATGAATGTGGATTGAGTTGTCATAAAAAATGATGGAGGTGGCAGCAAGTAAGAGCTTACAGTGTTTGTATAAAAGCGTTTATCGGCGGGGTCAGTGCTCACCTTCACTGAGGAACGAGCAACGACGCAGCAAGCACGAGAAAAGTGGAGTTTAGGTAATCGAGACAGTTGTCGTCGTCACGCAAGTACTGACAGAGGAAACTTGGGAAGCGTCTATGCACGAGTAAGAAACTTATTATCGAACACTGTCATAAGCGACGTGACAACTGCAGGTTTGGTACAAATGATATTCATTCCCTGTTCACACCGTGGCGCTTGCTCTTAGGCAGCTGGGACAGCAGATCGGCCTTCCCTCTCTTCGTGACCACCAGGCGAGACCATAGCAATCCTTATACTATCCTGACGCATGATCTGTCTTTGTTGGTCCCTCACTAGTCTCATGGGTCCCCGATAGAAGGCCGACAACAAATCAGAGATGTTGAAAGCATCGAAGATGGCATTCAGTGGCCCAGCAGCAGGGCTGCCCTGTTGCTTGTATGGCAACGGTGGGAAGGCAAAGAGAAGAAGCACTGCGAAAATGGGCATTTCGCAAGCGAGGATGAGCGAAGCCAGGCCAGTATTGATATCGTGGAATGTCATGTACTTTGTAGGAATGAGCTTCCCGTGACCTGCGAGCAGGGAAATGATGAACTAGAGATGCTGTTAGTATACAGTATACTACACACATACCGAACCACTCAAAGAACTGTAAAACTTACTGACTGAAGGAAGTTGAGACCAAGGATACCCTTGAACGTGAGAAGCTTGAATAGAATTCGATGCTTCTGTAACAATTTCTTGTTGATCTTATAAAACCTGACCGAGTTGATGATGGCGACCGTAGTGGTATAGCCGACAAGTAGTGTGAGCCAGAGGTGCGCGAAGTGCACGCTGTTGGACTGTTTGCAATAGGTACCAGTAGCAAGGCTAGCTACGGTGGCGATCCATATGATGATACTAGTCGGTATAAACTGGAGCACGCCGTACCAAGTACGCTGCAAAGAGTCAGACAAAATCTATGAGTCTTTACAGTAGAGTGATAACTCGCCTTCAGCCAATTTGGACTATTTCCTTTGAGAGTACCTTTAGCTCTCGCTCCTTCTCCAAACAAGTCGTCGAAGCCATCATGATGCGAGAGCACAAGGTCGCACATGAATAACAAGAAGGATGATAACGCGATGGAGCAGCCAAAATCAAGGGAATGGACTAGGTACTCTCCGGCGTCGTCCCGCCAGACAACTAAGAAGGAGAATAGCGCCACCCATGGTACCAACAGCATGATTCGGATGATCTGTCTTTGCTGTACAGGATTCGAGTAGTTAAAGGCGTGAAGGGCAATCAATGTGCCGACGATAAGTGTGCTAAGGATGGCACAGGCGCCGGAGAGTATTGTTGCGAACTGGTGGAATGTAAGGTTGCCGACGAAGGGGACGATTTTAGGGCCATGAGTATCTTTAGTTGGACATGTGTTTGAGTTCCCGCGTCGCTCGAGGTGGCTTCTCGCTGCTAGTATAAAGGTTTCCATAGCCTGGTGCTGGAACATTCCTTGACAGGATGTGGGAGAACGCAACAATTATCGGCAAGAATGTATGGCTTAACCGCAACAATTGGGAAGATTCAGTAACACTTTGATGAAGAGAATGAAATACAATCGTGCCTAGCAGCAGGAGCTCTATATACTTACTGTGTAATCTTCTCTTCAGCTCAGTCGGTATACTCGCATTACATAGCCATGCTTCACGCCCCCTTAGCACTCGTGGCTGAGCCATACAAACCGTTGCGTTCACAACCACCGCTCAGGATGCCGGATAAGGTAAGGAACAGCCATCACAGCTCATGTAAGCACATAAAGCAGTCCTTGGCAAGGCTTGTACCTGTTTCTACGGTGCTTAGCAGAAGTTGACACAAGTCGGGTATAGCGATGAGGCGCAGTAGGGCATGTGACGTATGATTCGCGGATAAGAGGTTTGCTTGCGTGGCCGAGTGCTGTGTTTGGATGGATGCCTGAAGATTGTAGAGTGCATTACACTCCTGCGCGAAGCGTACCGGAATAGGAGTAGTGCTGAGGCCTGCTGAGCCTTAACAAGATGCGATTGGATGGAGGAACCGCAAAGCCTCAGGGTCCACGACGAATTGCACGGTACGGTTCGCTTTGTACGGGAGACCGAGTGCGAGAATCATATCTGAGCGACATCTTACGGTCCGATAAGACCTTTGAGACGGTTAGTAACAAACGACGAGACGCTTTGGAACGCGCAAGGGCGCGGTCACCACTAGTTTGCCAAGAGTTCGAAGCGGTGAGCGGAGGCAGAAATAATTCTAGGATTGGGGAATTCGCGACCAGCGATCTTTTGCGCAGAACCCCAGCGGATATACACAGGAACCTCTGCAACCGCAAGACCAGCTGGCAAGGCCACATAACCTCTCTTCTCTTTGAAAAGGCTTTCATCTGATTTAACACGCATTATGGCCACCGAACGCGGGCCTAAACCCAGCACGTCGCAACCGCGGCGCAAGTCGCAAAACGCAGCGCCCATAGACGATGAAGACACCCGCGCAATCGCAGAATTCACCGAGGCAGCCACGAAGCAATACGGGCGCGGCGACCGCATACGGCCAAAGTCAGTCAAGGATAAGAAGCTGCGGTCAAATATCAAATCGCTCGAGGAGAAGAACAAACAGGCAGCGATAGAGGCGAAAAATGTCGAAGTTCTGCTCGAGAACAACCCAGGACTGTTGGAACCCGAAAATGAGCTGGAAAGGACATATAAAGTGCGGCAAGACGACATCAAGCGGGAAGTTGGTGTTGAGACGGCAAAGAAGGGTTTCGAGCTGCGGTTAGAAGGTCTTGGGCCGTACGACGTATGCGAATACAGTCGCAACGGCCGTGACTTGTTGATCGCAGGCAGGAAAGGCCATGTCGCGACCTTTGACTGGAGAGACGGAAAGGTTGGCTGCGAGCTACAACTCAACGAGACGGTACGGGACGCGCGATGGTTACACACGAGTAACCAGAAAAACTTTGCGGTAGCACAGAAGAAGTGCGTCTACATCTATTCGGGAGATGGTGTAGAGATGCACCAGCTCAAGAACCATTCCGAAGCCACACACCTCGAATACCTGCCATATCACTTTCTCCTCGCCTCGGTATCAACGGCAGGTATAATACGATACACCGATGTTTCGACCGGACAGTCATTACAACAACTATACACAAAACTCGGTCCCTCGACCGCTCTCACACAAAACCCACATAACGCGATCCTACACGTCGGTCACCAAAAAGGACTCGTCACTTTGTGGTCGCCCAACAGCGCCACGCCCGTCGTCAAACTTCTCCCACATCGCGGCCCAGTACGAAGCATCGCGGTAGACAGATCAGGAACCTACATGGTCAGCACATCACAAGACCGGCGCATGTCCGTCTGGGACATCCGTATGTTCAAAGAGATGCACCAGCAAACGCTGCGCGTCCCGGGCACCACGCTCTCCATCTCAGACCGCAACCTCACAGCCGTCGGCTTCGGCACCCAAGCCGCCATCTACAAAGACGACATCTTCCGCCGAAACTCCGAAGACCAAACACCACCCATAATGCCGTACATGGGCTGGGGCGGCGAAGGTTTAAACATTGGTCGCGTACGCTTCTGCCCCTTCGAAGACGTCCTCGGTATATCCCACGACAAGGGCTTCTCCTCCATCATCGTTCCCGGCTCCGGTGAACCCAACCCCGATACCCTAGAACCCGGCACCAACCCCTACGAAACCTCCAAGCAACGCCGCGAAACTGAAGTCCACGCTCTCCTCGAGAAGATCCAACCCGAGATGATTGCTCTAGACCCCAACTTCGTCGGTAACCTTGACTTGGCGTCCAACGAAGAACGACAGAAGGAGTACAGGGCGGCGAGAGGAGAAAAGGAACCGGATAAGGTGGACATGCTGAAGAAGAGGGGCAAGGGCAGGAACTCGGCGCTGAGGAGGTATCTGAGGAAGAGTGGAACAAAGAATGTAGTTGATGAGGAGAAGGAGAGGGCGAGGGAGGCGCTGAAGAATATGCAGAAGAGGCAGATTGAGAGGAAGGAGAGGCTGAAGAAGGAGTATGGTCCTGCGCTTGAGAGGTTTGCTAGGAAGTGAGCCTAGTTCCCTTCTCAAGATATCATACTTGGCGTTGGAGGGTGAAAAGCATATTTTGTATCAGCATTTCACGGCGTTTACATCACAGATCTGGTACCCTTGATAATCGACTGAGGTGCTCGTAAGAGGACGAACAATAAAACTCCATACCCATTTTACCTATCTAAAATGCCTAAAATGCCCATGATATCATAAAAAGTCATTGATGCGTATATGCCTTCAAGCAGCCTGGTCCAACTCTCCCCTCCACGCCCTCGCGCCTCTTGGCCAGACCCTCTTGTACAAACTGACAGCAACGGCGTCCATTGGGCTGATCTTGCCGTCAAAAGTAGCCTTGAAGTATCCATGCGTACCCAAACTCTCCTTGATGAAACCACTTCTTCCACGCTTTGTCCAAAGAGGCAAGCTCTTGAACCACTTGACGTCGCCGTCGTTGAAGAACATATAGCGGACTGTGACGACGCGCTTGTTGATCTTGTAGGGGTGACCAGTCAGGATGATGCGCTTAGCGATGATGCGGTTGGTGGAGGGTGGGAGAGATGTTCCTGTCGCGATCAAGCGAAGTGAGGAAGGATGGTCAGGAGAGGGAGTGTTGCGTGTGAAGTAGAGGAGTGGAACATTGCCCCAGGTTAGAGGACCGATGAAGGATGCAATGGCCGACTGGCCAGGGTGGAGGAAGCGGGAGAATTTGTGCACATTGTTGGGTGTGTTACCAGCATGGGAGAAAAGCTGAGGTACTGTTAGTATCGAGTTATGAAGCACATGTTCATGATAACTTACTGGGTTAATCACTATCCTCCTTGGTCCGCACTGCACAATCATCTCAGTCTTCGACTTGATCGGCGACTCGTGCTCGGAGCTGAGTAAGATGCTGTAGTTGCAGGCTGTGCGCTTGTGCTCGTGTCTAAGCAGCGAGAACAAGGCCATTGGTCGTGATTGCATGTCCTGGAATTGTAATGGGACACCGCGAATATGTACGCTGACCCGAGTTCCAGGCTTGACACCACCAGCCCAGGCTTCGCGCATGAACTTGGTCGCTGTACGCTTGTAGTCGGAAATGTCGAGCAACCGTTGCCACTCCTCCGGCTCGTATGGTCGATCCTCTTCAGTTTCCCAAGTGCTGTTCTTCAGACTCTTCAGTCCGCGGTAGCGGATGAGACGCTCTCGTGCATTCACGTTCGGATGCAGCTCGATCTCATCAGGGAACTCCAGATCTTCGTCTTCTTCCGTTTTTCTAGACCTTCGGTACTCCTCAATCTGTGCAATCTCGTCCTCTGGTGATGGATCTAGGAACATCTCCGACTGTGGGTATTCAGATGGTCCTCCCTCTGTCATGGCCTTGCCATCGACATCCATGCCTTCCACACCATCTGCAGGGTGCGCAGGCTGGCTCTGGTTGTCTTCGTCAACATCCATGTCGAAATCCTCGAGATCAGAACCCGAGTCGGACATATCGTCGAGGTACCATGCGGCCTGGTAGTTACTCGTACCCTTTGGTAACCGCCTCTGTTTTGCAGGGGCGACCTCCTCTTCCTCGTCTGAGAAGTAGTGGTGATCATCGAGTAGAACACCCTTGCGCTCAGAGGGTGCGATGGACGTGGCGTAGTTAGTAACGTCGTCCATGATAGTCTCCTCCGGGGCGAGATCTGCAAGATCGTCCTGGTCTTCCGTTGGACGCTCCAGGGTGTCATCGCCCTCTGTGTCAACAGCCATCTCTTCCTCCTTGTTCTTCTTTCTCGACTCCAGCGACGCAGCGACGATCTTGTCGACTTGGAAGTCACCCCAGTCTCCCACCTGTACTAGCCTGTCGGCCTTGAGTCCAAGACCCCGGACGACACCAGTAATGACTACATCGCCAGTACCATCCTCGCTGACAGCTGACTTGCCACCAGGCCACGCGATGTCCTCGATGAACATGTAGCTTCTCTGGTCCCTCCATCGAACACCCTTTGTGGTGGTTGTGCATAGCGATCGGACGAGATTTGCGCCTTCTTGTCGGTTGTCGAGAGAGTAGACGCGCTCGGTGGAGGGTAGCCAGTGGGTGATGTATGACTTGAGCGAGGAGACGACAGAAGGCCTGGCTTTGGCGGGTTCGACCTTGTCTAGTCCTTGTACGACGGTGAAAGTGTTTGAAATACCCTGGCTTTCAACCGATTTCAGTATCAGCTCACCCTCTGCGTCCACTTCCTCATGCGCCGACAGAATGAAGACAACGAAATCGGCGACACGGCATGCATCGAGAGCGGCGAGAAGGTCCCTCTTGACGATCAGGTATTGCACTTTTTGCTTGAAGCGGTCGACACTTGTGCGTGTCCATCCTGCCTCTGGGACCTCCTCCTCAATGTCCAGACTGGAGTTCAGGCTGCGCACAGCTGCCGCAGTGGAAACGTCCGAACACAGCGGGATGAGCGCAGTGATCCTCGGCGCACCATCTTTTCCGGCGAATACGTTTGAAGATTTGGCGTGTTCATGGTCCTTGTTGATGCGCATCTGCTTGGCGCGGTTGCGGCGGTCGATCTTGCTCACGACTTGTTGGTGGGGGGTCTTGCGGCTGCCGAACTCAAATGAGAGGGAGTTGACCTTGCCTGGGAGATACAATCAGCATAGTCGAGCCTGGTGGTGGTGAAGGACTTACCCTTGCTCTGTTCCTTGAGCGCGCCTTTGGTGGCATGGCGAGACTTGAAGCCCTTCTTGTCCTTCTTGGTAGTACTGCGGTGGTGGTGCGATTGCGCAGCGATGGGAGCCATGTTGTTGCCGCTGCCACCTGATTTGAATCTGAAAGGAATCGACGCCACTTTGACTGCACTAGGTCAAAGACACTGCGCAACACTGTTTGGTGGTGGAGAGTGGGATGGCGATAATTTTGAATCGTTATCGATAACCTTGCCTAAGTGGAATAATTTTGGTTCCTCGGCTGTGGCGTCATGCGCAAGATCCCTGCATCCCATCCCTCGACTCCCTTTTCACTTCACAACTCCACTCTGCATGTAAAAGTTACAATGATCAATCTATCATACTAACTGATGCGAGCTGTTAGTCGAATACGCTTCGTAGATAGATTGCCAAGTCGAATGATTACTATAACACGTCTTCAAGCGCGCCACACCTTCGTCTTCGTGCTAAGGTGTAGGCAATGAACGACTCCGCTTTGGACCCTTACAAGTCGTAACTTGACGATGGTTACGTTCATCGTTGTAAGGTAACTCTATGAGGGTCACACTGTTCCCCTCACGCTCGTTTCTATGGTTTCCTCATCTCTCTCTATTAGTCCTACTGACACTGGCAGTCGCGTCAGCGTTGTCTCTATAACTATTTTCGACAGTATTCGTTCTATCACAGATGGACCTTGCGATGCCGACAATTTCTCAAGAGGGCGCGAAGGAGCCGGGCGTAGGGTCAACAAGGCAGACGTCTAACGCGAGCTGCCAGACTCCCGTTGCAAAGCAAGCCTACCAGCATACCCGTTTACGCAATTCAGCTAACCCAAAACCCTCTGCTTCACAAAACACTCACCAAAGATCCACTCACCGCAATCCACTCACCGCAATCCGGGCAACTCAAATAATGATTCTCAACTCAACGCTCCAGAATCGTATCCTTTTAGGCCAGACCAAGTCGTGGGCTACGATACAGGCTTGCAATTCCCTTGCGATAGGACTGCTGCAGTCAATGTTCTTATCCGTGTTCTCCTTGATATACTGGTATACAGCCACGATATCGACTTTCATGAGCTCCATCACGCCCTCGCTGCATCTTCTCCCCATCTATGCACCGCGAACCTCTCTACGCGAAACACGAGCCTTCTGACTTTCCAAGAAATGCGTGTTGTCCTCGAGTACGCCGATGCCACTCATAAAGCATACGAGGCAGTCATCGACAACACCCAGAGCCTGCTAAAAGATGATGACCGAAACTTCATCATCGATTATATAATGCAGCCAACACGGACCATTGGAATTGATGTCGCTTACATTTTCGAACAACTGTACGCTTTCCGGTCACACAGGTGTGATAGTGGAAACCATAACAAGACGTTACTTTATACTAAGACTTCATTCTGGACGCGACGGCGAGGGCTGCTACCCGGTAAGCTGGGCATGGACAAGAATCAAAAGCTACTTGCACGTCGACTCGTCTCGGACGATATAGCCGTCGCACAGCTCGGAATAAGATCTAACGAAGCATTCAGTTTGGTTCTGGGCAAAGTGATCAAGGAACACAATAAGAAGCACTGCAGATATGGTATGGCCAACATCAAGCGAGATGTCTACGCCGAGCCCCCGTTTGTTGCATTGAGGAAAGAAGTTATGTGGTGGGAGCTCCTGAGAACGAAGTCAACCCAGGATGGAGGCCAGCCTTCGAGCATAAGCCTCCAAGCAGATTACAGAATGAGCCAAGAACCAAAATTCAGAATAGCAGAACAACAGAATCTCGTGCTGAGCAACCGGCCCTATTTCAGAATGGGTAGTCAACCGGATGTTTCACCTCGTCGCAACAGCCACAATACGCGCAGGCCACACTCTCTTCACGATCTACAGGCTATACAGGAACAACCCGAAAGGCCCGCGAGACCGCAATCTACCTCTAATATACGCTCCTTTGTTCTGCCTCGAACGGATCCGGCTCGACCTGAGTTATGGACGAATTATTAGTACGTCGCACGGCGCTGAGGCTTCTTATTGATTGCTTCATACAGCTCTCGCAGTCTGCATAGTGTTTTACTCGTATCTTTTCGATACTCACAAGTGGTATCCGCTCAGTTGAGGGATTTCCCTCGATTCTTCCTGGGTATCACCATGTGCGCATGTCGTTGTGGGTTCTTATGGAGTCTTTTAAGCTCTTCTTGTTAATGAGAAGAATAATGTTTTGGGTTAAGATACATTTTCCAGGCTGCCTACTCAACGCGATCACGAAGTAACGAACGGAGGAACGATGAGAGCGATAGCTTAGGGACGACGTTTTCTTTTCGCGTCTTTCCAGAGACTTACACAATAATATGAATTCTTCAATTTGGGCGGGAATGAGTTGTGGATCATAATACACGAATGATTGCATTCCGCCATTTCCGGATCAGGTCGCCACAAATATACCAACCCATTGCCCCGTCATTACACCCGCAGAGACAAGGGTCTATATCTCTACTTCCAAAAACAAACAATCCTAGCCTCAATACTCTCCCTCGGCTCTTCGTCCCCACTTCCCTTGACCCTGAACGCTGTATGCGGACACCTCCACCCCGCTTCCTCCCTCTTCGAATCCAACCCTTTGAACACTACCATCTCCCACGGCTGCATATTGCTCATATACCACCACTCATGCCTCTGCTCCTTCCCTCCATGACTCATAACATAATTCTTGCTCTTATTCCCCGTCCGACTAAACTCTCTTAATCTCACCTGGTAATCGCTGTCTGGGACGGTGGTTGCGTCGCATACGGCTAACGGATCTTTTTTCACGGCTTTCAGGGGGCGCCAGGCGCCGAGGAAACAGAAACGAGAAGAGGTGATGAAAAGGTTATTGATGTGTGAGGGGAGGGAGAGTTCGCTAAGCGTGCCGGTTAAGGCGTCGGGAGAGCCCTCGTAGTCGACATGTGGGTGACCAGAGGGGATGTCTTGCCAGCGGCCATGAGCGTCCTGGATACCTTTCTCGGTAGGCGAAGAATGCGCTCGGATGACGTGATTGAATACGTGGGCGGTTGATGCACCGGTTCTGCGAGTGGGCGGTAGTGTTAGCTATCTCACTCTCGCAGACAGTTTTCGCTCCGTCATTCGCGAGTTGTTAAGATGCCAGGGGGGCATTACAAGTTCTTAGTCACTTCCTCCAACTCGGGGTAGTACTCTCGCTTCACATCTTCTTCACTACTTCCTCGTCCTACTCGTTCCTTACGCGGCAGCGTCACGAATGTGAAGCCGTTCACATCTAAGTCAAAGGTCTTATCGGCCTTTCGTACATCTCGGATGAGCATGGAACGGGTGTGTTCATCGTTATCGTGCAGATATTTCGTTCTCCATGCTGACTTGGGGATGGGTACACCTGTCGCAGGGAAGTAATTGATGTTGGCGACGACGTCGGTGCTATGTGAGTCTTGCTGCATTCTGCAGGTAAGAAGACTGAGCCTCGAGTATAAAACAACAAAGCGGTGAGATGTAAGTTAGATCCATTGTAATAACATCTATCCTGGAGCATACAGTTCGTTGAGTCGCTGACGCGGATCCGCGGGCTGCATATGTAGATGAAGTGGGGTAAGTGCACACGAATAGCTAAAAATCAGCCTGATGGTTATGGCGAAAATGGTACGGTCTACCGGGTGCGGATTCACAAGGCTGAACTTCAGCCTTGCATCCTTCCAAGATTGGGGGCTGAGCCAGCCGCGTGTGCGGGGTATGTTTATAACAGCGCTGATGACCGCTACCATGTTCTCTACCTCATCGGTCCGACTAATCAAGCGTCTGTAAATAGTGGGGATGGAGGTTATCTCAGGTGTTGCTAGCGCCTTCGCAGTAGTATCTCTCTCCGTGCAACTGCTTGATAAGGTACATAGTTTCTGTGAATTCTGGGAAAAGGTACGGGGTGCACCAAAGGACATCGTTGGTTTGGTACGAGAACTTCGTCTACTCGAGAGTGTGATTCGGGAGATACAACATAAAGAGAAGCAATATGGACCAGATGCGACTCTCGACCCGATACTACGAAACGTTTCGATGCAAGTCGACGCACTACTTGCAATCATGGCAAAATACAGGATTGGATTAGCATCAGACGGCCGCGTGTTGCGCACTTGGAGCAGCTTCAAGATATCCTTACGCAGCAATCAGCTGATGCAATTTCGACTCTCTTTGAGCGAGACCAAAGCTACGTTGCTATTGGCTCGATTCAATCTCAACGAGTGCGTTTATCCGACTCGGACTCTAGATGGTTGGCTGATAAAGACAAGAAAGTACAGTATCGTTTTCACGAGCAGACAATGACTGCTTTGACTGAAGGTTTTACAAAGCTCAACGTGCATAAGGCCGGTGGAACAGTTTCGACAGAACTAGATGAGCCACTCGATGTGCAAGGCCATCTTGCGAGTCTGAAATCGGAAATGAGGCGAGTCACTGCTAATGTCCCTCAGCCCTGGATTCAGTCTGGCATGCAAGCAGCCATTGACAAAGCGGTAGAAGGCATGGCTAGTAAATTAGTTGTTGGAAATCCGACTCAAGGGGAAGAAGACAGTCGAGAGAGACTGGGTCGTACAACACACACCGAGGACTACAGTAGTCCTGGGGCAGACGTAGAAAGTGCCAGAAGCTCCGCACGATTGGATAACGACTCAAGACGCCGACGAGCACGACACCTTGGATCAGAATATTTCCATGGATCTTACGCCTCAATCTCTCATTCGTTATTTGGTACAATTTACCTCAACACTAATAAATTCTTCGTTGAAAACCCCGCATTCACGGACGAAGGCGGAAGTTCGAGAATAGGAACGGAGATAGAAACACAGTTCACTTTCTATCCTGCAAGCTGGCTCATGTGGTGGGGCCTACGATATGGATTCCGAATCACTCTACTGAGGGAAGGAACTGCGTGAAAGAACTCCTTACAATCGTTTCACGCGGTTCCAGATAAGGCGCTCATCTTCGAGTTCTGCGAGCAGGGAAATGTCATGGCGGTCAACTCTCTGCTAGCTAGTGGCCAGGCATCACCATGGGATACCAACTCTAAGGGATGGACTCCACTTCATGTAAGCTTACACGAATGTGCCTCTTGGTATCGCCGATATTGGCTAATAGCCTAGGTGGCATCTTGGCATTGCAACATTCCTCTCATCAAGACTTTGCTGCGAGCCGGATCAAGTAGACAAGCTCTGACATTCGATTTTCCCAGTGGTAACTACGAGCACTGGTAAGCTCAGGATCTGTTTAATGATCGCTTGATGAACTGACAGCATACAGCTCCCCGTTGGTGACCGCTGCCACAATCACAAGCACGATACAAGTACCCTCGCAACAAAGAATCGAAGCACTTCGTTTGCTCTTGGACGACTTGGAATTTACAGACCATGAAAGCCAGGCCTGGAAGATGGTCTTGGTGGTTCTTGAACGAGAACGAGCATCGACTGGTCTCTGCGACACTACAGAAGTCTCAGAATGGATTCTCGACACGTTCCTGAGTGATATCCGAGCGAACCACTCCCCTCCTATCGTTGCATGGTTACTCACGTTTTGCCTTGAAAGCCCTAATCTGGTGCGCCGGGTGCTTGATTTTGTTGGTAATCTTGTCAATGCTAGTGTTGTCGAAGGTGGCTATACGCCTATGCATGGCAAGATTGCAGAAAACTTCTCGGATACGGTAGTACCTGGCATTAAACTCCTCCTCGAGCATGGCGCCGACCCACACCGAGTGGGTATGACATCTTCGTCCTATGGTGGCGATGATTCACAACGACTAGATACTCCCACCTCACTAGCTCTGCGGAGGTCATCTTGGTTTTTTAAATGGAGACAACTTATCCGCGATATGGGGTATGATATCAAAACTTTCATCGCCGATGAATTAGCTCAAGCGCCACTGGTGACAGCTGGTTGGACGGTCGAAAGTCTCACGAAACTTTTCGAGCTGGAATTTGAACCTGTAGAGCTGGAGCCCGATCTATGTACGCAGTGTGGTCGGACCGTATATCATACGTTCGACCATGATGAGGTTTGGTGGAATAATCTGCTTTATGACTTGAACGAGGAACCGAAAGCACGTGTCGGTGACTACGAAATGCCGCTGAATTTCCTTTCGACGCTTTGTAGTGAAGGCGTCCAAACAGATGAATGTGAGTCGCCCGTGTCGCCAGTTACAACTGCTTCCTCGGACTCGAGCGGCGATATTGATCTGTGCTGGAAGTGTTCGATCATGCAGAGAATATATGGTTCTAACTACGTACGCGGTCGGTTGTAGATAGATCAGATCTGCTGAAATCCTACGTTTTGCACATCGCGAGCGATGAGCTCGAGAAAAAAGCTATTGAGTGTCTCAATCGAATAGTAATCATTTCTCATATCTCGTAGCCTGTCAATACCGTAGATATTGTCTAATCCTGATTTCTAGCGTCGCTCAAGAAAGATCTTTGCTTTAGAGAATCGCCTTCAAGATGTCAATCTGCTCCATGACAGCGCTCTTGCTTGTACCACCAGTGGCGTTCTTCAACTCTACTGCGCGCTCATAGTCTAGGCATTCAACCACGTCGTCACCTAACCGGGAGTCAATGCCCTTGAGCTGCTCAAGGCTCAGCTTGTCCATGGGAACATTTTCAGTCTCTGCTAGGGCAACGACACGTCCCGAGATGTGGTGACCCTCACGGAAAGGTACGCCCTTCCGGACAAGGTAGTCTGCGAACTCCGTGGCTAGCATCTCTGGGGCCAATGCAGCCTGCATCTTGTCGACATTGATGTTCAGGGTTGATAGAACACCAGTAGCGATCTGGATGGAGTCGCTGACGGTCTTGATATGGTCGATAAGAGGCTCGACAGACTCTTGCAGGTCCTTGTTGTAGGTCGTGGGTAAGCCCTTGATGGTGACATATAACCCCGCCATGTGTCCGAAAGCACGACCACTCTTTCCCCGGATCAGTTCGAGAGAGTCTGCGTTCTTCTTCTGTGGCATCAGGGAGCTTCCGGTCGAATAAGCATCAGCTAACCGCACGAAGCCAAACTCGAGACTTGAGTATATGATCAAATCCTCCGCCCAGCGCGACATCTTGAGCATGAAGCTTGAACCCCATTGTAGTGTCTCAAAAACGAAGTCGCGATCTCCGACAGCGTTGAGTGAGTTTGTGAGCAGGCCTTCAAACCCAAGCTCCTTGGCCATGGCATCACGGTCGATGTTGAAGGGGTTGCCTGCCAGCGCACCGCAACCGAGTGGGGAACGGTTGACACGCTTAATGACTTCGCGGAGGCGCTCGAGTTCGGACGCGAAAGCGGTGGCATGCGATAGGATCCAGTGCGACCATCGGACTGGCTGCGCCTTCTGGAGATGTGTGTAGCCGGGCATGAGCACGTCAATCTCAGCCTCTGCTCGCTGTACCGATGTCTTGATCAGGAGCTTCAGGTAGCCTTCCAGTGTCCTGAGCTGCTCCCTCAACCATAACCGCATATCGGTCGCGACTTGCTCGTTCCTGCTACGCCCTGTGTGAAGCTTCCCTCCAATGTCCTTGCCAATGATCTCGCTGAGTCGTCGCTCGTTGGCAGTGTGAATGTCTTCATCGTTGGCCTTGACCTCGAAGGAATTCGACGCCCACTCTTCCTTGATCTGTGCCATGCCCTTCTCGATGGCAGCGAACTCTTCGGCGGTCAGGATGCCATTGTTCTTATTGGCGCGAGCGAACGCGATTGAACCGGCAATATCTTCGGCGTAGAACAGACGGTCATATGGTAGAGAAGCATTGTACTGCTCCATGACTGGGTCAAGGCCCTCTGTACGCGTCTTAGTATCCAGTCATCGTAAGTGTTTACAGGCTCATTCGAGCCATTGGCTTCACAAACCTGTGAAACGACCTCCCCAGAGCATGTTCTCTGCTACTTTCTTTTCGGCAGCCATCTTGAGTGTATTGAGAGGACAATGTTTGTGTAATTGGATTGTGACTGTTTGCGCGTTCAAGAAAAAGATATGACGCTCCGCATCGGCGGCAGGGGTGCGATAGCGCTAAAAGTCGCGGGGAACTTTCCCTTGTCTCCACATCGACTAAACCCCTCAACCACTATAGACTCATCAACACCATTAGGTAAACATGACTTATGCTTTTACTGTCAAGACAAGGAGGTGTTTCAACAACAACAAAAAATCATTGATTGATGGTACATGCGACATACATCAAAATGACAACGACGAGTATCATTCGACTACTGTGCATACACGCTATCTCAGCACCTCTAGAAGCATACGAGTACTCAGAGTTACTATCTATCTAGAGGATTAGTAGAAAATTGGGTCGACATATCTTGTTGTAAACCTCAGCAGAAGAAGCGTCGCCAATAGACTTTTCTGCCAGAAGTCTCCTGGCTCAAACCGGCTTCCAACGCACCCAATGCATAGAAGTGGTTTGGAGTATGCTCCGATGGCTGTAAAGCAACACGCAGCTCAGTTCCAGCAGGGGGATGAAATAGTTCAGAGAGGGGCGATTCAGACACAGGCTGGGATACTACGCTGTCCTTTCGCTCAAGGGTTTCGTCTGATTGAGCCTCTGGTTGTCGCTGGGTTTCGACAGACGAGCCTCTAGATGCTTCTTGTTCTGATTTCACTTCTAGGCTCCGTACTATGGTAAACGTTGGAATTGGAAGAGGCGTTGGATGCACAAACCTTTGCTGACGATATTTGATGATTTGTGGTTGGTCTGGCATTGGTGTTGCGGGCTTCCAGCTCACGGGCAGACAAAACGTTTGTTCTACTGCTATGTAGGAGAATTGCGAAAGTTCGTTAATAACATATCACGGCTGATGTGTAGTGTAGTCACGGTCTTCGTGGTTTAAATGGAACCGGTGGAGTTACCATACAATGCTGTCGAAGCGCATTGTGAATGTGTGGAATGGCCGTATCTTGGTTACGCCTTCTGGAGTGCAACGAAGCTGTTCGAACCATTGCCTAACAGATGTCATCACTGCTGCAGTATCAGACTACTGCGAAGGCTGAGATATCGGAAATGTCATTATTCATTACACTTGGCGTCAACGCCAGTAAATGCTAAACAAAAGCAGTGGTATACAACTCAACCAACCATTTCGCTCCCAATCACAGCTCCATCACACTCCAGTCTTTTCATCGCAGTTCAAACACCTCCCATAACCGCGCCAACAACACTCAGACCGAGCAAAGCTGTAATGACCCAGCTCCCACTTCCACCAATCCTAGCAGCTGCACTAGCATATCCACCATCGTCATCAATCTTCCTCGCACCAACCGCCTTTTCCGTGTTGAAGCAGCCGAACATGCCCATGCCACTCGCGCTGTCCTTCTCGTATTCCTCCATCTTCTGTGCTAAGCAACTCTGAACGATGTTTGGAGAATCGGTGATGCAGTACTGGAAGCAGCCGTCGTTGTCTTCAGAGTTGACGATGACCGGCGTTGACGATGCTGATATTGGTAATGTGGTTGTGTCGGGGGCGGAGTATGTAGCGATGGCATTGATGTGTCCGTTGCAGCATGCGTCAAGGATTGAAGAATTGGAACCACCAACAGGTACGGCGCAAGAGGGGAGTGTGGTGGGTGGTTGAGGGACGGAGGTGAAGGGTTGGCAGGACATTGTTGCGTTGATAGCAGCCGGTTATGATCGCGCTTGATCGGAGGATGGAGATTGCTCGAGATGGAGTTGGAAAATTCTTGGAACGTTCCGTAGACGAAGGGATGGTGTAATCGTAACACGGGCTGTCGTTGTTGGTATTAGACACGACTTGCGCGCTATTGGAAATTCGGCTCGCAATGAGTAAATGAGAATATCTGAAAACCGATGGAAAAACTCCGTCGCTATGCTGAGACTTGACTGAAGGAAAGAAGCAAGTGAATTTGCGAATGAAACACTGAGCTGCTCGCGGAACACACTCAAAAGGAAAGAATTGAATGGAATCGACGGAAGGAAAGAAAGTTGTTTGAGGCTGAGAATACAGTACCATCATCGCAAGAACAGAGCCTCATATGTACAATCCAATTTCTAAGAATATCTCGGGTGGATAGGCCGATGGGTAGGCGGGTAGTTGACAGCGCGAGATCTAGCGTTACGCGCCGACCCACCGGCTGCGCGACGCGTTGGTTGGCTCGCAACGTCTCGTCGATGTACGCGCTAGAACCACGGGCAGATCCGAAACGACACGTTCTGTCGTGTTTGAAACGTTCTTATGCTGATTCTGAGTAGTCGTTATGCCTCCCTTTGTCCAATAAAGGCGTGGAATCTGCCGTGTAGTAGGCGTCACGTGTGAAGGATCGAACCATTTCCGTTGCCGCTGCGCTAAGCAAATGGGAGAGCTAGATGATGAGGCTCATTAGTGGCTGACAAAAATGCATGATGAATGCGGTTAAGGCCGTTCTATCCGTTACGATATGAAGTCCATGATAGGCAGAAATTTGTTGCCGGAGGATGTAACGTAGCAAAGACACGTCTTCTTGACCGGTTGTGCCGTAGTATACGGTGCGCATCAGATGGTGTACTTGTAGGCCACATTCGACCCATACAACATTCGGGTCCTTCGAATGCAAAATATAAATCTAATGTGCCACCAACATGCTCCGGAAGATGACGATATGCATCCTACAAAGTGAGACCAGCTGTTGCAGGTGACATCACTCCTGATTATTCTCGTCTTCGTCTTCATGCGCGGCCGCCCATGGGCTTCTCTTGCGTAGTGATACGCCTCTTCGCTCAAGCACGAAAGGTATAGGCGCTAAGCAGATCGCGATCGCCATCAGTACTAGGCTTGCATTTCTGGTGCCTACGCTCAAGAACAAGTGTCTTCCGACAAGTGGGAACCCAGCTCCAGCGAGATTCCGGATCAGCCCAATTCCGGCAAGTGCTGATGCTGAGTACGTTTTGTATGCATCTTCGGTGTAAGTAAGGGTCATAAGGACTAGGTCGAATCGTTAGCGCCATCGGGTTGATGTTAAACGCCTGGGCGACTTACTCAGAGTATAGAATGACCACCCCCAGAACGCGCTGGCAAGCACTGCAAAGAAAGGATGTATTTCTGGCGTTGCAGTGAGTGCGAAAGCCAAAAGAGAGACCGGCAACACGATAGCTGCCAGTTTCGCGTGATGCACTCGCGCCTCAGGAACGTCACGATGGCCAGCCTGGGTGACCTGTCGTTGGTAGTATCGTTCTTGGAAGATATTGGTGACTAAACCAAACGTGATACCCACAACGATTCCTAAGAAGGAGATACCCACACCGATGGTATCAAAGCCGTATCCATTTGGACCAAAGATCATGTGGAATGCGCCGTTGAAAAGGAAGCTCAGGCCGTAGAGGAAGCCGTTGTAAAGCGCACCAAATTGCACGATAGCCTCGGAACCTAGAAATCGAAATGGGCGTGCGAGTGCTGTGCCGAACAACTGTTTTGGTCCTCGCTGTTTCATCTCATCCGGCACCTCCAGCTCTTCGTCACCTGTCCGCTGTCGCAAGGTTCTCGCTCTCCTCAAGAGGATCATACTGTGTCTGGTCTCTCCTAAACCATATAGTGCAACAACCATAACAACCCAGAAGGTCAAGCAGATGAAGAACATGATCCGAAATACAGCATGCCATGATTTACCATTCGCGATAAATGAGAAGAGCACAAAACCAGTAGGGCTGCCGCCTGTTGCCGCCCAAAGAAACCATGACATAGCTGGCCCGGTATCATGGTGATGAAAGAGATCCGCGATGGTGCCTCCAAAGTTCGAGATTGTCGTGGATGAAAAGTAACCCGAGAACAAGCGCAAAACAAGGAATGGCCCCAGTCTTTCTACATATGTGGTTCCCAAAAGTAGCAAGAGAAATAAGCCGTACGACCCGATATAGACGGGTCTTCTTCCAAAGTATTCCGAAAGAGGAGCCAAGGTCATAGGCCCAAAAGCCAATCCAAGCACATACATGCTTAATCCCAAAACCGCGACACTTGGTGAGACCCCCATGTCCTTCGCAAAGTCGCTCGCAACAGGGCTAAAACCACTTGCTCCCCAGGAGACACTGAGGTCTATCGGAACAATAGCAGCGACCATTAGCCATTGTCGCGCTTTCGACCAGTTCCGCGGGTCGTCTGGGTCGTTGGGTTCGAATGTTATGACTTTGGTAGGGGAGGCCTGCAGTAGAGGCTCGCTCTCCCTCTGAGAAGAGCTCATCACTGCGCAAGGGTCGATGTATCTGTGCTTCCTCCTGCTGCAAGGCTTGGTTGTGTAATGGATGTTTTGACGCGTGTTGTTGTTGGAGCAGGTTGCAACTTGTCAGGTTCATTCAGTCCGATAATGACGTAATCGAAGCTAGTCAGAACACTATTAACAACTGTTACATTTCCCAATAATGCCAATCTACATCCCAAACGTCATACCAACTACAATCTCGCGCGCATCTGATCAGCCACTTTTCCCGTCTCTCACCAGAGTCCGGTATGCAAGTTCCCATATCAGTTGGGTTGTTACACCCGGGTCCCTTGAAAGCCATGATGTTGAACCACTGGCAACCGATCAACATCGACCCACCCATCTTCTTCTCTTCTGTGCTTGTATCGCCTGCTTGATGCGTAAATACATTCCCGACCTTGCAAACCCTGTTTGTAGTAGACTTACATTGATGCATAATACTATCGAGTGCTAGGCCGCACTCCTCTCCATTCAAATGCGTAATCCCCTGGCTTTTGCACGAGTTGTCCAGGTAGGCAAAGATCGAAACCAGCGGATCTTTGTCGAAATTGAACGATCTTTCATACGCACTTGCAAAGCCAGATGCTGGTCTTGGCCTCAGCACTTCTCCTTGTCCGTGGTCGCAGAATTGACTAGCAAAGTCATATCCGTCAGTAGAGCTGAACCACCTCTCCCGTGGCTCGCTGCACGTCACAACTGGCGTCGCTGAGGGTGTTGATTTTGTTGTCGATATCGATGCGGAACTGAATGTGACCGTAGGCCCGTCGTCAGTTGTGTATGGACATGCATTGTATGGCGAAGTCGTTGATGTTGCTTCCGAGTAGGTCAACGTCTTCTCGTCATCTCCACAGTTGCAGTATCCTCTAGGAACGCGATCCCCCCTCGGGCTTGCACCATGTATGCAATAAGGTCGTTCGGCGTTCGAGTCACTGATCAATTGCTGTTGTTCATCGAGCCATATCTTGCCGTTGTCGTAGACTGTCATGTCCCCGTCAATTGCGCTAACAACTTCGCCGGTCGTCAGACAGTCGCATCCCTTCCAATCGCCCTGCTACATCTTAAGATTTGAACATAGGCAAAAAGGAGCCACAGACGTACTTCAGAGCATTTTTGGTTGCGTTGAGTATTATCTCCTTTGCAAGTGGTGTTCGTACACAATGGCTATGGGTTCGTCAGCTCGCAAGAACCTTGCTTTTCCCTCCAAATTGATACGAGCTTACCGCATCTACTCCCTGCGGAGCGTCTGCCGAGCAATCATCATCATGGTCATCGTCCCCGCCATCAGCGAGGTATGATCCGGCAGCCATCGTCCAGGCTGATAACTGTCCTCCAAGTTTCCAGGCAACAAAAATTTTTAAAGCTTGCGAAATGGGAACTTTCGCAAACCTCAAGATATTGGCGATTTCGGGGACGTTGACTGTGGGCACTGTGGCCAGAGCTCCGGTATCGATGAACCCCAGCCTCCTCCCTGGTGCTAGTTCTTCGTTAACTATTTGAGAGAATCTTTGATCGATGTTGCATGTCTGTCGTTTTCTACGGGCGCTACACGCGATTTCCGCCTCAGTAGCCAATTTGTTCAAGACGTCCACTAATTTTGGGGAAAGTGCGATGCTGACATCACCAGGTACAAGGCCGCCTCCGCTAGCTGTCGCCGTGACCGCGACAATGGCTGCTGGAACAGTGGTGACGGAAGGTTGATTATCGACAGTCGTGGTGTATACCACATCAGTAAGGTACTCGGTATTCACTCCAATCCACTACTACCTTAGTGAGCTGTTTCACACGATCACTTCGGTTTACTCACCTTTGTTGTACTACCATCTGATTGATACCAATGCGTATTCGGACCAATGTTCTGGCTTCACGGGGCGCGTTAGATATATAGTGTGGTGTAGTAGGATAACACGTGATCGGAGGGACAGTATATATACTAAAAACCTTTCAAGAGAGAAAGGCAGCTTCTTTCTTCAATTCCACTCTAGCGATTGCTCTCGAACTACTTCTTTCTGCTCCTCTATCCGATTGCGGGTCGAACACCTGCCTCCTAACTTTGCTCGATACCTTATCGTACTACAATAGTCAAGATTGGTGTACCTCTTGAACTCACTTTATATTCGGCCCAAGGTCTGTTACCGGGTTGACGCCTATCTGACCAGGTGCAGTTGGAGTGACAGCATTCCGTTGGAAAGAGGCTGTGATATCTTGACTGCTTGCCCACGGAGCGATCAGTGCCACAAGAAACAAGAAGTAACTTCGTGCCATGAGTGTGAGACGTGTCAATGTTGGATTGAATGAAGGCTGGCAATGTGATGAAACATAAGACTTATATATCACTCGGTTTGTGATTGCTCACCAATGGTCGCTATTCATGACTAACCGCCCCAGATTCACGAATCTTTGGATTAGATTCGAGTAGAACGGTTTATTTCGAGTCGGCAAATGGGGTCTTCATTTTCGTCCCTCTTTGAGACTTTGGTTTCTCCGCCCCAGGCGGCACCGACAGACATCTTGATGAGACGTTGAGATTTATGACGTTGCAATTAATCAGTTGCAAATCAAACCCACTTCCTACGCAGGATGTACAACTTGAGATTGTCGTCCTTGCGGCGTTCTGCTATGGTTTCCGTCAAGACGCAGCCCTGCACCACTATGCCATGCAACCAAAAAGGTACGTATGATCAGTGAACTACTGATCATGGTGCAGGATAGTATATATCGTTGGCCAGACCTGACAGTTTCGATGTTTTCGGAGACCGAATTTTGGCCCTCGTAACGGCGTCGTGCAGAACACGAGTTTCGTCTGAGCATGCGGCTTCCCAGTCTTGGCCCCATTTTTATTTCCAACAACCTCCCATGTGTGGCGTCATTCACACCAGTTGTGGTGACGGTCTCTCACGGACCTGTCTGTATCATTGTCCACGCCCCCAAGCGGATTTGAAACTGCCTAGACCGCCAATCAAGCTCGAGTTGACCTCACAGCGCCGCTCCCTGAGGACAGGAAGAGGACTTTATTCTGTGACGACAGATATCCAATGCCCGGTGCCAACAAGCGGCGTGCTTATGCACAAGCATATCAGCTCCTACCCGATGACACCAGAGCAATGAGGACGAATCATACCAACTATTATGAGAACCTTATCTCAATTTTCAAACTCCTCAATCTCCATACCGTGGCCTTGTGAGCCTGATACGGTATACGGGGCCAGGTTGACAAAAGGATACACAACATGGTGTCATGGTATTCCGCACAGAGTAAGAATGTGGGAAGCAGGGATGGAGGTGGATCTGAGAAGCCAAGGTTCCAGCGAAATGGAGTGCCATCGTCTTTTATTTGTTTATGTGTCATGATTTTTAGGTTCCAACGAGTCGTTGTAGTTAAAACTGGAGTTTGGTTGACTGAACTACAATGCCTATGAGACAATATGCAACCCCCCAAATTTTGTGGAACGCGAGTATGGATGCATGCCCATTGTCAATGAATATGTAACTCGCTCTTAACTACATCTGACATCCACAGCGACTAGGATACTCCTACGCCGAAGAACAAAGTCCATCTCTTGAGTCATTATACTGTAGCTAGTGAAATAGTATGGAACTTCGATGCTGCTTCTACTCAGGACCACTTGTGCATTAACTTGCAACACTCGCACTGCGGTCAAATCTCTACTCCCATTCCCCGCGTGATTTTGAAAGGCCATATCTTTCCCCTGCTCTCTCGTTGGAGATGTTCGTCCTCGCTCCAACTAGCGCATACCTCGAATTCCCTCAATCCTTGTACACCTGAAGCTTCCAATGGAGTGAACAAGACATGCTCATAGGCAGCGTAGACGTCTGGTGCCCAGATCACCATGTCAATCCGCAAATACTCCAATGCTTCCATCTTTGAGATCTCTGACCACATGAGTGACCAGCACGACGCGTTGTAAGGTGGATCGCCCTCGAGGAAAAAACGCATCTCGCGCGCCTCGGCATATGACCATCTGAGTCTCATGAAACGAATAGTTTGAAAACAACGAGGAGAAAGAAGGCGGTGAAGGCAGAAGAACGCTGTGAGGTTGGGAATTCGAAACGTATTGCAGGTGTAGATATACTCTGTCGCTTCGATGTATCTATGACGATTTCAGTAAAATGCCATATCACAGGTAATGAAATGGGAGATTCAACAACATCCATACTTACGCTATCTTGCATGACCCTGGAAAAACCAAAAGGCTTTGTGCTTCAGCACATCTCATTTTAAATGGGATGGTTTTGTCTCCATCCTCACGAAGCTCAAGCTGAAGTTCTTCCCCGCCCATGGCATAAGCGTACACGAGCCTTCGTAGCTCCAGAGGTAGTTTTTCAAAGAAGAGCGATTGTTTTTGAAGTGATGTATCCGTGGTTGAGCAAAGGTGAAAGGCACAGTCAGTCTCTACCTTTGGTTCAGGGAGGCGTGCATGCCATGAAGCACTAGCCTCTGCTCCTAGTTTTTTGATGTGCTCTCTACGTTCCCGCCTTTTCTTTGCTATCATCCGTTCATAAGGCACGACGACCACAGTTTCGATGATGTTGTCCTTGAGATCGCGCATGAGCGTCGAAGGGGAGCGCATATTGGTATGGCTAGAGGTCAGGTGTCGGGTTGATGTTTCCTTTTCGAAAGAGCGTATAAAGAGGCCCTCGGCAGTATGTGCTGCTTTCAGTCAAATACCAGATTTTGAGATCATGTGCAGGGTGGGCAAGAGCACCAAGCTGCGGCGTCAAGGTTAGCAACAGCTGTCGGACTCCGAAAGATGTGGAGGAAGCACGGCAGAACATTTACACAAGGTGGGGGGCTGTTTCATGCTCTCATGCACCGAGGGGCAGATCCCTGCACTGATTGTGGCATTGCATGCGGCGCAACTATCGAATACATGCAAATCTTTGGAACAAAGTGAACGATCCTAATTGCCTAGGTAAGACATGCTGATAATCCCAGTGAAAGAGTACATACATGGGAAACCGTGCCCGAGTTGGCGGTTAGACACCCGAGCAGCCTGGGGAAGGGTCTTGGAAGCCTTACATTGGTCACACAAGCCTTGGGAGTCGCGAGAAGTCATGATAATAGGGGCCCATACCGGTAAGAAGCACGTACCGTCATGACTCGCCTAGATGAGAGGCTATTCATGGGTACCGCCCGCAAACCACTCCCGCCAACGATCCTTCACACGCTCAAGTGAAGCCACAACCACTCGCAATGGGATGTGTAGTAGGGTCCGGTTGCGCGAGCACCTTTGGGAAGGTATGAAATAAAATGTGGGCCATTTCGTCTTCTAACAGACCCTGTCCTCGGTCGCTTTCCCACCGAAGGGCCGATTAGCGTGCCTTCCCCATAGCACTCTCTCCTCCTTTACCCCGGATTATGGCCAGGATCAACGAACTTGGCTACAATTAATTTTCCCGTGTACCTGGATACGAACTGTATAAGAATGGGGACCAAATCACCCTCCAGGGCAAACAGTGCTCGCTGGTGCCTTCTATCTACAACATGCGCTCTACTGTAGCGACCGCGGCAGCGCTTTTGCTGCCTTCGACATCATGGGCATTCCTGAACGCGAGCCAGAACAACCGCAGTCTGACCATCTCCAATGATCGGCTCGTCGCGTCAGTGAGCAAGACAAGAGGATATGTCAATGTACTTACTCTTGACGGCCAGAACCTTCTCGGAACGGAAGATGGCAACACCGGAGTTGGTCCATATCTCGACTGTTACTGCACTCCAAGTGGCTTTTGGACACCCGGTCGTGGAAGCAATGTTCAGTACCAGCTGTTCAGCGGCAATGACTCCGCTGGTACCCCATATGGTGGTATCAGCATGGGTGAGACCTACGCTCCAACTGGGCAGAGGCTGGAGCAATACTGGTTTCTAAGGGAAGGAGAAACTGGTCTGCACACCTTCAGCCGCGTAGTGTACAACAACAAGACCACTCCCTTCTTGCGCAATTTACAAGAGTTCCGTACGATGTTCAGGCCCAACCATGAACCCGCACTCTTCACACACTTCGTTACCAACGAGAAGTTTGCTGCACCTCGCCCAGATACCGAGGGTCAGGTTACTGTCCAGGATGCTACATGGTATCTGCCCAACAAAGAAAGTCCGTATGTCGAGGGAGTAGGAGACTACTTCACCAAGTACACTTTCCAAGATACATGGCGCGATCACAAAGCCCATGGCATGTACGCCGACGGTACTGGGAGTGCCAATGGCTCGTCTTACGGCGCATGGCTCGTCCACAACACCATTGAGACCTACTTCAACGGCCCTGTTCATTCTGATCTCGTTGTCGACGGCATCGTGTACAACTACATGGTCTCCAACCACCACGGCATCCAAACACCCAACATTACCGATGGCTTCGATCGTACTTTTGGACCCCAGTACTTCCACTTCAACTCTGGCGGTTCGCTCGAAGAACTCCGAGAGGACGCAGAGCAGTACGGCCTCCGTCCAGAGTGGAACGCTGAGTTCTACGACTCCATAGCAAAACACGTACCGAACCTCGTCCCAACATCCGGTCGTGGTACCTTTAATGCAAAGATCAACCTGCCTACCGGAGCCAAGAACCCCATCGCTATCCTCACAGAAAGCGGCCACAACTTCCAAGACAATGTCTTTGACACCAAAGCGTACCAGTACTGGGAGGACATTTCCCCGGACGGCGAAGTCACCATTACCCGCGTAAAGGCAGGAAACTACCGTCTCACAGTCTACGCCGATGGTATCTTTGGCGACTACTACCAAGACGACGTGGCTGTCTCCGCCGGAGAAGAAACTTCCATAACAGCGACATGGACCCCCGAGTCAGCTGGCAAAGAACTCTTTCGCATCGGTGTTCCTGATAAATCCTCGGGTGAATACCGCCACGGCTACGCTCAATCACCCACAAACCCCCTCCTCACAGAAGAATACCGTCTCTACTGGGGTGCCTACGATTTCGTCGATGAGTTCCCCGAGGGTGTGACGTACAAAGTCGGTCGTGACGACGAATCCCAGGCACTCAATTACGTCCACTGGGCTGTCTATGGTGGAAAGGCAAACTACGAGCGTCCTGTGCCTGTGCCCGATCATCCGTACAACTGGACTATCCTGTTTGATGCGCAAGCAAAGGAATTGAGCAACAAGACTACTGCTACCTTTACCGTGCAACTCGCTGGTGCGAAGACGGCGGCAGGAAATACGGATATCTTCAATGCGAGCGAGCCGTATTCAAATCTTCCTTATACCGTTAATGTGAATGGAGAGGATCTTGAGCCGTGGATCATCCCGTAAGTTCCTCCTTATTCATTCATGCATCTCCTAGTCTATGGTATACTAATGGATACTACAGATACAACCAATCCTCATCCTGCGCCGTTCGCTCAGCGGTCATCTGCTACAACCTCGCTCACAAATTCCTTTTCCCGACTTCTATGCTGAAGGACGGTGAGAACAGTTTGATTCTCAGTTTACCGTACAACGGTACAAACTACGAGAGTGCGTTGTTGCCAGAGTCGGTATATGTACAGTACGATGCGTTGAGACTAGAGGTGAAGTAGATATACATCCAGTAGATGGAATTGAATATAGAATAAATATGATGTGATCTATAAGCTCAGGTCCAAGACATAACTCCATGGTATGCACCGCTAAATGTACACTTGCTCTTCTCCCCCCTATCATCGTCGTCTCTTTCAAAGTACCATTAAGCAACCTCCTCAACCATCCTCCCACTAAACGGCTTCTGGGTTCCCTTCTGCATCTCCCCAGCGAACACACTGCCAACGGGAGCCTGAAGCCACTCATCCGGTACAGCAAGCTGAGTCCCTTTGGCATTCTGGATGTAGCGTACAAAGAGCGGATTCGCGCGTTCGGGCTCCTGTTCCACCTCCTCGCCGTCTTCGTTGAGCTCGATCATGGATTTGCGGCCGCGCTTGGGGGGTTGTTTCTTGAGGAGGCGGTTGATGGTGTCGAGCTAGAGACGGAGGTTAGTAGCTGTGCTATGCAGATAGTGTGGAGGAATGAACAAACCTTCTCCTCTTCGTTCCTCTTTTCGCTGAGGTTCTTCCTTCGTCGTGCCATTTCTGCCCTTCGCATGGCGTGTTCTTCTGCTGTGAGGTGCTTCTTCTTCTGTGCCTCGTTGGATAGTGCTAGGAGTGCGCCATCTTCTTCTTCGTTGATGAGAGCGCGTTGACGCTTCGTCATCTTGCTGACGTCGGGTGTCTGGTCGCGGCTGAGGTCTTCATCGCTGTCCATTTCCTCGTCGACGTCTCCACTAGGTGTGACACCCATGTCGTCGTCTTCCTCGCCCTCGGCATCCTCGTCTTCGCCTTCTGCATCTTCCTCCTCGAGGTCAGAGTCGGGATCACTGAGGTCGTCATCATCGTCATCATCCATAGCCATCTCCTTGGCCTCGACTTTGTCTTGCGCTTTTGTGAGTTTTATCGCTGGCGCTGGCTGGACGGGGATCCCTCTGCTCGCGTTCACGACAATTCGTGGTGCTGGCGTGTCCTCCATATCGTCGTCTTCGTCACCCTCGGCGTCCATGTCTTCATCCTCATCCCCTTCAGCGTCTACCTCGTTCTCGTCCGAGTCGTCATCCACGTCCATAGCATCGACCTCCTCGGCGTCGTCCTCGTCCTCGTCCTCATCGTCTTCGCTGTCGATTTCCCGCACTACGCGACTACTCCGTGACGCGCGTTTACCGGCAACTATGTTATTCCTGCTGACGCCTGCCTTTGGCACAGCCCCGCCGGTGGCCTGTCTGAGCTTGTTGGGCGATGACTTGACGGTGAGGTGTATCGACTGGCGCGTCTCTTCGGGCGAGGAGCGCTGTATGAGGGCGGCAGCGGGCGACTGGTTGGCAGTACCGCGGCGTGGGCGAGTCGAGGAAGCGGTAGGGGTCGCACTGGAGGCTGTTAGAGGAGCTGGAGCTGCGCGCGTCCGTAGGCGAGGCATGGTTGTAGCGGAATATAGAGAGTACAGAGCAGGACGGGCAAAAGCGGGAGAAAGCAGGTACGAAGGATCGCGACGGCGTCAGATAGCCCGTCCGTACCGCGGGCTCAGCGCAGGGATGTGCAAGCGGGTGGCACAAACGTGGTGTTGAAAAGAGGGCCTTTTGTGGCAGTGATTGCTCTCTGGGCATGTGGTACTCGACGCGCCGCCCTTGGCGATGGGTGCAAGTCATTCGCTCGCCTTGTCAGCCACATACCTGGTGCTGTTTCCTCTCGCATCCCATCCATCGCCCTCGGATTCATCATATTCGGTGCTTATGCGTCGCATTCGTTTGGCCGCGCGATCTGCCATGGCTATGATTGGCACAGGGATATTGCTTAGTTTGGATGTTATTCCAATTGGTAGGTGCGGCGATTTCACGCGTGTTGGTCTTCGGTCATGTCTCAACCTTCAGATGGAGATTCGCCGGGATCTTCCCCAGGTCTCTCAAAGAGGCTAGCGTGGATCCATCGCAAAACATGTGAGAGCACCAACATTCCTCTCTTTCACCCCATTACAACACCAAGAACCGTATGTGGTAGTGGTACAGCATCCTGGAAGATTCAATTTGATGATGAGAAGTAGATTCCATCATTTGAGCAAGATTACTCCAAGCGGCTAACTACATCGACGTTCCTACCCACTGTTCAACCCCATACAGCCTTGATAGTCTCCTCAAGACCCTCCTTGGGTACACCCAGCTTCTCATTCCACAAGCCCTCGGATGAGAAGTCGCCCAGCTGCTGGTCTTTGGAAAACGTAGCACCCTGAATAAGGAACATGATGCCTATGTAGTCTCCCGATTGGAGCTTAGTACGCCCCTGCTCAATATGCTCCTTCGCGCTGGCCTTGTTGACAGTCCACTTCGCGCCAGTGACTTTCTCTGCTGCAGCCAGGACCTCGTTCTGTGTCGTCTGAAACCCGCTGACGTAGACGTATTGGTTCTTAGTCAAGTCTGCGTGCTCAAGTGCTTTTACACTTGTAACACCAATTTGGTGGAGATTGGTAGCTGAGAAGACGGCCTCGCCATCATCGAAAAGAGTGGCAGTCTTGGATTTGCCGTCAAAGCCTAGGAAACCGACCTTGAGGCCCCAATCAAAGAAGGGACCAGTGACAATGCTGGTCCAGCTGATCTCCTTCTCCTTGCTCTTGAGGTAATTGACTGTGTTGAACTTGGCCTCAAAGACGGGTACAATGTCGCGAGTACGCTTGTCAGGTGTGTTGCTTCCGTACTCTGAGGGGACAAAGCGCTTCACTCCCGCTGCGATGGCGGCATCGATCAACTTGTTTTGGTCGCCCAGTGCCGTACCGCCGACGAGTGAGATGACAGCATCTTGGCCCTGGAATGCCTCTTTTAAGCTGTCGAGGGAATCGTAATCTGCGCGGATAACCTTGACACCTGAAGAAAAGGTAGATTTGGAGCCCTGGCGAGAAAGGACGGTTGTGTTGAAGGAGGACTCTTTGAGGAATGCATCCAAGATAGAGGGTCCGAGGTTGCCGCCCGCCTAATATGATTAATTAAGCTATACACACATAATTTAGGAAGGATACATACTCCAATGATAATTACGTTCTTGATAGACATGCTGTTGGATTGTTGGTGTTAATACGTGAGTTAGTTCGATGTCTTATCTGGGTGTAGAGTATATAGCAAAGATTGGAGATGCTGGTATCGCTGTGTTTGTGATTTGTTTCGACGTTAAAGACGACCTCTTATGTACAACTCGACGAAGACGTGATTATGCATGGCTATGGTGCAGGTACAGGGCCCCACATCCTCAGTTCCTCACTTTCCGCGTTGCTTTCAAACCTCCGCTTTACAACCGCCCTGCTTTAGTAATGCGCGCATAGACTGATGGCGTACCAGAAGCTTGTTCGTGACGAGGTATCCTTGCTCGTGATACTAGCATTGGTCGGTACGTAGGAATGGAGTCGGGGGACTCAACTGCCGTGACAGGTCGCTCTCCAGAAGCTTCTCTGAACAGTAGGCGCAGCACAGTTCGAGGCCCTGTCGCCAGGTCTTGGTACCGTAGTTACACCGGAGCTATCATGCCACTGGAACAGGTTGTAGGCAGGGAAAGGACGATTGGGGTTGCTTAGCAAATCGCGCGGAAACTCACCGTTGCGCCAAGACGCTAGCTCAGTAATCTAAGTCGTCCATCTTGTTACTTTGTATTTTCGCACCAGCCTGTTCATACTGCTTTCCACGAACAAAGTAGTCACTAATTACTCAGTACCCTCCGTCCTGGTGTCCGAGCACATCATGTTACCATCCCACCACACCACCTTGGGCCACTGCCACAAACTTATCCCTGATATGCTGAGTGACCGACGCATCTTCGCCCCATTCGTGTACACTCGCGTTCAACGCTTGCTGCAGCCAGCTCATCATTTTCTCTACCTGGCCCAGATTCTGATAGCATTTCGCGATATCCTGCATCACATAAATTGCACATTTGTCTCTATACGCCGGCTTTGCCTTGCCAACGTCTTCTATTTCTTGTCCAACCACGGAGAAACATATGGATAAGGCTTCTGCCCATTCCCCCAACTCCATAAGGACATTCTCGAATTCCCTTGCTGCTCTCCTCGCATTCTCCGAGTGCACGCCGAAGTGAGTACGCGCGAGCTTGAGAAGTTCATACCCGGCGTGGTATGCGCTCTCATAGTCCCGTTTCCTGCGAAGCAGCCTGACGTTGGCTGATTGTGCTCTGAAGCATATGGGGTGCGTTGGCCCCAGTTTGGCGTTCAGTTCCTGCAACATGCATAGTAATGCCGTATCAGAAACCTCAGATCGCTCAAGATGCTTGGAAAGATGCGAAGCGACGACGTTCAATGCGTTGTTTTCTGTAAACTTGGTCGCGAAGTAACTGACCAAGAACCTGAATATGTGACCACGGAGGCAGGGATCAATGCTGATGTTGGCTAATGAGACCGTAGTAAGCATCTCATAGATCGACCGGAGTGGATTCGTAAGAAACTGGTAAGGGTCCTCGATCGCAGTCTCAGAGGCCCTGCGGAAAAGCTCAATGGATTGCGCCAGTGATCCAACTTTACGTATATAGATACTACGGCCTGTTTCATGCCAGAATGGAAAGTGTTCGTCGATGTCGAAATATGCTTCGGCTTCGCTAGTCTCGAAGGTTGCCAGAGTCACTTGTCGAATAGCATGCGTAATGCTTTCCACGCTGTGCAAGTCAGGATCGACCTGTCGGATAAAAGACGAAGCATTAAGCAGCCTGACATTAGAAGGCCTGGTTGTAGCCATTGCGAAGGCGCTGGCATCTGAGCATAAAATGCTATTACCAGTCCCTGCCCCAGACATATAACGGAAGTCCCAGTCGTACGGGTTTACAGAGCGCGACAAACTGGTATTGGCGGCATCATCAATTTGGGTAGCAAATCCAGTAGAAGTTGTCTTCGAAACATCTTTCGGATAGCGCGAGGATCCAAGGGCACAGTTGGGTCTGATTGGAAGGTCGACACTGATAGTGTTGGCTGAACATTGCGAATCTGGATTATATTCTCCAGCCGAGAAAGGACTCCAACTGAGGTTAGGTGTTGGAGTCATACTATAGGCCATAGTTCGGTTCCCTCGTCCTTTTCGAATACCCCATTTATTGTCGAGCCTGTACTTATACATTCGAACACTTTAAGCTCACGCTTAGCTTGACCCTCGAAAGCACCTGCTAATGATACCCGGGTAGTTATGACGGAATCGCGCGCTTCTCACCTACCTTGCTTTGAACTGATGATCAGTCTGCATAATAGTCCTGACCTCGTCTATTGTGTACCGGTGGTAGAGCGATGTGATACGCGCCCGATGACATTCCCAGTCAGCCTCAGTAGGACCTGTAGCCTTGGCATAGTGACTTGGCGTATGTGGAACCATTTCGATCTCGAGTATTATTGGTTTGGGTAAGGGAATGACGATTTGTTGAACTTGAGAGAGAAATCAGTTTTAGACTCGCGGCTGTTAGACCGAACGTCAATCCACACATTCCCAGGTATAGGCAAATCAAGATGTCAATGGGTATAAAATCCTGCTGCAGCCATGTGATATAAAGAAAGGAAGTAGAGAGCGATTTGATCGCTCTCGAGAAAGGTCACTGCTAGTATAACCGCCGATTGGTAAGGCTGTATATGCATGTATGCAATGAACGCACAACTTACATAGCCTCGAACCGGAAACGATGGTTCGTGTCAGCATACTCCCGGGCAAGAACAATGCACATTAATTTGTTCTTCACTAATCGGGTATGGTGTGGGAAGAGATGATTGTTGCGTGGACAACACACAAAGCAGTAAGTGAGGCAGAAGTTGGGCTTCAGCGCATAGACAATGCATAACGTGGGGCAAGCCTGCAGCGAAGGACAACGCCCTGTCAGCCTTTCTATAACGGTTACTGCGCATAAGCCAGAAAGGGCAAAGCATCTAGGAAAGCACGAATCACAGCTCATGAGGCGGCTCTATGCGAAAAAATCGCAATAACCTGCTCAACGTGCATTGAGGGGTCAACCAATAAGCTGTTTCCGCGTATCCAAATCTCACTATTCAACCAACGCAAAAGGATAGGTTATTTTTGAACGAAATCAAGAGGGTTATTTGCTCTAAGAGTTGGTGATAACGAGTCGATGTAACCTCGTTTGCCATGCGTTTTAATACGTAATTAAAACATATATCTTGCGCACTCCCATACCATCTGAATTGAAATTGTTCTCCTCACATAACACACAGTTTTGCTGCTAGCACCTTTCACAGAACTGGGCCAACGATTATGAATGTAGAGGTTCATGCGAAGCCTCTCTCTTTGATCATGGATCATCTACCCACGCCTATCGATGGAGAACATCCTAAAGTCCAACTTTACGTTTTCAGGGAAAAGCCATGGATGCCAGAAGACTTCTTCACATTGCCGAGTGTATGGAATTACGACAACACGCTCGAACTTGTCGAGATTGGACTCGGCACTAAGATAGACGACCGAAAAGTCAACGAGTTTCTTCAGTCTTGGCTCTTCTTGGCTCTGATTGCTCAGGTTCTTAATCAGCCTATCTATAGCGAGAAATTCCGGTATGGAGAGGACCAGATTCGCACCAAACATATTCTTCCAGGATTGATCAAGGGAGCAATTCAAAAAGAACGAGAAGAAACCGACCTGATAGCAACATCGCGTGACGTTCGTTTTCGATGGTCGAAAGGCAAAGATGATAACAGCCTCCATGGAGTGAGCCGCGAGCAGAAGAATCGATGGTTCAGGGCATCCATGGCGCTCGAACAAGCAAGCCGATTCATTACCAAGCACTGCTCTTACAAACACTTTGCCAAGGACGGGAGAACGTCCCCAAATCCTGATGAAAAGGTCAATGAGCCTCGCGCCGATGAATTATTGGTCTTGTCGATTGCAGTACTTGGCGAAACGTTAGAAAAAGCACGTCCCAGAGCAGTGTCACTCAGCCAAGGCCCACTACAGTTTTTTCGTGACCATGGCGACAAAGAGACAGCATGGGGCTACAACCCGTTTTGTCGACGAAACATGCAAAAAAGTGGATATTTCCCACTGGAGATACGCCGAATGGAGTCGTCGATTCCATCAGTGAGCATTATTTACTACATCTGCTTCATCAAGAAGCATGATAGGCCAACACACACAGCGGAGTGCACAGTATGGGCATGTAAAGGCAAAGGCAAACGACTGGATCCGCTGCATATGAAGGCTTCTTGCCAACAAGAGGGCTATGGGACGTATTGTAGGCTAGTTCAGATCGAAGACCGCGAAAAGAAGCTGAAGAGAATCATCCTCGGAGAAGGAAAGATACCTCTAGTAGAGTTCGCTGCGGGGAAGCTAGAGCTCAAGGGGTACTCCTTGAAGGAAGAGCTACCAAAGTTTGGGGTAATGTCGCATTCATGGGAGGAGGCGATCGTGCACAGCAAGGTTGACAGTTCAGGAGGTGATGTTCGCAACATGTTCGAGTGCCAACTTGAGACCTTGCAAAATACGTTCAACAATCTTCACTCGGGCAGTCCAGATGATACAGCTACAATCAATATTCCTTTCTACGTGGATGTCTTGTGTATGGCGAAAGACCCAACGACCCGTGCAGCGTCGATCAACCAGTTGAAATTCATTTATCACAAGGCCTCTGCAGTCTTGGTATGGGACAGGAACCTGCTTCAACGGTAAAAGCCTGGAGACATCTTCGAGACCTGCATGCGGATTCGAACAGGCGACTGGATCACTCAACTGTGGACATTTCAGGAGGTTGTCCTAGCACAAAACGGTGCGATCCATATTGCTTTCGACAAGGAAGCAACAGTCAGTGTTAGCGAAATCCAAAGAAGAGGGACAAAGCTCGCGAGAATCTCACCGACACTCACCACTACGTACGGAAAGCGGGGCACCCTTTCAGTAAGGCGATCAGAAATCTTCGGAAAAAGCCCGATCATCGCGTAGAGCGAGCATGAGAAGCTGTACAGTATCGACAAATCAACAATGCCGAGGATGAGACTATTGTTCTCGCCAGCGTGCTTGGGATGGATGTCGCCGCGATCCAACAGATCAACACGAGTTCGACGGACCGAGGAGATATCGCCAACAAGCGTATGGCGAAGTTTCTTCATATGCTAGATGCAACACCTGGACTTGGTATACCATCAGGTATAATCTTCCTTCCGGGCTCCAAATTATCTATTGAAGGTTTCGAGTGGGCACCCTCGACATGGCTCACGAAACATTTGCACCCCCATAGGCTATTCGACCCTGCTGGACAAGCAGCCACACTCATGAGAGATGGCGCTCACGTGAGATTTCCTGGTATTCTACTGCATTGTCCGAACAAAGCAGTTGAGAAACCAACGTTCTGGTTTCCAGTGCATGAAAGCATGCACAAATGGTTCAAGGTGAAGGTCGACATTGACCCCGAAGGCTGGACCCAATTCTGGGAAGATGCCAGCTGCTTGGAGAGCCCGGAACCTGCAATCATCATGTGTAACGGAGATACGCGAGACAAGTGGGAAGTCGGCGTACTGGTAAAGTCCAAAGGATTTCTGAAAAAGGGCGAGATAAGACGTGTTGAGGTCTTATCCAGGATTTGGATTCGTCTCGAGACTAACCCAAAAATCATTAGCGATTCGATATCCAACATGCAAAAACACAGCGATCATGTCATGTTTGGAGAAAGGTTGGACGTTCAGCAGGAATGATGCGTAGGGGGGAAACGTGTAGAGCTGCTAGGTAGCAGTAGTACAGTTCAGTAGATAGCAAACGTATAAGCAATTGCATCGGCCTTGTATTTTGGTCGTAAGAGTCAATACAAAGAGTAATAATAGCAATCGTATAGGAAGATAGTTGCAGATGGAACAGACGCTAAAAGCAAGAAGAATCATGCCTTGTGCAATTAACGTAGCATGATCTCGAGCTGGGAACGTGACCTGACAGAGCTTTGACCGGAGCAGCCCCCTACCTATACTTCAGCTTCTATCATCCAAGCATTAGTGAGCTGCAGAGTTAAGGCAACAGTCTCAGTTGAAATGCGACTCTTCATTCGTCAAAAGTAGGTCGCGTGATACAGTGTTCCCGGGAGTCTGGGTTGATGTGTGGCATGGAGAGGCTTAGACGCCAACGCTTACACGCTATGGTATCGACTGTGCAAAGAGCGGTGTAAGTCTACGCTCTTCGAGAAAATCCTATGGACAGTCTCGGTAGCTAGAAATGACTATAAATAAGGGCCTACTTAGTCTTACTTCTATGTGTGCTTGAGCTGCAGCAATGGTTCGGAGGATGAAGGAGAAGAGGGTTGGAGCGATGGTGGAAATTGCGATGGGTATACCGGCGAGGAAGCCGGTAGGAGTGAGAATCACAGGGACGGAAAAGGTGTTTGTTTTGCGGCAGCAGACAAATGAGCGCGTAGATGGCAGCGCGGAGCGTCTAGCTCCAGCGATGGAGTTGCCAGCAGTCTTAGCTGAAGAGCACGTGGGTGGAGCTCAGGGTATAGCGAGTGCCGCAGTTGGTGAGTTCGATGTATAGCAGTAGTCTCTGCAATTCCCGTGATCTGTGAACGCCTAGTGTTCGACTGGGGCTTTGCGAGTCTGGCGTTGGTAGGGGGGCTAATGGATGTGACAATAGTTGGGGACGTAATTCGCAAGTACGGGCGGCTGTCATGCGCAGGATATGGAGGGGAGTCAAGGGGGCTGTATTGTGAAAACTGTGCGGGCGGCTAGAGTGCCCAAGTTGCAAGCAGTTGCCGTGCATAGGTTGTGGCTGTGAGACATAGGATGCCCAGGTAATCGCGTATAACCGGTCATCCAATGGTAGTATCCATTTCCGCGGAACATGAGTTGCTCAAGTGTATAAGTTACAAAACATCAGTGTTATGGCCGTAGGTAGTGTGGTGGAGGAATTATGGGAATAGAGATCTGAAGGGTAGTCGGAAGGCGGAAGTGAAAAAGTGGGGTAGGCGAAGTAAAAAAGAGAGGCTGATCCGAAAGGCGTTCGGACAACAACGAACATCAACAACACTCACTACATACATATAATGCTGTTCAATCAATACCAAACTTGTATTAAGCACTCGTTCCGATAACAACGTCCCAGAACATCCTACTACAGTAGTTGAAGCAATAAAGGATCACGTGTTTTGGTTTCTCCCCCTTCATCATTCACACCTTCTTAACGATGCACTGTGTAAACACTAGGAGGGTAGTGATGGGTGAATTGATTCGTACTTTCCAAAAGCAAACTCGATTGCGCGGCGAGTCGACACCATTTACCAACCTCTTGCTACAACGTGTTTTGCAGCGCGCCACGTGAGGAGATTCAGTTTACTTCGACGATAAATACCTTGAGGGAGTTGCTAATCAAATTCACTTTCGACGGAATCGTAGCTCCACGAGGTAAGTTCTGGCGCACGCTTCTCTTCGTGAACACCGCATATCTTATAACAGCCAACAGCAGCTGACATGGAGTAAGTATTGTGCGACCCGGAGGTCTACTTTCTTTTGCTAACACAGGTAGTCCAACTAACAGAATGATCAAATTAAGACTTACGAAAAATTTCAACGACACGAGAGATCTCAATGTCCATTACGAAGTCCTGCGCAAAAGCTCGGGGTTTTTCAGGACTGCCATGAAGCCAGAATGAACCAGAGAGGAAGAGTAAACATATACCCTCACTCTTCCCATCGACTCTTCAGACATCGTCAGCGACTACATCATATGGCTTTACTCCGACAAGGTGCCAGTCCAGCTATACCAACAACGCAAAGAGGATACACGCGAGAAGTCGCACGAAGAAGCGGAAAAGGTATTCGTTCAGCTTGCAAGAGCATACGACTTCGCGGAGAAGATTATCGATATCAAATATAAGAATGGACTTGTGAAGGCTTTTGTCGCAGCCGTAGCAAGTTCTGGCTGTAATATGGGCCCAGAGAGTGTCAGCATCGTCTATGGAGGCACCCCTCCAACATCTCTACTTCGACGGTTCTTTGCTACGAATGCTGCGTACAAGGCCCATGTCGATTCAGAGCACGGAGTTGGCTGGTTTCAGTTTATTGAAAAATATCCGAGGGAGGCATTGAAGACGCTACAAAGGCCATTGTGGGGATACGCAGGATACTCTGGGCTTCCTGTCCTCGCGTAAACGTTTACCTCGAGAAAGAGTAGTTTTGGAGTTTCTTCATCAAGAGACTATTTGGCAAACTGGATCAGCACAAGATTAGAACCTGGTGGCCATTAATCAGAGAAACGATTGATCACTACCATTGATCAGTCAATTTAAGCACTATGTCAAAGCTCGTTCTTACTCAGCTCTCTTGATTCTCTTCTAGCACCCACTAGAAAGCACACCCCATTGATCATAAAACGCTCTCTTCACCTCATCGCACAGCACATCATTCGCTTGGTTGATCTCCGCCATCTTCCCAGTGGCTTCCTTCTTGTCCTGCTCAATATAGCGATCGGGATGCCATCTCAAACTTAAAGCGCGATGCGCTTTTCTGATCTCGGCTGCTGTAGCATTCCGGGTAACACCAAGTACAGTGTATAGATCTGTGGCTGGTTCGACGCCTTCTGGCCGTGGTGGGACATGGCGGTGAGATGATGATGATCGAGTGTGGGAGTATGAAGGAGGAGGGCCGGAACGGGAAGAGCGAAAAGAGCCAGCCGTGTACGAATCAGGGGACGCGTAGGGCTTAAAGTCGGTCGGCAATGGGGAGTAAAAGGAGTAAGTCGAGTCTGAAGCGTAACACTCATAGGCTGAAGGTGGGTGGCGGTCTTCCGTAGTGTAGTAAGAATCATTACATGAAGAGGTACGAGGAACGTAGGCAGACTGGCGAGGTAAAGCGGACCTATCCTGGCCGTGAGCGTGTTCGTAATACCCACCTCGCAGTTCAGGAGGGTTATTTCGGTAGTCGTAGGGAGAAGGAATGTACTCTGGAGCGCGACGACCCGGTACACTCGAATCCTTCTCATGCTGCCTCTGCACGACCGCAAAGATGCTAAAAATACTGTCCCTCATATCGGAGAAGTCACCGAAGATGTGATATATATCTCCATCTTTTGGATTTCCTAGACTTCCGCTACGCCTAAGCAAGTCATCGTCATACGAAGAATGAGTCGAGGAGTGTTCGGGGCGCGATTTGCTGTCTTGATATAGCTGTTCTAGATATCGTGTAGTGGCCAGAGACTTATCTGCATTAAGGATTCGCTTGATGTATGCGAGGCTACGTTCGCAGGCTTCTTCGATGGTGTAGCCTTCGTTGCGGCAGCGGATATAGTAGGTTTCTCTGAGCTCTTCTTCTTCTGCAGGTGTGGCCATGGCGGTTGTGTAAGCAATTAGTCCTTGGAAAAAGAAAGCTGCACTGATGTGATCAGTGTCGCATTGTGAGGATCAATACTGCTTCACACAACGACAGCTTCGTAAACAGCTCGAGTTATCATTGTAATCACACTTGACTTGGCTAGGTTCATAGGTCAAGTACAGAGACCTAGCGCTCAGTATGTATCAGCTTTAGTATCATCGTTTGGTGGTATCGTTGTTCTGCACGCGTTGTATACACATATCGTACATGCCCCAACCTCTCATCACATGGGCACAGGCGTCAGATGCCCATCCTTATCATACTTCGCTTTGAAGAACGTATAGCTCAATGTGACAGTCTCAATGCCCTTCATACTAGGGTCCTTTGTAAACTCAGGATCGATGTAGAAGAAGACCGGCATGTCCACCGTTTCCCCAGCGTTCAGTCTCTGTTCCTCGAAGCAGAAACATTGGATTTTGCTAAAGTACGGGGCAACCTGTCCAGGTGTGACGGAGTAGGTGGCTACACCGATGATGTCTTCCGGTGATTTGTTGGTCGCGGTGTAGAAAGCGAGGGCGGTTTCACCTGGAAGCACTCTGACTTCTCGTTGCTGGGGAACAAATTTCCAGGGCAAAACGTCGGATACGGAGCCGTTGAACGTTATTCGGATGCGTGGGTGGTGTTCTACGGGCTTGAGACGTTCGGAAGGATCGACGGATTGGTCGCCGCCGTGGGCTGCGGACTTTATGGGCTGGCCTCCCCAGCCAGTCTCTTGGCAAATCTGAGGAATGCATTAGACTGATTTTTTACGAACAAAGTAAAGGTCCAAAACTCACCATCTTGTAAAATGGTACCGAGCCATAACTCAAGGCTGTGAAGCCAATTATTACACTAAAGACATAATTCCTAAACGGTCGTCAGCGATTGCGCCTCGTCCTCACGGCAGCTTTCGCATACATGACTGTCCGATTCTTAATCTTATATTGCGCATGCATCTGGTCCATCCTCGGAACAGTGCCATGCTGCCGCGCAGGATTCGTGGTGTTCAACCATCTCCGTGCAGCGAATGCCGGGTTGCGGGCGCGCGGTATCCGGTTAATTGAGCGGGAGCATGCTAAGCAAGTCCAGGATCCGAGCGATCGTGAAGGAATTTGTCGGAATGGCGATGCTGCAGACATGTTGTGTTGTAAGAGTCAAATACTCCAACGGCGGAAACCTCGGTGGAGTGATGAGCAATGGAAGTTCACCGCGGGATTTAGCCCGATTGGGAACGCGTCTTGGAGCAAAAGTTCCGACCTGGACGCGAACGTCATCTTCAACATTCAGCGCAAACATTTCTACGACACGCATCCTTCTCTTTTCCTCTCAATCTCGAAAGCGGAGACGCCCAGTTATTTAACAGATGATGGCAGAAGTCCTCTGCGGCGTCTGCAACGCAGAGCCCAAGAAGTACAAGTGCCCGACTTGTGCGCTTCCATAGTACGACGCCATTTATAACCTCTGATACACTTACGATACTCATCGCGTACAGCTGCTCATTATCCTGCTTCAAGGCGCACAAAAAGACACATTCCGACAATACAGAGACCGCACCCAGACCAGCAGAGCCAACTCTCCCCCAACCACCACCTCCCGCCCCAATACCACGATACCTAAAGAAGCGCACCGACTTCTCCGTCTTAGCAACAAACCCGAAATTCCAAACCCTACTCAAGACCCATCCGACCTTACTGACTTCCCTCCAACGCGTCTACGCCAAGACTATAAAACCAGATCCTGAAGATGAGCGGCGACGGCGCATGCTGGAACGGAATGCTTTCCGAGGACGGGGAACACGGGGAAGAGGCAGAGGGGGGCGAGGTGGTTGGAATAGAAACGAAGAGAGGGAAGAGAGGTGGACCCAGAAGAAGGGAGACAAGGATGCGATGGCCGAGTTGAAGGGCATAAGAGACGGACAAGGAAAAGACGGCGAGAAAGATGCTATGGCTGAGTTCGTTGAGCTGGTTGAAGAGCTTTTTGATCAGCATGAAAAGGATGCTATGGAAGAAGTATGATACGCGGGCTACAATACCGCAACCTTGCAACGCCACACGGACGAAGCAGGCCACCCCATCAGCCAAGGTGTGCAAAGAGGCTCGTTCTTTGTGAGTTGCACTTTTGAAGCTACTTTTAGCACAAGGCACAAACTCAGAAAGAACAAGCTTCTTCGCACATGATATCGCTCACTTGCAAAGTATGGCTTCGATGACAAGCTGAACGCCAGGAAAGAAGTTCCTACAACTCAAGATCTGAAGACCTAGATTCTCATATTTTGGGACTATCTTTTTGGAGTGCCGGCGGAAGCATGCTTATGGTTTCCTGTAGACAAAAGCCGTTCTACACTCCTCGCCAGCTAGCACGTATACTTGATGTTCATTTCCACTCTCGGCACGCCCTCAAACTCCTCAGGAACCACATAGGAAACATTGTAAAACAAGTGGTTCCTCAGTGCCGTACCATACGTCACGTTCTGCTTCACCAACCCTTCGGCCTCAACCTCAATCTCGACACATGGCAAATCTTCAAACCCTGTTATCCGTCTTCCGGTCCCCAATGTCCAACTCGGTGGTACGTTTGACAGCGCAAACGTGAAGATATCGCTTCCCTCTTGTGTTCGGTTGGGGTAGCTGACGGAAAGATGGTTCGGTGAGGCGACCGCGTGGATCGAAGATGCGGACGGATAGAGGGAGAAGAAGGTGCTAAGCGGAAAAGGCTTATGGTCCTTGTCTCCCGCCCAGTGAACAAGAGCCGGAACAAATTGATCCCCTCTGTTTTCCTCTTCATCCAATTGTTGTCCACCGATCATCAACTCCTTACTGATCCAACTTGTCGCAATCCTCGCCTCTCCCCCATCAAGATCGTCGTAAACCGTTCGATTCAGCCACCTCGGCTCTCCCGTAAAGTCTCTTGTCGTAAACGCCTCTTCCATACCCACAGGCAGCAGCGATTTCACGCTGTCAAGAACAAGTGCAATAGCCGCCCCCTGCGCAACATCATACAACAAATCACCCTCCATCTTTTTCGGCTGTGTCGTCCTATCCTGTCCCCAAAGCCCCCACAGCACCAACGACAAAACAGCAGAATGCTGCGTGATATCCCTCGTATACGCCCTATCGTACGGGCCCACCACATTCCCCAAATATCCATTATAATGTTCCGCCAAATCGCCCATCATCCTAGGCAGAATGTAGTGAGCAGCAGCGGTCATACTCGAGTTACTACCACCGTATTTTATCTGCGCTCCTAGAGCCCAGACATCGATACCATAATATGTCGGCGCGTTATACTCGCTCAATGTCTCCGCGCCTTCTCTTTGGAAGAGCGCTAGTATCTTCTTTCCTTGGTCTTCGGCGAAAGATGAGAAGGTGCTGTTAGACCGTCTTGTACCGATGAATTCGCAGAGTAGAGCGCGCATCATAGCTGGGTTTGTATAACCAATTGTTAGATTGTCGTCTTCGGTGGGGTAAGACCCATTTCGGCGCATGCTACCCACAGCGGCGATTTCGAGGCTGTCTTCGATGGACGTAACTAGGGGCGCGGAGAGGAGGTGCGGAAACTCGGAGAGAATTTGGATGAGCTGGGTGCCGATGAAGTCGCGCCAGTTGGGGTCGTATGTCGTGTATATCTTTGGTGGGTATAAACCAGAATCTGGCGTTGGGTCGGGTTGATCAGGAGATAGCTTGTATGTTCCGTACCATGGGGCGTCGAAATCGTCGGTCATTTGACAAGCCAGTCTATTCTCGTATCGTCAATCTCTCTTTTTGCTCTCTTTTTACTTCGCAAAAGCTCTACTATACGTACATGTTTCTGATAGAAGCTTCTGCGTGCTTTACATCGTCTCCCTGGTTCCTATGCAGCAGTCCGGCCACATACCAAGCTGTGAACCGAACGGACCATGGTCCTTTATCAGAGTACTGGATAAAGTTGTATGATGCATCGTAGCGGTTATCTTGGATGTGCATGGACCAGTCGAAGAGATCTTGAGCATCTGGATCGTGGTTGTTAGCGGGAAATGTTCGATTGTCGAGTATGAGGACTTGGTTGGACGTACTTGGAGATAGTGCAGTGTTACTACGCTTTGTCGCTGCAGCACCTGCTTGCGCTGCAAAGCATGCTGCTATAAAGCTGGCTGCCTTCATCTTGATCCCTAGATGATTCAGGCGCAGACACGAGATTCATCATAACATCTGTTTAAATGCTCCCTTGGCTAAATGCACGTCAGGACGGATAACTGTACCCGCAAACAAATACCTCCGCATCATGAGCGACGATCTACCCCAGACTTCAAGTTTTCGGCGCAGTGCCCGCCGAAGTGTAACTTCGTGTGTTCTAGTGAAGCTTGGAAGGATTGAGTAGTTGCATGTGTAGTGTGAGTTCAGATTGCCGCTAATGACGCATCGGGAAAACATCCCGGATATATTCCCATAGGTGTCTAGACTCCCGAGGCTAGTATTCAACTTCTGAGAACGGGATTGATCCATGAAGAAGAACGCGTATCGCGGATAGGAATGTGGTATCATGGATCCAATAGTAGGTTACATAGTGGAGGGGCCCACCTCTTCAGCCTCAATCCTGCTTCAATCATGATAGAAGGCCTATACCGTCTCAATATACCTTCTAACTTCCCAGTCTGTCACGGCTTCGTCCCAGAGCCTAATTTCATGTTGCCTGGTACCACCAAAGTGGTCCACAAACTGATCACCGAAAACCTCCCTCGCAACACTCTCTTTCCTCATAAATCGTTCAGTCGCTTCCTTCAAGCTCTTGGCGAGTCGTTCACCCTTGTCGGCTTCCCCACCAACATCTTCGCCCTTGCCCAGGGGCGGTATGCTGATCTCCATCTTCTTCTCAATACCCCGCCAACCGAGGGCCAGAATTGCAGCAAGAACGAAATGTGGGTTTGTGTCTGCGCCTGGTACACGGACTTCGAAGCGCGTGGCCTTACCAGAGGCGGTAGGGGGGGAGATGAGGCGGATGGAAGCAGCGCGGTGCTCGAGACCCCACGATACGGTGACGGGTGCCCAGAAGTTCTCCACTAGCCGTTTATAGCTGTTGACATTGGGTGCCAGAATAGGCATGATATCTGGGAGACCGTCGATCAATCCTGCTAGGAAATGTCGACCAAGGTCTGAAAGATAGCGGATGTCTGACCATGGCGCGTTCTTGTCTTCTTCACCTCGGTAGAACAGATTCTTGCCCTCTGTATCCACAATGGAGACGTGCATGTGTCCACTATTTCCTGGGAGACCCTCGCGCGGTTTAGCCATGAAGCAGGGTGTTATACCGAACTTGGATCCGAGAGACTTGACGACGAGCTTGAACAGCGAGGCTTTGTCTGCCATTGCCTGGATTTCCCCGAATTCAAGAGCCTATGCTACGTCAGTCGACTTTGGCCGTACCCGCTAGTGTGATATGCCTACCGCTTCAAAGACACCTGGTCCGGACTCTGTATGCCATCCTTCAATTCCGCAGCCAAACTGGGCACACGTGTTGAAGATACCGTAGTAGTACTCTTGGTTGTGGACCGGTCGCGTGATGCTGTATCCGAACATGCCCTCTGTAAGACTTGGAAGCGAGTTTACAGGGTTGTCGCGTAAGAAGGCGGCGGTGCTCGACGTGTTCTTCTCTGAGCCATCGTGGCTCTGGGGTGCGCGGAATTGGTAGAACTCGTACTCAGCTGCACGGTTACACATCAGCTTCATTGACGACGCGCAGCACCTGCTCTTCTTTTGGCGTTAGACTCACCTCCGGCCATGGCACCATATCCATTCTCCTTCAACCTGTCCACGGCACGTTTCAGCAGGCTTCTCGGGCATGCGCTGAGAGTCTCTTTGGTGTCTGGGTCGTGGAAACTGATGAGGAAGAAGGGTACGTTGTTCTCCCAAGGTATCCTCCTGAACGAGGTCAGGTCCGGTATGGCGAGCAAGTCGCGGTACCCGTTCTCCTTGTTCGAGATGGCCAGTTCCTTGAAGTATGTCTGGTCATGCATGTCCCATCCGAAGATGACGCTGCAGAAACCGAAGCCTTCGTTGGCTATTCCGAGGAACTTCTTCTTGGCCATGAGCTTTCCGCGCAACACGCCATCGACATCTATGCCAGCGACTTTGACTGAGATGTCATTTTTAAGCAGTTCGGGCAGTTGTTCGGCCGTCAGCGTGGAGGCATCGAATTCGGCGGCCATGGTGGTCAAGGCAGGATATGGGCGATGTGTAGGCTGTTGAAGCTTATCACTACAGGCGAAGGAGTGTCGTGCAGAAGAACAAATATCGTCGGCGCAATCAGGTTTGGGGCAGACAGAGAGCGCGACGGCTCAAGGCGGTTGGGGTGCGATAGAGCTCAGGTGGGCCAATGAGGGGCTATCGGAATGCGGGCTGCGATGGATGGGATGCATCCAACGACATCATAGCCTGCTCCCTGCATGCGCGTACAGGCTATATATTGCATAGTCACACGTGGGTTATCTCCCTTACGCGACAACCTCTACACCCCCCTAAGCGACCAAAACATATCCCTATGCGACAATTGTGATGATGCGCCAACATGGAAGAGACAAGGACACACACACGTCATCCATCATGGCGGGGTAGTGTCAGCCCTACACTGTCTTGACGCATAACGGGCGTTTGAAGCATGCATGCCGTGTACGACAGCTGTTGCAGCGAGGCTGCTATCGTGGACTCGCCCACCGCTCCTTTGCAAGTTGCCCGAAGATGACAGCGTCCAACGCGATAGCCCTTATCATAGTCTACCAATGCAATGGGCCGATTTCGGGACGCTTGGTTGTCTGAATGACTACCTTGGCTGTCCGAGACTACCCGTTCATCATCTTCCTCCCATCGCACTCTCGAGTCCGACACGCGCCTCATACGCCAGCTCGCACTGAAAAGTCCGATCCAAAGGTAAGTGTGGAGACCGTTCAGGCTGTTTGCGCCTTTGGCAAACCTTCCCCATTCACAGGGCGGCGTGCTGTTCTCATGACGCTTTCTCTAGTACATATTAGTCATATTTCACAGCTTCCACAAAACTTTGCCTCGCGCTCGATATCCATTGACTCCATTACAGCACCTTTTCCACACCTGTACCAGCACAATAATCAGACCAAACATTCAACATGGGTCGTCTTGAAGGCAAGAACTGCATCATCACTGGAGGCGCTGGGTAAGCACCGATCCCGCACGTACCACGACACATTTTCTTTCGATATTTCATTTTACAGTCGTCTATCATTTTATCCATATTCCTTAGAGGGCTTCAACGCCATCATTCTTGTCTTTTGATGCGGGAACCAAGAACACACACAAAATCATGTTGCGGCACATAACTACCTACTAACGATACTTAGTGGCATCGGTCTCGAGACCGCCATTCTTTTTGCTCGGGAAGGTGGCAATGTCCTTCTCTCCGACATCTCTGGCCCAGCTCTGGAGAAGGCTGCGGCTAAGCTGAAGGAGGTAGTCCCAGAGGCCAAAAAGGTCGAGACCAAGGTTACCGATGTTTCCAAGGAGGCCGATGTACAGGCCATGGTTGAGCACGTGGATTCATGGGGTGGTCTAGATGTCCTGTTCAACAACGCAGGCATAATGCACGCCGATGACGATGATGCTGTCAACACACCCGAGAAGATCTGGGACCTGACACAAGCTATCAACGTCAAGGGTGTATGGTTCGGCTGCAAGCACGCAGTCAACAGCTTTAGGAAGAATGGCAAGAAGAAGACGAGTGTCATCAACACCGCAAGTGTGGTCGCATTGGTGGGTAGCGCAACACCGCAGCTCGCATACACAGCCAGCAAGGGTGCCGTACTAGCCATGACAAGGGAGTTGGCCATGGTTCACGCACGTGAGGGCTTCAGGTTCAACGCGCTATGCCCAGCGCCGCTCAAGTACGTTCACATGCGTACAGCATCTTACTCATGGAATGCTAACAGCAATAGCACGCCACTCCTGCAAGATTGGCTTGGTGATGACCAAGCTAAGCGTCACCGTCGCGAAGTCCACTTCCCCACTGGTCGCTTCGGCGAGGCTATCGAGCAGGCCCAGGGTGTTCTCTTCCTCGCCAGCGATGAGAGCAGCTTCGTTAACGGCACCGACTTTGTCATTGACGGTGGTATGACCAGGTGCTACACCACACCTGACGGACCACCAACTGAGGCGCCCAAGAACAACGCACGATAGGGGCGCGTTGAGGGGTTTGGTCCGTCGAGGGGCACAGAAGAGAGACGACCTCTGCGGATGGCGAACGGTATTCATGAGGGATGAATGATGTATGATCTCAAATGTGTACGATGAATAACACGATTGAAATACTTGCTCTTTATACCAAACACCTTGTGATCTATGACAGAAAACGCGGTTGATAGGGAGAACAGCAACAGAACAACAGCCATCCGAATCAGATGAAGTCCAAGACGCCCCATGCATCTGTCTTTTGGATGACTAGTCATCAAGCAAGAGTGCGCTGAGTGGGTACGGAACCCCTTCCACTACAATCAACACTTTCTTAAAGTTACCCAAGAGCGTAAAAGAGCGTAAGGAAGAAGAAGTATTCAATTCGCCCGGGCATGTCCGACCGGACCTAGTTGAATGGAAATAGAATCGACATGGAAAAGTGATTCGTTCGGTGAAGTCCGCCCTCGACGCTTGCAGTAGGAAACCAGGTTTCAGATGACCACGCGTCATAGCGTTGGATTGCCTTTCAGGGTCCAGGGCCAGGATGCGACTTTCTTGGACACGCGAGATTCTGGCCGACAGCCCGTTCGTCAGCCAACATGGACCGCATTACCGCACGCGCTGACAACGACTTTGCTGTTGTCTTTTATGGCACGCTCTGGGTAGCTGCGCTTTCTCTTATCTGGCTTACTTGCCGTGCGGACCCCGAGGAGCCTGTCAAGTATGTTGTTGAGACGCCTGAGCAAGCCAAGAAAGGATGGAAGGGCCAGGTGCTCGAGAAGCCTCAATTGAAGGTATGTACGCACTGTTCTTGTTTTAAACATGGCAATTGACTTGTCATAGGTGTCAGCCTCATCCTTGATCCAATGCTACGCCCCCGCGACCGGTCAAGCCCTCGGGCGCGTCAACCCCTCCACAGCTGATGGTATCGACCGCGCAATTGCGAAAGCCAAAGCGGCGCAGGTGCAATGGGCTCAGACAAACTTCCTCAAGCGTCGCAAGGTACTGCGCACTATGCTCAAGTTCATCCTCGAGAACCAAGAGGAGATTGCGAGGGTGGCATGTCTGGACTCGGGCAAGACCATGGTGGACGCTGCCCTGGGCGAGATACTGGTGACGGTAGAGAAGCTGAGATGGACGATAAAGCATGGTGAGAAAAGTTTGAGGTCTGAGAGGAGAGATACAAACTTCCTCATGATGTACAAGTGGAACGAGGTCGTATACGAGCCGCTGGGTGTTGTTGCGGCTTGCGTGAGCTGGAAGTGAGTATCAGACGTCACTGGGTTTGATTAATACGTCTAACATTCTTATAGCTACCCGTTCCACAACCTTATAAGTCCCGTAATCGCCTCCATCTTCGCCGGTAACGCCATTATCGTCAAAGGCTCAGAGGCGACTGCCTGGTCCTCGTCATACTTCGCCTCGATCGCTACTCGTGCTCTCGAAGCATGCGGCCACTCGCCCGACATCGTACAGTCTGTCGTCTGCTGGCCAGACGTTGCCGACCACCTCACGTCACACCCGTCAATATCACACATAACTTTCATCGGATCGCGACCGGTAGCGCACCACGTATGCGCCTCAGCAGCAAAGGCATTGACACCGGTTTGCGTGGAGCTGGGCGGCAAAGACCCGGCGATAGTGTTGGATGACCTATCCAACAGCGACTTCAAGCGTGTAGCTAGTATCCTTATGCGTGGTACATTCCAGTCTGCAGGTCAGAACTGCATCGGCATCGAGCGCGTCATCGCCTTACCAAAAGTCTACGACCGCTTCATTGAGTACCTCACACCCAAGATCCGCGCACTGTGCCCCGGATCCATACTCGACAGCACCTCAGACACACCCATCGACATCGGCGCATCAATATCTGATGCAAGTTACTCCAAGCTCGAAGACCTCATCCAAGATGCCGTCAACAACGGTGCTCGCCTCCTCGCAGGTGGAAAACGCTACAACCACCCCGACTACCCCCAAGGCCACTACTTCACCCCTACCTTCATTGCCGACGTCACCCCCACCATCGCCATCGCCCAAACTGAGCTATTCGCCCCCGTCTTCCTCCTCATGCGCGCCGAATCCGTCTCAGACGCTATCTCCATCGCAAACAGCACCACCTACGCCCTCGGCTCCTCCGTCTTCGGTACCTCGACCCGCGACCTCGAACTTGTTGTTCGCTCCCTGCAAGCTGGTATGGTTGCTGTCAACGACTTTGCCGTTTACTACATGGTTCAGATGCCGTTTGGTGGGACAAAGGGGAGTGGGTATGGAAGGTTTGCAGGGAAAGAGGGGCTGAGGAGTCTCTGTAATCAGAAGAGTGTTACGAGGGATCGGTGGGCTTGGGCGGGTATTAAGACGGGAATTCCGCCGCCTATGGATATTCCGCTCAAGGGAGTGGGGGCAGGAGAGAAGGCGTGGAAGATGGCGGAGGGGATTGTTTGGTTGGGGTATGGGGATTTGAGGGGGAAGGTTAGGGGGCTGAGAGGGGTGCTAGGTCTGTAAGACATGTGCAAGATGGGATAGACTTGTATTATATTGCGTATGCGGTTACATGTGCAGAGAATTCAACCTAATCATCCTTGAATCGCATTTGTACATGTATGCCCTCCTTCATGTCCGCAGACAAGTCTGATGTTGAACCGAGAAAGTCGTCTTGACTATACTCAATTTCCAATATTGGTCATTGTGCCAGAGTAGTTGCGATTTGCCCATCTAACGCCTCATCTCAATCTTCAAACACTCCCTATCAGCATCGCAAATGATGGTGCCGAACTTTCAGCCTGGGTAATGCAGCCACTCCTTCCTCTTCTTCTCCTTCGAATCTTCCTCCTGTGTTGCTTTATCGGCGTATACAGCCTCTTCGCATAGCTTTCGAATGTCGACCCAAGGCGTAATAGGCGACACGTGTATTTTCATTAGTTTCCACCCTGTGCAAGTGGACAATGGGGCTGTAGTTTACTACCATGGATATGTACGAGGGCGAAGACAAGGCCTGCTATGGGCTCAGGTACCCGCGCCCCCAGCAACAGTATTTCCGAAAGAAGCTTGCAGAATGTCTCTGAGAATGGAGAGGAGAAGATCTTGATTTCGTGTTTGTGGGAGTGTTGTGAATGTTGTAGGACAGTCTCTGGTCGTCAGGTCAAAGGTGGGTAAGGTAGGATGATAGAAGATTTGGGGGCCGTTTCGTTGGAGCGGCTATGATAGGTGAGGTATGAGTGATGAATGATGAACATGAACGTAAACTTGTAATATACCGCGAAGAAGGGTGCAAAGCGGGCTGTAACCTCAAAGAAAGAGTCATCAATCTATCGCCTTTCTAACCTGCCATTGGTAACTCGTCAATGCTCTGATTCCCATCCATATAGCGGCGGAAACATTGCCCTCACCCTAGCTCAGTAGCGATCTCTGTAGCGATGCCTATACAGATATGATAGCATGAAATCGACGCTTTTATCCCGGGCCTTCCGTAGGTTCTCATTGTTTTCAACCATACGGTTGATCTCCCGAAGTTCCTCTTTGCGGCGACTGTATGCGCGATCCAATCGCTATGAGAAGTGCTTCAGCCTATAGAGACCTGCTTCATCCTCTCGCTGTGATAGCGCTGCCGCAATTTGATTGAATATGGAGATCATAGACCCTTTCTCAGTGTTAGCCCAAACCAGAGACGATCCATTCTGGAATGTACTTACAGATTTCGCTGATAGGCGGACAGACGTGGAGCGACAGACTCAGGCCAAATTTGGCGAAGATGGCAGGTACCCTACGTAACTTTGAATTTCCCTACGATCCGACGTCTTGAAGTGCACATAGTGCAATATGATGTCGATTTCTGGTCGCTTGCTGAACGTTGTTGCTAGCATCGTCATGCCTACCATGAGGCCTATCGTGTCATCGGCATTAGTGCGGAGTACGAGCCTGCGGAGGTTGGATGGCAAGAGATTAGCTACGACATCCAGATAGTGCATCTTTCAAAGTCAAGCTCTTCAACTGGAGATGAACGAGCTAGGATGGCCGTTCCTGTACTTGGGCTAGCGGTTCCATTTATCCAATTCTCTGCTCCATCGGTCAATTCCCGTCCATCGGTCAGAATCAGCACCTTAAGTATAGGCAGGCGGAACAACGGGGCAATGCAGCGCCATGAAAGAAACTGGAGGCCTATCTCCAGCGTGGACAAAGTACTGGTCCATGGCGGTAATGGATCACCCGCCCCCAGAAATACTCGATGAGGCTCAAGGTAAATAGGGAGCAACAGCCCGTGGTCGTGTTTGATGGGATTTGGAGGCTGTAGAGCTCGAATAGAGCGTATCTCAGAATGCAAACTCAGCAATAAAAGAACTCCAGATCCGAACCATACGAGAAATACTTGTCAGCAAACTGGCGGTGGTTCAGGTAGAGACGCTGAGCCTAGTGATCTTTCTCGATCTTTAGGAAACGTTTTCGTACTTGTTCGGGGGCTGTCTTTAGGAAATCCTTGATAGTGACGTGCTCGAAGATGCTTGGCTAATTCAGGCACTCGTTGAATGATCCGAAAATATTGTCGAACTTGTGTGATGTCGCCTCTTTATTGGCTGAAGGATTCATAAGACCGGTACTGCGAGCTGGTTGGTGTGTTTGTTGACGAGTGTAAGTTGATAGAGTACACCTTGTGGTAAATATCTAAAGATGTTGGATAGCAGCTCTGATGGTAGAGACTGAAAGGGTGAGGAGCTTTGTTTGGGATCTTGATTGTTTATGATCACCGTATACGAGGTATAAGAGAGCGGCTGGTAGAGCCCAGATTGTTCTCATGCGAGTTTGTCTTCAGGGCGTGCCATTCGAAGGAAACACCCAAATTGACTCTTACGCTTGAGACGCGATTGGCCGTGCGTAGCGCAACCATGGTCTTGAAGGTAGTAAGGGATTTTCCGTCTATTTCACAACGTTATCGATGGTTTGCCGTATATTAACTCGTGACTCTTCTTGTGGTGAAGGAATCATGGAACGGCGCTAGAAGCTTTCTCGTAAGTGCTCCGAACGAGAAACTCAGGCATTCACGTAGCGAACGAGGTGGGGCGAATCACAACGTGACGTTGATTCAGTTAGTACCCGTTACAAAGGTAGTGTCTGAGCGTCGGTCATCCTCTGAAGCAGTTTTCGACAACGACGTTGTATGAGTGGTCCTCCTTTTAACCTTCTTAAGTTGTTTCGTTGCGCCTACTGGAAATCTCTTCTTGCCGCCACAGACAAGGCAAGCAACGACAAGCACATCTGCCCAGGGCTTCTTGCCACCTTTGCTAGGGTTTTCGATGGTCTGAACAACAGTGTGTCCAGGAACGAGAACGGTGTTGCAACTTTTGCACATGGATCGCTTCAAGTCGATAGCGAGTCGTAGCTGACCTTTTCGCGATACTTGCTGGAGATCAGATCCAAGCTCGAGTGCGAGCGGTGAACGTCGCTGGGTCTCGAACACATCGTGAGAGCCACTTTCTTTGTCTTGTGCGACATCAATCGTAATATCGTCTTGGGTGGCCGTTCGCAGAGTCAGGTATGTGGCTGCCTGATAGAGAAAAGTAGAGCGGGCATGCAGGTGCTTGTTCGGTATGCCCTTCGATTTTGGTGCTTTGACCTTGCTCATGATAATTTTTGGTGCTATCGTTCGGTCCCTGTGTGTGCATTTGTTGTTTCACTGGTGTATAATGAGAGATATGAGGATTTCGGGTTGCTGCTTGCAGACATGGTTTGTGATCCAAAGACGTCCGTTTATGGACTAGCGCGTTGCCCAGCAAGGCGCCCCGAGCTTTTTACCTCGACATCAGCGCCCAGCGACCGCTCTTGTCCACCGCCCACCACAAACCTCCACCGCCTCAGCAACTTTGTCGAATTCGCGTGACTGTGACATTGCGGAACACCTGCTGGTCTCTTTCTCTCGTAGATTTTAGTATAATATCACGCCCCGGCACCCTCGCGACTTCACTTTGTTTGGCAGCCTTGCTCGCGACACGCGCAACCACCAACTCTACACGACACTAGCACTCTTACTCGAACACATAATCCATCATGTCTCACGAGGAAGATCTCATCGACTACTCCGACGAGGAGATCCAGACCACTGATGCGCCCGCCAACGGCGGCGCAGCTGCGAACAAAGGTGGCCTCACCGCTGGTGACGCTGCAGGCGACAAGAAGGGCAGCTACGTCGGCATCCACTCAACCGGTTTCCGCGACTTCTTGCTCAAGGACGAGCTCGTACGAGCAATCACGGACTGTGGCTTCGAACATCCTTCCGAGGGTTAGTCTAATAATTCCCCTCAGCCTTATCCACCTACAAGCGTCTGTCCATCTACGAAACGAGCACTATCTATAATGCGGCCTGGTCTGTCTATATACGAGCGAAGTGGCGAGGGACCCAGTGCCTTCCGCTACCTACGAGCGTCGACGCGCAATGTATCATCGCGTGCGCAGCGGTATATGCATCGAGAAGCCTAGTGGTGCCCATTGGCTCACTTTCGTGGTCCCGAAGGACTGGTTTCGGAGGAGGAGTGCATGTTGCGGGTGTACAAGAGGAGGCACACCTTGAGCGTATATGGGAGGATAGACAGACTGGCACGCGCGCTAGATGGAAAACCTCGGCTACTCAAGATGGACGGACGCTTCGTTTCGACCGCTTTGAAGACCATTCTGACATAACGTGTGCCCTACAGTCCAGCAAGTTACCATCCCCCAGGCCATCCTAGGAAACGATGTCCTTTGCCAGGCCAAGTCCGGTCTCGGAAAGACCGCCGTCTTCGTTCTCGCAACCCTCCAGCAAATGGACGAGAAGCCTGAGGCAGGTGTTGCGACCATCCTGGTCATGTGCCACACCCGTGAGTTGGCCTACCAGATCCGCAATGAGTACAACCGCTTCGCCAAGTTCTTGCCCGACGTCAAGGTCGGTGTCTTCTACGGAGGAACTCCTGTCCAGAAGGACGTCGAGCTCCTCAGCAACAAGGACACTCACCCTCACATCATCGTCGGCACCCCCGGTCGAATCAACGCCCTCGTCCGCGACAAGTATCTCCGCCTCGCCAGCTTGAAGCACTTCGTCCTCGATGAGTGCGACAAGATGTTGGACCAGCCCGGTCAGTATAGATCCTTTGTCCCAACCGACATACGCTAATATTCAACAGACATGCGCAACGACGTTCAGGCCATCTTCCGTGCTACTCCCCAGCACAAGCAGGTCATGATGTTTTCAGCCACCCTCAACAAGGAGGTCCGCGTTGTCTGCAAGAAGTTCATGCAGAACCCTCTCGAGATCTACGTCGACGACGAGAAGAAGTTGACGCTCCACGGTCTCCAACAATACTACATGAAGCTCGATGAGAAGGAGAAGAACCGCAAGCTCAACGACCTTCTTGACAGCTTGGAGTTCAACCAGGTCATCATCTTCGTCCGCTCAACTCTGCGCTGCTCTGAGCTCGACAAGCTTCTCCGCGAGTGCAACTTCCCCAGCACTGCTGTCCACTCCGGTATCAGCCAAGAAGAGCGGTATGTATTTCGCAATCTCCGCTCGCTAATTCAATGCTAATTCATCTATAGTATCAAGCGCTACAAGGAGTTCAAGGAGTTCCAGACCCGTATCTGTGTTTCTACTGACATCTTTGGTCGTGGTATCGATGTCGAGCGTATCAACGTCGCCATCAACTACGACATGCCCGACAAGGCCGATGCTTATCTTCACCGTGTCGGTCGTGCCGGACGTTTCGGAACCAAGGGTCTGTCTATCTCATTCGTGAGCAGCCCTGACGACGAGGCCGTCCTCAAGTCAATCGAGGAGCGCTTCCAGGTTGAGCTTCCTGAGTTCCCCGAGGATGGTGTCAACTCCGCCACCTACATGGACAACTAGAGGTCGCCTGGATGAAGTGATGGAAGGGTGCAGGAAAGGTTTTTCTTTTGGGCAAAAAAGGTCACCATTGAACGTCGATCGGTGGTGTCGTTACTCGAAGCAGAACCGCTTTGCAACGATCATGTAAGCAATGGCGCAGGTGGTTCTTGGCTTATAAAGTCTGTTCTGTATTTTAGTTTTCAGAGGCAGCAAAGAAGCTATAGTCTCGCTGGGAGGAAACGAATAAATTGACATGTCATCACCCGTCCATAACAAGCTTTTTTTTGTAAGAACGTGATATTGGTTGCACGAATCTGGCTGTTGCTTTATGATGATATCCATATGTATTACTTTGGTGTTCTTCTCAAAGAGGAAAATGGGACTTTGTCCCCCACTTTTGATAACGCCAGCTTCACGGACGAACGTTTGGCCGTTCTTTGTACATGTCGGTGTATCTTGTTGTTTTTTTCTTTCACACGCGGTGTTTTGGTTGAGCTTTATGTTTTTCAGCTTCGGCTCGGGCGATCGCAAAAGCAACATGTTTCAAGGGTTACAGCGGGCGGGATCCGTGCAAAAGGAAGAAGGTACAATAGTTCATAGCTCTCGCCTCTTAATTGTAGCGATCTCCATTTGCTTTTCCTTCAACAAGACTACGTTCACGGCAAAGGCAGCCGAATAGGTTTTGTTGATATTGGACTTTTATGGGTGGTTGTAGAAAGATGGAAATGGGTGGAAGAGGAAATATTGCATGTCTATTCCCAGTGGGCTGGGCGACGCGAAGAGTTTCCGGTTGAAGGCTGTGACAAGCATGATCCTATACGAGTAGACAAAAATGTGTAGAGAATAGACTTTCTACTTTATTCATTCTATACGTTCGGTACCGGGTCGCATCTCGAAGCATTGGCGAGGTACTGCACCAACAGACAAGATAAGAGTTCGAGTAGCATATTTGAAACGCCAACAGTCTTGATACCAAAGCGGCATCCAACGTAAACCAACGGTCTGATATCTGCAGGCTTGTTTTTGATGCAATATGTTGTACAGATGTCGTGATCGTTTCAGCTCACCAATGCTTGTTTATCGCAGAATAGTGTGTTTGAAACCTCGGAAGAAGATAAACTTGTGCATTTTCGCCACACTAGACGTTTGTGGTTGTACTTGGGATGATATGAATATATTGTTCTTGAGGCCGAGGTAGTCGCAACGACAACTGTCTTCGAGATATGTAATGTCTCTTGTTATTCGGCAATTTTGAGCAGCACAGTAGATGTAGACAGTTAGTCGGGCAACAAACCTTTCGTCCGGAGGCGCCGGACGAAGAGACAGAACCTGTTCATATCTTGATAGGAAATTCGTCCCCCCACCTAGTGTATACTAGATCTGTCTATATCGCGGGTGTTGTATATCTTACTCATTCCGGATATGAGCATAATAGCTTGGAAGAGAGGCAAGCGCTGTTAGGTCGGAGGCGAAAAGTTGGCAGGATGCCTGCGCGTTCTATGTACTGGACCATCTCATAGGCAAGACCTGTTACAAAGGCTCATTTCGCTTCTGCATCTTGTCGGAGCATTGGCGGCGTCCCCGTATCTGCGTGTAACCTGTCAATAAGATTAGATAGACGTTGGAATATGGTTGCGGAACATAGAACACGGCTTCATAAAGTTCCGAGCAAGCGATCAAAGCCGCGGACCCCTTTGGTACACGACGATTGGTGAATTCATCCTCTACAGAACATAGCCAGCATGAGGAGATTATTGGTCTCTCTTTAGCCGGTAACAGGAAGTTGGCAGGGTTGGTAAGCGGTGTGAGGGGGAGACAAAGGCCTGAGGCGCATGCTGCGTATCGCGACCACAGTCGGGCCCGACAGTAGGCGAAGATCACCACGTTGCTATTTCGATATTTCTGTTGCGGAAATTCATGATGTGAAGATCGACGGCGGCGACCCAGTCCCTGTTCGGTAGCCACGCACATTGCCGGGCCGCAGTGGCGCCACATGTCAGGAACAAGACCGGAGTGAGTCGCTTGGTGGGGCGGCGCTCAGGAGCACGAGCGACGGTCTCGAAAGCGGTTAGCAAGGTCGAAATGAGACATGGGTAACTGTCGGAGGGCTGGAGCCACGAATATTTGCGATTCGACAAGAGGCTAGGGAATGCAGAGTCGTGTTTCAATAATGCAGTGACGATCGCAAGGCATCCATAGAGTCAGTTCGTAGGAACGTGGCGAGCCTTTATCGCCGCTGTGCAGATGATGTTCCAAGAGGAGCGCGCGAGGGCGAAGATGCGGTTTCTATTTTGAGATTCGAGCGAACGTCCCTTCCGAAAGCGGTTTCCTCACCGGATATGATAGGGCTTCGCGTTATAGGGCAGGGCAGGGAAATCGCAATTCTCATTTCCCATGCGCATTTCATCGCATTCATGTGGCGTCTCGACTGTTGTGTTAGCGCGTGCGTGATTGCTGTGGAGTCGATTGAAACAACAAGGCAGCCTCGTACACCGTGTACGGTGTATACGCCGAGTATTGTGAGACGCAGCGGCCGTTGGACAAAGGTACGGATCTTAGCCCGACACGATTTCTTACGTCCCCGACGTTCTTCTGTTAGTCGTCCCAAGAAAAGTTTCAACGGCGGGAAGATACGAATACGAGATCCCTTTCTCCAGGCACCAGGGATGTAAAAGGCGCGATTCCTTGACTAGGTTAAGGCGATAAGCTTTTCAATGCTACGGACGAAATGGAGCAGTCAACCCCCGTCTGCTGGTTCCCGCTGTCAGATGCACGGCGCTGCGCTGCAGCTTTTGTTCAATATTTAGTAGAGCACGTGTAAGAGCAGCCATCGAATGGAGCAGGTAGACTGCTTGGGAAGGTGCGGAGCAAGTGTGAGCTAGTGTTGCTGTGATGTGTGACGAAAGTAGAAGCAGTGACGACTAGGCAAGTACAACTGAATGTCGTTAGGAAGTCGCGTGCAGCCGTGTCAAAAGTGAGAGCTATGAGAAGGAAGGAGCGGTCGCGTCTGAAGCGAAATCTCGATGGCAGTGGGTCGAGAGTCGACGGCGCAGGAGCCATGGTTTCGCTTGCAGGATGAGCTTGCACAGTCTGAAGGTCTGAGGCACATGAATTGCAGTTGTGTCGGTACAGATGATAGCCCGGTTGAAGCAGTGATCATTAACTGCGATTCGCATATGTCTTGGCGAGATGTCCTATCCAAGAGCAACGCGCTGATCTGCTGCATGGAGCGATATCACAGGCGAATGAATGCGATTGACGTAGCTGGTGGCGTATCAGAATGTGGCAAGAGCGAGAGCTAACATTAGTTTGCAGATTGATAGGTTGCTCAACCTCGGACACGACGACCACTGTGTTGCTCATGTCGTGTTGGCACTTGTACCCGACACTACGTCGACCGCTCCAGCTGTGTGCTGGTTTTGTAAGCTCAAAAGCGGCTCGGGTGCGGGAAGCAAGTCGAGCCGTGCATTTCCAGTCGGTGGTTTAGTCGCTGGTACCGTACAGTAATGCCTCCGGGCGGGACTGCCGCTCACTCTCGGTGAGCTCGCGTTGAAAAAGGCCGACTCCAAGCTACTCCTAAGACCCACGAGCTGTTGCATTGAGCGAGGACTAAACTCGTAGGAGCAAGCAGCGGGCGTAATCAGGATCCAAAAGGACCAAACGGCCCAAGTGGAAATTAATATATGGGCCTATTTGGGCGGGGCTGTATCTCGGACAGTGGCAGCCCCTTTTGGAGGATGCTCAGGCTGCCCGTTGAGAAATCAATCAAGGATGGGAATTGACAGCGGTCGCACGGGCCCCAGTTCGACGGTGGAATAGGCGTTGGGACTGTCTGTCTTGGCCCAGACGTAGCGAACGTCGACGTCAGACATGTGGAGCTGCAGCCAGGATTAGTCTAATTGGTGCTAAGCCGATCGAGGGTAGGCGCTGACCATAGTGGATTGTGAAGCAGACGCGCAGACGTGGTTGAGGCAGCATGGCAGCGCCATGTACATATCAAGGGCTACATAAAACTAGCCACGGCCGGCGCATTCTTGACACAAGGCTCGAGGTGCAGCAGGTTTTGGTGTTAGGCGAAGATCGTCGAGTGGGCAAAGCGGATCTCCATGGGCTGGCCGGGATGATGCCGCGCAAGCATCAATCTACCAGCCATGTGGGTTTGTTTCCAGAGTTATTTCACATGGCTCGGCAGCACAATCAGTCTTGCAACGCGACAAGAGGCAATTGACAGCTGCTGTCTGGTCTCCCAAGTTTTACAAGTTGGCGAGGGATCTGCCGGTGGGTTGTCGCAAGCATTGCAGCGTGCGTACGCCACGCAGCGCATATGCCTTTTTATGAAGCAAAAAAACAATGACGACGGGCACGGCCCCGCCCATAATAAATCTGCGATGGATTTGGCGTCGCCAGCGATAAGTGCAGGGCCTGTGCCCAAAGCATTCTAGTGAGCACCCGGCAGGCAGTCAGCGGGATATCAAGCCAGCTCTGGGTGGCAGCGCACGCCAGCAACCAGCAACCTTGTCTACTATCCTCGAAACCTCTACCATCCCCCATCCATCTCCCCCCTCTGCTCTGCGTTGCATCTTTGCTGCCTGCGTCCGCTCGCTTTGTCAGAGATTCTGCCGTGGAACCCGCGTCCAGCTGTGCGCTCCTTCTTACACTGACCCGACTGCAGTAGTCGTGGTAGCTTCCCTCACCCTCCGCCGTCTGCGCCCGTCACGACCCAGTCCGTCTTGTCTTGTCTCGTCCTGCCTCTTACCAGCGCCTCTCACTTAATGTTCTGTTACGAGTCGTCCCAGTGATTCATCTCCCCAGGCCTCCGCACACTCGTTTCCGCTACTATCTTAATCGATAATTCCCTGCCGCCGTCCGTTGTTGCACGCCAATTGCGCTACGTCGAAGCGCGTTCCGACCGCCAACTTTTTGGCTCTTCACCTCACCTCCGACGCCGTTGTTCTCTTACATCCTCTCCTACCCACCACCTAAGGCGATTTCGACATGGCTCCAGCAGTCCCCCGATTACGCATTCTGTCAGGTGCGTCATCTCCCCGCCGACCTCGCACGGCAGCCGAGGGCTTCCACGGCCCTCGCACACGCTCGCTCTGCTTGTACCATGATATACGCGGCCCACGCCCACGCCTGCTCCTGCATCTTGGGCACTCGGCCGCGTCATCGCCGCGACTGAACGATTGCTGACTGTCTACAGTGGGCGGTAATGCCGTATCGGCCTTTTTGTCATGGCGACTGCAAGCAACAAATGCCTGCGACGTCACCCTCGTATGGAAGTCGGGATACGAGAGCGTTGCCCAGTACGGCATATCATTCAAGTGGGCCAACTATCCGACGTATTGGCCTCGAACGTCCTCTAACATGGCATAGATCCGCACTTTACGGCAACGAGCGATTCAAGCCCCATGCTGGTACGCTCACAGAGTTCCTCTTACCCCCAGAATACAGCTGACGCCCCTCACAGTCGTCCGCACCCCCGAAGATGCCGCCCATTCTTCCAAGCAGCCTTTTGACTACGTCCTCCTTTGCGTAAAGGCCCTGCCTGATGTATACGATATCGCCAACATCATCGAGTCGGTCGTCTCTCCTCAGCATACGTGCATCCTTATGAACACTACACACAGTCTTGGCGTGGAATCATATCTCGAGCAGCGTTTCCCCACAAACGTAGTGCTTTCATTGGTATCTGGAGCAGAAATTTCCCAGCTCGGAGCTAGCGAATTTGAACACAAAGGCGCGACCGATATCTGGGTTGGTCCTGCCAACAAGAACGCCAATATTCCGCCGCAGATCCAGTCAGACATGGCTGAGGCCCTGGCCATGACGTTGAGCTCCGGACAGGTCGACTGCAAAGTCTCCTCCAACATACGACAACAGCAGTACGAGCGAATGATAGGGTATATCATATATTCCATGGTCGCACATCATCAACTAACGTAACACAGTCCAATCGCTTTCCACCCTGCCAGTGTCATGTTCGAAACACCCAACCACGCTGAACTGATGGAGAAAGTCGGCGTACGCGCCATCGTCACCGGAGTGCTCGACGAAATGCTCGCGCTCGCAAAAGCCTCAGACTGCACATTTCCCGCCGACTTCCGGGAAACAACGCTTCAAGAGTTCACCCGTCCGCAAGAAAACAACAGCACAATGTGGATGGACTTTGAGGCGAAGCGACCTATGGAAATAGAGACGTATCTCGGATCCCCTTTGAAGCTTGCACAAGAAGCCAGTGTCGCCGTGCCTCGGATCGAGACGTTGTATGCCGCACTTCATCACCTCAACATCGTCAATCGAACCCGCCCAGCTGCTCCAGCCCTCACTGCACAATCTCCTCAAAATGGCATGCAACCGCCTCCCAGACAGTCTTCAGCGCCAATGCCTCGTGGACCCCCTGTTCAAGGGCCCATGATGAACGGCAACGGGCCCATGAAAGGCGGCCCTCGCCCGGGCAGCCGTGCTCCTTCCATCAACGGAGGTCCTCCAATGATGCGTCGCGGCCCTCCCCCAGGCCCTAACGGCTATCCCCCAAGGATGAACGGAGCTCCTAACGGCCAACGGCGCCCCTCCTTCGAGGAAGGCGGCAATCTGGAAGAGTTTTCGCATCTGATGCTCTACGATGACATGGTTCCGGACGGTGCTGTAAACGGTGGTCCTTATGAGAGCGCCGGAAACTCTTCTAACAACCTGTCACTCCGCGAGAGGGAACTGATGCTGAGACAGAGAGAACTGCAAATCAGAGAACAGGAGATGAACATGCGACGTGGACCTGGAGGTCCAATGGGTCCCGGTGGCCCTGGCCCTATGGGTCCCCCGATGGGGCCCATGGGTCGTGGTCGGGGACGACCTCCGCCACCCCCATCAATGGGTGGTTTCGATGACGATGACGACGATGGCGATGACTTCTTTGATCCCATGGGAGGTCGCGGAGGCCCGATGATCGATCCTGACAACTTTGACATGATGAGCGTAACTTCACGTCGCAATCGCTCAGCACCCAGTGCTAAGCAGATTCGTAGCAACCCTGAAGGCGCAAGCTTCGCTCCTGGACCAAACAGAGGAGGACGGAACCCGTTCTCGCGCCCAGGAATGAATAAGAATCGGAGTAGTGCTCGGTTGATGGCAGATGTTCCTGGTCTCCACGACTCGATCATGAACAACCCCCTCATGGGTTACTCATCAGACCGTTACGGACACGTCGATCGCGGCGCTATGGGCGCGCAATCCAGAACTAACTCACTGACATCCGCTCGTTTAGATGAGATTTCAGGTGGCGCAGGCTACGGTGCTTACCCTACGCCAAACAGCCGCCGTATGAGCCAGTCACCTGGCAACCCTCTCAGCCCGGGCCCGCGACCCATGGGCCGACCATCACCGCCAAACGGTTTCAATGGCATGCCTCCGAATGGTATGCCCCCGAATGGCATGCCTCCAAACGGAATGCCTCCCAACGGGCGGCCATCGCCCCCTGGTATGAGACAGCCTGTGCCACGACACCCTCCTGGCCAAGGAAACGCGGTGGCGCCACAACAGGTTGAACAACACGCTGGGGTGAGCAATCTCTACCCGCCCAAGTCTCGTCCCCAAGTTCGCAGTCTGACTGGAAGCGCTTCAAATAGTTCCGCTAGCGCAAAAGCTGTAGATTCGACGGAAAACTCTGCACACAGCAGCCAAAGCAGCCTTGGACCTCGTCCTCCGGTCGCAGTTCAGCAACAGGGATAATGTTCGACTCGGATTTGGTGGCCATCGCTTTTGAATGTTGGTATCTTGCATGGACATTGTTTCAACTTTGGCGACATTAGCGAAATCATCTACTGGTTCTCGATCGACACATCCTTTCTTCTTCAAAGACGGCCAGCAAAGCGGGCTAGTCGTCTCTTTCATCACCTTCTTCCACAAACACGTATACGCACCGAATCATCACCATCCGGCGGACCACGATCCCCAAGGAAGTCGGGGAGGCATTATGGACAGCCAGTGGCTCGCTCAGATGGTGGATGTCTAATGACGAATAGAATTGGGCCGGGAAGGGACACATTTTGACGTACACAAACCGGCCTCACACGATTGGAGCCGTTGCTTTCGGGTTTTCTCTTTTGTCTATATCGTACATACTTGTAGAACGCTCCTACGGCGGCAGCGACAGCAGCAGTCTCTCATTTTCTCCTTCACACACAGACTGCGGCAGCCCGCTAATCATGTTTTTCCTCGTCTGCATGGGTTCTATGCTCAGTGGGGGTTGGGTTATTTCCCTTTACCACTTGCTTGCTATACTACGGAGTTTTCGATACATGCATATGGATTTTACTTGCTCGTTCTTCATCATCCATTCATCTCTTTTGTTTGCCTCAGGGGATTAGCCAACTTCCAATCGCTGTGTATAACTACTATAGCTACAGAGACGGTAGCAAGTATCATGTTGGCAGCTGGATGGAGAAGCATTTCGTAGTTGAGCATATATAGGCCGACGAGCACAAAAGCAAGCAAGACGTTCCTTTGTCCAGAAAACATGCATGATATTGTCAGGAGATCCAAGAAAGTGATCAAAACAATAAAATGTTGTCTATTCCTAGGTTGTCGAGTCTGAGACTCTGCGATGATATGATTGGGCCGTCGTTCTGGATGAGCCGCCCACGCAAATCGCGGCAAGTACGTGGGCACGTGCTTGAGCTCCTCACTTCACGATGCCGACGGCTAGACAACTGCTCGTTCCAATCGCTAGCGCAACCTGCCGTGTGAACACCTTGCGAAAGAAAGACGATGTTCTCGTTCCGCCTTTAAACCAATTGCACAGGCCTAAAGTGATCTTGCCTCGTATCTCAACGCGTTGGCATGCAAGTAATGGTGTTCATGCATGGTAACTGCATGCCCAAGCTTGCCTACCCCTCGTTCTCCGTCATAGCTGGACACCGCGGGGCAGAATGAGCACCAGCTCGCTGTCACGCTCCAATAAAGCCACACGCCCGCTCCAGAGCCCGACACAGAGCGCGTGTTCAGATCGACCAGGACCTACAAGAAGTCCTTTCGCGACCCACACGGTAGTCACCGTTCTCGTCCTACTACTAGCGCTGGGTACCGGTTTCTTCGCACCCCACCTCCCACACGCCGTCTTACGCACTGTTACCAACAAACAGGCTCCTTCCTTCACTCTCCGAAATCCAATCGTCCTAAAGGAACCTGCTATCTGTCCGAAACCTGAACAGCAGGTCGAATTCGTCGGTACCTTCAACACCCAACATAAGCGCAGCATGACACTCGCAGACCAGGCGAAGCGCGTCGCCGCCGAGTTCGACTTCGACGACAATGCCGTCAACAAGGCTGTCAAGGAGTTCATTCGGGAGATGGGTAGGCACATGAATACAAACTGGGCAATTGGTCGCTGACGACGCGCAGATGAGGGCCTGGAGAAGACAGGCACCGAGATGAGCCAGATCCCGACATACGTCACTGCCGTTCCCAATGGCACGGAAAAGGTACAGCTTCTATGCGCGTAGGGAACTCGCCAAAGTCTAATACTGAATAGGGCCTCTACATGGCCGTCGACTTGGGCGGCACCAACTTCCGCGTCTGCTCCATCGAGCTTCACGGCAACACCACCTTCTCACTCACACAGAGCAAGGTAGCCATCCCGCGCGAGCTCATGGTCGCGAAGACATCCAAAGAGCTCTTTTCCTTCCTCGCGAAACAGATCGAAGCCTTCTTGAAACTGCACCACGAAGATCACTACGCCTCCACACTTAGGCGCAGAGAGGGAAAGGAAGGCGAACCGCAAGATGAGGAGATCTTCAACCTAGGTTTCACCTTTTCTTTCCCGGTCCACCAGATAGGAATCAACAAGGGTATGCTGATGCGCTGGACAAAAGGCTTCGACATCGAGGATGCGGTCGGCAAGGACGTATGCGCTTTGCTCCAGCAGGAGATTGACGAGCTCCACCTCCCCGTCAAGGTAGCTGCTTTGGTAAACGATACTGTCGGAACCCTCATGGCACGCTCGTACACATCGCCTGGCAAGACTGGCACATTACTCGGTGCTATTTTCGGAACCGGCACCAACGGAGCCTACGTTGAGAAGCTGGACAAGGTCACGAAGCTCACAGGGGACAAGAACGGTGGCGTGTACGACAAGTCAACTGGAGAGATGATTGTCAACACTGAGTGGGGCTCCTTCGATAACTCGCTCCGCACCCTTCCCAACAGCCCTTATGATGTTCAGCTCGACAAGGACTCTGTAAACCCTGGAATCCAAATGTTCGAGAAGCGTGTATCAGGCATGTTCTTGGGAGAGCTTCTACGTCTTGCTCTACTTAAGCTTATCAAAGACCCTGCTGTTCCTCTGTTCACCGATGATAACTCGTCCTCGAACGATGTCCACAGCACCACACAAATCCATGACAGCAGCCCGATATGGAAGCAGTGGGGTCTCGATACGAGCTTCCTCAGTGTATGTGCGGGCGACAATAGCCCTGGCTTCCGCATGCTGCGACAGACGCTCGACAAGGACTATGACATTTCTGCCGTCAGCGCTGAGGATGCTGAGGCAGTTCGCGAAATCGCTGGAGCGATCGGCCGCCGCGCAGCCCGTCTTGCTGCTGTCGCCATCGGCGGTACCATCATCAACACTGGCCGTCTGCACAAGTCCTCGGGTTCTGCTACCACGGAGCAGAAATCAGGCATCGAGCCCACACGTGGAGACGTCGATGCCAGTGAAGGCGACGAGATCGACATTGGCGTTGATGGCTCGCTGGTAGAGTTCTACCCTAACTTTGAGGAGTACATTCGTGAGGCGCTACGTGCGATACCCGAGATTGGTGCAAAGGGCGAGAAGAGGGTCAGGATTGGTATTGCGAAAGACGGATCTGGTGTTGGTGCGGCGCTCATTGCGCTTGTCGCTGGAAAGGTTGGCACACCGCAGTAATTGAGGTTGCTCGAGACGTCTACGATGCGATGATATGAATGTCTTGGATATATGGCATATACGTGCTTATTTGTGTAAATGAATCCTGGGAAATGAAACTAAGCATTTTTGACCACATACACACTTATTGCCTGGACGACGCATTGCTTAATGATCTCCCAATAGTGCGCAATTACGACCGTCTTCACTCGTTTAATCTTCATCATTCCATTGTTGAAAGAAATCTATGACGCATGACCCCACCGCGCCGCGTGGGCACTAAGCAGACAGCGAAAAGCGTGACTCCACCACCCCCACCATCATCCTTCGTGTTAAGCTTCTTATTAGCAGCACTCTCCGGGTTAAGCAGCCCCATCTCGGCGCCAGACTCTGAGTTTATATTGAATGCAATTTGTCAAAACGCCATCAATCAACAATCACAGCCCGGCTGGCACAGTAAGACATCACCAACCTTACTATACCACAACACAACAGTTGACTAACGGGCTTCATTCAGATTGGTTAGCGCGTGAGACTTTTAATCTCAAGGCTCAGGGTTCGGTATGTTATACCTCGTTCGCACCAACGTTCGAATCAACCCACTAACAATAAGTAGAGTCCCTGGTCGGGCGATTACGCATCACATCTTTTTTGCCAATTTCCTTGCCATCCCTTCTGGCCCTTTTGCTTAGAGGTATGGTAGGGAAACGAATTTTTGGTGGGCGACTCTCGGAATAGTGTTTTAAAAAATGCGCGTGTGAGTATCGTGATTTAGCAGTTCAGTATAGGTAGATACCTCTGACATGCTGTGTTGGACTCTGTGAACACTCTCACGATTGTTTCCTCTTGTGGTGAGAAAGAAGACAACTAAGTGGAATTGCCAAAGCGTATAAGAGACTCGAGTTATTGCTTTTGATCCCTATAATTTACAAATTCATCGCTAACATGAGGGAAACCTACATGCGGCGTTCCAATCTGCCTCGCTCAACGACCTTACAATCACCCCCTTCAGCTGACCCGCAGTCTTCCTACTCTGAGTAGATAGGCCATCGCAGCTCGTGCTAAGTTTCTTCATCTGACCAACGGCAATAGCAGAGATGGAATGCGCACGTTGACGCTGCCATTCTTCGTTGTCAACCTGTTGCCATGTACCAATTTGGTGGTACGGTAAGAAGTCTGTGAAGTTGGTATTTGAGCGAGGAAAACATGGTCTATGTTCTTGCATTGGATTTGTAAGCGTCTGATCTTGAGCTGCTCCTGTCTCGTCTTTCACCTTTTGCACAGCTTCTCGCGCAGAATCCGGAAGTGGCTTGCGACTGATGCGGAATGTCTTTGCGCCTGGTGACGGCTCGAAACGGAAATGGTTGTCTATGATGAAGGCAGGCTTGAGCATTATGTGCTTATAGCCAGTCTGCAGAGCAGTGAGGTTTGCCTCGGTCAGCTTGACACTGTCGAATCGCTCGATGAAACGAGCCTTCCTAGATCTCTTCCTAGGAACTGGAGGTGTAGCGGCATACGCAGTACTAAACGATTGCTCCGTACCAGAAGACTCGCTCTCACAGTTGTCCATCTCGTCTGATACTTCCCCCATAAACTTACTCGTCTCTGAAGAGCTAGATGACAGATCTTGTGAAGGCCCACGGAACATTACCATGATAGCTGCAAGTTGAAAACCGAAGTGGTGAAGGTTGTTTCCTGTAGTAGCTGGAAGCTCACAATTGAGAGCTCGTAGTTGAGAGTGAAGTGGTGTTGAAGTGACTGAAGCGTGTTGCAAGTCCGTTTTGACAGAAGAAGATGATGATGGTATACTACAATTCACGAGCCAGGTGATCTCACTGCGTGACAATAGGCGGTAACAGCAGCTAGTAGTTCTGGCTTGGACCTGACTCACGGTCCGTGTTCTCAGGAGTCTACGGGTGGATAAGAAATGTCCCTGTATGAACTGCATGTGAAACATACTCTGACTCCATACGCACACCTTTTAGGATATGCTCATATGCTAAGTTCACTTCGTCAGGCAAGTCAGAGTCACGATATCCAGGAAGTCTCATTCGAATATAAGTGTTCGATGTCTTACACTCTGGCCACGTCGCAAGCATCGCCTTGAGCATAGACCTTTTGAAGTCGGATGTTCCACCGGGTAACGTATGTAGCTCTTTTACATTCATGTGTATCTTGGGTAAGGAGTGCACACTGTCTTGGGTTGCCGACCGGATGTCATCCTGATTACCTTTAGAGAGGGCATTCTTTTCGGTGAGGGGTTGCTGGATCAGAGGACAATTCAGTTGATGAATTCTGAGTTGGTAAGATTCCTTGAGCAGATTGTGTTGGTGCACCAAAAGTCCAAAGATCTTTGTTTGCGGATGGTGTAGTGCAGAGTACGGTCAGGCGTTGACGTGTGGATTGCCAAGCTAGCCCACCACTTTACGCGTCGCCAGGACGCGTCTGGCTCTCACGCTCCACCGATTTTCGCAACTTCACGAACACGTCTACAACAAAGTCAAACAATGGCGCTACTAGTAGACAAACATCGACCGCGCAACCTTGAAGCGCTCAGCTATCACCCTGAGCTTTCGGATCGTCTACGAGCCCTTGTAAGGATGCCAGCGACACCATCTATCAGGCACAGCACGACTAACGTAACATTGTGTAGGCACAAAGCGGCGACTTTCCACATCTCCTCGTATATGGACCCTCTGGGGCGGGCAAGAAGACACGCATTGTTGCAACGCTCAAGGAGCTCTACGGGCCCGGTGTTGAGAAGATCAAGATCGATGCACGCGTCTTCCAGACCACCACAAACCGCAAACTCGAGTTCAACATCGTCGCATCCGTATACCACCTTGAAATCACACCATCAGACGTCGGAAACTATGACAGAGTGGTCGTACAAGACCTGTTGAAGGAAGTTGCCCAAACACAGCAGGTCGACCTGGGCGCAAAGCAGCGCTTCAAGGTGGTGGTGATCAACGAGGCAGACCACTTGACAAGGGATGCGCAAGCAGCGCTGAGACGGACCATGGAGAAATACAGTCCCAACTTGCGATTAATACTGCTAGCGAACTCTACGAGCAACATCATCGCGCCTATCAGGAGTAGAACGCTCCTTGTGAGGGTTGCAGCGCCTACAGAGACTGAGATTTGTAGTGTTCTGAGCAAAGTGGGCAAGAAGGAGGGATGGAAGGAGGTTGAGAGTTTGAACCAAAGGATAGCGAAGGACAGCGGGCGTAACTTGAGGAAGGCGCTGTTAATGTTCGAAGCAGTACACGCTCAAAAGTATGATGACCCCTCTTCCCCAGTGTCTAACCTCATGCTAACGCATCAACAGCGAGAAAATCACAGATCAGACGCACATTCCACCGCCTGACTGGGAAGCACTCATCCAGCAGATCGCCCGCCAAATTGTCGAGGAGCGATCTCCACAACGCCTTCTACAAGTCCGCGCTTCACTCTACGATCTGCTATCGCATTGCATCGACTCTACAACCATCATAAAAACGCTTACCTGGAAATTGATACCATTGACAGAGGACGCACTGAAGCCTGAGGTTATCAAGTGGGCAGCATTCTACGAGCATAGGTGTAAGATGGGCGCCAAGCAGATCTTTCATCTCGAGGCTTTCGTCGCGAAGTACATGAGGTTGTACGAAAGGTATGTGCTGCACTTCCAGAGAACCGCTCATGAGACTAACAATCATCGCAGCTACGCTATGGGTATCGATTTCGATTCGACATAAACGCAAACTTGCATGTTTGGTTCGCTTGCAGGATAAAAGTAGTTAATGTGTCATCATACTAGGGTGTTCTGGCGCTGCAGAGCGCGTCTCGCGTTCGGCGTTTGGTCGTTACGTCATAGCATGGAGCTTTCCCCATACCTCGAGTTTCTGAGCTTCAATTCCACTACAACCTCACCCAATAAACACTTTCATACATTTCCCATATACCCTCTTTCTCATACCCAAAAAAAAAACAGTTAAATCTTCGCACCCGCAGATATGTCAGACAAGCTCATGGATACCGAGCCCGGCGGCGAGCGCCAGAACCAGTACGAGGGCGTGCACACCTTTGTCGAGCCTCACGCAAAGCAAGCTGGTCAATTAGGCGGTATGCTTTTTCCCTTCAGATTCACCTTTATCGTGCAATTGCTAACCATCAGTTCCTGCAGACCCCTCAGAAGGCACCTCAGTCCATACTAAGACCTCCGACCCCGGCGCGCCAAACACCCAAGGCATTACACCTGCAGATAAGATTCGATACGGACAAAGTATCCAAGAAGGCGGCATGGGCGGTAAGACGACAAGTTCAACAGGAGAGGCGAACACTGAAGGTACGTCAACAAAAATGGAAATTGGATAGTGGGCTAACAATAAGCAGGCGGATTCGGCGGTACTGAAGCGTTGAACGAGGACGATGAGAATGCGGCCAAGCAGAGGAGAGCGCAGGGTTACGGTGGAAAGAAGGATATGGATCGGACTATTGGCGCATAGTAGCCGAAAACCAGGCGTTACGAAACAAGGGACACAAAGAATTCATTCAAATCAACGCAAGGTGCTTGGTTGATAGGGTAGGCCCAAACAGGGCGTGAGCATATATACTACTATACATGGACGATACAACTAGGATATCCCGTCTAAGAATGCCCATCTTGTCATGTGTCCCAAACGCCATCGCTATGCAGCCGAGCCTCTACGTTATTCGTACAAAAAGCGTGAAGAAATGAGGAGGGATATCTGAGCAGAGATCAAAGACAGACCAGAGAAACACAAAAGCCTTCAACACAAGCAAATAAACCCCACCTCAACGTCTCGCAGCATCATCAGCCCTCTGCTCGACCTTGGCCAACTTCCTCGCCAACGCCCTCTCTCTTTCCATGACACTTGCGAGCGTATCGCCTCTCTTCGTTACACCCCCCAAATCCGGTGCTCCGGCCGGCATCGTGCTGCCCATATCCCCTCGACTAACTCCGTTCCTACTGCCACCACCCCACGCGCCAAGGCCCCATGTATTGCCTGGAGCTACTGTTGGTCTAGTTGGCTCCCTGCTAACGAGTGCACCGGGTCCATGACCATACATGCTAACCCGTTGCACCTTACGAAGCTTTGACAGTCCGTATACAGCGACGAAGCAGCCGAATACTGAACACCAGGCGCTTATGCCAAAGAAACCGAGATCAGATTCTTCGATGAAGTTCTTCAGGTTCATACCGTATAGAGCGGCGACAAATGTACCTGCTGTAATCGCGAGGGTGAGGATGGAGAACTTGAGGTCGAGGAGCATGAGGGAATTGCGGTTGGCGTCGAGAATGGCCTTGACACTGTGGAAAGTTAGTTCATTGGAAAAAGGGTCCAGAGAGATATGGAGCAACGTACATCTCCTCGGTGTTCCTGATGCTAGACACCAAGTTCTCAGCAGCTTGTACGATTTCGTCGGCGACCTTGTGGTAGGATTCGAGGAGCATTTCGACTTCGGTATGATCATCGTCTTCGCGTGTCTTGCCCTCCGCCTTCTCTGTCAAGTACATGGCGCTGAGATCGTCGTCGGCTTCTAGCAATTCCTCAAGTGCGTTCCTGACCAACCGTGCCTTTTGTTCGAAACTACCCAGCTTCTTGCTGTAAATGAGCAGGTACCGCAACTTGTCTCTATCGATGTCCTCTTCCAGCTCTCTCAGAACTCGCACCACTGGCTCACTCACGCCTTCGAATTCCTTTTCCAAACTTAATGTTACACTTATGAGGACAGCTTCAAGTGCTCGGAATTCATAGGCGAGTGTGCCGTTGATCGTGGATTCTTTCTGGCGGAGTTTGAGGTCAAGATCGTACATGAAGACGGACTGCGACTTCGAATCGGTGGTGCCGTATGCATCGAAGACAAGGACGCGGTTGTGCTTTAGGAGGACACGAAGGTTGAGGAGGTTTATCAGGATCGCAGAAGGTCGAACGAGAATGTGCGGGAGGAGCGACGAATCAATTTTGCGAAGGTCGCGAGGAAGCAGACCGTACTATTCTCAACCATCAGTTGTGCAATCTGGAGGGGTGCTCTGCCTGCCATGCGTACCTTAGCGATCAACTCGCTCTTCTTAAACTCTCCACTGACAAGTGTAACATTACCATGTTCATCTAGTTCCGTACAACGCATTTTGAGCTCGTTCGTAGGTCGCATTATACGTCCAAGGCTACTCCCGAACCCTGTTGCGCCCGACGACGTCTCGTCTGGTGGTGGTTGCGGTGGTTGCAGCTGGGCCATTCTCCGCATCTTTGCTGAATTAAAAATGTTCCACGCATTGTTTGAGGATGTTGTAGAGAAGCTTCGATGGCCATGGGGTTCGACATCTCTTACGGAGAGAGCTGTAGTCTGTGGAGCAGCAAGTGAAGTCTCAAAGACTGGTTGTGAGGTTTTCGTGCTCAAGAGACGTTGCGAAGTTGCAAATGTACTACTTCCAGCACCCTCTCCTTTCTTCCAACCCCGTGTATTTGTCCTGCATGATGCATCTCCCGAATGCTTTTGAAGCCCGATATGCGTCCCGTATCTGCGTCGTTGCGGGGCTACTTGGGCGCATTGCGCCAACGGCCGCTCGAATGCATTGGCGACTTGAGCTCTCAGGAAGCTCAGAACTGACGGTGATGGGGCGGCGACTCTATGAAGCAAAGTAGGCTTCATAACTTTCCATATGTATGGTCTCGTATACAGCAGCGATCCATACGGTCGTCGTTGAAGTCGTTCGAAATATCGTTTAAGCCTCCCCTGCACGTCATTAGCATTCCGCGATCTTGGAAAATCGTTTAGCGCTAGTGACGTCACGTGCAAGCGCGTCCACCGTGAATTCCAAGGTTGTCTCATCAAGAAGTTCCAAATAGACTATTCCGAATATACTGCCTACTCTCTACCTTGAGAGATGATAAATCGATGGCATGTCTCACACCATCTACAACGCTCTAATTCGAACTCATCACATCACCTCCCGCAAGAAGGTCGCCAAGCTCAAAGCTGCAGCATCCAATTGTCACATCTACGCTCTACTACATTACGGCGGTTGCCCAGGCATTATGTATTGCCAAGGCTCCGAAACAGGCGTAAGGGAGTGGGTGGCAAATGTTCAGAGGTTACGTTATAAAGACTTCCAGCTAGTCAAGAAGCCTGTGGGAAAGGAAGTTGAAGGGAAAGAGGAAGGAGATGATGTCCCTTATGGAAAACTTGAAGAAGTGGAGAGCGTAAAAGATTTTGGGGCTAGCATGCAGAAAATAGGTGTTTGGGGCTGGTGGAGGAAGGGCATGGGATACATTGGTGACGACTCAAGCTTATGAGTACCGAAGCATACTCCAATCCCGGCGCATTAAGTTGTGTTACTGGTCACGACCTGAGATTACTAAATCGGACCTATAAGATCGAATGAGCATTTTATATGTCAAATATCATGTGTTCATCCTAACCGGATATTCCTCCGTTTTGTTGGAGCAACTGTGTTGAAATCCTACCTCCTGCCCAGTTAACACACACGCTCCCAATGCCCCCAACATTGCGGATGAGAAGTGCACATCCATTCATCAAGAAAGTAAGATTTCATGTGTTCTGCATGCATACGCATTCTTTGTTCTCAAGCTGAGGGAAACGTATTGCTAGAAGCGAGTCCACTGGCAGAGCTTCTTCGAACTCTACATCGTCGGTTCTGTAGCTCAAACGTTCCACTGGACTGAAGTATCTCCCCGCATATGACGAATCAAGAGAACGATACCACACTTCTGGGCTTTCTTCCCATGTTTCGATGATTTGAGACGTGAATGCCTCGATCCAGATGAAGCGACTCGGTTGGTCTGTGCTATCGTAGAGACAGTGAGCTTTGCTGTAATCTTAAAGAGCTGCATACTGATTTTGATAATATTCCCGTTCCAACGACAGTCCAGATCTCAGCTCTATCCTTATTTTCATGGTGCTCTCATCGCTTGTCGCCCAAGAATACGTACTTTTGAAGTGGTTATAAGAGTATTCTATCCGACTATTTCAGCCAGTCCAAAGCCAACTGGGGAATCCTTCTCGGCGGGAAGCCGCATTGGAAGCAAGCCAGCGCAGGCTTAGTTCAAAAGCACACTGACCAGATTCTGACAAATCTAGCTTTTTTTGGAATGTTGGGCAGGAAGAGGATACCTCACAGGTGGCAAATTCTTCTTCTCTGTTGGTAGAATGCTAGGATGCCCAGCACAGGGTTGAGAGAATTGGTCTGGTAAGTCAGATTTCTCTTCGAATACCCAGCGATGTAACCCCATATGGACAACTTCTCAAGTGAACATGCCCTACTTCTGGTGCCGAGCTCGTGATATATAGCATCACATGTAGGTAGGTATGGATCCTAATAGCCAGAGTGCATGGTGCGAGCCGCCTAATAACTCAAGACAGTTGTCGTTTATAGTACTTCTAATATCCTCTGAGTCGATACTACCAAACAGACGCCTAAACTGAAGCTTCTGGCAGCGTCCGCATAATGAACTCCGTGCGACGAGCTTCTTGCTTGCAACTGAAACACCTCGTCTTTCAGCGTACTGTGTAGGTGATGCATAATAATGCTCACGCAAGAGTCTGATGGAGTGTGGCTTAGCTACACCTGTTGGTATTACTGGGTATAGTTTTGTGCTGAAAATGCCTTGGTTTCGTTATCGATAGTGAGGGGCTGGATTGCACGATTTGTGTAGGATGTTGCCTCTGGAACTATGAGAAATATAGGGCGAAGAGATGTAATCAATGCAAGTGGAGCATGCAAAGACGTGTTAGACTCGGTGAAATCATGTCAGCGGCAGACAGTAGGCTACCTCGGCTGCTGCGTACCGTTACGCTTACGAGCAAAGAGCCCTGGGAAGTCAAATGTGTCTGTTACCATCACCAGAATCATGCAAGACTAGCAATTAGAAACTGGTCACAGCATTCCAATCATAAGACGAGATGTAACGATGTGATCAATGATTATGCTACGCTAATGCGCTATTAACTCCTAAACAACTAACTCTTTCTCTTAATACTCCTTCGCCAGCTTACTCCTCGCGCGGAGCAAATGTCCATACTTGAACATAACAAACGGAATCAAACTCAGGACGGTTCCAAACATCGCAAGAATGAGACCTGCGTATTGACTGCCCACGTTATGGAAGAAGGCGCTTGCGAAAAGTGGCGTAACAGCACCGAGGGTATTCCTCATCAATCCCTGACCGGCAATAGCTGAAGAAGAGGTCTCGCCATAGCAGTCGGCAGTGTAGGAGTATGTGCTCTCGAATACGAAGAAGATACCGAATGCGATGGGTGCGAGACCGATGACGGGACCAACCCAGCTCAGGTATCCGTATTGCGTGAAGGAGTAGATGAAGAGACCGATGGGGAGCCAGACAGCACCGAACATGGCACCGTAAAGACGGTGTTCGGGAACGATACGGACGTTGGGATCTTCCTGAAGTTGATTGTACTTGCGCATCTGGAGGTGGTGGGCAGCCCACCCGAGGAAAGTACCAACGGCGAGAGAGATGTATGGCAGACCGCTGACACCTTCGGACCAACCACGCTTCTCTTCGAAGGTGATAGGAATAACGGAGAGGAACAGGAAGACTACTGCCCAGCAGAAGGCAATCCAGAGACCAAAGGCGAAGACGACAGGTTCGGTAACGAGCATGCGGATAGCCTTGACGGAAGAGGCCTTCAGCATAGACTTGACATCGGGTGTGTAGATATCATCCTCTGCGACGTAGCGGTCGTCGCCGGTGGCCTTTTGCAACTGCTTGGCTCGCTTGTGGAGCTTAGCACCGCCACGGGTCTCGGGAAAGGCGACGAAGATAAGAATCAGGAGAGGGATGTTGGCGAGACCCTGGATACCCTCAACCCATCGCCATCCGAGCGATTGGTCGATGAAGCCGGCGTAGATGGGTGCAGCGACAGTACCGAAGATAGCGACGAAAGCGAACATGGCCATTGGCCTACCACGCTTGTGAGGCTCGTACATGTCGTCAAAAGTGCCGCCGACAAGAATGGTACCGACGCAGCCGAAGAGACCGAGTAGTAAGCGGAGACCGATGATAGTGGAGATGTTCTGTGCGAGCGCGAGACCGATGAATATAAGCGAGAAGCAGAGGAAAGCACTGGCGTATACAATCTTGCGGCCTACAAGCTCACAGAAGGGAGCCAGTACCATGGGCGCAATAGCACACGCGATGTTGAAGGTGAACAGCCCGAGCTGGCCATAGATTGTGGCGACGCCAAACTCCTCACACATCCTGTTGATTCCCGAACTGTATGCCGTCGTCGCGAGACCAATGAATAGTGTCATCAAGTTGAGCAACGTGGTGATACTGCGCTTGTACCAAGGGTTCCAGTTGAATGGGTTCTCCTTATCACCAGTAGCGAAGCTGAGGACAATGTACTCCTTGCCTTCATGATTGACCATCTCGGTCAGCGTAAGAGGCATGTCGCAATCGACTCTCTTGATCTCTCCGCAACCGAGATCGATGTCCTCCACATCATCGGTGAGATGCTTGCCGCCCGCGATCCTTCCAATCATGAGTTCACCCTTCTCGTTGCGCAATATTTCCGAGTTCATTGAAGGGGTTTCCTCCTTTCCGTTGGCTTCATTCTCCAGTTTACTGTTCACTCTCGAGAGCAATGCGGGTGTCGTGGGACCAGTGTTGGCAGCGGTGTTGGCGGCAGTCTGTGCCGCAGTCGTACCAGCGATCGTGGCGGCAATGGAAGCGTTGCGAGGCGTGGTGATTGAACCATTTCGAGGAGTGACAGGAGCACTACGAGCTGCTCTGTATGATGAGTTCGCTCTTGACGCTGCCAAAGATGGAGGTCTTGAGGATTTGTGATTAAAGGATGGACCGTAGTACCCAGACATATTGGTTGATGTTTAAAGTGGAGATGTCTTTGAGGAAGCAAAGAAATGGACGCAGACTGACGACCGTAATCAGGGAGAAGTATAGTATTTAGGAGCGGAAAGCAGACATGTATCTCCTGCTTATCAACACCGGCGAGGTACCGGCATCGTTGGCCAATAGAGGCGGTGTGGGATGGCATTCGTCCTGTTCATGGCCTGACCGTAAACACCCGACAGGCTGGCACGAGAATAATGAGCCGTTGTAAGGGGGTATCCATGTGTTTTCACATCCGACGTCATAGTGTCTGTGCATAACTGCTCAGTAGATTCGCTCAGTGTCGGTTAGGCAGTGTGATCGGACGAGAAAAATCTGCTATCTCAACGTGTACGGACACTATGCGCTCTAGCGTTCCAAGATTATCAGAAGAGTTTGGTGTTGAGGCTCTGCGGAACTCCACTTAGTGGGCGGTCCGGCCGGCAGGATCGCGGCATGACGTCGCGTGTGGATAGCCTTAAGCCAGAATTTGCATACGTTTTGAGCAAACCCAGATCGCAGGCTAATCCTCGGCGGCCGCGCGTGCCCGAGCGCGTGCAACGGCGTTCAGTGGTCTGATCCAAGTGTTCCTCGTGGATGAATGACTTCAGTCAAATCGATGATCGTCGAATCGCTGCCTCCACCATGTGCCTCACTATCCCACTCAATAGTAATGCTTGGTGGGCTCGATTATCCTGCATAATGTCAAACATATAGGGCTGTTGCACACTACGGACGTACCTTCTACTCGTACCTGTTTCACCCTTGAGAGATTACCGACTTCTGAGGATGACAAGTCATACCACCTCGTACATACTTTATCGCCTTCTTAGCATATCCCGTGGCAAGTGCAGCAGAGTTTAGTGATCAAGATGGCAATACGTGAGACTAGTCGAAGTGGTGGGAGAAACATGGCTTGTCGAGTTTTCGGGTCACATGTGGGTGAATGGTGGTGCGTTTGCCTCTGCACAGAATAGACTTCCACGAGTCGAGCGATCGCCCAAGGCCTGTTGTGCGCGAGGCGATACAAGGTATCGTGTCTATGTTACTCTGGTTCCGTGACCGTGTTTCCTATTAACAACGATCACCGTTGTCGTTGCAGGTGTCAGGATGATGACACTAACGCAGATCGTCTTGAGTCGAGATGGTATGCATGCCTACCACAACGGTACCGCTGTATACCCCGGAACTTCGATGAACATGTAAGACTAGCGATGGGACTAAGATCGATGGACGGGATGCGATATGATAGGACGAACCACAGAAAGCCATGTTCGAGTCTCTACCAAAATCACCAGTGCATTCGTCACAGCTTCCCCGCGGAGGCGAGAACAAAGACAATATTTGTTGTTGTCATGATGGTGCCATTGCTTTGTGTGAATTCCTGATAAACCCATGATCGTTATGAGACCGGCATCCGAATGCTGCAATGAGCCCTTTTATCGGATCATGACTGCCGATGCAGAGAAAACGCTCGAAGAACTCCACCCCAATGCCCAATGTTCCCTTAAACCTCAGCAATCTCTCGGAGACGACGGATCGTTGACCTTGTGGCGGCGGCAGCGGGAGTGCTGTGGATAGCGGTTAGCATTGTCCTGTTCTCTACAGACATAGCAAGTCTCTCGACGATGGTGTATGGGTGCGACGATGTGTGGGGAGTCTTACGAGACGGTGTAGGCTCCTCCAGCAGTGGTCTTGCGGCAAGATCGGCAGTTCCAGATACCGACGGCCTCACGCTTGACAGAGTTCTTTCCGCAGAATTGGCAGACGTAGCGGGCGTGTTGTGTGATCTATCGTAGATGTGAGCGACTCGTTCGGTTGATGCTGTACTAGGGTTGTGTGGGTGTGCGCACCTCCATCTTCTTGACCTGCTTACGGAGCGAGGCACCGTAACGGGTACCGTACTTTCCGGTGATGCCGACCTTCTTTGTGCCTGCAGTCGCAATCAATAATTATCCATATCCAAGGGCTGAAGGGCTCGTACGCTTCGTCATTTTGGCGGTTGTATGAGTTGACGATGTAGATGGGTCGAGGTGTCAGATTCGCGATACCTTTTGCGTGGGTTGCGCGAAAATGCTAAGCGAGCCTTGGCGGGGTGCGGCGCCGGAACAACCAGCTCCGGATGGGCAAACACGAGAACATAGCGTTCCATTTGTTTCTCGAAGCAACACATATTGTCTTCACTCGCTTTCATTCAGGTCGCTGTTAGCGTTTTAGCAACGTATTGCTGCGATATGTGTGTTATGCGTCGCTGTTGAACCCTGGATTCATCTGATTCTGCTAATCTACTCCCACATTACCACTCCAAGGAATAGTTAGCAATATTCAGTCTTGCACGAAGACATGTCGAAACATCATACTTGATAGATTTGAAACGGTTCTCGCAGAGTTCACTTGACGTGCGCTGTACCGTTCCTCCAAGACTAAAGAGCGTGGCAGCCACAGTCCCGCATCACCCATCTCAGGCAACACGCCACCTCATCTACTTGTCGCAAACACAGGAGTCAACAAAATATGCGGCGTAGATGTGCAAACACGCCGAAGGCAGATCCTTTGGCAGAAGCGCCCGGCTGCCCGGCTCCCGAAACAAGATGAAACTGAAGCAGCTGACAGGCACACCCGGGCGCCTACAAACCGCTAAGAACGGCAATACAGCGATCCTGCGCGCTTATCGTCTGGAGACCAGCGGCTGTTCAATGCTGAGCTCTATTTTGACCTATGTCTGCCAGGATGCAACGGCTTTCGCAGAGATTGGGGCGCAACGGACAGTTTGGGGCGGTGTATGCGGCTTGGATCTCGGCCTTGGACTTCACCTGGGCAGAGTATGCGATAACAGTGGAGGATGTATATATCCTGTGGCTACAACATACTCGGAGAATCAGGACAGTTACATTATCGAATCGTGTTTCAGCCCAATCCTTTTCATCTGATATCAATCCTCTTTTGTTCTCTAATCTGCACATCATGGTTATCCTTCACCTCAGACATGCTATATTCATCGCTGCTCTCATTACATTGACCGCAGCGCAAGACGAAACTATTGTACCTGATGATCTTCAATCTGGCTTCCGTCCAGGTGGCGACGAAGTACAGGTCTCATTCACTAGCGACGCAGTCAATGGCTTCAAGGATGGAACAGTTTTTGAGAAAGACGGTTAGTTCTTCATCTTAACATAAGACATGGAATCTCATATCCATTCAGCGGTAGCGGAGGAGCCTACATTTGCCCTTGGTGATAGCAGTGGCATCTCTCCTAGCACATTATACACAATTATTATGGTCGACACCACTTGTCCAAACTCTCGGAAACTTCACTACGCCCGTGCAAACTTCAAGAACAACTTCGAAATCACCAACATCAACACTAGCTCTCCAGCTCTTCTCGATTACATCGCTCCTGGCTCTTTCGACGAGAAGGGTGATGACCGGCAGTATAGTTTCTTGATGTATATGAACCCCGGTAGGAAAGAGATCACGAATCTGCAATTGCCGGGAGATAACGAAGCCTTCGATATCAAGCAGTTCCAGGATGGGAATGGGTTGGGAGATGCTATGGCTGGGGTGGGTATGGTCGTGAAGCTTGGGGGTTCAGCGGACTGCGCGGGCGATAATGCAGAGACTTTACCCAGTAGTCTACCGACGCCGAGACCAGCAAGAAGTACAGGAGTAGCAGCGTCGAGGACAGTTAGTCCAGAAGACGCAACAGCAAGTGCCACGCCCACAGACGACACGAACTTGCCTGAAGATGCAGGCTCGCTTTCTTCAGCTGCCACTGCCACCCCCACGCCAGCATCGTCGAGTGATCCTCCGAACTCAGTCGTCTCGTCGCTCAGCAATCCCCCACCTTCAGCAGTAGGACCATCAAATACTGTGTCAACAATCATTCTATCTAGTACGGATGGGACGGGTTCTTCAACAGCTGCTACTACTGTAGCAGAGCAGACGGCGAATGCTGCACCGGAAACGATATGCTGTCAACGCTGGGGCATGGTCTCCTTCTTGGTCATCCTCGGCCTCATGTCTTGGTAGATGGTAGTCGAGCAGATAATGGTAAAAAGAGTTGGCTTTTAGTGTCTTTCCAGCAATCGCTTTGATGCTTTTCTTGTCATAAGTTCAAACAAATGTTCAACTCCTGTCCAAGGCCTAATATCCTCACAACATTCTTGCAAGCTGCGATCCATACCTGCCTCACTGTTTGTCATCGTGGACACCCATCTACAGTACGACCTGTCCTTCTAACTACTCCTTAACAGCCTCGGCGTAACTCTTGTCCAGCGACCCATTCTTCTTAATCAACTCTCCAACGATGAATGGTATGCAGTCTTTCGGACCATAGTACTTCAAATCAAACCTGTCCCATTCACCTGCGTCCCTCAAGAAATCTGGCGTATGCCTCTGAAGTTCGCATCCACCCATGAAGAACGGCCATCCCAGAATCGTATATACGAGTTGCATGAATCGCGCAGCCACTCTGCCTTCAGTCCTCCAAGGATTAGCCACGTGCTCGCAGATTACCATCCGACCGCCAGGCTTGAGAAGGTTATAGAGTCCCTTAATGGTCTGCTCGGGATGTGGAACACCACAAAGCACGCGAGTGCAGCAAATTTCATCGAAAATACCGTCTGACGCCAATCCGCCTTTCCCACTGACATCCAAGATGCCACTCTTATGTAATGCTGGGATTAGACTCTCAGGCTCCGCACCACAAAGCATAGCATGGAACTTGCTGCCGAACCCCCTCTTCTCTGCGTTCTTTACTAGTCCCGGATGCAAGTCCTCGGCTGGCTCAGCCCCATAGATAGCAGTGATAAGATCCGGGTTGAATCGCGAAAGCACTTCCCCGGATCCAGGACCAATATCGAGGACTACACCTTTGCATTGGCTTAAGAGAGAAAACGTGGGGCCTGGCATCTCAGCGGACATTGCTTCGCCGTTATTCTTCCAGAGTCGGGCGAAGCCCTTGAAACGGAGTTTGGTGATATTGAAGAGGGTGAAAGGGCGCCAGTCGTAGAATACAACTTCAAATGCTGCCATGAAGAAGTCTAAGTATGAATTAGTATGGCCCATCTAAAATAGAGCTACGACACAACTTACTATATACTGCAATGCAAAGTAATATCGACGGGCGGAGAAGCGTCGGGATGTGTTCGCCCAGCCATTGCGCCGGTGTCATGATGCTCTTCTCTGTATATCTCAAGTAATGGTTGTAGGATGCTTCAGGAGCGGATCCGCAAGTGAGAATGGCAAAGGAGGTTCAAGGACGGAAGTAGAGGAAAGGAAAGAAGATCGGAAATCCACGAAGGAACATGCTCAATCAGGCTCTGATGGAACGCTCGGGAACATTGGTTAGTCAGACAGGATCTAGCAGTCGATTCCGTTGGTGGGTTGATACGAGCAGGGACCTGTGTGACGTCGACGCGCTAGTAGCAGAGACAGCCGAGGCATGGATCATCAGAATGCGCATCGTGGGCTCGTGAAACCTGCAACGATCGACTCGCTTATACCATCTGCACACTTGCAATGGCTGAAGGAAAGCGGACGCAGTTTGCGTTGATTACAGGGTGAGTAATGCTGCCTGTCGTGGCGGTAGGAGGCTTAGGATCGTCTTAGCTCTAACCGACGCGAACAGATGCACACCTGGCGGCATTGGACACTTTCTCGCGTTAGAGTTCGCTGAAAGAGGTGGGGATAGTACTCATTTCTGCTCTCTTCGGTTGCTGATTGATATCTAGGCTTCCAAGTTCTGGGGACCGTCCGCGATCCGTCCAAATACACGTCTCCGCACCCAAACATCAACTATCTGCCCCTCGAACTCCCACACAAGGAATCGATACGTGAACTACACAAGCGCGTCAGCGACATCACCGGAGGCAAACTTGATGTATTATACAACAATGCCGGACGCAATTACGTTATTCCAGCGCTGGACTACGACGAGGATGAGCTCCAGGAACTCTTCCAAGTGAACGTATTCTCTGTTATGGAGATGTGCAGGACCTTTGCTCCACTTGTGGTCGAAGCAAAGGGCACTGTTGTTCAGACAGGGTCGTTAGCCGGCATCATGCCTTACGTTTGGGGAGCGCCATACAACGCTTCCAAAGCCGCACTCCACGCCTACTCGGATACACTACGTGTCGAACTCGCTCCTCTCGGTGTACGCGTCATCAACATCGTGACTGGCGGCGTCAAATCGAACATTGCACGAACGCACCGAACTTTGCCACCGGGTTCATACATGCAACCGCTTGCTGTCGAGTACGAGCGAAGATTGGTACACAGTCAAGAGCTGGGCATGGACACGAAGCAGTACGCAAGCAGTTGCGTGAGGCAGGTGCTCGCTGGCGATGGCATATTCTCAAAGACAAGATGGATTTGGGAGGGAAAGATGAGCTGGATTGTGTGGTTCGCGTGGACGTATTTACCGTCTGCGGTGCTTGACTATTACTTCACATCAACATTCCATCTAAACAAGCTAAGAGGGACTGCAGGGCCAGATAAAAAGAGCCAGTAAGGGGACATAATGGCCCTTAGCAGTTGCGCTACAATGTGAACAATTAAAAATAGCCGTCTGACAACGATATGCGCTAAGAGCGAGCAGGGCGTAAATGCAAGCAAGCTTACATCTTTCTATCTAACGTTCGCAGAACGCTGAGATCTCTTCGACTCTGGAATAATACATGACTCACTTCGATGTCATTGTTGTTGGCGCAGGTACGTATAAATTTAAGCCAGCGTTGCAAATGTCCGAACGCGGAAAAGCAAATCGGCGTGGACACATAAGGTGAATCGCTGATTGGTTGTGTTACGCGGGTTGAGACCGCATATCTGGAAACGCTGAGACTCTCAAGAACACAATCTTATTGGTCGCCTGTCATCCTTGGAGAGATGAACCGATGCTCATGCCTATGTGTGCTGCCTGTTGAGTGAACGCATTGCATCGGGATTCACGACCGATAACTAAATGTAAAAGAGTGTAAAGACTAAACCCATACGCTGCAGGTGTTTCCTATTGTTTGCTTTCCTCACTATTTTGGTTGCAGCTCACCATCCATGCAGAACTTCTATAAGAAGGACGATATGCGCCCGTGGGCGCCGATGCACTATCGCAGCAGTGTTGATACTTACAATCTGTGTGCTCTGGTACGGTCTAGATCCACGCACCAGTCATTCATTCTGGCGTCCAGGCAGGATGCAACCATGGCAAGAGACAGCTTTAGCTAAGAAGCCAGGGGAGTTAGATAAGATACCAAAAGAATGACGACTGTCTGAGGACACGATTATGGAGGCAAAAACGCGTAAAGTCATAGCCGGGTCCTTTATTGAAAGTCTTTTGGATGAGAAAACACTCAGCATAACTCGTATGGACCCGGTAGAAATCGTCGAAAGTACAGGAAATGGATCGATGTCTGCATACGATGTCGTTGAAGCATTTTCCAAGAGAGCCGCTTATGGACATCAAATGGTACGTTCGAATTGGGCAGTTTTGGCTGTTCTAACAATAAATAGAGCCTCAACCTCCTTGAGGTGGGCTTTAGTGTAGTTCTTGAACGAGCTCGAGAGCTTGATAGTTATTACCAGAAACATGGTAGGCCTGTCGGCCCTCTGCATGGTCTACCTATTACCCTCAAAGACCACTTTGATGTTAAGGGAATGGAAACATGTTTTGCCTACGTTGGGTGAGTGGGTACCTTCGAGGGTCAGAGAGGTACTGGCAAAGAGCGCGTCTTCCAAAGCGAGCTGATCGAGGAATTAGTCAGCTTAGGTGCAGTCGTCATTGGCAAGGTGAGTAAGTGGCGTCTCCGTGGAATTTTGACCTAACAGCGTACCAAGTCATCGCTTGTGACTACAAAGTGGGCTCCGTCGGGATGCCGGCAGCGTTCAACGGAGTTTTACAGTCACAAGCCGTCATCAGGGCGTCTATCTCTCAAAGACGCTCCCGCTTCTGGCAAGGCGAATATGGTGATACCTGGCGCCATCGGTATACTTGGTCCCTCCGTTGCGTCTCTGAAGTTGATGTTCAAGTCGCTGCAATCGACAGAGCCATGGAAGCGCGACCCTTTTGTACTGCCCATCGAATATCGAGAATATCGTGAGTACAATCCCGAAAACGACCCGCTTCCCGTATTTGAAATCATGAAAGATGACGGGATCGTCAGACCCCATCCACCTATCGCTCGAGCTATGGATATCGTTGAAAAAGCCATATTGAAGGCAGGATATGGAACATCGGCTTGGGATCCACCATCTCACGCCGAGACCATCAAGTTGCATGGGCCGATTGCGCGCGGTGATGGAATTCCTGATGCATGGAGGAACATACAACTCTCCGGAGAAGCTATCGTACCTCAACTCTTAGGCAATGTATTCCCTGGCGGAAAACTACAACCACCCATGAATTTAATAGACTGGGAGGATCGCGTGCTGCATATGCAGGACTATCGTACCAGATACCAGGCATATTGGGAATCGACATCGAACGCAACTTCCGATGGACGTCCGGTTGAAGCATTCGTCGTTCCTATAGCTGCTACAGCCGCCTTCATCCCCAGGAACTTCTACCGTTCCGGTAAGAAGAACAATGCCTGATTTAATAAACATCTGCTTACCTTCAGATCTACAGCGTACTCCAGCTTTGTGAATGTTCTGGATTATTGTTCGGTGGTCATACAAGTGACAACTGCAAGCAGAAGTATCGATGTCGAACCCAAAAACCATGAGCCCCTCACTGAAAAGGACAGGATCAATATGAACGCTTGTAAGACAAGCCGTAGCATTTCAATCACACCTGCTGAGCAACGATCAGACAATGCTGATACCTACGATGGCACCCCTGCAGTATTCAAATTATAGGCAAACAATACGATGAGAAAAGGCTGCTTTCACTGGCCCAAGTCATCGTGGATGCTTTGCAGAAGTACAAATCTGCAGAGACTAACCATTGACTGTGTGTATGGGTTTTGTACTATCTATCTTACGTGCTGGTGAAAGATTTAATGTAGTAAATGATCATTATAGCATACTGAGGCCCTTGAGAGACGACAGCACTATGTGTAGGGTGGGCCTTTCACGGCCAAAATCCTGGTTTCTCCATGCTTCAGTCTGTAAAAAGCTCTCTGCTCTCTTTAGCTCAGTCGTCCACCATATGAGGCCAGTCTGTAGGACATCGCCCTGTATATCAGTCTTACTATCCGAGTTTTGATACTTTGCGCCGTGAAGTTTGTCTTCGATGCGCACAACGCGTTTTGCACGTACTGGCAATAGAGCCTAGACATTCTCCGGCCACTCTGGCGCATCTACTGTGCATTGCCTGATAAGTTTCTGTGCAACCGTCGGAGTGCTACGAAAAGTGGGAAACTCGACATTGGGATCTAAGCGATATGCATGAACCAGCCCCTGCTATTGATGTGGTATCTCGGTTTTGCGAGAGGCTAGCTGAATATTGACAGCGTATTGTCTATACAAGACCTCAGGGGCACACTACTTGTGCCAATTACCGCGCTGCTCAAAGTCGCAGAGAACTACGCGCTTGGACAATTGTCCTTCCGTGGCGCTATCGCTCACTAGTAAGACATTGTTAGGACTAAGATCAGAATAGAATCTACGTCCGTATTCCGGTACATTTAGCAAGACAGACGTGACTTGCAAACACTAATTAGTCTTTTCTTCGAAGGACATGGCGTTCTTTCGAGATCCGATTGGGACTAGGTCGCGGATAGACCCTAGAGGATAATAAGGGAGTAGAAACCCAATGACTCCATGTTTCCCGCTAAAAGTTCTGCGTTTTGTGGCCACATATAAAGGATGTGACATGACGTTTGGATGTGGTGGGATACTTAAAAGAAACTTTAGCTCGTGGTAAAGGTATTCAAGATTGTCGACCGTAGATTTGAATGCATGGAGCTCCCTTAGTACGAACTTTAGGCTGACTATGCTTACAGAGTCGTGAATCTGCTTCACAAGTTGAAGACACTTGATGGGAACAGTCACTGGCCATGTTTCCGTTGGAATATCCCTTTCCTAAAGTTTCCGCAATGCTAGCATGGATGTAGATGGCCATTCTACTTCCTATGACGGAAAAATGCGGAGTCCTATGTTGTTCACATCGGCTTCAATACAATTGAAGAGAATCTTCGATCGAAATGGTAATCTCGTGTACCTTCATAGAATTCTAGGTGCGTGCTGCCATGGTTTTCTAGTGCAGCACAAATGTGCCTCGATATACCCAGTCTTGAAAATATGCTTAAGTCTCTTCGAGGTGCTGATAGACTAGCGTGTAAAGCCTGCCGCGGACCGTCTGGGTATGTGTTTTGGTTGGGGACGTACAGATCCACTCGTAGCGGAACAACATTGGGAAGCAGACAAGTTGGTACTACAAAAATGGTAGTCCCACAAATTGTAGCGCCATCTACGCACCACGTCTTCCTTTCGCTTAATGATTCGATCCTGTTCTTTGGGTTCAACCTTGACGTTTTCTAAGGCAGATTCTACGGGTTTGATGCTGACGTACATAAGCTGGCATGGAGGGTAGCGTATTTGAATACGAAGTGGGGCCCCCAGATGGCGTCAATGAGAACGTGACTGATCTCCATGATAAGCTCGATGAAGATGACAAGCTGGCGAGAAGGCGCATACCTCTTCGAGCGGAAGCTTCCCCACCCGGAACCGCAGAACCATCACGGCGAACCCTATCCATCCTCAACCGGCACCAGTTCATGAGAAACCACTGGAATCGCAGCTATACGAGGACACGCCAACATCAGATACAACCACGGCGTTCGCTCTTCACAACGCCTACGATGACGGTTGTAGTATTTCCGAGATCCTCAATACTGTGCCACAACGCGCTGCCATATTCGATACGAACCCGTACATCGCCTTCTCGCCGCAACTATTACAGCCAACTATGTTCCAGCAAATATCATTCGATATCTTCCACAAAACGCATGAACTGCATAGCGGGTGTCTGCATACTACTGACGATACGGCATTCGTGTCGCAGTCAAAGAACGTGACGACTCCACTTAGTCACGAAGAACCTGTAATAACACCTCCTGGAAACTCATCCTCATCATCCTTAGTCATCATCACCCCACAACACGATTCTGTATCCACCTCTCCATCTCGATCGACAAGCTTCGACACCCGCGGAACAACGTCAGTCGACTCTGTGACACCAGAGCAGCTCCAATTGTATCACGAGGTAGCGAACGTCAATGGCGGGCCTTGTAGTAATTCTTGGGGCTTGTCTCAATGGGTAAGTACACTGCGACGTATCGTTCCTTGAACGAGGAGCTGATGCTGAACAGCGGCCTTGCAAACCTCGTAAGAGTACAACGAAGAAATCGGCTCATAAGCGTGGCAATGCCGACTTGAATGATCGACCTAGTCGAGGGCCCTTCGAAACCACTGCGGAGCGTGACGAAACCACTTTTACTCGTAAGATAGGAGGTTGTTTCAGATGCCGAATGTGGAAGGCACGGGTACGGCATTCAGATCGTACTTGAAACTATGCTGACTATAGATAGTGCAAGCCAGATCCTCATGATCCGCTTGGTGACTGTCTTCGCTGCAAGGCATATACTGGCCCATTCGAGAACAGTCTGATATGCCTCCGTAATATGATCCCCGGTGCTTTGCTCTACCGAGAACAAGAACACCCTTTCTACATGTGGACTAAGAGATGGAAGACGATGGACCTTGTAGACATCGACCACTGGGCTTCTGATGATATCAAGACCATTACGATCTCTCAGATCTTCCTTGATGCTCCCTATCAGGTTAGAGTTAGGGAACTTATTCCGCAAGATGGTGACATGCTCGAGGATTCTTACTATAAGGATAGGTTGGTGAAGAAATACCAGATTCCTTGCTGTGCTTTGGCAAATCTTGAAGAAATAGCGAAGATGTTCTCAACCTGAATCGATCAAAACGTGGGCAAATATATCAATGGTACAGTAGATAACCAGCAAAGCGACCGTATGCTGAAAGGTTACTATCTTTATAGCAATTGGGAGACGTCAAAAATACATAAATCGAACACGGAGTCGACTTCGACTATTTCATAGGCGCTGAAACCGAAAGTTTAGGTACATCCAGTGCATGGTCTCCCTGTAACGACAGTTCTTACTACCATCATTTGCAGTACTTACTTCACTGCGCGTATGATTCGATGATTATGATATACCGGTAGATATGCAAATGAATAGCCTGCTTTCAAACCTTGGGAAATACGGACCAAAGGCAGTCGACATGGCTCATCGTTTTGAATACCGTGGGACTCGAATGGTACGCGCGAACCTGCCTACACTGGACTACCCTGAAGATTGGATGAGCAGCGAGGAGGATCGAGAGTATATGTTTACCTCCTGAGCTAGCCATCACTGAAACAGCGACCGACAAACTTACACCTTCTTTCCAATGCACCACAACCCAAGTCATGACGTCGTGACTTGACACCCGCACTACACCCCACTAACGGAATCCCGCTCCGATTAAACCTCTCCACCAACGAAGACCGTCGCAGCCCAACCCCACGATGCGATACGCCACAACCCCCTCAGGTACATGACACTTGTACCTCCACCTGTCTCTCACCATCGCCGATAGAAAGCGCATCGTTTGTGCTATGCGCATTCTACTGCTCTTCCATGCAGCCCGCTATCTTCACCAATTACAGCCACTCAATCTATTTAGATTATGGATTAGCCCAATAGCGCCGTTTTCGCGGATGAGGTACCTATATCAGCCGGTTGTTATTGCACGTGAGGAAAACTTGACTTGGCGATCGGTGGGACGGCGAGATGAACTATGTGTGAGGCCGAGTACTGTGGGAATTTGCCATGTGGGGCCAAGAGTATTGAGTAGGTAGTATGTGGTAGATAGCACGTGGATGGTGGATGGTGGATGTGGGATGTTGGTGAGACCTTGAATCTGGGGCCGGGGTCGTTGTCCAGCCTTCTGGTTCTGGTAGATGACCGGTGTCAGTATATCAAAACTGCCGAGCGAAGTATGAGATTGCGCTTTGTTGCCTCCATCTTTGAACAATGTCCACAGTTCTGAGAGGCCGTTGCTTGCAAGTCTGATGTTCAAGTTGGTGTAATTATGCCTAATGTTTTGCTATTATGCACACGAGTACAAAGGAAAAACGCCCCTTCTTCTGCCCAAACACTTCTATAGCAAGAACAAGTGCCATCTAAAACTCCATATGTAAATGCGTGATAACGCTATGCTTCCCAAAGATCTCATAACTCGTACCGGGATACCCATCCGGCTCGTCTACCTCTCTTATCACACGTTTTCTAAAAGTCCCAAAGCGTACCAAAAGCGTGCATACCTTCTTTGGCACACCCTTGCATCATCTCATCATTACCCTGACTGTTACTCGTGATGAAGATGACTTCTGCATCAAATCTCTTCCACGTATCCCTTAGCAACTCCATTGTATCTGGGCGTCCACCTCTCTTCTTGCTGTCCCATAAAATCATGCGCTCGGGCTCGATGTGCTTGTGGATAAGACCTGTGACTGTGGGACCAAAAGTGCGTTCTTGGTCGGAACCGATCCAGATGAGAAACCAGTTTGGTGATTGAATGCAAGTCGAGAGTGCGGCGCCGATACCGGTACCGGTGCATATGCGGATGCCGCGCTTGAACATTGCGGAGGCATGGCCAACGCCAGCTGCGGTTATGTTAGTACAAGTAGCTATGATAAGAGTCATGGGAAAGCCATACCGAACTTGAGCTCTCGCGTCCATACAGTCTTCGGTGGGTTGGCGACTAGATTTTTGGTGAAATCTCCTTGAACACCACAGATCATGTAGTGATGAGTAGCGTTTCGTCCTTCGCTGATGATCCCAAAAGCGTGGTACTCCATGATGGATGTGCGGCTGATTCGTCCTAGGAGGCCTTGCTGCATACCTCGCTCAAATTTCAGGACGGCGACCTTAGGTGAGGGAATCTCAACTTCGACGGGTACCTCTCTGAGAGTGACCCATGGGATGAGGACACTAGGATTGGTCAGCAGGAGAAGCTAACTGAGATGTGAGACTCCTTACAAAATTGTCATGAAGACAGCGAACCAGAGCTCTTGTGCACTGAGTAGGCTGTGGGCTGTGGTCCTCCACTCGCCGCGTTTGATGTCGTAGGTGTTGCCCATGATAACGAACACCCACGTCATCTAGGAGATATCAGTAAGAGTTCCGATAAATTACCGGAAAGGGGGTTACATACTGCGAGGCCTAGCCACCCAACGAATCGGTGGTGCTTCTCAAATACGTTATGATAGGTGCTGACCAGGGCGTAAGTATGGTACTACAAAGCTAAATATCGATCGGGACTACTAACTTGCGAACCCAAGGAAAGGCACTCAACACCGAGATGATGATGAAAAAGTTGGTGATGATGCCGCTCGCAATTACGGCAGGATGTTGTACGGCGCGGTATCGAATGATGTCGACACACTTGTAGACGAGCCAGCTAATATTTGCGTCAGTGCTGTCTCAATTCTGTCCAGGAAGGTTGACCTACGCAGCACCGGATAATGCGCATCCAGAATGTATGCCTCCAACATGTTGTAGAACAGACGTCGCCGCGAGCTTCACGCATATAGGTGCCCACTGTCATGACTGGTCAGCAGGTTTAGTAATGATCAACGAACAAACACATACACTCAGTCCATATATGGCGACCAAATATAAGAAACGCATCCATAATTCATTTCTCATCAGAATTGCGCAGAGGAGGTTGCCCAGTACCAAAGCGCCAAGGTGTTCCTCGGCGTATGTGAAGCGACCGCATGCGGATAGGATGATTCCCGTGAGGTTGAGTAAAGTAACGAATGTAAAAAACTTCCTGTACGTGTTGAACCAAAGATCAAATAGGATCCATCGGCTGATCTTTGGCTTTTGAGGCTTCTCTCCAGCTGGTTTTTTGACAGTGGTGTCTAATTCGGCAGCATCGGTAGGTTTGCGTCCTGATGGCAGAGAGAGTGAGAGTTCCGGGACACTCGTACATGGTGTTATGCCTTGGTGAACGGGAGATGCGGGTAGTAACGATGTGACAATGTGTATCGGCCTTTTTTGCTCCATGTACACGAAGCCGGGTGCCGTCAACTCCAACGTACTATCGTACATGCCCTTTTCTGCATCGTCGAGCGAATCAACGCTGCGGTCGCCAGTAAGTTGGGTTCTTGATGTGGCTGACATGTCGTTGGTGGCAAGGGATAACTTCACCAGGGTCCAGAGATATAGGCGCGAAAGACAGGAGGCAGGGGTAGAGGAGTGGTGACTCCGGTTGAGGTTCGGTCAACAAAGCACGAGGGTTCCAGTGAAGAAGGATTGGTAATGAGCACAGGCTAGACTGGGAGCCCTCAAGAAGTACTTATTAAGGACACGGCCACGAGGCGCACTGTCGTGTCATCTGTATCATCAATTCCTGCGACGACACCATCCCACAATTCATCTCTGGAGTATACGGTACCAATGTCCGTAAGCATCGACACCGTCGGAGCCTGATGATGGCTCATTGTCCCATACCAGCTTCCGTCGGTCCCGTCCAGACAGCTTCCAAGTTGAACCAACTGGCAGTCGGCACATCCGCTCCGTGCTCAGCTCGTAAAGGATTCCCCGTGGGGAGAGCAGGAAAACCTGGGACGGCCTATGTCGGTAGTTTTTGCCCAACATTGGGTCAGCGAGACATCCCCACAGCCTCGATATCGATCTGGAACACCTCTCGGCCGGAACGACGTCGTCATAACGCATCTGATATTACGGTCGTACAGATATGTCGGCAGGCTAGGATCACGCGACTTGGTCGGGATATTGCAAGAATATACTACGAGGTCAATGCGGTGTTTGGTGTGACGCTTGGAAGTGATTTTTGAGGAAAAAGACAGGGATATAAAAAGAAGTAATAATGTGGAAGCGCAATATGATTCGACAGCGTCTAGTTGCATTAGCGAGGACGCGATAACGTCAGACGTGCCGAGGCGTCCATCGCGAAGTCACTCAATCTACCTAGGCTCAATTTCTAGTTCTTCACATACAGATCGACGTATTCGTCGATGTCCATGTTATCGAGTGACTTGCTGTCTTGCGCCAATGCGACAAGCTTGTCAACATGTTGCGACGGGTAGTGCGGGCCGAGATGCCTCTTGTACTTGGCGAGGATCTCAGGCTTTGCTTCTTCACGTCGCAACCGGTGGCCCAGAGGAGCCTCAACAACCTCTTCTTCCAGCACGGTTCCATCCTTGAGCGTTACTGTGAGCGCGTTGGAAATGGTGCGCTTCTCAGGGTCGTGGTAGTCCTTGGTGAATTGCGGGTCCTCTACACAGCTAATGCGCTGTCGGAGAGACTCGACAAGTTCCGACGTAGCAGCTTCGCTATCATCTGGGTAGTCGGTGGCTTCAAGACGGTTGAAGACAAACATGGTGGAGACCATGTACTACCATGATGTCAGCGCGAGCAGGCAACTACGGTGGGTAAGACTTACTTGAACGCAGTGATCGCGGTCAGCGAAGTTCTCCATAGGCTTGAACTGCTTATCGATGATACGAATGCAGGCCTCGTGTGTTCGGTTCACGACACCCTCGATGTCTTTGGCGCTCTTGCCCATTGCCGCCAACTTCTTGTTGAGGCGTTGCGCAGCTTCGACAGCGGTCTGGGAGTGGAACTCAGCTGGACCCGATTAGTATACATGGTTGAAGAATAGCATTGCCCTAAAAGGAGTATAATTACCGGGATAAGAAACCTTGAAGAGTACGTTCTCCATGACATAGCTGCCATATCCTCTCTGGAACTGGAAAGGCTTGCCGCCAAAGTTGACGTCGTAGAAGCCCCAGGTGGGAGCTGAAAGAACAGTGGGAAGACCCTGCTCGCCCTTCATGACCTTCAACACGAGGTTGACGGCCGTCTGGCAAGCATCACCAGCAGCCCAGGACTTGCGCGACATGGTGTTGGGCGAATGCCTGTAGGTACGCATTGATTGGCCATCAACGAAGGCTTGCGAGATAGCGTCACGTGTCTGAGCCTCACTGAGGCCCATCATCTTGGATACGACAGCCGTGGAAGCCAGCTTGACCAGAATGACATGGTCCAGGCCGACCTTGTTGAAGGAGTTCTCCAGAGCCATGCAGCCCTGAATCTCGTGGGCCCTGATCATTGCCTCAAGCACATCTCTGACCTTGAAGATCTTGCCATTGCCGAGATTGCCTCCAGCCTTGTTTGTTCGTGTAATCCAGTCGGCAGTTGCGAGGATCGCCCCCAGGTTGTCGGAGGGGTGGCCCCACTCGGCAGCTAGCCAGCAGTCGTTGAAGTCGAGCCATCGGATCATGGCACCAATGTTGAAGGCACCGTTTACGGGGTCCATCTGGTAGTTGGTACCAGGTACCTTGCAGCCATTGGGGACGGTGGTGCCTTCCACAACGGGGCCTAGGATCTTCCTGCATTGCTCGAAGCGCAGCCCCTCAAGACCGCAACCGAGCGTGTCGACGAAGACCCAGCGGGCGGTATCGTACTGTTTGAAGCTTGATTAGCCGCGATACTCGCTGAAAGATGAATTGAGCCTACCGCAAGCTCCGAGTCGATAGGGGTGTTGTGGATATAGTTTGCCATGTCCTTGATCTCAGGGTCATACTCGCGCTTGCTCAGCGTCTGCGGCACGGAGCTCTTGAGGGACGCCATGGTGGAGAAGGAAGACACAGCTGCCGTTCGCGATGTGATTGGGTTCGAGGGGGCAGTTCGGATGGCAATTGGCCTTATAGCTCTCGTTACGACGCTGGACCGTGATCGAAGGTTTCGTGAAGCGGTACTGCACAGGTTGCGACTGAAGGCCGACATGTTGATTAGCGTCTGTCGTGCCGGACGACGTCAATGCAGCTGTAGAGAAAAGGGACAGTCGTACTTCGCGCTTTTGAGGGAACTGTTGGTTTTTGAAGAAGTTCTGGGCAAACGATGAGCATCGCTCGGCTCGCAGAATTCGGGAGGATGGATAGCCCGTCGTCAACCGAGGCAGTACATATCCGCCAGCCGCACAGGATGCCATGCAGCGACGGCAATGCAGAACTCACAATGGCACTTCATCATTGCACGTATCTTTCACGTCTATCACTATAATTTCATGGCTGCCGTCGCGACTTCCATCTTGAGCACGAATGCCTGCCCGCATCGCACTCAACCTGCTACCCCGCACCATCCCGCGGCAGGTACGCTCGGCTACAGTTGCTGGGGCCCGCTTCAACATGCCTGCTTCTTAGCTTCCCCAGAGCCGCAGAGCCTCCGAAAACTGGACATCATTATGACCGTCTCTGGCACGGTACAAGACTTGTCTCTTTATATCCTCAAGCTCCTTATCACACTCCCGCTCCAGCGCGTTTCCAAGATGAGGCGCAGGTTGGTAAATCATTGAGGCAATTTCTTCGTCCACATGTGTGGGCATAGAACACACATCAATTCGGCCCGGCAGAGAACACACCTGAGTTGAAGGTGATCTTGCCACCATTCTAGGACGCTGCACTTCATGTTTCCTGTAGCCGACCAACATTCCTAATCTACCAAGCCTCACCATCCATCGTTTGACGTCTGTGAGTTGGTGACCAGTGGCGACTAGCAAAGAGACTTCCAGGAGAATGTCGCATTCTCTTGCGGAGCCACTATAGTCATCGACGCCATAGACGAACGAATTGCTGTCACATTGGAGGACAAAAATATACCACCAGCAACAGCGCGATGTCGATGCGGCGGTGCAAAACGTCTTATATAGTGACAGCTCATGTTTTCTGTTGTGGTTGGATGATAGGTGCTGAGCCACGAGGACGCAGTTCCTCATACGATATGCCATGGAATGTATTGCCTTGTTTCTAGAGCAACGCTGTGTTTCGCGACATAGCGCTGACGCGAGAAGCGCATCGCGAAGGGAATAATCCAAGCCTGGTGCGCTCTGCATGTCATATGCCAGGAAGGAATGGTATGGCATCTGGCGCAGAGTCAGGCGCTGATGCAACACCCGCTGTATTTCCTCATCAAAGGCATCTACATAGAAGGTCAGCTCTTTCTTTCCGGAGCCCGACAGAGTTGTGACTTACGACACACAGATCGCAGCTCTAAGATCCTGAGTAGGCTATGGCATCGCGTTTCGTGTTGCAAGTATGGATCCAGAACATGTTCGAGGATCTGACTCCACAGCTCCACCGGCAGAGCGTGAATGCCGTTGAGTCGTGACTCTGGGATCTTTTTCAATTTCTTTCTCAGTTCTCGATTAATTCCCGCCTGTCTTTGCGCATTCTTGACCGTGCGGATGATGTTCATGGTCATGAAGCGGATTGCGTAAAGACTAAGGGTAAATAAAGTGAAGCTCGCACGTCCGAGTATGTTGGTAGTTTGCCGGAACATTAGGTGAACATCAAGTATCTCGGGAGTAAGCCTGCAGGAGAAGAAAAAACTCTAAAAGGAAAAGAACATGTCAAATCAATACACATTCCGCGGGTGTAATCTGCAATTTTAACAAATCTTGCTGCCTGATTTCCTCGCCATTGACACGCGTCCGTGCTTGGCTACCAGTCGCACCTCCCAGAACCACAACCTTAACACAGGCAGACATCAAGTCTCCAAGAGACGCGTTAAAAGCAACCAGATAATGAAAACACCGCAATGAACACTATTCTTGCCCTCAAATCTCTCATTCGAAATGCACAAAACATCACCACACAAGAAAACCATTCACCCACCACGATCCCCACGTCACAACTCCCAGGCGTCACTGCCCTCCCCACCGAACTATGGAGTACACAGTCCTACATCGCATGAGCGAAGATGCTCCGCCATTCAGCGAACTCAAACCTGCATTAGAGCTTAGACTAGTATGCTGTGAATAACCCACTGTACCGAAGCACCACCACAGAACCGTGCTTACCAACACACCTCTCAGGCACATTCAACAAAGAAGTTGTGCACGCCTTACACACACATATAACAGTCGCACACCTCCCTCAAACATCATCTACCTCCCTGCTCCTCTGGTGCTCTTACCCCCTAAACAAGAACAAGCATACCCTTTACACTACTCTCCTCACCTCCGCAATTCTGAACACATGCCGTACTACAACTCTCCCTATCGAATCCCCCAGACTAGCCATGCGCCTCCTAACTTGTCTCGTAGTAGCCAGTGGTCTGCCTAGCCGTCATCATCCGGATGTATACTTTGTTCTTGGAGTTCCTAGAAAGGAGGACTATCATGCCATAAACACACTGAGCAAACTGTGTCATGCGGCGGGACTGTCAAGCTCCTGTCAAGAGTACATGTGTAAGCCTGAAGCATTTTACATTAGGCATGGAGGAGATGGAAGAGTGCAGACAGACATACGTCTTGAGATTGCGGTCCTGGTTGCTTGTGAGTATGAGGTCGAAAGTGTCAAGATGGAGATGGTTCGGCGTGCGAGGATAGAAAGATTATTAGGATATGAAGATGGCAGCCAAAGATGAAGACGACCGTTTCGAGGACGAAGAATATACTTTATCATTCTTGGTATTAACTATCGTGATTCCCCTGACTAGCCAAGAGGCTCCTCCCTTCATCAGCTTGTCTCTGCTACTCCTGCCACAGTGCAACCCACTGATACGTCTTCTAGTAACTCTTTCCGCGGGTTTGACATCGTATAGCTGGTATATCCGCATCGGAAAATAGCCATAATCGACTCGGTATATCGGGCTGAGGCTGTTTTGAGCAGGTTGAACTTTCTTTGTTTACCAGTCCTCTTTGTCGGACTCGTCATCTGTAGAGATATTAGCATACAGCCAATTCAACAAAAATGTATCTGTACTTACCACTGTGACTAACTTTAGACTTCCTCGCCGCAAGGGCGCTAGCCAATGCTCCAGCTAAGCCAGCATCTCCAGGTGTAGCTGCGCCACTGGCTCCACCAGAAGCTCCCCCAGCAGGTTCCGCACCAGGAACTGCCGCTGCACTGCGGTCCTTCTTCTCTGAATCTGAAACCTTCTTCAGTCTCGCTCCTCCACGGATATCCGCTAATAAGCCATCTCGTCCGGCCGCCGGTTTGGGTAGAGGTGCGCCGCCGCCTGGTGGTGGTGGAGGTCCAGGCGGAGGTGGCGCTACGGCACTTCGTGAAGGCATGGGCGGCGGCGGAGGAGGTACAGAGCCAGGAGGCATTGGAGGCGGCGGAGGAGCGCCTGTGTTTGGCATAGGGGGTGGGGGCGGCGGTGCCCCGCTGTTGGGCATCGGTGGTGGAGGAGGAATCGATCTGTTTGGCATAGGCGGTGGAGGTGGAGGTATTGGTGCTACATTGCTTGTTGGGGGTAGAGGCGGTGGAACTGGTGCCGCGCCTGGAGGTGGAGCTGGTCGAGACGAAGACGGAGGCAGCGGAGGTGGTGGTGGTATGTTGTGAATAGGGGGTGGTATTGGCGCTGCCGATGTCTTCGGGGGCAGTGGGGGAGGCGCGGATGGGGTATCTCTCGCTGGAGGCGGTGGTGGAACTGGTCCTCGACTTGGGGGTGGTGGTGGAGGGCCCGAGGGTACGCGGTTGCCTGTGAAGGGCGGTGGCACGCCAAACTTGCCTCCCACTGGTCTCTCTTCGTCGGGTACGGGTGTCTTTGGTGGGCGCGGCGGCGGTGGAGGCCCTGGGTTGGCGGCGTTGGATGAGGCGCGCGCTCTGCTTGGTGGTGCAGGAGGCATATTCGCAAACTTTCCTGCTTCCGCAATAGGCGGAGGCGCTCTGAAAACAGGCTTGGGTGGTCCTGGAGGGGGTGAAGCTTCCCGCGGTGGTGATGGCGGCGCAGGGCTTCCCGAAGAGTTGCGATTGATGGCTGCGTCTGTCCTTGTTCTTCGCGCTGGCGGAGGTGCGGGTGGAGGTCCTCGCTTGGATCCACCAGTGTTCTGAGGGCTGAGAGATGCCGCTATGGGGGGCGCACTCGGTGGGGGAGGGGGAGGCGCTCTGGATTTGCGCTGGTTGTTTTCATCCTTGAGCTTCTCCTCCGTCTTCCTCTGCTCAATGTACAGCTTAATGAAATCGGCGTTTTCTTCGATCTGGTCCTCGGTGATGCCCATGGCCAGCAGTTCCTTCAAAAGCGGCTGCCATGATGGATCGGTGGTGTCGATGGCGGAGTTGCGAGCACTTGTGGCGTTGGAATGGGTGCTTTGTACAGGCGATGTAACATTGGTGGGTGGAATGATGGATGCTGGCGGCGGGCCAGGTTGGGAAGAATGGCGGTGTCCGAAGAGCCCTCCCAGCAGGCCGTGGCCATGACCACCACCGCTCTTGCCGTTCGCTGCAGGCGCGCTGGTCCCTGCGGATGCGCTGAAAGGTTTGTTCTTTGTGTTCTTGTGGGCGTTTTTTTCGCGGTCGTCGAGCTTCTTCTTGAACGTCTTGGCTTCCTTCTCGTCGGCGAAAGACAGGCCTGCTAGACAATCCTCAAGCTCAAAGGTGTGGAAGAAGACGCGGTCCTGGTTGTAGGAGAAGGTGTCGTAGATCTCCTGGTCCCAGATAACACCGCGACCGTGGGGCTGCGTCCGTCAGTCTTCGGTTCTGTGCCATGGCTTCCCTCGCACCTACCGATATGTCCACCATCTTGAGCCAGAATGTATTGCCGACCAGGTCGTTCGCCAGCACGACGGCGCCCTGCAAGCCCGTGTAGGTCCATCGGCGCGGGTCGGGGTAGGCAATGTACAACTTGGCGACGGCGACGGTATGGATCTTGTTGGCCGACTTGGGCACGGTGCGCTTCACCGTCTGCTTGTCCTCGTCGGAGAGAATCGACGGCATGGCGGCGTGTTTCGCGGGCTCGAGCTAGGAATGGTTGTGGTTCGGGGGATGCTCGAGTGCTCAGCCGTTGGGCTTGGGCGTGGCTGGTGGGGCGTGCTCCTCACTCCACTATTAGGCAGCACATGGGAACAATCGCAATCACTGTCTAAGCCCGTCGAGGCTGCGTGTAAATGGTGCCAGCTAGTGTGCTGCGCCGAGATCGCCACGGTGTTGGTAAGAAGAATGGCGGTGCTTGTGAAGGGGAGACGTCACGTCACTTGCGGCTAACATCCCGACTGGGCGGGCGACGGAGAAACCCATCGAACGCTTTCTGCCCAGTCAGGTTTGCCGACTAACAGCACCACTTTTCCCAGACAACTACTCAAACTCATCTTGAGATTTGATCCCAAGTCCCGTTCCCGCAAAATGTAATTTTGATTGATGCTTACCGAGATTGCACTTGTAGGATGCGTCGCGGCCTTCACACGCGACACTGACTTCTCTCGACACCAATACAGGACTAGTTCCCCTTCGAGACAGCAACCGCTTTTGCCCATTCACTGCTCTTCACATATATACCTTTTATGTGCCAAGGTAGAAGACCTATACGCACCGTGAACTTATGAAGCCTCTAGCGTCTCGCGTCGTCGTAAACTTCGGATATAGCGCCACCGACGCCGACGTCCCGACTTTCAGGCGGCAAAGGCCTCCCACGATGACATCTTGACAGCTTGGCGTTGTCGCAATCCATGCAACAACACCACAGGTGACATGGTGAATTGTGCTTGGGAGTATTATACCCATCTCGTTATTCGACGTGTTTTCGGCCATGGACGATTTGTTTGAAGGCTATATAGTGCTGGATGGCATAGGAGACTTCCTCGAATCCAGTGTTCCGGCCAACGGTCCCAAAGCACCTGGAGTTGCGCAAATCGAACAGCATGCAGGACTCTCGAAGCAAGCCATACGACCGAAAACAGATAACCCAAACGAGCCTGACCAACGGTAGTCCCTTTGTGCGATCCGGGGAGTTGAATCATACTCATATCCAGCAGCACTACTATATCTAGCGGCGACACGGCGGCACCCGGAGGATTACGACAGCGACGCGGGCACACTAAAAGTCGTATGGGCTGTATTCCATGCAAGCGGCGCAAGATCAAGGTACCGCATCCTTATTCTCATGCCTGATGGTATTACTAAACTCTGCTAGTGTCCAGAGACATGGCCGTCATGCACAAATTGCGACAAGCGCGGACGTAAGTACAGAGCCATGAACTAAAACTCTACAGCTCACCAACTTCTCCAGTGGTTTGTAGATACCCAGATGTATTCAAGCATGCGCGCCGTGACTATATACAGCCAGAAACGCCCAGTCCACGTCAGGTTGTTAAACTTTCTGACACACCTACTATCTACAGTGCAGACGATATGCAGTTGTTCCATCACTATTTCATCGCGGCACACCCTTGCATCCCACACGATTGGAATGAAATTTGGGTCAAAGATATCCCCATGAAAGCCAATCAAGTAAGTGGAACTTCCCTTCTACCGTGTAGGATGTCCGTCATCACTGACAAATCAGTATCCATATCTCATGAATGCTATGCTCGCTCTGGCTGGATCGCATCTTGCTATTCAAGTTGAAAACCCAAAGACTAGTATTGCACTGCAACACCGCCAAAGAGCAATTGTTGGACTCGAAGACTCCTTCTCTAGATGGCCTCCGACTGCCGAGGAATCCCATATCATGCTTGCCACATCTTACTTGCTGTGCTTTCAGTCCAGCTACATGGAAGACGGCTTTTTGGAGCATTTTCTGTCTCTACGAGGATGCTCGTTCATTTCTCAGTTAATCTTGGACGAAGGCCTCCGTGGCCCTTTTTCCGAACAAAAGAACTTAGGCATGATACGTATGGACACAGCGTTTACGAATTTCCCTGTAGTGGACCAGGAACTTCTATGCGAGGCTCTACTATCTATAAAGAGCTTCTCTAGCCTGATGACTGGATCCGGTGTGCGTTCCATTGAGAAGGCTATTGTTGGACAGCTCATTGAAACGCTTCAGTGTCTGCTGCAGTCAGACGTTGAAGATCTCGAACCCGAAGAAGCGTTTCATTCAAACCCTGAATACGTTGAAGAAAACGACACATCTGGTTTACCAGGTTCATTCGCAATGCTGGGTTATACGAAAGCAAGCACTCTGCCACAAATGGCTTCGAGACCCAACTCGCCTTCCGATTTATATGCGTTCGCCAACCCAATTTTGCCAGGAGACCTTGGCGTAGTGTTTGACGAAGTCGACTGGGAAAACCTCACAACCGCGCCACCGGGCGCTCCCTACCCCCTCCAGTCTTTTATAGCCGTTATGGCCATTCTCACTATCTTCTCTACCTGGCCACATGACGAGCTCATGCACATCTTTGATACCACAAATCAACTCAGTAACATCGTCATGGCACACTTTTGCGCCATACGTTTCGTACTCTCGCCGCTATCAGCGCCCAGGAATGCAGTGACAACCCCTACGAGGGCGACTACTCAATGGTGCTCCAGGATCATAGCAGCCATAGATGATGATGAGAGTGGAGAGTGGGCTCAGTATGTGGAATGGCCGAAAAAGATACTTCGATGTATGGAAGCTTGCATTGGGAAACATAAAGGCTTCACCATGGAGGATGTGCGCGATATGCTGTTGCGTGATCCTGGGGCGTTCAAAGAAGGAAGAGGACGGAATTACTGACCATCGAAACATCAAACTTGGCGAGTCAATACACATCATCACATTTGTCCCGCCATATCCTCTCACATCGAATCACCATGAGTTAGGATTGAGACGCTTTCACCTCTTGTTATGTCTCAGAGCGCTGAGCTTGTCAGTGAATCCCACGTTCCGTGCAGTTCCCTGCAGCCGTTATGTTGTATGCGCTCTGCTTGTGACGTGCTTACTAGAAGCCTGGCTAGATCACTGATCGATTGCATGAGATTGTTTGGGCAAGTGAAGGAGAAAACGCGCGGCCAGTGCTCGGCAGCTACTCTCCGTTCTTAATACACGCTCACATTCTTCGGCCGCGACCTACGAGTTTTCGCGCTCAAATTTCCCTACGCAAACGGAGAGGCTCCAATAACTACCGAAAAGAAAAATTATCCAATATTTTCGCCATGTTACAAGATTTGCTGAGAACCGTCCTCATGTCTGTAGCGAGGGTTATTGCTCGCCTTCTACTATCACCGTTAATATTCTTGGATTTCGTCACCAATCTGCCCATGAACCTGTTACACAAAATCCTATGTCTTCTCACTCTTCACGGAAAGGACTGGCTCGAACTTATAACAGCAGTTATCGCCATCGCTAGTATCCGTGTACTCTACTCGTACCAGGCCGAGATCTATAGGCTCAAGGAAATCAACGCCAAGCTCGCAATCAACCATGAGTTCAACATCGCGCGCAAAACAATTACATGTATGTATTTCCAAGCTCTAAGTGACGATTTACTAACTCTTCACAGTCAATCGCCCACCCTTGGATACGTATGGTGAAGGTGTCGTCGTACAGGGTATTCACATCATTGGAAAGAAATTTGACATGGTCATCAACGGAATGGAGGTCGCCGGTGGGCATTGTGATGGACGTTATCGGGCTCGCGTGCGTGGAGCTGAAGGATGGTCCAAATTTGGTAGTAAGCTTGTTATCAATATGAACGATATCACCGAGGAGGTGGTGAAGTCAGGTGGGAACGTGGATTTACAGTGGACCTTACCACCAAGAGAGCTGTAGTAGAATAGGATAGGCAAGAGCTTGCATGGAAGTTCAACTAAGCAAGTTTGACATTTACTGCTTGTAATATTTCACAACTACGCAGTTGTCAAGCCGATCTTATTCAAGCAGACCGGCTCCACAACCCTAATCGCATCATCGCATTTACATCTGCACCCCAATTCCTCTCTCCATTCTCCAGCAGAGCCCGAGATCTTCGGTACGCTCACCCCTCTCGCCCTCTCCTGCTCTGTACTCGCAAACGTACAAACCTGCAACCCATCATGCACATACCCCCAATCACTGAAATGATGCAACTCCTCCGGCTGCAATAGCATAGCAGCAGCCAACGAATGAACAGGCGCATCGCCCCATCTCTCATAATAAAACCCGCCATCCCTGTCCAGATACTCGAAGATAGCACGGTACGCATCTCCACGGAAGAAATCCATATCCGCGATTTCGAAATTCGACCAGAAATGACACATGTTCCACAGATCACCCCGTTCATCCCTATTGCGCAGTAGCGCTAGTGCACGGCGAAAAGGCCAAGGCATGTAACTTGCGTCGATCATGGCGGTCCAGAGGCTGGAGGTGGGGAGATTATATTTGTTCTTGAAGAGGGAGAGTTTGCGGAAAAGAGAAGGGACGGTTTGTCCACGTTCCCAGAGGGCGGTTGTGTAGCCATAGCGTTTCTTGTGGCGTGTCATTTCAACAAAGGGGTCGTAGGTTATGGCGCATGTGAAGGATATAAAGGGTTCGACGCGCCAGTAGTATTTGTAGGGGAGGAGGGCAGGATGGTCGTAGAAGAAACTTTGAGATTTTCATCAGTGCGCTAGCTTTGACAGAGGTTTGGGAGGTGCGACATACCCAGATTGAAATCGACACATGTGGTGGTAGCTTTCTTGTCCTCCGTATTGTATACGTCGGTTTTTCATATCTTGCATACTGCTTCTTGCCCGTTCTTGGTCGATCCATTCAGGATATCCCCACATCTCTTTGGGTACGACTTCAAACTTTACATCCGCATCTTTTCCTACTGCCTTGCCTACCTTTTGCTTGAACTCCTCACTCCATTCTTCGTCATTCAGGAAAACCCACGGATACCCAAAGTTATCGTTGAATTGCTCTTGAACGCTGCGTATGCTTGAAACTGCGCCTTTGACTTCCGCATTGCGTGCAAGCATTACGAGAACGGCAGATTCGCGCGCGGTCGTATTTAGGACAGGGGTCTGACATCCTGTGTAGAAGGGCGCGTCGAGGGGTGTCGACGGGCGAGCAACATCGCAGTTGTGTACGTGTACGCATACTTCGATAAACATCAAAGACGCAATGGCCAGAATCAACTTCCAGTGGGAATGTGCTGTACGCCATAGCGACCGTATTGGATTTTTCGCTGGTCGCAGGTTGAGTTTGGGCATAGCGACGGCGAAAACATGGCGTTTGACAGAAAACGAGGGAAAGGCGTGGAGGTCATTGAAAAGCTGTAGGATGCGATGAGACATCCTGGTCAAGTCTTTTTCTACAGGCGCATGCGAGATGTGATCTTGATTGCTGCGCCATTAGGCCTCCCCTTTCGGGTCCAAACGAGGGTTAAGGGCCCTGAGTACAGTCGACCCTACTGCCTATCAGATCCTTTCGACCCGCATATGCCCACGGAACCAATAGGACATTGAGGTAGCAAATATACTCTAAGGTATTCCTCTTCCACCAATAGACCACAGGCGAACGGTAGTTGTCTGTATAGTAAGATTCAGAAGCCGACATAAACAGTTACTGGTACTAACCTTACATCTAGCTAGCCTGCTTGCTTCGCGCGCGATACCCAGAGATACCTGATCAAGAGAGAAAGTTCGCATGATCTTTCGGACTGCAAGTGTGAATCTGGCGCTGCGAGGCAGGCTACAGGTGCCTCGTTTAAAGGGACAGGATATTCATGCAGATGCACTCCACACACGGCATCTCGTATTGCGTAACGCGAATGTTTTCACAGACTCGGTAAGCGTACCCGTGCGACCATGATACAGGCTGGAGGAACCAAAGCATTATGTCACTACAAAATTAGAGCGTAGGAATTCTCGACCGTTTCGAAAAAGACTCAATGGCAATAGACACATACACACAACAACAATACCGGTGAATAGTTTCTAAAGGAGGACGCGCTGTGAATATCACTCAGCAAGAAAGGAAAGATGCGCAAAAGCAGTTGTGTTGCAATGCCTTGAAGGGAAGGAACATACGGACTGCGACTGAAAAGGGTATCGGGTCGTGCAACGTCGATCCACAATGACGTACAACAGTCAGTTCGCAGCACGACGTAACGATCGAAAAGAAGCCATTCAAAGTGACACGAACGATGCGAGAAGGGTACGACGACCGAAGCAAACTGAAACATAGGCAAAAGCAGACCTGGGTATTCCCAAAAATAAAGGATTCCTGCAAAACGCAACCAAAACGCCATTAGCCGTGAGGCTTTCGATCCTCTCAGGTATCCCCCTGCGTTTTCATGCCGCGAGGCCTTCCGGTCTTAGTGGGTATAGTATGTGTGTCCATGTGGACGAGGTATGTCTGTTTGTGATGGTAAAGGAACGTAGGTAGGTCGGTTCGTGTGGGGGTGTTTGTGGTACTGGGGACATGCCGGTCCAATGTATTGGGATGCGTTCATATCCGGCGGTCCAGACGGTCGACGCGCGACTTGAAGCCCTTGACAATCTCTCCAATGCGACGGACTTTGTCGAATTCTACTTGCAGTTCGTCGATTTCGCGGAGGATGGCACGGAAGCGGGCGATTTCAGCATCGGCTATTTGCATGGCGTTGCCTGCGCGGTCGTACTGCACTTGGGTTGCTGTTTGTGTCTGCTGAGTGAGCTGGGCGTTGTCAGTACTACGCCGTGTCGAACCAAAACTACCTAGAAACATGTTAAAAGACAGACTCACATATTGCCAGCGCTGCTGGATGGAGTACATCAGACGGTCAAAATGGGCGCTGAGCGCCTGCAAACTAGAAGGATCCAGGAGGAGACGGCCTTGGCTAGAGGCGTGAGAGGCAGCACGCGAGGAATTGGAGCCTTGCTGCGAGGCGGCGATTTGTTGCTGGAGATATCTGCTCTCGCTCGGGTTGAGGCCCAGTTCAGACACTGGGATGGCGGACATGTGCACATAATTATCTTAAGAACATGGTCGGTCTGGAAGTCTGCGCCCTGGCTTCCGCTTGTACGACGGCTGGATAGGATTTGGACGTAGCAATTGTTACTAGTTGGCTACGAATGCTGGGAAACGTTGCAGCAGACCTGCGTGGAGGAGGAAGGGGAAATATGCACGCTGATGTTGTTTGAGATGGAAAGGGCGGGTGGGATGCGCCAAGCTGCCGTTCCGGCTGCCCAAAAGCATCTCACCAAAAAGCAAAGGCCTGCGAACGCCCATCTATCCCACACCCTCATCTCCTCTTAGCGGGCTGCAGCCCTATGTACTGCCGTCCCTATGCGCCAGTACGCAGCCGCCGTTCGGTGTCGCTGTCGCTGCACATGTCTCTATCTGTGACGCAGCGCGTATTGCAACGAGCGAGCAAGCAAAGCGGTCAGCAAGCCCATCATTTCCTCGTCCACTGACTGCGACATGATGCTGAACCACAACTGCTTGCTTTTGCGCCCGTACGACCATAGCGCCGTGCCACACAGAACTTCTGGCTCCCATTAGAGCACGGGATAGTGTCTCCGCACGCACACCCTCTCCACAATCAGCGACAAGGATGCATTGATTGTGCCGCGAGGTTCATGGATGGATGTCGACCCCACCGGCTCGCATGCGGAGGGGTAGGGTACTCCTGGCCGACCGTGGGCGAACCAGATGCAGAAGGTGACAATGACATGAGAGCGTGACGACCATGTGCCGCTGAATGACTACACCAAGTATCAAGCCTCAATCTCTACATTGTTGGTGGTCTGCCACACGCTACATCTCCATGGCGTTGCTGGATGTCATCGTGCCGAGGCAGAAATGCATGGCAAGTTTCACAAGGGGTAAGCAAGTCGAGAAATGCCGGCATAATATCTCATGAAAGTTTGCATCACTCCCAAGCTTCATCAGAAACACGCTTCCAACATTGGTATTGAAGTTTACTTCTTCATTAACGTGGAAACTGGTTGATCCAAGCCTTCAGCCAAGCTACGGAGGGGCGACCGATAGTGACATTGTCGATCATCATAAAGACACAAGTATGAAAGAAGAAAAGAAAGGGGGTATATACACCAAGCCATCCGGCGCTATGCACAAACAAAGGGAGAGAAAGAAAGGTACTACCCACGCCTTATAAGGCGTAGTTCTCGGCGTGGAGGAAAATCTCGTCCCGCCCACTATCACTCCACACACTCCTCTGCAGTTGCGCAATCGTCTCACTCACATTAACGCGCATAGCAGGTGGTCCACAAACAAACACACACGTTCTGCGTCCAAAGTTCTTGCTCAACCCTTTGAGCAGATATGGTATATCAGGGCGTCCATACTCGGTACTCCAGCCATCTTTCTTCTTGACTGCCGCAGGCAGGAATGCAAAACGCATCAGGTTTTTCTGGAACTCAGTGGGTGTTGATGGGAAACCAAAATCGAATCCTTGCGCGCTTTCTGCGGGATTGTGGATTATGTCTGGATTTATAGCGCCGGAGCCTGAGGAGACGGCTTGATTGATGTCTAGAGAGAGGTTACGCTCTTGACGTCGGGCAGCAAGGCCGCGTGGCGCAGGCGCTATCAGATCGGGGTTCGAGCTGTGTGCTGATTCGGCGGAGCTTCGCCCACTGTTGTAACTTGAGCGTGGCGGCGCAAGGTGACCCCTATTGACGGGGACCATATGAGCTTGAGGAAGCGCTGTAATGCTATCCTCATTCTCGCGACGCAGCTCAGACTCCTTCTCAGGGTCTCCTTGCGCTTCATCGCGGATGAGAGCAGAGTGTCGCTTTGAGGAGATACCCGAAAGACCTGAAAGACGGTTGTCGGCAATGTTCTGGAAAGCATCATTGACCTTGTCGTGAAAGTACAGCGATACTGGACGAGTGGGCGTCTTCGCACTGACAAGTCCGCCGCCCGGGTTGCGCTTCGCTGCAGTGATGTAAAACTGGCACTCTACCGTCTCGGGCGGTGCAAATTGACGGCAGATGCGCAGTTCTTCCTTGAACCACTCCATAGTTTCGGGACGCTTGAGTGCCCAGATAACATGGATCTTGCGCGTGACAGCTTTGCCATCTCGCATCTTCTTGATAAGAGAGAGCAACTGCGAGATAATGGCAGTAATGCCACTCCCTCCAGCAATGAGCACGACGTCATCGAAAGCTTCGATGCGCCGTTGCATTCCTCCATATGGGCCATCGACAAACGCACGATATGTGTGCCATGGGCCGTGGTCGAGAGCGTTCTGAAGGACTTTCTTTGTAAAACCACCAAACGGCCGGAAGACGAGGACCATGTCCCGATAGCCCTCACCATACTCAGAAGGGAAGTCTTCGCTGCATAATGAAGCTATAGTGAAGGGGTGGTTTTCGAACACTGAGATACCAGGCATGCGAAGATAGACATACTGTCCAGGTCTCCACCGCATCCGGGTTGGGATAGTGATTTTGATAGCGTTCTCTGGCATGAGTGTCACAGCGGCCTCGTCGCCAATAAGCCATGATAATTGACCTGGACGAGTCCAATTCAGATAAAACAGCCGCATGAAGTAGGAGAGGAGCCAGATGCCCAAAGTAGAAAGTAGGTAGTGCCATGATGTTAGGTAGTTGTTGCAATGCCAGAACATCATCCCGAGGAAGACGATGGCAACAGGCACGTGCAGCGCCACGAACAATTCGTACATTCGGTGGCGTAGAGGCGCAATCGAGTGGGTACAGAGGAAGCACAATGGCACGAGTGCTGCAATACCTAAAAACTGTCAGTACTTGATCTAATTCTTGACAGGGAAGCCATACCAGTGCCGTAGATGTACGTTCCACTCTGTTGCTGGAACAGCTGCTGGAAAGCTTGTTGTGCACCCTTCTCCCAGACTGGGGTAATGTAGAAGGGAACGGTGTGCAAGATGCTCAACACAAGGCAGATGTACGCTGCCCATCTGTGCAACACATTCAACCGCTCATGGCTGATACCCGTCACCATTGTAATGAGGTTCGCTTTAGTCGCAAGCGCCACGATCCACGGCATCAGTGCCACTGCCATCATACCCGCGCGAACTGCCAATGGAGGCGAGCCATAAGCGATGCTATCCCAGAACAACGGCTGTGGAATGGTGCAGTAAAGGACTCCAAGAAGCAGGGCTAGGAGCAATATTACAACAATGGCTAAAGACGGGAACACGATAGGCCTCCATCCCTTCTTGATCCTGATCTGTGGAATCGGCCGGTAGAAGATAAACCGGAAGAACGCTACCATGTTGTTGATCGGCCGGACAGAAGAAACGCTGGATTGTTGTTTTGGCGCATCGGGTAGCGGGCCTTCGCGTGGAAAGAACTTCATGGTGGACTTGTCAGTATCAAGTACCGACATCTCGTAATCTGTGTCGGGTGAGGATGTCGTTGAGGACTGTAATACCTCTTCTTGGTGCAGTGCTGTCCGGATCTTATCCGTGAATAGATGATAGTATCGCAGTAGGGCCGCGACCACAAGCAGAGGTATGCAAAAGTAGACATATGCAAGCGCATATTTACCGCTTTTGTTCCATGGATCGACAGTGTTGGCTTCTATCAATCCAGCCGGGCTTGTGTTGTTGAAAGGTATGTTTACACGTCGTAGTAATGCCGAAACGGATTCGACAATGTCTCGCTCGGCGTGCGACACTACCATGCCTAACTGTTCCATGGCCACACCCGTCCGCTCCACGAGAGCTTCCCGCAGAACCGGCATTTTCGAGTCGTCGGATTTGTTTTCGCAACAATTGGCGTTGTGATGGTGAAACACGTCTGCCAGCAGAAGCCGGAATACGGTAGAAATGCGTCCTAGGCCAACGGATCTTGATTTGGGGTAGCAAAGGCTTAATGAACATCCGGGATTCTGTTCCTACATGGGTACCAAGACGTAGGATTGACTGTGACAATGCGCGTGAAGGTGCAGCGGAAACTCGATCCGAAGATGTGGTCGTACCGTGGCGCAGAGGTTCCTAGATAGCGAGGACTTATCCACCGCCTAATCCAACCTAGGATATGGTAAGGATGTTCGGTATGGATGCTGGTAGACGGCGTAAGAACAAACAAAAAAGTGTGCAACCGTGGAATGCTTATGTTCAGATACCGTGCGCGAGCAGCGATCCGGTTCCTTAAGTTCTATGCGCAAGTGGAGTGCGGGTGACTCGCAAGGGTAAGAACCGTCGTATCGTGGCAGCAAATGGAGAATGATATTCAACCGCTCAGCAGGACCCACGCTATTGGGCCAAGATTTGATAGCGAGTCGAACCAGGGGCCCCAAAAGAGAAATGACGAACCCAAAGCGCTGTCACATTCGCGGGCTGCAGCAATACACATATTAGATTATCGGAGGACTTGCTGCTATCGCCGCGCTGCGCATCATGCAGGATCAGCGCTGTGACTGGCGAGTGGCGGTCCGTCAAGGAAGCGGACCGGCCTTGGTCATCCCTTTCGGGCGGGAGGCGCTTTCGGCTGCAGCGGACATCGCCATTCGATCTCTGGCCGTTTCTTACATGCTCTTCGTCTTGAGATAGTCCTGGGGTTGTTGCACAGCATCAACGTCCCAGCCCCCCTTCATACCGGTCTTCCATCTGATGTCAGACAATTCGTCATCTCGAGACCAAAGCACATTTTGTTCACCAGTCTAGTGCTATAACGTGTTAGCAGAGGTACTAAGACGCATCTCGCAGCCGTATCACAGACTTCAGGGATCCCGCCCCTCAGTAGCTCAGGACCATCTGGCAGACCAAAGTGGGCTGGCCTTCCGTTCGCATGACCGTGGATTGAACGAATTGGAGTACTGAAGCCCTGAGGCCCTGAGACCCTTGCTGAATGGACTGGCAGCCATGCATGGGAAAAAGCAAGATTGTGGAGCGGGGTGCATTGACGTTGCGAAGCTTTAACTGGCCGTCGATCGAGGTTTTAAGCGCTGACCATCCGAAAGAAGCCTAGCGAAATGTCAAGCTTTTGATGACCCGCTCAGGATCCGACGCCTATCCCTCGTTGGTTGGAACAATTCATCCGACACTTCACACCATGAATTGAACTACAGCATGTAAGAGCGTTGAAGCTCGGTAAATCGCTTGAAAGGCTCATAAAAAGAGTCGGTCAAGGGTCTAATCACACGGCCTGTGTCGGTCCACCTTTCTTCCCGTCCCATCTCTAGGCAAGAGTGGATCCTCCCTACCGCGAAGTCTATCACGGCTCGATTTTGATCTTGGATTCGCCAAACAAGTACGAAGCATTCACAGTCCGGCATCGGTCGGGCGCACTCATCCCTGAAAAAGAGATGATTATCGTGATACAGTCATACCCTTTAATTCAGATTTTTCACGCTGCATGACGACCCTTAGATCATACAAAGCGACATAAGACCAGACCAGTTGTATGTCTCTGTACACAAACAGACAAACACCGGTTCCAGCACCTCGCGACCGTTAGGCGCCCAAAGACCGCCCTGGAGACCGCCCCGCACGTCAACGTACATGGGCGATGCGTAAACGCCAGCCCTACAGCCCTCAACTTGCCCAATGCGATCGGATTAGTGTAAGTATCGATAAACCAAAGTGCCGGATCTTCAGGTACGCTCACTTTCCAGACAGTTTACGCGCTCAACTTCCTGCGGTGTGGTTGGTAGCTGCAACTCTAATTGAACGTGCCAAATTGCCACGATGTAGTCAGCCCGACGTCTTAGATGGTGTACACGTCGAGCGCTTGGATAATGTCTTGGGTGTCTCGAAGGGCCTGGTGGCGTCTGAAGCGTCTTCGAGAAGTTTGGCGATGTAGATCTTGCTAGGAACATATTGCTTTGCAGCAGACAACGTGGGTTCGGGCGAACCGAGCGCGTGTACCCTCAATGCAGTATAGTGATCTCTTCTCGAAGCGCCATGATATCAGACACTGACTATGTAAGAGGCTGTTCATTTATCCACAACTGGCGATGTCGGATGGAATCGCATTCAAAATTCTATGTGAACATGTGCCGAAGCGTGTACAGGTTCTAACTATACCGCTCTTACTCACCTTCGGCAGTCTTACCGGTTGAAGATCGATCATCGTATCCCACTATGATTCGTAACTCGCACCTTGCGCTCACATCGGCTTCGCCTGAGCGCGGCAATTTATCCTATCTTACCTGCAGGACACGTTTCGAAACATTCGCCCAATCAAAAGGCTGCGTCGGGGCGAGCGAACGCGGTGCAACGGCGCTGTGCATGCATCCTCATATATTTCCAGTTGTTCGGGTGTGTATCTCTCGCTACTCATGGAATCATGCGGAGTTCCGCAGCTCGGTGGGCGCTGCTATGCTGTGTCAAGGCCAACATTACAAGCACGAGGGTCTAATTCTGGACATGCTTCGCCCTTGCTCGATGCTTGACAACGTATCCAATCACGATTTTAATCGTTGGCCAGGAAAGTTGGACTAGAAAAATCTAGGGCAGTAACCCAAGGTTGGTACAACGGGCTCGAGCGTGTGTAACGATGGCGCCTACGATGTACCTGTACTCCCTTGATCGTATTTTGGGACAATCTCATCTTATCGTGACGTAAGCAAGATGATGTTGTACTGATTGTATGCAGCCCTGGTACCAATGAGTAAGTTTTGCATTAGATATGCATTTGGCGGAACAGATTGGAATTATGGTATATATCGCCTCACCATGTACAAATGGAGGTTTCAAAGCTCCAGGCAGTAAACAGCGAGACATGACAAGGCTTCGGAGCTTATAGAGTAGACAACCCAATTTGGAAACTAATACTACCATAGCATAAGCTCAAATATACCCCTCGACTTTACAGTTCAGCCTATTTATATCTCTGCATGAGTGGCAATACCCCACTTCTGCAACAAGTTGTGCCTATGCCAGTAGCTTCTGTACTGTTTGCCCCAGAAAAAGAACAGGGGGGTCGTGATGATCATTGCGGCGGAAATACCTGCAAAAGTGTAGAACACCACAGCAGGCCCTTCGGTAGCCGCCCAATCGTTCACAAAATATGAGAAGCCATAGAACAAGAAGTTCTTCAACACCATATTAATGATGAACACTTCAGAGCTGATATCGCGGAAGGAATCTAGGACATAAGAAGATGCGGCGATCGCGGCTGTGACAATACCGAACAAGTCCATGCCGTGGAAGAAAGCTGTAAGATAGTACGATTTGCCTTCTTCAGCGAGGTAGCCGAATAGGCATAGACCAATGACGATTGTTACCGATGGAATCATACCAAGTAGGCGGTACTCGGGCTCGTAGACTCCTTTGTTCTTCTTTGCGCACCATTTGATAAGAGGGTCAAGTGTCGCACCAAGAAGGATCGATCCGAGAAGGCCACCAAGGAACGGTCCCAAGGAGAGGTAGCCGACACCAGCTGCGCTAAGCAGGTATGGAGGGGACATGAAGATCTGAGCCATAACGTATGATTGCGCGACAAAGAAAGCAGTAAGCCCTCCAGTCAATATGACCATCCATAGTACAGCTAGGTTTGCGCAAACAGCAAAGGGAGCGATGACGAGTTGCAGAAGGTTATCGTCCGAGTAAGTCCCGGTGAAGATAACTAGTTCCTGTACGAAAGTCCTTTTTGGGCGCATGGCAGGCGGTGAGCTGGTGGCTGTCTCGATCTTCACCATATTGTCGCTCTCAGCTTTCTCGCCGTCACCGGCATGTCGTTTCTCGACTGCTGCAAGTTCTGCAAGGTTATCGTTGGATAGCTCGTCGATGTCGTACCGATGGTCACGATTGTAGTTGGTTTCCGGGACGAAGAAGAAGAGAAGGATGACTTCGAGAGCCACGAAAGGGATGAGGATGTGGAATAGATAACGCCATCCGAGATTTGTTGCAATGGGTCCGACGATGATGGCAGAGAAGTTCGAAGCGGCGCCCAATATGAACTGAATGAGTGTCATGAACCCACCACGCTGGTGAACGAAGAAGAGATCACCAATCATGGCAACTACGAGGGACTCGAAAGCGGAGCTGCACGATGTTAGCACAGATCATCCCGAGAATGAGATCATACGTACACAGAACCTCCTTGAATGATACGCCCAGCTAAGAGACCCTCGTAGCTGTCCGCAGCACTGCCAATTACGGTTCCAAGCAAACCAAAGAGCGACGCAATCAAGAGTTGAGGACGCTTTCCGTATTTCCTAGACAACGCGCTGACTATAGGCCCGACACCTCCAGTCACCAGCAGCATGTATCCTGAGATAACTGTGATGTCTCCGACACTTTTTCCGTAGTCTGCCGCAATGAGTACCAGTGCGGGTGACAGAAGAGGAGATAGCACGGCCGCGTAGAGTACAGATCCATAGCCGACGATAATCATAATGACCATCTTCTTCGTATATGACCAGTTTAATGGATCGTTGGGGTCTTCGGAACTGCGTCGCGTCAGCCATACTCCACGTGTTGTGTACTGGACACTATTCTTAGGAAGAGATACGGTTGTGGTATCAGAATAACATCTGCATCTTTACCAGTGCCACGCTTCAGGCTTGCTGAAGCCACTCCCGAGACGGTGAGAGGATCCTGTTCCTCATTGAGGATGACTGTTGCGGGTACATGAGCAAGATGCTTATCCTCGATGATACCGAGGAAACCCATGGTGACGGTTGTACCCGCACAATGTTAAAGAAAATTTCCGAAAAGATAACGACGAACCCGGAACTAATGTTAGGAGTCCCGCGAATGCTTCCAGAATGCAGGTGTCAACAACGTGGGACAGCGCGTGTTATGAATGATCGGCATTCCCAAGTTTCGTCGACCTCTGCCGCTACCAACGACCAGGGGTAGCGTGCGCCTCCTGGGGTTCAGTGTCCAAAATGTGGTCTCTGCGACCCCCGCACAGCTCTCATTCATCTGAAGCCCCACAGGGAGTCGGCAATCCATAGGTCTTTGTGCGCCAATGTTGGAGAGTCCCTTGTCGACAAATGCACGTCTGGGCGCGGTACGAAAGAGCTTGCAGCTTAACTCATGTATGAAGGATGCAGGGCACAGACAGCGGATATTCATGCATCTCAGATGCGTTTAGCCTGATTGCATCTTCAGACAAAAGTATTGAATGTCATCAAAGCGAGCAGTTGGGCGTAAGGAAGACGCACAAGTTTAGCAAAGGTGCGCACTCGACTGGTAGGCTTGGCCACCGAGGATGGGAGGCAGCCACCGATTTTGCGGAGAGAACGCTAGTTACCCCGCAGAGCCCCACAGCTGAGACTTAGCACGTGAATTGACATGCCCGATCAGCGCCGCGAGATTTTGCAGTCGTGGTCTTTTCTCCAACTCTTTGCTCCAGTCATCCAAGACATCGTTCCTCTCACGGTCGTCAAATCGACTTCGAATTCCGCCGTATCCCGTGGGGCGGATGACTGTACTTCGTGATCGCGACTCCCGACAGCCATGGCGTTGTCCCCGCCGACACTAATCAACACGCCTGCGTCCGTCCAGCTACGGTGCCACATTGACATGGTCAACCCAAGCCAGAACTGAGCTTGCGCAATCCATCTACTACTTTCACCACTCGCTACGACTGCTTTGGTCAGGAACAAAAGCGCTGCCATCAAAGCATTCGCAAAGGGAGCTCGATCCTCACCAAAGCTCCAAACTATGTCGCCAATCCCAAATGTGTCATCTCGTGACGCAGCCGAGTCATCTAGAGTTGCTTTCAAGACGTCGTTCTTATTTGTTCGTGATGAGCGAAGGCTAAGGTGCTGGGTTCGTGGTGCCTCCGGCAAGCTGACGATAATGGAAAAGTGTGGTCCGTCCACCTATCTTCCATGCGCTATTTGCGGCAATCAAGGGTTTCATTACTCATTTATGCATTGCAGCCAGCAACGAAGGCTCGAGCATAATTCGTACGCAAGTAGTTTCAAAGTCGGTTACAGTATGCGTTCGGTCTGTGCGCAAGGCTAGTAGGAGAAGGCTTTGCACTCATGACCTTACTATGAGCGTTAATTATCTTCCCTTATCGGCTTCCGTATCTTCGTTCCTCAAAGGCTGTTGCGAAACAGTCTACTGTAAGAGCGGTACGGTGTAAGATGGCACACTCCCATTACATGGATGCCTTTTGATGACCAAAGCCCCCAAGCAACCAGACGAAGAAGCTCGTATTTCCTCTGTTATAGCCTACACATAGAACATCCTAAAGGTCTTTGCTATGTGTTATATTGCAGCTTGTTAAGATAAGATAGCTCAAATCCCTTCAGGTTGAGTTTTGCTGTAGCGTGTCACAACTCAAGAATGCCGGCCTCTTCGTAAAAGTTCCTCAAGATTGCCGACTTTTTTTACCCAATACCTGTGTATCGTGAGTATAGGGTTACCGCGGAGAGCTTCGAATGTATTTAGACACATGTTTAGTATTGATTGATTGGATGTAGCGAAGTGGCTATAGATTGGCGTCTCAGTCCGAGGGGTAGTCTGGAAAGGTGATAGCATACTCACAATGGTGATAACGAGGTCTCAGTGGCTGCCAAAGGCGCTTATCTCACGTATATTCCTTCTAGGTCGCCCTCGGCCATTTAATGCGAGAACGTTCACGCTCATATGTCAGCCTAACCACCTGAGCCACAACATATCGCAACGGCAGTTAAGACTATGGATCAGCTCAGCCCCCTTTTAAGCATAATCACAAAATTAGGAGAGGCTACATCATCGAAAGTAAGATAGAATGCAACATTTCGGCTGCTCAATCGGACTAGAGTCCGCCACCGAATGCTCAATTCGTGACTTTGCTAATCTTCCAGAAACCCCCTTCGGGTCGCGACTTACAATGATAGACAGACCGGTATATTACCTCAAGCATCAGAGTACAAGAGACTGCGACGATAGTCATGTCTCTCTAAGACGAATGTGGGTCGCAGAAGCCGCCAGCAGCCCACGTGATATCGCGACTGCCAACAGTCCGTGCTCATCGCGCCTTCCTGCCAGTATTCGACCCCGCAAACAGAGCCTATTCGTCAAAACCACCTCACTCACAAAAAGTAAGGTGGCTTCTGGTTACTCTCTCACCCGCGATGGCGCCCCGAGGAGGCGCTAAGCCATCTTATCACTGCGCGATCTGCGAGCAATCGTTCACCAGTAAAGCTGATCTCCACCACCACACTGCCAACCACGTCGACATCAGCAGCGGAAAGCTTGCTTGTGCTGTATGCGGATGGGATTTCGATGATTCTCACGCACTCGAACTTCATCAGATCCAGAGCAGTCACGGTAATCCATAGTCAATTACTCCCAACCCGCAGAATGCGAGCCTGAAGGCCTTTGCAGAGAAAACCGAGATGGCAATTATTTGTGACCGGTGTGCAAAGACATTTACGTCCCAGAAACAGTTCAGCAATCACCGCAGCAACATGACCTCTGAATGCGCTGACTGGAGGCACACTCCTTCAAAGAAGCAGTTCGCATCCTCTGCAGTCGCCATGGGTTACGTTGACCTTGACAAACCGAAGGACGAACCACCTACCATTCCTGCCTATGAGGACTTCTCGGCATCGTCAGAAGCTGGCACGATCGACAGCGATAATGGAGTTAAGTGCCACGATTTCAAGCGTATGTTCCTCTCGATGGGTCACTACAACAACCATATGCTGGGTTGCACGCCTGTTCCGTCGTCCAAGAAGGCCTACGAGGTGCTTCAGGCTGTAGCATCAGATAGCAGCATACCGGCAATCGTAAACCACATGAGAATCGGCTCACAGCAACGCCAGGCTCCTGCACCAGCACCCTCACCTCGAGCACAGCCTTCCTCGTCCACTTCGTCTGCTCCAACCAATGAGTTTTCTACCTTCGTCTGCAACGCCAACAGTTGCAGTCGATCTTTCAGGTCGGAGGCTGGCCTTAAGCAACATAAAGTTGATGCTCATCGTGTGGGTGGTCAGGCACTGAACTTAACAGGTCGAGATTCGTGGATGCTCAGCAATCGGGAGCGAGAGCGCTTGAGGCAAGAAGGTCAGTTGCAGCAGCTTTCCATATCGCCTCGCGGTCGCGGTGGTCAGCGAGGCCGTCCCGCCCCTCGCGGTGCTCGTACCGCTTCTCGTAGTGGTCTTTTTGCTTCTCAAATGGCATCTCCCCCACGCCGTACGACGCAGTCAGTATCACCGCAGCTCCCTCCTTTCGCTCGTCCTATGCCGACACAACCTTGCATGCCAGTCCACATGCCACCCCAACAGCAAGTCTCGATGGTTACCAGTATGAGCATAGGCGGCGCTGCGGATTTGGATCAAGCCAAACAGATACAGGCAAAGATCCTGCGGCTTCTGATCCAGGCCGACATTTACATCCAACATGACGGAAAAATGAACGTCTGTGGGATTGAATGGACTCGTATCGGCATCGCAAAGCAGGCTGAGGTGGTCTCCATGTTAGATACCATGTGTCATCTTCCGAAGATCCTACAGGGCGAATACGTACCGGCTCCAAAGGCTTTCAAGGACGATTACAACGCCGAATATCCGTCTAGCGACTTTGAACCCTCTCCGATCCGGAATTCAGCGAAGCCTGGACTGGGTGCTGTCGCAGTCTCGTGTAGCAAAGTCGTGCTTGAGGGTGGCCGTCAAGAAATTGTCAAGATCGCAGCGGTCGACCTGATCACCTGCCGCATCCTCATGAACCACCTTGTCTGTACAGATGCACATGCGGAGGTCTCGGACTGGTGCCCTACAGTTACCGGCTTGTTCAGCTGGAAAGACGTGGAAGCAGCTCGAAAAGCAGGATACAAGGTCTTTAAAGGTTGGGCGGCAGCACGGGACGCACTACACAGATTCGTCGACAAGGAGTCTATCGTCGTCGGCCACAACCTGCGCTCAGATCTCGATTCACTGCGCATGATCCATGGACGTGCCGTTGACATCGCCAAGGTCATCGAGAAGGCGGCTCAGGGTCCGCTCAGTAAGGCGCAGCTAGCCTTGGACAGTCTGTGCCGCGACTATCCAGAAATTGGTCTCAAGAGTGACCCAGAGTACGGCCGAGACAGTCTTATGAACGCCTTTGCGGTGCGTGAGTTTGGACTGTGGGCGATCAAGAACAAGGAGAGACTTGCGTCGATTGCTAAGCAGAAGAGCAGGGACTACCAGATCATCATGCCCAGATCTGCTCTTGGAAGAGTCTGATGAGATTGCGAATTCGACGAAAGATAGATAGGATTACGACGACGAATGCAACGAACTAAATCAACATACCTGCTGATTGATGTGAATCGTGATCTGTGGTCTGTGATCTAGCTCTTCTTCTTCTTCTTCTGCTCCTCCTGTTCCTTCTCCACGACGTCAACCACAAACGCACCACCCAGCAATATTGCCGGCTCCTCCAAACTATGATGCTCGTAACTTAACGTCCCCACACCACCCGCTTCCAGAATCAAACTGGGATTCTCCTCCAACTTCTTCCCCACCCACCTCGCGGCAAAAGCCCTCAGAATATGCCCATGCGCGACAATCAACACATCATTCGGTTTCCCATCTTTGCCAAACCTGCCCTTGTGATACTTCTCCCTCAGCTCCCGTATCAACTTATCCAATCGTTCTGTAACATCTTCGGGACTCTCACCATCCTCGCAGCCATCTTTCCAGATATCCCAGTCTGAGCCCAACCCGCGCCTCTCGCGGTCTTGCTTGATTTCAGAGGTCACGCGGCCTTCGTAGGCGCCGTAGTCCCATTCTCGGACTGCTTCTGTAACTTCGATCGTGGCGTACGTACGGATGTCCGGGGTGTGGGGTTTGGAGGCGTCGTGCCAGGGGTAGCGTTCTTTGCAGCCTAGGTTGAGGAGTTCGAGGGTGCGTTGGGAGCGGGTGCGGGGCGAGACGTAGCTGTTTGTTGTTTTAAAAATCAGTTTTCGGGTCGTTGGGCTGTTGTGATTCTTGTCTAAGGGAGAACCCATACAGGAGCAAGGAACGTACATGTGTGCTAGGTTACTTGGTACAATTAATCGATCGTCGCCTACAAGCGCTTTGCCCGTGGCTTTTACACGCTTCTCGCCGTTTTCCGTAAGTGGAATGTCGGAGACTCCTGTGTGACGTCCGTTGAGCGACCATTCTGTTTCGCCGTGGCGGATTATGAAGACTCGTGGATCAGGCATTTTTATCTATCATGAGGTCTTCTGTTGTAGCTGTTGGAAGAGGGGGAGTTCGGAGTGACGCGGCGCGACGCGAAGGGGCTGAATCAATTGAAAGCTGGGCGATGATAAGTGTGCAGAAGACGGGATTGGAGGATATGTGAAGCAGACAGAGTACAGGGAAAGGGTGAATTGAAGTATGCGCAATAGGTGCGCGGCAGCTAGCGGACCTCAGTCCGTATGTATGACGTTCGTATGGGGAATTGTTTAGCATGGTGGGGGCGTGCCAGGGACATGTTCAAGCTACCCCACTATATCCGCTTCGCACGCCTTGTCATGCTTCGACGCGGATTGTAAGCCTTGGTCATCACCCTACTCGGGAAACATGGGTGAGAGATCGGGTCATTTACACAGTGAACGCGATTACTTCTATGAAAGGAAAGAGCAGTTGCCGGGGACAGTAGGTGATAGCGTGAGTTGTTTTGGACTAGCATTCGATGTAGAAGTAGATTTGCGACCAGTATGAAGATGCCTGGGCAGATACAGTCGTGAAGGTGGTTGTAGTACTTCTTGATTCAGACACGCGCGAAAGTTGGCCCTCCTCACTCTTCCTCTACAAGGCTGTCGTCGTCTGCTACACACTGGGAGTACCATTCTATCGAAAATCAGCTTCGTAACATGAGACTCAATTGCAGGGGTCTCCACATACCGTTCTGAACCACACACTTTGCTCCCTTGACACACACCGTGCAGCCTGCCCAAGGCACACCGCCGTCCCAGCCGCCACATTTGTAGTATAGTGGGACAGGGCACCTCGTGCTGCTCGGGCCGACCTCTTCAGTAGTGGTCTTGGTGGGCTTCTCTGCCGACTTTGTGGTCGTCTTGATAGTCGTCTAAGTAAGTTAGCATGGGTCATAACGAAGAACGTAGCTGATTGATGTGTGGCTAACCTTTGTTGGTGTTGGGGTTGGCTCTGGCTTCTCGCTTGTTTTGGGTGGCTCAGGCTTCTTCGTTGTGGTCGACTTAGGTGGTTCAGGTTTCTTCGTAGTAGTTGTGGGTGTTGGCTCTGGCTTCGTGCTTGACTTGGGTGGCTCAGGCTTCTTGCTTGTTGTCGTTGTGATTTTGCTTGTCGTTGGCTCTGGAACACCTGACGTAGGTCGGCTGATGTTGTCGGTGCAACGACCCCCAATGCATGTTATGATATACGTCTGGCGTGGTTCAAGGGCGACATTGTTGTTCGCCGGCGCCTGTTGGTTGATCAAAATAAGACAAATACACGGACTGTGAGATACATACCGCAAGGCACACTGTCGAGAGGCTCGTCGCCAAAAGCGCAAGTGTGATGAGTTGCATGATGACCCAATGAATAGACAATGATACTTCAGTGAATGAAAATGTTGGTACAGCTGTGGTCTCGAGTTTGATGGAACTTGGACAACATCTTATAGCCACAGGCTTATACTGCTAGTCTGTACAAGTCCAAAAGGCCAACGACAGGATCAATGGCTGCTTCGTAGCTACAGCTCTAGATACCCGCGGCTTCATTGTAGACAGCAGTCTAGCTGTAGCCAAGGCAAAATACGAGGCCATCCTAATCTGCTCTTGCATTCGCCTATATTGTGGCTAGCGGGTTTGTGTGCCATAATGGCGGTACAGGCAATGTGGAGCCTGGCGAGAACTTATATAGTCAGTCAGTTGGCACGGCACTCAGAATGACAGATTTCGTGAAGCTAGACAAGATGAAAGACGGGTTCACCCAGTGATGCGTCCATTTTTTATGTTGTGCATTGTAGATTCCTCAAATAAGGCTGCCCACGATGTGTAGCTACAACCTATTTCCCGTCTACCCACGTCTCGACCATGAGTCGAGGCTCGGCTGCGTTCCGAGAAGCTTCGTGACTGAGCGTGATGCTATTCTTGTCTTTGGCGACTCTTATAGACGGGGATGTGTTTTAGCCGCAAATTGATACCCAGTCGACCCTTGTCAGACCACCAGACTCGCATGCCATTCAAGCTGGCCATGAGTTGTGTAACTTTCCTCGTCGTGAAAGCTTAGATTGTTCGATACAAGCAGCGAGACTGGTAGTCGGAACACGTTACGGGAAATCCGAGCGACGCTGAGGGTGATCGTAGCATCGTACCGCATTCCGGGGGCGGGTGAATGGGAGGCGGACGAGGTGATGCATTGCATAGTGGGCCAGACCGTGGGGTATACACTGCTCAAGAACGCTCTAGGCGAGTAATATTTGCAGTGCGCTTACACTCGCATCGGTAAGGATGAACGATGGTTGGTGTCTAAGGCACAGGGGTAATGTCCAGATCATTCACCACCTGCTCCATTTTGTTGCACAGTACCATTTCCCAGAAGGTCTCCAACGCCGATCCACTTCCTCACAAGGAAAGCACCCTGCGGCCTCAGCTTCCTGTAGTAGCCCTCTTCTCTCTCCAGTATCTCGAAGTTCCGCTTCTTGTACCATTCCATACCTTCCTTGTTGGCCTCCCACACGTGCGCCGTGACACAGCGCACACTGTGGAGCTCGACGGCTTTCTTCACCACTGCCTGTAAGAGATGCATAGCAATACCATGGGAGCGGTAGGGAGCCAGGACGCCAATGGTGGAAATGTATAGTTGGGAGGAAGGCAATATGCGACATCGGACGGCACCGACGAGATTTGGCTTCTCTGTGGGCGATGGCGAGTTGGCATTCGTGGGCGAAGAGTGCCATACTGCTACGAGCGTGATGCCATGGTGTGGTTCCGTCATGGTCTCCTTGTAGAACGCCTCAGGATAGGATATAGGTAGAGTGAGTGTATTCAGACGTTTGAACGCCGGTAACAAGTCTTCGGTGAGGGGTACGAGTTGGACGTTGGGCGGTAGAGGACGTAGGGCGAAGAGTTGCGGGATGGCCGGTTGCTGGGCTGAGAGAGAAATGGGTGAAGGTATGCGCGAGATGGTGGGCGTGACTGCTCGAGAAGGACGAGGGCTTTTCTTCGATCGCGGTCTCGACGGGGCTTGGAGGAAGTCGTCGGGTATGTCGTTCCAGTTCTCCATTGCTGAGGGCGTAGGCGTCGTATTGGAGGGAACGCGTGTAGGCGCAGAAACTGATTTCGGGGGCGGCGGTGGTCGAGTAGTCCTTGGCGATAGAATTGGGGGAGCATTTGGGGGATTTCCAGGCTGGTTATCCTGACTTGGCTTCTTCAGCCAGTTGTTCAATGAAGACTGCATCGCGAGAGAGGGGGGTCGAGGGCTGTTGTGATGTAGGCGTAGATCGCAAGTGGTAATGATAACAGTCAATCGATGTAGATTTGTGACTAACGAGGTGCCCGAGTCTTGTCCCCGGAACAATTTGTAAGTTGTCAAGCAATGGTGTTTACATTGAACAAACAAACATGAGGGGATACTTTCTGGTACTTTGCGACGCGCCTTCGGATCGCTTGCAGGGGTGTTTCCTAGCGTGCTTTCGTCGGCCAAGCCGTCAGCTCCGACTTCTTGCAGGAACAGCATCATCGCTCTAGAAATCCCCAGTCCCACCACCGCAACCATGGGCGCCGAGAACTCGAAGCCCTCGTCCGAGGTCAAGCAGCATGTCTTCTCCTCGTACGTCGCAGTCCCCACTGCCAATGGCTCCAGCCCCTCATGCGAGATGCAACCAACAAGTGACGTCGTTTGCTGATAATTTGCGCGCAGAGATCACCCCTACAGCTTCTCCAATGAACTAGTCGGATCGCTGCAGAAGAACACTTTCGTACGTTTCCTTGCCGACATGGGCGGATTGGGGCTGATACAGCGTAGACAGACTCGGCGCGATCAAGACAGCAAGAACTCCAATACCAGGAACGCCTAACCACCGAGCTTGAGAAGCTGCGCGAGCAAGAAACCCAGAACTTCTCCAAGTTCAGCGAGACCCTCTCCGGAGAGACCCAACAATCCGATGAATCCTCCTTAGTCGAGAAGATCCAAGATGCAACATCCAGCAGCTCCGCCCTCGCCGAGAAGCAACGACAAAAGGACATGAGCAGGGACAGTGTCACCAAGGAGATTGAGCAATTGAAGGCAAAGTTGGAGCAGAGGAAGAAGCTGGAACAGGCCGATGCCGACGTCACCAAGGCGAAGGAGGCTGTTGTCTCATGTCTGAGGACGCACGACCGCCGACCACTGGACTGCTGGAAAGAGGTCGAGACCTTCAAGCAGGAGGTCGGACGGCTGGAGAAAGAGTTTGTACAGAAGACTATCCGATGAGTTCTGCCGACGAATTGACCATTTGAGGTTTGGGAACGGCCCCTTGTACAGATAGGTTTGGCGGGTTATATCATCCTCGAAGTGCTATTCATCTCAGGTACCTTCGTCTTCTTGTGACACGCGTCTTTCTGTTATCTTCTTCGTCTTCTTCTTCTTCTTCTTCTTCTTCTTCTTCTTCTTCAACTTATTCAATGCAAACGGGCCATCGTCTCACACACCGTTCCTTTGTCCATAGCAACCTTTGCTCTACTTCATTGCGACTGTCCGTTCTCACCTTCACCTAGGCCTTCGCTGACTATGCACAAAATATGCTCACACGAGTCACGCTCACTTGCAATAATGCCACCTGCGACAAAGACACCTCATAGCCAGCCCTTCCTCGCCTTATGTGCCTGGCAAACTCACCTTCACCGTCAAATTGCCAGCTTAGCGCTTTGGCTTCTTTAATGATATAAAGATCACTGTGCCTACCCCAGCTTCCACTGCTGGACACCACACATCCACCTTTACTAGCCGACCCGAGCAACATCGTGCTCACACTCCTCTTGTGCGTCTAGCTATAAGGGTCAGTTGCAAACCGCAATAGCTCTTTAGCCACGATTGCTATAGCCACTATCGTCGCAACTGCCCAGTAGTTGTTTGGTGCAAGAGACGAAGGTCAAGTAAGTCGTTCCGATTTGCGTGGTGCGTCGCTCCTTCCACTCTAGTTTTCACGTTCGCGTTACTGATCTTTAATAATAGTACTTACGGCAGCCACTATGTCGTCCTTCTGTTCCTACATTCTCCTTGATGAGGATAATGAGAGCTGGAACAATGACGATAGCGATATCGAGCTCCTCGATTATGGTACGTCGCTACTTCCTATTTCGATGTAACATCGTTGATTAATATTCAAGCTTCAGACACCGAATCCGACTTTGAGATAGTCGCGACTAATTCTCGCGAGACATCTGCTACACCGTCCAGCGCCACCTCCAACAACAGACAAGCCTGGGCGCACGACCCTCTGTCCAACGATGTTACTGCTCTGCCAGATATCGCGATCCAGCGGTACAAGCTGAACACAGGCATTGTGATCAAACCTGGCGATACGGTAGAGCTAAAGGATCAGTCAGTACAAGAACAGGAGGCCATGCATAGTGGCGATTTCCTTCGCATCAAGATCATCATCATGGATATGCAGACAGATCAAGTCCGTCTTCGAGGGTATCGACTGCGCCGGACCAAGTATCTTGGTCAAATATTTGATTGTAAGTGTGATCGGCATCGGTTTAGAGACCTATACTGACCTTCCAACAGGGAGATTGAACGAGCTTGGGATGGTTCTGCGTCTTGACGAAGATGACACCCGTTCGCCTTTTGTCGCCGGTATAGAAGACATAGACATCGGAGAGGTCCTACGATTGCGCGAGTGCACGCTCACTAACAAGCCGTACCCTTTTCTGAGCTTTCGAACCGATGGCCGCGTTGCATACCCTAAGTGTATGAGTAACGACGATATAAAGCGGCAAATCTTTCACGGAGGTCGACTGACCTGCCGTGTCGTTAACATACTCTACATTAGTAGAGGCAGGAACAAGCCATATGGTGGTATCGTTCGTCATCTATATACCCACGAGGCAGACGCGAATAAGCTGCCAGACCACACCTCAGATGCCGGCCTGTCTCGCGAGACATCAATCTTCGTGAAAGATGTAGAAGAAGACGATTGTGTTCTCGTGAGCAAGGAGCCATATTCAAGAAAGCGCCGTGCTCGCAACGGCTCTTTTGACTTTGAGGTGCTCGAACAAGAGCCGCCAAAGCGGAAGACCGAGCATCCCCTGAAGCAGGGCTATCTGACCTTCGGTGACGTGTTCTGTGGAGCTGGAGGTGCATCTCAAGGCGCTGCCCAGGCCGGTTATTATGTCCAATGGGGTCTCGACAGTGATAAACGCGCCATGGAGTCGTACAGCCTGAACCATCCTAGTGCGTATGCATTGAAGATGAATGCACATAACTTCCCTCCCAAGGGTATCAGCAAAGAGAATTGGAAAGTCGACGTCCTTCATCTCTCGCCGCCATGCTGTTATTGGAGTCCCGCGCAGTAAGAAACCCTCTCAACGATAAGTCCACCTATTAACATCCACCAGTACCACTAATGGCCCAAATGACCAAGCGAACTACGAGGCTATTTACACCGTTGGTCCAATCCTCAATAAGGTGAAACCGCGTGTCGCAACGCTCGAGCAGACGTTTGGCCTCGCCACCCACGAGCAACACCAGCGCAACTTTCTGATGCTACTAAACGACATTGGTAGGGCCGGTTATGATGTACGCTACAAGATACAGGACTTGAGTCAGTACGGTCTTGTACAGAAGCGAAAACGCTTGCTAATCATTGCTGCGAGGTTCGCTATCCAAATCTTCATGCATCTACGCTGGACATACTGACAGACTTTAGACGCGGTACACCCTTACCTCCCTTTCCAAAGCCCACACATGGTCCTCCAGGAAGCGGCCTGAAACCTTTCCTATACATTGACGAAGCCCTTACACACGTCACTCGCCAGGGTAGACGCGCTATGAACGATCCCTACCACCAACCGAAACTATACCCTGAGCCTAGGCCGGCCTACAACCCGCGGACATTCCTCAAGGGATGCATCACCACTGGCGGCACAATTGCAGTTCATCCTTCAGGTACTCGCCCATTCACACCTCGTGAATTGTCTCTATTCCAGAGCTTTCCATACATGTATCGGTTTACAGGAGCCAAGAGCGAAGCCACGAAGCAGATCGGAAATGCTTTTCCTCCCATCATGGCACAAGCCATGTATCAGACCATAGCCAAGACCTTGGAAGCCTTCGATAACGGCCTCATCGGAGCGGAAGATGATCTTTCTGATTTGGACGCCCTGCTTGAGCAAACGGGTAGAAATGCTCCGCGACAGCGACGCGACTCTAGATCTGGACTCGGCGGCATCTCTGGAAGTATCAACATGCCTCACAGGCCCGCTCAGAATGCCGAAACTAGAACAGCGAGGGGTAGTAGGCGACGCCGCGAATCTAGTATTCCAGATCAAGACGGCGAGGTCATCTACATACCTAGTGACAGTGAATAAAGGTTTGAGGTTGCATCTGGAGAAGAAAGGAGCTGTTGCATGGAAGAGGATGCTCATGCCTCAACCTTCTAACGGACGATATCCGCTCTCTTCATCTTCGGAAAGTGCGCCGCGTTCGATTGTTTGAACGGAGGTGGCAACTGAAGTCTCATGTCTTGCGCATTAATCCAACTGGGTGTTGTGAAGAGACATGATATTTTGTGTTGGCGGTACTCGTTTCACACTCACGTTACGAGATGATGTCTGTGAACAACGTCCGGAAGGAAGCGGCCTTATGTTTTGCCTTCCCTAGTCCAACACAGAATACACCACATGCGTTTACTTCTTGGCTCATGTCTGTGCGTAACAACATGTATATTACCTAAGATGTTTCTCTTTTAGGTTCGCTGCCTAAATGGTATGTGAGAGAATACTCGACTACAATCACGCATCTGTCTAGTTCTATGGCGACATAGCACACTATAAACGGCCATAGCCTAGCAGTTATGTGCTATGTCCCTAGAAGGTCTTCGCGGCGGATTTAAGGCGCAAATGGGTATAATCTCTCAAGAATACTAATCATTGCATCACTCTACAGCGCACCAACGTATAGCCGCATAGCAGCCGATCAATCACATGACTTCTACCCACCCCAACTTCTTGTTGCAGGTATCTAATTGCCGTTCAACCCCCAAAGCTTAATCGCCATCCCCCGCCACTAAACCCAGATTTGACACCCTGTCACGGCATCACCCTCTACATGATCTCTCAAAAGATCAAAAACCCGCGTAAAAATACACGTAATGGCGCATACGCCTAGGACACCGACGTCCGCCCGTCTTATGGTAAACATCGTACCATTCTGACCTCATAACGTCCGGGGTCTGGGGATCAAAGAAGGAGTAAACTTTGAGCCGACAACTCCTGTCCCTTCCGCACCACTGGTCTCACCGGCATCTTACAGAAACGATGCACAAGCATTACCCATGTTTGTTTCCCATCGTCTTACATGCGGATATGGTATTCATTACCCTGCATCCGACCACTAGCAGATCTACTCTGCATCCATGCCCTTCACGCAGCATTATCTTTTCACATGCACATGATAAGGCGAAATGAAAAGAAAAAAAAGATTGAAAAAAACAGAGCAGCAAATCAGAAAGAGTCGGCACGCCTTCCACATGGAGATGGGGATCTGAATAGATTGCTGTCCGTCGGCCAAGTTGATAGATTTAGATTGCAAGAAATGCACGGAAATGCATGAAAAGCAATTTTCTCGGTTTTCCTTTCCTTGGAGCAGCACCAAGATCGGACCGTCTGTGATTGTAAGCGCCCGCCTCGTCACGAGAGTGGGTTATGCAGGTTAGGAGTGCGGAGTTGTATCCGGTTACACACCGCCACCTTTGTATGGATCAAAGCGTTTTTCCTGAGGTTTGGTCTGTTGACATACAGGGTCTGCTTTACTGCCTGGGCACCTTGGAAGGCGTCATCGAAAATGGGTTGTGGTGTGCGAGGCGGGCGAAGTAAAGCGAGACTGCGCATAGAAAGGTTATCGGCGATGAGCAGGATGGGCGGGAAAGATGCTCAGGGTCCGATTGCATAGTTCAGAGAGAACGCAAAGACACACCATGCCACAGGGGTTCATCTTGGCTGGTTTTGCCGCATGTCAGATTGCCTTCCATGGTTCGTCGTATTCGGGTCATTATTTAACGCGAGATGTAGTGTCGATGCTGAGGTCCGACAAGCGCGCTTGGATGAGTAGCGGTAAAGGAAGATCAAGGCCCAAGGCCAGGTCAGACGATGTCTCGACAGTGCATGAGCCTTGCATGAGTGAGGCACAACGCCCTTTCCGATTCAGTGGAACTAGAGCTGTGTGGAGCCGACTTGAGTAACTCTCACGTTTATCATTCGCGTGGAAGTGTTCTTCCCGGCCCTCTAGTGCTGATCTTGCTAGCGTGCCATGTGCGCTCCCGTTCTCCTTCTCGTATCTTACATGCCGTGTCTTCGTAGTGCTGCCGAGCGTTTGAGCCTTGCGAGCCGTGGCTGGTGCACTGCGCGCCGTCGAATCGCATATGAGGCGTTGAATCAGGAGCTAGAAGTTCTGCCACAGCCCAATGCACTAGTTAGTCAATGCAGCGGGCTGTGATTCGGGAGTTGAGGCTGTTTTGGAGTAATCTACGAGGGGTAGAGTAGACATTGACAAACGGCGCCGTTCCTCGGGATGTCGGCGTGTCGGATACTTCGGCCGACACGTCTTGGAGGAGAGAGAGGGCAGGAACGACTGGAGTCTGCCCGACTTCCGGCCTTTCCCAGGCCACAGGAACCTGCCAATGCGGCAACCAGCAAAAAAAAAGAGTAAGTTTTCATCTATTTCCAGACTCCACTTTACAGGACGCCGTACTCTCGCCGTGTGGGCCTTATCAACGCTCTTCATGAGACTTGGATCAGACGTGTATCGCTGAGGCCCTTCCGCGCGCGCCCGTTGAAGCACTCTAGAACAAGACTTGGAAACCTAGCGCAGCCGACATGCGAGACTACTCCCTTGGATTGTCTGTTCTCAGTTGAATAAACCTTCTTTTCAATGTTTCTAGAAACACACCATAGATGCGCTACCGGACTTTCTCCCTGACATGACGGGGGCGATCGCATATGCCATCTACCTAGCCAGCCGCTCGACATGCCCTCCGGAGCCTTGCCGAACTACCTGAGCACCTACCATAGTTTCATCACCTTCTACACCGGTACACTGGGCGCAAGGGTGTCTGCAGCCGAACGCCTCAGTGCTTCCACATGATCCTTGCGAACATCGATGATCTGTACATCAATCGCGTCTTTCGACGGCAGAGCTAGGAGTATTTGGAACTGTGCATCTTGAGCGCATGGACGTTTTCCTGGTAAGGGTCTTCTAAGGCTTTTGCCAGTGAAGGGGTTCCTGGCTATATGGCTTCCTAGAGTGCTAGGTGAAGCGAGTCAAGTGTAATGAATTTCATAGGCTTGCGACAGATGACGATTGTGGACTGGGTCACTTGATGCCATGCAACGCGAATAAAGACCAGAGGCCTGCGCGCTGCTGTGGCTGTGGTTTGTTGTAGAAATCTGACCTTCACAACTGTTTCTCACCGAGTAGTCTCACGATCCATAGGGCTGGCCTTGCGAAGGATTTGAGCCTCATTTCACGATACAACGTATTAGCCCGTATCATCTCACCAACTAATCAGCCAAGTCAACTCACTATAAGTCGACGGATAGATCCAATTGATTGAGAAGCTATCTACCCATCATGGCGAAATCAACACGTTCACCCTTCCTCGATATCCTCCCCCCAGAGCTCCGTCTACATATCTACACACACCTCCTCGTTTCTCCCTCGTCCATCAAAGGCTCCGTTGCTCGTCAAGACACCAAATACGATCTTCATACAGCCATCCTCCGAACCAACAAGCAAATCCACCACGAGGCCCGCTCCGTATTCTTCGGCAAAAACACCTTCTACATCACCTCCTTACCGCCAACTACGTCCAGCAGTAACTGCAACCAAGATGCCGCGGAAGAAGAAGAAGAAGAAGAAGAAGAAGAAGAAGGCTCTGGAGCCTTCGAACCCCCACTCCAACTCACCGACCTCCCCCTAGTCCGCCATCTTGAAGTCGATCTCCTCTACTACTCAAACTCCATGACAACAACGCTAGATTCCCGCGATGGAGTCTGGAAACCCGTCTCTGTCGGTGCTGGACGCTACACAACCAGCTTATCCTACCTACTTGGCACCGTCTCGCCAAGTCTGCTCAGCCTAACCCTCTGCGCAGACACACGCCGCTACATCGACAACAACAACAACAACACTAGCCAGGACCCTCATCGTCTTAGCAGCAAATCCGAAACCGATATCGAGCGACTCCAAGTCCAGAAACTACTCACTGGGTTTTACATGGCGGATAGCAACTCGCTTTTCAACAAAGCTATGAAAGACCTCCTTGTGAGGGATGTGGGCCTGCATTTCGATTTCCCGGAAAGCTACTTTGACTTTGTGGTCGGTAGGGAGAAACTTTGTGGACAGAGTCTTGTGGAGTTGGCCGGTCAGGTACTGGCGGCGAGGAGTGAGATTAGGTTCAAGGCTGCTATGCAGGAGGCAGGTGTAGGAAATGAGGTTGCGGAAGAAGGGACAGTGAATCTGATTCCGTTTCCATGCTGAGAATTTGCTGGTGAGGGTTGGAGAATGGTTAGGAAGACGAAACAAAGATATTGTTTGTATAGAAGCGTTGGCATGATACCATGAGTCGAGTACGACGAGCATTAGAGGGCGTTTGTCGCATGCTTTGTTTCGGGAGTTCAGTGTACAGGGAAGTGCATTGGAATATTGGAATGCATTGTGTTTACATTTCTCTATAACCATTCTTTCAAATCACAAGTAACCTGCGTATGCAAGAAAACACACCAAAATCGAAGCGCTGAACCCTGGTTGAGCAAACATGAGGAGTAATCATTAGATATCGCAGTCTTCGTTATTGTCGTGAATCGTAAGGTGTCGTCTCGTATCCATACATACATGCCGAAAAAGCAATCAGAGAAAAACATACATGGAACGCAGAAGACGGACAAGCAGAGGAAGAAATATAATAATACAGTCGTACGGAAGCCTGCGCCTTCCCATGTTCCTCGAAGCATGTCTAGTAGTCCCTCTTTCGGTGTCGCCTCGTCTTGACAGGGCTGCCATCTCCGTCAGAGTCGCTGCTGAAGTAGTCGTAATCATCGCGGCCATAATCATATCCATGATCTGGACGGCGATCGCGGTCACGCCTGTCATCCCTTCGCGCATCGCGGTCGTCGTGTCCGCGAGACTTGGAACGGAATCGATCAATTACACTGCGGCTTCTAGCACGTAGGCCGGGGCCTTTACTGCGCTCGCGCTCATGCGCGCGAGTCCGGGATCGGGAGCGAGAACGGGACGTGGAGCGGCGATTGCTTCGGCTTCTGATGGTAGGGTTAGTATTGAAACCAGTCAAACATAGGGGTTGGCCTTATTCACCTTGAACGTGTCGCAATCTGCCTGGCACCCAACGCACCCGCAGCTGCTCCTGCCAGTGTGGTCAGCCTACTTTTACCCAACGACCTGCCCGCGAAACCTCCCGCCAACGCACCTCCCACCGATGCCGCCAAGCTCTTCTCGCGCAGATCCATGCTATCGAATCTATCACGCACTTTAGTCATGCGCGAATCATCTCGACGGTGGTCTTTGCTAGAGCGGGACTGGTGGGAGTGAGAGTCAACGGACCTAGCCCTGTGGCGATGTTCACGACGAGGCTTGGTACTCTCACGCCGAGAGCGAGGTTGAGATTCGTTGTATGCGACCACTGGCTGTTCAGCCGATGGAGGTATATAGGTCGGGTAAACTGCGCTGGGCACTGGCGCGAAAGTAGGTTGGGAGTTGGAGCGCTGACGGCTGAAGGGCGGTGGAGACGGTTGGTAGCCAGCGCCAGTCGCAGGAAACTCAGTATGGTGATAGGGATTCATAGGAGAATTTGATCCCACAGGTGGAGGCGGAATGGGCGCGTCTACCGCGGGCGACGGCGCGTATCCAGGGCCAGGAGTATACCTAGAACTTCTGGGAGCTTCGCGCTGGCCATAGTCTAGAGTGACACCACGTGGTTCTGCAGGTGCTGGCTTCGGAGTGTTAGTAAGTGGGCGCTGAAGCAAGGCCGCGAGAGGCGGCTCGTAAGACGGAGTGAAAGCAGCAGAAACGGGAGAACCGCGAGAAATCGTGCGAAGCAAATGAGGCTGGAAGGAAAAAGGGCTGGACGAAGTCGACGTTGTCCGGCTTCTCAACATAGGCGGACAGCTGTTCGCCGGTGTTGGATGCTCGGGCATTGTCGCTAGAGTCACGCGTCGAAAAGATGAAAGATTATTTACCTGAGGAGAGTAACCGTAGGCAGGTGTAGCAGATGGGCGATGATCTTGCACGGGGCTAGGAGCATACTCCTGTGGATTATACGGCTTATACTCGGATGTAGGCGGAGGAGGGAAGTAGGGCTGTCCCTGCTGTGGTTGAGCCATGTCTCTTGGATCGCTGTGCTGTCCGTCCAAGTCGCTGCTATGTCTCCCGTGTCGTCCCCGACTCAAACTTCTACTAGTCGTTCCAGTACTCTTTGCACGTCGTCGCTCTCTTTTTCGTCGCTCTCGTTCACGCTCGTAATCGGTGTCGTCGGTGTAGTAATCGGAGTATTCAGTCGGCGGGCTGCGCTCTTGTCGTGAGCTGCGCTTGCTGGATTTCTCTTCACTGTGGTGTCGTTCTCTTCCTTCTCTGTCTTTGCGATCTTTGCGGTGCTTCTTGATTTCCTTTTGTTCTGCTGGCGTGAAGTAGCCTCCGGGGATCTTTTCGAAGAACTTGTCAGGAATCTGCTCTGCGCCATAGCTGATGGCCTTGAAGGCTAGGGCCGCCATCTTTCAAATGGGGCCGCGAAATCCGGATGTCGAGAGGTGACGTAGGATTGTCTTGCGAGCAGCGCTATGATTGGAGCGCAATCGACCGGTCCCAGCAAATCGACGAGGGAGCCTTGTTGGTGTGGTAGTGTGCAGGAAGGCCGAGTGGCAATGGGGCGGACTGCGCAGCGCGAGTTATAGTATGTAAGCAATATAGATTGTACCTGAAGGTAGGTGAGGTGTGTTGCTAGAGGACCCTTTCTGAAGAAAGAACGTGGGGAAGTAGGCGAAGTATAAGCTGCGCCACGGCAAGTGAGTTTTGATGTACAGCGGCAAGAAGCAATTAGATTTATGACAATTGGGCAGGTGCGCTTAACAGACGACAATATAGCTGATTCGACGCATAGTGCGACTCGGTGGCAGGGCCCTCGTCTACATCGCGAAAACGACGTTCTACGTCATCGAGGTGGCCTGTGCGCTGCTGTCATTGGAGCCGCAACCCGGGGATCAGCATCGTTGTGGAAGATGAATCCTACGATGCAAAAAGCATCTCGATCAACGGTGATCTTCCAGTCATTCATGTACGACCTGAAAATCATCAGAACGCCTCTTTTTACCCCCACACTCTTCTCATGAAGGCTGGGGCGACGCAACTGTCGCCCATTGTGGCCTTCTGAGGTCATGTTCAATCGCATGCGACGCACGGTTACCATTACATCTATTCTCCGCATGTAATCCTACAAAGGTCTCGCCTCATTGCCGGCTGGGGACGGGACTAAGCCTCCTCAGAGCACGCATTCCATACCCCTTGCCTGAAACCGGGTCGCAACGCGATTCAACGCAGGGTATCTACGAGGAATTACCCGGGTGTGGCTGGCGTGACCTATCGTGAGATTGTTGTGCGTTGGCAAAGCTCGTCAGCGTCGCAACCTAAACCATTCAGATGCTTGGGGCCATGTGCGATGACGCCATGTTCGAGCCTTTTGTGCTCACCGCCACCATGACATGGGTCACGAAGCATAGCTCTCTTCGTACACGCATATGGCTTTCATTGAGGAATGTGATTAAAAGTTTGGCATTCAAATGTGTGAGCATGGACCGGGTATCTTATATGTCGAACTAATCAAACGCTGTGCTAACAGCAAAGAGGAAGGGATGAAGACTATCTAGTCGTCATGAGCCGCTTTACACCACTTGATCAGCAGCTACTGGTGCAGGGCTGCGTATCTCTCCTGCGGGTCTACCAGCGCTGTCTGGAACCTCGACCATATCCCCAACCATCCCAAGGAATCTTTGTCTATATTCATTGCTCGTGGTGGTAATGCTCATGGGGCCGTGATCTTTTCCAAACTTCAGTGTATTGAAGAGCTTGACTAGGCCAGTCATTGTTTGCGCCTGAAATGCGTCTTTCGCCCAGAAGAAGTCGAGAACGATGGCTCGGTAAACCCACTTGCCGTCACGCGATACGACACCTGTGCGCCATGTAGATCCTCGACCGGGGGGTGGCGGCACGTCACCAGAATTCAGGTCGGCGGGATAGCGGACGAGGAACAACGAGTAGTCGACCGCATTGTTGGCTTCAAGGATCTTTGAGTCCCTAGCTAGTTGTGCGATGAGCTCCTCCTTCTGGTCGATAGTCACTCGAACCTTGTCTTCAAACTCATCGATAAGCCGCTCCTTGACACTCTCAGGTGCCAGTCGTCCATTGGCCACATCGCGTTCGGGGTAGAAGTAGTCATTCGGCTTCAGATCGTATGTCTCCCAACGTTTCTGTTGGTCCTTGCTGCAACTTGATTTCCCATAGAGAATGTTCTCCATTATGATATGGTGGCTCGGTGCGGCTCCCAATGCAGCTCCAATGGTGGCAGTAGGGCAATAGAGAAGGTCAGTTATGCGGACGAGGAGGGAGTCCTCATTCAGCTCCATATGTTCGACATAGGGCTCGAGGAGACGATCGCGGAAGAAGGATTGCTCAAACTTTCGTGGTAGTGATTTGACCAGGTACTTGGAATTAGGTGTTGTAAAGAAGGTCTGATGCGCATTAGCTGCTTATTCTGAGATGCCATACTGTGCGCGTACTGATCCAGAGTAGCCCAGGTCCCCAATGGGTATCAGATCGGTCCGTTTGCTCTTACTGGGGCTCCGAAAGCTCTCAGTGTACCCTTCCTCTTCGATCTCCCAAATGTCGTTTCTCAGCTTCTTGAAGAGAGACGCGCGATAGCGAGCTAGAGCAAGACTGAAGAGGGCGAAAAAGGCATAGATGCGCGCAAATAGGCCCAGACGTGCACTTTCATCTTTGCGAGGCGAATCAGATCTGAAGATGGCGCGTAATATAGACGCGCTAATAAGGCGATCCCGACGTCCCATATTGGAGTTTGGATGTAGTGAAGTTGTTTGTTGAAGGAGAAAGGAGGTCAGCGTCGTGAACGCGTGAAGCGCTACATTATCGCGAACCGTTGATTATCAGCATGACGTCACCGCGCTAACGATAGACCTATGTATAGTGCCTGCTCGGGCATGTCTTCACGGCGCACCAGCGCACCGAATTTTATCAGCGCAGACGTTCAGCAGTTCGCACGAAGTAGCGGAGTTACTGCCATATGGGTGAGCCATCTGGATGATTGGCGAAATCTGACGGGGCGGCTGGTGGGCTTCTGGCTCGCTGCAGCTAACAATTAGTATACAGCACAGCCGCCACAACGGCACCACAGATTGGTCTCATTCGCAGTTGGATGCTCCCAGAATCACTTTTGCCGGTACTATCTGGACCGTCGTGCCTTGGACAGGAAGAACCTCGATGCATATTATGTGTAACACGTAGTCGCAGTTGGTATGTTCGATAAGACTGAGTTTGCATCTTCGAGCCGTCACGCTGCAACCTTGCAAGAAGCACTACAAGAAGGAGATCATCCCTGTACCAAACTTTATAATTATCCTGATACGCGACGAGCCGCGCAGGGCGTCACTAGCCGTACCTCGGGATCTCCGTGTGTTCGGACCTTCGACTGCCAGAGAAGCCGCTGGCTACACGCACCAAGTGTAGGAAAATGCGTATTAGCAACATTGATGGCTACAATCATGGTATGTTGACTTTTAATAGTTGCATTGGGTCTAGATCTTAGGCTTCTTCGCGATAGAAAAGTCGCTCAAAGCTTTCAACCTCGGCCGTGTCGTTTACTTGGCAATATGAATGCATCTCGGATCCAGAGTCTCGACCGTGGATACCGATAACTTCAGGCAAGCGAACTATATATTGTTCCTCGGAGTCGCGCCCCAACCGATCTCCCGCTCGGCACGTCTTCCGCCGTTTCACCCTGATTCCTTACGCGATCGCACTAAGCGTGCCGCTACAACGGCGAAATGCAGTGCGGTGGGCCTTAAAAGTATTGCGATCACAAAGTAGGAGCTGAATTGGAATCCGGCGTTGAACTTCGAGCCTTGCGGTCAAGCCTTAGTCGATATATAACAGTTACACCAAGCTAATAATTGTGTAGCCCCAGTTCAGATGGATCAACGTAGACTTCGACACGGTACAACCCGACCATGTATGCATCTAGGCATACTCGTCCAACAGACTAGGCCCTTAGGTCCAGGCAGTTCATGCCCTGGCTATCAGTTCGACGGCTGGAACCCCACATTATCTCGCCTCTGCAGTCTGCTTCACAGTTCCAAAGTTCGCCCAGACGCTTCAGCATGCCCCTTCGGAGGTTTCCAATATTCCCGTTAGCAGACTACTGGATAAAGTCTGCATATCACGGCTGCAGGGTCATCAAGCCACTGCTGACTGGCCCCGTATCTTATGGGTATTACCTTGTTCGAAGGATTACACTCAACATATAAAGTGCGCCACTCTTCCTTTGGTTTGACAGCATACTCGTACCACCCCGAATTCACAGCATCCTTTGTCACACCGGACTAATAGCAGGCATATTCGCGCGTTTACAGTACCAACCTTTCGTCTGTGTACCTTTTTGTTCCGTTCATCACAATCACCCCACACCCCACAGTCTGTACAATGGCGAGCGCAGACGTTCAGCAACCACCTGCACAGGAAGCCGCACCCGCGCTACCTGACTACCTGACAAACCCTGACGCTGTTCTCGGAGATAAAGATGCCAAGTGGCGTTACGGCAGAGCCCCCGATTACTCAAAAACAAGAAAGGTATTCGCTAAGAGTAAGTTTCTCCGTACAGTAGCGAGGCTGCATGCCAGATGTAGTGCAGTTTACTAAGAATACACAGCAAAGCAGATGACGCACGAAGCCGGATCTCTTCCGGAACTTGTACAAAACCTCGTCAAGAACTGGGAAGTCGAAGCGTCCTTTAAGCCCAGCATTGAGGACTGGCGTACCATCGATCGGGAAAACTACTCATTCGCCATCAATGGCGGCAAGCCTGAGGGTGCAGAGGCCATGCTCAAGGTTGGCACGTACAATGCTATCATTGCGCCAAACGAATACTACTCGCCCGACTACTCTGATTTCGCTTCATCGCACAAGACGTTCAAGCGCATGATGCCTACCTTCGCATGGGAGGTACTAGAGGTGTATAGCGGCCCACCAACAGTCAGCTTTCGCTGGCGACACTGGGGCCAAATGAAGAACGACTACGTCGGCTTCAACAACAAGGGCGAGAAGGTCACAGCTAAAGCACACGGAGGTTCCATCGACATTCAGGGTGTTACTGTTGCCACAGTCAACGAGAAAGTACAACTGCAAGCTGTTCGCACTTGGTTTGACCCTATGGACATGTTCAGGCAGATCGCACCCGACGGTGTAGTGAAGAAGGAAGAGAAGCCCAAAAACATGTCACCAGCAGAAGCGCTCGACGAAGCTCAAGCTGGAGTCAAGGCGCCTGAAGAGCAGGAGCTGCCCGACGAGTTCATTCAGACTCAAGAGGAAGTCGAGCAGACCATTGCCGCTCTCGATAAGATGACGACCGAAGAAAAGATGTCAGGTTTACAGAGCATGCCTGCTGACCACCCCGAGGTGTCAATGTCTTCCAACACTGAGGGCGCGTGTCCTTTCATGCCTGGAGGTTTCCGCTGAGGTACATGGTAGTGTGGAGCTTATGTGTCAGGATGTTCATAGCCTTTTGGATTATAAGGAGTTAAGAGCGCATGTTTGGACGAGCGTGGGGAACGCTAAAGTGGTTCATATTCGGGGCCTATTGGTATGCCTGGTACCATCGCAAATGATCTATTCTCTCCCATGTCTTTCTCTCTATTTACTGCCAACTTGATCTTTGCGCACCGAGTAGAAGACGCTCGGCTCCATCTGTATCGATCATGAGAAGCGCAGTGTACAAACATCGGACAATTAACCACTGGACTCAATACCATCGCTCAATCCAAACGTGACGATCCTACATCATAGCATTGTGATAACTCAAATCATACACTGGTAACGTCACCTTGTGATCGGCACGCATCCTCCGAGGGTTAGGACTGTTTGGTACGATGCCCTACTAGGCTATTCTTACGCGTTAGCGGCTGCTAGTGAGCCGAATACAGCAATCCCCAGCCTCCGCTATTAGAACACCACCCAGCCACCCTACCAACGTAATGATCTCCAGTCCCAACTATCAGAACGCAAACGTTCCTGCAGCGATTACTGTGTCTCTCTAATCATTCGATCGTGTAGCACCCCCTTCCCCGCTATTCAACCCTTCCTCTGCCTGTAGCCCTCTCTTTAGTCGCCCCAAGAATTCTCAAGAACTGGTATCTAAGTCGCATTACGGCTAGGTGTATAATATACAGCCCAGCATTAAGCCTCCGCATTCACGGCAGAAGTGCAATCGCAAACCATACCGTGTGATTACCCTGATACAAAACTTCCAATTTATCGCCCCATTATCTCAGATACCCAAGTAAGGTATGTCATGTTGAACAGCAGCGACGCGAAACGGCTAGGACATCTAATGCGCCGCCGGATGTGTCCGCGATGGTCTTGGCGGGTAAGTGGAGGTAATAAGATGGGTCGGTTGCTGTGTCGATGTGAGAATCTTGATAGAGGGCGAGGAGGTAGAGAGACATCAGGTTGGTCCCGGAATAGCATGTGGCTGTAGGGTTTCCGGTCCCAAGTGCCTCTTCATCGTCAGATTTGGGATTTGAGCCAGCGCATTCGACCAACAACCACGTCTTGATGATTCCGACTTGATCTCATACATTCCCGGGTGACCATGGAACGTCCGGAGAAGACTACGATATGGACGATGATGATGAGCTCAAAGATGTTTCAACTGGATCGAGCATGGCGATCGGTGCTTCTCAAATGGGACGGATAAATGTGAGAATGAATAAAAGTAGTATGTGAAGTATAAGCCGGCTGGCATAGCTGAGGCGGTAGAAACGGAGCGTGTTGAAGAAACCTGGAGCGAGAATTAAACATGGTGATGGTACTTAAACCCTAGAAGATTGTGAAACTTGATGGTTGTTGATGGTGGTGAAGTAGAAGAAATCAAGCGGAGGTGTTAATTCTATAGGTAGAGAGATGTGGTTCAAGAGACACTGTTACTACGCGTGCAAGAAGACTGCTTCCTCTGGATTTCAGTCAATCATGGTATGACTAGGTGTGCTTCTGCTTGAATGAAGATTCGAAGGCTGAATATGGGAGGCATATAGGAAGCAAAACGAAGCGACAACAGGTATGGCGGAAAGAGACGTTCGGTCGGTGTCTCTGTCTAGATAGCAGGAGCAAGGTCATGGTACAAGACGAGAAAGAAAAAAGCTGTCAAGTGCAGGGGCGAATAAAAGTATACGCCTGCTGACAGATTTGTTGATTTACTCTATAAGCATAGTAGACCTGCAGGTGGCAAGTGTGAAGGCACCATCATATGGCAGCAACATATGTCAGCCGCTTCCCCTTGTCGGATAAGGAGGCACGTAACGCAACAGGGAGCGTCTATCGACGCCAGCCTTAGCAGTCGTGGATGCAATGTATTGGCGACATGGAATCAGGGGCAAGAACCAACTTCCAACACTGGCAATTATCGCCCAGTATCAACGGCCGGTTCTTAACCCATGACGCACAATCGACTTGACCGGCAGCTCGCACTTCGCTTGTGCAAGCTGTGTCGCCTAAACCCATATCTCTCCCAGTCGACTAATACGTTTCGGTAATTTGTACATGTACAGCGGGTGACGCTATCCATCGGCGCTTGAGTGCACCCTGCATGAACGCATCTGCTTTCTTATCGAGAAGCTGTGCTCCCTTACTACGGCACTCCAGTCTTAGTGTTTGAAGATTTGGATAGCTGATGTTGGACTGGCAAATCAGTCCTGCCACAGCCTTGCTGACCTTGGTTGCCTGCCCAACCGACTTGGGCTGGCGTGATTTTAGGGTGACCTCTGTAGGCAACAGTGAGTCA